GACGCCGGCAGCCACCCCTCCTCCGCCAGCTGCGAGCAGTAACACACGCACAGCTCCTCCAGCGACGCCATCCCCTCCGGCACCCTCGCCAGGAACCAGCCCGCAGCATCCAGCCTCTTCACGCTCCCGCCGCTCGACGCCGGCAGCCACCCCTCCGCCGCCAGCTGCAAGCACTCGCCCACGTCGAGCTCCTCCAGCGACCCCATCCCCTCCGGCAGCCTTACCAGCGACGATTCCCGAGCAACCAGCGTCCTCACGCTCCCGCCGCTCGACGCCGGTAGCCACCCCTCCCCCGCCAGCTACTTGCAGACGCACGTCCAGCCTCCAGCGGACCGCAGTATCCTCTGGCAGCTCGCAGCGACGAAAAGCGGCATCCAGCTTTCTTCATCGCCCGCTCGACGCCGGCAGCCACCCCTCCTCCGCCAGCTGCGAGCAGTTACGCACGTCCAGCACCTCCAGCGACCCCATCCCCTCCGGCAGCCTCGCCAGCGACGAGTGCGAAGCATCCAGCTTCTTCACGCCCCCGCCGCTCGACGCCGGCAGCCACCCCTCCCCCGCCAGCTGCGTGCAGTTACGCACGTCCAGCACCTCCAGCGACCCCATCCCCTCCGGCAGCTTTCGCGCAGCGAGGAGTCCTGAGCAACCAGCCACGCCCCGCCGCCGACGCCGGCATACCCGCCAGCTGCGAGTAGTCACCACGTCGGCTTCCAGCGACCGCCCCTCCGGCACCTCGCCAGCGTGACCAAGCAGCAACCAGCTTTCACGCTCCCGCCGCTCGACATGCCGGCAGCCACCCCTCCTCCGCCAGCTGCTGACACCGACTCACGTCGAGCTCCTCCAGCGACCCCATCCCCTCCGGCAGCCTCCGCAGATCTTGCTCGCCCACCACCAGCTCCTTCAAGCGCGCCGCGACGCCTGCAGGCAGCCAGTCCCCCCCCCACTCCTCAGCGATGTCAAAATGTCTCCCCCTCACCCTGACGACCTCCAGCCCCGTCATCTCCTCCGTGATCACCAGCCGACCCGCGTCCGCCACAGGCCCCTCTCCCTGGCCCGACCCCCTGGCCTCCAGCCCAACGATCGCCGCCACACTGTCGGGGTCCGCACCCGCGCGCCGGTACACCCACCACCGCCCGTCGTCGCTCGCCCACCCCACCACTGATCCCGCCCCCGCGTACACGCGCCCCTCCACCTTCCCCGCCACCGCCCTGCCCACCTCCCTTGTGTCTGCGGTCCACCGAGCCCCCCCGCAGCTCTCCAGCACGCTCGCCATCGCGCCCGACGACGCAGCCGCGAGGGCGACGCGCGACTTCCTGGACAGCCGGCGGATGATGTCTCCCAGCGGACCGCCGCCCGGCCCGAACGACAGGTCCATCAGAGTGGGTGCATCATCGTCACCAGCGCGCGGGGGCTGCGAGGTGCGCGACCCGCACACGCAGCGGCCGCTTCGCAGCTCCATCGAGTGCTGAGATCGTGCCCGTGATGCCTCGCCGCCGCCGGGGGTCGTAGATGGATTCTGCGGGTGCCAACAAGAGAGGTTCCAGGAGGTGAGGTAGCGGGAGCTGTGGGAGCCGTCCGGCGCGCGCATGCAGCCGGGCTCGGCATGACACCTAGTGTCTGTCATATGACATCATGACAATCAAGCAAGGGTCTCCCGCCACGCAGCGTCACGGCCGAGCTCCCTCCAGCGCCCGAGACGCACGCCGCATGCACCGTGTTGGGCGCTCCATGCGACTCGCACGGCAGCCCGCGAGACAGCATATACCTGCACCACCGCCGTGCGATCAGCACCAACCACCGCCAGCGCGTTCCGCGAGCACCGCCCCGCGTCTCACCTGCTACAAGCAGTGGCACGGCCTGCTGTCGTCCCGGCGCGATGCCGATGTGCGGCCGATCGCGAGCCAGTCACACTGACCCTGTGCGAGGCGGGCGCGGTCACATGCTGCCGCCCGGGACAGTGAGAGTGAGAGTCGCCGGAGTGAGGTGACCCCCCCATAGGGGGTACAACCCAGCCAAGCAGACAGACCACGGCATCGAAGACGCACCGCGACGCACGTGGCAGCAGGCGCTTCCCGCCGGCCTGTCAGCTCCAGGGCCGTCATCATCCAACGCGTGACGAGTTGCACTTGTGCAGATGTGCACCACACACGCTCGCGGCGTCACACGGACACGGCTGCACTGCTTGCAGGGTGCGACTCCATGAGTGCGACACGGGGGCGCCGCCAACTCCAGGGCCATCGCGGCGACAACACGCCCCGTCGGTGGCGTGTGAGCTACGTCCGATTGTGGCCTCATGACGTGACCGCTGACGGCCGAGCAGGGCGGCCGCCGGCAGTGACCCATCGCATCGTCCTACGGGGAGTCGACACTCGTACGTGCGCTCACACTGCATTTCTCGCTTCCCTCGTCGCCAACGCCAATCATCGCCACAGACTAGACTAGACTTGTTCACACCCCGAAGAACGGGTCGCACCGCCAAGGTAGGTTCTACCCCACCCTATAGCGGCGCTAGTTTGACAGAAACCACCGAGGACGAGTGCCCATCTCCCGCCGACAGCATCAAGGGAAGTGGCAGACAGCCCGCGCAGGGGGGGCAGCGGGCGCGGCGTGGGCCGCCGCGGGGAAACGTGGGGGGGGTGCGCCGACAGCCGACATGCGATTGCGTTTATCAGGCACTTGACAGCCTGGTGCTAGAGCTGCACAGCACACACAGCCCGGTCGCCGCAGCGTCCCGACATGCGCGCGCCGCCGAGCTCTGGGCAGGGTTCGGCCGAGGGCACACCACACCGCATTAGCACGCAGGACAGGGGGTTAGCATTGTGAGCGCAGGACATCAGATTTTGCCACCAGGCCGAGGCGGGGGGGCATGGGACGGCTGAAACCGCCAGGACCTGGCCGACAGCGTGTGAGCATGCACTTCAGCCCGCGCGGATACGCCGCACGGACGAGCGCGCCTCGTGGGCGCTGCGCGTGCAGCTTCGACTCCGGGCCCGCGAGGGCGCGCGGAGGAAGAGCGAATCACGTCTTGCTACAACGCGCCGCCCGAACTGCTCCTTCGCGAGTTCGGAACGCTTCCCTTCGAAGCGACGTTGTGGGTCCTTAACCTGGACTTCTGACCGATTTATCCGGTCGTCATAATGACGACCGCAGCTGAGTCTGTCACAGCTGCCGAACCTGTCGCTACCACAACGGTGGGGGGTCAGCATGACTCGCCACCTAGTCGAATGATCTTTTCAGGTCCCAAAGCTTTCTGGCTGACGACGCGAAGAATGAAACACCTCACCTCACCTCCGCCCCTCGCATCACATGCGCCAGCCCGCACCTCACCACGCCGCGGGCCTCGTATCGCCCAGCCGCGCGTCCTGCGCGCCCTCCGTGCCCGCGTCGACCGGCAGCGTGCCGTGCAGCGCCGACCGCTTGGCTCGCTCCAGGTCCTCCTGAACGCCCTCTGCGGGCCGCTTGGCGTTCCGCTCGCTCGCCCCCAGCACCGCCGCCGTCAGCGCCTCGTACGGCTGCATCGGCGCCGCCGCCCGCGCACCGCCGTCCCCACCGCCGCCACCCTGCGGCGCGCCGCCGTTGGGCACGCCCGGTCCGGGGCGCCAGTTGCGCTGCCTGGCGGCCTCGAGCGCCTCCTTCAGGAGCTCCGTGGCCGACTTGGGCGACTTCTCCTTCCCCGCCGCGACGAGGCACGCCTGGCGGTACCACGGGTGCAGCTGCGAGGCGTCCTTGTTGCGGGACTGCGCGGCGCCCTGGACCTCGTCGTAGTAGAAGTTCGTGGCCGTGCGCGTGCCGATCATGGCCATCTTGTACGTGTCGTACGCCCGCGCCGCCTCCTCCGCCGTCGTGAACACCCCGATCACCTGGTTGGTCTTCTCGTACTTGTCCTTCATCTCGGCCTCGAACCCGCCCTCCGCGACGCGCACGCCCTCCATCGTGCGCCCGTTGAGCTCCACCGGCTCGTTCTCCGGCGCGGCCGCCCGCCGCCGCGACGACGGCGGCGCAATGTCCAGGTCCGACTCGTCCTCCGAGTCCATCTCGACGTGGTACACCGGCCGCGGGTCGCCGAAGATGTGCGCGCGCCGCCCGAGGATGTCCCGGTGCAGCAGGACGTTGCTCGCGTGCACCTTGCGCGCCTCCCACGTGCGCAGCAGGCCCGGGTGGCGCGACGCGATCGCCGCGTGCGGGTGCCACTGCTCCGGGTGCAGCTCCATGCCCGTCCACTTCAAGAGGTACTCGTACCCGCGCAGCTCGTTGATGCGCTCGTCGACGATGCTGTCCGGCCGCGCCGTCGACGCCGCGGCCTCCGACTCCTCGAGTGGCAGGTCGCCCGGGCCGCGCGCGACCGCCGCGTCGTACGTGGTCAGCAGCCGCCGCCAGCGCCGCATGCGGCACTCCTGCACGCCCTCCGGCCCCTGCAGCGCGCGCTCGTTGTGCTCGCCCAGCCGCACCCCGCGCGCCCGCAGCCCCTCCAGCGGGCCCTGCAGCTCCTCCGGGAAGTTCAGCGGCAGCAGCTCGCCCGTCTCGTCGTCCGTCAGCGCCTCGCGCACGATGTACACGTCCGCCGCGAACCCCGCGCCCTCCTCCGACACGGTGGTGAAGGCCTGCCGCACCGGCTTGCCCTCCCGCGCCGTCCACGTCGTCGCCCACCACCCAGGCAGCGTGATCGACGGGCACACGTGCAGGTACTTCTTGCTCGGCCCGTCCCCGGGCTTGGGCATCTTCAGCTCGCGCACGGCGGCCTCGGGCGGCGGCATGCGCAGCGCGGCAGCGCCGGCGGCCCCGCGGCGGAGCCCCGCGCGCGCGGCGCGGTCGTCCTGGAAGCGGTGCTCCACGGGCACGCGGCGCCCGCGCCCCGCCGCGCGCCCGCCCTCCGCCAGCGCCGCGTGTCGGTCCGGCGAGTGGTGCTGCAACATGCGCGTGTTCTGCGCCTCCAGCGCCGCGAGGTTCTGCTTCTTCCGGACCTGCCGGAACGTCAGCGGCGCGAGCTGCCCCGACGCCACCTCCTTCTGGATCTCCGCGACGTACAGCTCGAGGTTCTGCGGGAAGTTGATCACCACCGGGACGCCGACCTGGTCGCCCATGCCGAGCACGAGGATGCCCGGGGCCTCCGCGCGGCCGCCCTGCCGCAGCGTCAGGAGCGCCTGCACGCGCCGGCGCACCGCCTCGCGGTCCACGTCGCACGCGCACTCGTACAGCGACACGCTCTTGCTGATGGGCTTGTCGAGCGAGCGGTCCGTCGTGTTGGGAACCTTGTAGTACCCGCGGTACCCCACGCGCCCCGTCTTGCCGTCCGTCCGCTCCTCCACGTGCAAGTATCCCTCTGCGCCGCACGGAAGCCGCACATCACCCCTCACCCCCGGCAACACATACAGCCATCCCGCACGGCCGCGGCCGCCCGCGAAGACCCGAGCAGCGCATCACGGCTGCGAGCCCCCCGCACCTGCGTTGCCCTGGCCGGCCCTGCGCTGCCCGCGCACTTCCTCCGTCATCTCGCCGTCGATCATCGGATACATGTGCGGGTCGTAGCGCCCCACGGCCCACAGCAGGCAGCCCCAGGGCGTGCGGAACACGCCGGCCTGCGGGTCGCCGCCCTCGTCGCCCTCGCCGTCCCCCGCCGCCGAGCCCGGGCTGCCCCCGCCAAGGCCATGGTGTGGGGCCGCGCCACCACCTGCGGGAGGCGGCCGGGGTCGCGCGCGGAGGTCGCGTGGCGGTGCCTCGTGCGCGTGCGGTGCCTCTGTGATCGGTAACGGGCCGCGAGCGGCGGGGCGGGGAGGGCGCGCGCTTCCCCGCCCTGTGCGCCGATCACGCGCGGGGGGGGCGTGGCTGCGACCACACGGGCGCCGCGACGGCCGGCGCGAGCGCGGTGGTTCGGACGGTGCCCGCACACGTCGCTGGATGGCTCGTTTCGCGCCTCCCGGGCCTGGGACGCAAGGACGCGAACCCGCTACAGCAGGAGTTCGTTGCAGTGCGGCTGTGCGGCGAAAATGACATATTCGTCGGTTTTGGATCCCCGGCGAGCGAGGATATCCCGGGGGGTGTGCGGAGTTACCTGGATCGCGCGCGGCAGAGCGCTGGCGGCTCTGCTCTGCGCCGCCTGCAATCACAGCTGCCATGGGGCTCTGGCCGCGCGAAGACACGGGGTCTGACGCCGCGGGCGCCGGCGGTGGGCGCGGTGCGGCGTTCCCGTCGTTCCGGCGGTGCTCTGCGACGCTTTCGCGCGCGATTTGCGGCACTGCCGGCGTGCTGTGCTTCCCTGCCACCTCCTCCCCACCCTCGTGGCGCAGCACGGCGGCGCCCTGGCCACCTCCGACGGATGGAATCGCAGTATCCGTCGCCGCGGGCGCCAGACGGCCGCCGAGGCTGGCCTCAGCCCGGTCCATGCTCGCGCTTCAGACCAGGAAGGTGACTGGGAGCGCGCGCCCGTCGAGCCCGGTCCGCGCACGGGTCACCTACGCACGCGATCGCCGAGATCCGACCAAGATCTCGCCCTGTACGCGTCAATCGAGGCTCGGGAGGCCCAGGGCCGCCGGGAGATCGTGGCACCACACAAAATCAATATTCGCCGCGCGTCGACAGCAAGCGGTCGCGTCCGCACGCAGCCCAGGGACGCGTCTCGGGGACCGGCACGCCTCGGGCCGCAAACCTGCGCGGCGCGTCCGCCCGCCAGCCGCACTGTCCCCCCGCGCTGCCGTTCGAGTCGCGCCACAGCTGCATCACGCCCCCTCCCTCCGAGAACCACGCGACAGCCGGGCGCGCCGCCAGCGCTCGCGTCGCAGATCCGATATGTTCAGCCCAGATCTGCGCCGCCCGGCGCCCGCGACCCGCTGCACCCGCCGAAGCGACCCACACTTGCACGCGGCACTGCCAGCCTCGCACAACCCAAGTCACACAGGCGCCGCAGCGCCACGTCGGCCGGCCTACTCCTTCTCCGCCTCCTGCGCCGGCTCGGCGGCCCCCTCGAGCTCCGGGTAGCACCACGGCACGAACCCCTTGCCCTCCTGCGCCTCGTCGGCGTCCCCCGCGGGCCCCGTTCCGCGGAACGCGCGGCCCTTCCACTCCCACGTGGGGAACTCCTCGGGGCTGGGCTCCCCCGGGAACGTGTTGAAGCCCTCGGTGACCATGTTGAACCACCGCGGCGTCCACTTGTCCTGCCGCTTCTCGCGCTCGGCCTTCTCGCGGCGCTGCTGGTTCTCGAGGCGGCCCTTCTCGGCCTGCGCCGCCGACGTCTCGCCCTTCTCGAGCAGGTACCGGTCCGGGCGCCGGCGCCCGTCCGACGGCAGAAGCGCCGCGAGTCCCTTGGCGCTGTTGAGCTTGTGCGCAAAGTGCGTGAAGGCGTACTTGTCGCCCGCGGGCTTCTCCGACGCCTGCCATATCCGCTTCTCCGCCCCGGCCTCGACCGCGCCGCCCTCGTCGCACGGCGCGAGGAACAGCTCCTTGTTCCAGTGGCCCCACAGCTTGAGGACCTTCTTGCCAGAGGGGTCCACGACGAAGCCCTTGACCTCCCAGCGGCCGGCGCCCGTCCACCCGCACTGGACGAACTCGAGCTCGCACCTGTACCCGCTGGACGCGCCGACGGTCATGGTGCCGTACGAGTCGATCCACGGCCACCCGACGATGATGTTGTTGGCGCGCGTGGTGGGCGGGACGATGAAGTACGTGTCGCCGGAGGCCTTCATCGTGATGCGCGTGCGGCCGAGCGGGAAGATCTCCACCGAGTTGCCGAGGAACTTGGTCCGCGGCGCCGACACGATGTGGTACGTCCACTGGTCGGCCTCGGCGTGCGCGGCGCTGATGGGCGGGTGGTGCGAGACCTGCTCGGCGAGGAACGTGATGCCGTGGTCGTCGTCGTAGTACTCGAACGTCTCGCCGAGGATGGGGTTGAACGGCTTGCACGTGCGCTCGCAGGACGGGTACATCGACACGGCAAACGCCGCCACGTACGCCAGCCGGGTGGCCTCGTCCGGGGCCGCGGCGGCCGCGTCGAGCAGGTCCGGGTACTCCATGATCTCGGCCATCTTCTGGAGCGTCGAGAACGGCTCCATGAAGTACACCGGCACCGACAGGAGCGACATCACGTCCTTGCCCAGCATCCCCTTGACCTGCGCGGGCGCGCCGGGGGGGGCGCGGGGGCGGTGGGCGCGCTGCGGCGCCCGTGGGCGGACGCGTGCGGCGCGGCGCTCTGCTGGGGCGGGGGGCGCGCATCGGGGCGGGGCGCGCGGCGCCTGGGCAGCCTGGTGGCGTGCGCGCGGGCCTACCTGCGAGAAAAAGTCCTGGCGGTCGTTGGCGAGGCTCTTGTCCGCGAGGCCCGTTGCCTCCGCGGACTCGTCCTTGACCTCGGGCTCCACCGTCTCGAGATCCGACAGCCCGAGCGAGCTGCAGGCACACCATGAGCGCACCCAGGTTCCAACGGCGGATGCAGCGCAGTAGCGACGCGCACGTGGCGCGGGTGCGTCGCACGGAAACGGAGTGGCTTTGGTGCACGCAGTGGTATCGGCGGGAGTGGTGCAGGCGGTCTGCAGAGGCGGGCCGCGGGCTGTGCAGCCAAAGCAGGCAGGGCCCAGCTGCGGCTGCAACTTGATAGGCTGGGAACGAATCGGGCGGGCCGCTCGCTGGAAGGAATGCGAACTCCCCGGTCGCATGGCCCCCGTGCGGGATTCAGTGCACGTCGGGCCGCCGAGAGTGCGCATCGAGCGCGAAACGACGGGCCACCCTGCACAGCCCGCTGCGACGGCTTGTTCGCCCGAGACCGCTCGAGCACCGCGGCTTTGAAATGAAACTCGGTCGGGAAACATCGATGGCGACCCCGCGGGGCGGTCCAATTATCGCGCAGGTGCCCCGGAAGAGAGCTGCGCCTGCTCTCCGCGAGACCGCCGCACTGGGCCGCTACGCGAGGACGTCGAACGCACCTGGCCATCGCGTTGGTGACCGAGCTCACCATGTCGGAGATGCCACTCATCCAGCCGGACATGGTGCGCTACCTCTCACTCCTTCAGTCCAGGTGGGACTCTGCGCAGGGAGCGCGCCCCGCCCGCGCCACAGACTAGTGCTCACGGGCGATGGGCCCACGAGACCGCGTGCTAGCGGGAACGGCCTGGTCGCAGTGCGCCAGCCGCCGCAGAGCAACCTGCAGCTCTCTGCAAAGGGCGCGCTGCACACCGGGCGGCTCGAAAAGCGCCCTGCGGGGACTCTGGCGATTCAAAGGGCTACGCTGACGACTTCCTACGACTTTCTTCGCGGCACTCCGCCGCTCTGCCGGCCCGCTCTCCCCAAGCAGCCCCGCACGCACTAGTTCTTCGCTAGGCGGGGGGGTGCCGGGCCCCTGTTCGCGTCGCGTTCGTTCGTCACAGCGCCCCGCGTCAGCGCTTCACGGCCGGCCCGCCCTGCCTGCCGCTGCTCCCGGCCCCGCTCGCGATCATGCTGGCGAGCGCCTGCGCCTGCTTGGCGTGCTGGAGCGAGTAGAGCGGCGACGCGTACGGGTCGATGTTCTCCTGCGCGCGCTCGTCCGCGCCGCTCTGCATCCAGCGCGCCATGTACAGCAGCGGCTCCGCGGGCACCTCGGACGACGGGTCCTTGATGCCCAGGAGCGCTGACGTGATGGACGGCATGACGTCGTCCAGCAGGTACTGCGTCAGGCGGTGGCCGTGCCCGCCGAGCGACCGCAGGGGCGCCGCCTCCGCGTCCGCGCGCGCCTCCATCTCCGCGAGCTCCAGCGCCGCCTCCCACTTCGCCGCCCTCTGCAACGCACACGAAACAAACACCGCAGCCGCGTGAACAACAACAACGCTCGGGCACGAGCGCGCGAACGCCGGCGCGGGCACACGCCCTCTGCGCCGACGGCACGTCCACCGCTCGAGCACCCACGCAGCTCGCAGCGACTGACGGCGCGCGGGCAGACGGTTGTCCAGCTCTCATTGCCGGCGGCGGCGGGGGGGGGTTGCGCACCTCCGCGAGCTTCTGCGCCTCGATCTCCTCGTGCGTCGGCTCCTCGTCCTCGTCGGCCTCGACCTCCTTGGGCCCCTCGTCCCGCCCGAGCGCGCGGCACCCGATCGGCGTCGGCAGCGCCAGCCGCCGCAGCACCCCGCGCGCCCCCCGCCGCTGGTACATCTCGGGGTAGCCCTCGTAGTTCCGCGCAGGCCCCAGCTCCCTCAGCGCGCGCTCGACCAGCCCCGGCGCCATCTCCACGTCCACGGCCACGCGCCGCGCCGCCAGAGCCGCCTCCTCCTCCGGGTCGAGCTTGGCGGGCTTGGCGGGCTTGGCGGGGGGCTTCGCGCGCCCGCTCGAGGCCGGCTCGTCGAGGTCCTCGGTGGTGCGCGGGGCCTCGGGCTCCGGCGGGAGCACGATCGAGGTGTCGAACTCGATGATGGGCACGCCCTTCTCCTCGAGGTAGCCCAGCACGCCGCCGTACTGCGGGCGTGGGCCCACGCGTGCGGCCTGCTCGGCCACCCACGCCATGACCTCGGCCGCGGACCGGAGGTTCGCCGCGCCGTCCATGTCCAGCTTCATCGCCAGCTGCGACGCGCGCTTGCTCGGCATCTTCTTCATCGCCTTGGCGCCCTTGTCCTTGTCCTTGGCGTGCCCGCTGTCGTGGCCCGCGAGCGGCATGCCGTCCTTGTCGAGCCCGAGGGCCTCGAGCGCCTCCACGCGCCGCCGCTCCACGTCCGCCCACACCGCGTCCCACGCCTTGACGCGCTCGCCCAGCTCCTTGGCCTCGGCGTCGCGCACCTTCTGCAGCTCGTTGCGCCGCCGCGTCGCGTCCTTGACGTTGTTGTGCGTCGCGGCCGGCGCCGCGGACCCTTCCGCCTTCGCGCGCTCCGCCTCCTCGCGCTCCTGCTGCTCCAGCGCCGCCGCGCGGTGCGCGAACGTGTCGTCGTCGCACTTGAGCACCACCACGGCCGTGGGGATCGCCTCCGGGTCGTGCTCGCGCTGCGGCGCGGCGGGCTTGCCCTTGCCGCCCTTGCCCTTCTCCGCCTCCGCCTCGGCCTCCGTCGGCGGCACCGCCTTCGTGAACACCTCCTTTGCCTGCGCCAGGGTCTTCGGCCAGCCGTCGAGGACCCAGCCGCGGTGCCGCGAGACCGACGAGAACATCTTCAGGCGGTACAGCGCGGCCATGACGTCGTCGGCGTGCCGCCCGCCCTTGCTCGCCGCCGCCAGCGCGCGCAGCGGGTCGTCCTCCGGGAGCTCCTCCCACGACTTGCCGACCTCCGCGGAGGCGTACCGCGGGACGCCGAGGATCGCGGAGAGCGCGGACGACAGCAGCGTCTTGCCCGCGCACGGCGGCCCGGTCACCAGCACGCGCATCGGCTGCAGGTTGCGCGCCTCGCGGTACTCGCCGACCAGGTACTGCGTGGAGGCCGCGAGCGGGTGCTCGTCGCCGTCGAGCTCCGGGTGGTAGTCGTCGCCGAGGTACGTCGTCTCGACGGGGCAGTGCATCGAGAACACCGCGGCCATCGGCACGCCGAGCACGTCCAGGCTGCGCGCGGGGCCAATGGCGCCCGAGCCCATCGCGCGGCTGATCGCGGTGGCGAGCTCGCGCTGCGTCGGGCACTGCTGGTCCGCGAGCAGGAGGATGCGGGCGTCCGTCGGCGGGCGCTGCTCGCACAGAGTCATCACGTAGCGTGTCACGTCGCCCAGGCGGACCATCGGCACCGTGTTGTAGCCGGGCCCGAAGACCGGAACGGGCCGCTCGGGGTCCTCGTACAGCATCCGGAACAGCGGGTGCAGGCCTAGGTCGTCCTCCCCGCTCCCGTACAGGACGCCCGGGCACACGCAGTACGTCGCCAGCTTCCCGGGGATGGCCGCGCGGGCCAGCATGCGCTCGATCTGCACGAGCCCGCGCGCGGCGGGCAGCGGCACGCGGCGCTCCTCGTCCTCCCACGTCAGCACGCGCGACGCGTCGTCCTGCATGCCCTCGGCAAACAGCGCGGCGTCCAGCTCGCTCGCGGGCGCGTCGCCGCCGCCGACGATCGCGGCCGCGTCGGCCTGCGACTCCAGCGTGTTCTGGCGCGTCGCGGGCGCGGCGTCCGCGGGCGGCGACCCGTCAGCCTCGGCACCGCTGAGCGACGCTTCGGGGGTGGGCTCCGGCTCCGGGGCGCCCGGGGCGCGGAGCGTCGCGCCCCAGGAGGCGAGATGGGAGACCCCGACGAAGACACGCTCGCGCAAGTCGTCGCCCGTGTCGCCCGGCTCGCCAGGCGCCCCCGCACACGCCCTGCGGGTGGAGCGAGAGGCGACCGCGGGCAGGTGAGGCGGCGGAACGGCGCGCGCGCTACGGCTCTGGACGGATATGAGTGCGAGCGGTGGCGTGCGGGGCCGACGGGGAGTCGCGTGGCCGGCGCGAGCGCTGGGGGCGGCGTCGCATGGTGCTGCGCACCTGTGGTACGCCAGGACCGCGCTGCGGGTCTCCGTTTCCCGTCCGGGGATGTTGTACACGACGATGTCGGCATCCTCGATGTGATGGATGAGCTCAGGGAAGGCGTCGTCCGCCCCGAACGGCGCGCGGTTGGGCACCACTGTTTCCATAGCCCAGCGCGGGCCTTCGGACCCGCGGCTGATCGAACCGTATATCTCGTACCCCACTTGCTGCGAACGGTCAAGGGAGAACGCCGCGCCGGGTCGCGCCCGCGCGCGGTCCACAGGCCACGCCACGCGGCCACACGCAGTGCACGATGCCTCGTTGCGCGTGTGCGGGTAATGTGGGCTCGGGCAGCGGCGAGGGAAGCCTCCTCCGACAGCACAGAAACAGTGCCGGCGGGTTGCTCCGCGAGCGCCGAGCAGCTGGCGACGACGGACGGAGCACGCGGCGCTCTCACCTTGAGCGCCCAGCCCACCGCGTTGCCCACCATGGTGTCCAGCCCCCCCACAAACGCCTTCATGTTTGCCTCCCCAGTCCCAAATCTACTGCCCGACGAACCGGTCCCCCCTCAGGCGCTCGGGCGATGACGGACCGTGCGGAGAGCGCCCCAGGTTGCTGTGCACCTTTAGACAACTGCACTGGCAGCGCACCTCACCGGGGGCTCCGGCACTGGTCATGCGCGCATGCTGCGCGGCCCGGGGGCAACGGAGCCGCGCTCGCGCCGCCGAGTCCGCCCCAGCCGCGTCGGACTGGGACGCTCGTGCGCGGCGTACGGGAGTGCGACACCTCCCCGGGCGCCCCCGAGGCCCTTCTGGGCATCATCGGGGGCAGCACGGCGCAGCCACGATCAGTAGTGACCGGTTGAACCGACGTTGGGTTGCGCGTGGTTCAGGGCGGAGCGACGGGACGGTTTCACCTGGTTCGCAGGAGGACACCGGGCCGTAGCGGCCCTTCCGGGACACCCCGGCTGCGTAAGTAGCACGCGTTCGCCATGCGGATCACGATCAAAGGAGGAGGTGAGAGTTGCCGCCGCTGGACCCCGCTCAGCCGGGCGCTTTGCGCTGTGCAGAGTGCCGCGCAGTGCGCAGGCGCCACCGCGACGCATGGACTCACAGCCTCGCGCCCTTCCCCTGTGCGACTGATACTGCAGTATGGAAGAACACGGAGGCGAGTGTTGTCCGCGACCTCGGCCGGGGCGCACGTCTGCGCGCCCACCTTTTTGCTCATGGCTCCTGCTCGCCATCACGCCGCCGTCGCGCGCGTCCGGCCGCAGCGCCGCAGCGGCCGCGATAGAACATTCGAGGCTCGATGCCGAGCCGAGCGAGGATTCGCCGCTTTCTGCCTCGGCTCGACGGTTGCCCTCTCTATGGACTCTCGACTGCTTTCACGCCCCGCGCCGTGCTGCTGGCCGCGAAAGACGCGAGCAAGGACGCGTCCCGCCTCGCATGCACACTGTCCTGCACGTCGCGGAGCTGCACGCGCTCTTGCGGCCGCGCGCGACCAGCAGCCCCTCCCTGGTGCAACGGCGTCTCCTCCCCCGCGCCCCCCTCCGCAGGACGAGATCCTGAAGGCGGCGGTGATGAAGTACGGCCTCAACCAGTGGTCGCGCATCTCCTCGCTCCTCGTCCGCAAGTCGGCCAAGCAGTGCAAGGCCCGCTGGTACGAGTGGCTCGACCCCTCCATCAAAAAGACAGGCAAGCGCCCGCCCACACACCAAACCCCGCCCCGCGCGCCGCCGCCCGCGCCCACCCGCGCCCGCCCGCGCGCCCGCAGAGTGGACCCGCGAGGAGGACGAGAAGCTGCTGCACCTGGCCAAGATCATGCCGACGCAGTGGCGCACGATCGCGCCGATCGTCGGGCGCACGCCGCAGCAGTGCCTGGAGCGGTACGAGAAGCTGCTGTCGCAGGCGGCGTCGGGGGAGTCGCTGGACCCGCGCGACGACCCGCGCCGCCTGCGTCCGGGCGAGATCGACCCGAACCCGGAGTCCAAGCCCGCGCGGCCGGACGCGGTCGACATGGACGAGGACGAGAAGGAGATGCTCGCGGAGGCGCGCGCGCGCCTGGCGAACACGCGCGGGAAGAAGGCCAAGCGCATGGCGCGCGAGAAGCAGCTCGAGGAGGCCAAGCGGCTGGCGATCCTGCAGAAGAAGCGCGAGCTGCGCGCGGCGGGGATCGAGGTGGGGACGCGCAGCAAGCAGCGGCGCGCGATCGACTACAACGCGGAGGTGGCGTTCGAGCGGCGCGCGCCGGCGGGGTTCTACGACACGGGCGCCGAGGCGGAGAAGACGCGCGAGCTGCAGCGGGAGTTCCGGCCGATGTCGTACACGGACGCGATGGGCGACACGAAGAAGCGCGCGGCGATCGAGCGCGTCCTGTTGGAGCAGGACAAGGCCAAGGAGAGGAAGATGATGGAGACGGACCGGGCGGGGGAGCTGCAGCGGGCGCTGCGGGCGAGCGCGGCGGGGACGGCGGGGGAGGCGGTGATGGGGCGGCGGCGCAAGATGATGATGCCGGCGCCGCAGATGTCGGAGGCGGAGCTGCAGCACATCGCCAAGATGGCGGCGGAGGGCGCCATCGACGCCGAGGCGCTCGAGGGCGCCGGCGGGGACGCGACGCGCGCGCTCGTGGGGTCGTACGCGGAGACGCCGGCGCGGCTGATGACGGGGCGCGAGATGCGGACGCCGCGCGCGCAGGGCGCGGGCGGCGGGGACGCGGTGATGGAGGCGGCGCGCGACCTGGCGCGGCTGGAGCAGGCCGGGACGCCGCTGCTCGGCGGCGAGGGCCCCGCGGTGCGCGAGGGCGACTTCGGCGGGATCACGCCCGCGCGGCGCAGCGTGGCGACCCCGAACCCGCTCGCGACGCCCGCGGGCGCGGGCGCGGGGCCGGGCGCCACGCCGTTTGCCACCCCCGGCGCCACGCCCGGCGCCACGCCGTACCGCGACCAGTTCGGCCTCAACCAGCCGGGAGCCTCGGCGCTGTCGACGCCCGCGGCGGACGCGGCGCGGCGGGGGGACCTGCGCGGCGCCCTCGCGGCGCTGCCGAAGCCCGCAAACCAGTACTCGGTGGAGCTGCCGGCGATGGAGGACGAGGGCGAGGTGCGGGAGCCGGCGCGCGAGATGGACGCGGCGGAGCTGGACCGCATGGCGGCGCAGCGTGCGGAGGAGGAGCGGCTCGCGGAGCTGCGGCGGCGCCCCAAGGCGGCGCAGCGCGGGCTGCCGGCGCCCGCGTCGACGGCGGCGGTGCAGGCGTGCGGCGCGCCGCGGGGGCTCGAGGCCGCTGCGGAGGCGCTCGCGGAGGAGATGCGGGCGCTGATCGACCACGACGCGGCGAAATACCCCCCCGAGGGGGAGTCCAAGAAGGGGAAGAAGTCGGCGAAGCGTCGGCGCGAGGCGGCGGCGGCGGTGCCGGACCTGCCGCGGTACGCGGAGGCGGAGCTGCAGCAGGCGGAGCTCGTGGTGGAGGAGGAGCTGCAGGAGCTGCTGGCGGCGGTGCGCGCAGGCGGCGAGGACGTGGAGGAGGCGGTGCACGCGGGATGGGAGGCCGCGGCGGGGGAGTTCCTGTGGCTGCCCTCGCAGGGGGCGTACGGGCGGGCCGCGACGGCGAGCAACGCGGACAAGGTGCGCCCCGATCGTCGCAGCGCCGTTCGCTGCTTCATGCCTTTTCACGCCCTCACAGCCTCACGTGCGTTGTCGTTGTCGCGGGTGGTCGCGACCGCGGCGTTCTTGCATTCGATGCGCGCAGCTGGATTCGATGCGCGAGGCGTTCCGGCGCCTCCGCGGCGTGATGGAGAGGGAGGCGAAGACTGCAGCCAAGCTGGCGCAGAAGCTCGACGTGCAGACGCGGGGGCTGCAGGACCGGCACGGGAAGCTGGCGGGCGAGGTTGACGCGGCTTACACGGAGTGTGCGCGCGCGAGGCTGCAGCTGTCGCTGTTCCGTGCGCTGCGTGAGCAGGAGGAGTGGGCAGCGCCGACGCGCGTCAAGGCGATGGAGGCGCTGGTGGAGCGGCTGCGGGCGCGCGAGGAGGCGCTGCAGAAGGAGTACAAGGAGCTGATCGACAAGCGCGAGGACGCGAAGCGAGCCGCGGAGGCCGCGGCGTAGCGTGTGAGCGCCAAGGTAAACAATTGTTCTGGTCGTGCATGCGCCGCTCTACTTGGCGACGGCCGCGGCTGCGGCGCTGGCTGTGGCCCGTACGCCCGCGTCGTGCCCCGGCAGGCTCACGTACATCCCGCCGGCTGCGTCCGCCACCTCCTGCCCGAGCCCCTTTCCGCGCCGCAGCTGCGGCAGCTCCGTGTCCACCACAACCAGGTCGATCTTCGCCGCCTGCAGCCTCCGCGCGGTCTCCACCACCTCCGCGTGCACGTCGGCCTTCGGGACGTCCACCACGATCTGCTCCGTGACCCCTGACCGGATGTGCAACGCAGATGGCGCAGGGGGCTCTTGCGGGGCGCCGCGCGCGCTCGGCTCGCGCGGTTGCGCCGCGGAGCCCCCGCGGCTGACGGACAGCGGCACGTTGGCGCGGCCGTCCGTGATCAGGACGGCTACGGCGCGTCCGACCGACCCCCGCTTCCTTGCCGTCTCCGCGACGTCCAGAGCTGCAGACATACAGTGGTCGCAACGTGCCGCGCATTGTCATGCAACGGCTGCACGTGTTCACGACGGAGAATCCGCGGTCCACAGCGAAACACGCCTAGTCATGACAGGTCAGGGGGGAATTCAATTGTAATTGGGGAGTGTTCGAAGCATTGTTCTGTCAGATAAAGCAGCTTGTCAGACAAAGCACGCGACAACACTGCTGCGCGCTGTGCCTCGCACCGAGCATGAGAGCGTGCGCCATCGGCGACCCGCCGCCGCACGGCAGCACCTCGAGCCGCCGCTGCGCCATCGCCAGCGCCCGCGTTGGTGGCAGCAGCACGTCTGCCGTCATCCCATGGAACTCGATCAGCGCGACCTGGTCGCGCCGGATGTACGACTCGGACAGCAGCTGCAGCGCCGCACCCTTCGCGGACGCCATCCGGTTCAGCGCCATGCTGCCAGACGCGTCCACGACCAACACGACCAGCGCGCCCGCCTTCCGTGCCATCCTCTTCACGCGCAGGTCGTCGCGCTCGACGATCACGCGGGGCCGCCGGGCGCGCTGGGCCTCCTGCGGCGCGGCGTCGCGTCGCGCCCTGCGCGCGCGCTGGTGCGGCGCCGCCGCTCGCAGCGTGGCGTCGATGGCAAGCCGCTTCGGGCGGCCCTTGGGAAACATCGGCTTGACGTATCGGCCGCGCGTCTCGGAGAAGATGACATGCTTCTTCTCGCGTCCGCCGCCGCCCTGGCGCTGCCGCGCGAAGACCCCGGAGGCCAGTACGGCGGGGTCGAGAGAGATGTCTTCGGCTTCGATCATGAACTCTTCCGGCAGGACTACGTCCTCCTCGTCCGACGGAGGGCCCTCGCCCGCGTCGTCCTCTTCGCCCTCTTCGTCCGCCGCGTCGTCGTCGTCGGCGGCGCCCGCGGCCGGCGGCGGCGGAGGGGGCGCGGGCGCGAGCTGCGGCGGCGCCACGCCACGCGGTTTGATGACCAGGTCGACGGCGAGGCGCACGTCCGTGGGGCCCACCCGCTGCCTCCCTGCGTAGGCCGCCGATGCGAGCGCAGCACGAGTGGCCTGCAGGACAAACAACTTCGCACCGCACACAGCGTCAAGCATTGCAACAGGGCTACTTCTGAAGTAGGCATGATTCAGAATCTGCCGTTGGCATCGTCGACAACACGCACGGCGTTCAGGTGCCGCTGCCGAGCCCTGGACCGTACAGAGCGCCTCCGCGGGGCTGAGAGCGGTTAGGGAGCGCGACGATGCTCGCCTGCACCTCCACGCGGTTGCCCTCCACGCCATACTGCGAGCACGCCGCGCAGATGCTTGAAATGTGCCGCGGCAGGATTTGAACCGTGCCCTCGCGCAGGAGCAGCCTTCCCGCCGCGATGCGTGTGCGCGTCAGGGCCTCCTGCTGCTCGAAGAAGGCCCGGAGCTGCGCGTACTCCTCCGTGTCGGCGTCGGAGCGCGCGGCGGCGAACGCGTCGGCGACGTGTGCGGCGGCGGCGCGCTGGGGCGTCGCGAGGCGCTCGGTTGGGAGCACGACCGCGAAGCGGTCGATCAGGTGCGGGCGCACGGGCCCCTCGGCCGGGTTGAAGGTGGCCAGGACGCTTGGGAGGCAGGGGTGCGAGAAGGACAGGCCCTCGCGCTCCACGTCGTTCCTCCCCGCCGCGACCGTGGCGAGGATCTGGTTCGCGGTCGCCTGCACATCGCGGCACCAGCGAGCGAGATCGTCCATCGGATCAAAGGTGCAGCCATCAGGTTGTTGCTCTCATCATCATTGATACAGAAGTAATATTAGTATAAGAGTGATTGCTCGTGCACGGGGAGCACGAGGCCGTCGCAGCGCACCTCGTCCATGAGGTTGAGCTCGTCGAGGTACAGGATCCCGCGGCTGCTCTCCGCGAGCAGGCCGGGCATGATGACCGGCCGCCCCGCCGCGATGCTTCGCTCCACGTCCACCGTCCCGATGACCCTGTCGTCCGTCACGCCCTGCGTGCGCGCGACGGGCAGCGCGTGTCAGCACGGCTCGCGCCTGACACACGTATTCGGAGTCGCGAGCGTCGCTCGAAGGCTGTGAGTCATTGCACCGGCGGCTCACCAGGGGCACCGTGACGAAGGGCGCGCGCCGGACGTCCCGCTCCATCCCCTCGGCCCCGAGCCCGTCCTCCCACGTGCTCGGGTCGTCGGGGTCCGCGTTCGCGATGCTGCCTTTGACGACGTCGAGCGGTGGCAGCAGCGAGCTCAGGGCGCGCGCCATGAGCGTCTTTCCGCTGCCGCGGGGCCCCGCGAGGACGACGCCGCCGAGGGCCGGCTCGACGGCGGTCAGGATGAGCGCCAGCTTCGCGGCCTGGTTGCCAATGATGGCTGACAGGGGGTACGGGCTGCGCTCGTAGCTGCGCGGTGCCTCGGGGGCGCTGGGTACGCCGTTGCCGGGGTTCGCGTCCAGTACGTACGTATCTGCATGTGTGAATTGGCCGACCAAGGTATGTATATCAAGGTAGGTATATAACCGCATACCAGTCGAGGAGCGGGCGCGCATCCCTGGGATGGTGATTCGGTACGCAGAGCCCCCTGATGCGAGCCTCATTGATGTGCTATGTCCGATACGTGGGCAAGAAAGCCCACGGAACGACGCAGAGACGGCGCGGTCATCGAGGTGGGTGGGGCCTGCCTGTCGCACCCGCACGGGGCGCGTGGAGGTGTGCGTCGCGTCGGGACGTCGCCGATGCCGCCCTCATCTTGGGATCGCAACCACGGCCTCGGAGCGCGCAGGGGCGCCGCAGGGCGCCGCTGAGGGGCCGTTCATGGTGCTGCCCAACCGCCACGCTCGACACGCGTGCCATCTCGGAGCGACCTGTTGGGTTCGCGGTCAGTTGAACACAATCTGCCCCGTCCCTCGGGCAAGGTCGGGCGCGTGATTCGTTGTCTTCATTCGCGCGGGGCCGCTCCCTCGTGCTTTGCGCGGTGGGGCACGATCAGGCACCCGGGTGACGTCGCCACGGGACGTCTGCGCGCGCGCGTGCGCGGCGAAGTCCCTTCGGTCTGTTTCTGCTGTGCGGGCGCACCGTGGCCCGATGCACGGCCCCACGCAGCGGCGCGGGGTCCCCACCAGTGGAGGGCCACACCGGGTCGCTCTGCCGCGGCGCGTGTGGGCGTGATATCGACCTCCGATGCACGGCTGGAGAGTTATGAGTGTGGAGAACCGGTGCGCGGTGCGATGACGCGTTTTCCGCGGCGTTGTACCTCCTGTCCTGACCAGGGACCTGGCTACTAACTGTCCGACCTCGTTTGTTCCCGCGCCTCGTTGCGCGTCGGCGCGGCGTGCGGGCGGCACAGGCACGACGCGTCACTCTCCGATTTCCACGCTACAGCCAAACCCCCTGAGCTCTTGAATAGACAGATGGGTGGGGAGCGACCTCGCAGGAGAGCGGCGGTCAAGGCTGAGCAGCGTTTGCACGACACGTGCGGCAAGAAGACTACACCGAAGCAGGGTCGCGCAGCAGCCAGGCGCGGAAACACACAGGAGGCGGCCGGGAACAAGGAGGCGCCGCGGCAACCGTCGGAGGACGAAAACCCGGCACCCTCTTCCCCGGCTCGTCCAGCGGAGCCTGCCCCCGCCGAGCAGCCGGTTGCGTCCGATCCTGCAGCCAAGGCGGTCGTCGCGGCCGAGCCAGCCCCGGCGCGCCCCGCTGAAGCTGCACCGATGCCAGCTGAGAAGGGGGAAAACAAAGCAAGGCCGTCAGGCGAAGCAGAATGCGCGAAGGAGGAGGAGGTGCGACGCCCGATGCCGTCTGATCGTATACCGGCCGGAAGCGCGCCCGGATCTGGCTGATAGCCGCCCGCACACCGCCGCGCGGGGTTCAAACTGCCTGCCCGGCAGCATCTCGAACGCCGCCCGGCCGCGGCCGCGAGGCGACCCGCCGCTCCGCCCCCGGGCCCCTGTGCGAAGTGACCGCGGCTCCGCGGCGCAGAACCGCGCGCGAACGGCCCAGGGCCTGCTGCCGCGCCCGGGGCGCTTCCCTGCAGCTGGGCTCCCAACGCCGCGTCGCCTCCCCCCCCGCCCCCCCCGCAGGCCTCGACCGCCCCCGTCCCTGAGAAGGTCTCTGTAGGAGGATCGCCCGTCTACTTCGTCGAGCGCAAGCTCGGGAAAGGAGGTTTCGGACAGGTGGGTTCTCTCACCTCAGCCCCCGGGCCTTCCCGGCCCCGCGCCCCGCGCCCCGCGCCCCGCGGCGCGCCCCCCGACCGCCCGAGCGCACGAGAGCCCCCGGAACCGCGCGAGCCCGCCCCCTCCTGCGCGCACGCGCCCCGCGCGGCCGTCCTGCCCCTCTCCCACAGCAGTTGTGCCCGCCCCGGCCGCTCCCGCCGCCCGAACGCCGGCCTCACGCGCGCCCCCGCACGCCCTCACCGTCCCCGCAGGTCTACGTCGGGCGCCGCGCGCAGCCCACGAAGGAGCAGATCGGCCCGGGCGCCAACTTGCAGGCCCTCAAGTTCGAGCACCGCAGCAGCAAGGGATGCTCCTTCGGGCACCCGCCGTACGAGTGGTCGGTGTACCAGGCCCTCGGGGGCGTCCACGGCCTCCCCGGCGTGCACTACAAGGGCCGCCAGGGGGACTATTACATCATGGTCATGGACATGCTGGGGCCCTCGCTGTGGGACGTCTGGAACTCCCAGGGACAGGTGCGGGCCCGGACCAGCGCGGGGCGCGCCGTGCGTGCCGCGGCGACGCGCGCGGGGGGCAGGTCGCCCGTGCGCGGTGTCCATGTCTGCGCGTTGCGGTGCCGCGTCACGTTGCGTTGCGCGTGTCTGTCTGACGCGCTGGTGCGTTGGGTGTGCGTGTGCGCTCGCAGGCGATGACCCAGGAGATGGTGGCGTGCATCGCGATCGAGGCGCTGTCGATCCTGGAGGCGCTCCACGCGAAGGGCTACGTGCACGGCGACGTCAAGCCGGAGAACTTCCTGCTGGGGCTGCCGTCGACCAACTCGGGGCAGCAGCAGAACGAGAAGAAGCTCTACCTCGTGGACCTCGGCCTGGCCACGCGCTGGCGCGACCCGATCTGCTTCACGCACATTGAGTACGACCAGCGCCCGGACGTCTTTCGCGGGACGGTGCGGTACGCGTCGGTGCACGCGCACCTGGGCCGGACGGCGTCCCGGCGCGACGACCTGGAGTCGCTCGCGTACACGCTGCTCTTCCTGCTCCGCGGGCGGCTGCCGTGGCAGGGCTACCAGGGCGACAACAAGGGGTACCTGGTGTGCAAGAAGAAGATGCAGACGAGCCCCGAGCAGCTGTGCCGGTACTGCCCGCCGTGCTTCCGGCAGTTCACGGAGGCGGTGATCAACCTGAAGTTCGACGAGGAGCCGCGGTACGCGCTGTACCGGATGTGGTTTTTGAACCTGGTGGGGGTGTTTCCGAACAAGCCCATCCTGCTCGAGGGGCTGGAGAAGGTCGGGCAGAAGCGGAGCCGCGAGGCGCTGGAGACGGAGGAGGTGGAGGCGTCGAAGCGGAAGAAGGTCCGGCTGGGGCTCCCCGCGCAGCAGTGGATCACCGTGTACAACGCGCGCAAGCCCATGAAGCAGCGGTACCACTACAACGTGGCGGCGTCGCGCGTGGGGCAGCACGTGGTCAAGGGCAACGACGACGGGCTCTTCCTGTCGAGCGTGGCGTGCTGCCAGGAGCTCTGGGCGCTCATCATGGACGCCGGGACGGGCTTCACGGCGCAGGTGTACAACCTGTCGCCGCAGTTCCTGCCCAAGGAGTGGATCATGGAGAAGTGGGAGGAGGGGTACTACATCACCTCGATGGCCGGCTCCACCTCGGGGTCGTCGCTCGTGGTCATGTCGAAGGGCACGCCCTACACGCAGCAGTCGTACAAGGTCTCGGACAGCTTCCCGTTCAAGTGGATCAACAAGAAGTGGAAGGAGGGCTTCTACGTGACCTGCATGGCCACCTCGCACACGCGCTGGGCCGTCGTCATGTCGCGCAACGCCGGCTACGTCGACCAGTGCGTGGAGCTCGACTTCCAGTACCCCTCCGAGGGCATCCACCGCCGCTGGGACGCCGGCTTCCGCATCACCGCCGCCGCCGCGACGCTCGACCAGGCCGCGTTCGTGCTCTCCGTGCCCCGCTGGCGCGCCATGGACGAGACGCAGGAGACGCTGCGCACGTCGGCCTTCCCCAGCGCCCACGTCAAGGAGAAGTGGGCCAAGAACCTGTACATTGCCGGCGTCGCGTACGGCCGGACCGTCAGCTAAACACCCCACCGCGCAAGCGTGCACCGCGGCGCCCCTCCCCGACAAGGCGTACTCGCAACCCCCGCCCGCCCGCCTCTACACCCCCCACCCCCTGCCGATCCATGTGTAGCCCCGACGTGGCGCGCACAAGGGCGCTCGTACGCCTGTGCCCTGCGCCGTGCGAACCACGCACCACGCCAACCAACCCGGCACGCCTCCCCCCCTCTACTGGATGCTCGGTCAGGGCCCCGACACACCCCCCCTGCGACGCGCATTGACCACGTATCGCGTCGTGCCGTGCCAGCGACGTCGCGGTCGCCGGGGCCGTTGCCTCGCTGCAGACGAAACTCCCCCGCACTTCCAGCCACTCCCCCCCTCTACGTTCTCGCTTCCCTATTAGACCGCCAGTTTCCCGCGTGCGCTCGGCCCTCGTCGCCGCCGGCGCGGAATTCGCCGTCGCGGCCGGCCGGGCCCTCGCCTGGCTCGCGGCACGCAGCTCGCAGTAGCGCACACCCTCCAAGTGTGCCCCGTTCTCGACTACGTTTACGTTTTCGGCCTGCGCCTCAACACATCTGATGCCCGGAGGACTCCCGCCCCCCCTCCGCCACTACTCGCACTCCCGCTAGCTATCCCTCACAGTCTCCAGCTCTCTCCACCTGCCCCCGCCACTCTGTACGCCCCCTGTCGACTCTCGCTGACAACCTCTGCAAAGTCAAAGTCCGCGTTCCTCCCCCCCCCCCTCACCGTACCCGCGAACGTAGCTGCCGCCGCACGCTGACGCACCGCGGTCTTCGGACGGCGATGCTCCTCTCCCGGTGTGAATCCAGACGGCTGCTCCTCTCCTGCTTGAGCAAGCGTTGTGTGTCTCGTCTGCCGTGCCATTTCGATCGCTCAAGCGTCCTTGCGGCGATTGTGCTTGTAGGTCTGCGCAGTACAAGCGTTGTGCCGAAAGCCTCCCACCGTAGCGACCACGCGCGTGACGGTGCCCAGCTGGCCTGACCGCACGCCGGGAATGCGGGCGTCGGACTCGCACGGAGTCGACGGGACATGAATCCGCACCGAAAGAGCTGCGCGCCCCCGTGCGCCAGTCATGGTCCGCGCTTGCTCTCTCCGACGCGTACTCCACCCATACCTCGCGCACACGAAGACCTGCTGCGACCGTGCCCCAACGGCGGTGCGGTGGCAGCGTGGAAATACACCCTCGGGGGGAACTCGCACTGACTCATGTCGGCCTGACTCTGGACGTGCTGGACCGAGGCACAAAGGATCGTCGTCGCCTGGGGTCGCTCAGAGAACCATGCTACTGTCTCCGTCCGCTTCGCTACGCTCCGCTATTCGCAGCGCGGACGGAGATAGTTCTTTGCTGACCTACGAGCACCCTCACCGTACGGCAGACTCACGCAGCAGGCACGTTTGCATTGCTGAACCCCATCCAGGCCTCGTGTGCCAGCGAAAACCGTCACATCCGCCTGCTACTACTGCTTCTCGCCCCGTCACGCACCCCGCCCCGCCCCGCAGCTCGCCTCCGGCGTTCACCTCCACACGCCCTCGCGCCCCGCGCACGCCCGCCTCGCCTCGGCCAGCAGGTCCTCCACCGCGGAGGCGTCCAGCACCGCCACCGCCGCCACCTGCGCGCCGCCCTTCGTCAGCGCGCGCCCGAGCTCCGCCCGCGTCGGCCCGGACAGCAGCGGCACCTTCCGCGCCGCGCACGCCGCCACGATGCCCGCCACCGTCGCCTCGAGGCGCCCGCCGCCGCCGCCCTCGCCCCGCGCCACCTCCACGTCCGCCGCGCCGACGACCGCGGCGACGCTCCGCGTCTCCAGCGCCGACGCCACCGCGCGCAGACCCGTCGCCAGCCGCGGGCGCTGCCGCGCCGACACAGCGTTGCGCGCCGCCGCCCTCTCCTGAAACCCACGCAGCCGCTCCAGCAGCGCCGAGACCGCAGCGACGGCCGCCGCGCGGCCCGCACCGTCGCCCGCAGCGTCGCCCTGCGCGTGCTCGTCGTCGTCGCGTGAACCAGCGGCCCCGACTTGCCGCCGCAGCATGTCGGTGGCGTGCAACGACGCGTCCGCGCGCAGCAGGGCGGGCAGCAGCGGCCCGAGCACGTCCGCGGCCTTGCTGGCGAGGTGCGCGTGCGCGAGGTGGTCCGCGAAGGCCGCGACGCCCGCCGCGACGAACGGGCAGCGCGCGCACGCCAGGTCGACATCCCCGGCGGTGTGCGACACGCCCCCCTGCCGCGTCGTCTGCCGCCGTCGAGGCGCGCGAGCGCGTCGGCACTTCCGCAGCAGCGCGGCCGCACGGGCCGCCGCGGCGTCGAGCAGCGCCCGCCCCGCCCCTCCGCGCCGCCCGCCCGCCGCGCCTGCACACGCCGCGTGCAGCGCGCACAGGGCCGCCACGTCCCCGCGCGCGGCCGCCACGCGCTCACCGGCCGCGTGCTCCCTCGCGGCGTCCCGCGCCCCCTGTATCTCCCGCTTGAGCGCAGAGGCCTTCTTCGCGCGCACGACCAGCGCGCCGTCCACGTCGACGGTGCCACGAACGGCTGTCGGCTTGCGCTCGCTGGCCGAGCGCTCCTCGCGGCGGCCGGCGAGGATCGGGCGCGGCTCGGCGCCGGGGGCGAGGTCCTCGGCCGTCACGTGGCGCCGGGGGGCTGCCGGGGGGGTGGCCCGGGGGATGGCGGGGGGGGGTCGCGGTGGGAGGCCGGCGCGCTCGGGGTGGCGCGCGAGGGCGTGCTGCGCGAGGGCCTCGCGGTGCGGGAACGCGCGGCGGCAGTCCGGGCAGTGCAGCTTGCCCGTCAGCGGGTGCGCGGGAACGCATGCCAGTGCTGCGAGGGCGCGCGACAGCTGCGCCGCGGGCGAGGGGGCCTCCGCGGGCGCCGGGGACGACATCGCGGTGTTTTTGAGGGGCGTGCGGCACCCGGGTGCGCGCCGCGTTCGCGGAGGCGGGAGCAGGGGCCCCTGAAGGCCTCAGTTGGCACTCCAGTGCCGGGCGGGGTGTGGGCGAGCGGGCGCGTGGCCTGGCCCGGATGGGGATGCTACGGGGTGGCTGGATCGCTAGTGTCTATGGAGAAAGAATGTCTAAGGCGCCCGGCGACGGGGCGGCCGCTCGGGCGCAGGCGCGGCGTGCTCTGGTGCAGCAGCCGCAGATCGCCGGGCGACGACGCGCGGCGAATTCTACTGCGTGGCGTACAGCTGCGTCCACTCCTTGGCCTTGGCTATCGCCTCCGCCTCGTTGTTCTTCCAGTGCTTGGCGATCTCCTCGGCCAGTGGGTCGTCTGGGTTGGGCGCGCTCATGAGCGCTTGTATCGACAGGAGAACCGTTCGAATCTGGAGGGCGGGGCTCCACTTATCCTTCAAAATGTCCAGGCAGATGCGCCCGAGGCGGTCGACGTTCGGGTGGTAGACTTTCGTGAGGAACCGAACCTTGGGTGCCGCCATGGGGTAGTCCTCGGGCAGGAACAGCTCGAGCTTAAAGTACCCGCCTTCGTATGGCGACTGTTTCGGACCCTCGACCATCACGTTGAAATACCGCAGATTGTCCTCGGACGGGGCAGCTTCAATGCCTGCAGCGAGGCGACGCGCGCGCAGCGGTGGGCCCAGAGCCGGCGCGCCGCGGCCGCGCGGACTAGCCATGATTCGAAACGACCGCGCGGGCGTCGACCCTCCCGCACGCACCAGGCACCGGCTCGCTCATGAGCTTTTGCGTCTCCTTGACGATGCGCCTCGGAAGGTCCGCCATTTTGCCCGCGTTGCCTCTATCTCCGCGCACTCGAAGCCCTCTCCGCACACGCCAGTCTCCACAATGCGCGCGCCCCGCGGCCCAGGCGGCCCTTGCGCCCCGGGACCCCCTGACATATTCGACACCCCATGACGTAAGTTCTACTCCCTCGAACGCCTTCGACCGCGCGGCTCGCTCGTACCGCCTGGCGCCAGGCCAGCGCGCCTCAGGCCAACTCGCGGGCCCGCAGCCGAGATGCACACTCACACGCACACACACACAGCATGCAGCCCCCCCAGCGGACCGACCACCCCCGCGGGACGCCACGCGCGCACACCATCCCCCGCCCGCGCCTGCCTCCGCGCGCACGGCACCCGCGCGCCGCCCACCCCGCCGCACACACATACGCGCATGCTCATCACATTGCGCTCAGTCCATGGGCGCGTCCCCGTCCCTGTGTATCTTGTTCTCCGTCTTGAGCTCCCACTTGTTCCGGTTCGGCCCGAACTGCATCTGCACCGCGATCTCCTGCAGCGTCGACCGCAGGTAGTTCTCGGGCTGCCCCGTGACCTTGCGAACCTCGGAAAAGTGCAAATACTCCTTGTACGTGAACATCACGAGGATCCGCCGGATCAGCTCGTCCTTGTCCATGCGCTGCGCCACGGGCGCGCGCTGCTGCCCCGCCTTCTTCGCCCAGTCCGCGTCCATGACCACCCCCACCTGCGCGCTGTGCACGTCCGACCCCAGCCTCACGCCGACGGCCGGCTTCGCCGCGCGCGCCAGCGACGCCGACAGGATGCGCCCGGGCCGCCCCGACGCGTCGTCGCGGGCCGGCTTCATGTCCATCTTCTGCGACGCACCGCAACATAGGAAACCAGGTCTGCCGGTGTACGTGCAAGACGCACAAGGAGAGGGTCGGCCGCGGCGCGCACAGGCGCCGGCCCACGCACCTCGTCGACGCGGCCCGCCACCCCGAGCTCCACGCCCTCGCGCAGCACGTGCAGGGCGAGGGTCGAGCTCTGCGCGCTGGGCGCCTCGTGCTCGAGGCGGTAGCGCTTGCCCTTGAGCTCGCCGGCGTTCAGCACGATCTCGCCCGGGCCGTCCGCGGCGATCTTGATGCGCGCGACCTCGCTCCCGGCCTGCAGGCGACGCAGCGCGGGTGGGGGGGAGGTTGTCGGGGTGCGCCGCGCGGGCGGCGGCGCGCGGGGACGCGAGGCTGCTGCCGCGTGCCGGTCGGACTGACGCGGGGGAGCAGGCGCGCGCGGGGACGGTGGCGGGGAGGGCGGCGACGGGCGCGCACGCTTTCTCGCAGGGCCTTCGCCATCAGGCGCGCGTCCCCCGGTGGCATCCTGAGCAGCCAGACCTGCGATAGTGCGTGCACAGAGGAGTTGGCGACGGGGGCGTGGCTTCGTTGCGTCAGCGGCGGCCGCGTTTCCTGGCAGTTGCTCGCGGGGCGAATGGCAGCGTGCGAGAGCCCGGGGGAGGCGCGGAGCGCTGCTCACCGATCTGTCATGATCACGTGTATCCAGGAGCCTGCTCTCCTGGGGCAGGTCATCCGTGTCCATCCTACAGGCTCGCCTGTTCTAGTCCCGCCGAGGCAAGCGCCCCTGGTGCCCGCGGCTCGTCGCCGCAAGCCGTTCTACGAAGCCGGCAACCGGCGTCAAGGACACCGTGCTGTATGGAACGGGCGCGCAGCTCTGTTCTTGGGACCTGCGGGGGCGAAATGAGCCCACTGCAGAGGCACAACACGATGGTCCCGCGGGGTGCGCCTGGTTCACGCAGCACGATCGCACGCGTGGCTCGATGACGTCCGCCTGGCAGTGCGCTGCGCGACGGCGGAGCCGTGCACGTATCGCGTCGGCGGCGGCCGGAGTGCGCCCGACGCCGCCGACTGTGACTGTCGTCAGCCGTGTGTGTCGCGGCGAGGACGCGAAGCGGGCTCGTTGGCAGCGCGCTCGGATGGCAAGCGATCGACGCGGCCGTTGGGATCTGTCTTTTCAATCAAGGGACACCCTGCGCCACGGACACGGGCAGCCTGTTGGGAGCGGAGCCGAGTGCAGCTCAGCGGGCGCCGCACGGGTGCCGCACGGCACGCCTTCGGAGTGGGGAATAGGGGACTTCGTTCACGATGTCGTATGTAGTGTATCCCGTAGCGAACTACAAGTTTGGCACGAAGGACGCGAAGGAGGCAAGTCCCTGTCTTCCTGTAGCCGCACCGCCGCGGTCACGGCACGCTGAGCGGCGACCGCCGCGTCACGGACGATGACGAGCCCGCACACGCCCGTGGGGCTCGCGGGAGAGCTCCTCACGGCTGTCAGGCTCGCCAGGCCTGCTCGGGCTTCAAGTCGGCACTCGGGAGGCCGCGAAAACGCGCCCGGTCGCGTTTCCCTTCGCCTGTTTCATGCGCTGCTCTCTTCCTCTGCACGAAGCCATGCGACCTCGATCGCGCCGCCCTTGGCGTATCCCATCCAAGCGCTGAACGACCCGTTTCCGTTCCCCGCGCCACTGCGCATTCCACCACCCCCAAACGGCGCGGTCGCTGCGGCGCGCGTGCTCGCAGGAGAAGCCCGGTGGCCCGGACGCTCGCTGGCAGCGGCGGAGAGAGGCGTATGAGACGTCGGGCGTGCGGAGGACCGTCAAAGCTGTGGTGCTGGTGCACGTGCACTCCCACCCGCACGTGCTCGTCCTCGTGGACCAGCGAGGCATCGCCGACCTCCCAGGCGGACGGTGCGCGCCCCACGCACCATGCCTCGCCGTCGTGCCGCCTCGCAGACAGCGAGACCTCACACAACGCTGCTGTGTTTATTGAAGACGGCACCTGGATGTGTCCTGTCACTGCACCTGGGCCCGAACATCGTTGTCGCGAAGCTCGAACGTGCGCATCGATGCCTCCGAGCCCGCCCTGGACGTATCCGGTGGGCATGTGCGAGAACAGTATCGGCGGGTGCCGGACCTTGCGACGATGACGATGTATGCAGACTTCCGCACCGCTCCACCGAACTAGACACGTGTGCTCTCCACGCTCTCGTGGCGCGCCTCGGGCGTTCTCCGCACACGACCGACCGTCGCCCCTTCGGGCACCAACAACCCGCATGTCTCGTGCGTGCACGTCGCACCTCTCGAGGCCGGGCGCCAAAAGGCCGACCCCCGCGCCCCGCGTCCGCGCAGGCTCAAGCCCGACGAGCCCGAGACGGACGGTCTGTGCCGGAAGCTCGACCGCCAGATGGGTCCGAAGGAGTCGGACCTCGCAGTCAAGTGGGAGGTGGCAGAGTGTCTGGGAACCTTCTGGCGGCCCAACTTCGACCCCGTGCTGTACCCGTACCTGCCCCCGCACGTCACGCGGCCCAAGGAGAGCGTGCGCGTCTTCTTCGTGGGCATCCCGGACCAGTGCCGCTTCCAGGTTCCCAAGAACTACACCCTCAAGGCCGTGCCGCTGTTCCAGCTGTACGACAACGGCCACAAGTGCGCCCCCGCCCGCGCGCGTGCGCTGGCTGGTGCTGTGCGTCCGTGCTGGTGCAAGACCCTGCGCGTCTGTGTCCGGGGGCGTGCGTGCAGGTACGGCCCGCTGCTCGGCGCGGTGCCGGTCCTGCTGTCGCGTTTGTACCTGCAAGCGGACGAGCAGGCCATCAAGACGGAGGACTGACGACTGAGCGTGTGCGCTCGATACGCATGTGAGCTGCGAGCCCTGTGCCGTGCGGTGGAGATCGCGCGCTGCGAGTGCCGCGCCGTTGCCCCCCGCCGCCGTGCCACTGTTGCAGCTCGCCGGCTCACCCTCACGCCCCAGCAGCACGTCGTCCGGTGACAGAGATGCGGCACATGACTCGGACACTCGTCACACTGATGTCATGACATTTCCTGGTTAACGTGACCTCCGGTGTGACGCGTTTGTCACACTGCATGTTCAATACACTGAGGCCGCTCGGCCGATGCGCGTCTGCTCGCGGCGTCTCAGCGGGTTCGTCCGCGCGACGTTCGCGCCCCTCAGAACCACGCCACTTTCCCCGTCTCGTCCAGCTTCTGCCGCAGCTCCTCCGCCGGGGGCGCGGGCGGCACGCCGAACGACGGCACGAAGCAGCTCACGAACACGTCCACCAGCGACGTGTCCCAGCCCTCCACGTGGTTGTAAATCAGCCCCTGCACAACGACGGACGAACACCCCCACCGTCAACACCGCCCTCCCGAACACGCACGAACAGAACGCCGGCAAGCCACGGCGCGGCGCGTGTTATCAAGAGCGGCGTGCGCACGTCGTCGTCGATGTAGTACCGCGTGAAGCCCGTGTACGGTTTGATCTGGAGGCCGTTGCGCAGTTTGCCCTCGAGGCGCCAGCGCAGCAGAATCACGCGCGGCGACTCGACCTCGATGCTGATGAGGTCCGCGCGCGACTCCTCGGGCAGGAAGATCACCGGCACCGCCGCGCTGTACGGCCCCGGCCCGACCGTCTTCACGCTCGGGTCCTTGAACACGCAGTCCTCCCTGTATATCGCGCGCGTGAGGTTGCCGTTGACGTAGTACTGCCCGTCGACGAAGTCCTTGCGGATCGCCTCGAGGAGCTCTTCGTCCGTCAGACCCGTGCGTTTGGGGGCGACGGGGTCGTCGCTGGCCGCGTGGGCCGGGGAGGGGGCCAGGCCGGCCGCCAGCGGCGCGGCGACGGAGAGCAGCGCGGCCCGGCGGCTCACTGCACGGCGGAGCGGGCGAACGCGGCCGCTGTGGTGTGTGCGCGTGTGACCTAGCTGCAACGCCCGCGGCCGGGCCTGGAATTGTTTTACGATCTGGTTTACGGCCGGCGTCCTTCGTATTGTTGTGGGTAAGACGCAGGTGTTCGTGGAATTCCCTGTTCGTGGTCCGCAGCGCGGTGGTTGGCGTGCAAGAACCACTGTGGTGGTTTGGTATGCTCATGCCGCTGACGGAGCCCGATCGCGCATCAGGGTTGAAGGCGGACGAGGTACCTGTAGACATAGAGTCATCATTTCGCCGCGTGTCGACGGCCCTGCAAGCCACAGCCCTTGCAGCGCGCCTGCCCTGCACCTGAGCGCAAGCCCTCGCGGCTAGCGTGTTCGTCAAGGACCGCGTCGCCATCAATTCACCTCCGCCAATGTTACACGGACTGTAGGATGGCTTTCGGGATGGCGAGCCTTGCGACCACGAGCCAGCGATTGCGTACAAGGGGTATGATGCTCTCGGGGAGGGCTCATTGGCAACAGTCCTCCCTTGCTCCGGACTCATTGGGACGCGCCACCAGTGCACACTGCTCACTGATCCGGTTCAAGCGCAGATTATGGCCAAGGCGAACGAATGACAGGCGGCCCTGAACCTGCCTCTCAGCAAACCGCCACCGAACTGTGGATCCAGAGCGCATGATGCGCCTATCCGCCAAGCAGCCCTGCCCAACCCCATGAACATACACACATAATATCGGAGATTTCGCAAGACACGCTAGTCACCGTAACACCGCGATGAATTCCGGGCCTTCAGTCCTCTGGGCCTCGAGCGCGACTTTCGACCGCACAAGCCGAGATAAACCACTCTGATGCGATCTCAAGCTTCGATCCCGTCATAAAATACCACGGGAGCATCCTCTCGAGCACGAACGATCGCTCCACGCGTGACGGCACGCCCCGGTCAGCCTACGCGACCAACGGACACGGGGCGCGGGCGCCCTAGCCCACCCGGCCTCGCGGGCTCGTTCCCCAGCGCCCATGGCATCGCAGCAGCTGCCCACGCCCGGCACGTCCATCATCGTCGACGTCCGCTCTTTCGGCGACTTCGAGACCCTGCACGTCCACGGAGCGTCGTCGATCCCGCTCGCGGAGCTCGTGCCGCGGATATTCGAGCTCCCGGCGCCGACCGAGGACCCGATCTTCCTCTTCGGCGCCGAGCCCGAGCTCAGCCAAGCCGCGCACACCCTGACCTCAAAGCGCTGGACAGTTGTCGGCAGACTCGACGCCGCGTCCGCCAGCACCCGCGCAGCGCTCGAGGACGCGGGCTACGCCTTCGTTTCGGGCATGCACAGCGGCGTGTCCTGGCGCCCGAACACCTTCCTCCGCTCGCTCATCGCGGGCGGGCCTTTGCGTGACGCACTTGCTGCGGGGTTGCAGAGCCTCGAGGCCGGCGTTGACGCGGGCGGCGGGCGGCGCCCGGCGGCGCTGGACCTCGGGTGCGGCAACGGCCGCGACTGCGTGGGCCTGGCGGAGTTCCTGGGGCCGGGTTGGGCGGTGGTTGGTGTGGACAACCACAGGGGCGCTCTGGACCGCACGCGGCGCCTGTGCGCCAAGGCGGGCGTCGGGGACCGCACGGCCCCCCTGGAGGCGGATCTGCGGAAGCGCGGGCGGCTGGCGGACGCGCTGGGCGGGCGGTATGTCGTCGGGTTCGTGCACGGACACCGATTCTGGGATCGGTCGCTCGTGGAGACGTGCAGGGACGAGCTGTTGACGCGCGAGGGGGCGGTGTTTGCGTGGTCGACGTTTACGGAGCCGCTGGACGGGTCCGCGCAGCACCCTGTGCCGCCGTTCCGCCCCTCGCGGCGACTGCGGCGCGGCGAGCTGCGGGAGCTGTTCGGCGGCGCGAGCTGGAGGATCCTGATGGACGCGTACGACATGCTCGAGACGCGCGGGGAGCCCGTGCCGGCGAACAACTTCGTGGCGCAGCGATGCAGGGACCGGAACGCAGCCGAACAGAATGGTGTGTGTGAAGAGTGACACGTTACAGCCGCTAGGGGAATGTCATATCTTCCGGCCATTTCGGGAAGGCTCGCTTGTAGAGCGAGCAGCACACCGAGTCCCTCTGCAGCACCGGTCCGTCGAACAGGCACTTCATGGTGCCGTGCGTCCCCACTGGCTCCTTGATGCGGCCGCGCCGCCCGTGCCGCGTCCACAGCTCGACTGGGGTGAACCACCTGCATCGGGCGGTCGGTCGTGCGGCGTGTGACGTCAGGCTTCGGCGGCATGTGCGAGCCTAGGGGGGAGTGAGTGCGTGTAGGCATCGTGGCGTGGCTCGGCGAACGAGGTCGCCCGCGCGCGTCGGTAAGATAACGCAGTATATCGTGCACCCAGTGGCGCTCGTGGAGCACCGTCGGGCGATGTATTGTGTCCTCATCCGCGCTTCCAACGTCGCAAAACAATCCAGCAGTCAATCAATCAAGACGCCGCATCGCTGGCGAGGTGGCCAGGGAGCGAGCGCTCTGCGGCAGTCGGCGCGCCGACGCAGCCCCGCACCTGACGTCCTCCGGGTTGTGGAACATGAAGCGCACGGTGGCGCGCTTCTTGTGCACGCGCACAGGGTACCCGGTGAGCACCGCCTTCTTCAGCACGACGCGGTCCGGATCGCACGACTTGACCGCCCCGACCACTGCGAGCTTCGGCACGCCTGCAGCAACACACCGAGAGCCTCGCTCTCAGCTTCCAACGCCCATCAGTCATACATGTATCAACCATGCGGCTCTCTGTGACCTCAGTGGACGCGCGGGCGCGACGCACCGGCTCCCCCCGCGGGCAGCTTGAACCCGAGCAGCGGCAGCGGCGGGTACATGATCGGCGCGTACACCGACGCCACGCTGTGCGCCCCCGTGTGCAAAAAACGCTCCATCTTGTGCTTGTCGCAGCCCGTCGTGTCCGTTGACAGCACGGGCCGCGCCTTCCACGCGCGCACGCCCGTCACCAGCAGCAGCTCCTCCTTGTTCGCCACGGTCTCGGTGTACCGCGGGTGCTTGTGCACCGCGAAGTGCACGACCGACAACTTGCACTCGTTCGGGAGGAGCCCGAAGCACGCCACGGGCGGCGCCTCGCCGGCCGCGACTGCGCCAGCGCGCGACGCCAGCCACGCGGCGCCCTCCGCGGGCACGCCCTCCACCAGCACGCGCACGTAGGTCCCCGGTGGCATGCGCCGCGCGGCCTCCTCGGCCTCCAGCGGCGCGTGCGCGGTCGCGATCGCCCAGCGCTTCGTCCGCGTGAAGTTGTCGAACGCGAAAATGCGGTGGTAGTCCGGCGGGAGGCCCTCTTTCGGGTCCCACGGCGAGGTGCGGAAACTCTTCAACCCTCGATACTTTGCGAATCGTGCGCGCGCTGGAACGTCCAGCGGGGCCTCGACGTAGTCCGGCCACTCCGCGTCGTCCGCCTCCGCGTCCCTGCGCGCCGCGCGGTGCTCCTCGATCGCGCGCCGCACCTCGTCCACTCCGCGCGGCCCCGCCTCGTCGTCATCGCCCGCTCGCCCGGCCTCGACCAAGTCGTCCTCCTCCTCCGCGCCCTCGTCCTCCTCCATCCACGCCTCGTCCTCGCCGTCCATCGCCATCCCGTCACTCCCCCCCCCAACACCCCCCTCCCCACCATCCTCCCCCTCCTCCCCCGCGTCCAGGATCCACGCCGCCTGGTAGTCCGACGTGCCGCGCGGGACGAGCTTCTTCGGCCCCGACGCCTTCTTGGACCCCCGCAGCGCGCGCTCGATCTCCGCGTCGCGCAGCTCCTCCTCAGTCGGCCACGTCTGCTCAGTGTCCATACCCTCGGGATCAGGTACGTTCTCGCGCGCCGTGGACTCGCGCGCCTCCGTGGGCGTGGCGACGACGGCGCCCTCCATGTCCGCGTCGCCGGCGCGCTGCTGATGGGGCGGGCGGAGGGGGTCTGGGACGCTCTCGATGCGCGCAATCGAGAAATCCCCGACTCCGCTGATGTGCAGCGGCATATTTGCGTCCAGCGCCGGACCCCGCACGTACCCCTCCACGGCCACGCTCGCTCCCGGCGCGTCCGGGCTCCCTGCAACGCACGACAAACCCAGCCTCCGCCTCTCCGGCACCGCCACGCGACAGCACAAGCGCGTCGCGCACATGCCTCTCAAACGAGCCGCCATCGGCCGCGCAGCGCGTCTCACCGTCCGGAAGCACGTCCACGCGCTGCACCATCACCGTCGCCCTGTCCCGCCGCCACGCCGGCGGGTTCGCCCCCCGCAGCGACCCCAGGTGCCTCATCAGCTGCACGGCGTCGTCCTCGCTGCCCACGGACAGCACCTTGTGGTCCCCCGCGAGCGCGGCCGACAGCACGGCGCTCGCGCGCTTCTTCGCGGCCGCGCGCAGCTTCATTTGCCCCGCGACGTTGTTGGCCATGCGCGCCGCCTTGCGCGACTTGGGCGCGGGCACGGGCGCTTTCGGTCTGCGCGTGCCGTCGTCCGCCATGCCGTCGGAGCCCGCGTCGTCGTCGTCGCCGCCCCACGCAGCGACGACCGCGCCCACGACCGAGGGGAGCCCGATGGCCCGCAGCACGTCCAGCGCCATCTCCCCTGAGAGCGCGGAGAACAGAACAGACACGGTTCGGTGTTTGCGGGCGGGTCAACACGCTGCGGTCGTGGCGACGGAGAGAATCGTTGCTCGCAGCGCTCCGGCCGGTTGCAGACGCAGCGGCGGAACTTCAGATAGGAAAACACGTCTTCCAGAGCACCGCGCACCTTGTTCATCGAGCTCCTCGCCCTCCTCGCCCGACAGCGCGAACACCACCACGTCCGCGACCTTCGCGACCTCGACGATCGCCATCGGGTCCTCGCGCGGCTTCGGCGGCGGCAGCAGCGTCAGCCGCACCCTCGGCTTGGTGCACGCAATGCTCACCGGGGCCATCGGCGCGTCAACGCCGCCGCCGGCGGGCAGCGGGGGCTCGATGCGCGCGCCCGCGGCCGCCGCGGCGTCGAGCACGAGGCCGAAGAGGGGCCGCGCGTCCGCGGACGCGCTGAGCGGGAGCACGGCCACGACGAGCGGCGCGGCAGAGTCGGCGGTGCGTTTCTGCTCGATGAGCTCGGCGCGCTTGGCGTCGCGCGCGGCCTTGCTCTTCTGCGCGCGGGCCATCTTGCCGGGGGCGGCCGCGGAGGTGCGCGCCTTGACACCTGCGACGGGGGGCGTTCGGAGGTGGGCGCGGTGCACGCGGCATCGGAGACGCCCTGCGCGCCGCGCTCGACGCACAGCGGGGCCGCTACGCAGCTCGCCGCAAAGGTCTCTACGTTTACAACCCGGAGGCGCGAAAAGGGGCGGCCTGGCGCGCGCGGCGCCCAGCAGCGGCACTGTGTGCCGGAGGGCCCGGCGCGTCGCGGGCGGTGGGCGGCGCAGCGAGGGGCTCACCGAGAATGTCCCGTCCCTCCTTCTGCTGCTTGTGCTTGTGCCGCGAGCCCTTGCTCTCATGTTTCCCGGTCTTGTGCTTCTTGTTGTGCTGCCCGTGCGCACTGGGCCCTCCCATGGCGGCGGTGCTCCGCGGCGAGCCGCGGGAAGGGGATATACAATCAGGAGCGGGGCCTCTGGGGCCGGCGCAGGGCGCGCAGAGGCCTTGCGCCGCCGGGCTTGCGCGCCATCCGCGGCTGTCGCGTTCCTCCCCCCCCCTGAGTGCGTGGCGGCCGTCGGCGGCGTATCCCCGCGCCGCCCGGCGCCGCCGACGATGCCACGGTGGCTCCCGCGCCTCCTCGCACTTCGCAGAGAGGACACGAGGAAGCAAGACTGCTGTTAGGCGCATCTGGAGGGAGCTAGGCGTTGCTGTGTGCCGCGCAAAGCTCTCTTTTGGTACCTTCGCGACCGAAGCGACCCGCGCGGCAACCATGGAGTTCAATCTGCCCGATGACAAGGCCGAGAAGGTCGTCCGCCAGGTCGAGTTCTACTTTTCCGACTCGAACCTGCCAAGTACGGTCCCTGGAGAATGCAACAGCCGGCAACGCCACGCGCGCCTCCGCGGACCTGCACTGCCCCGCACACGAGCGCGGACGCGCGGCTGCTGCACTGACCATGGCACGCCTCGGCTGCGCTGCGCTGCCGCGGCCGCGGCCGCGCGTCATCGCCCAACGATCTCGCACAGCAACGATTGGGGCCCACACGTAGCGCCCTGTCCGTGAAGCAGCCGCTGGGGCCCATGAATCGAACGCTTCGTCTATGTTCCACCCTGTGGCTTGCAAACATTGTCCGTGCACCGTCTCGGCGGCGCAGTGGACCGCTTCCTGCTGGAGCAAGTGGCAGCGGGCGAGGACGGGTGCGTCCCGATCGAGACGATCTGCCGCTTCAAGCGCATGCGCGCGACGCTCGGCCTCAAGGCGGACGTGACCCCGGAGCGCGTCGTCACCGCCGTGGCCAATGCGCTGTCAAAGTCCAAGGTAAGAGACCGTTTCGGTGCCTCGCGAGCAACCGACCGACCGCCTGAGCCCCCCCTGTACCCCGCGCACGCACCCCGCTCATCAAAGCACTAGCGGCCCCGCGGGATACGAGGATTACCGACTGTGGTTGCGCGCTGTTGCTTGTTTCAGGAGCTGAAGCTGTCGGAGGACCGCAAGTCCGTGGGGCGCGCGTCGGAGCTCGGCGACGTCGAGGCGAAGCGCAAGGACATCGAGGAGCGCTCGTTCGTCGCGCACCCGTTCCCGTACGAGTCGACCATCGAGGGCCTGCAGGCCTGGTTCCAGAGCCAGGGCCAGGAGGTGCTGTCGGTCCGACTGAAGCGCGCCAGGGCGCCCGAGGGCGGGGACTACTTCTCCGGCGTCGCCGTCGTCGGTGCGCCGCCGCCTCCGCCACGCAGCCACCTCGCGCGCACCGCCCAGCGGCCACTCGCGCACTCACACGCGCACTGCACGCCCGCGCCGCAGAGTTCGCCTCGATGGACGCGGCGAAGGCGGCGATGGCGGCGAACCTGCACTACCAGGGCGCGCCGCTGACGTTCGAGACGGCCGCGGCGCACCAGGAGCGCGTGGTGGAGGAGGCCAAGGAGCGGGCCGCGCTGCCGCCGCTGCAGGAGCCCGCGGCGGGGCCCGCGGCGCGCACGCCCGCGCTGCAGGCGGGCACGGTGCTGCGCGTGGACTTCGGCGACGCGGACACCGCGGCGGTCAGCCGCGACGCGGTGCTGGAGGCGTTTGGGCGGCGCGACGGCGAGGACATGCGGGAGTTCAAACGGGAGAAGGGAATCGCCTTTGTGGAGTTCAACGGTGGGGACTCGGAGGCGCTCGTGCGGTTCCAGTCGCAGGGCGCCGCGGAGTCGGCGCTCGCGGCGTTCGAGGGCGGCGTCCTGAAGTGTGGGGACACCGAGGGCAAGGTGGCGGTGCTGGTGCGTGTTTGTGCCCGAAGGCGACTGCTCCGCGCTCTGGCGAAGCTCGCGCTTGGTGCTCGGTGCGTGGCAGGGGTGGTCCGACGCCGGGATGTGTTGCGTGCTGACGGGGGTGCTCTCTCTTGGGGAGGGTGTGTGCAGGAGGGGGAGGACTTCGACAAGTACTGTCAGAAGGTGGCGCAGCTGATGCGCGAGAAGATGCAGCAGCGCCCTGGCCAGAAGCGCGGGCGCGATTCGCACGGCGGCCGCGGCGGGCACCACGCCAAGCGGGGCCGCAGGTGACGCGCGGGAGCTCATACGTTTGCGTGGCACGGATCCACAGCGCCGCGAGGTGAGGCTGTGAGCGCGGCGGCAGACGACGTACGCGGGGAGCAGCTGGCTTGGCGTCAGCTGTCGAGGAACCGGGATGCAGATAACAATATCCTTTTCTCAATTGAAAAGCACTGAGTTAGTCCTTGCTGACGAGCTCGTGCTTGATCTTCTGGCCCGCTATCACGGCACGGTCCTTGATCGTCGCTGCACGCGGCGCGGAAAACCGAGGCACTTTTCCGTTCAGCACCAGCCGTCAGTCATTCTCATTCTTCGTCAGACATGCGAGCATGGCACAAACCAACACGATCGCTACGGCGTACCCGCCCACGACGGCATCTTCCTTTCAGCGGTCTTCTCGTCCCTGATTGCCGCCATCCCGACCAGCACGCCGCCCGCCGCGCCCAGCCCCGCGCCGCCCACCACACCCAGCAGCGGTGCTGCCTGCGGGGGCGCGCCCAGCACCATCAGCGCCGCGACGCCCGCGCCAACTGCACACCAGCGACACCACTGCCCGCGTGAGCCGCCGGCGAACGCAATACCAGTACGTGCCGGTCTAGAGGGCAGTTGCGACACGCACGATGTGCGACACGCACCCACTGCCGAGTACCCGGCGAGTCTGTCGACGAAGGCCTGCCCCTCGTTGTAGTGCAGCTTGTACACGCGGTCGTCGACGCTGTCGCGCGACTCGAACCCCGCCATCTTGTACGCGCCCAGGCCCAGCGAGATGGCCACCATGCCCGCCGTGGTCAGACCCACGTCCGTGAGAACGGCGTGCACGGGCCGCTGGCCCCTGCGAGCTCGTGGCGGGCGCGATTGAGCGGTGCGAACACGAACGCGAACATCGTTCGTCGAACGGGCGGCGCGGGAGTGAGGGCGGGCGCGGGATGTGGCTCACTTGGAGAGGGCGACGCGGACGCCCGCGTACAGCGCGCCGAAGACGCCGCCGGCCTGCAGGCCCTTCTGACCGATGTGGGAAGTCAGCAGGGCGTACGACTGCCACGCCGGAAGCGCCGCCGGGTCGAACGCGGCCTCGTCCGGGGAGGCAGCGGCGAACCGCGACAGCCGGACGTCCTTCAGCCGCAGCCCCTCCATCTGCAGAAACAGCTAGCGACAGATCCTGCTCGAGGTCCTGACGGACGCGGTGGCAGCCCAGCGGTCATGCAGCGGCGCAGCGACCGCCAACGACCTCAGTGCAAACTTACCTCGTCTCCCGGCCCGAGATAGAACTATACCAATCAGCTCTGGCGTGCCGCGGCCAGAACAACGCGTGAGTGCGCCCGCGCGCCCACGCCGGGCACGATTGGCCCCCACAAGCGACCGGGAGACCCCACCAAAGGAGGTAGAACAGAGGCCGGCGAGGTGTCCGGCGGGACGGTTGCACGGCCGCGCGGGCTCACTGGCGCGGCCCGGCGCGCACGCCTGGCCACAACTCAGCGGCTGCAGCGGGCTGGAGCAACGCACGATGCAGAAGCTGTGTCACCAAACTGCGCTGCCGGCGCGGTGCGCGCGCCCGCGCCTGCACACGCGATGCGTCGCGCGTCGGAGCGCGGCCCGCGGCGTCCGGGTCGCATACAAGCCGAAGGGGAGGGAGGACGCCCAGGCGGCGCACGCGAACGAGCAGGAGGCGCGCGTGGCGAGGATGCAGGTGCGCTACCAACCCACAGCGCCCTGCCACGTCACGCAGCGGCCTCGCTTTCGAAGCCGGCGGGGTGTCATGGTTCTCGACGTTGCGGAACGTTGCGGCGCAGGCGGTCGAGCTGCTGAACGGTCCGTTTGACATTGACAACTACCGCAAGGCTCTCCACGACGACTTCGTCATGACGCGGCCTTTCGAGGACCTGCGCGTCGGCAAGCAAGGGTGAGACGCCATGCAGCAACGCGTGCGACGCGCCGAGCTCGCGCGCACGCACATCGACGCCAATTCGCAGCCTGGCTCGACAGGCGGGACACGGCGCCCGCGCGGCACCGCCGGGGGCTCTAAGCGGCGCATCCGCGCCGCATTGCGCCCAGCTCGCTCGTGCGGCGGCGCGGAAACGCGGAAACCCGTGCGAATCACCGTGTGCGGTTCGCCGCGGCGCGCATTGAATCCAACTGCCGCCGGTGCTGTTGAAGACACGACGCGGTGGTTCCCGGCCGCGCGCAGGTTCCTCGCGATGCTGACGCAGCTGGTCGACTGCTTCCCGGACCTGAACTACGGCTGGCTCACCTCCGGCGAGCTCAACAGCCGCGGACTGTGCCCGGCCACCGCGGTCATCCGCGGGTGCCACGCAGGTGCGTGCGCTGCCGCGCCGCTCGCCGCGAACCGCGCCTCCCCCGCCGCCCCGCCGCCTCGACCCGCATGAACGCAACCCAAAGCGCGCCCTCGCGTCCACCGGCGTCGCCCGCGCGCACCGTGTCCCGCCCGAGCGAGCCCAGCAAACCACCCCTCGGGAACGCGGCTCTCCGCGTTGCTGCCCCCGAGCCGCCCCTTCCCGCACGACACCCCCGCGAGCAACGCTCCGTGCGGCTCCGCCCGCGGCGACGCACCCTCGCACCCGCCCACCTCGCTCGCGTCCTCGCACCCGCCCACCTCGCTCTCGACCACCGCGGTACCGTCGACAGCGTCCCGGCCGGGGCGCCCCGCACTATCGCGCCTCCGCGCGCGCTCACCGCCGCTCCCGCCCCCCGGCGCCCGCAGGCGACGAGTACGCGCCGTTTGGCATCGGGCTGCTGGCGGTGCCCCCCGGGGACCACCCGAAGAGCTTCGAGATCTGCTGCTCGACGCTCCTGCGCTTCGACGACGCGACGGGGAAGCTGGTGGAGCTCCAGAGCCTCTCCGACGCCACCGTCGGCGGCTCGTGGGCCATTTACCAGCAGCTGGGCGCGGACCCGCTCGCGCGGCTGCTGCGGCTGGTGAAGCAGGCGTGGGGGTCGTGGCACACGGAGGAGATCTTCGGGAAGCACCTGCACCCGGACTTCATGTTCTACTCGAGCACGCACCAGCTCGACCGGCGGCAGTACAGTGAGCGCGTGGCGTACCTGCGCGAGGTGATGCCGGACGTGCACGCGGAGCACTTCGACACGCCCGTCACCGCGCGGCTGATGCCCTCGGGGCAGCTCCTGACCAGCTTCGACATCGTCGGGCACCACACGGGGGCGGAGTACGTGCACCCGTACGTCGGCGACAACCGCCCGGTCATCCCGGCGAGCGGCAACAAGGTCCGCCTCACGAAGCGCGTGCTGCTGTCGTGGCGGGACGGCCTGCTGTACCGCATGGTGGACGCCGGGAGCGAGGACCTGTGGACGGCGCTGGCGCGCGCGGGCAACTTTGGCACCGAGGCGGGGACGATCACGGAGTCGTGGGACGACTGGACGGCCGGCCGCGTGGCCTTCTAGGCCGCGCGCGGGCGGGCCGAGGTCGCACGCAGACAGACACTCGGCGGAGGAGGTCGGAGAACATTTGCAGTTTTGTAACGAACATTCAGTCTGGCAAACGTGTGAAACCGGAGAGTCAACGGAGAGTCTCGCCTGCCGTACCATTTCACTCGAGCGACCTCGCGGTGAGGGTGCTTGTAGGTCAGCCAAGCGGTCTGATGTCCTTACAGAAGCAGTGGCTACCACTCGAGTTCCTTGGCGACGGCCTGGAGGAACTCGGCGTGCAGCGCGTGCGTCGCGTCCCACGCCGCCACGTGCGCCAGCGGCAGGCCGGCGTTCCCGCCCTCGGCGAGCAGCGCCAGCGCGCCGACGGCGTCCACCACCGCGTGCCGCGCCGGGTCCGACCCCATGAACATGTCGGCGTTGTCGTCGTGGAACGAGTCCCCGCACCCGATCGTCACGCTCGCCTCGCCCGCGCCCTTGTACAGCCCGTCGCGGCGGTACGCGAAAGCCTGCTCCATCGACTTGATGCACGAGCGCGCGGGCGCGGCGCCCGACACGAACCCGACCGCGTCCTCCACCGCCCACGCGTGCCACTGCCGCCCCACGTACGGCACGTCGGCCCAGTCCACCCCCGCCGACACCACCGCAGTGTCGGCCGGCGTGGCCACCATGAACGCGCCCGCCGCGTCCGCGACGTGCACCGGCGCGCCCAGCACAGGCGAAATCCGCGGCGTGCGGTCCGACCCCGACGCGCGCTGCCCCGCACGCATGATATACTCGCACCACCCAAACGCTGTTGAGTCCACCATCGGGATCTCGCTCCCGCCCTCAATCTCGATGCGGCAGTTGTCGATGCCGGAGGCCTCGAGCGCGGCGAGGAGGTGCTCCGCGCCGCGCACGACCATCGAGTCGGACTGGAGCGTGAGGTAGTGGGGGGACTCGCTCACGAGGTACGACACGTGCGCGTCCACGCGCGGCTCGCCCTTGACCGGCTCCGGCTCCGGCTCCACGGGGATGGCGTCGAGGGCCGCGCGGATGCGCTCGAGCAGCCGCACGGCCTCCTCCTCCGTGCGCTCCCTGCGAACCACGAAACCATATTCGTGTCTCCTATTCTACACATATCAAACAACATATCCGCCACGAACGGCGCACCGCTCCCTTCTGCGCGGCGGCGACGCGGCGTACAGGCGCGCGGGTGCACGCGGGTCGCGCACCCCAGCCAGTCGTCGAAGGTGCCGGTGAAGCTGCCCAGTTCTGACTCATCGACCCACTGCTGGAAGAACTGCAGGTTGCGGCGGCCCTTCTCGGGCTCGTTCTCCTGGAGGAAGTCCGTGAGGGCGGAGGGGAGCTCGCGGTCCGCCTCGGCCTCGGCCTGGTCGAAGACGGACGAGAGGGTGCCGTCGGGGACGCGCACGAAGTAGCGCCCCGTCTTGGAGGGGGCCGGGCACAGGCGGACGTGCGCGTACTCGGCCGTGTGCAGGCCGATGCCCGCGAGGCCGACGGTCTGCGTGGGGGGCGGAGGGGTCGGGGGTTGGCGGCCGGTGGCGCAGCGCACGTCACTGGTGATGAGAGCTGCGACGGTGTGGGGCGGTTCCGCGCTTGTAACAAGGCGCATTGTCACGAACATGAATAGTGTGCGTCCGTGGTTGCGACGATAGGGCACCGCAATCCCGGACCGAAGCGTTACGGAGACATTTCATGGCGGCTTTCACCTCCCCAGCACACCGGCGCGTCAGCCGGCCGGGCGCGGATTTCGAGGGTCGCATCGGGAGGTAGCACTTTGCATCATTCATGCGGGGGCACAAGCGACCCCGCACAAGACTATGTGACGCTCACGGACCTGCTTGATGGTTTGCTGGTATGGTTTCGGGCCCGTCACGACGAGCTTGTCCTCCGTGACCTTCCTCCGCTTGGACGCCGACGACTTCGCGCTCTCAGTCGCCGCGGCGACCACGACACTCCCGCTGTTACGCGCGTGCGGCCGCCGTGGCACGGCAGCAGCCTTAAGGGCGCAGCGCTGCCCCCTTCCGGTCGGTCGAGAGACCAGGACTGAGCCGCGCAGTGCCTGCATTGCGCCGCCTCCAGTATCCACGAACCCACGGTCCCAACACGTGCGACGAGACACCCCCGCTCGCCCGGTAGACAAGATGAGGCTCCTGCAGCCAGCTGCGTTCGCCGGGACCCGAGAGCGCCGCCCGGAGGAACCTTGACGTGTTAGAGCCGCAGGTCGAGTTCTGCGCGAGGCGCCCAGCGCCGCCTCCCGAAGGCCCCTGCAGGCGGCGCGGAGGGGTCTGTCTCCCAACTGCACCGAGACTCCTCCCTCTCACTGGCGGACCACGGCAGATGGGGGCGCGATGGCCGAGGAACGCGGCAGACAGAGGAATCAGTGCCCGTTCGCTGCGAGAGTGTGCCCGCGAGACGCACTGCCTGCGACGTGCGGGGGATGGGAGCCCGCGCTGGTGCGTTCGCACGATGCGTTCCCCACTGAGGGCGGCGTGATCCAAATGAAGCTCAAGGAGCTCGAGATGATGCTACAGGTGCGCTTCCTCGCCGCTGATCTCATGACGCGCGGCAGCGGACGCGGCAGCGGCGCACGAGTCGATGCATGCAGCTACGGCTGCAAGCACCTCGACGCTGAGACAGAAACTCCCACTTCACAAGGTCGCTGCGGCATCCTGAAGACTGTATCGGCACTGTGGTTTTTCGTTGCAGGACGTGCAGCCGTTCGCGCACCCGAAGATAGAGTTGGAACAATACCCAACTGGCGCCGACATTGCCGCGCGGATGCTGTACGCGATCGACACCGCGTACGGCGACATCCAGGAGAAGGTCGTCGTGGACCTCGGGTGCGGGCCAGGCATGCTCAGCATAGGCACGTCCTTCCCCCGCCCACGTACACACGCCTGACGCACGCGGCATCGCCGCGAGCAGCCGCCGCGCGCAGCGTAGCGTTCCGCGGCACGCTAATCATGTGCTGCGCTTCGTCGGTGCAGGCTGCGCGATTCTGGAGGCGGACCAGGTGATCGGGATCGACGTAGACGTCGACGCGCTGGCGACGTGCCGGGCGAACTGCGAGGACTTCGAGGGCATCGACGCGGCGCTCGAGCTGCTCCAGTGCGACGTCGCGGCGCTCGGGGGCCTCGAGGGCCGGCCGACGCGGCAGCGCCGCCTGCGTGCGGACACCGTCGTCACCAACCCACCCTTCGGGACGCGCAGGAAGGGCGCGGACATCGAGTTCGTGCGCGCGGCGTTCGCGATCGAGGGCGTGCGGGCGGTGTACTCGCTGCACAAGACGTCGACGCGGGACCACGTGGGCAAGGCGGCGCGCGGGCTGGGCGCGGTGGAGGCGGAGGTGATCGCGGAACTGCGGTACGACCTGCCGGCGTCGTACGGGTTCCACAAGCAGAAAAGCAGAGACGTCGAGGTGGACGTGTGGCGGTTCGTGCCGGGGGCTGGGCGGGGGGGAGTCGGGCTTGAGGGTCTCTCGATCAGCGACGACCGGTAGCACGTGGTGCCGGGGCCAGGACGCGGAGTGAGAGTGCGAGTCCACGCGGACAGCGTTCGTGATGTCACCGGCACGGACGAACGCTCGAGCGTGCTTTCTCGGTCGTCCCGGCGTCGAGGATGAGTCGTGATCGGTGGGGTGTTAACAGACTCGCAGCGCAGCGTCACAGGCGGCTCACTTTCTCCGCTTGCCCTTGGCCTTCTTCTGCTTCTTCGGGTTCGGCGGCGGGGGCCTGCGCTTCTTCGGACGCGAGCTCTCTGCACGGAAGGCGCATGAGTGCCAGAACGTTGCAAATGCGTCCGCGCCGCGCCGCGCACGAGACCTGGAGCGGCGCGCAGCGGACGAGCGATCGCGGGCTGCACTAGCAGAGCCGTCGGTCTGGTCGTGGACGCCGCGCCGCCGTGCCACGCGCGTGTAGTCTCACCTGAACCTGATTGCTGTTGCCTGGCGATACGCTTCGCCTGTCGGTCGAAGGTGGTCGTTGGGAGCTTGTACGGGTCCTCTCCGCGGTCGAGCTGCTCGTTCACCTTGCTGCAAGGCACGCGCGGGACCGCCGCTCGCGACCAGGTTGCAAGCTATTGTGTGGCACGGTGCAACCTTGGACGGGTGCTAGTGCGCGCGACGTCCGGGCCGCGCAGCAGGCCCTGCGCTGCGGTCTCGCAGCCGAAAAGGCTGGCCATCGCCCGCACCGGAGGTCGAGCGTTACTGATGCATGTTGGCTTTAGGACTCACTCTCTCAGGGCCAGGAAACTCGTGAGGGTGAACACGAGCCACGCGAGGCCCAAGGACCCAAGCACCGTGCCGACCGTGGTCGAAACCGGGATGTCGAGCTTGTCGGCAAGGGCGGCCACCTCGGACAGGCCAGGCTGTAGCTCCCCCAGAGCGGCCCGACAGGCCGTGGTTCGTCGCAATCTACTACCCCTCGCGAACCTCGTACGACCGTATACGTGACATTGCGTCCGGGCTACTCCGGTGTGCCCAGCGCGCGTCTGCTGCACGCGCAGAGCCATGGTGCAGGGCGCCGTGCGCAGGCAGTCCTCCTCCTCGATTGCGCCTGTCAACGCTTATCTGGACCGAATCGCCCCCGCGAGCGAAAATATGAGACGAGACAACCGCGGACGGCTCATGATACCGGCTCACCGGCCCCTGACCGTCGGGCTCAGGGGGCGCCCGACCTGGCAGCTGAGCACAGTGCGTCAGGCCTCCCAGGTCTGACAAGGGAGTCCGCTCTGGCCTGCGGGGCCGCCCTCTTTACGCGACGCAGCGTGTCGGGGAGCATCTCGCCGCTGTTCCGATGACGAGCGTGGCATGCATCACAATGCCATGATTTGCAACTTCAAGTTCCGGCTCCCCCCTCCTACGCCGCGACCAGGCCGAGCAGCAGCGCGGAGAGCAGCGTGATGGCCGCGGCGAGCTGGTGCGCGGCCGCCGCCCCGACCACGACCGTCGTGGTCGCCGTAGTCTGCGTGACCGCCACGGTGGTGACGGGCACCCCTGTGTCCGCCGCCAGGGCGGCCCCCAGCGCCGCTGACGACGCGGCGTTAACGACGAGGTTCACGGCATCCGCGGACGCCGTCGTGGTCGACCCCGTCGTCGTGTAGCTCACGGCCACGTTGTAGGTGGCCGCCTGAGTCAGTCCTCGCGACAGGAGCATCCTGCGCGCAAGATTGAAGGAAATGTCCAGCCCTGCGCGCAAGTCTCGACCGGCGGCCAGGTGAGGTGCGATTCGCCGGGCGCGAGCAAGAGCGGGCGCTGGTGACGTGGCAGCACGACTCACCAGGTGATGGGAAGGTAAGGCCCATCGTCGTCGCGATGCGCGTCTGCGCGCTCACAATCTGGCCGTTGTCGAGCGTGGACGAGAACGTCAGCGACAGCCGCGCCGTGGACGTCGTCTGGAACACTGGCGCCTGCGTCGGCTGCGGCGCCTGCGTCGGCTGGGGTGCTTGCGTTGGCTGCGGCGCCTGCGTCGCCGAAGGATCCTGCGTCGCTTGCGGGCCCTGCGTGGCCTGCGGCCCCTGCGTAGCCTGGGGCGCCTGCGTGGCTGCGAGCGTCGTAGCCGAACCCCCGACAGGCACCGTCACCGCCAGCGTCACCCCGGGAGCTGCAGTCGTCGTCGGCGCCGCGGTCTGCCCCGCCACCGTAGTCGCCGGTGCAGCCGTAGTCGCCGGCGCCGCGGTCTGCCCCGCCACCGTAGTCGCGGGCGCGGCAGTCGTTGCCGGCGCCGGGGTTTGACCGACCACCGTCGTTGCTGGTGCAGCCGTCGTGGTTGGCCCCGCGGTCTGGCCAGCCACCGTCGTCGCCGGTGCGGCAGTCGTCGTTGGCGCCGCAGTCTGGCCGGCCACCGTCGTCGCTGCCACGGTGGTCGAAGCGACTGTCGTGGCACCCGAGCCGGCGACAGTCGTCGCCGATGCGACTGTCGTCGCCGATGCGACAGTCGTCGCTGGCGCGGCAGTAGTGGTTGCCGCGAGGGTCGTCGCGGCGGCCGTCGTGCTCGAGCTCGCTTGCGACGTGCACACGCTCGACTGGGCATCGCACGACAGCCTGCACGGCAACGCCCAGAACGCACGCTCCGTCCACACACACACCGGCATGGAATCAGCAAACACTGCAGCACGACCGCACCCAGCCGCAGGGGCGCACGTCGTGGTGAAGGACGCAGGTACACGCGCGGACACACATGCGTCATCCGTGGCGGCGCACTCACCCGCTGCCGCAACTCGACGCCGTGCAGATCGACGTGGAGCAGTTCGTTCCCGCGAACCCGTTGAAGCACTGGCACTCGCCGTTGACGCAGACGCCGTTCGTCCCACTGCAATCGTTCGGGCACGCCAGGCCAGGGCACACGGCCGCGGGGTCCGGGCACGTCATCGACCCCGCCGTCCAGCCCGCGGCCACGAGCGCCTGGTTGCTGGTGAACGTGATCGTCTGGCCCGCCGCGCACCGCACGAGCACCCCCGTGATGTTCACGTCGAGCGCGTAGGAGCCGTCCGCGGCTTGCGTGCAGTTCATCGGGACGCACTCGGGCTTCACGAACGCCGCCTGGTAAAACGTGCCGCCAACCTGCCGCTGCCAGGTCGAGGGCCGCGCGACGCAGCGGGATCCCGGCCCGTGCACGGCGCCCACGTTGGCACGGGCCTCCGTGGAGCCGAGCGTCGCGAACGACGCAGGGTCCTGGCAGTTGCCCGCGAGCGGGGACAGCGACGTGGTGTTGCACGTGGAGCCGAGCATGTCGCTGCAGGACCCGTACCCCTTGTGGTCCACGTCGCAGATTGGCTGCAGGCATAAAAGCGAAAGCCCAACCGTTGCGCAGATCCAGTAGCACAAGGTTGCGCGGCCCAGCTGGAGCGGCAGCACTCACGGGGGGGGGGTAGTGCTCACCGATGTCGCCTTCTCCCCGCAGAACTGCGTGGTTTGGCACGTGCCGAGCGTGAAGGCGCACCCGCGGTTGAGCCCCCAGGTCATGTTCGCGACGTTGGCCCAGTGCGCGGTGTACCATCCGGAGTCCTGCATGAGCGCTGCGCTCAGGGAACCGAACACCGAGCGGCGACGCACCGACCATCCCGACATCAGGTCCTGCCGCGTCCACTCCTGCTCCCAGTGGCTGCCGGCCGTGCCGCTCCCGCCGTCGTTCTCGAGCGGCACGAACGACACCTGCAGGAACGCGCCCGCCGCAAACGCAAACGCAAACGCTTCACCGGGGCGCTTCACCGAGGCGGGGCGGGGCAAATCAGACAGACGGACATCGGGTGCTTTTCTTGCGGGGCGGGAGGGGAGGTGCAGGGGGTCGCGAGGGTGCGTACGGTGGAGCAGTTGTACTGCAGCTTGGCGGCAGCGAGGACGAGCGGCGTGATGACGCTCGACTGGTTCCGGCCGGCGTAGGAGGCCGTCGTGGTGACGTTGCCCTCGCCCAGCGCCTGCTTGGTGCTGGGGTCGATGAAGTACTGGAACAGGGAGGGGGCGAAGTAGAGCGCGTGCAGGATCTCGTGCTTCGCAGTGTCGATGTAGGACTCCTGCGTCGAGGACTGCGTCCGGGCCGAGGGAGCAGGAAAGATCGGCAGCCGGTCGCGAAGGCTTGGTGCGGCGGGCGGGCGCGCAAGGGCGGGCACGCACGCTGTCGAACGCCGCGGGGCAGAAGTTGACGTTGCCCGACACGGGCCGGCCCGTGCCCCCCGAGGAGGTGTCGCGCTCGCAGAAGTTGGCGTTGGCGAGCGTTGTGGAGCTCGTGCACCGCGCGGACCCGTCCGCGTTGGTCACGTTGGCCGTGACGTAGAGCACGACGTCGGTGTCGTTCAGCCCCGCGCCGCCCGAGACGGTCGTGCAGCCGGTCGTGGGCGAGGTGGTGCAGAACGTGCCGTCGTTGAGGTACGTCTGGTTGTGGACCGCGGCGCCGCAGGTCGGGTTGTTGCCGCCGGCGAGGCTGAAACAGGTCCGCTCGGGGTTGAGGTACACCTGGTTGCACGCGCGCGGAATCTTAAACGTGCCCTGCACGGGCTCGCGGATGTTCATGACGCGCCGCAGGGACGCCACCGTGATCGGCATGACGGTCCGGATCAGCTGCGGACACGGGGCGACGGACGCGTTCACGTGGCAACGCAAGGGCGTATTAGTACGCGCGAGTGTGCATGCGATGCGAGGGCGCGCCGCGCACCGCCGCGAACGTCGCGTTGACTCCGTCGAGCTGGTACTCGACGTGGATGCGGATCGGCGCCGGCGTGGTCGACTGCATCCGCCGCCGGCCCACGCCCACGCTGTCCACCTCCGGGTGTCCTGCTGCCTGATACGACACGTCCGTGCCAACCTCGACCCTCTCGACGCCTTCCGGAACCGGCTGGTCCGAGTCCTCGAGATGCTGGTCCGGGCCGAAGGGGCCGTTGTCGCTGTGGGCGACCTCTGGGGGCACAACGAGCTCCGCAGGCTCCGCGAGCGCAGCGGCAGCAGGCGACGCGCAGAGCAGCGCCAGCGCGAGCGCAGCCAGCGCGGCCACGAGGGCGCGGCATGCGCGGCGTGCCGTGGGCGGTCCGCGCATGCTGCTGCTGGCCAGGGGGCGCGGTGCGGAGGCCCGCGGCGTGCAACTGTCAGCGAGGTGAGTGCTCCGCGCAGGCCGTGCAGTCGAAGCGGAACTTCGAGCCCTGTGCGCCCTCACGGGAATGCGCAGCTGTGGTGCGTCTGCAAGGAACAGAGAACGGCGCTGGGAGTGTCCATCCAGCCCCCCCGCGGGAAGCCGGCACGTTGTGATTGTCATGTGTCCTCGCGGCACGGTCATGAAACAGGCAACTTGGGCTCCCGTGCCGCCTCGAGCTACAGACACAATGTAGCGACCCATGCGTTGAACCAGAAACGCGCAGCCTGCCCTCGGGCTGGGCAGCGGGCGAGGTTGACCCGGTGCCGCACGGCCAACAACAAAGCCGCGGCCCGCGTCAGGACCGGCGCGTACGATGCACGCGAACGCCCGCTGCGGTTCGTCATGGACTAAGGGCATCAGCAGCATAAGTATGTCGCGCAATGCGTCCGCCCTGTGCCTGCACGCACCTCCTTTCTGCCGACAGCCTCCTGCAGCGGCGCCGTCCAATACGTGGAGCCGGTGCCGCAAATTGACACTGCCTGGACTGAACAGGCAGCTCGCCGCTCACCACTGTCAGCCCGCGGCCCGGCCGGTCAGGGGGTCTGAGACCCCGGCCCGTGACTGAGTCGGGCAACCGACGCGGGCCTGACGTCTCCGCCGGCGCGGCACCGACGGGACGCACCGCTCGCGCCCGTCGCAACCGCCGGCACATGCCGCCCCGCAGCTTGCGTCCTCGATCGATTTCCGGGGCACCCACCCACCCACGTGGTGACGCACACACTCGACCACCCCACGGGTCACAGGCCCGCGCACCCGGCGGCCGCGAGCCGCGCAGCTCCGCGTCACGCCGAAACAAAGCCTGCGATGCCCTTGCCGATGTCGGCCTTCGCGCTCGGGGCCACGGGGTCGGCCCCGACGTAGATGTCGAGGATGCTCCGCTGCAGCTCCGGCGACACGATGGTCCCGACGCGCGCGCCGTCGACCGCGGTGGTGACCTGCCCCGCGGCGGACATGTGGAAGGCGATCTCGCAGCCCCGCCGCAGCTGGATGTCGTCGAACTGCGCCGCAAACGCGTCGCAGACCTCGGGCTGCAAGCACGCGCGCCCGCGAGCGGTCCGGTCAGCACGCGCTGTATTGTCGAGGGCCGCCGCGGCCGCGGCGCCGGCGGAGGAGGGCTCGCGGCAACGCCTCCGGGGGGCGTTGGTTTGGGGGGTGTGCGTTGGGTGTCGGACTGACCTTGCCCTCCTTCTTCAGGAGCGGGTCGAGGCGCTCTCGCAGGCCGCTGATGAAGCGCTGCCGCGTGAGCCCCCCGAAGGCGATGACGAGGCGCAGGCCTGACTCGAGTTCCCCCCTGACGAGGCTGTCCAGGACCGCCTGGTCGGTGGCGACGTCCTCGCGCGGCCGGCCCGCGCACGCCTCGCCCAGCTTCCCGCGCACCGCGTCCGGGTCCGCGTACATCCCCACCGCGTACACGTTGATGTTTTTTATACCTGCACACACCACGCGGCGCGCCACAGAGCAGGGGGGTGTATTGCGCGCAGCCCTGCAGGCGGCCCGCGCGGGCCCGGGGAGGCGGCGCAGGCTGTTGCGGGCGCGCGGCGCGGGCGGGGTCCGGCGCGGGCACCACCTACGAGCCTCTTGTTGCGCACTCCGACGCCCGCGAGCGTCAGCGAGCAGCGGGTGTCGTCACCGGATTGGAATCCGAACTCTCCGGGGAACGAGATGCCGGTCTTCGGCTCGAGCACTGCGGTCGTCGGGGCGGGGAGCGGTCGCGGGATTCGGAGCCAGGCTGGCAGCGCGCCAGGGCACGAGTGCGCGGCAGCAATCCGCGGAGCGCCGCTGCGCGCGTTGCGACCGGGCCGCCCGGCGCGCAGGGAGCGGACAGGACGATCGCAGGCGGGGGAACGCGGAGGCGCGCCGGGGCGACACCTGCAGCGGCGGCCTCCCTCGCATGGGCCACAGGGCCGCGCAGCGCGTGCGCCACGGCCCCGCCGAGGCCGGCCGCGGCGGCGCCGAGCCTGCCGATCAGCCACGCAGCCGGCAGCGGGCCCTCCATGATCGGCACTCGCGTCCGACCGCAGAATTGCCGTCTGAATACACCTAGCAGTCTTTCCCGGGCGAAAGCGGCGCGATAGCGTCCCAAGGCGTCGCGGCGGAGTGTGGCGTCGGCTGGGAGCGGCGTCGCGTGCTGTGGGCGGGGCGGGAGCGCGCGTCCCGGGAGGGGCCGGGGGGAGCGGAGTGTTGGGGGACCCACGCGCCACGCGAGGGGTGGCGCGGCGCGCGGCGGGGGGCTTACGGGCCGCGCGGCGCGACGCGAGGCGGTACACGAGCATCGTTCGTCGTCAGGCACCGACGAAGGGTCGCACAGGGAGGTCCACGGTCCGGGTTTCCAAGGAGGTCCCCTCGCGGTCGTTGAACGGCGGAGCGCCCTCGAGGTGCCGACCGCAGAGCAGCCGCGTGCACGCCACGCGTGAGCGCTTCTTCGACGCCCCCCTGCGCCTCGTCGAAGTTCGGGAGAGCCGTTCGGGTAAGTCGAGCCCCTCCTGTCCCTGCTGGGGCTCGAGGACGGGCGGGGCGCCGGGCGCCGTTGCGCGCGTGCATCGGCGCGAGGGATTCCTGAACGTGCGAGGCGTCCGCTCGGCGCCCTCGCGCGCGCCCACGCGGCTCCAGGCGTCGTTCCGTTTCCCCACCTCGTCAACTCCAGGCTGCCCGCCGTCCGCGTGTGCGTGCAGGCACTGCCGCGCGGGCAACTCGAGAAATTCACGATGGCGTTCCGTAGCGTAAAGTCTGATGGCACGCCAGGCCACCTGGTCTTCAATCTGGCGCGTTTGACACGCCAAGCAGAGAATGGGCTCGTCATCGTCGGACGCGGCTCCCAGGCCACCATGTACCTCAACACGCCGAGGCTGCCGCAGGTGCGCTCCCCGCGCGCTCCGCGCCACCGGCCGCCACCCGGACCGCCCGCTCGGCCCGCACTGTCCTGCAGCACCCGCCTTGCCCCACTGCTGCCCGCGCCACCGGCCGCGCACCCGCCCGGCCGCGGCCTCCCCGCGCCGCGCCCGGCTTCCCCCGCCTCCACCACAGCCCCCGCGCGCCGCGGGGCGCCATTTCCCGCCCGCGCGCGAACCTAGCGCGGCCCTCTGGCCCTTGCAGATGATCTCGCGGCTCCACGCGGAGCTCTCCGTGAGCCCGGACTTCCGCGTCATGGTCAGGGACCTGGGATCCACCAACGGGACCTTCGTCAACGACGAGCGCATCGAGAACGCCGGGCAGGACTCGGAGTCGCAGGCCGTGCCCCACGAAAGCATCCTCGGCTTCGGGGGGCCCGCGCGCGTGTCGCGCATGGGCATCATCACGGAGAACCCTTGCAGGTACGTCCCCGCGGCCGCGTTCCGCGCGCCCGCGCCCCCGCACGCCCCCGCGCGCGACCGCGCCGCTCGAGCGGTCACCTCGCCGCGCCCCGTGCACGCCTCCCGCCGCGCGGCCGCCCCGCACCGCCCGCGCCCCCGCACGCGCGTCCGCGCCCCGACCGCCGCCCTCTCGCCGCCGAGCCGCCCTGCGCGCCTCGCGCGCCCCGCGCCTCCCCCGCTGCCCCCCACGTGTTCTGCCCGCCCCCACTGCGCGCTGCAGGTTCTTCGTGGACGCTCGGCCGATCCACGTCGCGGCGCTCGCGGGCGACCTCGACGCGATCACGGCGATGGTCCGCGCGAACCCCGACGACGCCAACCTCCTCGGCCTCGACGGCGGCAACCTGCTGCACATGGCCGTCATCGGCATGTCAGCGCCGGTGGTCGAGTTCGTGCTCACGCAGTACCCGAACCTGATCACGGGGCGCACGCGGCGCGCCGCGACGCCGCTCCACTTCGCCGCGAAGTACTCGACGACGGAGATCGTGGGGATGCTGCTGCGCGCGGGCGCGGACCCGTTTGCGGAGACGCAGCAGGGGCTGACGGCGGCGCACATCGCGGCGAGCCGCGGGTCGCGCGACCAGCTGTCGCAGCTGCTGGAGGTCGCGCCGGGGCTCGCGAGCATGGCGTCGCAGAACCAGCGGCTGACGCCGCTGCACCTGGCGGCGACGAAGGGGCACGTGGATGCGGTGCGGGCGCTGATCGCGTGCGGGGTGGACATCAACGCGCGCACGCAGGACGGGCAGACCGCGCTGCACTACGCCGCCGCGGAGAACCACACGGGCGTCGTGGAGTGCCTCCTCGGCGCGCCCGGCGTGGCCGTCAACACCGCCGACGAGCTAGGGCTGACCCCGCTGCACGTCTCGGCGCACCGCGGCCGCGCGGAGATCGCGCGGATGCTCCTCGACGCCGGCGCGGACCACGGCCTCACGGTCGGCGGCGCGTCGGCCGCGCAGATCGCGCTCGCGTGCGGGTTCACCGCGGTCGCCGACGTCATCCACCAGTGGGTGGTCGCGCACCCGCAGGGCGGGCAGGGCGCCGCGGGGCAGGGCGGCGAGGGCGAGGACGAGGAGATGGTCTCGAGCGACAGCGAGGCCGGCGGGAAGGGCCGCAAGCGCAAGGGCGCGCACGTGTCGGACGACGCCATGGACCAGGACCGCGTGGTGCAGTTCGGGGAGGAGTGCAAGGACGTGGTGCTGCAGCTGGACGAGTCGCTCGCGGGGATGGTGTCGAACGCGGAGCGGCGGTGCGCGGCGCTGCACGCGGTGAACGCGCACGGGGCGTCGCTGCAGGAGCTGATGCACGCGGCGGTGGCGCACGAGAAGTACGCGGTGCTGCAGACGCTGGTGGACATCGGGCTCGGGCAGAAGGCGTCGCGGCGCGCGGAGCGCCCGAAGGCGGACGCGCGGGACGAGACGATGACGAAGATCAGCGCGGGGGAGTGCCTGACGGCGCGGACGTCGTGCGCCATCTGCATGGAGCCGATGGTCGCGCCGTACACGGTGACGCCGTGCGGGCACACGTTCTGCGGGCCGTGCATCCTGCGGTGGGTCGCGCACAACCAGGGCGCGCAGCCGCAGCAGCAGCAGGGCCGTCCGCAGCGCCCCAAGATCACGTGCCCAAAGTGCCGCGCGCGCGTCGGCGCGATGCCCGCGCCCGCCCTCGACCTCATGGGCATCCTCGAGGACGTCGTCGTCAAGTCGATGGACGAGGGCGAGCTCGCGGAGTGGCAGGCGCGCCGTGACCGCTGGCTCAACGACAAGTCCTCCCTGGTCTCCGTCGCCGAGGAAGTCATGGTCGGGGCCGCGCAGATGTCCACGGGCGGGCTGCCCGTGCACCTCGCGCGCATGCGGCCGCTCGCCGGCGGCATGACGCGCCCGGAGACGCCCGCGCTGCAGATGTCCTTTGGCGGGCAGCAGCTGCCCCTCGCCGACGACTCCTTCATCTAGGCGCCCCCGGCACCCCCCGCCCCCGCCCGTACCTGCATGCGCTCCCGGGTAGAGCAGGACCGCACCAGCACACCGGCGGTGGCGCGCCGGCTTGGCCCCGGCGCCTCGCTGCTGTTTCCTACCCTCCTACACTCCCCCAACACCCCTAACTCGCCTTACTCGATACCACCACTGAGGTCGCCCGTCGCGTCGACGGCGCACGAGCACGGCCCCCGCGTCGCGCGCGCGAAAGCTGTGCGCGGGCGGCGAGTGCCACTGCCCAACCATGCCTGCCCCGAGCGAGAGAGACCCCCAGGCGCGGCGGCGCGCGAACGCATGCGCGGTGCTGCTTATGATGAGAGCCGTAGTGTGCTTGCGCAGTGCCACGATGACAACGAAATGATACGAGGGGCCGCGGCGCAGCCCCGGTGTGGCGGCGGCCAGCCGGAGGGCGCGCCGCAGAATGTGACCTCGGACAGTCAGAGAAGCAGTTGCCGCCGCGGCGCGGGTGACCTGCCGGTGTCGTTGTCAGGGCGTATTTCGTACGGGGCCCTGGTGAGATGCAAGTCCATGCAATCAACACCCCCCCTCCTGACAGCAGCTCGCGCGCCGACGGTTGCGCTGAGGCGGCCGAAACCATCCGCGGGGGAACCGGCACGTCGCTTTAAGCGCTCAAGGAAGCGATCGGCACAACTGGCTTTAGGACGATTATTATTTTCACGTGGAACCAGCGCTGTAACCCCAACTCACAGGAACTTGCTCCAGAGCTGCTCGGGCGCGGGGTCCCCGAGCTCCTTCCCGTCCCACGTGGGCACGGCGCTCGCCGGCCGGCCCCTGCCGTCCTCCAGCGTCACTGCAAACTTCACTGCCGCTGCTGCGCCCGCCGAGTGCGGCGGCGCCCTCTTCCCCGCCTCCCCTTCGTTCTCCTTCCCTGCTGGCGCGCCAGCAGCCCCGCCAGGCGCACCGCCGTCGCCGTCAGCGGCCTCGGGCGCCGCCACCTCTCTGCCCTTCCCTGCAGAGCTCTCAGGCGCTGCAGGCCCCCCGCTGCGCTTGCCCGCCTTCTGCTCCGGCCCGCTGCCATCCTCCAGCACCGTCGTCAGCACGCCGTCCCCGAGCCGCGCCGCGCCCGCTGCCTCCGCGTCGTGCGCGCCACCCACCAACGCACCCGCCCCAGGGACTCCCCGCGTGGCCATAATCGACGCAGCGAGGTCGGGCTCGCCGCCCGGCGGCAGCACGAGGTCCGGGCGGTGCTGTCTGAGCGCGGCCCGGAGCCGCGCAATCTCCGCCTGCAGGTGCGCCTGCGCCACCTCTGCGTAGTGCTGCAGGGAGTGCACCTGCTCCTCCGCGAGCATCGCGCGCGCCGACTCCCGTGCACACTGCGATGACACAAAGCGAGGCAAGCAATCTGCGTGAGCAAGCGATAGGCATGCTCACCGGGGAACACAATCATGAGCCAACGCTCCCGCGCCACGGCCGCTTGAGCGGCGGCCGCAACGACAACGATCTGCGCAGCAGGGGGGTCCCGGTCCCCGCTCACCCGCCGCTCGAGCTCCAGCTGCCGCCCAGTCATGAACTCCCGCATCTCGCGGCGGCGCTCCTCCTCGCCCGCGCCCGCCTCCAGTTCCTTGTTGCGCGCCAGGAGCTTCGCCGCCTGCGCCGCGAGCGCCGCGCGCGTCCGGTCGTAGTCCGACAGAATGTCCACCTGCTCCTGCAGCTCCGCCACCCGCCTGTCCTTCGCCGCCATCTCCGCCGCCGCCGCCGCCGCATCCGACAGCCCCAGCCGCCGCACGGCCTCCGCGCGGTCCGCGTCCGCGTCCCGCGCCGCCGCCCGCAGCGCCGCCGCCTCCACCTCCAGCTCCTCCACGCGCAACACGAGCTGCTGCTCCGACCAGTGCTTGTAGCGCCCGCGGCCCCACCGCCCGCGCGCGGCCGCGTCGGGCGTCGGCGTCGCCGTCCGGATCGAGGCCTCGTCGGGCGACATCCGCCGTCCGTCCGCCGCCACGCCGTCGCCCACGCGGTCCACCGGGCGCGACATCAAGTCGAACATGCCGTCCCAAAACGAGCCGCGAACGCCGGCCTCGGCGCGGGCGGCGACCGCGCGGCCCGAAGGGAGGCGCGCGACGGGCGCGTCTGCGCCGGACCGGCCGCTCGCGCGCTCGGCGTCCACGTCCAGGACCTCCGCGCCGCCCGACCTGAACGCCTCCGCGGGGAGTGTTGTGGGAGACCCCCCCCCGCGCGTCGCGACGTGCGTGCCGGTCGCCGACGACGCGCGCGCCTTCTCGGATCCCGCGACCACCGCCGTGATCTCCTCCGCGTCGACGCGCGCGCGCGACCGCGATGAGGCCACGGGCGCGGGAGGTGCGCGTGCCCCCAGTCGGTCCAGTCGCAGCTCGCGGTCCCGCACCTCCATCCGGTACTCCGCGATGAGCTTGTCCTTGCGCCAGAGCTCGGCCTCGAGCGTCTGCACGCGGTCCACGAGCCGCTGGACGCGCCCCGCCAGCGCGTCAGACACAGCGCTGACTCGGGTGTCGACGAAGTCGTACTTCGCGGCTCTCACGGCGGGCGTCTGGACCTTGAGGCCCGCGGACTCGACGTCCGCGATGAGCCTGCGGTACCCGTCCTCGACCCGCCGGACGCGGGCATCGATCCGCTCGCGGCGTTCCAGCACCCGCGCGCGCTCGCGTTCCAGGGGGCCGTCCTCGGAGCGGGGCACCGGGTCGCTGAGGACCTCGCCGTCCGGGCCGTACTTCTTGTACACCTCCTCTGCGCAGCGGCGGCGGGCGCGCAGGGCAACGCGCATTGTTGCACAAAGAACAAGGCCTGTTCGAACGCAAGCGCGAGTACATCACGTGCGCGGAGCTTGCACGATACGTATCAGACCGCTGAGAATGGCGCGGGGCGGTCTGTCGCCACCGTGCTGCCGTGTGCCACCGCGCGAGCGACACAACGATAGATATACCTCCCCTTGCGCAACGCGCAGACAGACAACGGCGAAAGAAACGCACCGGGGAGCTCGAGCGGGGCGCTGAGCGCCTCGCGGACCGCGGCCGCGATGTTCGCCGCCTGCTTCGCGTCGGCCTTGAGCTGCGCGGCGTACTTCTCCAGACCGCTGCGCAGCTGCTTGGCGTACTGCTCCGCGGACTCCTCGAGCGCCTGCAGCTCCTTCTGCGTCTCCTCCAGCGACCTCTGCACGCGCGCACGCCACAGGCCCCCAGCGCGGGTTTAGAACCAAGAAAAACGGACAGCCATTTCGCACAACATCCAACGCACTGCGCTGTCCCGCGCGTCCGCCTCCCTCGCACCTGTCCCCCGCGCTCCTGCTGCTGCTGGTACTGCAGCTGCTTCTCCAGCCGCTCCGCGACCTTCCGCAGCTCCCCCGCGTCCACCCCGTCCTCGACCGCGTTGTCCACGTCGACACGCGCGGCCGCCGCGCGCCGCGCGAGCTCCGACACGTCCCGGCGGATCGCGTGCATGTCGTGCTCCTTCTGCACGACCAGCGCCGAGACCTTGTCGCGCGCCTGCCCCGTGCGCTCCTCCTCGGACTGCGCAAATGCCACGGACGTGCGGAACAGGGCGGCGGCCGCGGCGAGGCGCTCCTCCTGCGCCGCGAGGAGCGCCTCGTGGACGCCCATCGCGCGCGTCGACTCCCACGCTTGGATCACCTGCGCGCGCGGCCTCGAAAGTGAGGTACGCATCCAACTAAGACTTGTGGAAGGAAGATTGCTCGTGCGATGGCTGGGAGCGCGCGACATGCCCGCGCGACGCAACTGACGCGGAAGATCTCGAAAGACAGGCGACGTAGTTCGAATCTCTCATTCATCTGCTACAAATATCAAATATCAATATCAACTCAAGTCTGATATTTGCAAACACAGATCTTGCTTGCCTGCTGTGCCTGCGCGTACTGTTCCTCCGTCGGCGCCCGGAACCCGCCGTGATCCGGGAGTGCCTCCTCGCCCGCGGGCGCTGCGGCGCGCGCGCCGGCCATGTGCGGGGGGAGTGGGCGCGACACCTCCCCGACCTGCTCGTGCATCGTCGGCAGCCGCGCCAGGCCCCGCAGGGTCGCGCTGCGCCGCGGAGACGGGTCCACGCTGCCCGCCGCACGCGCAGGCGACGGCTCCGGCGCGAACCGCGCGCGCTGCGGGCTGGCCGCGGAGGCGCTGTCCGCGACGCTGCTTGGAAGGGCGACCCGGCGCGGCGCGACGCTCGGGGCGGCCGCGGGGCCCGAGCGCTGCCGCGGAGGGCCGCGGGACGGCCCCGCGGGCGGACCCGGGCGCCCGCGCGTGGGGCTGACGACCGGCCCGCCTCGCTGCGAGGCGCCAGCGGGCGGTGGTCCTGCAGCGGTGGTGGTGCGCGGGTGGAATCTAAGATCTCTGTGCAGCCCGCAGGGCAGGGGCAGCCCGAGCTCGCGTGCCGAGAGAGCTGGATGAGCCGGCGGGTGTGTCTCGGCGGAGGGGCGCGTGCAGGTGGCACGTCACATGAGGCTGGCCGGGCGCGCAGGCGGTGTGCGTGGCATGGTGCGGTGCAGCGCCGGGCTTCTGGCACAGATGCAGCTGTAAGGAGAGCCGCGGCGCGACAGACGGGCGCGGCGGAGGTGGATTCCGGCCTCGGGAGGGTGCCAGCTCGTGAGCACCATCGATGCCAGCGGCGCCGTGCTGGGATGGCCACGCGCCCCAGCCGGGTAATTCAGGGTACCCACCTTTCCTCTTCTCCATCCTGGCGCAAGCCCCGTGAGACCTAGCCCGTCACAGCTCCGCTGCGCCCTGCATCCTTCCCTGGCAGGCCTTGAATGTCCGCCGTTGTGCGCCCCAGCAGCAGCGCAGCGGACTCCGAGCGCTTCCCAAGCTCGCCCCTGCTTCAGAGCAACTCCAGTGCACGTCTCGTATGCACCTTGTCCCCAGGTCGCGTACCTTGCCGGTGGACCTACCGCGACCTCTTTAGTCCGCGCTCACGGCTCGGCGATGCCCCCCAAGCGCGTTTTCGCAACCCCGGCGCACAAAGCAGTGGCGCCGCCGCAGCTCCGCCGCCCCAAGGCCCCCCGGCGCGCCGGAACCAGCCGTTCGGAGTCCCCTAGGGATCTTGACCTGAGGTCTCTCGCGCCGTGTGAACAATGCGGGCTGGCGCCGCGGCCCGGGCGCAAACGCACCGCCGCGCGCTGTCACTCGCCCCGCAGCAGCGACGCCGTTCCGGCGCCAGCCGCGGTCTCCGAACGCACCTGACGGCATCACAGCGAGCGCGTAGCAGTCGCGCATGGCTTGGCGGGTGTGCCGGGCTTCGTTCGGCCTCGCTCGCCTGCTCCGTCTGGACGGCGGGGTCCCCATGCCGCAGATGGCCGCCGCCGCGGCGCCCGATGCGCTCGCGCACGGCGCGGGGCACGCGTCGGTAGCGGCGACGCGCGGCGTCACGTCGCACGTCTACGACGTGGGCAGCGCGAGCAACATCAAGTGGCACGAGGGGATGGTGGCGAGGAGGCACAAGGAGGCGTTGCTGGGGCAGAAGGGGGTCATTTTGTGGTTCACGGGGCTCTCGGGGTCAGGTGCGGTTGCTACGTGGTGGTTGCTGAGCTGGAGCTGCCCGCGAGCTCTGCTGCGGGCGTCGCGGCGCGCTCCGGGCGCGGCGGGGGGCGTGTTTGCTAGAGGAGGGTGCGAGAATCCGCTGACGGCCCGATGACGCGCGCAGGAAAGAGCACGGTGGCGTGCACCTTGGAGCACGCGCTGCACAAACTGGGCCGACACACGGTCCTCCTGGACGGCGACAACGTGCGGCACGGGCTCAATGCGAATCTAGGGTTCAGGTGCGTCCACCCGAGCGTCGTGCTCGACGAACAGGCGCTCACATCCGGTTCGGTGCGCTCGATGGTGGCACCCACCAGCACGCAGCGCCCGCGCGTGTCGGCGGCCGCCTGGAGCTCGATGTGGCCGTTCACGGCATAACTGGTACCGGTCGGGCCGCGTCACGCGGGGTGCGACGGAATTCGGCCATCTGGGCCCCGGCGCGCGTCGCTAGTATTCGCAAACCTCGAGGTGGACGGAATCGGGCGCGGCTGTGTGCCTACGACGCATCTCCGCCCCCGCGACACGTGTATGCAGCCCCGAGGATCGCAAGGAGAACATTCGGCGGATCGGTGAGGTCTCGAAGCTGTTCGCGGAGTCGGGCGCCATCACGCTGGTCTCCTTCATCTCTCCATACCGCGCCGACCGCGACGCCGTTCGCGCTCGCGTCCAGGTACCGCGGATATTTCACCCTCCCGCAACGCTCTGCGCTGGATGAGAGCCGGCCGCGACGGACCTGGGGCCCGGAATTGAGCCTCGCGTCTTCATGCTGTGTTTGCGTTGCACTGCAGGCCGGGGATTTCGTAGAGGTCTACATGCAGACGAGCCTGCAGGTCTGCGAGCAGCGGGACCCCAAGGGGCTGTACAAGGCCGCGCGGGCGGGCAAGATCAAGTGTTTTACCGGGATCGACGACCCGTACGAGGAGCCCGTAGCGCCGGAGATCGCTCTGCACGCCACCTGCGCGGACGGGGAGGCGCAGCCGCCGCAGAAGCTCGCGGCGGAGATCCTGAAGTACCTCGAGAGCCACGGGTACCTCGAGCCTCCGGCGGATCCCGGATCGGATAGCGATTAGCCAGCGTTCACTTAAGGTTACATATGTGACATATTGCTGCGCCGCAGGCATGTTACGCGCCGTACTCGCCGCGAAAGACGTCGCGCCGCGTCAGTACATGTCGACGGAGGACTGCCAGCCCTCGCCAGAGGACAGACCAGCACTGGACACTAGGTTCTGCACCGGCACCGGCTTGACGTCCCGCGCGCACGCAGTTTCGATCGTCTTGCACACCGCGAGCACGAGGTCCTCCCTCCCCATCGGCCCCACGACCTGCACGCCCACCGGCAGCCCGCGCGCGTCCACCCCGCACGGCACCGACGCGGCAGGGCAGTTGGTCAGCGACAGCACGGACGTCATCATCAGCCACTCGATGTAGTTGTCGAAACGCTCCGCACCGCCCCCACCGCCGACCGCGTCGCTCGCCGGCCGGTCCAGCCACCGCACGCCCACCTCGAAGGCCGGCACGATGCACGTCGGACACAGCAGCACCGCGTGACCCGCGTCCGCGCCGCCGCGGCGATCGCCCCCCTCGTTGAAGCTCCCGAAGAACGCGTCGAAGCCGGCGCGCAGCCGCTGCGCGGTGGCCCGCGCCGTCGTCAGCTCCGCTGACGTCAGGTTCATACCGCGCTCAATCTGCCACACGAGCTCCGGCTTGATCTTCGAACGGCTTGGCTCCCGCAGGAGGCCGCCGAGGCTCTGAAAGGCCTCCGCGCGCAGCACCTGGAACGCCTCGCGCGCCCCGCGCAGCCCGTCGGGGCAGGCATCGACCACCGCGACACCCCCCCCAGCGAACGCGCGCCGCACCGCGGCCTCGCACACGGCCGCCGTCGCCGGATCGACCGGGCACGTGTCTGCGAGGTTCGGCGTCCACGCGAGCTTCGCGCCGCGCGGAAGCACCGCGGAGGGGTCCGCAACGACTCGGGAGTACGGCGTCGATGGCGCGGGGAGGGAGATGGGATCCTCGGGCCGCGGGCCGCACAGCGCGTCGAGCATGAGCGCCAGATCGTCGACGCTGCGCGCCATCGGTCCGGTCACGCTCTGCAGCCGCGCGACGCAAGCTTCGCCCAGCCTCTGGCGCGCGGTTGCGTCGGGCGCGTGCGTTGCGTCGTGCGCGGCCCGCACGGGCCGCTCCAGCGCGACGTAGTCGGTGGGCACGCGGCCAGGCGTCGGGCGCAGCCCGACGACGCCGCAGAAGCTCGCGGGGATCCGCAGACTCCCCCCCAGGTCGGTCCCGGTGCCGAGCCAGGTCAGACCGGCGGCCAGCGCCGCGGCGGTGCCGCCGGAGGAGCCCCCCGGCGTCGCAGACGCGGCGTGCGGGTTCTTCGTCCACCCGAAGACGTCGTTGAACGTCGTCGCGCCGGCACCGAACTCGGGCGTGTTGCTCTTTGCAAATATAACTGCGCCGCGCTCCCGCAGGGCCTGGACGCAGGGGTCGTCGAAGGTCGCGACGCGCTCGACGTATAGGAGGGAGCCGGCGACCCAGGGCTCGCCGGCGACGGCCGTGAGGTCCTTCACTGCGACGATGAAGCGGATACAAATATGAATATGGAATCTGAGCTGCCGTAGCAGCACGACGCGTTTGGAGGGACGCGGGCATGGGTCTGGAGCGTGCGGTCGAGGTGCGGGGTGGCACCTACGACGGGCAGGCCGTACAGGTACCCGGGGGGGGGGTGTGGGGGGGGTCCGCGGCGCTCGATGTCCTCCGCGTCGCGCCGTGCGCGGTCGAAGAAGGTGATGGGCAGGGCGTTGAGCTGGGCGTCCGTCTCCTGCATCGCACCGGGCGTGGGCGTGGGTTCGATGCCGCTGTGGCTGCAAGAGATGCAGTTGATGGTGCCACCATCGGGTGCAGGAACTCGCCTTGACGCGCGACTCAATGCAATCCAGCAGCTCCGTCGGCTTCACAGCCCCTTCCCTCAACATCTGCACGACCTCCACGGCCGATTTCTGCCACAGCGGGGCACCCATCCCCGCGGCATTCATCGCGACGCGCCGCCGGCCTCTCGCGCGCACGGGGCAGTCCGGGACGTTCACGCGCGTGTGGCAGACGAGAGGATGCATGTAGCTATCGCCCGTTTCGCGTCGTGCAGGCCATGCAGCCCGCGGCGCAGTGGCCGAGGCCAAGTGTGGGTCGAAACAACCCGGAATACCACGGGTGAAATGCAACTTGCAACGCCAGAAGAGGCGACGCCGCCTTCGGCTGCTAGTGCTGCGCCAGGTGCGCGGCCGCCCCATCGTTGCCGCGATGTTCGCGTGTCGTGGAGGTCTCTAGTCAGGTGTGCAGTGTGTCTGGCCGGTCTCCGGCGCCACGTTGCGTCTGGAGGCGCGCTTCACCGGTCACTGCAGAGTTCGCGTGTGACACTTCGAGGAGACCGCCTACTTGAAACCTCCGAGTCGAAGGGAGAGCGTGCTGGGTGCAGAGGCGGCTCCGGCGCCGAGACCGAATTTCCCCTGCGCCGCCCCGCTGAGGGCTGGCAGCTGTCGGACCGATGCCCAACAACAACGGGCTCAACAAGCCCGCCAAGTCCCAGCGGCCCTCGCGGGCGAAGGCGAAGCGCATTGCCACGCGGGCGAAGCGGAAGCAAGTGGGCACTCACAAGGTGACGCGCCCTCTGTCTGATGAAGTCAAACACGGAATTCGACACGCTCCCTCGCTTCACTATCCAATGGGCGCCGCGGACGTCATGCCTGCGCCGAAGTCACGGCCAGACGGGCGCCCAGGCTGACTGCTTCCCCTGTGGCTTCCAATCCCCCGCAGGCTGCCAAGGCCGTCGTGGACTGGAGGAAAAGCGCGACGGGGGGGAAGATGGCTGCGAGCAAGGTGCGCCCCACCGCTTTCGTCCAGCCCTGGCCGCACGTGCAGTGCAAGAGACCAGCGGGTCGCCCACTGCCCTGCCTACGTGTGTGTCTCGAACGCAGATGAAGAAGCGGGCGCGGAGGATGCTGAAGGCGGAGAAGAAGGCGCTGATACACAAGCAGGCGATGGACATTGACGACGACGACGACGGACCAGCTGCTTCTAAGAACAACACCAGGGTGGCGAAGCCCGCAGGGATTGCAGTCAAGAAGGGCGTGCGCGTCGCCGGGAAGGCGACGCGGTCCAGCAAGGCGGCCGCCGCGTCGATGCAGGTCGACTGACCGGCCGCTCCGTTGACGACAGCGCAGGCCCGTGCACATTGAGATCTAGGCATCTTGGCCGCGGTCAACGGTGCGGACATGCACTGCGCGGGGCGCGAGACGCGTGCATGTGACCCATTCCCGCTTGTGGGCGCATGCGGCGAGCCCGGCCGCCGCTGACTGACAGCGCAAAGCATCGACAGTTGGACACGTTGTTCGATGGCCGCGCTGCTAGACTGCTGGAGGAACCAGGAGGGCTATGGACGAGGGAGGAGGTTCGATGCGTGCGTATCTCTGCGCGGCTGGTGTGTGCTGAGAGAGGCTCAGATCATGGGTCGTGCGTTGCGGGGTGAGAGGGGGGTTTGGGTAGAGGCTGCCGTTGCAGCGGTGAGGCAGGACGCTGTGGTGTACCATGCGTCGGAGCGACGCGGAATGGATCGCGCGGGGTCGATGTGGCCGGTCGTGGCGCTCTGGCCATTCTGCTGTGACCGCAGCTCGCTGTCCGCGAGCAAATTGCTTGAATGTCGTCTCGCTGCGCATGATTCGTTCTGGCAAGATGTACCCGTGGACGTCCGCAGCTCGTGCTGCGTGCGGGTACCTCGGTATCGCTCGTTGTGGCGTCCCGGAGGGGGCCTGACGTGAGGGGGATGTTCACGTGAGGGGATCACGGCGCCGTTCACACAGCGGCGCGCGAGACGATACGGTGACGTCGCACCGTCTCCGTACAGTCGCATGCTCGATATCCAGTCGGACACGGGCCCGGAGGATTTCACCAGGGACAGCAGCACACACCAGGTGAGACGATTCCGGCATCGATGGCCGGGTCGCTGTCAGTCTGAGCGCTCCACGAGAACCTGATGGGCCACAAATTTGCATTTGATCCTGCGTTTGGCACTGTCGACGTCGGAGCGAACCGCCGGGAAGACGTTTGTGAGTTGCCCTGCTCTCCAAGCTGCCTGGCCGGGTGGGCGCTTTTCGATGGCTTTTTTCACACGTGAGCGCAATCAGGCGATATCTACTAGCATGTACACGTAGATGCCTCGACATCGTAGATGCCTCGTGAAGTCCCTCCACCCCGCTTGCGCCAGGTTGCCCTAATCGTGCCCTCTCCGCGTTTTCGCGGCATAGCCAGTCAGTTCGCCTTGTTGCACGGCATGCTCGCGATGATTTTGCAGACAGTGCACGGCCTCATCAAGGAGGAAGCAGAACCGCGGCTCTTGACCCCGCACGACTGCTCTGAGCGTGCAACCCACATGACCAGCCACGTCGGTGCCTGCAGGTCCGCTCTCGAGAGGACCTGCGCGTGTGTGCAACGTAGGCGCGTCCGTCTGCGAGCCTGAAGCGGTTCGCGGGAAAGGCAGGGCGTATGGCTCGATTTCGGTGGGGACCTCCGCTGCTGGCACACTCTCGCGCTGTTCGAGCGTCACCTTCGTAAAGCGGGGGCCGTCGACAACAGCCGCACGCACGTCGGGCGCGCAGATTGCCACGATGGAAGAGCGTCAGGCGAGGAAGAGAGCGCGACAGGGGAACAGTTCAACGACACAGTTGAATGACGCCAAGGCACAGACCAAGGTGTGCTCGTGTTGAGCGTGCTGGTTGCGTGGACGGGTCGCGCCGTCCACGATTGCCCGGCCCGATCGTGGACTGCGGCGTTCATGATTGCTTCTGTTGTCTGACTCACATCAACGTCTACGCCCAGCTATGGGAGCCCAGGACTTCATCAGATGAGCTGAACCGAGATCCTAACGCACTGTGTCTCCCGAGTACAGGTGGAATCAGCGTGGCGGGAGAAATTCGGGCGTCGCGAAGTACCACCGGAATTCTTCGACACGTGTCTGCGGTTGCTGAGGAGCGATGAGACGCTGAAGGAGTATCCTCGAGCAGGGCACGAAGACAGGTCGAAGCACCGGTCGATGACGCTCGATGAGCTGCAGATGCTCTGCGCGGCGCTGACGTCCAACACTGCGTTACAGAAGCTTGACCTTGGCAGCAGCTTTACCAAGGTGCCAGACGAGGCACCCCTGACGGCTGCAGTCGCGAGCAGCAAGGCGATCGCCGGACTGCTGGAATCCAACAGCACCTTGACGGATCTCGATCTGTCCCGGAACGGTATCTGCAAAGTTGGCGCACAGGCAGTCGCCGCAGCGCTGGCATTGAACACAGCGCTGCAGACGCTGTCGCTGGACGATAACAAAATCGGTGAAGCCGGCGCGTTTGCGATCGGTGCGGTGCTGGCGTCGAACACGTCGCTCAAGACGCTGTCGCTGGACTGTGCCAGCATCGGCGCAGCCGGCCTGCAGGTGATTTGCAAGGCGCTGGAGTCCAACACAGCGCTGCAGACGCTGTCGCTGGACAGCAACAATGCCGTCGCTGCCGATGGGCTGGCGATCGGCAAGGCGCTGGCGGCCAACACAGCGCTGCGGGAGCTGTCGCTGGCTGGCAATTACTTCGGGGACACTTGTGCGACGGCAATCGGGCACGCGCTGGCGTGCAATGCGTCGCTGCAGAAGCTGACGCTGGACCAAAACTTCATCGGCGCTGCTGGAGCACAGGCGATCGGGCTCGCGCTGGCGTGCGACCCGTCTTTTCGGAACGGACTCCCGCACGACCAGGACGGCATCGAGGACACAGGCGGGCAGGCGATCGGACAGGCGCTGGAGGGTAACACAGCACCGCAAAGGACACCGGCGGGACATGTTGAAAATCCTTTCAAGAATTTTGTGCAGGACAGCGCCATGGGTGACGTAGGCCCGTTTGCGATGAGCGCGGCGGCGCCATTCATCCTGGCGATGCACACGCAGTCGCTATCTCACGATAGTGTCGGTGGCGCGGCCCCGTGGATGAGCGGCGCGGCGCTGCCGTTGAACCCAGTGACAGCGCCCCAGAACTTTTCGAGCATCTGCATTGCCAATCCGTCCTCGATTGGCCAGGCGCTGCCGTCAAAGACAGCGCTGCAGACGCTGTCGCTGAACGGCAACAGCATCGGCGACGCCGGCGCGCTGGCGATCGGCAAGGCGCTCGCGTCCAACACAGCGCTGCAGGAGCTGTCGCTGGTCTACAACAACATCGGCGACGCCGGCGGGCGGGCGATCGGCGAGGCGCTGGCGACCAACAATGCGCTGCAGACGCTGTCGCTGACCAGCAACCGCATCGGTGACGCCGGCGCGCTGGCGATCGGCACGGGGCTGGAATCCAACACATCGCTGCAGACGCAGTCGCTGAACGGCAACGACATTCGCGGCGCCGGCGCGCTGGCGATCGGCAAGGGGCTGGAGTCCAACACAGCGCTGCGGAGGCTGTTGCTAAACTCAAACTTCATCGGTGACGCCGGCGCGCTGGCGATCGGCAAGGGGCTGGAGTCCAACACAGCGCTGCAGGAGCTGTCGCTCGACTGCAGCCATATCGGCGACGCCGGGGCGCAGGCGATCGGCGAGGCGCTCGCGTCCAACACAGCGCTGCAGACGCTGTCGCTGCACCGAAACTTCATTGGCGGCTCCGGCGCGCTGGCGATCGGCAAGGGGCTGGAGTCCAACACAGCGCTGCAGACGCTGTCGCTGAACGGCAACATCATCGGCGACGCCGGCGGGCGGGCGATCGGCAAGGCGCTCGCGTCCAACACAGCGCTGCAGGAGCTGTCGCTGGTCTACAACAACATCGGCGCTGCCGGCGGGCGGGCGATCGGCGAGGCGCTCGCGTCCAACACAGCGCTGCAGAGGTTGTTGCTAGACTGCAACAGCATCGGCGACGCCGGCGGGCGGGCGATCGGCGAGGCGCTCGCGTCCAACACAGCGCTGCAGGCTCTGTCGCTGGACGGCAACAAACTCGGCGATGCCGGCGGGCGGGCGATCGGCGAGGCGCTGGCGACCAACAATGCGCTGCAGACGCTGTCGCTGAAGGGCAATAAAATAGGCGACGACGGCGTGTGGGCGATCGGCGAGGCGCTGGCGGGCAACACGTCGCTGAAGGAGCTCTCGGTACCCAGCAACCAGATCGGTGAAGCCGGGGCGCAGGCGATCGGCAAGGCGCTGGCCACCAACAATGCGTTGCAGACGCTGTCGCTGCGCTGCAACAATATCGGCGACAACGGCGCTCGGGCGATCGGCAAGGCGCTGGCAGGCAACACGTCGCTGAAGGAGCTCTCGGTGACACTGAAGGATCTCGGCGGCGCCGGCGAGCGAGCTCTCCGCGAGGCTAAATACTGCGATGTCGCGATAGAGCGAGTGCGGTCCATGCACAGCAAAGATGACGACAGGGCCTGCACCATCCTGGTGGCGTCATTGACCAGTATTGTCAGGGGGTAGACACCCCTGGCTGGCCCCACAGCACCTCTAGGGCAGGTGCGCTAGCAGAGCACAGGAACTTCTTCTGAGTGTAAGAAATAAACCTGGGTCTAGCTAGGTACTCAGTCTAACGGCGACAAGGCGCGGGCCCCGAGACTGAGCTACGAACAGAGGGGACGGCAGTACGGCCCTGGCCCTCGGACACCTGGCTCAACCATGTTCGCTCTCGCCATCGAAGGTGTTTTACATTCTTGGCTGCGCGTCGTCAGCCATAAGGCTTTGGGACCTAAAAAGATCATCCGACTAGGTAGCGAGTCATGTAAACCCTCCACCGCTATGATAGCGACAGGTTCGGCAGCTGTGACAGACGCGGGGCGACGTGGGGGAGGGCCCGGCTGCCCTGGGGGCCCTGATGCACTGACTCAGGCTACGCCCGTCAGCCCGACGGGCCCTCCGCCACGCGCGTACAAGAACCGTGCTACTGTCACCGTCCGCTTCGCTACGCTTCGCTACGCTTCGCTACTGGCAGCGCAGACGGTGACAAAGTCAGCTTGTAGCAGATCCTTACGAGGCACTCTCGCTGCCACGAGCGAAGATCGCCATGCCTCGCTGATTCGGCAGATTCAGAAGGTAATGCTCGGCAGCGGCTTCCGAGTCGAGAACTGCGGCACCTACACCACCATGTAGGTCCTCGAGGTGTTGGCGCAGCCGGCGGTTGAGAGCGAAGCGGCGAAGCGGCGTTCTGAGGCTCATTTCAGTCGGCATTATCGAGCTCGGTGAGGTTGTCATCTGCTGAGGGAGCGGACATGCCGGAGCAGCACACATAATATCACATCATATTCTGGCCGCGCTCGGCTCAGGGGGGGGGGTCCCGCGCGGGTCGCCCGGTGCTGTCCGCGGGTGCCGACGTGGAGGGGGGCGTGGTCGGTCGCGGTTTCACCATTTCGTATCGTTTCGCGGCCTCGGGGCAGGTGTTGATGATCTCTCTGGCGTACAACGCTCCTGTCGCCTCGACGTCGAACGGTAGGAGGCGCGCGAAGCGCCGGATCAGCTGCGACGAGGGCGGCAGGCCCACGGCGCACTGCCAGCCCTGGGGGGCCTCGGGGACCTCCGTCTGACCCTGACGCGGGTCCGACATGGCGAAAATGTCCCACACGCGCCTCGCGTCGGTCAGGCGGGTGGCGATGCCGGGGCTGTCGGGCTCCCACTTGCGGCAGTTGCGGTGCAGGAAGAACACGCGGTCGCTCTCGGGGGCGAAGTGGACCATGGTGTGGAGCCCCTGGACGGTGCCCGCGCCGCCCGGCGGCATGTCCACGAGGTGGTAGGGCCGGTGCAGAGCACGCATCGCGGTCGGGAGCGTCTCCTTGTCGCCGACGCCATTCCCGTTCGGCGTCAGCAGCCTGCAGACACACACAAGCCAACAGAAAACCAAATACGGTTTCTTGTCTCTCTCGCCCCTCCCAGTCCGCAACCAGCACACGATTCGCGAGCAGACACAGACAGATATTTGGGGCGCGCACCGGTGGAACAGGCTGCCGCGGAGGTTCAGGTACAAGAACAGACGCAGCGCGGTGTCGTGCCGCTGCTTGTCGAGCAGCATCACGCAGCTGTCGTGCGTGGGGAGGTCCAGGCGCGCCGCGAGCGCCGTCGCCGCCTGCTGGTGCGTGAACGGCACCGCGTTTTTGTTCGAGTTGATCTCGAACTTGTAATTGAATCTCCCTATGTTCTTTCGCAGCTCGTCCGAGAACAAAGTCTTGTCCTCCGTGTACTGCAGCGGCCCGCCCCGCACCTCGCGCCCGCACCCGAGCGGCTCCTCCCGCCGCCCCATCGCGAGCGCGTAGAACGCTGCAACCACAGACACGAACTCCCAACTGAAACAAACCCACACCTCCCACGCAGCACCGCGCCCGGCTCTCCGCGCCGTGCGCGCAGCCACCGGCGCGTGGAGCCAGCGCCCGCGCACCTGGATCAGACATCACCCGCGGCGACCCGTCCCAGCACTTGCGTTCGCGCACGTTGCCGCTGTACACAGGCTGGTCGTCCCTGTAGGGGTCGAGCCGCATCGCGCCGTACGTCCCGTTGGCCCACGTGAGGACCTCGTCCCTCGAGAAGCCGAAGACCGCCGCCATGGCCTTCACGCCGGGGTCCCCCGGGGGCTGGTGCCAGAAGTCGGGCCACAGGATCATACCTGTTTGGCTGAACAGGGTGGTGTCGAAGAGGGACGCGGGGTCCTCGAGGAACATCACGTCGCTGTCGAGGTACACCGTCTGCGGCGCGGGGCAGCGGGGCGCGGCGTCGCGGGCGCTCGGGCCGAGCGGGGGCGCTCGTAAGACCCCCGGGGGTGTTTTGTTTCCGTGCGCGTGCGTGGGGGCGGCGGGCTCACCTCCGCGAAGGACGACGCGACGACCGCGAGGGCCTTGAGCGCGAACCCGTCGACGGTCACGTTCGCGCTGCGGAACGCGTCGTCGAGCTCGCCAAAACTGCGCACGTGCACGCCGCTCTCTGTGAGCCACGTGACCGTGCTGTCCATCGGCATCTCGTCCTTCGGGAACCACATCTCCACGGGGAGCGTGCAGCCGGACCCGCGCAGGAACGACACCGCCACCAGGGACGTCAGCGTGTATTTCCCCCCGCCAATGAGCACAACGCCGCGCCCCGCGTAAGTGCCGTTGCCCGCCGGGGGGGACTCGCGGACGAAGGCCTCCCACTCAAACGCTGCCGCGTGCCGATGCCTGTGGTTGTCGAACTCCATCTCCTGCGCGACAGCGCCGTTGCGTGCCAAGTCGCGAGCGTACAGCGCGGGCCCTTCCGCAGGCTGCAGTGGTGACCGGACTGGCGATGGCGCAGCGGGTGCTGAACGTACCAGTATGCCCGTGGACTGCCGCACGCGGTCGTACGACTCGATGAGCGACGCAGTGTGCTGCAGCGCCGCGCTTTGCTGCGCAGCGCTCGGGCCCTCCTGCCACAGTCCAGCGCCTGCGATGACGGGCGAGGACGAGTGAACTGAGGGCCGGCCCGCGACGTTCTCGAGGAACGAGTTGCGGCGACGCGGCCGCGCTGCGCGTGGCAGCAGCGCATTACAGCGCCCACGCGCACCCCCGCCGCACCTCTCTCGGGCAGGTCCCGCACGCTCAGCCCGTACGTTCCCCACGCGGTCGCCTCGTGGATGACCGGGTCCAGGAGCTCCGGGAGCCCGCCGTGCCCCAGTTCGGCCCTCAGAATCAACAAGCCAGCGCAGAGAAAGGCCGCCGCCAATATGTACTGCGGATTGCGCGCCCACCAGCTCCGACCCAGCCCGCCGGGGCCCCGGCTGGAGCTGCGTCCCCGCAGGTGGGCCATTCCGCACCCGCGCCCGTCCTCGCGCCTAGGCCGCGGCCTGCGGCGAAACCAGGCTCATCGAGTTTCAGGCGCCGCAACCGCGGCGCCGAGGGGCGCCCTCGCACGTATTTCCCTCCGGGCGCTTTCTATGTGCTACGTGGCGTCTCCTCGGTCGGCGGTTCGGCGTCGACGGGCCCGAGCGGCGCGGGACTGCGTGGCCAGCACGGAGGGCGGGGCTCTGAACGCCCGCCGCGAGCGCCCCAGGGCTATCTAGGTATGCTGGACCGCGCGGCAGAGACGGTCTGATGTGTATGGGCCGCGCAGGATCGCCGAGCTAGTGCGAGGGGCCGCGCGAGATGCGCAGCAATGACCCAGCCCTGCAGGTGCTATTAGAGGTACAAGCGCGGCAGTCCGACTCGCCCAGGACCACGATCGAGGGCGGCCTCGGCGCGCGGAGGCGGCGACATGCGGCTCCGCCGTTCTCTCCACGCGTCGCGGCGTCTCAAGGTCACAGCGCGCAATCAAATACGAAGTAGTGTTTGATGATGAATCGATCGAATGTGTTCCTGCTACACTGCGCGCGTGCAGCTTCACGTGCGACCACAACAACAACAACACGCGTTGACGGCTGGGAGTGCCAGGCTGCCGCGAAAACGTCATCGCTGCATGCTACCCCACGCGGCCGCGCACGGCCGTGATGAACTCGCTGCGCCCGATGCGCCCGTCGACGTCCGTGTCCAGCGCGGCCACCACCTGGTCCGCAGAGACACCACAGGCCGCAACATCAGCCGCTCGAAGAGCAACAAACACACCAGCATCGAGAAAGAGATAAAAAGATAAAAAGCAGGATGCGGGGCGCTGCACGCGGGGCCGCGACGACCTCGGCAGGCGGCCTCGCACCTGCTCGAGCGTGCTGCGCGACAGCCCGGGCGCCACTTCGCGCAAGCCGTCCAGCACCACCTCATTCGACACAAAGCCGCGCGCCTCGGGATCCAGAGCGCGGAACAGCTGCCTGCGCGCAGCCACGACGTATCTCACGTTCGTATCCTCGCGATGTGGCTCACGTCGCGCGCTGAGCGATCGCGAGCGCGACGAACCGCACCGAACTCGTTGTCCGCTGCCCGCGCCCTCCGCCCGCCTGGCAAAGTACTCCACGAACGCCCCGACGCTGATTTCGCCGTCCTCGCGGCTCCCTACCGCCCCGGCCTCCCCGCGGCGACGCGTGCGCTCTATCAGGCAGTGCACGTCGACCAGGGACGCCGGCGCTCCATCGAACCGCACCGCCGCGCACTTCGCCTCGTGCCTCGTCATCAACCGGCCCGCCTGCGCGGCTTCCGCGCCGATGGTCCGGTCCACACAGTCGCGGAGCCTCGCCTCCGCCGGAACGTCGCGCGTCATGCCCGTCGTCGTCGCCGCGGGACCTGGCCCGCCTTCTGCGCATGAACGAGCTGCCATGGCCGGACCGCGCCTGAGGTGCAATGACGAGCCCGATCGCACCACAACGCTAGCGCCTGGAGGGCGATGTCGAGACGCGCTGGGGCGGCCGCCCCTTGGCGCTGCGGGCGCAATGGGCCGCTTTGGTAGGTCCCGGGTGTGTCCCGGGCTCCCTGACGGTGTGGCGCAGCGTCCCTGCGCCCCGCACGAGGGGCGGTGCGGCGCCACGACGCGCTCACTGCGTTTGTGAGGCAGCTAGTTGGAGCGCTCGCCCACGAACCGGTCGTCACGGGCAGGGAGGACAGCGTGTGGATAGACTCGGGCCTGGTGCAGTCGTGTGAGGCCCTTGACGGGCATTTCTTGCATTCAGGTACGATATCGAGGTCGTATAAGCGCGGGCATGCGTCAGACACGCGCGCGGTAGCTTGTGGCAGCCACATTTCGCTTCTTGCCATGGTGCACAAGGACGCGGCGCGCACGGTGCCCTCGGGCCGCAGGAAACGGACCTGGACGTGCGATGATGTGCGATGTTGGTATCCAGGCCGACTTGAGCGGCGACGACCGCATCGATGCTGCGTTCGTGGCGGAGACCTCCCCTGGGAGGACAGCCTGCTCTGCCGCGTGCTGCGGGAGGCGCCCGTGCTGGACACGCTGCCGGACGCCGACAAGGCGAACCTCGCAGCGACGTGCTGGGGCGCGCTGGAGACGGTGCTGCGGTACACGCGGGCCGTGCTCGAGGTGCACCCGGACGACCCTGTGCTGGCTGGTGTGGCAGCGCGGGTGACGGGGGGGGCGTGTCAGGGGTCGGTGGCGGTGTGCGGGGTACAGGTGCGGGCGCTGGACGCGGGGGAGCTGCTGGACGCGACGAGGAACATGGGCGTCAAGCTGCCCACGAGTATCAACACACAGTATTCAAACATTATACCTATGCGCGTGCGGATCACGCATGCGTGCGCCGACCTGGCGCGGGCGCTGGTGCGCGGCGGCGGCCGTGCGCACGTGACGGGGCTGACTCAGCTCGTCCTGAACGACACCCGGCCGGAGGCGGCGGAGGCGCTGCCCGAGATCTTTCGAGCGGTGAGGGGCCACCTGCGGTCCCTGAAGGTGACCGTGGAGGGCGTGCTGCCGGACGAAGTCGTCGAGGCGGTGCACGGCGCGCTGCGCGGCCTGTCGGCGCTGCAGCACCTGGAGCTGAGGAATCCTCCAAGTTGGGCGTGTCTGGTGGACCAGTACAGCAACCTGAAGACGCTCAAGCTGACGAGCGAGGTGGCGACGTTGAGGAAAACCCATGTGTTCAGTTCGGGGGAGTGGGGGACGTTCCTGGACGCCCTGGAGCGGGCAACCAGCCTGAGCAGCTTCGACCTGTCTCCCATTGGGGACTGCCGGAACTCCGCACAGCTGCAACCACGGGCAGTCCCCGCTGGGCTCGAGGTGCTGAGGCTGCCCTGCGTCCACATGCTGCGCTGGTGGGAAGCCACCGGGCTGCGCTCGCTGGACCTGCCCGGCTGCGAGCAGAACTGCATCACCCCGCCCCACGGCCATCGCCCACCGTACGCGTTCAGGGCGTACAGGGCGGGTGGGGGCGCCGGCGCGAGGACGGACGTCTGGGCGCGGCTTGCGGAGCTGCTTGGGCGCAGCACGAAGCTGCGCCAGCTGTCGGTCGGCTCGCACTGCCCGGCAGGCACCAACCTACCGCCGGAAGAAGGCGTCCTCGGTTTCTTATCCGCCCTCGAGCGGAGCGCGGTGGAAGATCTGGTCCTCCCCTGTCCGCTGGGCGATCGCAGAATGCAGGATGGCGAATGGAGCGAGGCTCTCATGGTCGCTCAAGTGTGTGCAGTGCGCAACAACGCCGCGCTGCGTGAGCTGACCCTCGTTCCGTACGTCTCCATGGACATCCCCGGCGCGTCGGCGGTGGTGACCGCTCTGCAAGGTACCACGACTCTGCGCAAGCTGACCCTCGTCGGAACCGACGCGGGTCTCTTGGGGGCAGTGGGCGGCCTGCTGAGTCGCAACACGTCGCTGGTGGAGCTGCTCATACCCGGGTTCACGGTAACACCGGCGACGGAGGAAGACACCGACGACGACGACGACGACGACGACGACGACGGCAATGGCCTGAACCAGTGCGATCTCCTCCTCCAAGGCCTGGGCGAGAACAGAACGCTGGAGGTGCTGCGGATTAATGACGACTGCCCGATGATGGACAACGCGACCGTGCGGCGCTTGGTGGACGCGCTGTACGGCGGAAACCGCCACGAAGGGCGCCAGCTGCGCACGCTCGGCATTTTCTCGAGGGACTGCGGTGAGGACGACAACGTCGGTGACGATGGCGTGGAGTGCATCGCTGCCGTCCTGGAGGACGCGCGGTCGAGCAAGCTGCGGAACCTGGTGCTCGACGTCAGCGCCAGCGACCGAGGGATACGAGCGATCGCGCGGGCTCTGCGGAAGAACCGCTGGCTGGAGTCGTTGGACTTGGGCCGGGGCAGCGATCGCACCGTCACCGACCGTGGGTGGGAGACCTTGGCGGCGTCGGTAGCAGACAACACGACGCTGCGGCACCTGGCCTTCCGGAGCTACGTCCGCGGTGACGTGATCGATCTCTTGATGCGTGCGCTGCGGCGCTGAGCGAACCGCATGCCCGCAGCGGCTGGCGCGACCGATCGGGGGGTGTTGAGGTGACCGCATCACATACCGCACGTCATGCCGCGCCCTACCCGGCCAGGTCCGAGATGCACCGCTCCCACTGTGACATCGGCACGCGGCCGCCGCCCTTGCCCCCGTGCGCGTGCCGCGCCATCTCCACCAGCAGCAGCAGCCGCTTGATCGGCACACTGTCGCCCAGCATCGCCGCGGCGCGCTCCGCCTCGGCCTCCGGGAACGCGCCCTCCGCGACCAGCACGCGCGCGGCGTCGTCCGTGCTGAGGTTGTGCGCGCGCAGCACCACGTTGAACGCCGACGTCACCTCCATCGCGTCGAGTACCGCCTCCATCGACGTCGTGCCAATCACCAGCAGCCGGCGGCCCGGGGGCGGCTTCTTCTTGAGCAGGACGAGCAGGGTCTGCAGGACGAAGTTCGAGAAGCGCGGCCCGATGGCGACGTACTCGAGGAGCCGCTCGATGTCGTCGACGATCAGCGCGGAGACGGGGGAGCGGTGCGCGTCGTCAAAGGCCTTGGCGAGGAACGACGCCTTGGCGTGCTCGGAGAACCCGACGACGTCGTTCGGAGACACGAGCTTCACGAAGGGGAAGCCCGAGTCCAGCGCGGCCTTGGCTGCCAGGGCGGTCTTGCCTGAGCCAGGGGGGCCCTGCGCAAGTGGGGGAGGGGGGGGTAGGGTTGATGGGGGCGACGTCTGAGGAGGCTGCGCCGGCGGGGAGGGAGCAGAGGGCGCGTGCGTGGGCAGATGCGCGGGCGCCAGGCGGCAACAGTAAAAACGTTCGCAGAGTCGGAAGAAGGAGAAAAGAGTGGTGGTGTGGCAGAGGCGTGCAGGTGTGGTTTCGCGCCGCGCTCACCTGGATGAGGCAGGTGAGGATGGAGGTGTTCTCGCTCTCGCGCGTCTGGTTGACCAGGCTCGATATGCTGGCCTCCATGTGAACAAACCTCGGGCCATATCTGATGATGCCGCGCTCCATGCACGACTGCAGGCTCTCGCCCGACACCCCGAACGCCGCCTTCACCTCGTTCAGCGCCCGCTCGAAGTCCCCCATCGTCACGCGGATCGCCTCCATGTCGATCGCGTCCACGTGCTCCAGGTCGGCCGTGTCCACGTGGCGGTTGAGCGCCCAGCTCGCCGCGCTCTTCACGAGGCCCTCGATCTCCGCGCCGGAGAAGTTCTTCGTGCGCGCCGCCAGCGCGTCCAAGTCCACGTCGTCCCCCAGGAAGTTGCTCCCGCTCATCTTCTGCGTATGAATGTTGAGAATCTGCAGCCGCCCCCTCTCGTCAGGCAGCCCGATCTCGACCTGCACCTCCATGCGCCCCGGGCGCAGCAGCGCCTCGTCGAGCATGTCCTTCCGGTTCGTCATCCCGATCAGCAGGATGTTGTTCAGCGCGTTGACGCCGTCGATCTTCGTCAGCAGCTGGTTGACGACGGTGTCGTGGACGCCGCTGCCGTCGCGCACGGACCCGCGCGCCTTGCAGATCGCGTCGATCTCGTCGAAGATGATGACGTGCAGCGGCGAGTTCGCGCCCTTGGCCTTCTCGTCCGCCTCGGCGTCGCTGAACAGGTTGCGGATGTTCTCCTCCGACTGCCCGACGTACTTGTTGAGCACCTCGGGGCCGTTCACGATCTTCGGCTCCACCGCGCCGAGCAGCTGCCCGATCTGCCGCGCCACCAGCGTCTTCCCCGTCCCCGGGGGCCCGAACAGCAACATCCCCTTGACGTGCTTGATGCCCATCTTCTCCATCACGTCGGGCGGGAACACGCGCGACGCGAACGTGCGCCGGAAGATCATCGAGAACTGCTCGTCCAGGCCGCCGATGCCCAGCCGCTCCAGGTTCGCGAAGCCCTCGCCGCGGAGTAGCATCAGCTGCATCTGGCTGGCCTGGCCGGTGATCGTGATCCGCGACGCGGTGTCCGGGACCTCGTAGAAGAGCTTCGAGTCCCTCGTGATCACCCCGCGCAAGCTCGTCCCCTCGTCGCCCGCCCCGGGCTTACCCCCCCCCTTGGCCAGCTCTGCGGCCTCCCCCTGACTCATGACGTTGACCACGCGCAGGCTGAGCTTGAGCCCCTGGACCTCGCTGACGAAGAGCTGCCCGACCGTGACCCACTGCCGCTCGATCTTCTCCACCACCGCCCTCGTCAGCTCCTCGGCCGACACCTCGAACGGCACGGCAGCACCCCCGATGCGACCGACCTCGATCCTGCACGCCGCCGCGGCGTCGGACGCGTGCGGGCGCCCCCAATGGCGGACCGAGAGCTCCTCGCCGTGGTTCGCTCCCAGGCTCTGCCGCTGGAGTGTGTTTACGGCCACAGTGCCCACCCTACACTCATCATGGGCTTCTGCGGTGAAGACGCAGGGCGTTTTCGCGCCCCAGGCGAGCTCCAGGTAGAGGGGATCCTCGGGGCCGATGCGCGCGTGTCGGCGGTACACCGCGTAGTCGGACGCGTGCAGGTACACCCGGTTTCCCACCACGAGGTCCGGGCTGGGGGTCTTGGCCACGAACAGGGTTGGCGGGGGGCCGTGTTGGACCCGGTCCGTCGGCGCCTGCGCGAGGAGATCGTTGAATGTATTTGAGCTGGTGCGGGGGCGTGGCGAAGGCGCGTGTGGCCGGGAGGGGCGTTGCAGCGGGTGTGGGACCGAGCAGGAGGGCGCTGGGGAACCGAGGGGGGCGTGCGGTGAGGCGCGCGCGCGGCGGGTGGCCGTGTAAAGGGTCTGCGGCACGATGAGGCGGGCGTGGGGCCTGCGGGGCGCGGAGGTGCGAGGCGAGGCGTGCGTGCTGCAGCAGTACAGTCATGGGGAGCTGCGACGTGGAGACGCGGATTCCGCACCTGTTGCTGTCCTGCTGGCATCTGCTGATCATAGTGCGTCCTGGGAGGAGCGGCTTGCGCTGACATCGGCGGTGGCTGCCCCGCGGGGCGCCCGTACGTCCCAGCGCCCGCGCCCTGGCCGTAGCTCGGCGTACTGGTGCCCGACCGGCCAGAAGGGCGGCTCCTCGGAATCAACGGATCGTTCCCGTTCTGCTCCTGCCCTTCACCGGCACCTCCAATACCGAACCAGCTCATGTTCACCGATTGATGCCACCGAGGTCAGCTCCGTGCTGGAACGCGGCCGAACGACAGCGTCCCTGGTGCGCGCTTCGACGCTCACCGACGCGTCTCTCTATCACGCGCTCAGCGACGATCGCCCGGTGCTCCGTCGCCGCCCGCTGTGGGCGAATGCGATCAAAACAAGCCTCTGCTTGGACGACGTGCTGTGGCGTATCGGTCCAGGACGACACGTGTCCTCAACCGTCTTGTACGCGTGCGGTACTTCGAGTGCAGCGCCCTGCCGCGCCGCCTCGAGCTAGCGCGAGGTTTTCCCGGCGCTGCTGGCGCGTCTGACCGGCATCCTGGACTGACGCGACACGCACGGCTGGCGGGTACTTGGCCCTCCGTGTCCGCGCGGCCGCACGCTTCTAGCTATGCTGCTGCCTCATGGCATACAAACCGCCCCGCTGCTGGCCCGACGGGCCCACATAATCGATTTTTGCATGCAGCTCTGGTGGGCGCACCGCCGCCCGGCCCGGCAGCTTTCCCGCGCTGCGCCGCCACGCGCAGCCCGCGCATACAGCAGCCACTTCTCTCCCACGCGCGCGCGCCGATCCAGCGCGCCGCAAGGCCGCCGCGGCATGTCGACAGCATCAGCGTGGCCTGGTGCCTCCGACCCGCCGCAGGCGGGCCACACGCGTCTCGTCATCGAGGTCGCGTACGTCGGCAAGGACTTCCTCGGCTTCCAGTACCAGGCCGGCGCGTCCACCGTGCAGAGCACCCTCGAAAAGGCTGCACGAAGAGTATTCCGCGGCATGGACTCGCGCGTGGTGGCGGCCTCGCGCACGGACGCCGGGGTGCACGCCGAGGCGCAGGTGGCGCAGTTCGACGTCGCGGACGACGTCCTGCGCGCCGCAGCGACCGGAGAGGGCGCAGTGCCGCAAGAGGTGGATGCGGCAATGCTTGACCGGTGCCGGGTGCGAATGAACATGCTCCTTGGCGGCGGCGTGGTGGTGCGGCGGATGGCGGTGGCCGCGCCGGGGTTCTCGGCGCACCGTTCGAGCGGCAAGACGTACCGGTATCGGGTTGCGTGCGGCGGGACGCCTTGGCACCCCGCGGCGCTGCAGCGGTGCTGGTGGGTGGCGGACCGGTGGCAGCAGCTGCACAGGCGGCTGCCGGACGGCGAGGGTGAGCTCGCGCTGGACGTGGGGGCCATGCGGCGCGCCGCGGACGCCATGGTGGGGGAACATGACTTCTTCCGGTTCGTTGGGCGACAGCGGCCGCACGGGCCGGGGAACAAAGCGCGAGGGCGGCGGAGGACCGACGGGCGCGGGCGGAGCGGTGGTGGTGGCGGGTGCGGCTCGGGAGACGAGAGCAGCGGCAGCAGCAGCGGCGGGAGTGCGCGGAGTGCGTCCGCGTCGCCGCGGGGCAAGTCGACGGTGCGGCGCGTGCAGGCGGTGGACGTTGAGGATCTCGGAGACGGGCGGATCGACATCGTGATCGTCGGGGACGGCTTTCTGTTCCGAATGTGCCGGTGCATTGCCGCAGTGCTGGTCGCGGTCGGGATGGGCCAGCTGAGTCAGACTGACGTCGAGGACGCGCTGCGGGGCGCGGGCGATAGCGCGGACGCGCCGAAGCGGCGAGCGGACCCGCTGGCGACGCCGGCGCCGGCGCACGGACTGACGCTCGAGCGCGTGCACTTCGGGACGTCCGAGGACGAGTGGCCGCCGCCCGCGCACCTGCCGTGACCGCACCTGCGTCGACAATGATGTGAGCACGCGACGAGGCGGTGCAGAGCGGCCAGAGCGCCCACCAATTCTATACAGGCGTGTGTGCAAATGAAAGGACAATGCACCCTCGCAACTGCGCCTCACCGCTGCGACACGCTCTGCGACAGCGCCGCCCACGCGGGCGCAGAGGTGGTCGATGCAGCAGCAACGCCTCAACTCACAGCCCGCCCGCGTTCCGCAGCGGTGCTGCCAACAGCGTCCGCGCCGTTGTTTGCGCTCTCAGGCAGAGATGGCGTCGTACATGCGCTTTGCGCGCGCGGCGTTGACGCCCAGGTCGCCCCCGCCGAACCGTAGCTGCCCCTGGTACTCCACCAGGCACTTGTTCCCGCCCTGGTCGGTGATGCGGATGAAGACGTCATCGGCAAAGCTGAATACGAGACTGACGTGACGGGAGTGCAGGTAGTTCGCGGGCTTGCCGCTCGCGCCCTGCACGTTCTCCTCCTTGCGCAGCAGCGCCGTGCGGCCCATGGCGTCGCCCTTGATCCAGTCCTCGACCTTGGCTGCAAAAACAATCAAGGAAACGTAACTGGCAGTGAGTCGCGACGGCAAGGTACTCCAGGAGCTGGACAGGCGCGCGCGGAGACCTCGAAACACCCGCACGCAAGCGAGATCACCCGCGCGCCGACACGCGCCCGTCATCGTCCGCAGTTGTCCGCATCGCATCTTGTGGCGGTTTCGGGGGCGCACCGGTGACCTCGTCGAGCGACCCCTGCACCGTCACGGGCCTGAGCTCGCCGGCGTTCTTCGGGTTCTCGACCGTCACGCGGCACGACCCGATCGCGGCGCCAGGGCCAAACGTCTGCGAGGGGAACTCCTCCACCTTGGGGTCGAGGCTCAGGAGGTGAATGCCGGACAGAACGGCCCCCGCGGTCGTCAGAGCTCCTGCCTGGGGCCCGGGGACCATCGCTCCGATGCCGATGAGCACTGCGCGGCGCGGTGAGGGGGCGGGCGGTGGGGTGGAGGGGCGCGCAGAGCGGGTCGAGGCGCGCGCGGCGTGCGCGGGGCGCTGTACCGTTGAGCGGGTTCCGCCACTGCAGGCCGAGGAGCGCCGTGACGGCGCCCACGGCGGTGCCGGTGCCAATCTTCCCAAGCTGGTTCAGCATTGGGGGGGCTGCCTGCACGCAACGCCGTTAGATCAGGTGAAAAGACGATGCTTAGAGCCGGAGACACGAGAGGACGCGCGTTGCGCGCTCGCTGAGGCCGCACATCGCCCACGGAGCGCGCTCCGTGATTCCTGGTCATCCCAGTTCGATGCCGGCGCGCTGGCGGCGGCACGTCACGGCGCTGGCGGCGGGGCAGCGTGCGTGCGGAACACGTGATCTGTCGTGCGCGCGCCTGGGCTGGCGGGGCGACCGCGAGGGCGAAGAGGACTGCCGCGGAGAAGGCTGCCGGGACTTGGTACGGGTTGGGCGAGTAGATCGGGCCGCGAGGACGCGGCTTCTCGGTGGTCGTGAGCGTCCTGGACTCCTCCGGGGCGGCGCGCGCAGCAACGCGGGCGCGAGAGGGGCGGAGCGTCGCGCGGGTGGCGAGGCCGTTGATGCGAGCACCGTGCATGACAAAAGCCGTCGTGCGTGACGTTCTTGACGAGATAACGCCGAGGACGCAGTGCGAGCGCGTAGTGCCCGTCGTGCTGGTGCAGAGGACCAAGTGTTGCGGCTCTGGAGCCTCGACCGGCGGGTGCTGACGCAGGACGCTCCTGGACGCCCCTCCCGCCTAGTCGTGGCGCGTGGGTTGGCGTCGGGCCGTGGCGTGCACGCGGGGCGAGGCGCGGCAGTTCCCACACGAGGCAGGATGCTGCAGCTCCGCTCTCAGAGCCGGCTGGCCCCGGGCGGGGCCGGGAGCGGCCCGGGCAAGGCCAGGAGGAGGATTGCTGTGGTGTCGCGGGCGCGGTCCCGGAAGGCGCATGAGCAGAACGCGGAGAAGAAGAGCTCGAGGCCCGCCTCCCTGCGGCGAGGATTCGCGCCGGGCGAGCAGGCGTTCGCGAAGTGCGCCCCTGGCATACTCCTGCGCGCGAAACGCCCCGCAGTCGGAAAATTGGCGGTAGACACGCGCGCGAAAGTGGCGCAGTCCGACGTATTAGTTCCGAGCTTCCTTGCCGCGGGGCTGTCGGCGCGCCCCGCGCACCGAACGCCGGGCGCAACGAACTTGCCGCCTCGGTCGCGCCGAACGCGCGCGACGCAGCGCCCGAGCCGACCGCCCGCCGCCCCGGCAGACCTCGCCCCAATCTGCTCGCTTCGTTCCGCGCTTGCGATTCCATCGACGCATTCGCTGCGGCCCGGCACCGGCCTTAGGTTTTCGTGCCCTGAAGAATCTGCCGCGTCCGCCCCGTACGCACAAACCCCCGCGCGGGTCACTGATATCCCCAGATCCAGCTGGCGCCCCCCGCGCCCCGGATCCCTCTCTCGAACGCCCAGCTGCAGCGACAGCGAATGCGCGGGCTCACCGCTGCCCGGGACGCCCGTGCGCCCGCCGCCCGCACACCGCGCGCCCAGACACACACCCCACACCCCGCACGACCGCTCAGCTCGTCCCGCCCGCGACACACACACGCGCGGCCCCGTTTTCACACCCCCCGGGCCAAACAGGCACACAGCATACCTGGCAACTCGACGGCCCCGTCCTCGCACCGCAGGATGGCGCAGAACAAGCCCATGCCCGTGCACCACGCGCTGGCCGCGGGCTCCCTGATTGGCACGGACGGCGACAGCCAGGCGCCCGCGCACGCCAGCGAGGAGGGCGGCCCTCCCCCGCGCGCGCTGGTGCTTGACGTGAGCTACCAGCCGATCTACGTGATCAACTGGCAGCGCGCCCTCACGCTCACGTTCATCGACAAGGTCGACGTGGTGGAGTACTACTGCAGCCACCTGATCAAGTCGGCGACGGAGGAGCACCTGTTGCCCGCCGTCGTGCGCGTGCGCCGCTTCGTCAAACGGCAGCCGAGGGGCGTGCAGCTCAACCGCCGCAACGTGATGCTGCGGGACGGCTTCCAGTGCGCCTACTGCGGGCGCACGCGGGACCTGACGATCGACCACGTGGTGCCCCTGTGCAAGGGGGGGGACTCCTCGTGGGGGAACCTCGTGACTGCGTGCGGGAAGTGCAACGGCAAGAAGGCGGACAAGGTGAGACAGAGACCGGCGCGCCGAGATATGAGAATTGCGCGCTTGTATCTGTTTTTTTCTTTGTTCGTTTTTTCACGGCGCTGTTGTTGTTGTTGTTGTTGTGCGCGGGGGCTGACTGTGGCGCGCCGGAGGTCGCGACGCAGACGCTGGAGGAGCTGGGCTGGAAGCTGGACCCGATGCCGCGGGAGCCGTCGCCGCACCACGCGGCGATTCAGTTGCAGAACCTCGGAGTGTCAAAGCGCGTGCCGGACGAGTGGCGGGACTACCTGCCGTTCCACGAATAGCGCGGCGCCGCGGCAGCGGGCCTGCGGCGGGCCTGCAGCGCGCGGCGCACGACGGCTGCGAGCAGGCGTGGCAATACGCATGAACTGAGCGAACTGCAGTCCTGTCGCGGTGTTTGTTGGCCGCTGCGTTGATGCTTTCGTTGAGACGGCGCCGCGCTCGCGTTGGTGGCTCGCGCCCCCGATCCGTGCCCGCTCGCGCGCTTCTGGTAGTGTATATATAACAGAAAGCAGGCACGGGATCTAGGCTTTGTTGCAACTCCCGGACAGTGACCCGCGGAGGCGGCCACGCGAGGCGGTGTGACTCGCCAACGACGGCCTGCGTCCCACGACTGCACGCGTAGAGTCTCAGCTTACACGCACGGCCGCGGCGGCGGATCGAGCTCCATGGCGTCAATTGAGACACGACCCATGGGAGGCGAGACCTAGGCCCAGCAATCGAGGTTTCAGCCGTCGCGCGCGTGCGTCGCCGCGAGCAGGTCCTCCGGGTGGCAGTCCTGCACAGCAGAGGCGCGGGGCGCTGAGCGGTACAGACACACCGTCGACCAAATAGCCGCGAACAACAGACATGGCGCACACATCGCCTGTCGCAGCGGCGGCCGGGCCGAGACGCACCTCGTACTCGAGCAGGAAGTTCTTGTAGTGCTGCTTGAGCGCCTTGGCCACGCCCGTCAGCTTGTTGTTCTCCGTGTAGTTGTGCATGCGCGGCCAAACCCTGCTCTTCCAATTGATGGCGTTTCCGCCCGCACGCAGCCCCCCGTACGCCACCACCTCCCGGTACATCGTCCACACGTCCAGCTTCTGCCCGTTGAGCACCGTGTCCGGAAACGTCGCCGCGTTGATCGTCCCCGGCCGCTTGACCTCGATGAACGCGGCGAGGTCTTGCACGAACTCGGGCTTCGAGCACCGCTCGAGCGGCGCGCGCCGGGGCAGCCCCATCGCCGTCCAGTAGTACTTGCCGTCCACCTTGGGGATCTTCGCCCCGCCCAGCGCCGCGTGCTTCGCCTCGTCCAGCTCAGCGTCCGCCACGCCGCCGTCCACCGGCGCGGCCGGCGGCGGCGTGAACTCCTCGAAGAGCGGCGGGAACGTCTGCGCGGACGGCGCGCGCTGCCCGTTCGCGAGGTACGGAATCGCGATCGGCTCGGGGTCCGCGCCCGCGGCGAACAGCGGCGCCTCCCCCGGAAGGTACTGCGGGGGCTGCTTCAGGGGGATCTTCGTGAAGTCGCGCACGAGGTCGAAGAGCATCGCGTCCGCGCGCGAGAACGCCGCCGTCGGCGCGCCGCCCAGCGCGGCGACGCCCAGCGCGGCCAGCAGACGGTACGACGCGTCCTGGGCGAGCTGCTGCAGGGCGTGCAGCGCCCAGACGGAGCCGGCGACGGTGAGGTCGATGCAGGAGGACCCGTGCGCGACGGCCTCCGTGCGCCGCGGGTGGATCGTCGTCGCGCCTTTCGGCGGAATGAGGAACTGCAGCGTCTGCGCGTCGGCGGCCAGGGCCATCCGCAGCGCCTGCTGGCAGCCCTCGCGGCTCTCGAGCGCCGTGGGCTCGCCCGAGAGCAGCACCGCGCACTGCGCGCCGGACGCGGTCTCGACGTCGCACCGCAGCAGCGGCCCCGGGGCGCGCGCGGCGTTGGTCAGCGGGAGACCCTTGGACGGGGCGCTCGCGTGCCGGAGGACGGCGCCGCGCGCCTCGACGACTAGCAGCCCGCGCAGGGCCTCTCCGAGCGCCGCGAGCTTGTGCGACGTCATGAAGGCGAGGTCCCCAGTGATGGTTATTCGCAATTGTCCCCGGGGGACTAACATCTGGAGGGAGTCCCAGCCCGGGACGGCGGTGCGGACGTCCGCGGGCGGCGTGCCGGTCAGGCACGGCGGCACCGCGCCCGCGGACGGCAGCGCGGCGGGCTGCGCGGAGAACATGATGGGCAGCGACGGCGCTACGTGGTAGTGCGAGATGGACCCCCCCCTCTCCGAGGACGGCGGGGAGCGCTGGCAGTGCGCGAACGCGACGGCCGCGGCGAGTGCGAAAGCCTCGTGCACGGAGGTGCCCGGCCGGCGCAGGAGCGAGAAGAAGACACGCGAGAAGAGGGCGGCGGGCACTGCCGCGGGGACCGGCGCTGTGGGCATGCAGATGACCGCTGGGACGCCGAGGTCGCGGTGGAGCGCCTCGCCGACGGTGTCCGAGGCCTGCGCGGCGCGGGCGCGCGGGAGGCGTGAGACGGACAGCGCGTGCAGAACAGACACCGAATCTCGACTCAGAGTGGCTTCGTCGCGCATATCTGGCACGATGCGGCGTCCTGGACACACGCGCGAGTGATCCGCACCTGGAAGTCGAGGTACACGCAGTCGACGGACTCGCATCGTCCTCGCAGTGCCTCGACCAGTGCGCTTGCATCCACGGGGCAAGGCACGCCCGCCTGCGGCGGCGGAGCCGGCGCAGCCGCTGCCTCGCCGGGCGCGCCGGCGACGGGCGCCTGCGCCGGGGCCGCGGCGACGACGTCGGCTGCGGCAGGGAGCATTTCGGTGTCGCCCTGGGCGTCGACGTGGACGGGGGGGTGTACGGGGGGGACTGTCGCCGGCGGCGCGTTCGACGGCTGCGCGGGGGCGTTGGGGTCGGGCCGGACCTGCGGAGACGCGATCGGCGGGCGCGCGACAGGTGGTCAGCCGCCGGGGTGTGCGTTGCACAGCTGGCTCGTGGCATGGCGCGCGGTGGGTCGGCTTGTTCGCGGATGGCGCGTTCGCAGCGGAGAGGAGATCGCGCGGGGGAGGGCTGCGGCGGTCTTGCAATGTGACGGTGCTGGAGCGCACCATGGGGCCGAGAGTGGCCGTTCGTCCGCCGTCGTAGCCTGGTATGACGTCTCCGATGACGTAGATGAACGAAGGCTTCATGTTCTGCACCTTCGTGGCGATGTCCTCCACGCTCGGGGCCGCGAGCCTGTCGTGCGCAAACATCGCAGCGCTTCCGGCGGTCGTCGACGGCTCCGAAGACAACAGGTCCTGCGCGGGCCCACATGGCGAGACGCTGCCGCCCCACACCTGCATTCCAGCGACCCCGGACCGACTGAGAGGCCCGGGCTGTCGGCGCGCGGTGCACTGGGAGCAGGCCCACGCCCAGCTCAGCGAGGGCACGCGCGCCGCGGGGCGTTTGCTGATCCAGGCGGACGCATTGTACGCGGAACATCCGGGCGGCCGCGGCGACGCCGCTCCTCGCACAGCTCCGGCGCACATTTGCCCGACTGTGGCTGCGTACAGGCAGGGGCCGCAGATCACCTCATCCGCTGTCCGGCCGAAGCTCAGTACCAGCAGCTTGCGCTCCTTCAGCAACGGACGCGGCTCTCCGTCCGTTTTCGGAGGCTCAGTGTGCACAGCGCCGTCCATTTTCCTTCGCTAACGTGTAGCAGTAACCAACCGCCTCCGGCGCCCTCCAACAGCCACCGTTCGCGCCAACCGCACCCTCTCGCTACGCAGCTAGCTCGAATGCGGCCCTGGCGCTGCGTCTTCCCGCTTCTGCGCGCTCAGCCGCGCGCCCAGCACGTCAGCAGAGGTGACTTGCACCTCAGCCGCCCTGGCAGTCAACAGCGCGAGGCCTCCGAATCACAGACGGCACGCAGCTCGCCAAGCGGCCCTCAGCACGCGCGTCCTCCGGCAATGACACGCGCGCCCACCCTGACGCCATGATGCTGCCAGGTACAACAACAATTTGGCAGGCTGCTGTCCGGTCCGACTCACAAACGCCGCGCCCAGCCGCCCGCTGCTACCGCATCCCGAGCCCCTGCAGCATCCCCTCCATCGCGTCGCGCTCCGCGTCGTTCCGGTCCTCCCAATTCTGCAACGTCGCGTCGCGCACACGTCCAGCCGGTGAGCGACGCGCCGCGAGGCGCAGCACGGCCCCCGCGCCACCAGCAACGCCATACACCGCACCCGGCGACGCAGGAGCGGGCGGCGCTGCCCGGGTGTTGGCCACGCTGAACCCCTGACACGGGGGGGCGCCTCCGCGGAATGCGGACTGTGAGACCTGACTGGGGTGATGCCCAAACGACGTCGATACGGTTGACCCCGACTGCGTTGAGGTCGTCTGAGAGTGTATCTTCGTGTAGCCAGCGCCGACGCAGCTCCACCACGTCCTGTGGCAGGTCGTGCAAGTAGCGCGCCGTGTCTGCTCCTGATGCAGAAACGAGTCCTCCTCCAGCCAGGCGAACTCGTGAAACTCCTCCATCACATCGAGGAGTGGTTGCGTCTTCCAGCGTGCGCGGATGCCATCAAATGGCATCCGTCGAGACAACCACACGCGCACGCTGGAAGACGCAACCACTCCTCGAAGTGATGGAGGAGTTTCACGAGTTCGCCTGTCAACGGCTGGAGGAGGACTCGTTTCTGCATCAGGAGCAAACACGGCGCGCTACTTGCACGACCTGCCACAGGACGTGGTGGAGCTGCGTCGGCGCTGGCTACACGAAGATACACTCTCAGACGACCTCAACGCAGTCGGGGTCAACCGTATCGACGTCGTGTGGGCATCATCCCCGTGTCAGGGGTTCAGCGTGGCCAACACGCCAGGGGCGGCTGACCGCAGCAGGGGGGGTGTTTACCTGGGGCCCCATCCCGAGGTCCTCGAACTCGCGGTCCTTGACCTCGAACTCCTCCCCGTACTGCACCGCGACGTCCACCTGCCCGAGCACCGTCGCGATGCTGTCCTCGTCCCGGATGTTGAGCGGCACGAACGCCACGAGCGAGAAGTCCTCCAGGAGGCCCGCGAGCGCCTCGCTGAGCGCGCGCATCCGCGGCGGGCCGTGCGCCTGCAGGGACGACGCCATCACCTCGGTGTCGGGCAGGAGGAGGCTCTCGACGTCGTCGCGCAGGTGGTCGGGCAGGAGGTCCATCTTGGTCATCACGGACACGTGGGGGGTCTCCAGCGTCACCATGGCTGCGCAGGGGGCGGGGGGTGGTGTTTGAGGTGGGCGGGTCGCGGGTGCGCGTGCACCGGCGCTCGGGCGTTGCTTCTGGCGGCGAAGTGCGCGGTACGGCATGCGCCGGCGTTGCGTTCCCGCACGCCGCGCTGTGACGCAAGAAAGTACTGCTTGTCGGACAGTCACGGCCGCGACCGAGGCCGTGTTCGGCGGCCACGGCCGTGGCTGCCGCACACGCAGTACGTCTTGCATGACAGCGCGGCTCGGAGGTGCTGGGGTCGCTCTGTGGCGGGGTGCGTGCTGCGATGTGCGCGCACGTCGTGCCGTCGTGGCCGCGACGTGCTGGCGAGACGCGAGGCAGCGACGCGGTGGGCGGCGCGGAATCGCGCGGTCGAGTGATTCGCGCGCGAAAGAGAGAACGGCGACACGCGGGGTGCCCCAGGCGCCCCTAGCGCTGCGGGACGGCATGTGGACGCGATGGGAATAGAGGACGAGGGGTCGAGGACGTGACACCCCCTCGCTCCATCATCGTCTTCTCCCACCGCGTCCACTGCCGTGCCGCAACGCTCGAGGCACGGGGCACCCCGCGCGCCGCCCTCGTGCCACTCCGAGGTGCCTCTAGCGCCGTAAGACGCATCTGAAAGGGGTCGCGGAAGAGAACGAATGGCCCAGAAAGGGATGCTTCTTCTTCAGGGCTCATCATCTCGTCAACGACCCTCTTCGCATCCGTCCTACGGCCCAGAGGCACCCGGGCCTGCGCGCGGGGACCGTGGCGCACCTGACAGCGCCTGGAGCGCCCCGGCGATGTACTTGCCCGCGTTGGTGAGGAACTGCGAGTCCAGGCAGTACACGGCGCACACCGTCCACCCCTTGCGCTGCAGCCAGTCCACGACCGACCGCAGCACGCCGCCGTGCGAGCACAGCTCCACCTGCCCGGGGCAGTCGATCACGATGCTCTCGTCCTCGCCGTACGCCGCCAGCTCCTCCTCCAACCAGTCGTCGAGGGACTCCTCGAGGAACTCCATGCAGTACATCAGACCGCCGTTCGGGCCCAGCTGCGCAGCGTAGACGGCGGCGCGCCGCGGTGACGTGCTGCTTGCGGCGAGGGCTCGGGGGTGTTGCTGACACACCCCCTCCCTGCCAGTGCGTGGGGAATGTGTGGGGAGGTGCGCGCGCGGTGCTGGGTGGGTAGCCGGGGTCGGATCGGTGCGGGGGGGGGCGGTGCGTCGGCGGGGGGGGTGTGTTGGTACAAACCTTGAGTTCTTCCATGACGTCCTGGACGGTGATGAGCTGGCGGACGTCGACGGCGACGGGGTAGTTGAAGTGCTCGGCTGCCGGGTCGAGGTTGATGAAGTGCACGGGGCGCCTGCGGCCGCCACGCACAGGAGCCCGCCGCGTCGGCCTCTGCTGTGCTGATGTACGCGCTGTGTCGCGCATATCACGGCTGGAACTTCACGTCACGAGCTTTCTTGTTGTGCTTTGGGGCAATGCGCGGGGATTCGGCCCTTGGACGCGGCGCTGCAGCGCCTAGCGGCGCAGCAGGAGCGCAGCAGTCTGATGGCGCCGCGGGCGCACCTGATGGCCTCGCAGTGCTCGTGGAGCACGTCGCAGTACGTGGACTTCCCTGAACCTGCCGGCCCGATCACCATCTGCGCGAACTTCGGCATCCTGACTCAGCTACGGGCCGGCACACACGCCTCCCACACAGCGCGGCCCCCGGCGGCCCCCGACGCAGCTGACGATGCAACACAGCGCGGTTCTGGGACTAGGTGGACGTGACTGAATTCGCCTCCGCCGACGCTAGGCGCCGGGACGGCGCGACCGAGGCCGGGGCGGCGGTGCAAGCGCCACGCTGCGTGCAGCCGTGTGGCGACGAATGCAGACGTCAGGCTCAACTTTCCGCCGATCTCGTCGGCAGTCCTCTCGCGTGCACGCCCACTGCGCGGCAGCGGGCGGCTCGCGTGGCCTCGAGGCGCCGTACGACCTGACACAAGTCGGACCACGCTGCTCTCATGTCCGACCCCGCGTACCGCCACCGCGCGCCCGCCGCGGGCTCTTCCGCGCCCGTCAGCGATCCACACGTGCAACACGCGTCTCCTGCCTCGCTTTCAAGTCGGTTTCGAGGCGCGAGGCCGCCGACCGCGACGTGTTGGTTGAGCTTCATCGAACCAAACCTTCCGGGCGCAACTGGCGGCTCAGCGCGGGCCACGATGAGCCATAGACTCTTCAAGCTGCTCAATTCGGGCGCGAAGTACAAGGACGTGCGTTCCCGCAGCCCCGCAGCCCTCGACCCGCCCGCCCGCGGCGCCAGCAACGCACCCTGTGGAGCTCCACCACCCCGCGGCCTCGCGGCCGCGGCACAGCCCACACCTCGCGCGCCTGAGCTGCACCAGCGGTCCTTCTATGCCAGCAGCGCCGTTTCAGGACGCCCAGGCCAGCTGTTCCTGTTTCTACCTCGCTGCGCCCCGCCCCATCCATGGTCACTCTATTTGCCCGTCACGTCCCGCTTCCCGGCGCCCGAGGCGAACGTGCGGCGCCAAGCAGCCGTTTCGGGTTTCTCGAGCGCCGTGAGCGCGCGTCGATCTCTCGAACCCCCCCTCTTCGCGCATCCAGCGCCCACACAGGACGCGACGCCTCCCCTCGCCTCCACGCCGCGCTCACCCGTGAAACCGCCGTGCGACCCCCTCCGCCGCAGCTGCTGGTCCAGACTGCACAGGATGCGCTTCCTCCCGGCTCGCACGCGGCCATCGACCGCTGGTACGCCCCGCCGAGAGACTCGGAGCTCCCTACGCTGGCATATCATGGCCCCGCGCTGCGGCTGCGCGGCAGGCACGGGCGCTGCCGGGGCGGCGAACGCGTACCGCTCTGGACCCACGTGCGATGCTGGACGGGTCGATCGCTTTCGCCCGCCTGTTGCTTCGTCCTGCCTGTGGTGCAGACAGCTAGGCCCGTCGCCCGCGGCGGTGGGGGAGGCGTGCGGCGCCGCGATGCAACCACGTGATTCCATTCCTTCTGGTAGCCCCGCGGCCGCGCCGGGACCGGGATAGACGCCCCTACGGGGGCGTCATTCCGCGACACTCTGTGCCTCACACAAGATGCGCCTCCGCCGCGAGGACCGGCCTCGCATTCGCCTTTTCTTGCGCTTTCCTGCATATTTTGTATGACATCCGTACAGGGCGTCGCACGTCCGCCTCGTGTATGGCCGTCGGACGCCGCGGGGGAGCCCTCAGCGTTGCATAGCATCTCGCCCCGCACGCGCAGGTACGCGGCTCTGATGCACTCCAAGCTCACGGACAGCTTCTTCACGGACGGCTGGGGCAACTTCGGCGAGCAGAACCTCATGGACGAGGTCGACGCGATGCGCGGCGGCGTGGACACACACGTGGCGCCCATGGACATCTCCTGGGAGGTGCGCGGGCCCGTTCCCATCGCGCCGCGAGCTGCGACGCCACGCCGCCGACCTCCTGCGCTTGGCGCTGCCCCCAAGCGACAGCGCGGCCCGGACTTCCGCCAAAATCCCAAGCCATGCAACTCAAATTGCTGCACGAGCCACACACACCGGCCCGCTGCACGAGCCCGTCGCGCACCGCATCGCTGCGCGCAGGTCGTCGGCACCGGCACCCTCGAGAGCGACGACGTCGCGGGCCGGCCGAGCAAGACGCGGTACGAGCTTCTCCAGGGTTCGTTTCGCGCACAGTGCTCGAGTATAGTGTTCCAGGACCTCCCGCCGGAGGTCCAGGCCGGGCGGTGCCAGCTCGTGCGGCCCGTCGGCCCGCCCGGCGGCTCGGACCCCCCCCCGCACGCGACGCCGTCGCTGGTCGTGCACCTGCCTGGTACGGGCGACCACTCGTTCGCGCGGCGGCTGGCGATCGCGTCGCCGCTGCTGCACCACGGCGTCGCGAGCCTGTCGCTCGAGGGGCCGTACTACGGCCTGCGGCGGCCGGAGGGGCAGCAGGGGTGCCGCCTGCGCTACGTAGCGGACCTGTTCCGGCTGGGGCGCGTGACGATCGAGGAGGCGATGCGGCTGATGCACTGGGCGGAGCACAACGGGTGCGTGGCGCCCTGGCGGTCCGACTGCAGCAACGCCCGCTCTGTGTGCGCCGCCCTGCGCTGCGGTGGCCTGCAGCGCCGTTGGGGGGCGAAGCGACCGTGCGCTTGCGTTGCTGCGTGCAGGTACGAGCGGGTCGGGACGAGCGGGCTGTCGATGGGCGGCGTGCATGCGTGCTACGCGGCGTCGATGTACCCGCGGCGGGCGTCGTGCGCGCCGCTTCTTGCGCCGCACTCCGCGGCGCCGTCGTACTGCCTCGGGCTGCTGAGCCAGGGCACGGCGTGGGAGGTGCTGAAGAAGCAGTTCCCGAGCGCGGGCATGCTCCGGGCGCAGATGGGGAGGGGGGAGTCTCTGGGGGAGTTGTGGGAGGGGTCGAAGACGATGCGGCACGCGGCGCACTCGCTCGCGCAGGCACACATCGCGCAGGACGTGGCACGGGAGAACACGACGGGCTCCGTCGCGGCGGAGGAGGGCGGGCCCGGGGAGGCATCCACCGACGCAGCGGGGGCGGGCGGGTCCGCGTGGGGGGCCGCGGCGGTGCCCTCGTGGCTCCCGGCGGCGGCGAGAGACTTGGACATCATCCAGGAGATGCTCAGGTCCGTCCGTGCGTCCCGCACTCCGCGCGCACGACATCGCAGCCCACAACAACAGTTTGCCGCGCGCAGCTTTTGTTGCTGTGCGCCGCGCCGCCGGCCCACGTGCGTCGCGGCGCCGTCCGCGCGCGCGTGCCCGATCGTGCGGGCGCCGTGCTCGGTGCGCGCAGGGGCCGGGAGGGGGGAGTGGACGAGACGATCCTGTTGTTGTGGGAGATCATGAACCGTTTTACCGACCTGACTCAGCTGCCGCCGCCGCTGCAGCCCGAGGCCACGATCCTCGTGGGCGCGACGGAGGACGAGTACGTGCCGCCGTCGAGCACGCTCAAGCTCGCGAAGGCGTGGGGCAACAGGTGCGTGGTGTTTGGTTGCGTGGGCCGACGCGTCGGCCAGTGCGGACGGCGGATGAGTGCCGGCGCGCGCGGGACGAGGCTGTGCGTGGAGCGCAGGCGTCGGAAGACGCGCGAGCGCGCGTCAGATGAAAGGCGCCAACCCTCACGAGGGGTCCTGGGGTTTGAGGGTTGAGTGCAGGGAGGTGCGGTGGGTCAAGGGCGGGCACGTGTCCTCCTTCGTCATCCACTTCCCGGCTTTCCGGGCCGCCATTCTGGACAGTCTGCTGCGGCTCAAATGACGCCGCAACTGCCAAGCTCGGCTGCTACTATCTGTTTCACAACACCACCGCTCCGGCAGCACGCCGCAGCTGTCTACGCGGCCGGCGCGGACCTGCGCGTGCTCCCCGCGTCGCTGCGACGACGCGCCACGAGCCCAGCAAGGGCTCGCCCGCTCCTGTACATTTCAAGTCGATGTTTCTCGTCTGTGAGCCCACAGCCACCCTCGACGTTCGTCACACGGCCTGCCTCGCCCCTCCGCCACGAGCTGAACCACCCTTCCGAGGCCCACCGAGACTTGAAACGCGAGTATTGTCACGTCACCCCCGTCAGGGCCGCACCAAAACAAACCATCACTCCCCCCCTACAAGTTGATCCACTCCCCCCGGTTCTCGTCCGACGCCGCGTCCCGAATCATGTCCGACAGCTCGAGGAACGCCCGCGGCCCCAGCCGGTACATCTCCCCGCGCCCCGCGTCCTGCAGCCAGCGCTCCCGCACAAAGGTGCGCAGCGCCGTCTCCGCGTCCGTGAGGCTCAGCGAGAGCGACACGTCGCCGCCCAGCGTGCCCGCGCGCTTCAGCCCCGACCGGCAGTTGAGCGCCTCCACGTGGTCGATCTCCCGCTCCTCCGCTGCGGGCGGGGGGGACAGACAAGGGGGGGTGTAAAGGTCGGGGCGCATGAACGTGCGATGGTCTGAGTTCGAAGAAGCGGGGGAGGGAGCGGAGATGCGCCTATGTGATCGTGAGGAAAAGCAGAGCTCGTTTAAAGACTTTTCGTGCAAGGACGAATGTCTGTGGCAATGTGCACGGCGGCGGCCCGCGCGAGGGAGCGCGTCGCAGTTTCGCACCCACGGCGATCGTCTCGAGGATCTTCTGGAAGAAGGCCGTCTCCGCGGGCGTGAACAGCCCCCCCAGCTTCGCCACGTTGTCCTGCAGCCTGTTGACGACGCCGACGTACACCTTGCCGTCCGAGGGGTTCCGCAGCGAGCGCACCTGCACCGGCGCCGGCGAGCCGAAGTGTGAGCCGCGGCGAGGCGCTGTGCGCGCGCAGCACGCTGTGTGTGAGGGGCTGTTGTGTTTTGTGGTTGGGGGGGGGGTAAATACCGCCATGTGGAGGCTGTGGAGACCGAACTCGCCCTCGTCCTCGGGGTCCCCTAGGTTGAGCCACGTCAGGAGGTGATTGAACGCCGACGGGTCGTCCGATTCTGCGCGGCACGAGTGAACGAAAAGGAACGTCCGCGGCCGCGTGAACAGTGCGTCCTGTGCGCATCGACTGCGCACACGGTCGGAGACTGCATGGACCGACGCTGTCGCGCCGGAACCGTCGCGGTTCCGCGGCGGAACTGTGCGAAACCCGCAAAGCAGACGCCCAGCGGGTCGTTCAGCGCACTTGCGCATCTTCCGCAGCCAGCACACGCCCTCCTGGGCCCGGTGCCGGCCAGCTGCCACCGTCATGTGGCATGGATACAGCCGGGGCTGCTTCGGGGCGGCGCGGAGCCATGCAGTCCCCGGGCGTGGACCCGCGCCGAAAGCGTAGCGTGCAGGGCGGGGGGCCGTCGTGCGTCGCCGCGGCTCACCCATGAGCTCTTGGAAGAGCCGCAGCGCCTCGGACTCTTCAAGACAGCCCCGCTTGAGGAGCGCCTGCAGGAAGGCGTGCCTGCGCACGATGCCCTCGGTGCTCGTCATGGCCCGCGAGACGTGCGCTCGAATTTCCCAGCCGCACACTCAGTGATTGAGCGAAAGGAACGCCGCAGACTCCTCGTTGGAGCAGCTGGAAGCTGCTGCGGGCAGGCTCGGCGGACGCGAGGTCGTGGCCGTCAGCTCCGGGGACCGTTCCCTCAACACCAGTCTTCGTTTGGAGTCTTCCGGAGTGCCACAGCTGGGATATCTTCGTGGCCTGGTCGCAAACGGTCGGGAACGACCGCGCCTGCGGGCCTCGTGCGCCGCGCGACCGTTTCGCGCACGGCCCCGCTGTCTGTCCGCAGTCGAGTAGAAGCCTTCACCAGCACCATAGTACACGTCCCGTCTTCAGGCCCCGCTCGGCGGCGCACGCGCATCTCCGCCACCATGCCGTTCGGCGACGTCGTTGTCCGGGCGCCCAAGGGCCCCGTCAGGCTGCACTACATCGACGCCAGCCCGACTGGCAATGTTGCCGCCCCAGCGCAGGTGGTTGTGCTGTCACACGGCCTGCTCCTGCCGGCCACCAAGGTGCGCGGTGCCCTGCTCGCGCGAGCAGGACGGTCGGAGGCAGACACTGGTGCGTGACACGCGTGTGGTCTTCGTTCGTGTTCGCAGTTGTACCCTGCCTCGGGAATCGCCGACGCGGATTGTTTGGCGTTTTTCTGGCGCGACCAGATCCCCGAGCTGTGCCGCGCGGGCTTCCGGTGCATCGCGTACGACCACCGCGGCCAGGGAACTTCGGAGCGGTCAGAAGACTGCGACCTGGACATCCTCGCTGACGGTGCGTCCCCTGGCGGATCCCCTCCTCCGAACGGTCTGCGACTGGCGAGCATCAAAATTACACGTTGCTTTCCATGGCGCAAAACGACACTTGACGGCCGCAATCGACCAGAAACAGCCGAAAGCGATTCCAGTCCCAACCGCATCTCTTTCTCGTCCTCTCCGCGGCCTCCCGCGCCAGCCGCGCCGCCTCCTCCTCCGACAGACGCCTGGAACGAATCGATAGTCGCGAGCCGACCGACTCCGGGCCCACCGTCTCCTCTCTCATGCAGATGCAATCGGGCTAATCCAGCAGCTGTGTCCCGGCACGCGGGTGCACTTCGTCGGACACAGCATGGGCGGCTTCGTTGGGCTGCGCGTCGCCGTCAAGCGGCCCGACCTCGTGCAGTCCCTCGCGCTCATCAACTCCTCCGCCTCCGAGGACCCGAATCGGCACTTCTATGCTGTTCTCGGGAGACTCTCGACCTGGTACTGGCCGTTCCCGGGCCTCGTTGCGTCGTACACGGTCAGGCGCATCCTGGGCACTAGCTCCCGCGCAGACACGCGCCAGGCCGAGCTGGTCCGAGAGCTCGTGGTAAGTAGTACGTCATCACTTTTAATTAATTAGTCATGAATGCTTATTTTGCGCAGTGCCCGCACCGCTTCTTCTTCTTGCTGTCGTAGCACAGAGATCCTTCGCGCCAACCTGAAAGACGAAAAGACCTGTGCGCAATGTGTGCGTGCAGGACCACATCGGCCAAGTGCAGCGCTACAGTGGGGTCATGTCGATCACGCCCGCGGCGCAGGCGGTCTTCTTCCGCAAGGCCGTACCCCCGACGGACCTCGCCAGGATCGCGTGCCCCACGCTCATCCTGGTGCGCACAACAGCCACAGTATGATATCATCGGAAACCTTCCACAAACCTTCTACAACAACAGTATCATGTGCCGCCTGCCATGGATACAAATACAAACAGACACTACTTCTCGAGTTCCACGATTTCGGCCCTCTCTTCATGGGCGCGCCGCTCCCCAGCCCCACGACCCGCCCCGCCGACCCACCCGCCACGCAGGCCGGCGACGAGGACGTCTGCACGCGTCCCGCCGACTCCCGCGACGCCGCCCGGCACATCCCGAACTGCACGCTCCATGTGCTGCCGCGCTGCGGCCACCTCGCGCCCCTCGAGTGCCCCCGGGCCGTGAACCGCCTCCTCCTGAGCCACCTGTACGCGATGCCAGTGCGCCCGCAGCCGCAGAGCCCGCCCTCGACGGGCCCCGGCTCCAAGCCGCACAAGCCTGCGTCTTCCTCTGGGGAGGAGGAGGAGGAGCGCGTCGAGAGGGTGAGCGAGCGCGGGGCGGGGCAGGGCGGGGAGGAGTGCGCGCCGGCGTGAGGCGCGTGGCTGGATGGGAGTGGCTCTGTTGGCGGCGCGGAAGAGTCCACAGTCGCTCACAGTCGTTCGATGGAGCGAGGAGCGCGTCCCTGCGGAGACAGACGCAGCTGCCTGGGTATCCTGTCTGTTAAATGACACTGGAGGATTGGTATGTGTTTATAGCAGCGGACACTCCTTGGCGTGGCGCCGCTTGTCCGCCTCGAGGCAGTCCTTCGAGCAGTACCGCACTTTGAGGCACTTCTTGCACCGCGCCGGCGCCACACCCGGCGTAGGCATGCCGTGGCACTTGAGGCACGTGAAGTGCGCCGCATGCCCGTTCGAGACGCCGCCGGACTTCTCGATCGAGAACGGCGACCACGTCCGCTGCGAGTACGCGTTCGCCAGCTGCGCACGACCGAAAACGCCGAATTGCGCGTCAGACGCACCCCGAAAGGACAATGCACACATAGGAAACCAAGACTGCCGTCTCGCACGCATGCCATCTTCACCGCAGCGCATAGCAAGCCAGCGCGAACGATCCCTGCGCCACTCACCGTCGTCTTCGCCGCGGTGCTGTTGCCCGTCTGCTGCAGGTAGCCCCGCCCCACCTCGCTCTGTGACCCCATCGACGCCAGCTCCATCATGTACGACGCGCCCGTGCCTCGCCGCGACAGCGCCCGTGGCGCAAACCCGGTGTCCGGCACCAGGAACGCGTTGCCCACGTACCCGCCCCCGTTGCGCTCGGGGCTGCCGTCGAACGACTCACGCATGCTCTCCTCGACGCCCAGCCCGAGGTCCGCGGCGCGGCGCAGGAACGACGCCGTCTTCGTGGGCGTGAGCGTCGACGTGGGCGCGCGGCCGATGTCGTCGTCCTCCTCGCGGCTGACGAACGCCGCCACGCGCACGGGACTCGGCATGGCGCTGTACGCCGTCCGCGACGCCGCCGGGGCGCGCGCGTACCGCGACGCCGCGTACGTCATCCCCGGCGCCAGCCCCTCCACCAGCGACACGTCGCCCGGCTGGATCGAGAAGCTCGCGTCCATGGCGCACGCCTCGTCCAGCATGGACTGCGCGTACGCCGGCGACTGCGCCTGGCCGTGCGGCCGCCGCCGCTGCAGGCGCGCCATGAACAGCGCGCACTGCCGGCAGCGGAACGCCACAGCGTTGGACCCGTTCGCCGCGGTGCACGCCGCGGCAGCCGCGACGTCGACGGGCGTCTTTCCGTCGTCCGTCAGCGCGCGCAGGGACGCGTCCGTCGACAGGCAGAGGTACTGCACGATCTCGAGGTGCCCGCCCTGCGCAGCCATGTGCAGCGCAGTCATGCCAGCGCGGTCCTTGGCGTGCACGTCGACCCCGACGCCCTCGGCGAGCAGCGTGACGGCGGCGAGGTTGCCGGCGGCGCAGGCGGCGTGGAACGGCGTGCGCTGCTGCGCGTCGAGCGCGCGCAGCTCCGCGCCATGCCGCATGAGCGTCGACAGCAGCTCGGCGCACTTGGGCCCGTGCCGAACGTCGCTGGCGGCGATGTGCAGCGCGGTGAGCTGCTCGTGCTGCGTGCGCTCCATCACGCCGGCCGTGCTGGTCACGAGGAGGTGGTGCACGACCTCGAGCTGCCCGTTCTTGCACGCCACGTGGAGACACGTGCGCCCGCTCTTGTCGCGGATGCCGCCCTTGGTGCCCCACTTGCGCGTGAGCACGTGCACGAGGTCGACGCGGCCCATCGCGACCGCCATCTGCAGGATCGTCTCCCCGGACGGGTCCTGCGCGTCGGGGTCGAAGTTGTTCTTCCGGCGCGACGTACATCGAAACAAACAGTCGACCAGCATCCTAGACACCACGTCCGAGTCCACCAGCGAGCCGTCCGTGCTCGTGTGCTGCAGCGCGCGCCCCGCCGTGTTCCGCATCCCCTGCGACTCGAGCTCCTGCACGAACGACTCCCGCTCCCGCACGCGCGCCTGCGCCTGCACGGCCAGCTGCAGCGCCGCCTGCACCACGTTGCGCCCGTCGGCGGGCGCGCGGACGCTCGCGTCCGCGCCGGCCTTGAGGAGCAGCCGGCACACCTCGGAGCACCGCGGGTGCGCGTTCCCGCGGCGCACCGCGCACAGGAGCGGAGTGAAGCCCTCTCCGTCCCTCGCGTCAATGACACGATACTTAGTGTTGTCCAGGTTGGGCAGCTGCGGGACGCCGGGGCCCGGGACGACGCCGCCGGACTCCGCGGGGTTGTCGCGGCACCACTTGAGGACCAGGTGGACGCACTTCGGGTGCCCGTTCGCGGCGGCCTCGTGCAGGAGGGTACGACCGAAGGACCCCGAGGGGAGTAGCACGTCGTCGCGCTCGCACTCGGAGAGGAGCACCTTGAGGCACGACGCGTTCCCTGCGCGCGCTGCTAGGTGCACCGCGGTGTCGCCTTCGTGGTTCGTCGCCAGCCCGGGGCTGACCGCGTGGTTGGTGCGCGAGTGACGGGCGCCCGCGCGCAGGAGCCACATGAGCAGGCTCGAGGCGTCGCCGGGCGAGGCCGCGGCGCAGTGGAACGGCGTGGACCCCGTGTGGTCCTGGACGCCCGCGCTGACGCCGCACGCGTCCACGAGGAAGCGCACGACGGGGAGGTGGCCGCAGAAGGCGGCCACGTGGAGCGGCGTGGTGCCGTTGTGCGCCGGCGCGGACGCGAGGCGCCGCTGCGAGTCCGTGTTCGCGCGCACGATGTACTCGAGGATCGACACGTGCCCGCCCTGCGCCGCGCAGTGCGCCGCCGTGGTGCCGTTTTCGGGGGAGGTCTGCAGCGGGTTGAGCCGGTACCGCTCGATCAGCTGCCGGAACGCCCGCTGCCTTCCGAGCAGCGCCGCGCGATGCAGCAGCTGCCACGGCTCCGCGGAGCTCCGCTCGGGGTCCAGGAGCATGCGCACTTCCGTCGCCGTCGTCAGTGCGCTCTTCACGCTCGCGGCGTGGCTGCGGATGCTCGTGTTGCGGTCCAGTGCCTTCGGTATGCCCGTGGCCGACACGCCCGACGCGCCCCGCGACGGCGCCGGCCGGCCGGTGTCCCGAGGGGCCTCGACAAAGTGCACGCCGCGGCTGCGCAGGGGCGAGGCGGCGGCCGGGCCCGCCGCGGGGCCGGCGTCGCCGTTCGCGGCGGGATTGTAGCTCCCCGCGCGCGACACGGGCACCGTGCGGTCGCCTCCGCGCCCAGAATTGGACGCAGCTGCTCCGTCGCGGCTGCTGCGCTCCCTCGCGTCCCGGGCCTCTCCGGCGATGCGCCGCGCCGCGGCAGTGGCTGCGGCGTACGCGAGGCGTCGGCGCTCGTCCGGCGCGCCGCGGGCGTCCTCGTCGACCCCGCGCGGCGTCAGCAGCGGCGGCGAGCCCCCGGACGTCGACACGTTGCGTACGACCGGCGACAGATCGAAGCTGACGCGACCGGGGGTGTCCTCCTCCCCGGGCCGGGCGTCCTCGGCGGAGACGACGGGCGAGAGGTCCACCGCGCCGCCGGCCGACGGCGTGTCGGGCTCGCGCAACGCGGAAACATCACTCAGGGAAACAAGAGCGCTGTGCTCTGGGATCGAGTCGATCGTTCGGTCGCTGCGGAAGCGCGTGAGCGTGCCTGAGGGCTGCGGCGTGATGTTCGCGGAGTGCGAGCTGAAGTCCTCCGAGAACTCGACCGCGAAGGACCGCAAGGAGGGGCGCGGCGGGGTGCCCGAGGCGGCGTTCGCGTCGCCGTCGAGCTCCCCGATGGAGCCCGCTGGGGTCCGGTGGGCGGAATCCGACGCCGGGGACGCGGCGCCCTCGGCCCTGCTGGCCGCCTGGATCTCGGCCACCAGCGGCGTGACTGGGGGGAGGCCGAGGCGAGAGGGGCCGGCGGATGGGCCCGGGAGGAGCGAGTTCGAGGACGGAGCGGGGCTCGCTTGCGGGGTCTGCGAGAGAGGATGCGACTTGAACGAGCCGGAGTCGTGCAGCCGCATGAGCCGCTCCACCTCGGTCGCGACTGCCTGCGCCTGTTCGTACATCGAATCCTGCGCGGCGCAGGAGGCGGTCTCACGGTTGAAACGCAGCCGTGCCGATTGGCGTATGCAGGGGCTTGCGCGGGGTGGCGGTCGTACGGCGGGGAGCCGCGCGATGTGCAACCTAGGTCCGTGCAGGCGTGGGGAGCCCCTGATGCTCGATTCGTGCTCGCTGGCGCCTCCGCGAGCGGCCGAGTCCGGCGACGGGCAGCGCGGCGCGTATGTCGGGGGTGTACTCGGCCTCGGGGCGGGCGGAGTCGCGCCGCGCGCGGACGAACGCGCACCTGACGGGCGTGGAAAGAGAGGCCGTCGCCTCCACGGGCCTCCTGCGCTTGCGCCTCGTCGCGGGGCACCCCGTCCGACATGGCCCCGCGCGGCTGTCGCGTCCTCTCGGCGGCGGGGCCGCGGCGCCTGCCGTGTGCGATCAGGGAAGGCGGAGCGACGCAGCCCTGCACGGAGGCAGTTCCGTGCGCTCGGCCCGCTGGGCGCGAATGGGCGCTCGACGGCGTGACGGCGCCAAGCTGACGAACGTGCTCTGCGACGGGGTGTGCGCGTCGCGGCCGCGGAGGCGCGCACATGACGCTGCGCGCTCTCGGTCACGGCCCGACCACGAAGTCCCCTCGGCAGTCGCGAAACGCGATCCACGCCACAGACAGCAACCAGGAGCAGCCCTCCAGTCTCGCGACGGCACGCTCAGCGGCCCAGACAGGCAAGAGCGCGCGGGGACGCCGCGCACCGCCGCGACGTGCTCCGAGCACGCTCGCGCTCCGACGACAGCGTTCCCGGGACGTCACAACGCGAGGCGTGCTGTGCGGCACACGCAAGATGCAGCGTCTGGCGTCCAAGGGCCGGAGGCGACCTTCTGCGCTGTCTCCGGTGCGGTGCGTTCGCGCAGACCGGCCGGCGGTCCGCGGCGTCTGCGGTGCGGTGCCTCCTCAAGAGGAAGGCGGGTTGGCGAGCTACTTTGTGTTTTTTTTTACCTAGGGGTGTCAAGGGGTTGACAAGTTCCAACAACTGATCGTGTTGTTGCGAGAGAACGAGTACTGTGTGGGAACGACGTGATCCAGCGTCCAAATCTGGACGGATCGCTGGCACGGAGGGGAACAGGTGGTTTCTGGTGCTTGGCAGGGCGCCCAACACCGGGCCATATGTTCGGGAGCGCCCGGGGGAAAGGGGGGGGTTCAACTAGCTACGGGCGCAACAACAAGCTTGGCAGGAGCGAGGCCGGCTTCTCCGTCGGCGTGTCTCGCTGGAGTGGGTGGTGGGTTGGATGACGCGTCAAGGGGGTCGTGGAGGGGGGGGGTGGGGGGGTGGTGGTTGCCGCGCGCCAGCTGTGGGCACGTGGCGGGGTGGCTCGGCTCGCGCGCTGTGGGCGTGGCAGACGGGAAACAATATTCGGTTGGAATCCCGGGTCATTGCTCTGCCTCTTTCGTCATCGTGGGTGGGGGGGGGGGTGTAGAGGCAGCGGGCAAGAGCTGCACGCGAGGAGCGGCGCGGTCGCAGGCGTGGCGTCTGCCTCGTCGCGATTGAGCGCCAGCGGCGTCATCTGCGCGGGGCGGCAGACCCAGCGCGTCAAGCGAGGTCGCGTCGGTGCCCTGAGCAGCTGTCATGGCCTCCACGGGTCCGGCGTCGTCCGCGGAAGCGGCGCGCGGCAGCGTGTCGACGTGGCGGAGAACAAGTGGCTGGAGGGAAGGGTAACGGAGAGGGCGGGAGGGGGGTTGGGGTGAAAAAAGGGGGTGTGCGTCTTTGGGCACATCGCAGTGCAGGGTTGAGCGGTGGTTCGAGGGGGATCTTGTGGGGAGGAGCGCCTGGCCGCTGGGGCCAAGCCTCTTGGTGCGCGGACCGCCGCTACGACCCTGTTCGCAAAAGATGCATGACATCATCGAAGCTCTCAACCTCCTTTGCCGCGCCACGTCGGGCCGGAGTGCGGGCCGGGTGCGTGGCGCGGAGGGTCGCCGGCTTGACAGTTCTTCGTCCGCGCGCATCGACGGCGTCGTCGCCGAGGGCCTCGAGCGTGGCGAGCAGCTGAGCCTGGGACGCCTGGCGCATGTGCCACGCGCCCGTGCGTTGCGAGGCGGACCGCAGGATGGCCGCCTTGCGCAGGCTGGACGCGCACGCTTTCGGCTGGGGGGCGCTCCGGGCGAAGTGCAGCTGCGCGTCCTGGAGGGGTGCAGTCAGAGCTCCGGGCTGGACGCTCGGGTCGCTGCAACGCTTGGGCTCCTGCGGACCACATAGCTGAGATGATGTGTGGGACGGGAGCGCCGGGGTCGGGGCGACGGACGCCGCGCAGCGCAGCGCCACAGTTAGATACAATTACGTGGAGGTGCGGGGGTGCGGGCTCGTTTGGGTCTGGGACTGGCCGAACGTGCGCTCGTTGGATTGCTCAGATTTGAGACAGCCGCTCGCGTCTGCCGCGCTGCGCTGGCGTGGCGCCTGACGCGACTTTTGCTGAACCGAGCGACCACGGCCCATGATGGTCTTGCCACGGCTCGTTCGCGGTCCCCAGCCACTTCTCCAATGGCGCGACGTGTTCGACAATACAGATGATATCGCTTAAGCACAGCGAGGGCCCAGGGTGCGTGGCGTTTGCCCCGTACCTGCGCCATAGCCATCGTCGTATCCCCACGGCCGCACGCCGCGAGCACGGTCGCGCTGCCGTCCAGGGAGACAGTCCCGTCCGAGGACTTCGTCAGCCGCTCGCCCAGCGCGTCCAGCGAGGCCGTCGTGCTCCGCCGAGGGTGCCGCGCGTGCTCGACCGAGGCTCGCCGGCTGCCCCCCCCGAAGCACGCGCCCAGGTTCACTCTCATTCTCCCAGTCGTACGGTACGGTACCCTCTAGCCTGTCGAGGCATAGGAGGTGCCGCGCCGCGCGGCCACGGCGCGTACAAGACCCGCGGCAGACACCTAGGCAAGAGATCCACCGCGTCGGGCGGCCCACCTGATTGGCGGCCCACCCTGCACACCTGGTGCCGCTCGGTCCCTCCGTCCCTCGACGCCCGTGAACGGTCACTACATTCCAAGCACACCGCGGCGCAAACACACCGGAATCCGCCCCTGCCGGGACGTCACAGGCCACGGCCCGTGCAGCTTCGCCAGATGTTGCATCGGCCGGCAGCGCTTCGAGCGGCCCGCTGAGTCCGCGATGCGTCGTGCGTGTACAGACATGGAGCGCTGCTGCGTGCGCCGAAACGGCCCGCGGCGGACGCGTCGACCAACACGCGCCGTGGCACTGGCCAGCGTTCAAGCCCGGCACGAGGCCGGCTGGCCGCGACAACCAGCCGCTGGGCCGCGGCGCCGGAAGCGCGAGCGCGAGGGACGTGCACGCGGCAGCGCGGGCGCTGCTAGGACGGAGCCGCGAGGTCACAATTCGGCGTTCTGTCGGGACCTCGCGCCGCACGTGCCCGCGACCGGATCGGGGGGTGCGGGGGAGACGGGGCCGGGAACGGATCGCGGGAGGACTCGGGCGGCGCGGAGCTCGGCGCCCGGCGGCGGCGTTGCTGGCAGGGACGCGCCCCGTGGTGTGTTGTTGGGGGGCCGGATCGGGGCTTGTACTGGTCCCTCGTTCGCCGTTGGCCCCGTGCCTACGACGAGGGGTCACGTGGGCTCGTCGGCGTGTCGAAGGCGGACTTGGGCGCGGTTTGCGGCGAAGGTGAAGACTGTACGCAAGTGTGCAGGGGGGGGGGGGTTTGCGGCGGGCCGCGCGATGTCGTGCCGGGCTGAGCCGTGGCTCCAGCGGTGATAGTGTGTAACTGCCGAGACGACTTCTCGGGGGCGGAGTTTGGGGATGTGGGGCCATACCAGGGCTTCAGGCACACAGGGTGGAACGCATGCGACAGGCGCCCACGCGACAGGCGAAAGTGTTGAAAAGGAGGGCGCGGAGACTGCATTTGTTCGGCTCCGAGAGCTCGAAGGACGGAGAGGGAGGCGGGGGAACTGAAATGCAGCGATCTTGGCACACGCCAGACTGCGCTAGGAAGCCGTACGGAGGAGAGCCTGCCCCGGCCGTGCGTGAGCGTACGTACACTCGGGGCGCTTGAGGCAGCGCAGTTGAGCCTCAAGGGAACATCGAGGGGGAGTGCAGGGGACGGGGAGGGGGAGTGTGGGTGACGGGGGGAGTCGCCCGAGCGAGGTCAGTCTCCTGCCGAGCAGACGTGCGGTGAGGAGACTGCACCGCCTGGCGGGGGGCTGTCGGGCTGGACGCGTGCGCGCTGTGAATGGACGCTAGCGCAGCAAGGGCGATGGCACAGCAACAAGGGGTGATCGCGCGGCACTCTCTCCGCTCCGCAAGTGTGCGTGCTAGACGTGCGGAGGCACAGAGGAGCTAGAAGCGGAGGGGAGAGGGCGGGCAAGGGGCTGAGCAATAGGGGGTGTACTTCGTGGTGTGCGCTGCGGCGTGCCGCGTCGCGGGTCAGACACGACCGCCAGCACGCCGTGCTCCTCGTCCAAGCCTCACTGCGGAGCGCGACGGGAAGCGGCAGGCGCGTTCGTACCCAACAGGCAGGGCGCGTGCGGCAACGTATGGCAATGCCGTAGTGGTCGTGCGCTGCGCGCAGTGGCGGAACGGAGGGTCCGCGGTGCGCACCTGCTTGAGCGAGGGCTTTCTCGCCATCCGCTCCCGCAGCTTCGTCCGCCAGCCGTCGCGCGAGAGAAGGGCGTCATCGTCCGCCGACAACACCACAGCCTCCGCGAACGATTGCGGCTCCGACCGGCCCGCGAGCGAGACGCCGGGCGAGGACCCGCGGCGACGAGAGCTGTTCCCGGGCGCGCTGCGGGACTTCTGCGAGGACCCCCGGGACACTGTGGAGTGCTGGGAGGGCTCCTTGTCCAGCGAGAACGCGAGACGCCTCCGGGTGATGGTCTTCAGGAGAACCGTGCGGCGCAGGTCGGTCTGGAGCCCTTCCCTCTCCGAACCAGCGAGAGAAGGGCCGAGCGTGCGCACGCCCGGCACGTCATGCACACTGACCGTTGACTGCCGCTCGCCCAAGTAGTCGCGACTGGCAAAATCCTGCGACGCGGTGGCGGGAATTTGACGGAAATTTCGCGAAATGCCCATCGCAATGGCCGCGCGCCCTTCCCCGAGCCATGCCGTCGCGGTTGGGCCACGGGGCCCAACCGTCGCGGTGATCCTCCCCGCCAACGCTCGCAAACCTCAAATAACGAGTATCGCGACCGTTTTCGGCCGAAAGCAATCGAATCGGACCGCCGTCGAACGCCCAGCCGCGCGCGCCGCGCCACGCCTAGCAATGACAAAGGGCCCACCAAGGCGACCCGAGCGACCCGTCCATGCGAGCCCGGCACCGCCTGGCATACATAGCCACACGGTCCGTGCTGCCGAGAGCGTTCTCGTCGCTCCGGACGGCCGTCAGCGTCCCCGGTCCCCACTGGGCTCACCTCCTCTGCCTCTCTCTCGCGCGGCTTGCACCCGCCCGGACTCGACGAATACTTCCGGGGCCCGGGAGAATATACTATGGGAGGCCGCCTGGGGCGCGCCGACCGGCTCGAGGGGCGCGCAGAAGGCTCTGCCGCGCACTCAGGCTCCTTGCTGACTAGGCAAAAGAATCGCCGCGCCAGCGCGCCTACGCCACCCATGCCCCCGGAAACTTACGCGCCGAGCTCATACATGCGCTGGCTACTGTTTCGCCCGCCCAAGCCATCCCCCCCTCGGCCTCCCACCACAGACCCACGCGGTGCACAGCTACCACTGCAACATCACCCCCCCCCGGGATGAGCCATCGCCGATCGCCATCACACCGCGAGCTCCGAGCCGACCGCCACGAGCGCCGCTCACACCACGGCGGGGGCGCACCGTCCACCAAAGCGCAACCAGCCACGCCCCCCGTGCGCTCCGCGGCGGCAGCTCCTGCTTCGCACCTGCTTCGCACACGCGCGCGCCGCGGCCGGTCATCGCGCCGCCGCGCCCCCCGCGCTGCACAGCCCGCAGACGCACCGCGGCAGCCCCTCGCCCTCTGTCGACATCGCCCGCGGCGCCCCCGAGTGCTTGGGCGGCGCCACGAATTTCTCCGACGGCATGCGCTCCTGGAACTTCACGGCCGGCGCCTGCGACGCGGAGGGCGCGCAGAGGCCTCTGGTGCCGACGCGGGGGCCCGGGCGCGCGAGCCGAGGTGGCGTGTGGTGTGTGTCAGGGGGGGTCGCGGGGCCGCGTGAAGGGCCGCGATACGTACCGTGAGGGCGGCTTCGAGGTCGCCCGGCGTGCCCGCGGCCTCGAGGTCGGCGAAGTGCACGCGGACCTGGAGCTGGTCGAGCACGGACGTCAGTTGCGCGCCGGAGAGCACGACGGTGGCGTCGTTGGTGCACGGGTGCACCCAGAGCGCGGGGGCGTCGCGGAGGCGGTCGTCGAGGAGCAGGGAGCAGCGCTCGCGGGCGGCGGCGCGGCAGAAGGCCAGCGGAGAGAGACCCCCTTGTGGAACCTGCGTCAGGGGGGGGGGTTGGGTTGCAGAGGGGTTGATGGGAGGGGAGGCGATGCGGACGTGGTGGTGGGAGGGCTGGGAGGCGCGGGGGTGCGCTGGCGGGGGGCGGGGGCGAGCAGGGAGGGAGACGCGGTGTGCGGAGTGGCGAGTGGTGTGGTGCGCGGTAGCGGACGAGGCCATGCTGTCCGGAGGCGCGTTGCGGAGAGGCTTTCGGCGCAGCGCGTGGCGGTGTTGGCGACGCACCTTGAAAATCTCGGCCAGGAGGTCGGCCGACGCCAGTCGCAGTGAGCCATTGAGGCGTCTCCCGAGCGCCTTGAGGTCGACAGCGGTGGATTTCAGCGCCGTGACGACGATAAGTTTGCCCTTGGCCTTGAGCAGCAAGTTCTTGATGGGAACGCCCGGGAGGCCGCCGCACGCCTCGATCTGAGCGTCCACCGTGGCCACGGCGCTGTGGTCGCGCACGGCCGCAGGCACGATGCCGGACGCCTCGAGATGCACGAGCATCTCGTCCTTCCCCCACTCGTCCATCGCAAAAGCCCCGCGACCCTGCGCGCAACGCTCACGACGACCGCTCTTGTCCACCCAGCAAACAGCCGCTGCGCCCTATAACGCGGTGTTCAGTCCGTCAGATAGCCGCGGAACGCTTCAGTACCCCCTTCGCAACTACCGCAGCGCGCCGCGACCGGCTAACCATGTCGAGGGGCGCGGAAATCGACTCAGTGGGGGCCTCTCGGTTTCTACGCGCCAGATCCCGGTGCCCGCTCGAGGCACCCAATGCTTCGCGCACCGTCACGTGGAGGCCAGACCGCGCGCCGTCCCGCATCGAGCAACGTTGCGGCCCGGCCTGAGGGCGAGCAGCGTCCAAGTAGCTCCTGTGCAGAAAACGCCCGGGCTCGCGCGAGCCGGGCGGCGTGGCAGCCGCCATGAGCACGGTCGATAAGCTGCTCATCAAGGGCATCCGTGCCTTCGGGTCGGACCGGGACGCGGTCATTGTGTTCTCCAAGCCCTTGACACTGATCGTGGGGCACAATGGAGCCGGGAAGACGGTGCGCGGCCCGTCGCGTGCCATGCTAAGCGCGTGCTTCGCCAAAACCTGGACACGCTCCGTCCGCTGACAGCACGAACGCGGCGTGCGCGCGCCCGGCCGCGGCGCTGCGCTAGCACGCTGCACAGCGTGAAGGCGGGACGCGCCGTACGCGGCCGCACAGCGCGGTTCGAGCCATGCAGACCCGACGATCGGCGCCGCATCTCTCGTGGCAAGGCTTGTGCGTCAGCTTGTGCGTCAGGGAACGCGGCGGCGGTCCGCGGAAGCACCCAGGGCCTGTTTGCCCAAACCACCAGCCTTGGCAGCCGCCGTACGCAGTCCCCCCTGCGTCAACTGGGCCGCGCGAGCGCCCGCTGCTCCGCAGACGATCATCGAGTGCCTCAAGCAGGCCACGACGGGCGACATGCCCCCCAACACGAGGAACGGGGGCGGGTTCGTCCACGACCCCAAAGTCGCAGGTGCGCCGCCCCGCCAGACCGCGTTCGCACCGCTTCCGGCCACCTTGGCGCGGCACAGACACTTTCCGACCGATTTCCTGCTCCTCGGATCACTTACCGCGCCTGAGGTTGCCGCGGGGCACCGGGAGGGCGACTCGGAGACCACCCGTGCGACGAGAGCGGCGTCCTTGGCGCGTGAATCGTGAATCGCCGCGCTTGCGTCTGAGGGAGGCGCTCTCGCGCGTTCCCGCCGCGCAGGCACGTCGGAGACCAAGGGCCAGATCAAGCTGAAGATAACCACGGCGAGAGGGATCCCGCTGATCATCAACCGCAACTTCCAAGTCAAGCTGCAGAAGAAGTCCGGGCAGACGTTCAAGTCGCTGGACGCGACGGTGCAGACGCGCAACCAGCGCACGGGCGAGGCCGAGAGCCTGTCGTACAAGAACGCCGACATGGACCGCATGGTGCCCAACATGATGGGAGTGTCCAAGGCCATTCTTGAAAACGTGGTCTTCGTGCACCAGGAGGACTCCAACTGGCCGCTCGGCGAGCCCGCGGCGCTGAAGAAGCGCTTCGACGAGATCTTCGCCGCCACGAAGTACTCGAAGGCCATCGAGCAGCTCGGGCGGGTCAAGAAGGAGCAGGCGCAGGCAGCAAAGGAGGGGAAGCTGAAGCTGGCGACGCTCGAGAGCCACCAGGCGCAGGCGGCGCGGCTGCGCGAGGACGTGCGGTCGAACGAGGACAACGCGCGGCGGCTCGAGGAGCAGATGGGCGCGCAGCGGGCGGCGGTGGAGGAGCTGGAGCGGGCGCTGGAGGGCGCGCAGCGGGTGCTGGCGCGGCTGGCGGAGATCGAGCGCGGGGACGCGAGCGAGCGCGCGCAGCGCGAGATGCTGCAGCGGGCGATGGAGGACGCGTCGGCGCGCATCGGCGGCGAGGTGCGGACGCGCAAGGTTCCTGAGCCTTGTTTGGAGAGGGGGGGGGGGTTGTCGCTGCTTGCATGCCACGAGGGCGCCGAGCTGGGCGTCGCGGGGCTGCGGAACCGGCGATCGCGCGCCGACGCGCGCCGCTGCCGAGCCACGCAGCATCGCGGCCGCGAACCACAATGAGGCCGCACGGGGCCGGCGCACTCGCGCACAAGCACACGAAAATAAACGAGTGTTTCCGTGCCCTTCCTGCGCACCGCAGGTCCCGTCAGACACCCTGGAGGACCTGGAGGCGTTCCTGCGCGACGATCTCGACGCGCGGATCCCGGCGCTGCGCGCGGACCTCGCGCGCCACGAGAAGCGCGCGGACCAGCTCTCGATCGCGCTCGAGTCCACCAAGGCGCGGCGCCTCGAGGAGATGCGCCGCCAGGGCACGCTGCTTGCGAAGCGGGACCGGGCGACGCAGGACGCCGCGGAGCGCGATGCCGCGCTGCGGGACGCGTGTGCGGAGTACGGCGTGGACCTCGCGGGCGCGGGGGTGCCCGCGGCGGGGCCGCTGGACGACGCGGCGTACGCGGCGGGTGTGGCGGCGCTGGATGCGCACAAGAGGGCGCTGGAGGCGGCGCTGGGGGAGATGCAGGCGGAGAGCCGGGCGGCGGACGCGGCGTTCGCGAAGGACGTGGATGGGGTGGTGACGGAGGCGACGCGCGTGCGCGAGACGGCGCGGGCGGGCGCGGAGCGCCGCGCGGCGTGCGAAAAACGCGCCTCCGAGGCCCGGGCGCGCGCGCTCGCGCTCGCGGCGTCCGAGGAGGAGGTCGCGACGCTCGAGGCCGCCGCGGCGGACGCGCAGGGCGCGCTCGCGCGCGCGCGAGGGAGGCCGCGGAGGCCCCCGCGCTGCAGCGACCACGACGCCGTCACGGCGCGCCTCGACGCCGCGAAGCGCCGCGTCGCGCAGCTGTGGGGCGAGCGCGCGCAGCTGGCCGAGCGCGGCGAGGTCGCGACGCGGCTGCGCGTCAAGGCGCAGGACCTCGCGTCCCGGCGCGCGCAGGTCGAGACGCTACTGCACGGCGCGGTGGAGGGGCGCGGGGGCGTGACGGGGGCGCAGCTGGCGGCGGAGGCGCTGCGGCTGGGCGCGGGGGACGCGGTGCCGGACGCCGCGCGGCTCCCGGCGCTGCTGGAGGCCGCGGCGAGGGACAGGGTGGAGGAGGAGAGGGGGGCGGAGAGGGTGGGGCGGTTGGAGGCGGAGCGAGCGAGCGGGGCGCGCGCGGCGCTGGGGGCGGCGGAGCGGAAGGAGGCGGAGCTCGGGGAGCGCGAGAAGCGGCTGCAGGAGGCCATCGACCAGGTGCGGCGGCGTTCTTGCAACAACAATTACATTTCGCTATTTGATTCTGATTTTGATGGTCTCTGCGTGCAGTCATGCCTGCGACGTTCATCCGGTCGCGGGCGCCTGCCTCGCTTGAACCGCCACCGCGCGCTCGGCGTGCGCGCAGGTCCTGAGCGGCCCCGGTGCGAGCGACGCGGTGGCGCTGTCGACGACGGCGTCCGGAGCGCCGCCGACGCAGCCGGGCGTGGACGCGCAGCTGTCGGAGCTGCGGCACGAGCACGGCGAGGCTGCGCAGGAGCACGGGATGCTCGAGACGGTCAAGAAGCTGTGCGGGGCGTACCTGCGGGAGGCCCAGAAGCGCAACAGGTGCAAGGTGTGCAAGCGCGGATTCGCGAACGAGGCGGAGCGGGAGGCGTTCTGCGCGGAGCAGCAGGCGACGATGGAGGAGTCGAGCGACGAGACGCGGGAGCGCGTGGCGCAGCTGCAGGCGCGCATCGACGGTGAGTGCTGCGCGAAGGCAGACGAGGGCCACGCGCGCACGAAGACACTTGCGTTTTCGACTGTTTTTGTTTTTTTTTGTTCCGTCTCTCTCGCGGAACCGACCCCGCTCCCGCGCCCCCGCCCGTGCCCGCGCAGCGCTCGAGAGCATCAAGGGCCCCTGGGAGCGCCTCCGCGAGCTGCGCGCCACGCTCATCCCGGACGCCCGCGCTGGCACAACGGCTGCACGCGCTGCCCTCGCCGACGCTGAGGAACGCGCCACCGCAGCCGACGACGCGCTCGCCGCGGCCAGCTTGGACGCTCAGGCCGCGCGCGACGCCGTCCGCCTCGTCGGCGAGCCCCTCGCGCGCCTGCAGGCCGAGATCTCCACCCTGGGGGGGGAGGTAAAGGCCCTCGAGTCTGACGCAGCGGCACAGCGGGGGGCGCGGACGCTCGCGGACGTGGTGCGCGAGATCGAGGACGCGGAGGGCGAGCAGAAGACCCTGGAGACGCAGCGCGAGGTGCTGCTCGGGAGAATATCGCGTGGGAAGGATCAGATTCTGTTGGCAACGGAGGAGGCGCGGTCAGCGGGGGACCGGGCGCGGGACGCGCGCGCGCGGCTGGAGGAGCGGCGGAAGCTCGAGGCGCTGGCGAAGGAGGCGGCGGAGGCGGCGGAGGCGGCGGCGCGCGAGGCGGCGGGGGCGAAGAGCGCGCTCGCTCCGCTGGAGGCGCGGGCGGAGGAGCTGCGGCGCGCGCGGGCGGCGGCGGGCGCGGAGGCGAGGAGCAGGGAGGACGCCGCGAGCGCGTCGATCTGGGAGGTCCAGGCGGTGCGCGGACCCCCGCCTCCCGGACGTGCGTGCAACGACGGGTTGAGAACACGCACGCGGCAGTCCTGGGTCAGCGTGGCGTGTCCTGCACCTCTCCGTCGCAATCGTCTGTAGCTGCGTTCTGATCACGGTCGGCAGAGACGCGGCGCAAATGCGACCAGCGACGTGGCGACCGTGTCAGAGACGCTGCAGACGATCACGATGGAGAAGCACAGGACACGTCACTGTCTCCTACGACTGCCGCGTGCGTGTTCCGGCCGGAACGAAGGCCCCACAGATCGTTGTTCCGAAGTCGTGTTTTCTCAACTTCCGCGGAAGACACTGAAACGTGTTTGTTCGTTTTCGTTCGCCCCGTACGCGCAGGCGATGGACGGCGCCGCGCGCGCGGCCGAGGCCGCGGCCTCTTTCGTCCGCGACGGCCACGCCGAGCAGCTGCAGCGCACGGACACGCTGCTGGCCACGCTGGCGCAGGAGGCCGCGGCACACGAGGAGCAGGCCAAGCTGGAGCGCGCGGAGGTGCGCAGCATCGAGCACGAACTGTCGCGCGCGGCGGAGGACCGCGGACTGATCGAGGGATCGCTCGGTGCGCGCCCCGAACCACGAAACGCTGATGGCCGATGCCTGGGGTGCTACAGCTACAGCTGGCGGTCATGCTGTTGCCCGCTGTTGGCGCGAGAGGGGGGGTTGTCCGTGGCTGCAACGGCGACGCGCTCCGTGCGCGACGAGATGAGCGCGCAAGGTCCCAGTCGCCCTTTCGCTCGCGCGGGAGGCGGAAATCCGTGCCACGTCTTGCTGCTTGCATTTCCACAAGTCGTTGTTTGTCGCGCTCCCGTCGCCGCAGCGTACCGGCGCGCGGAGCGCCAGCTGCAGCAGCTCGACGCCGCGTCGGCGGACCGCGCCAGCGAGCGCGCGAGCCTCGGCGACCCCGACGGCATCCGGTCGCGTCTGCGGCACACCAAGACGGAGCTCGACGAGGCGCTGGAGCGGCTCAACATGATGCGCGGGTCGCACCAGACGGTGATCGGACAGGCGGCGCGGAGCGCGGAGGACCTGCGGCACCCGAACTACGACGGCATCGACCAGCGATACCGGTGCGCCGACATGTACATGTGCTTGAGTGGCTATTTTTGCACGCGCGGACATGTCCGGTGGCCCGGGAGCGCTGTGGGAGGTGGCCGGGGTGGAGAGGGAGCGTCGCGTCGTGGTGCCTCGGCGGGCGCGGTCTCGTTTGTATCGCGTCACGGCGAGTCTGTTTTTCCTATGTGCGCAGGGACCAGAAGATCGAGGTGCGGACGTCGGAGATGGCGGCGGCGGACCTGGAGAACTACGGCAAGGCGCTCGAGCGCGCGCTGCAGTCCTTCCACGCCGAGCAGATGGAGGCCATCAACCGCACGGTCCGCGAGTTGTGGCAACGCACGTACCGCAACTCCGACATCGATTTCATCGAGATCCGGTCGGACTCCGAGGGCGCGACGGCGCGCTCGAAGTCGTACAACTACCGCGTCGTGATGCACACGGGCGGGACGGAGCTCGACATGCGCGGCCGGTGCTCCGCGGGACAAAAGGTAACACCCCCCCCCACACGCACGCACACCCCGCGCACCCCGCGGGAGCCGGCGCGAGGCAGGTCCAGAGTTGCGTGGCGCTGAGGGCTGCGTTCCAGTCGGGTTTCGCTGCGTCGGCGTGCAGGTGCTGGCGTGCCTGATCATTCGTCTGGCGTTGGCGGAGACGTTTTGCCTCAAGTGTGGGATCCTCGCGCTGGACGAGCCGACGACGAACCTGGACCGCGAGAACTCGCGCTCCCTCGCCGAGGCGCTCCGCGGCATCATCGACGCCCGCCGCGGGCAGCGCAACTTCCAGCTCATCGTCATTACGCACGACGAGGAGTTCGCAACATGGATCGGGACGCGGGAGTTCGCGGACCACCTGTGGCGCGTGGAGAAGGACGAGCGCGCGTGCTCGCGGCTGACCAAGGAGTCGATCTGAACGCGCGCCGCGAGGCGACGTAGACGTAGACGTTAGCAGTGTGAAGGGGAAATGAATTGATTCCAGTCTTTGTTTCTCGATTCGCGCGGTGCTGGCGGGTGCGGCGCCGCGTGCGCAGGCAACGTGCGTGCGCCGCGGTGGCAGCGGCCGGGTCGTTTTGCGGCACCGCAGGCCGACAGTCGTGACGTGATACGTCATGTCATCACAACACCCCCCCTTACTGGCCGAAGAGGGCCTTGCCGATCTTCCCCGACGACGGCGCCTCGCCGAATTCCCCCTGCACCTTGGAGCACTTCCCCGGCCCCTCGGGCTCCCGCAGACACGTGTCGATGGCAGACACAGTGTTCAAGATCGCCGTGCCCTCGCCCTCCGTGGACCAGTACTTCTTCACGCCGTACTTGCTCGATAGCCGCGTCCTGCGCGAGCGAGGCGACACGTGCGCCGGTGCGCTCGCACCGCGCGGCGGCTTCCCACAGGGCGTGCGTGCCATTGCCTCGTTTCGGCGCGCGTGCGGCGATGCTCGCGCGCGCGGCACCAAGCGAAGGTGCTGCGATCGTGGACGTGCACCGCCGCTGCGGCGCGCCTCGGGCGATCGGCGCGGGGCTGGTTGCCGCGTGAAGAGGTCTCAGGACACAGACAGAGCGGCGGGCCCGCGCAAGGGGTCGGCGCACCAGAAGCTCCGCGGCACGCTGAGGTCCACGTTCTGCCCGACGTTGAAGTTGAGCAGGTTCCCGAGGCCGGGGTCGGCCACGAACACCACCGTGTCATCGTCGACGCCCCAGTAGTCCCTGATCGCGAGCCCGGGCGTCTCGGGGTAGTTCTGGGCCAGGACCCTCAACTGCGGCGCATTCCAGGCGCGGCGGAGGCGGTTCGGCGCGGCACGGAGCGGAGCGCGCGGCACGGAGAGTGGGTGCGCAGGTGTGCGGGGCTTGCCTTGACGCCGGTGTCGGCCTCGATGGCTTTGAGCTCGCTGACCATGCGCTTCTCCTCGCCCTCGGTCAGGAAGCCGGCCACGTCGATCAGGAGCTCGCCCTGGGTCTTCGGCAGGAGTTCCGGCTTGTTGACGCCCTCCAGGCGGGCCACGGCAGGCGCCGCGCCGAGGAGGCTCGATGCCACGACCAGCCCCGCGCACGCCCCCGCGAACCTCCGGCGCATCGCGCCCGCGTCTGCGAGCGGAACGGCGCGAGACTCGGCGGTTCAGCGACCACAACACTTGTGCCTTTACCCCCCGCAAGCGCGGGCGTCAGGCCATCACGGCCCCGTCTAGCCAGCCCAGAGCTACGAACAGGCTACAGCGGTCCTCGAGCGCGCAGATCACGGAGCAGCGGTGCGTATCCCGGGAAGCACCGCAGCATACGACGTGCAGGGCAGCAGTTGCCCTGCTGCGGCACTGCCAGGGCGCCGTACCAGGGGTATCCTGCGCAGAGGCGCGCACAACGCACGCAGAGCGCTTCGCGGTGCGAGAAGCGCACGGCGCGGCGCGCCCGGTGCGCAGCACGCTCGTCATCGTGCTTTGTGGACGCCCAGGGTCTGTTGGCGAGGGGGACGTTCTGAGATAGCAAGCGCTCTCTGTCGCACGCGTTCGGTTGCTTCAGATGACAGACGTGAGGATGCGGGGCTTGCGGGCGCGGATTTGGGCCCTGGGCGCCCAGTCAGTCGGGTGGAGGGGCGTTGAGTGGCGTTGACAGACGTTTGTGTGCGCGGCCGCGCCGTTTGGGGCCGCCGACGCGCCGCGGGCGTGCACGACCGCGGCGTGGCTTCGCGACCGCGACGGAGGCAGCGGTCATCGCGCGGCGGGCGATCGTGGGCGACGGCGCTGGCGTGAGTCCAGGTGGGCGTCGTGCCGTGCGGGCTCACGGCGTGTCCGCGACGCAGCACCTCTCGCAGCTGACGGCTCGAGGCTCTTCCATGGCGCCTGAGGCCGAGCGCTGCCGCGTCGTGCGCGGCGCTGCCGTGCGCGCTCTCTGTTGCACGCAATCGATGCGCGCAGCGCTGGGTGACTGGTTTGCGGCGGCTCGCTCGCTCGCTGCGTGTCTCTCGCGAGCAAACGAGTCAGCTGGCGCGCCTGGACGCGCGCGTCCGGGCCAGGAAGACGCGCAGTCCGGCACCGGATGGGACACCCAGGGGATTGAAAACTTGGCGCGCGGGAGCGCCCCCGGCGCGCCGACGCTCCCCGCAGCCACGGCAGAGAACTCAGCTACATGCGAGCTCCACCTTGACGCGCAGGTGACGCGTTGGAGGCGCGGGAGGGCGCAGGACGGCAGACGCTGTCTACCACGGTGTCGACGGACGCGACAGCCCGGGCCCGCAGCTGCGGCGCCGCGCAGATAGCTATGGCGACGGAGCGGTCGCTGAAGCGCAAGGCGGCGCCCGAGGTGAGCCAGTTCGCCGCCGCGCACCACCCCGTTGACAAATCGACTTGCGCTTGTGTCCGTCCGCGCCTCCCGCGGCTCCAGCCCGCATCCCCGGCCCGCTCCGCGGCCTCCGGGACCGCATCGAAGTCACTCGCTGGGGTTCGCAGCCGTCGGTCGCAACGAATCGTCGCAGCGCGCGAAACGCCCGCCTCAAGCGTGCCCTAAGATGCGCGCTGCCTGCAACGGCGCCGGCGCGCTGACGGCCCGCGGCCCGCTCCCCCGGCGCAGAACGGCCTGGAGTACGCCACGGTCGCCGGCGCCGCCATCAAGCGCCTCGCGATCGCGCAGGACTCCTGCACAATCGACCAGGGTGGACGCGACGAGGCGCACACGGCGCGCCACACGGAGACGGAGGCGCAGGCGGGGACGTACATGACCGCGGAGGAGCACCTGAAGCAGCAGGACAGGCGCGCGTCGAACGACGGCGGCGCGGAGGCCCCGCAGTCGGAGGCGGAGGGCGCACACACGTCGCCGGAGCGGGTGCGGAGGCACAGCGTGGGCGAGGCCGAGAGGGACCACGCGTGGTACGCGGAGGTGAACGGGCTGCTCCGGGGGCTGCATTTCGAGCGGCGCAAACGGCACGAGGGCAGCTGAGGGTTCCAAGGGCGCAAGGAGAATCGAGATATCTCGATTCGCGACGCACGGCCACATTCGACTCGCTTCGCAACGAAGGCTCCCGCACGCCAGCACCGCCCGTCCCGCACGCTCCTCCTCCGCACGGCACGCGGCCATTCGCGGACATTCCCGCGCCGCGGCAGGCTAATCATGTCCTGTGTAGATAAATAGCGAAACATGCGTGTAACGCAGCGTCAGAGCGGCCAGCGGCGCCCCCACGCGATCACCGTATCACCGGCGGGCCGGACGACGGCAACGACAGCAGCGCAGCCTCGCGTAGGTAGACAGCAGCGCGACAGCAGACAGGAACGGTCAACGCAGCCGCGCTGGCAGCCGAGGGGGCCCGCGACCACGGGCGGGGCCCGCCTGCGTGCGGGCGCCCGTCAACGTGGCCCTGCAGCCGCCTCGAAGCCGCCGCGGGCCGGCGGCCCTGTGCGATCGATGCGCGCAACTCACGAGAGACGGCGCCGCGAATCGCCCCGCGGGAGCGCCCCACGGCACCCGCCCCTCGGTCCGCGAGCACCGTGACGTGCGCGCCGGGCAGCGGGCGGCCCGGCAGGCCGCGTGCGCGCAGCCCCGCAGCGCCACAGCGCAACGCGACGTACGGGCGCGCGTGGAGCAGGCCGGCATCACACCGCGCGCGGTCAGTCGCCGTGCTCGCGCTGCTCCCACCGCGTCGGCGCCTGCAGGCTCGTCAGCAGCCCGACGCCCGACAGGATCGCCAGCAGCACGAGTATAACCACCACTACCCCCTCGAAGAACAGAGCCTGGGCCTGGCACTTGTCGCCGCACTCCCGCTCGTCCTGCGCGCCCTTGAGCGCCCTCCGCGGCCCCGGCACCGCGCGGTAGAAGACCACGTGCTTCGATCCGGCGACTTGGGCGACGGCGGCGTCGAGGGTGAGGGCCGGCCCGCCGCACACGACGACGAGGGGCGTGGGCTCCCCGCCGGCGCGCGCCGCCTCCAGCGCGCTGGGGACGTCCTCGAGGCCGCCGAGCGCGGTGCCCGCGCGCTCCCCGCACCCCACGCTGAACGTTCCCTGCGTTGCCGAGTGAAAGACAACCATGGATCCTCGATTGACGGTGAACAATCAGTTTCGGCCCCGAGCTCGGCGGCCGAGCGCGCGAGACGCGGCGCGTCGCCCGCGGCCCTCTCCGCGGCTCTGCGGCGCCGGGCGCGAAGGAGGAGGCCGTGCGAAGAGGGCTGCGTGGACTTCAGGGCGAGAGAGCGGGCGTGCGCGGGACGTACCTGCGCCCCCGCGCCCATATTCGCTACGATCTGTCCGATAGACTTGGCTCCGTGGCCCTGGACGTACGGCAGGAACACGGCGCGGTCCGCAGCCTGCGCGAGGGTGAGTGCGTCTGTGGCTGCCCGAGGCTCCGCGCCCCGCCCGGCCCCCGCGCCGTCCTCGAACACCAGCACCACCTCGGGGCGCTCCTGCGCGATCGCGTCGCTCAGGATCTGCTCCACTTCCGCGTACCCACGCGACGCGGACACCACCCCGTCCACCAGCCCGAGAACTAACCGGTCGCTCACGAGCTGCACGGGAGGACGCAGTCGCGGAAACGGCGATGAGATCCGCGGCAAGGCGCCCGTCTGCGCGATCCGATAGCTTGTCGGGCGGGAGCGGGCCGCGAGGGCGCGCAAACGCGGTGTTTGTACGAGCACACGAGAGCCCGTCGGACGGCGCGGGTGCCGCACCTCATTGCTAACGAAGTATTTGTCGTCCTTGTTCGGGTTGATGAACGCCGTGTTGCCCCACGCGTACGCCGGCGCGGTCTCTAGTTTCGCCAGGGCTGCCTGCGGCAGTGTAAGCGCCAGGAGGCCCGCCGCTGCCAGCGCACGCAGGCCACGACACGCCATGATCCTCACGCCCCGCCCTAGACCTCGGCCCGCCCGCGCCAAATGCGCACACGCGCCGGACGCAGAAGCCCTCCTCGCCCCAGGACACAAGCCTGAGTCCTACCCGGCATCAGCTTTTGGCCCCCTGCGGCCGAACCACGCGCTCGCAGCTCGTTGCGCCCGCGCCGGGCCGCGCCCAGACACCGTACCGTTGCGTTGCGCCTCGGGTTCCTCACCTCATCGTCGGACGCGGCCGGTCGTCCCCTCAGAGGTGCGGTGCGGCCCACCCCGGGGATTCTCCCTCGACGCGGCCTCTCCCGCGCTCGAGGCCGCGCGGCCGCCTACCCACGGCCCGTTCGAACCCCGAAGCCTCATGTTCTGTGTCGTTTGCGCCCTGCGTGCGGCTCCCCCTCGGACGGCAACCCTGCTGTCAACAACGGCCGCGTTCCGCACATTCTCTGCCTGAAAACGCAAGCAGATGCGCTCACGCGCACCACCGTCCCAGAAACGTCTCGTTTCGGCCCGGTCTGACCGGTTGCGTGCACCTGAGTCAGCGGTTGTGCCCCTAGTCCACCTGGGATGACTTCTGAGCCAGCGTCCGCGCGCTCGCCGCTGCGTCGCGCGATCCGACGCCGCGCCGCATCGCTCCCGAGGCGCTCGAAGACCCGCCGAGCACCGCGCGCGCCCGCCTCGCCGCGCGGACGCGACGCTTTCCCCGCGACAAGCGTGCACACTGCATGCTCACCCTGCCGTTGCGCCCCCCCGCGGCCTCCCTCGCAGGTCGGCGCCATGAACGAGAACAACTACCCGCCAGGTGGCGACACCGACGCGCCCCCGCTCGCGGAGCTGTCCAACGGAAGCCTCAGGCAGCCCCACACAGCCCTGACAAACACCAAGGGGGCTGCGCTCGCGACCAGCTCGCGCCCCGACACCCCCTCGGATCCCACGGCGCAGCACATGGACGACGCGGCGCTCGCGGCGATGCTTCAGGAGCAGGAGAACGCATGGATGGACGCTGGGCCTGCAGGAAGCACCTTTGACCATGCTCCGCGGTTCGCGCTGCCCGCGCACGGGGCGGGAGCCGCGGGCGCGCAGGCTGGCGTGGCGCGGGAGGACATCGGCGGGGCGGGCGGGGGCGCGCCCGGTGCGTCCGCGGCTGACGCGGCGCGCAGCGGGCGCGGGAGCGACGGCGTCGACTCCGCCAGCGACCGCTCGGCCGGTGCGGGCGACGCGGAGGTGCGCGGACCCGCTGGCCTGCAGCGCACCGGTACACGCGAGCGTTCGCGGCGGGCGTCTGTGCCGAGTTCCGCGATGGTTGAAAACGAATCGCGAAATGCTAATTGTTGGTTTGGTGGGCTTATCTCGCTTGTGCGGCGCAGGCGCTGACGGACGAGGAGCTGGCGCGGCGGCTGTGGGAGGAGGAGCGGCGGCAGTACGAGGCGAACCTCCTCGCGCTCGCCGGCGCGGGCCCCGCGGCGGCAGAGGTGCATGCGCGTCTCGGCATCACCCCCGACGACGGTGCGCACGTTTCCACCGCCCGACGCGGCCAGCTCACCCGCTGCCGCGCCGCTTCCGCGCCGTGATCGCTCAAGCGCGCGGAGTCGCGAAATCCCTTCTGAGGTTGCTTGCTTCCGCCCCGAGTGCGCGCAGGCGAGGAGGACTCCGGCGACGAGCCCGCCGCCGTCGGCCTCGACGTCGAGCGGCTCTCGTACGAGCAGCTCCTCGAGCTCGGCGAGGTCGTGGGCTCTCAGAGCCGCGGCGCGGCGGCGGCGGCGATCGCGGAGCTGCGGGAGCTGACGTGGGGCGACGAGGAGTGCCGGGCGGCCGTGGGACGCGCGCATGCGGACGGCGCTGGCGCTGGCGCGGACGAGGACGAGGAGGAGCAGTGCGCGGTGTGTCGGATGGAGTACGAGGTCGGTGACGGCGTCAGGCTGCTGACGTGCGGGCACGTGTTCCACTCGGAGTGCATCGCGCAGTGGCTGGGGATCAACCGGGCGTGTCCGATCTGCGGGAAGGACGCGGTGGAGGCGGGCGGCGCGGCGGCGTGATTGTGGGCGAGGTGCAGGGAGGGGGGTGTTTGGGGGGGGTGTGGAGGACGCGGCGGAGGTCGAGAAACGAGGTCTGCGGTGCGGTCGTTGACGAGGGGTTTCGCGCGCCGGGTACGCGGGCCGTGGAGCGTTCCGAGGCGCCGGCGTGCAGCCCCCCTGTGAAAGATCCATTGGCAACCATTGAACGAAGACCTCCAGTTCATGCTTCACCCTCGACTGCCTGAGCTCAGGCTGGCACCGTGCCGCACGCGGACCCCTCCGCCGCGCTGAAGCGCGACCGCCGCGTGCGGGCAGCGGCATTTGCGGAAACACCGCACGTCCGGCATCCCTCGAATCTCTGGACCCCGCCACGCGGACCTCCCGGCCTCCCTACCCTCATGCACGCTGCCACCACCGCTGTGACTGGCGGTCTAGCCGCCCGCGCCCCGCGAGCGCCCGCCAAGCGCACTCCCGAGACCCGCATGGCGGCCTACGGCGGCGCCCAGCGCCGCAACAGCCGCGGCGCGGGCCCCGGGAAGCAGGAGAGCTCCCCGCCGCACAAGGCAAGCAAGCTCGAGGCGCCTCGCGCGGCGTCTGTGGAGGCTCCCGTGGAGCAGGCGACGCAGCAGGCGGACAAGGAGCAGTTTGTGTGGACCAAGCAGTGGTATCCGATCGCCGTGGCAGGTGCGTCGAGCGCGGTGATGCAACACACTCTGGTGGTCTTGTGCGCGCGGACAGGCGTAGATTCACACCCCCCGGGCCTGAGTTTCGCGCCGAACGCATAGTACTTACCTCACAAATGCGAAAAACATGCCTGAAATCCGATATCTGCGCCAGATTGCCCGCACGCGCCTCTGAGCCCAGTGCTAGGCTCCCACGCACCGTGAGGCGTCCCCTGCGCACGCGAGCGCGCGGCATCGGTCACTTCGCTCGGCCCCGCCCCCTGACGCGCGCAGAGTACCTCGAGACCGACCGTCCGCACCCGCGCGTGCTCCTGGGCAAGGACCTCGTGCTGTGGAAGGATGGCACGGGACACTGGCAATGCTTCGAGGACCGCTGGCGAGTGTCCCACGGCCCGCATTGCGCGCCGCTCCCTTCCCTGCAGCCATGCCAAGGCCGCCGCGGCCCCGCGACCGCCCACGCACGCGCGGGCCGCCCGGCACGACGTCCGCTCTGTGCCCTGTGCTTGCAGCCCGCACCGCCAGGCGCCTCTGAGCGAGGGCCGCATCGAGGCGGACGGCACGCTCCTCTGCTCGTACCACGCGTGGCGCTTCGACGGCAAGGGCACCTGCACGTCGCTGCCGCAGGCAGCGTCGCGCCAGGACGAGGCGCGGCAGGTCGCCCGCAAGAAGGCGTGCGCAGTCGCGTATCCGACCAAGGAGCGCGAGGGCGTGATCTACGTCTGGCCGGACGCCAACTCCCCGAACGAGGCGGAGAGCACGGAGCCGTTCGTTACGCCGGAGGTGCTCGATCCGGCGCTGAAGGACCGCTGCGTGACGCCGCCGTGGAGCGAGCGCATCCTGCCGTACGCCGCGGACTACTTCTTCGAGAACGTCACCGACCCGGGTGCGCCGCGCTGCCACTTGAACTGAGCCTGTTGAGCACGATCAGCGAGCCGCCGCCGCCGGTGCCTGTGTCCGGGAGACCGACGGGCGTGTGTTTGCTTTTATAAATTTCGTGCTGCGCAGCGCACGTCAACGTGAGCCACCACGGGCTCGTGGGCAGCCGGTACGACCCGGTCGGCGACTCGCACCTCACGCTGAAGCCCACGCGCGAGATGACGTGCGACGGCGGCTTCGGATTCTCGACCCGGCGCGGCGCCGCGGTGGACCCCTCCCTGACCAAGGAGGACAACGGCGGGACCACGGAGTTCACTCCCCCCGCCACGGTGACCATCCGGAACGAGGCCGACGGTGCGCGCCGCCGCCTCTCTGCGCGCACACACCCCTGCATGTACTGTGCAACGAAGCACGACATAGTTATCGTATATATGAATGGCTGGCGGCGCAGACGGGACGAAGACGATTCTGGTGCTCATGGCCGTCCCGACGCGGCCTGGCGAGTGCCGCCACATCGGCCGGCAGGTCCTGATCAAGAACGAGGAGGGCAAACTCGGACAGGGTCTGGCGTTCTTCGCTCTCCCCATGCCGCACTGGTGCGCCGCCCAGAGCCCGCGCCCCGCACGTGGCCCTGGACCAGACCCACACCGCCACGCTCCCAGCAAGCGCGCCTTGCCGAGACAGACCCGCGCGGGCACGTCTTCGTTCGCGCAGGGTGCTGCACGCCACCGCGCCGCTCTTTTTGCACCAGGACGCCCTGCACCTGCACAAGCAGCAGGCGCTGGTGCAGCGCACGATGCGCGCGCGCGCGGGGGACGCCGCGGCCCCGCTCGAGGAGGACCCCGTCGCCTCGGGCGACTGGGGCGCGGGGATGTACCTCCCGAACGAGGCGGACAAGGGTGTTGTGGCATTGCGCAAGTGGCTGTCCAAGTACTCGGGGGGGTTCATTCCGTACGAGGGGTACCACAAGGACGCGACGCTGACGACGGCGAACAGCGACGAGGCGGTGTTTGACACGTGGCACGCGCACACGAAGGACTGCAAGGTGTGCCGTGACGCGCACCGGCGGCTGAACAAGGCGCAGCCGGTGCTGAAGGCGCTCGCGGTGCTCGCGGTGGCGACGGGGGCGATGTTCGGGGCGCGCCCGGACGCGGCGCTGATCGCAAACACGATGCCGACCGCGTTCGTGGTGGGGTGCGCGGTCGCGGGGGCGCTGACGGTGGCCAGCGACGTGTGCTTCAAGCTCCAGAGCCTGATGGAGAAGTACGAGTTTAAGCACGCGGACAACAACTGAAGGGAGCGCGGGGCGTGGGCCGGCGCCGGGCCGACGAAGTGAGACGGCGCGGTGGTCGAGTGCAGTTGCGCAGTGTGAGGGACAGCTCCTCGCGCAGTGTGCGTTGCGGTGGGCTTGCGAGGTAGTGGCGCGCTCGGTGCTGCATGTAAGAACCGAGCCGCGCAAGAAAGACATGGCCATCACCACACGGCGCACGACGAACGCGCTGTTGCACGACGAACGCGCTGTTGCACGACGAACGCGCTGTTGCACGACGAACGCTCTGGCGCACGACGAATCCCGCGCCAACCCTGGCTCCGGCTCTAGCCGCACGGTCTCCGCGTCGAGCCGAGCCCGCCCCCTCCTGCGCGCCGACGCCGCAGCGAGGGGACATGATGACGCACTCAGGTAGTAATTGACCACCCGCGCACGAAACGAAATGCGGGTGTGCTATCGTCCTGATCAAGGCGGCAGCGTGCTAGGAGTACTCGCGCGAAATGCCATGTGAGCGTGCCATCATGTGCCAAGGGAAGGCTCTGACCTGCAATCGGTTAGAGTGAGTGGCGGGCGTCGTCAGCAACAACGCGGCGAGCCGCGCGAGTACTGGACGACGCCCGCCAGCCGACGCGCCGAAGTGCTGGTCCACGTCCTAGGCTGCTTGTACCAGGGGGTGTCGGCAGCCGGCTGGGTGACAGCGGTGACTGAGTCTGCGGCATTGTCCGCGTTGTGTGGCGACGCGCCGACGGCTACTCAGCTCTCCTCGTCATCGCCGTCCCCGCGCGTGGCCTGTCATGCGAAAAGGGATCATACATGATGACGCACTCGCAGTCCTGATATCTCTTCTCGAGTTCACAAGCCGTGCTAGGTGGTCTCCACAGTGCAATGCAAAGCGTGTGCGCCCGCCGGGCCGCCCTTACGCCGTCGCCCCCGGGGCCTTCTTCGGCGACGTGCACTCGTCCACGAGGTACACGAGGCCGCGGAAGTTGATGCCGGAGTGGTTGGACAGCGACATCTCGCAGGTGCGCGACGTCGAGTAGCCGTCCGTGCAGCTCTGCGGGAGGTTGAGGTGCTGCAGCGACGAGCCCGTGAGCTCCGGGTACCGCATGCCGCGGTCGCCGGCCATGCCGCAGCACGGGATGCCCGACGGCGTCACCTCGTTGGCGCACTTCTCGGCGACAGACATAAAGGTCTTCTCGATGCCCATCTTCTTGGAGGAGCAGGGCACGTGGATGGCGATGGAGTCCTTCTTCTTCGTCCACTCGAGCTTGTCGACGAGGAAGGTCGAGATGAACTCGACGGGCTCGTAGAGCGAGAAGCGCAGGTCGGGCGACGACAGCGACTGCTTGATCTGCGCGAGGCACGGCGAGGTGTCGCAGACGACGGGGATCTTCCCGTTGTCCGACGCCGCGAGGATCGACGCCTCGAGGTCCGCGCACTTGCTCGCGGCGGCGTCCTTGAACCCGCGTGAGTTGAACATCATCCCGCAGCACGACGACCCGAGGCCCTCGGGGTAGATGACCTCGTAGCCGGCCTTCTCGAAGAGCGACAGGAGCTTCTCGTGCACCGACGCCGTCTCCGTGTCGCCGCGCGCCGGCCCCATCATGCGCGTGACGCACGAGGGCACGTACACCACCTGCCGCGGCACCCCGCGCTCCGCCGCCGCGTCCGGCGCGGGCTTCTTCGGCTCGCGCAGCGGCGCGGCGCCCTTCGGCATGTACTTGTTCCACGCCGGGATGTAGTTCCCGGACGCCTTGTTCAGGAACCCGGACACGCCCTCAAGGACCTTGGGCCCCACGACGGCGTGCGCCATGTCGACGATGTTCAGGAACGTCGGCACGGCGGCGGTGAGGGCGCCGAAGTGGTTCGCGACCTTCATCGCCGCGCTCGTCGACTTCTTCCACTCGGCCATCTCCTCGGCGCGCACCGCCTTGATCAGCTCGCCGGTGTTGATCTTCACGGGGCACTTCTCCTGGCACATGCCGTCGGCCGCGCACGTCGCCTCGCCGTCGTACGACCACGAGTCCTTGAACGCCTGCAGCCGCGCCTCGTCGTCGGCCGTCGCCGACCCGTCCGCGACCATGCCCTTGAGGCGGTGCATCTCGCGGTACACCGTGATGCGCTGCCGCGGCGTGAGCGTAGTGTCCTTCGACGGGCAGTTGCTCTCGCAGAACCCGCACTCGATGCAGCGGTTGACCAGCGGCGACGCCGGCGGCGAGGGCTTGAGGAACTTCACGTGCGCCTCGGGGTCCTTGTTGAGAAGGACCCCGGGGTTGAGGACATAATCCGGGTCGAAGATGTTCTTGATCTCCCACATGAGGTCGTAGGCCTTGGTGCCCCACTCCATCTCGACGTACGGCGCGACGTTCCGGCCGGTTCCGTGCTCGCCCTTGAGCGACCCGCCGTGCTTGGTGGCCACGATGTAGCACATCTCGTCCATCATCTTCCGGAACCGCTCGACCTCCTCGGGCGTGCGGAAGCCCTGCGAGAAGACCAGGTGCAGGTTGCCCTCGAGCGCGTGCCCGAAGCACGACGCGTCGTGGTACTCGTAGCGCTTGAACATGTCGATGAGGTCGATTGTCATGTCGCCGAGCTTGTCGACCGGGCACGCGACGTCCTCGATCAGCATCGACGTGCCCGTCTCGCGCGCGCCGCCCACGATCGGAATCAGCCCCTTGCGGACGTCCCAGTACACGTTGAATTCCGCGGGGTCCTCCGAGAAGGGGTAGTCCTGCAGGGTCTTGGGCTCGGCCGCGCGGGCGCCGAGGGGCAGGCCGGACTCGACGAGCGCGTTCTGGACCTCGTCGATGCGCTCCTGGAGCGCCTCGGGCGACGCGCCGCGGCACTCGATGAGCAGCGACGCGGCCATGGGGTCGGCCCCGCGGATGTCCGGCACGAGGCGCGTCATGTCGTCGTTCGACTCGCACTCGCGGAGCGACGCGCGGTCGAACATCTCGACGGCGTCGACGGCGGTCTTGTCGCGCAGGACGGACGCCGCGCGGCACGCCGACTCAACGTCGGGGAACATGACGAACGCCGACGCCTTGTTCGGCCACTCCGGCACCGTGTTGTACGTGGCCTCGGCGACGAACCCGAGCGTGCCCTCGGAGCCGATCATGAGCCGCTTGATGATCTCGATCGGGTCGTCCGTCGGGAAGTCCACCAGCGCGTTGAGCGAGTAGCCCGTGGTGCACTTGATGGCAAACTTGCGGCGGATGAGCGCGGAGAGCTCCTCGTCGGCCTGGACGCGCTTCGCGAGCTCGACGACGCCGATGCAGATGTCCGGGCGCTTCTGCATGAACGCCTCGCGCGACGCCGGGTCCGCGGTGTCGAGCACGGTGCCGTCGGGAAACACGACCTTGAGGTCGCGCAGCGTGTGGTACGTGTTCTGGCTGACGCCGCAGCACATCCCGGACGAGTTGTTCGACACGATCCCGCCGATCATGCACGAGTCGATCGACGACGGGTCCGGCCCGATCTTGTACTGCACCGGGTGTCCGCCCTTGCGCTTGTGTGCCGCCAGGATGCGGTTGACCTCGCCGCCGATGAGACCGGGCTGGACGGTGATCGCGGAGCCGTCGCCGTGGACCTTGTAGCTGCGGAAGTTCTTCCCCGTGTGCGAGAGCTTGAGCAGGACCGAGTCGGTCACGGCCTGCCCGGACAGCGACGTGCCGGCGGCACGGAAGGTGATCGGCACGCCGAGGCGCTTCGCGATGGGCATGATCTTCGCGACCTCCTCGTAGCTGTGGATCTGCGCGTGGGCGGGCGGTGCGAGCGCGCGTCGGCGCCGGCGTGCGGGCGCGAGCGCACGCGACGAGTGCCACGCAACCACCTCAGGCGTGCGGCGCCCGGGCGCGTGGGCGGTGCGGGCCGGCCCGGCGCGGCGCGCTGGGAGGGCTGTGCGGGGCCAGGGAGGGCGGCGGCGCGCACCTTGACGACCATCTTCGGGTTCAGGCGATAGAACGACGCGTCCGTGCCGTAGGCGTGGGTGCGCACGGGGTCGGTGAAGATGCGGCCCTGGCCGATGAATTGCTCGATCTCCTGGCGGAACGCGGTGTAGCGCCCGTCGTCCATCCTGGAGGGCGGGGTTCCGAGGGCGCGCGGCCGCGTGGGGTGCCGGGCCGACGCGAAGGAAGCAGGCTGAGCAAGTGGTCCGCGCGGTGCCGTGGCGCGGCGCGAGGCGCCGTGGCGCGCGGGGCAAGGTGGGCGGCGTACCTCTTGCCGTCCTCGTTCACGAACACGCCCTCCTGCGCCCGCGTCTCGTTCTCAGCGACGGCTGAGACAGCGCCCCAGTGGTCGACGACCGTGGGAGGCACCGTGGAGCCCTGCGAAGCACGCGGCGCAGCGCACGGGGTGAGGGCAGAGCGAGGGAGCGGACGAGGGCGCGCGGGCGGGCGCGGGGGGGGTGTATGGCGCTCGGACAGGGCCAGGGCTAGGAAATGAGGCTCTTGTGCCGCGTTGCGGTGCGGTGCGGGGGGAGTCGGGAACCCCGCGCAGGGCGCGCCGTACGGCGGCGGGGGACCGGGAGCGCTGTTTGGGGGCGCGTGGGAGCGGAGTCGCGCGGCAGCGACGCGTTGCGCGATCAGTGTGAGGGTGGGAGTGGGCGGTGGGGGAGCGGGCGGGATTGCGGGGTCTTGCGCGGCATACGCCGGTGAGAAGGGCGCTTGGATGGGAGGTTGGCGGCAATGGAGGGCGTAGGGATTGGTACGCGCAGTCGAGGGGCGCGGTGGCCGCGTGAGGCGCGGCCCGTAGGGTGTGGGAGGGGAGGGCCGGCAGCCAGGCTTTTCAGGGGTCGCGGACTGGTGCGCCGCGGCGCGATGACGGGTGGCACGCGCGCCGGGGGTGGGCCTCAGAATAGATGAGGGCGAGAGGGCGCATCGGACGGGCCGGGGAAGCGCTTCGCGGACCGCCAGCGCGTTGTATGTGCCGGGCGTCATCGTGCAGAGAGGTCGCCCACGCGGCGCCGTCCGGCAGCCTTTGCGCGAAACGGGGCGCTCCGTGGTCGGCCGCGATATCAGTCGCGGCGCGCAGGGCGCGCGGCCGCCGCGCATCGCGCTCCGCGGGAGCAGTCGGTGCGAGACGAGGCAAGGCCAGTTGACGTGGTAGGTCCCTCACCTGCACGCGGGGCATGGGCTTGACGGCCGGCATGGCCGCCATGCGCTTGCTCGGCAGCTGAGCTTCCAGCGGGCCGGCAGGCGACAGGCGGGAGGACGCGGCGGTGCTGCCATCCCCAGCCAGAGCCTTGACCAACCTACGCGCAGCGCCCGAGCGCCTCATGATGCCTGCTGTCCGATGAGCGACGCCGTGCACGGCTGTGCGTCTCCCGCACAATCCAACTGGGGTGCGTGCGCCGCGCGCGCGGCCCTACGTGCTCGACACGGGAGGATTGTGTCGTCATACCTCGGACCGACCATACACCTCGAGGCGCCGACAGTCGAGAATCCTCGACTACCATTCCACCGCTCAATCGAGGGGGGATCTACCGTTTCTGCCCCCCCCCGCCGCGTGCCAGCCCACGACACACACAATGCACGTCGCCACCCCCTTCCCCTATCCACTGCCGTGCCGCCCAGCCCATTCCGCGGCACACACACACGCCTGCCGCGCGCGACAACCTACGCCCCAGCACCCAGTGCGGACAACTGGAGCGCGCTGGCGCGATGTCGCTCGCCCGGGCGGCCGCGAGGGCCGCGCGTGGCGCTCTAGCGGCGGACCTGTGGGGCCGCAACTCGCAGGCAAGCCGCACCCGCCGCGCCGCGCCTACCCTTGCTGTCTGGTAGCCACAGCGCTGCACGCGGGCGGCTACGCGCCGAACGCCGCTGGCGCGATCTGCGCGCGATGATACGTGTGTGTGCGGCGGGGAGCGGTGCAGGCGGGGCTCAGGTGCGCGCAGACGGCGCTTGCGGCGGACACCCTGAATGAGCGTGTGCTCAAGGCCAAGTACGCGGTGCGTGGAGAGATCGTGACGCTCGCGAATAAGATCCAGAAGGATCTGGACGAGGTGCGGTCGTGTTGCGACGGCCCGGCGCCGTGTGCATGCGCGCACGGTGACGTGGGAGCCGCAGGGCGTTGTTCGTCCTCTCGGACAGCCCGCCAACCGGGGCCCTCACGCCGCAACCCTGCTCCGCGACCCCGCCGCCTCGATCTCTCTCTCTTGAGTGCCCGGAACCACCCTCGTGGCGGGACAAACCGCCCTTGCGCGCGCCGTGAGGCGCACTGCCCCCCACTTGCAAAGCATGTGCGCTCCGGCGCGCGTCCGACGCGTCCCCGCCCGCGCGCGCGCCGCAGGGCAACGGCAGCTACCCGTTCGACAAGGTCCTGTACTGCAACATCGGCAATCCGCACCAGCTCGGCCAGCAACCCATCACCTTCTACCGTCAGGTCCTGACCATTATGGAGTCCCCCGACATGGCGGACTGGCCGGGCGTGCGCGACCAGGTTCCCTCCGACGTCATCGCGCGCGCGCGCCGCTACCTCGCCGGTATGCGCGGCATGGGCGCGTACACGGACTCGCGGGGCGCGCTCGTACTCCGGGAGAGCGTCGCGCGCGGCATCGCGGAGCGCGACGGATACGACGCGGACCCCGACGACATCTTCATGACCGGTGCGAGCCGCGCCGCCCGCCCCGCTCGCCCGCGCCCGCCCACCGCGCCCCGCGCCCACACAAACAAAACAGCACACGCGTTGCGCGCGGCCGCAGACGGGGCGACCGCGGGCGTGCACATGGCGATGCGGCTCCTGCTGCGCGACCGCTCGGACTCCTTCCTCGTCCCCATCCCCCAGTACCCGCTGTACTCCGCGTGCATCGAGCTGTACAACGGCACGCTGGCGCCGTACTACCTGAACGAGACGGGCGGGTGGCGCATGGACGCGCGCGGGCTCGCGGAGGCGGTCAAGACCGCGCGCGAGAAGGGATCGAACCCGCGCGCCATCGTCGTGATCAACCCAGGTGCGCCCGAGTGCTGGCGAGGGGAGGGGGGGGGGGTAATTGTGTCAGCACCGCCGTGCCGGCGGGTGCAACGGTCGGCGGCGGGTCCCTCCGTGCATGTGCTCGTGGGGTCCGGCGCGGCGCAGGGCGCGTCGCTCGCGATGCGGTGCGGGAGGACCGTTCCCTCACTCCCCCCCCCCATGCACCGTCCCCCGGCGCCGCGCGCAGGCAACCCGACGGGCAACGTGTTGTCGTACGAGGACCAGCGCGCGATCGTGGACTTCTGCGCCCGCGAGAACCTCGTGTTGATGGCGGACGAGGTGTACCAGGCCAATATATACTCCCCAGACGCGCGCTGGCAGTCTTTCAAGAAGGTCTTGCGCGACATGGAGGCGGACGGGTCGCTCGGGCAGGGCACGCCGGAGTCCCCCGCGTCCCCCGCGATGATGAGCATGATGAGCACCAGCAAAGGCTTCTACGGGGAGTGTGGCAGGAGGGGGGGGTATGTCGAGGTGGTGGGGGTGTCCCCGGAGATCAAGGCCGAGATGTACAAGCTCCAGTCGATCTCCCTCTGCGCCAACACGTCCGGCCAGGCACGGCCCCGCACGCGCGCAAAACACCACAACGGCCGTTGTTGCTGCCTCCACGCGCCTGACCGCGGCGGCGCAGCGCGCGGTGCGTGCAGGTCGTGATGGCGTGCGTCATGGACCCCCCGCGGCCCGGCGAGCCCTCGCACGCGGTGTACGAGCGGGAGCGCAGCGCTATTCTCGGCTCTCTCGCGCGTCGCGCCAACATGGTCGCCGATGGGCTCAACAAGCTCGAGGGCGTATCGTGCCAGGTCGTCGAGGGCGCGCTGTACGCCTTCCCGACCATCACGCTGCCGCCACGGGCAGTCGAGGAGGCGAAGAAGGCCGGGAAGACCCCGGAGGGGTTTTACTGTATCGAGCTGCTCAAGAACACAGGTGCGCACAGGCGGAAGGTCTGACGCGGCCGTGGGGTCCGCCGCGGAGAGCACGCGGTGTGGGCCGAGTTTCGCCTGGATGCGCGACCGGATGCGCACGCTATCGTATTCTTATTCATTTTTGTATATGCGTCCTTGTTGTTTCGACATGGAGCCGACGTCGTCCTGGCAGTTGCGGCGGCGTGCGTGCCGACGATGATGTTGACCGTCTTCCTGTGCCTGCGCAGGCGTCGTTGCGGTGCCGGGCGACGGGTTCGGGCAACAGGAGGGCACGGCGCACCTGCGGACCACGATCCTGCCGGACGAGCGTGACATCGCGACTGTGCTGGAGTCGATGACTGCCTTCCACAAGGCCTTCATGGACAAGTGGAGGTGAGCCGATTGTGCGGCGCACACGGCCCAGACGGCGTGTGCGACAGATAACATGCTTGTTGCCGTCGAATCGAGGCGGCGGGCGATTGTGACCGAGGAGTGGTGGACCTGAACGGATCGCGCTGTGTAGCAGAGCCGTTGCGTCGGGGCACGGCGGCTTCCGGGCCCGTCCGGCTTCGTACTACTGCGCTGGGCGGTGTCAGGTTCCGTGTCGGACCAGGGGCTTGCTGCGCTGCGGTGGGGGGCGCAACACGGGCCGCGTGCGCAGTCGTGGTGCGTGGAAGCTGGCGAGCAGTCCAAGGCCGCAGGGGCGCGCGGCGTCGCTTCCTGGTTGAGCTGGCAGAGGGCGAGCCTAGCAGGGCGCAGAACACCGAGCCAGCTGCCGCGCTTCGTGCGGCGCGCTTTCGAGGCGCCGACGTACACGCGCCGAAACAGCACGCGCTCGCCGAAACACTCGTTCCGGGCGTGTCTGGACGGTGCGAGGCCCAGCGCTGGCCCCAGTGAATGCCCTCCTCCGGACGCTGAACGCTTACTTCGCCGATGCTGAGGGCGAGCATGCCTTCTCCGGTTCCTGCACCACGCGTTCCGCGCTATTCCTCGTCACGGGGCCGACTGACTCCGTGGAAATCGCCTCCCTTGCTTCTCACCTCCGACGACGCAGGCAATTCTTGCCCGCAGCGACAACCATCACCGATGGACGGCGACGCAGACCCGTCCGAGGAACAGCGAGAGGGCGACGCGATCGTCGCACCCACCCTCCTATCGACATTATGGGCCGTTCCCAGTCTGCTCGACCACGTCGCGTCCTCTCCGGGGGGAGCGCGCGACCTCATCAGCCTCGCGGCCACCTGCGCGCACGCCCTGCACGCAGTCCTCTCCCTCCGCGCCTGCGCAATCGACCTCGGCCCCCAAAGCGCTCTCCTGGCCCACTTTGCTTACCACAAAGCCACCCTCTCTTACGCTTCGAACCTCGCCAGCGGCGCCCACGGGCCGCGGAGGACCCGCGGCGCCGTGCGCTGCCTCGGCGTCGGCGTCGCGCTCGGGGACGCCTGGCAGCTGCGCCGCGCGGTGACGGACGGGGCGATCGGCAGCTCTGGCATCGTAGGGCATATTTCTGCGAACGTGTGTAGCGACGGCAAGGACGCCGCGGGCATCGTGTGGCTGCGGCCAGCGGACGGGGCGGCCGAGGCGGCGTCGGGGACGCCTGCGGGGCTGCGTCCGACGATTTCGGGCACAGCCGAGACCCGGCGACCGTTGCCGTGCTTCCCGCACCTGTTGCATCTCGACCTGACGCCGGCTGGCTGCGCGGCGGGGGTGCCGGTCGCGCCGGACATTTCCACGCTCGTGGCGCCGCGGCTGACGACGCTGGTGGTCGGACTGGGGTTCGAGGGCCCTATACCCCCCCACCTTGCGTCGCTGACGCGGCTGGTGGCGAGCAGGTCGTGTGTGGGCGCCGACGGCGAGGACTGGCTGCCGGAGAGCAGCGCGGGCGCGCTGATTTCGCTCGATGTCTCGGACTCGCTGGTAGATAGGATTCCTCGAGTGGCGACGGCTGCCAGAGATATCAACGTGAGCCGGTGCACGAGGATCGCGCCGGACGAGGACTGGCTGCCCCCCGAGGTAGCCGCGCGAGTCGAGCGCCTCGTCGCGGCGGACAGCGCCTGCGAGCAGCTCCCGCAATCACTCCCCCGCCTGACGTACGCTGACGTCAGCGGGTGCCACCTCCGCACGCCCGACCAGCGCCACCCGCACGGCTGGCTCCCGCCGGGCGCGGCCCCCGCGCTGACGGAGCTCATCGTCGACGGCTCGGCGTTCGAGGCGGTCCCAGCGGGCCTCGTATCGCTCCGCAAACTGTCGGCCCGAGGGTGCGTCGCGCTGCCGTGCAGCGCCACGTGGATCCCGCCGGACGCCGCCGCGTCGCTCGAGGAGCTCGACGTCTCGGGCTGCCCGGCGTTCGCGCGCCTGCCAAGCAACATGACGGCCCTGCAGAGGCTGCGTGTGTCCGACTGCCCCAACCTCTCGTTGGCGGCCGACGGATACTTCATACCGCCGTCGTCCGTCGCGCGGCTCGCGGAGCTGGACTGCGCGAACAGCGCGCTGGACCGGCTCCCGGAGGGCATGGCGGCGCTCACGCGCCTCGACGTGAGCGGGTGCCCGGGTCTGTCGGGGAGCGACGACACCGGGGGTCTGTTTTTGCCGGCGTCCAGCGCGCGCGCGCTCGAGGTGCTCGACGCCGCGGGGTCGGCGCTCGAGGCGCTCCCGGACGGCATGAGCGCGCTGCGGTACGTCTCGATCGAAGGCTGCGAACAGGTGCGACGTGCACACGACGGGGGCGCAAGGCGGCCCTGCCACCCGACGGCAGCCAATTGCGAAAAGCGTCGACCACCACACGCGCCTCGCGAATATCGCACAGCGTGCCCGGCTGGTCGTCCAGTTCATCGAGCGCTGCGACCAGGCGGACGGCACGACTAGACGGGCATGCTTTCCACTATTCGCCACACGCCTGTGTGGCCGACGCTGCCGTCGGAGTGGCAGTACCACCTCGCACCGCACAGCGCCACCAGTGCGCGAATTTTCGAAAGCCAAACTCCCGCCGGCGGCACGCAGGCCAGCCGCGCTGCAGTCCCGCGCCCCGCTGCTGCCTCTCGCGGGCGCCCACGTCTCTCCGTCCCTTCCGGCTCCGCCGCGCTGCTCCCTTCGCGGCTGTCGTGCCAACGACTCGGGCATCGAGGTTCCGAAGACGCACGCGCCCACCACTCCAGGATCCCTATTAGGAGTTGATAATAATAATAATAAGTTCCACGCCCTCGTTCGTGCAGCTGTCCGACCCGTGGCTCCCGGCGTCCTCCGCGGGGGCTCTGGAGCAGTGCTTCGCCGCGGGATCATGCATGGCGCGGCTCCCGCTCGCGCCGCGGCTCCAGCGCGTCGATGTGGCAGGTGCGTACGAGGGTGGGAACGAGGAGACATGCTTACGCGCCGCAGCTCTCTCTCTCTCTCCCTCTTTCGATGCTGAGCACGTGCTCACATGTGCATGAGATACGCATGACATACTAGGTATTCCCTCTTAAGTACATGAATATAACATGACATATAATATAATATGTTGGCATGTTTGTGTTTGAAGGGTGCGGGAGCCTGGAGTACGAGGAGTGGCTGCCGGAGGGCTCGGGGCGCGAGGCGGAGGGGCCGCTCGTGGTCACGGGGGCCGGGCTGGCCAGCGGCGCAGGAGGGTGGTGGGCAGCGCTGGCGGGGGGCGACACGGTGGTGTCCGAAGCTCTGCGGTAGAGGCTCCCGGTGTGACGATTGCTGTATGAGAGCCACGTGCGTGCAATGAGCGTCGCGTTGGCCGCGATCGGGAGCGTCCGAATGGAAAACGGCAGCGACGCAAGGCTGTGAGGTGTCGTCGCCCCATGTTGTCTGCCTCCCCGCAGGGGGCGCACGGGACTGCTTCCGCACGGCGGATGAGACCCTCATGAGAGACCTCGGGCCCAAGCTCCCCCCCAAGCACCGTCCTGCGACCAAGACCAGCACTCGATCCCAGCACAAGAATCGTGAGCTGTGCAGCCGTCCCACGACACGAGGCGGAGCCTCTCACACAGCGCGCGGCTGCGACGCCGCGCGCGCCAGGAGCGGCGCCCCGGCTCCTATCTACGCGTGGCAACAGCGGCGCACCGTCACCCACGGAACACCTTGTTGTTGATTCGCAAAACTCGTTTTGATTCCACGTTGCTATGACTCATGCACCCTTCTTCCCTCGACCGCACGCCGACCTCCTGCGCCCGCCTCCCGCCAGCGCACGCCCCGGCCGCGGCGCCCGAAAACCCCCCCCCCCTGACGTCAGCCATGCTTGGGGACCTTCCGGGGGCTCGCGGCGCCGTCGTCGTCCGCGTCCGGGGGCTCGGAGCGCTTCCGCGCGCCGCTGTCGGGCCCGCCGTCCGACGTGTCCGCCATCGACGCGCTCGGCCGCTCCGACTCCCCCCCCGCGTCCCCCGCCGTCGGCATCGGCGGTGGCGGCCTCCCCTGCAGGATCGCCAGCACCTGCGGGCCGAGCATGTCCGTGAGCTCCTTCCGCAGCTCCGGCATCGGCGCCGGCGTCGCCACGTGCTTCTGCGCCCGCGGCATCCGCAGCCCGCACGCGGCCGTCGACACGCCGTGCAGCGCCAGCGCCGCGGCCCGCCGCCACGCCCGCCGCAGCGCCGGCGGCCACGTCGGCCGCGCGTCCGCCTGCGGCGGCCCCTCCGAAGCCGCCGACACCTTCCCGATCTCCTGCGCCGCCACCGCCACCACTGCCTTCTCCAGATTCGACGGCGCTGGCGGCGCCGCAACACCCCCCCCCTTCTGCCCGCGCCCGCCGCCGGAGCGGCCCTTCTGCGGCGAGGGCGCCGGCGGCGCCGCCTGCGCGTCCGCGGGCATCGAGAGCAGCTCGATCAGCGCGCGCGCGGACGCCCCGCCCTGGCCCGGCGGCGGCGTCGGCAGGGGCCGAGCCCGCGCCGCGCCGCGCCGCGGCCGCAGCGCGCGCCGAGGCCATCCGCGCGTCGCCCGCGAGCCGCTCGAGCTCCTCGAGGTTCGCGATCGCCGCGGTGACCGCGTGCTGCGCGCCGGCGAGCAGCGCCCGGCGCTGCGCCTCGGCCTTTCGGTGCATCCAGAGCGCCTCGTCCTGGAGGCGCTGCGTGTGCGCCTCGTCGACGCGCGGGAGGACGTGCTCCTTCCACTTCTCCGAGAAGCGCTCCTCGAGCGTGCACGCCATGATGTGCACGTCCGTCCCCGGAGGGTTGAAGATCTTGGCGTTGCGAAACACTAGCTGGACGTCCGCGTGGAGCTCGTCCGGGTGCTTGTACCCGCCGCCGTCCTTCTCGAACCTGCCCTTGATCGTCCCGAGGTCCATCGGGCTCTTGATCGTGATGCTGTACGACGGGAAGCGCTCGAGATCCACGGGCTGGTTGAACGGCCAGGCCCACTTGTGCGCCATGAGGGAGCGGACGACGGAGAGGCCCTGCTTCGCGGTGATGTCGGCCATTCTGCGCTCGTGCGACGCCTCGAGCTTGGCCTTCTCCGCGTCGTCGAGCGGAAGGAGGACCGCGCAGGACTGCGCTTGGGACAGGCGGGCGTTGTAGTCGTCCAGGAGGCCCGCGACCTGCGCCTCGCACGCCTCGTACGCGGCGAAGACCTCTGCGACCTGGCGCCTCAGGCGCCACGCCGTGGTGTGCGCGGTGGAGCGCTGCGGGGGGTTGGGCGCGGAGCGTTTGGCGGGCGAAGGCGCCGGCGCGGGCTTCGGGAGCGGCTGCTTGGTGGCCGGCGGGCCCGAGACGCCTCCGGGGCCGCCCCCGGCGGTGGCCTCGCCGGCTGGGTGGTCGCAGGTGTCGAGCGCAGGGAGGGCGGGGTCGCTTGTTGGCTGCCCCTGGTCCCCGCCGAGGCCCACCGCGCTGCTTGGCCGGTCCTGCCGGAAATCGTCGCGGTCCTCCGCCGGACACGCCGCGCACTCGGCCTCGAGGGGCGCCGGGTGACCGGAGCCATGGCTCGGACTCGAACACTCGGGCCCAAACAGGACGTTCGGGGTCCCTGCGCGAACGCGAACGCCGTGAATCGCGATGGGCAACGGGGTTCCGCGGACGACGCGCGCCGCGAGCCGGGACCTCCACGCATGGCTGGCAGGGTGCTTTCAAGCGCGACCACGGCGCCAGGACGGCTCCGCGCGCGGACCGAGCGCGAACCCCGCGAGCAAACCGACAGAACTCGCCGGCGACGCGGACGCGCGCGGTATCATGCGCTCCCCGGCGAAACCTGCCGTTCAGCGCGCCTCGAGCTCGCCGGTCCGTGCGCACCTGGAACGCGAAGCCACCCGGCGTCCTCGCTGCAGTCAGTCGCGTCAGACCGGAGCGTCGCGCGCCCGAGGTCCACCCCTTGCGCAGCGTGCGGAGCCTGCACCGCTTGCCTCGCACGGCTCGCGCCCCCGCCCTTGCCCCTCCGCGTGGCCCCCGCCACGGGCATCGCTGGGCGCGAGCTGCAGCGGCTGTGACGGACTCCCAGGGCCCGTCAGAACGCCATCTGCCCCGCTCGAATCCCCGCCCTCGCCAGCTGCCCGTTGCACCAGGCGGGCGACTGCTCGTGCGCGCAGTGGCGTCGGCCTCGCGCGCAGCGCGGAGCGGTTTCCCGGATGTCGCCGCGCGAAAGTGCCGGCAGCGGCGCGGCGCGGGCCCTTCCAGCCCCCACGGCCCCCCGGACGCGCCCGGGGGGTACGAATTGCAGCGGCCCCCGCGCGCCTCTTGGGCGGGCGGGCCTGGCGCTCCGGCCACACGCCGCTAGCTCGCGCGGTGCTCGCGCAGCTGTCCGCGCGACGCAGATACGTGTTCCGTCGCGTGCGGGGCCCAGGAGATCGCAGGGAGACAACAGGTAGGTTCTTTGGGTCCCGTTTGGAAGTCCCCCCGGGGGCCTTCTGCCTTGGCCCGGCGCGGAACGCGGCGCAGAGGACCGGGTTGACGTCCTGGCACCGCGTGAGCCGCGGCCAGCGCGCCCCAGCCGTCGGCACGGCGGCGAAAGACACGCTGGCTGCCTTGGAGCGCCCTGTGCCGCACCCACGATCCGCTCGGCAGTGCCACCCCCCGGTGCTGACACGTCGCGCCATCGAGCGCGTGCCGCTGCGCTGCGGGGTCGCGTGCGTCACGGACGCGCGCGCCGGGGGCCCGCACACTCCTGGCGTTGTACGCGCTCCGTCCCCGCGCAGCACACGCCCTCCGCGCCGACCGGCTCGTCCCCGCGAGCATGTCTACACACAGTGTGCCCCAGCGCGAACGCGAATCCATCCGCTCGGCGCCCACAGGGCCCAGTCGAGCGCCCCCGCGCTGCGTTTCAGCCCCCCCTCACGCCGCCCCAGCGCCCCCGCCCGACCTCGCAGGCCAGCACGACCGCGAAGCGCCGTACGCCCTCCCCGGTGGCCGCGCCGTGAGCGCAGCGGCCCGCCCGCCATGCCTCGCTCGCCCAGCCCGCGCGGCCGCACGCCGTCGCGGTCCCGCTCGCGCTCGCCGCGGGACGCCAAGCGCCGCAGCCCCTCGCCGGACCGCCGCCCCGCCGACGGCGCGCGCGCCCGCACGCCCCCGAAGGACTCCCACAAGCCCCCCACAGAGGGGTCTCAAAAGGTACAAGTCCGGGGGCTGACGCGCAACGTCACGCCGGAGCACGTCAAGGAGATCTTCGGCTTCTTCGGGACCGTCACGGACGTCAAGTTCCCGATCGACGGCGCCACGCGGCTCCCGCGTGGGATGGCGACGGTCGCGTTCCAGGCCCCGGCCGACGCGGCGAAGGCGTGCGACGCGATGGACGGCGGGCAGATCGACGGGCAGAAGGTCATCTGCCAGCTGATCTACAAGGCGCTGCCGCGCGAGCCGCTCCCGCCGCCGCCCGTGCCGGGGCCGCATCGCGGCCGCCCTCTGCCGCCGCCGCCGGGGCGCGGCCGCTACCCGTCGCCGCCGCGCGGGCGGTACCCCGGCCCGCCTGGGTACGTCGCGCGCCTGCCGCCGCACCGCGGTACTGACCTGCGGATGCCGTGCCGCGCCAGATATGATTTTTATGTATGTCGAGTGGAACGCTTGATTCAAGGAAGACGTAACGCTTCGTCGCTGTCTTCCGTGCAGGCGCGGGCCGTATCCGGGACCTCCGCCACGGGGGCGTTCGCCGGGCGGGTACCGCCGCTACTCCCCGCCGCCACGCGGGGGGTACTCTCGCGGACCCCCCCCCGGGCCGCCTGCGCGCCGCTACGACTCCCCGCCGCGCCGGGGAGGACGCTACCCCTCTCCGCCGCGCGGCGGCCGCCGCGGACGCAGCTACAGCCGCAGCCGCAGCCGCGGGCGGCGCTCACCGTCGCGCAGCTACAGCCGCTCGCGCTCGCGCTCGCGCTCGCGCGGACGCCGGTACAGCCGGAGCAGAAGCTACTCGAGGTCGCGGTCGCGCAGCTACACCCGGTCGCGATCACGGTAGGCCGCGCCGCCGGGCGCGCCGTGCCTGTGCCGCGGGTGCATGGATTGCATCTTTGGCAGCGGGCCCTGTGACGGCCGATGGCGACGAATCGCGCGTTTGTTCACGCCGGCCCGCGGACGGATCGATATTGTTCGCGTGACTGCGTAGCGCCTCGTGCGCGGGCCGCTCCGATGACGGCGGGAAGACACACGGAAGACTGGGGACTGGGACCCCCCCCCCCGCCAGTCGCACACAGCCCAGGCGCCGCGTGTTGCTGCATGAGGGCCGGACCCTTCCGTTCCTCGGCGCGGCCCGCTCCGACGCGTGCGAGGCCGCCTCCCTGCGTCACCGACTCAGACCGACCTGACTCAGGATTGCAGAAACAGAAACAGTTACACTGCTCGGCTTATAGCACGCCTCCATTTAAGGTGGCATCCAGCAGGGGCACCGTCAACGCCAAAAGGAGCGGCGTCAACGGTGGCATGTGAACCAAATCCCAAGACAACACCCTCGCAGCACGTCCCACGACGTCACTGCCCACCTGTGTTTCACCGATTCCTAGCCCACCACGACGCGCGGACACCGCCTGGACGATGCGCAGTGCCGCCACGCCTGAGTCACGCATGCAAGGCGTGCATCATGCATCACGCAAACATAGAAATAGAAGGGAATGCCGAGTCTTGGGGGTTGCGACCACGCCCTCCGAGGGGGGTCCTCGGGGGCGTCGAGTGAGGCCGTCGTGTATCTGTGAGCGCGCGCCATTCAGCACGAGCTAGACCACGATGGTTGATCCCGGGAAAAACCCAGTGGGAAAAAGCCCGGGGCCGGTCAAGAGCGACCCGTGTATGGAAAGCACGGGGACTGAGCTTGCGCCCAGCCGCTCCACCCTGACCACACTCGCGCAAGGGCAGCCAATGCCCGCATGACAGTTGGAAGGGGGTGTCAGACAGGGCATGCGCTGCGTGGCGCTGGTCGAGCTGCTGGCCGTGGCTCCATACGTCCTCCGCCCTCTTGGCCAGCCGAACAGCCACTCCTCGCTCCGCTTCATTGCCACAGCGTGTGCCAGATCCCCACCGCCCCTCGACGCCGTCGTGCGCGCAGAGGTGCCCTCGCGCGAGTGTGGCCAGGCCCGGTCCCAGGCTTCGTCAGTAGTCGTGCCCTGCGATGGGGAGTGCGCACGGGGGAGCGGGGGCGAGTGAAGCTGTTCGGGGGCAGCGTTCCCCGTGGTTACGCTGCCGTGCTATCCTTGGCATTGCTTGAGGGGGGGAGTCCGCGCCCTCGTCGTCGCCGCCAGCGACGGCCGCGTTCTCGCGGAAACGACCAATTTCTGGCCAAGAGGCGCCAGGGCGCCACCGTGTCGAGCGGTGCGGGGCGAGGGCTGTAGTCGTTCACTGCTGGTTGGCGAGCTGCGGTCGCGAGCGCGCCGCCGAGGTCCACGTCACGCCCGCGCCGCTGGTGGTCAGATGAGCTCCGCGGCTGCGTGAGAGCTCCTGTCGGCGACAGGTGGCCACGCGCAAACGGTGCGAACGATGCTTCTTGCTGTCCCCGCCCGTGCAAGGCCTTGTTCGAATGCTGACGCAGTGGTTCCGACGACCTGGGCGCGCTGCGGCGCCGCATCGGCCCGTTCTCCGGTCAAACACTGTGGTGACGAGAATTGACGGCGTTGACATAGTTCTCGAGCTCAGCTGTTGCGCACGGGTGGCGCGAGCGTGCGTGCTCAGCCCAGGTCGCCGCAAGGGCGAGCACGCAGACGGCCGCTCGTCGTTGACGTGCCGCTCGCGTCCCACCGCGCGTCGAGCTCGGAGGACAACTCCCTCCTTGTTGCTGCGACGACGACACACGCGCCAGCAGCAGTCAGTCGGGGTCCGTCAAGGTCGCGACCGCCGCGTCTTGACGACTCCTGAGGTGACCACTGCGCCTCGCGAGTGCTGCGCAGCTGCTAGCCAACCGACAACTGCCCGCCGGCCCGCAACAAGCGGCCTCTGCGTGCACGCAAAGTATAAGGTAAAAATTGACCACCCGCGCACGACACACGTGACCGCTGGAGGCCTGGCTGAATGACAGCTTCACATATCCGCTGCAAGCGCAGAATCGTTCGTGTTGCTAGTGTGTGCACCCTGGGGGGGTTGCGGCGCAGTCAGTCAACAGGTCACGGTGGGATCCTGGTTGCATGCCGGGCGTCGAGACAGGCCTCGCAAAATACACCCCGCGCCCGTGCCAGGCCCGTGACACGGGGCCATTGCCAGCAGGGCGCGCCAGGGGGAGGCTGGCGGGGTCGGTCGAACGACCGACCGCCAGTGAGCGTCTCACGTGGGGCGTGGAACGGAAGGGCGGGAGCAGCAGCGCCCGCGGCTCAACGGAGCGCCGGGGCTGCGATGCGATGAGCAGGCGGGCAGGACGCAGAGGGCCGCGTCGTACGGGGTCCAATGCAGGGCGTAGGGGGAGTGAGTGAGGGGGGGGGGAGTGTGATGCCTTGTGCGAGGGTTGAGTAAGGGCTAAGGAGCGGGAAAGTGGCGTCGCGAGCGATATGGACGTCACTGGTGCGGCGTCTGGCGGCACCAGCGAGGCCGCTTGCGTTCGAGTCCGCGCCAGGCGGGAGGGGGGCGCTTTGCAGGGGGTCTGTGGCGAAGGCCCCGTGTGCGGGATCTAAGAAACCTCGAAACCTGTCGACGACGCGAGCGTGAGCTCGCGCCCAACGAGCACGCAGGTCACGACTAGAACAAGAGTAGAGCAACACTCCGGGGGGGTGGAGTGAAGTGAAGTGTAAAACATCCCCCCCCCTCGTGTCGCCCCGGGGCCTACCGGTGCCCGATCGAGCTCCGGCGGTTTCCCCCCCCGTGCGCGATGCTGCGGCCCACGTCCGCGTTCGCGTCGCACAGGTGGTAGTGTCGGCAGATCTCCAGGAAGTCCCCAGCGATGGTGGAGAACGAGGGGCGGTCGGCCTTCTCGTGCGCCCAGCACTTGCGCAGCAGCGCGACCATCTCCGGCGGCACGGGTTTCGGCCACTTGGCGTACTCGTCCGGCCGCTTCTTCTGCTCGCAGACGAGCTTGTAGATCATCACCCACGCGGCATTCGGGTCGAGGTCCAACAGGCGCTCGAAGGGCGTGGCGCCCGTCAGGATGGCCCAGCACACCATCGCGAACGAGAACACGTCGCTCTTCTCGTCCACGCCCTTCCCGGGCGTCCGCGCGTCGGCCTCGAAGCACTCCGGGGCCATGTAGCGGTCAGTCCCCCCGACCTTGGTCACGATGCGCGTGTCCTTCCGGAACCGCGCGAGCCCGAAGTCCGTGAGGATGCCGAGGTACCGGCCGCCGCGCTGGAACCGCTGCGGCCGCTCCCGGAGGAGGATATTCTCGGGCTTGAGGTCGCGGTGGACCACGGGGGGGTGTTGGGCGTGGAGGTGGTGCAGCGCCTCGGCGACGTTGAGGCAGAGCAGGAACCGGTCGGCCCACTTCACGGGGATCATGACGGGGTTGAGGAACTGCGTCGCGTTGCCGCCGGGCTCGTAGTTCATCACCATGATCAGCTCGACCTCGCCGCGGTGCATCTTCGCGCTGACGCCGTAGAAGGAGATGACGCACGGGTGCGGCGGGACCTTGGTCATCGTCGCGATCTCGTGCATCGTCAGGTCCAGCCAGTCGTCCACCTTGAACGGGACCTGCGAGCGAAAAGGGGGGGTGTTTTGTTTTGGCGTGGACGCGTGAATCGGCGGCGGCGCTGCGCCGAGAGCGAGCTCCGTTGCGCTGCGGTGTTCGTCTTCGTCTCGGGCGCCCGGAGCTCACGGCGCGGCAGCAGTTCGTGGGTGCGCCCTCGCGGCTCGACACACGCGCACACAGCGTGCAGGGACGCAGCGGCGGCGGCGGCGCGCACCTTGCAGACGACGGCGGACCCCGCGTACTCGGCCTCGTAGACGGCCCCGAACTCCCCCGCGGACAGCTTCTTCCATGTCTGCTCCGGCGACAGCCGCTCGATGGGGATGTAAATCTCCGACAGCGCGGGGCCGATGCGCGCGAGCACCTCGACCTGGTCCGGGCCCGACACGGCCTCGACGAGCTTCAGCGGCACCTTGCACGCGTCCTCGAGCTTGATCTGCGCGGCGGGCGGGCGGGCGGGCGGGCGGGAGTTGGCGCGCGTGCGCCCCAGCGACGCTCACGCAGGCTGGGGTCCGCGCGGGCGCGGCAGAGGCGCACCTTCTTGCTGTGCAGGAGGCGGTCGATGACGGGGAGGACCCGCAGCGTCCTGTGGTTCGATTGGATGTCGAGCAGCCAGCCGACCTCTTCCTTCGACTTGCAGGCGAACAGCGAGCCCTGCGGGAGCTTCTGCAGCGCGGAGACGTGCGGGTTGTACTGCGGGAGCTGCAGGAGCGCCGCCGTGGCGTCCATGGACGCCCGCGACCCGCGCGACCAGTTGCAGAGGAAGTAGGCGTCTTGGGGCGTTGCGACGCGGAACAGCAGCGGGCGCGGGAGCGCGCAGATCTCCGCGAGGAGCGCGATCTGGGTGGCCTGGTCCGCGGACGCGAGCCAGTGTTCGAGCGCGTGGAGCGTCTGCGGGGCCACGAGGCACATTTGCCGCAGGACGTCGGCCTGCTCCTGCGTGCGTATCGCCGCGAGGAGGCTCGCGGGGATCCCGAGGAGCGGCTTCATGACTGCCTCGACGGCCCCCGGGGACGTCGCGGCGGCGAGGACGTCGGGCGGCACCGAGAGGAGCGGGCCCAGGGGCACGTGCGCGCCCTCGCCGTCCAGCCAGGCCGCAACGGCCTTGAGGACCACCCGCGGGAGGCCGTTCGACCACTTCGCGAGCCGCTGGAGCATGTCCATGTCCGTCGCGCGCCGCAGGATGGACTGCGGGAGGTCGCGGACCCGCTGCACGTCGCGCCGGGACTCATCAATCATGCGCACGAGGGCCTCTCGGACGGGGCCCTCGATGTCCGACAGGTCCTCCAGGGAGTGCCGGAAGTTCCCTGGCGCGACGCGGGGGCCGGACGTCGCGCCGGCCGGGCTCACGGCCCCGGAAGGGTGCGCGAGGTGCCCGTTCGCCGTGGCGAGCTGCGCGTGGTCGACGCTCAGCGTGGGCGCGTCCCGGCGCTCCCTCTCGCCCCTGCCCTTCGGCCGCGACGCGCTCCCGTCCACGGGGGACCCGAACCGCGCCGCGCTGGGCTCTTCATCCAGCCCGTTGGCCCCGACCGTCGTCCCGTTCGTCTCCGTGCTTCCCGCCTGACTCCGCACGCGCTCCCCCTCCCCTCTCGACCCGTTCAGCGACCCGGGCGGCGTCCCGCCGAGCGCCACGGGCGCAGGCGCCCGCACCGCGCCGTTGACTGGCACCGGCGCCGCAGCCTCGGCCTTCCTCCGGGCCTGATTCCCCGCGACGGCCTTCTCGATCGCCTGCTCCATCAGCGCGAGCTGCTTCTGTTCCGGCAGCCCCTGGACGATCTTGTCGAGCGCGCCGAAGTCCAACTCGAGCAGCTGCGGCACGGAAAACCTCTGGGCGAGCACCAGGCGGGCGGCCACTGTGAACGACGTGAACGACTCGTCGCGCAGGGCCAGGAGGCCCTCGAGCTCGTGCGGGGGCAGCATGCGGGCCACCTTCGACGCACACGACTGCGCGGTCGTGAAGTCGCCCGGGTCGATGCCTGCGGCGACGGCGGGGGATATCCTGGTGAGATGCACAACAGGGCGGACGCAGCGTCGCGCCGGGGGGATTTCCGGGGCGTCTTTGCGGCCGGGGCGGCCGTGCGGGGCGGCAGGGAGAGGGCGCGCGCGCTCTGGGCCGCGGGGCGCGGAACGGCGCGCGGGGTGGGCGGCCTGAGCGGCCCGGTTGCACCCAAGGGCAGGGCAGGGCTGGGCGGTGGCGGGGGTGCGGGGAAGGGGCTGAGGCTCGGCCGCGAGCGCTGGGGGTGTGGGGAGGCTGCCCGGGCGGGGCGGCTCGGGGCGGACGAGGGTCCGGACGCGCGGGGCGGAGGTCGGGGTCGGTAAGGGGCGGACGGGCCGGGAGCGTCGTGTGTGGGGATTTGCGGGGTGCGCGCGTCGTGGGCGCGATGGTTATATGTGTTCGTACCTAGGTGGGCTTGGAGTTGCTCCGGGAGCGAGCCGACCGCGGCGAGGACGAGGACCGACTGCGAAGTCTTGTTCGTGCTCGCGCGGCCCACCTGGCGCCCGACGGCGCCGTTCGGCGCCATGGCGGCCTCTTTCAGATATCAAGGCTCGCGCAGCGCCGCGCAATTCGTCTCCTGCTTCACGCGCGCCTACGGGCGGCCCATGACCTGCCCTGCTGCTCGCTAGCTCAGTCTCCTGGCGCGCGATAACAAGCTTTCTCCCAGTGCCAATCCTCCGCTACCTTCCAGTGCCCTCCCGGCACGGCCCCCCCACCCAATGCGCCGCGGGGCGCGCGGGATCGCGCTGATTCGGTGCCACCCCCCTCCCACGGGCCGTCCCACCCCCACACGCCCTCAGGGTTTGACCCGCGCCTGCGCGGCGCACCCCGCGGCCCGGCCCGCTCCGGCGCCGCGGCGCGCACCGCACGGCCCATTCAAACGCGCACGAGCGAGGAGCCGCGGACCCAGACCCGGAACGGCGCCGCGCAGGCAGCGCCGTGCCGTCGCGGTGATACTTCGCCCGCCGCTGCCTGACGGCCTTCCTGCGCGCCGCGGTGCCGCGCACCGCCCGCGACAGCGCCTGTCGCGCCAAGCGCGACCGGCGGTTGCAAGCCCAGAGCGTCACAACGGAGCAAAAGTCACGGGGGGGGGGGTGTCAAGCGCAACACGCAGCGCTGGCCGGCCGCGCGGGCCCCGGCGGCGCGCGCGCCTACTTCTTGTTGGTGACCATGATGCCGCCCTTGGCGTACATGTCCGGCCGCCGGAGCACGTACTGGTTCCACACCTCGCGCACGAGCGCGCACCCGAGGTTGAAGGCCACGTCAGGGCGGAGGAAGTACGTCTTCGGGCGCATGTTCGTCATCACCTCGGCCCACTTCGACATCATCGCGTCGCCCTGGCGCTGCATCTCGCTCGCGCACGCGTCCAGGAGGATAGGAAAGCGATACACCAGGTTGGCGGCGCCGACCGAGTAGGCGAAGTCGTGCCCGAAGAGCGCCATCCACTTGCGCCTGCAATGAGCGACGGAGGCCGAGGCGGTGCGCGTCGCGACCGAGCGCGGGGCTCCGCGGGCGGAGCGGCACGAGCGGTGATGGGGGTTGTGGGCGGTGGGGGTGGGGGGCGTACTCGTACTCCTTCGTGGAGCGCTTGGAGTAGTCGCCGGTCTCGCGCATCGCCGCGATGGTCTCCGCGGCGGCCTTGCCGCCCATCATCGCAGTGTGGATGCCCTCGCCGGTGAGCGGGTCGATGTGGCCCGCCGCGTCGCCGATGATGAGGAGGTGGTCGTCGTACGACGTCTTCAGGCCCTGCAGCACACACACACACACGCGCGCACGCGCACGGTCACGCCCACGCCGCAGCGCACGCAGCGGCCGCCCCGCGGCCGTCGCGTCGCGCCATCGCCCCGGCAGCGCGCGGCAGGGAGGGCGCGCGCCTGCGAGCCGAGGCGCAGCGAGGCGGCCTTCATGCGCTCGATCTTCGCGTTCGGCCCGAGCGCCTGCGAGATGAACGGGTCGTTCTTGATGGCGTCGTTGTGCAGCCGCGCGAGGTCCTCTTCCTTCACGTCGCCGCACATGCCGTTCTTCCCGCACGGGATGAGGTAGTAGCAGTAGTTCAGCTCGTCGTTCGGGTGCTTGAAGATCGCGCTGTACCCGGGGAGTGACTCGCGCTGGTAGAAGCACACACCGTCAAAGTCCGTGTTGTGGGTGCCGCCCTCGACGAACGCACGGCTGCGGGGGGGGTGCGGGTAGGTTGAGGTACCGGTGTGAAGCGGCCGGGGGGGGCTGTGCGGGCGTGCGAGAGGGAGCGTACGCGAGGCTGGAGGTGCGGTGTCAGGGGGGTGTCGCGCACCTGCACACGCCGCGCGGGGGCTCGGTGCAGTACCCGAGCTTCATCGCGAGCTTCGACTGCGCGCCGTCCGCGCACACGAGCACGCGCCCGCGGACCTTCTGCCCGGCGGCGCTCGTCACCGTCCACAGCCCCGCCGCGGCGTCGAACGTCGCGTCCGTCACGTCAAAGTCCTCCTTCAGGTCGGCCCCGACGGAGCGCGCCTTGTACGCGCAGCGCATGTCCAGGTTGATGCGCTTCACGGCGCAGCACGCGGCCTTTCCGAGCTTCTCCTTTGACGCGCCGATGTAGGCCAGGCCCGAGGGCGAAACGAAGCCGCCGCAGTCGGCGAAGTGGGCCTCGTTCTTGTCGATGAGCTCCTGCATGACGCCCGTCTCGCGGAGGATCTCGATCGCGGGGGTGCACACCGCGTCGCCGCAGTACTTGTCGCGCGGGAAGTGGCACTTCTCCAGGAGGGCGACCTTGCCGCCGGCCTGCGAATCAATCGAGAAAGAGATAGGGAAAGGGGAACGTTGGGATGCTGGCGCGCCGGGGGCGTGGTGAGCGGGGAAGCGGAGCGTGAGCGGTTGGGTGGAGCCGGAGCTAGGTGCGAGGCGCGTCGCCGCGAAATTACCGGCGCCGCACGCGCCGTACGCGGGCGAGAAGTGAGACTATGCTGATGGCCCGTTCGTGCGTCGATGGCCGCGCTGGCGCCCTCTCGTTCCGCGGACCGTGCGCAGCGGACGTCCGGCGGCGCGTCGGCGGCGCGCTTCGGGCGTACCTTGGTCAGGAACGTCGCGCACGTCGAACCGGAGGGGCCAGCGCCAACAATCACCGCGTCATACGCGTCCTTCGGCAGGGTGCTGGTCGGGAAGCGCCCCTTGGACGGCACGTGGTTGTCGTACATGCGCTTCGCCACCGCGAGCCCGCCTGCGCGCAAGGTCGCCGCGCGGCCGGTGGGCGAGAGGCTGGGGCAACGCCGCGGCGCCGCGGCGCCGCGCGCGCCCTGGAGCGGATGCAAGCATCTGAGGCGGACGCGCGCGCCAGACGAGATCAGGGGGCGGCGGATGGCGGCGCGGGAAACGGCGCAGCCCGGCGGGGGGCCGCGGGGCGTGCACCCCCAGCAGGGCAGGAGGGATCAACGGAGTGGCGCTGACTCAGGCACGCGCAGCGCAGCGTGGTTCCACGACGGGGTAGTTTGGGGCAGGTGGTATGCGGAGGCGTGGCGGGAAATTCGATCGGGGCGGTGCGGCGGCGAGCGCCGGCCGACAGCTAGGGTGCGGGCGCGAGATGTGTGCTGCGAGTGGCGCGTGCGAGCAGCGCGGTCCGGCCAGAGCCCGGATGGGCGGCGCGGGGGGACGGGAGGGGGTGGAGGGAGGGTGTGTGCGTGGATTTGCGAGTCAACGCGCCGCGCAGGGGCGCGTTGCGCGTGCCCTGGGTCGTCTGGCGCCTCTCTCGGTGGCGGCCCGCACAGAGGAGCGTGTTGGCGGGTTTTGCGCGTTTTCGGCGGAGAAAATCGCGATTCGTCTGTTGCGTGAGGAAGGGCGCACGTACCCAGCGCGGCCGCCCCGGCAGCGGCATACTGCACGACCTTCTTTTCGACGCCGAGGCGGTCGGCCGCCTTGTCGATGTACTCGTTGATGTAATCCATCGTAGCCGTTTTTCCCCGAACGAGCCGCTCGCGCGGCCGGCGGCGCCAACGAGCCCACGGCGCGCCCGCGCGACGGCCCTTCCCTCTCGACCGTCGTCAACAGGCCCCAGGGTGGCCCGGCGCGGCCTCAACGCCCCCGCGGACGAAGCCGCGCCGCGCTACCTCGCCCGCACCACTACCGGCTACCTGGAGGCACGTACGAAACTGACTCCACGCGACAACTCGTGCTGTGGACTGGAATCAAGAGGTATGCCCCACACGTCCACGCACGGCGTCTCCACGGGCTTTCCCGGCCGAACCTCTGGCCCCCGATGCGCTCCAAATGGCTGAGCACGTCATGCGATCGCGAGGCGCGAAGAGGTGGCCGGAAACCGGGACGACGTGCGTCAAAATCGCAGCGCAAGAATTCCGGGGCAACTGGCTCGCCTTGAGCCTGTCGTGCAGGTCGGAGCGAGCCGGGACCGAGTGTTGCTCACCGTCAGTCTCGGGCGTGCGCGAGATGTCGGGGTACGGACAGCCTGGCCAAGGCGGGCACCCGTTCGTGCCTCCCAACGCTGGAGGCGCGCAGTCGCCGTTCGGCGCGCCCCCGCCCGGCGCGGGCCGACCAGCCGGCGGCCCCCCGTCCGGACCGTCGCCGTTCGGCCCCCCGCCGGGCGCAGGCCACCCCATGGGCCAGGTGACGCCCTTGCTCACTTTGCAGCCACACTCGCAGTGCGCGCATACCAGCGCGCAACGCGGACCCTCGTGCACCGCGCGGCAGTGTCCAACAACTGAAGAAAGCCTCGGGAACGCCGGCCGGGTCGCACGCGCACCGCCGGGGGCGCACGAGCGCGCATTCACAGTCAACTACCCTCTGCCCACGCCGCCCTGCAGGCACCCATGGCGCCGCCTGCGTACGGCAGCCAGCCTCCTTACGGCGCGCCAGGCGCCTCCGGCTACCCCTCTGCCCCGCCCTACGCCGCAGCGCAGAACTATCCAGGCAGCGCCGCCAGCGGCCAGCCCAACCCCTACCCCGGCGCGGCACAGAGCAATCCGTACCCGGGAGCCCCCGGAGGACACAGCCCCTATCCAGGCGCAGCACCTGCCGGCAACCCGTACCCGGGCGCCGCGCCCGCGGGCAACCTTTACCCTGGCAGTGCCCCTGCGGGCGACAGCCGCTACCCGGGCGCCGCGCCCGCGAGCAACCCGTACCCGGGCGCGCCGGGCGGCAACCCGTATCCTGGCGCGGCGCCTGGCGGGAATCCTTACCCGGGAAGCGCGCCGCCGCAGCAGAATTACTACCCAAGGTGAGGACGCGTAATCGAGAGCCGTGTTGCGGGGGGTGTGTGGAGTTGCACGAGGCGCCGCTTGCGCGGACGTGATGTGATGGCGCTGGACGTGCGGGGGCACGCGTTGCCGTTGCGGTCGAGGATCACGTGCGTCGCGCGTTGTTCTGCGTGTGATGTCTCTGTTGTGTGTCTCGTCGTGGTGTTCCTTCCCTTGGCACATGATGGCACGCTCACATGGCATTTCGCGCGAGTACTCCTAGCACGCTGCCGCCTTGATCAGGACGATAGCACACCCGCATTTCGTTTCGTGCGCGGGTGGTCAATTACTACTGTGTTGCGGCGCCCAGCGGCGGTCCCGTGCGCAGCGAGAGCCGTGGGTCTGTCCGGACGCCTGGCCGTCGCGGATGATCCCACATGAACCATGCAAGAAACAAACAGTCTGACGAAAATGATCAGTTGTCAACCTCAATTAGTACCTTGCAGTCCTCCAGGAGTCGTCTGGGCGCCTGACTTGCCCCCTACACCTTGCTCGCGCACGCGCGGAGTTGCCACCGCCGCCGTCACCCCCTGCCATCCTCTTCTGGCTCAATCGACGGGACCCGCAGCAGGCATATAAAAAAAATGTTTTATAACGTTCTGAATGTTCGTCACATCATTGGATCGAATCGAATCGCGACTCTGCTGCGCACGCGCCCCGGGCCTACAGCTCCGAGTGCCCCGCGGCCTCCCGCGTGTCCACCTGCACCGCGGCCCGCAGCAGTATTCGCACCAGCAGCACCACCATCGCGGCTGCGATGAGGTACGACAGGACGGCGAGGGCCGTGTCGACGGGGTCCGACGGGGCCGCGGCAGGCGTGGGCTGTCGCGCGGCGGCGGCGGGCGGCGCCGGAGCCGCGGCGGGGGCGGGGTCGGGGGTGGCGGGCGGAGGGGTCTGTGTGCTGGGTGTGCGGGGTGTGGCGTCTGCGTGGGGGGCTGCCGCGGGCGCCGAGGGCGTCGCGGGCTCGGGCTCGCGCGGGCGCATCGCGCCGGATGTGCCCGGCGCGCGCGGACCCGTCGCGTCGCGCTGCCTGACGAACTGAATCGGGGGGTCTTTTGCGCCGCTGTCAGACTCGGACGGGCCCGCGGGCGCCGCGGCCGGCGACGGCCCCTGAGAGCCCTCGCCGCGCTCTGCCGTGTCAGACGCCCGCGGAGTCGCACGTTCGCCGTCCTCGTCACGCGGCGCCGCCGACACCCCCCCCGCTGTCGCAGGCGGCGTCGCAGCCGCAACCTCGCCCACGGGGGCGGCGGTGTCGGGCGGCGGCGCTGCGGACGCAGCCGCGGCGTCGCCGGCGCCGGCGTCGCGCTCCGTCTGACTGGACTGCGGCCGCGCGCCGCCCTGTTGCTGTTGTTGTTGTTGCATGCGTCGCTGCAGCTCCGCCGCCTCCGCCGCGAGCATGGCGGCGTGCAGCCGGTCCGCGATCTCCTGCACGCACGACCAGCGACCACCCTGGGCTCGTCAGCGCACAGCTCCAGCCGCACGACGCGATGGCTGCTCCGATCGTCGGCGACACTCGCGCGCGCGCGCTTCGGAGGAGGCGGAGGCGCCGACCTGCATCTCCGCGGACGGCATGCGTGGCGGCTGCATGCGGGAGTCCGCCGCGAGCTCCGCGCGGTCCGTCTCCGACGCGTCGAGGGAGCCCAGCGCGCCGTTGCCCGGCGTGGCAAAGAATGCTCGCAGGGCGACCATCGCGGTGCAGACGCCCCACGACGGCTGCCACTCCTCGGGATGGTGGCTGCGGACGTGCCGGGCGGGTTGCGGCGGCGGTGAGGGGGGGTGTCGGGCCGAACGTGCGTTGAAGGGGGTTTTGGGGGTTGACGTGGTGTGTGACGTCGAGGCGAGGGGCGCGCCTGGAGATGGAGAGGCAGATCTTCTGGCCGACGGCGAAGCGGCCGTTGGGCGTCGCGAAGATGAAGGAGGGGGGTTTCATGGGGTACTCCGGGGGGAGTGAAATGCGGCCGAGGTAAAGACCCCCCGTGAAGCCGCCCTCCGCGGGCCCGCGCACGGCGAAGACCCACTCGAACAGGTTGGACTCGAGCGCCTCTGCCATGAAGTCGCTGCCACCCTCCTTCTGTACCTCCCGCACCTCCTGCGCACAGAGCGGTTGCGGCACGGAGCGGTTGCGCACGCGTCAGGGCGTCTTCTGCGCGTCGCGCGAGCCGCTGACTTCAGAGAAAGGCTCCGGGACCGAAACGTGCGCCGTTCAAGCTGGAATGCCCCGCATTTCGCCGCGAAAAGGGTCTGTGGAGAACGATGGTGGCCGCAGCGCGCCCCGACGACGCGACGAGGACGTTTGTGCGTGCCTGCCGCGCCGGTTTGAGCCGTGAGCGCGCGTTCGTATCGGTGGCGCGCTCGATCGTGCCCGTGGTTGCGGGAACGAGACGGTGGAATGAGCTCGCCCTGGTCGTGGAATACGCGTCGTGGGCCGCGCTGTATCCGGCAACGAGCAGCTGAGGGGGGCCTCTGCGACTGGAACCGTGCGCGGCGTTCGAGAAACCCGCCTAGATCCTCCGGAAGGTCGCGTTTGCGCGTCCATCTCGAATTGGCAATCTGGCGGGGCATTGCGGCGACGACGACGCACCTGCATGATGCGCTTCACCGCGGCGTTGCTCGCATTGTACCGGGGCGCCGACTCCGCCATCGCAGCCGCCCTGTCAACCGCTCCGCGCCTCCTGAGGCGGCCTTATTTGCCCAGGCAGGTCCGCCCTGTGCCGATGCGACGCGTCACGACGTGCAAACAGCGCCGAAATAGAACCTTGGGCCATACACACTGCGCGCGCGCGGCGCTCCGGCGCCCAGGAGTGGTCAGCGGGCCGGGGGGCCAGCTGAGGCCACTCTCCTCCTGAGCTGGAGTCTTGGTGACCATTGGTCGGACCGTGACGCCGGCGTTCAGGGGGGCTGGTGGGGGCTGTGCGCGGCCACAATCGCTCGTCAGATCTCCGTCGTGACGTCGGTACCGCGCGACACCCGAGATATCTCTTCACCGCCGCCCGCAGACGGGTTTTCTCGACTGCGAGGACGTACGGATGATACGACTGCCCGCGCTGCGGGCGCCGGGCGCCCAGGCGCCCGCGGCCTCGCACGCGCTGCACGCCCGGAGCAGCTGCGCGCTTTCACGCCCACTCGTCCGCCGCGTCGGCCTCCCCGCGCGCCGCGCGGACGCCCGCACTCCCGGCCAAGCGTGTCGGGCGCACCCGCGGCGCGTCGCCAAGGTCGCGAAGCAGCTCGAGCGCGAGATCGCCAACATGCTGCTCTTCGACCGCCGCCTGCGCGACGCCGTCTGCCCCGAACGCAAGCGCGGAGGCGACAGCGCGCTCTCCGGAATGGCCTCCGTCACAGAAGTCGTGCTCTCCGGTGACCTCCAGGTGCGCAAACGCGCGCCCCGACCCCTCTTCCTCGCACATTCCCCTCGCGCAGCTCCCACTTGCAGCGCCGGGCCCTCGCAGCGCCGCACACGCCCGCGCGCGTGCCATAAAACCGCCCGGGCGAGCTGCCACCACTCACCGCCGGCCGCGGCCCGCGCGCGCGTCCCGGCAGGTCGCGAAGGTCTACATCTCGATCCTATCGGACCAGGAGGGCAAGGAGGTCGCGATGGAGAACCTGAGGAAGCTCCAGCCGTACGTCCGGATGCGGGTCGGCAAGAGCCTCCGTCTGCGCCTCACGCCCGAAATCCGCCTCATTCCAGACGAGTCCATCGAGCGCGCCATGCGCGTCCTCAAGCTGCTGGACCAGATCAAGGAGGGCGACGACGGCGCGACCGCGCGCGAACCTCCGCCGATCGCCATCCCAGGTGCGCGATGCCGCAACCACCACTGGTGCTTGTTGGTCGGTGAGCCCGCCGGTCGCTGCGGGCCGCCGTGATCGCGCTCTGCCCCGTGGCGCCGCGGACGCTGTTGCGCTGCTCGCGCGTGCGCGGCGGGTGCCGTGCGGGAGCTCCAGGCAGATGGGTTGTTCAAGTTGCACGGAGCTTAGTGAATCCTGTCTTGCAGCGCGCCGCTTCGGGCTTGAGTCGGTCCCCGGCCGCGCGCGGCAGCGGCGGCGCTCTCCGGCGCCCGCGAGCACAGCGCAGCGGTGCACGAGCGCCGGGCAGCCCCCGAAGCAGAGCCAACTATGTAGCGCACGAAAGATACTGATTTCTCTTCTTCTGACCGCACCTGGCGCCCCCTCTTTCCCCCGCGGCACCCCACACCGGCCAGCACCGCAGTCGTGCCCCTGCGCGTGGCAGCGCCCGCGCGGCCCGACGTCACTGCGCAACCCGTGCCGCAGCAATGCACTGCTGCACGCGCCGCGAGAACCGAATTTTCCGGGTCGCGGTGCCGCGCGGCGGCTGTCCCGTCGCCGCAGGATCGCTCGCGCACTCGGCTTGGTTGCGGGGGCGTCGCTGCCGGCTCCGGGGATCTGACAGGGGGGGTGTGTTGTGTTGGGCCGCGCTGCAGGCGACGACGAGGAGGGGGGGTTCTTCGACATGTACGAGGACGAGGATTCGTTCGACGAGGAGTACGCGGAGTTCGAGGGCCCGACGAATCTGTTCGACGAGGAGGGGGGGGAGTCAGTGGAGTCGGGGGGGGGTTTCGTGGGGTCCGCGGCGGGCGGCGAGGACGACGACGAGGAGGACCAGGAGGCGCGCGCGCTGGACGACATCTTCAAGTCGTACCGCGAACAGGTCCGCGCCAGATAGATACCAAAACAAGTCTCGCGTTCCCTCCTTCCTGGCCCGACTGCCTCTCCCCGCTGCCCCACGCGCCGCACCGCCCGCTCACTGCTCGCCGGGCGCCGCATCGTCACCCGCGCGCCCGCTTCGCCCAGGACGAAACGATACCACGCCTCACGCTTTGACACGTCGTCGTCCTCGTCGCAACGCCCCGACACGCGCCCCGCCGGTCCGACCCGGGACGTACCCGCGCGCGTCCTCACCGCCCGCCCCGTCCCGCCCGTTCCCCCGCAGCGGCGGCAAGCGCAGGTGGGGGGCTACTCTCGCCCCGTGCCCGCGCGTCGCACCGAGGAGGAGGTCATCCCGGAGAAGTTCGGAGGCGCGTCGCTGCAGGAGGTGTCGGGCGGGGGAGTGCTCGACGTGGCGGATCTCGCGGAGCTCGACGACCTGGACGTGTCGCAGCGCAAGCCGTGGAGCCGCAAGCGTGGTAGCTGGAACCGTAACAGGACCGGGGGCGGCGGGGGCGGCGGTGGGGGCCGGCGGCGCCGGCGCTAGGCGTGGTGGCGGGGCTGTGACGGTGTGCCGACAGCCGGCGCGCGTTCCGTGCCTTGCGCGCGCGGTCAGTTGCTTCTTTCGCGCGCAGGAGCGCGGCGGTCGCGGGGGGAGCGGTGGCGTCGTGGTTTCGCGCGGAAAGGGCGCTCGGGCCGCGGACGAGCGCGCGGGGCGGCTCGGGGGCGCGAGCCGCGGCTGTGAGGGTGCGTGCCGGGGGGGAGTCGTGCTGGGGGCGGGAATCATAGCCCGCGCGTGCGTGGCCCGCCGGGGCCGTGAAGAGGGTGTGCTGCGCCGGTCAGGCGCACTGTTGCGGTCTGCTACGCAAGTGCGCGGCGCTGCGTCCGACTGTCGAGGCATTCCGGCCCATTTCCGACACACACTTCTGTGCAGTGCAGAAGCGCGCTTGCGGGCGTGACTGCGACGCTCGAGACTCTGCTGTTGGAAATTCGCGTAGAGTGAACTCAATGAGAGCCGTAGTGTCCGCCTTCAGGAGCAGCAACGTCCTGCGGAGCGGGCTTCCGGCCCTGGCGGGGGTGCACAATGCGGTGCAGTCCGCGGCGGTGCCGCAGCGCGCCGAGGTCGACGCGCGGCGTCCGCGGACGCCGCACACCGTCGGCGACATCCTCCACTACCAGGCGAGTCGACCGTCGAACTCCCGAACGCCCCGGAGCCGCGCGTGTACACACTCCGAGGCACAGTGTTAGTTGGCCACATCGCACCGCGATAAACGCTTGAATGCCGCCGACCGGCACTGTTTCACGTTGTATTGGTTGAATTCTACGTATCTGGCGAGTAAACTTGCTGAAGCATCGGCGGGATTGCACGTTTTGCCCTGAAGAAGGTGCCGCCGCCGCTCCTAGGTACCCTGCGCGTTTCTCGCCGCAACGGCCGCGCGTTCGTGAGCGCGCAGGCCGACGCCGGGAGGTGGGGCTGGGTGGCTGCGGACCAGCCCGTCTTCGACGCCATCTCGCGGGTGAGCGCCCCCGACGCGCTGCTCTTGCACCATCGTAGGTATAACACCCGCGCGGGAGGAGCGGATCTTCGTCTGACGACGCCGCGACGCGTGCCGTGCAGATGACGAATCACAGGCTCGGCTGCCTGATGGTCGTGGAGAACCCGAACGTCACGAGCGAGCACGACGCCAAGCAGTACATCGCCTTTCTGCCGACACACGGTGCGCACCCGCGCCGCCCCGATCGCACATTCCGTTCCTCTCGAGCGCGTGCCTCGCGCAAATCGACCCACGAGAGCTCTTTCCGTCCCCGCCGCGCCGTCGCAGACCACATCGACTGCACGGTCGACCCGGGCACGTTCGCGGAGGGTCTGCGGCTGCCCAACGCCCTCTCGCGCGTCGTCGGCATCGTCACGGAGCGAGACTATCTGACGAAGGTAGCCGTTCGCGGCCTCTCGTCGCACCACACGCCCGTGGCGCAGATCATGACGCCGGCCGCGGAGCTCAAGCACGTCACCACGGGCGCGTCCGTGATGGAGGCGCTGATGATGATGGACGCGCACAGCTTCCGGAACCTGCCCGTGATGGACGTCGGCGTGGTGCGCGCCGTGCTGAGCATCCACGACGTCGTGCGCGCGGTGCGGCGGGAGCGCGAGGGCGACGTCGAGACGATCGAGGGGTACTTGCAGGGGTCGTACTAGGCTGCGGCGCATGCAGAGCATGCAGCCGTCCGCCAGCGGCCCGCATGCAGCCAGGCCGAGGTGGGCGAGGGAGGGGTGTTTCGGGGGGGGTGCAGGAGCTGACGCAGCGCAGCGGCGCGCGGCCGAGGTGCGCGCGGAGCTGTGCTGCGGCTGCGGAGACTGTGAGATCCAAGCTGCACAAACGTGTGTGTTCTCTGATCCAAGATTTCTTATTTGTTTTTCCGAACTTGGCGCTCGACTGAGGAGCCCGTGCTGGTGATGGGCTCGCCCTCCGCGTGCAGGCCCCGCACGTCACGGGCCCCGCCCCCACTCGCAGCAGCCCTCCGCGGTCACATCACCCGGCAATTGCACCCCGTCGTCGTCCCGCCCGCCGCGCTGCCGCCGGGCCGCGGCAGCACCACGGGCGGCTGCTCGCCCTTGCCCCCGCCCGACCCCGCGCCGTTCCCGTTCCCGTTCGCCGACGCGTTCCCCGACCCCACCTCCGCGCTCTTCCGCACCGACCCCTTGGACTTCTTGCTCGCTGAGTCAGGGGGGGCGTATTTCTGGTACAACCACGAGGGGTTGTCGTCCGCCATGGTCGCCACGAGCTCCTCGAGCGCGTCGATGATCTGCTCGAACGTCGGCCGCATCCCGGGGTCCTCATGCCAGCACGACTCCGACACCACCTTGAGCGTCTGCGCCCCCTTGGGCAGCAGGTGCATCACGCGCCAGGGCGGGCGGTAGCGCCGCTGTGCGGCGTCGTACGCGGCCTGGATGGGCTTGGTGCCGTAGTACGGCACGACGCCCTCGACCAGCTGGTACAGGATCATGCCGAAGGAATACACATCCACTTTGTTGTTATATGGCTCGTGTTTGAAGACCTCGGGGGCCATGTAGCGGTACGACCCGGTGCCGCCCGTGAGCTGGTACGCGTCGGTCAGGGTCTCGACGTCGAAGACCGGGAGAGACTTCGAGAGCCCGAAATCCCCGATCTTGATGATTCCAGTATGAAAGGCCAGCTCGTCGGGGCGGTTGTAGTAGGAGCCGCCGATGAGGATGTTGCTGGGCTTGAGGTCGCGGTGGATGATGGACTTGGAGTTGGCGTGCAGGTACGCCATGCCTCTGCGTCGGGCGTCGTTGCACGGGGGCGGCGGTGGGGGTGAGCTGCTGTGTGAGGGGGGGTTGCTGCGAGGGCGGGGGCGCGGGTCCGGGGACGCACCTGGCGATGTCGAGCGCGATTTCGACGACGCGGCGCACGGTGAGCGCGCCCTGCATGCGGAACACGTCCGCGAGAGACCCCCCGGGGACAAACTCCGTCACGAGCATGTACGGCTTCTTCTTCGTGCACGCGCCGAGCATCTGCACCGCGTTCGGGTGGTGCACGCGCCGCAGGATCCCGATCTCCGTCCGGAAGTCGCCCAGCGCGATCTGATCCGACGAGTTCAAGACTTTTACCGCCACGTAAGACCCCCTGCGGCGGGCCGGGCGGGCGCGGACGCGGTCGGCGCGAAGCGCGCTGCGATGGAGGACGCGGAGCGCGCAGGCGGGCGTCGCGCGGAAGCAGCCCGCGTGCACGAGCTGCTTGCGGGGGTGCTACGGTGCATGCGGGCCATGTGGATGCGGTGCACGGCCCCCGCGAACGGTTCGCGCGAGAAAAGAAGGACAGAGATCTGCCGGCGTGCGGCGTGCGGGGCGGGGTGCCCGGGGGCGCGGTGCGGTGCGGCGCGTTTGCGCGCGCGCACCTCCATTTCGCCTTGAACACCGTCCCGAACTCCCCCTGGCCGATCTTTTCGAGCACGTGGAGCTCCGAGGGCTCGATCTCCCACTCCGGGTCCAGGTCGAGCCCCTCGAAGCCCGGCGTCAGGCCCAGGGCCTGCAGGTTGGTCAAGCCGGCGAGCTCGCTGTCCGCTAGGCTGAGGAGCTTGCCGCGCTGGAAGATGCACCCGCCGGCCTCGATCAGGAGCTTCGCGACCTCGACGTACTCGCCGCGCACGGCGTCCTCCAGCGGCGTCCGCTTGAACCTGCACAACGCACGCAACGCCACGTGCACGAGCCGTGACGCACGCGATCGCGCATTGTCGCTCTGGGCGCGCAGCCGCTGGCTCGGGCGGCGCCGGAGCGAGAGCCGCGGGCCGGGCGCCCGCGCACCACGGTGGTGCGATGCGTGAGGCCCTCAGACGGAGAGAGGGCATGAGGCGGAAGGCGCGCGGAACGGCAGGGAACGCGGTGTTACCTGTCGAGGGCGTTGTAGTCGGCGCCTTCGGCGAGCAGCCAGCGCGTGACCGTCCAAGCCCCCTCGGAGGCTGCCAGGTGGAGCGGGGTGCGCTTGTCGTAGTCGCAGCAGTCCGGACTCTTCAGGTCGAGCTTCCACATATCACGGAGCTTCTGGCAGCGCTTCACGTCGCCCGCGCTGCGCGTCAGCGGGCCCGAATTGCCCCCCCGTGAGCGTGCCGTCAAGGGGCGCTGAATTCGCACGACCGCCGCGCGCCGGCGCAGGCAATCGCTGGAATATCGCGATGGAACGAATGTACGCGCCGATATCTACCCGAAAGTCGAGAGACACGCGGCGCTGACGCGGCGGCACGCGCAGGAACGGCAGTGCCTCAACAGGCCAGGCATTGTATGCCGCTGACACGGCGGAAAGCACGTGCTGCGCGACCCGTCATGGGCCCGCAGAGCACGCCGAAGCAGCCCGAGGGCGCGCCCGTGCGCCGGGCTCGGCGAAACAAGACGCGAGCACGTCGCAACTGGCCACGAGGGGCAAGTCTGGCGGCCGCGCAGAAACGTGCGCCGCACCTGGCGAAGAACAGCAGCTCCTGAATGGCCCTCCGCCGCGCGGCGCCTTCTCCGTGCAGAGACGCGTCGTGCTTCGCGAAATCCGGCGCCCCGTTCGAGGGAGACTGCGGCCGCCCGCTCGGAGCGACCCCCAGCCCTCCCGTGGTGGGGCTCCCCACGACCGGAGCGACCTGGGCCTCGTCGTGCCGCGCGCTGTTGCCCTCGGGGACGGTCGGGAGGTTCGCCGCGACGCTGCCGGAGTCCGCTTTGGCCAGCACCTCGCCGCCGGGCTCGGCGATTCCACCCGGAATGGGGCCCTCAGAGGCCGCGAGCGCCTCCTGTAGCGGCGTAGCCATTTTCGAGCGGTCCCGCGCCTTGCCCTGGCCAAATGCGCCGCGGTGGCGCGCTGAGCGAGCCTAAACACGCGTACGTGACGCGGGCGGCGCGATCCCGTCAGCGGTGCTCCAGGCGCGGCCCCGTCGCGCGCACTGCGCACTTCCACGCGCCGAGCCTCCGAACAGACGCCTCGAACGTCGCCTGCTGTCCGAACGCGACCACGAACGCCGGAAACGGCCTGCGAGGAAGCCGCCGCCGCTGCCCTGCAACGCCCCTGCCACCCGCTCGTGCCGCACCACAGGACGCCGCGAGAGATCGAACGTGCCTCCAGGGGCGCAGAATCAGCCGTGCTCGACGCCGCGCCGCCCCCGAGAGCGCGCGGCGCGCTCGCCTGACGCCCGTCACCCGGGGAGGCCTCTGGGCTGAGCTGGCACTGGCAGCACACGCGCAGTCGCACCTGCAGCACCCTGCACGCGTCGGCCGCGCAGACAGGCACGGCGCCTCCGCGAAGGCCCCGCGCATGCGCCTGCGCCGTCAGCACGCCGGGGCTGGCCGTCCACGTGCCGCCATGACATGGAGTTGTACAATGACGACCACGCCGTTCCGGTGCTCGCCCGCACAGCAGCGGTCTCTCGCGCCCTGCGCAGGCACATGGCGCGTGAGCGGCCGTGCCTCCTGAGGCCGCCCCCAGCGTGACCCGGGGTCACGGCAGACCCCCCCAGGGGTGTTTGTTTGCTGCGCGGGGGGGGTTGGTGGTGGCGCGGACGGGCTAGTGGGCGCGGCGCGCTGCGCGCTGGCGCCACAGCCTGCGGGGCGGGCAGCAGGCTCCCGCTCCGTGCCGTCGCGCTGTGCGCGGCTGCCGCCGGGCTCGTAGAGCTAGTCTGCAGCCCTCCGCTGGGCCGCGGCCTTGGGGCGCCTTGTTCGGGACGTGCTTTGAGAGATTAGATACTGTCTAAGCATGGCGCGGAAGGACACGGCTTGAATTCGCTCGTGGATGCCACTCAGGGGCGTGGAGCCGGGCAGGCAGGAGCGAAGGGAGGCAGTGGCGCGCTTCTACGCGGAGCTCGTGGGCGTGTGCGCGCCGTCGGAGCCGGACTCGCGGCAGCCCAGGGAGGATGCTGCGCCGGCGGCAGGCGCGGAAGCGGCGGCAGGGGCGAGCGTGTACGTGCCGCGCGGGATGCGCAGGGGCGGTGTGCAGCGCGAGGACGCGGACAGCGCGGTGCGCGCGGGCTGGGAGAAGGTTGGGGGCGAGGGCGTCCTGGTGAAGCAGCCGCCAGCGAAACGGAGGCGCAGGGGCGACGGCGTGGACGACATTGGAGCTGTGGGGAGGCGAGAGGACCTCGCACGGGAGAAGGCGGAGCTTCCCGCGGCGTTCGGGGCGGCTGAGAGGCACCGCCATGCGATAGACAAGGGGAACGTGGGGTACGAGATGCTGCGCGGGATGGGATGGAAGGAGGGGGAGGGGTTGGGGGTGGAGCGGCAAGGGACGGTGGAGCCGCTCAAGGCGCGGGCGAACAAGGGGCGCAAGGGCATAGGGCTGCATGGCGACGCGAGCAGGAAGCGCAGGCTGGCGGGCGCGGCCAAGGAAGACGAAGGTGCGCACGAAGGCGCGGAAGATAGCCCAACAAAGCGTGTCGTGCGTTCTGTGCGTTATTTCTGGGCTGATGGCGCACGTACGCGTCGCTGTTTGGCCGCGCAGGGCGGGCTTCGCAGAAGGGGGGCGAGGGGAGTAAGCGCGTGACGGCGCGGGAGCGCGCGAAGCAGGTGCTGGCGGAGGAGGCGGCGAAGGAGTCGGTGGAGGACAAGGTCAGGCGGCACAAGCAGGTGCGCAGCGCTCGCGGCGGCGCTCCGCCCCGCCCGACCGCCTGGCCGGAAAGCAGGCACCCGGAGATGGAGAACAAGGTCTCTTGTTGCTCGAATGATCGAATGGTCGCGACGGACGACGTAGCTCGCCTGCGCGGAGCCTGCGAGCGAGCGCCCGGTCCAGTCGGCCGCCGCGAGCCCCAGCGCGTCACCGCCGACCCGCTCCAACAGGAGCGCGGTGACGACGACGTCGATGCCCCGGGCGTCCAGTCGGTGCCGTGCGCCTCCGCGCGCAGCTCCTCCCGCGCCCCCACCGCACGCGGCCCCTCGCCGCGCCTCGCCGTGCCGGACGTCGGCGCCGAGCGCTGCGAGCCGCCGGTGCAGAGCCGCTACACCCGCGCTGTCCAGGAAACACCCAGGTCGCGCTCCCCGTCGCTCAGTCGCTCCGTCGGCTGCGGGGATCGCGATCTGGCGCGTTCCTGGACGCTCGGGGCGTGGCTGGTTCGCACCGGCGGCTCGTAGCGTTCGAAAGAACAGAAAAGCTGCGCGGTGCTGAGGCGGCGCCCTCGGCCTGTCTCCGCGCAGGTCATGGACGCGGAGGCGGTCGAGCAGCGCGGCAAGGCGATTCAGCGGCTGCTGTACACGCAGCTGCGGGAGCCGGACCCGGGCTGCGGGGCGGACGCGAATCCGCTGACGCGCAGGGGCCGGGGACGGCGCGGGGGGGTGTCGGACGCGAACCCGCTCGCGGGGTTCTGGGACTAGACGGGGAATGACGCTTCTCGGCCGCGATCGATCGACGTAGGAATGTAAAGTCCTGGCGTTGCGGTGAATAATGACATCTGGAGTGTGTGTGTCGCCGTGCGCCGTGCGGCCGGTTTGAACGCGGACGTGTGCAGGGCGTCCGAGGCGGGGTGCACGCTGCGCTGCGGCGCGGCGCGACACCTCCCGACCTTGCGGTTCGCGCCCGCCCGCCTGACAGCAGGGGGGCGGCAACGGCAACCTAGGTCGGCGGTTGATAGCGCGCGGCGCTCGGGGTGCCGCGGACACAAACGCCCGCACTCGACGCGGACTTTCCAGAGCTTTCCGAGACCAGCCGTTGAGAGACGAAATGCCCGCGCAGCTGTTCGCGACGCATGTGGCGGTTGGTGCCAGGGCGGGCGCGCCGGTGCCTCGGCGCGCGGCGGCGACGCAGCGCGCCTCGGCGCCGCAGCGGCGCGCGAGCCACGTCGCGCGGTTCCGCCGCAGCGAGTCCATGCCGAAGCCGAACCCGACGATCGGTCCCGCCGCGCTGGGGCCCACTTGCAAGACGCACCGCATGGTGAGTGTTCATCGCCAATCCGCCGCGAACGCGGCAGCACCGGTTGCGTCGAGCGGCGTTCTCGGGGTTTCATATTCCGAGATGCGAAGCGCGCCCGCGCGCTCGGCGGCGGACGCCCGCAACGCGCGGCACTCGCGGTGCCGCGCCTTTGCAGTTAGCACTGAAGCGCCTCTCACGTCGCGTCAAGTGGCTTTCCCGTCTGCAGATTCTCGTGGCCGTCGACAACACGGAGGTCAGCGAGCGGGCTCTGCAGTGGTGCCTGGACAACATGCACGTCGCGAACGGCACTATTCGCCTCGTGCACCTTCTCCCTCCTTCTGTCTCCGTCACGGGTGCGTCACGCGGCCTCCCGCGGCCTCCCGCCGCCAACGGCTCGAGCGTGATGACTTCTTTCAGCGACGCCGTTCGCCGCGGGAATGCATGCCTACGTTGCGAGGAAACGCGGGCAACCTTTTCACAAAGGTTCATCGTCCGTCCGGAGTCCTCCGGGGATACTCTCGTCGCATTTCACCACGCACCGCGTGCACATGACGTATGCAAGGTAGCTGACCCGCTCTGATGCGAAATGGCTGCTTCTGCAGACGTCGGCGGGCTTGCCACGTACCACCCTGTGGTGAAGCCGGGCGTGGGCGACAGCGTCATCGACCTCGCGGAAGAGTACCTCCTGACGAGGTGCGAAGAGTCCCAGCTACCGACCGGGGCGCGCGCGAGAACACTGGGAACCTTGCAAAGCAGTCAATAGAGACACAATGCACTCTTTGTGTTGTTGTTTCGCGCAGCCACGAAGGGATGATCAACGAGGCGGGCGCCGCGCTCGAGGTCGAGGTCATGCAGAGCAACCGCGACATCCCGAACGTCCTCGTGGTGCGCCCCCGGCCCGCCGCCGCCGCTACCACAGCCGTGCGCGCTCGCGGCGCCGCAAGTGTCCCACGCGCGCCGTGCGCGCCGCCCGAGCTGCCCCCGCAGGACCTGGCGGACAAGACGCACGCCACAGCGCTGGTGCTGGGCACGCACGGGCGCAAGGGCTTCCGGGAGATGCTGTTGGGCAACGTGGCGAAGAAGGTGCTGGACCTGGGGTGCCAAACGCCCGTGGTGGTCGTGCACTGAGCCGCGCGGTGGGCGCGGCGCGGGTTGTGAGACGGCGCGGTCGTCGCGGTCGTCGCGGCAGCGGGCGTGTTGCGGCCGTTCGTGAGCGTGGGTGCGTTCGCGTGCGGCGGTGGAGTTGGCGGTGCGGCGTGTGCACTGGCGTAGCAGGTGGCTGCGCGCGGCCGCTGCGACGCGCGTCGTCGGGCCTGCGGAAGGGCGGGGGCGGGGGAGTGGTGACTGGCGTCAGGCGCGGTGTGGTCGGACCGGGTGCGTGAACTCCCTCGTGATGGGCGGGGGCGGCGCGGTGCGCGCGCAGTGTCGCACGCAGGACGCGGGCGCGCCGGGCCGCCCGGGCGGGGGGCGCCCTGCGCGCGCCACCTGTTGCTGTGCAACCTGCCCGTTGTGCGTTCGTGCACCCTCGTGAAGTTCGACCGGCGCGGGCGCCCTCGATGCTTGAGGCGGGTCGTGCCAGAGCGGACCTGTCCGATGGCGCGAAGGCGGGCGCTCGGGAGGATGGTTCCGACGCGCGCCCCCTGCTGCAACGGTGCGTGCGTGCTTCGTACGACCATCTGACGCGCCGAATCCCGGGCGTTTTGCGAAATTCAAACCACTCTGAGCATTCATGATCCAAGTCGCCGCTGTCGCCGTGTGTGGTTCGCGCAGGGACGACGCGCGGGGGCGCCCTGTGCAGAGCACCACCGGTGCGGGACGCAGCGCTGGCCCGGTATGGGTGTACTACGCGCTGCTCGTCGTCCCCGTGCTCGCGGTCTCGACCGCAGGGGTCGTCTTCGCGTCGATGAGCGACGTGCCCGCGGTGACTCTCGCGAGCTGGCGCCTGCAGGCCACCGCAGTGCTCCTCTCCGGTCCCGCAGCGTGGCAGGTCAAGTGCATGACAGCGGAGCAGCGGATCCACTTCGTAGGCCACTGGACGGCGCTCGTGGCGTCCGGACTGGCGTTAGCGGCGCATTTCGGCCTTTGGGTCTACGGGCTCCAACACACCTCCCTCGTCCACTCGCTGGTGCTGGTGTGCGCGACGCCCGTCGTCCTCGCGCTCTGGACGCTCCTCGTCGACCGCGCCAACATCTCCCGCGCAGGTGAGAGAGCCTGCACCCGGCCCACGAGCACTCGAGACTTCGCAAACCACTAGGTCACACCACGCGCCGCACCCCGCCGCCCGCGCGCAGAGATCGCCGGCGTCGCTCTCGGCGCGCTCGGCGCCGCCGCGATGGCGCTCGGGTCCTCCGCGGCCACCGCCGCCGCACACCGCGCCGGCAACCCCCCGGGCGTGCTGGGCGACGCTGCGTCGTTCGGCGCGGCCGTCGCCATGGCCGTGTACACGTCGCTGGGCCAGCGCGTCCGCCGCGACGTGCCGTGGGCCGCGTACGCCGGGCCCGTGACCGCCGTCGGGGCCCTCGCGCTCTCGGCAGCGGCCTGCGTCGTCGACGGCGCGGGGGTGTTGCGCGGCGGCCCCGGCGGCGTGTTCGGGTACCTCGACCCTGCCTCGGGCCACCTCGCGCACGTGGCGTACCTGTCGTGCGTTCCAGGGCTGCTCGGCCACACGATGGTGAACTTCCTGCTGGCGTACGTCACGCCGCTGTCTTGCACGCTGGCGCTGACGCTGGAGCCGGTCGTGGGCGGCGCGCTGGGGTGGGCGCTCGGGCTGCAGGGCGCGATCGGTCCGCTGGGCGCGGCGGGCGGCGCGGCGGTGCTGGCGGCGGCGGTCGTGGTGTCGGTGGCGTCGGGGCGCAGGCAGGCGCGGCAGCAGCGGGAGCGCGAGGGCGGCGACGTCGCCGTGGAGGTCTGCCTCGAGATGGCGGTCGGAGAGGCGAAGGACGGAGCGTCGGCGCTGCCGGACGTCGTCGTGGTTGACGGCGCTACGCTGGGACGGCATCAACAAGGGCAGCTGCCGAGATGAGGGAGCCGAAGTGACGACTGCGTTCGCGCCGCCGTGTTGTTCGCAAGGCTACGGCGCATCTGAACATATGGATCTCGATGATGTTCGTGTGCCGAGGCACGCGTGTGATGACTTTTCTGGTCGCCGTCAACCCCCCACACGCTCGCGGCCGTCGCGCGCGGCGACGCGTGGCGGGGCGCCGGAAGCAGCTGGGCTCCGGCGGCGGTGCCGGGGCTGCGGAGGCGAGTCGCGTTCCGTGCTGCTGCTCGGCGCATGTTGTGTGTGTCAGAGGCTTCCGATGGCAGTTCGTCGAAGCCGTCCGGCCCGGCGCTCTGCGAGGCAGTGCCGGGCGGTGCACGCGCGTGCGCCGCGCCGGCCGCCGCTGTCCGGGCCGATCGGGAACTCGAGAGCCGGGAATTGGAGGACAATCTCTTTTACATATCTCCAAGTTCATCCAACCCCGACTGACCGCACCGGGCCGTCGCGGACGCCGTCCAGCACGCCGCCTGTGCGACGAGGGCGAGCGTCACACGTGAGGCGTGGCCGCGCGGGTCCGTCCGGGCTGCGGCCCGCTGCGCATCCGCGCCCCCGGAGGCATCGGGCAGTGCCAAGGTGCGGCAGCCAAGGTGTCCCGGCCTGCGGTCTGTGGCGGGCGTTCAGCCGCGGACGTGGCTCGCCCTAGATGCTCGAAGAACTAGACAGCGCGTTGCTGGTGATTCGAGGCGGATCTGTGGCGTCTCGGAGCGCGCAGACGCGAAGGTAGACTCTAGTTGGGGGTCGAAACCACAGACGAGAGACCAGGTCTCCTGTCCCACCGCCACCGAGCTCCCCGATCCATCGCCCAATCCGCCGCCACCCCGCGCCGCACACCCGCGATGCGCGCACCACCTCGTAGCCGAGGCACGCGCCTGACGCCACCTCGCACATCCTGAGGTCCCCCGAACCCTAAAAGCCATACCTCACACATCACCCCCCCCTGTGACTTCCCGGGCTCAATAGCTCGCGCTGCGCCGGCACCCGCCACTCTCCGCACCCCGCTCCCTTACCGCAAGTCCCGTCCGAAGGCCCCAGGTACGCTGCGCTGCTCACCGCCGCACCCTCCTGCCGCGACATGCTGCTTGCGTGCTGACTGGGCCTCCAATGTCGGCGCGAGCCCTTGCGCGCCTCGGACCGCACGGTCCCGCGCGATGCCGGCCTCTCCAGTTCCGGTCTTGCGCATCGCGCCCATCGTGCGCGCGCGATCGGCCTCTAGCGAGCGCCACGGACCCATCGGTGCCCTCGCGACGCACCTACGTACGAGGGCCTACCACGGCGCATTTCCCGCGCGGCATGACTCGATTTCGCGCTGATCTGCGCTCTACCGTACATGGAGAGTGCGGCGCGAGCCGCTGCGCACGCATCGATGGCCTCGTTCGCGCGTGCCGTCTCCGCCTAGTGCCGCACGTAGGAGGTGGGCGACTTTCTCTCCCACAGCGGCACGGCGCGCCCTTTTCCGCAATCTCCCGGTCGATCCCGGCTCCGGAACGATCTGACGGTGCTCCGTGCGGTCGCGGAAGCTCACTTCACGCGCTCTCCCGGCACCTGTTGCCCTCGCAGGCTCGAGCCCCTCTGAGACTCTTCAGACTCCTTTTCGTCGAACCAGTCAAGATGTTCCACACGCTCGGCGCCGTCGTCTCCATCCTGGGCCTCATGTCCAACTTCGTGCACATGGCCGCGATCGCCAAGTACACGAAGGACTGCCGCGACGGCAACTCGTCGGACTTCTGCGGTGAGGCCTGGTACGTGACCCGCCGCACACACCGCCGCGCGAACAGCCGCTCCGTCGCACGCCCGCATCGCTGCCGGCCCCGCGGGCGTCGCGCCGACGCGTACGCGGCGCCCCGACGACGCTGACGGAGCTTGTGTGTGTGTGGTTGCGTGTGCAGGGGTACGGAGTGGTTCCTGATCGCTGCGATCACCGTGGCCTTCTTCATCTCGATCCCCGCGGGCTTCATGGGCCTGACCAAGGACGTGCGCTACAAGACGCTCCTCTGCTCGCTGTACGCCTTCATCTGGCCCCTGATCGTCGTGCACGTGTCGGCCATCATCACCGTGGGCGCCAAGCACGAGGACGAGCTCGGCGCGCGCGCCGCGGGCGTCGTGCTCGAGTCGATCTTCATGCCGCTCGCCATGGTCTGCGCCGCGATGGCCTCGGACGCGCCCCTGTTCCAGATCAACGGCGGCGGCGACGCCAAGCCCATGAAGGCCGCCGACAACGCCGTCTGAACGGCCAGACCATGACCACAGCACGGACCTGTGGGCACGCGATTGATTTTGAAGAGACGAGAATTCCAAGTCCACGACGCGCGGGACGCGAGCGCGCGGCCAGGCGGCTGCGTTGGTTCCGGGCATGGTGAACGCCGCAGGGTGATGTAACGCGGGAAGAACTCTGGTTGAGCGCTGGTATAGATGCGGGCTGAGTCTCACGTGCACGCGACGCGTGCATCGCTCTGGGATCGGTTTGCGCCCGCCAGGGACGAGCGCACTGTGCTCTGCATCACTTGACATGAGCGCGCGCCCGAAGCTCGTCGGCATCCTGCAGCCTGTCGTGCTGGGCGAGCGGGGGCGGGATGGCCGGGGCGCGGACAGCGGCGCGGGTTGCGGCGACGCGCGCGGTCTGGCAGTTGAAAGAGAGGTTTCCTTATGAATGGCATGACATGCTTTTGTACTTCGCTGACCTACGAGCACCCTCATGCTGAGCCGGATAGTTCTTCGCTGACCTACGAGCACCCTCGCCGCGAGGATGCCGGAGCGACCGAAATGGTACGGCAGGATACCAAGCTGGTTGCGCTCACGAGGCAGCGCCACTCGCGACCAGCGCTCGCCCAGCAGCGACAACGAGGTGCGCCGGGGCGTCGCAGTTCAGGGCTCACATCCGCTCCTGCTGGTGGGGGGGCCGCCAGCAGACCGCCGCGGGCGCTCAGTGGGCGGGCCCATTTTTCTCCCGCAGGGCGATCGCGTACCGCTGCGCATGCAACAGCTGTCGCGCCAGCGGGACGGAGGCGGACGAATGTTTATGCAAGGTCCTGACGTCTTTCTCGGACGTCCTGATGTCGAGGTGCCGCAGTGTCGTGTTGTCCGCGAGCGCCGCCGCCATGCTCTCCCACCCACGCACACTGATGCTGTGCGCGTGCACACCAAGCTCCAGCGACACCAGCCAGCAGTTCCGCCGCAGCGCCCGCGCGATGGCCTCCACCCCGCTGTCGTTCCTGCAGACTTGCGCGACAGTCAACCTCCGCAGCGCGCTCGACCGCTGATCCCCCAGGACGGCTGCGATGCACTCGACGTCGGCACTACCGCAACGCGAGCGAATCTCGAGCGTGTGCAGCTGGCGCCCCTCGTGACGGCCCCCGCCATACAGCGTGTCCATCAGCAGGCGCACGTCTAGTTCCGCTTCTTTCGGGGCAATTTGGCCGATCCGCAGCACCCGCAGCGTCCTGTTCTCGCCCAGGCCTTGAAAGAAGGGCTCGCACTCGTCTGGCGAACTCCAGTCGAAAGAGATCACTTCCAGCTGCACCAGCGACGTGTTGCGAGTGAGCAAGCCGCCCATACCTGCGCCGAGGCCCGGCGCGACTCCAGGTGGCGCGTAGATCGACAGCTTGCGTAGAGTCCTGTTGTCGCCCAATGCCGCAGGCAGCGCTGATGCAGCAACGTCAACGAACGCGCCGGCGGTTACCCACACATCTAGCTCATGCAGTGTGGCGCTGTTGCGCACCACGGCCGCGAAGGCGGCGTTGAGAGCCTGACTCGGCTGCTGTGCTCCGAGCGCGAAGAACGGAAATTCGGCGACCAGTTGCTCCACCGCGCTCCGCTCCAGCGCCGCCAGGAAGGCGAGCACGCCTGCCTCGTTGAGACCAGAATAAAAACGCAGACCAGAGATATGCAGCCGCCGCAGCTTCCTGCCGTGTCCAATCAGCTCTACCAGCCGCCCCCAGAAGACGTGGTCTCTCCCCGGGTCGCCATTCAGTTCCAGCGAGCGCAGGTTCGTGGCCTCCCACCAGCGCACCGGGCAAGTGCAGCTCACGCACAGCTCCTCCAGCCCCGCCGGTAGCGCCCGTGGCCGCAGCTCTGATAGACCGACTTCCCAGGCCGACAACGTTGAAAAAAAGTTGGGCAGTTCGAGGCTGCGCAGGTTCGTGGCCCGCTCCAGAGCGTCAAAGAGTGTCTCCCAATCCTTCAGGCTGAGCACACATTCTTGGTAGCCCATACCAAGCGTCGTCGGACAGCTGTACTGCTCGATCAGACCAGCCCAGCTGGCAGGCGCGTGGACGAGACGCAGGTGCTGCAGCGCGGACAGGCCGCAAAGCGCTTCGTGCATGTCGGCGACGGCCTCGGCTGGCAGATGATGTGTCCAGTCCAACAGCGCTGTCAGAGACCGCACGTTGTCCCTGACCGCCGGTGCCCGCAGCACCTCCGCCACCACTTGCGCCTCCGCTCGACTTGTTCGAGCAATACGATAGTCGACAGAGCCTTCCGCTGTCCTTACTTGTTTGCACGGCGGGCTCACTGTTAGCTGCGTCACGTGCGCCCCGCCAGGCTTCCTCGTCAGCGCCATCACCAGGTCGAAGTCGTGCATCGCAGCTCGCTGGTGCCCGCGGCCCGAGAGCACGTGATCCAACCTGGTGTTTGCATCAGCAGCGGTGCACCCGCCGACAGGCAGGCCGGCAGTGACGCTCTCCGTCGCGGCCAGCAGCGCCTCCGCGTCCGTCGCCGGTACCGCCATCCTGCACACCGCCACCGACCCCTGACACGCCCCCCCCTTCAGCCGCGCTGCCACACCAGCCAGCACCGGGTCGTCCGGGTGCACCCTCAGCACCGCCTTGGTGTCCCGCAGCACCGTCTCCAGCGCGCCCCAGCACGTCGCGGCCAGGCGGGCCTTGTCGTCGTCCGGCAGCTTGTCCAGCATCATCAGCATCGGCGCCCCCCGCACGCGGCAGAGCTGGCTGTCCTCCCACGACGTCTCCGCAGCGCGCAAGCGGCCCGTTCGGGTGTTGCCGGCCTGGCCGTTGTCGCACATCGTTGGATTCGGGTCCTGCGTCGCGAGGGAACCACGCACGCTGTTTCGAAGTAGAGCACGAAAAACAGTTGGGCCATGGACTTCCTGCACGTCGCCGCGCACAGCGTGCGCGACGATGAATCCAACGCCAATGGTGCCGAAGACGCACCTTGGTGCGCGCCACGCCCGATCGCCCACCCACTCGCGCCCACGCGGGGTATGATGTCACCGCACAAGAGCGATCTCCGTCCGGTGCTTCATGCGGTGCGTATTTCGTTGCTCTCCGGTTCCCGAAGTAGCATCGCCGACCCAGCCAGCGCCCAGGTATTGACGCGCCGCCGCCGCAACCCGCCTGGAAGAGCCCCCGTCGCGCTCTGGAGCCCCCCTTGACCACAGGCCGGTCGTGAGGCCGGTGCTCGCACAGCACCGGCCGCCTGTCCAGCTCCAGCGTGTACCCTGGCAGTCGCGCTGCAAACAAACGCGGCGCACACCCAGCGCTGCCAGCGATCGCACGCGCTCGCCAGACCGCCACTTGCACTCACCGGCCGCGTCCATTCTTCTCCCGCTGGGCCATCGCGACCCGCTGCGGGTGCAGCAGGTGCGGCCCCAGCGGAGCGTAGCAGCACGCGTCGCGATCGTAGTAGAACATCCGCAGGTGCCGCAGCGTCGTGTTGTCGACCAGCGCCGCCTCCAGGCTCTCCAGCCCGCGGTCCGCCACCTCGCCCAAGGCCACGCGCAGCTCCAGCGACTCGAGCCAGCGGTTCGTCCGCAGCGCCCGCGCGATGGCCTGCATCCCTCCGTCGCTCGCACGGACGTCCCAGACCGTCAGCCTCCGCAGCACGCGCGTCCGCGGGTCGCCCAGGGCGTCCGCGATGTGCGCGACGCCGCCGCTGCTCGTGTGGTGCGAGTTGACCTGGAGCGTGTGCAGCTGGCGGCCCACGTGACGGTCCCCGCCAAACAGCGCGTCCATCAACAGGCGCGCGTCATTGTCCGGCGTCGCCGGGTTGATGCCGTAGTCGAAGAACCGCAGCACCCGCAGCGTCCTGTTCTCGGCCAGGCCTCGGAAGAGGCCGTCGTGCGTGGCGGGCGAGTTCCAGTCGAACGACGCCAGCTCCAGCTCCTCGAGCGTGGTGTTGCGAGTGAGGAGGTCGTACAGGGCGGCGCTGAGGTCCGGTCTGACTTCCTCGTACCACGAGTTCCAGTCGATGCGCAGCTTGCGCAGCGTCGTGTTGTAAGGCACCGCGGCCACGACGCCGGTGGTGTGCCCGACCAGCCGACTCATCCACCGCACGACCAGCGACCGCAGCGCGGCGCCGCTGCGCACCAAGGACGCCGCGGCGGCCGTCAGAGCGTCGGTCGGCCCGTCGCCATCGCTGAACGGGAAGCTCACGCACAGCTCCTCCACGTCGCTCCGTTCGACGCTCGAGAGGAACGCGAGCGTCGCTTCCAGGTCCTCGCGCTCCGGCCGGCAGTGCGCGATCAGCCGCCGCAGACCCTTGCTGCGGCGCAGCACCTCGACGAGCCGCGTCCACAGCGCGTGGCCGTCGCCCTGGAAATAGCGGCGGCGGTCGTACAGCTCGAGCGACCGCAGCCCCGTGAGCTCCCACCAGCGCAGCGGGTGCGCCTGGCTGAGCGAGAGGAACTCCAGCCTCGGCGGCGCGGCGCGCGGCTCCAGCTCGACGCCCTCAGGGCTCGCCCAGAGCGCGAGCTGGAGGCTGCGGAGGCTCGTGCACCGCTCGAGAGCGTTCCAGAACGCCGTCCACTCCTGCGCGCCGAGCGGCGCCCGCGGCGGGTACGACACCTGCGGCTGCCTGAGGTCGAGCGTTGTCAGCCACCTGTACTGGTCGATCAGGCACACCCAGCTGAAGGGTGCATTGCGGAGCTCCAGGTGCCGCAGCCCCGTCATGCAGCGCAGCGCTCCGTGCATGTCCGCGGCGGCCGCGAGCGGCAGCGACGTCAACCGGTCGACCGCCACTGTCAGGGACCGCAGGCTGCTCTGCATCACGGGTGCCCGCAACAAATCGGCCACCTCCATCGCCTCCGCTTTGATCGTCCGGCGGTAGCGCAGCAGGGGCACGGCCAGCCCCTCCACGTACGGCCCGCCGGGCTTGTCCAGCAGCGCCCACGCCAGGTCGAGGCACGTGTTCGTTGCTTCCTCGCTGGTGACCGTCACCATGGGCACTTCGGCGCCGACTTCCATGATCGCGTCCAGCAGCGCCCCCGCGTGCTTCGCCGCCACGCGCACCCCGCCCACCGTCACCGACCCCTCGCACGGGTCCCCCGTAACCCGCGCTGCCACACCAGCCAGCACGGGGTCGTCCGGGTGCACCTCGAGGACCGCGCGCGTGTCCCGGAGCACCGTCTCCAGCGCGCCCCAGCACGTCGCGGCCAGGCGGGCCTTGTCGTCGTCCGGCAGCTTGTCCAGCAACACGAGCATCGGCGCCCCTCGCAATGCACCGAGCAGCTGGCTGTCCTCCCACGACGTCTCCGCGACGAGCGAGCCGTCCGCGTCGGCGGCGGCGGCGGCCTGGCCGTCGTCGCACATCGTTCCGCCCACGCCGAGGTGGCAGTCCTGCATTGCCAGGGCACCGTCCGAGCTGTTCCGTTTCAATTGCTCTTCCGAAAGATTCGCTACGGTGGTTCGAGGGGCCGGGCGCGTGCAGGCCTCAAGCGTCCACCGGACATATCACCGGTGCTCGTTCGGCACCCGGTGTGCTCGGCGCCGTGGTGCAGCGCGAGCCTCTCGTGCCGGAACACGCCAACAATGGCAACGGCACTGTATATATATATATGAGCCGGGACGAATGATATACATGCATGTAATGGCGCAGCAACGCCGCGCGCAGCATCCGCCGTGCTCGTGAGGCCTCCTGGGCATATCACCTGTGTAGTGTGTCGGCCCTCGAGGGTCCCACACTTTGGTGTTGCTGCACTGTTGCACTGGCTGGACCGCACCCCTGCACACGCACGGGCGACGCCAGGGGCGGGCACCGTCAGGACAAGGCATGCACCGTCAAGATGCGGCGCCCGCGTCCCCTCGGACCGACAATGCACGCTCGAGCCAGCGCGCAAGGCAAGTGCAGCGCTACCAGCTGGCCAACCGCTTCCCTCCAAACGCCGCAAGCGCACACGCGACGGTCGCGCGCAGCGCTCCAGTACGCAACCATCACGGACAGCGGCTCTTGCGCGCCAGCCCCGCCCCCAGCGGGACGCGCGGGCCGTCGTTCAGGCCCAACGTCTCAGACAGCCTTGCGCGCACATAACCGGGGCCGAGGGAGTCGGCGACCCGGCAGGCGACAGAACCATTGCCTGAGCACCGTTCGCGCGCCAAGGCGGAGCACCCAGCGACCGCTCCCGCGAGCAACCGCCCGCCAGAGCCTTTGGACGCAGCTTAGACGCACCTGACACGGCCGGTCCGTACAGCCTGATGATCGCCAGCACGCCAATAGCGGCAGAGTGACGGAGGATGCACGAGCGTCCCCGGCAACGAGCCCCATTCGACCGTGTCGGACTGCATCCTGTGTCAGTGCCGTTGTCTGACACAGCCACGTCGTGTTCCGGCGAGACAACATGTTTCCGCTGCACACACGCACACGCGAGCGCATCCCAGCACCCAGCACCCGCCGCGGCAGGTCTTTCTTGCACTTCACGCCGCCTCACATGTGGCACAACAACATCAGAATGCAGCGACAACGCAGGCCGCAAGGCACGTCGATCTCCGCGCGCGGCCCCCGACTGCTCGAGAGCCTGCGCGCGTGCACCGCCGCGCCGGGCCGCCGCCCCGCTGGCGTCGACGAAGCCGACGAGCCACAAAACGCACGCGCCTGCCCTGATCGTGCGTGGATCGCTGGGCCGCAAATCGCCGCGCATGGTCCGTGCAACCACGGAATCTATCTGACCAGTTTCAGCGTGGAGATGTGCATGTCAGCACCGGACGTGTGGATGTCCACGTGCTGCAACGTCGTATTCTCCGCCAGCGCTGCTGCCAAGCTCTCGAGCGCGACTGCGGTGGCGTGCCTCGCGTCCAGCTCCAGCGACTTGAGCGTGGAGTTCCGCCGCAGCGCCCGCGCGAAGACCTCCACCCCCTTGTCGCCAGCCCCGACTTCAGTCAACGCCACCCTTCGCAGCCTGCTCGACCGCTGGTCCCTCAGGAGAGCCGCGATGTACTCGACACCGCGGTCGCTGACACTAGTGCCGCAGATCTCGAGCGTGTGCAGCTGGCGGCCTTCGTCGCGACCGTCGACGTATAGAGCGCGCAACAACAGACTCAAGTCTTCGTCTTCCAGCATCACGTAAGCGCGCATATCATCCAGCCGCAGCACCTCCAGCGTCCTGTTCTCGCCCAGGCCGCGCCAGAACGGGTCCATGGTGTCTGGCGACCGCCAGTCCAGAGACGACACCTCCAGCTCCACCAGCGACGTGCTGCTGCTCAGCAGGGCGCCCAGAGCCTCGCCGAGGCCGGGTGAGGTCGAGCCGCGCCAGTGGACCCGCAGCGTGCGCAGCGCCGTGCTGTCGCGCAGCGCTGTGAACACCGGAGCGGCGAAGCCGTCAAAGCCGAGGACGGCGGTGTATTTCGTCTCAGATATCGTCAGATCGCGCAGCGCGGCGTTGCGAAGCACGGACGCAAGGGCGGCCGTCAGAGCCTCCGTCGACTCCTCGCTCGTCGGGCTGGCGATCGGGAAGGAAATCGCCAGCTCCTCCACCCTGCTCCGCTCAAGCGCCGCAAGCACCGCGAGCACGTCGCCCTCGTTCAAGTACTCCGTCAGGTCGTCGATCACGAGCCGCCGCAGCGTCCTGCAGCGCCCGAGCAGCTCCGCGAGCCGCGCCCAGACGGGCGGGCCGAGCAAGAGTCCTTCGGGCGTCAAGTGCCGCAGCGTGAGCGAGCGCAGGTTCGTGGCCTCCCACCAGCGCACCGGGTGCGTGATGCTCACGTACAGCTCCTCCAGCCCCGCCGGAAGGCCCCGTGGCCGCAGCGCTGCGCTCTCGGCGCGTTCTCCTACCCCCACCTCCACCATGAGGCTTCGCAGGCCGGTGGCGCGCTCCACAGCGTCGAAAAACGCCTCCCACTCCCCCAGACCGAACCCCGGTGGCTCAAATATCTGCCGCAGCTTGAGCGTCTTCAGGTTGCTGTACTGGTCCACCAGACACACCCAACTGGGATATGGATTCCTTAGCTCCAGGTGCTGCAGCGCCGACAGACCGCGCAGCGCGCCGTGCAGCACCTCGATGACCTCGTCGTCCAAGACCCGACCCCCCACCCTCAGCTTCAGGGAGCGCAGGCTATCCCTGACCATGCTCGTCTGCAAGACCTGGGCCACCTCCCGCGCCTCGTAGTTGAACCCTTCCAACGCCAGACGGTCGTCAATGGTGGGCACGGTCAGCCCCGTCACGCGCACGTCGGCGCCCGACTCCGCCGCCACCATCACCATGAGCACCCAATCGCGCATGATCTGATATGAATCCTCGATGCTTCTTCTGTACCCCACACCGTCGCGGTAATCGACACCGTCGTAATCGACAGGCAGGCCGACATCCTCCGTCGCGGCAAGCAGCGCCCCCGCGTCCGTCGCCGCCACCTGCACCCCGCACACCGTCACCGACCCCGCGCACGGCCCCTCCGTCACCCGCGCTGCCACACCAGCCAGCACTGAGTCGTCCGGGCGCACCCGCAGCACCGCGCGTGTGTCCCGCAGCACCGTCTCCAGCGCGCCCCAGCACGTCGCGGCCAGGCGGGCCTTGTCGTCGTCCGGCAGCTTGTCCAGCATCAACAGCATCGGCTCCCCCCGCAGCACGCGAGAGAGCTGGCTGTCCTCCCACGACGTCTCCGCGTCAAACGAGCCGTCCATGCGGTCGTCGCCGCTCAGATCCGCCTGCGTCCCGACGTCGCACATCGTCTCGCTCACGTCAATGCCTCAAAGTCCTGCGTTGCGACGGCACCGCGCGAGTGGCGTTGTGTTCTTCCGACAAGCAGCGCACACGCACGCATCTGCTCCGGCGCCGGTCGGCGAGGGGCTTCTCGCAGCGGGAGCGAGATCGGACTCCACGCGCGGCACGCACTACGAGCGCGGGCAGTGATGTCTTATACAAGGATGGCAGCACGAAGGCGACAGCACGCAGCGCCAGCCACGTTCGCGAGGCGTGCTGGGCATGTCACCTGTGTCGAGGACTGGTCCTGCTGGTCCCTCGCGGCAACGTTGTGTGCTGTTGCTGGGATGGTGCTTCTGCGGCCCGGCCGCACGCCTGCACAATCAAGGCGAACCCAGCGGCAGGCGCTGTCAAGGTGACGCAACAGCCACGGAGGAGGATGAAGCTGCTTCTCGAACCAGCTGTACGTTCGAGCGAGCGGCGAAGGGGGTAGACAGGAGGAGCCCTGGAAGCTGGCCGCTCGCGCCCCTTGCGGCGCGACAGTGGTGCACGACGCCTCCACAAAGAGCTCACATGCATGAACATGGCGTTGCGCTGCTCTTGCGCGTGGAATGGCCCCAGTGGGACGCACGCGCGGCGTCCCTGAGGTGCGCAACAGCCTGGTCGCCCGCACGTCGTGCCCACAACCAGGGCAGAGCGGAGGGCAACAGCAGCGACATCACCACTGCTCGAGGAAGGCCATCCGCCACGTCAGCGACGGATCGGCCAGCGACCGCTCCCGCCAGCAACTGCCAGGCAGTGCTGTAGAGCTTCCACGCACCTGACGCAGCCGGTCCGGTCAGGTTGACGACTGTATACGCGCCAGTGGTGACGGAGTGCCGGGCGGCGCACCGGTGTCCTCACCAATCAGCCCCACCCAGTCCCGGACTGTCAGTGTCAGACTCCCGCGTCGACTCAATTGACATGCAGCCACGTCGATGCAGCGAGACGGTACCTGTCCGTCGCGCGCACGACCGTGAGTGGACGCATCTGTGCGCTCGCATCATCCCGAGCGCAACAGGCCGTCCTCGGACTGCCTCGCGGGTGGCACAACACCATGCGTAGACGTGTCACCAGTCGAGGCCTCCCTTCATCGCGGTGTCGAGGGGCGCGTCGCGGCCTGCATCACGCGCGAGGCTCTCCAGGCGCGGGCACGGCGGGCCACAGGTGCCGAGCCCGAGGCCGCCCAGAAACTCGACAAACAAAGACGGAGAGTGAATCCATACAGCGTGGATACCAGAGGTTTGTAGCACAAGGCCGCAGCGCGCCGCGTCGCGCAGGACGTCGCCCACCGCCGAGGCCTGCGTCCGTGTCTCTCGCAGCTACGTCCCGTGAAGGGCGGCATTCAGCATTTCATGAGATTCAACAACTCAAGCCTCGCCTTCTCGCGACGAGTCTTCGCGGACCCACAAGCCCGTCACCCGCTGCGGGGACGACACACCTCCCGAACACTCTGTGGCGGTCAACAGCACGCACGGTGCAGCACCGGCGACGACGCGACGCCCGCAGCAGAGCACAATTACAAGGGTGGCCCGCACGGACCCCCGGGGCGGCCGCTGCGCTCAGCCGCCGTTATTTACAGCGCTCAGCCCCATCATCATCGGCCCGTCCGCGCCCATGCTCTCGAACGGCAGGTCCGGGCGCAGAGGGTTGCACCTGTCCAGCACGATCCTCCCGCCGCGGCCAACCCTCGCCCGGACCGCCCTCCGCGGCACGCCCTCCGGCAGCCCCTCGAGCGCCTTCTCCACGTGCGCCTCCGGCAGCTGCTCGAGCAGGAACGCGGCCGTCGGGTCCGGCTCCGTCGGAGGCGGCCCCGCAGCGGCCACGGACCGCAGCGCGCCCTCGCGGCTGACGCGCGCCGCAATCACCCGCCGGATCGCGTCCCGCGACACGAGGTTCCGCGGCACGGGCGGCGGCGGCACCAGCGACGCGCGGTCCGGCTCCCCGAACGCCTCGCGCTGTCGGTTACCGAGCTGGGCCTGGAAGTTCCGTTCGATCTGCGCGTGCTGGTCGCGGTTGTGCATGCTGAGCGCCATCTGGTACGACTTGAACCCCATGTCGACCCGCACGAGCTCGCGCTTCAGGTGCTCGCGTTTGACCACCTGCTCCAGGATGGCCAGCGCCTGCGCCATGTTGTCCCGCATCTCGCGGAGCTTCTCGAAGCTGCGCACGTCGTTCTCGCGGCGCCGCCGCGTCTGCGGGCGGTGCGCCTTCTCGCGCGCGCGGAAGCAGTGCATGGGGTTGGGGTCCTGAGGGTTGGTCGGGGCCTGGAGCTCCCGAATAAAGGGTTTGCCGAACTTGGAGCGCTTCTGGCGCCAGTACTTGACGACCTGGCGGCACACGACGGGCCGCAGGCCCATGGCCTCGACGAGCGCGCCGATGGCGATGTCGTCGGTGAGGTGGCTGGTGATGGCGCACGCCTGGTGGGACTGCCGCTCGGTGAGGGACGCGCCGGCCATGAGCAGCGCGTCCTCGGTCATGCGCTTGTTGAGCATCTCGAGGCGGAACATCATCGCCTCCATCTTGTCCGGCGCCAGCCTGCACTCCACGTGACGGCGCGGGCGAGCAGCAGTGAGCGAGGTGATCCTGACTGCGGTGCGACGGCGCGCGGGGACGCCGTGCTGCGAAGGGCGTGGAGGCGCCGTGGCGCTCGTGATGAGCGACGCGGCCGTCCGTTTCCGCGTTCGTGTTCGCGTTCGTGATCGTCGTTGTGAAAAAGAATCAAGGATTCACGACTGTGAGGCCACGCACCGGTTCTGCCCCGCGTTGAACTTGTCGAGCCACTCCACATCCTGCGCGTCCAGGTCGTAGTTGATGTAAATCTCCGACCGGAACCCCCCGACCCCGCGTCTCCGCAGGTACGTGCGCGGCGGACGGAACGTCGGCTTGTAGTCGCCCTCGTACGTCGGAACCTGCCGGATCGCCGGCACCGGGATCTCCACGACCTTGCCCGCCGCGCCGTGGTCCGCGTGCGTCGCGGCCGCCACGGCGGCCTGCGCCTCGGCGTCCGGGTTCTTGCTTTGCTGCACCGGGGCCCCTGACTCAGGGTGGTGCGCGGCGCCCTTGCCGGCGGGCCGCGTGTCGTCCCCCGTGAGCACGGTTGCCTGCGGAGGGGACGCGGCGGCCGCGTGGGTGGGTTCGGGGCGCCGGGCGAGCAAGTGGCGCGCGTCGCGAGGGCTGAGCAGGGCCGGAAGCGGAATGGAGGCTGCCTGGGATGGCCGCGTGTGCGCGACCGCGCGGCCGAGGCGGTGAGTGAGCAGCTGGGGCTGAAACGCGGGGGGGCGCTGTGGATCGAAGGGCGCATACGGGCGCCAGTGTGAGGTGGTGCCCTCATTTTCGCCCAAGGTTTGGAGCTGGCGAGGGGAGGGAGGCGCTCCGTGCGCAGAATCGCCGGTCAGAGTGATGGCGAAGCTTCTGGTGCGCGACTCAAAGCCCTGGTGCCCCGGTTGGCGACAATCCGGCCGAGGGGCTTCTGGCGCCAAACCGTGTGCGAGCTCGTCCGCGGGGATGTCGGCGTTTGACGGACGCGAGGCGCGGTTTCACGCCGTATTTGACCAAAGTTTTGCGCGGAAACCTCGCAATCGTGCCGTCAAAGCGGCTTGCTGGGCCTTTCGAAACGGCAGGCTGGGCCAGCGCGGCTGTCCGGGCGGCACGCGCCGTTTCGTCCGCGCCACGCCGCGCTGTCGCAGCGATTCTCTCACCTGGTCGCCGCCCTGGCCATCCCCCTCGTCCCTCGCGTCCAGCTCCGACCTGTTGCGCACGATGGTCAGCTTGCGCTGCACATCCAGCGGCCGTGGCCGGAAATTCGTGCGCGTGTTCACGTTTGGAGCCATCCTGCACCCGCTCGCCCGCCAGCCCCTGCGCTGCCCGCGCCCCCAGCCCCGTGGCTGCCTCTAGAAGACCAGCGTCACTCCTTTTGTCGCGAAACGGCGCGCACTCCGCCACTGAGCGCCCGCGACGCCCCGCCCGCACTCGTCCCGCGCACACAAGCTCCCGCTCTGCCGGCACCCACGGCCTCCCCATCCCTTCTACACGCGTCAAGCCCACCTCGGGTCACACAGCGCGTGTCCACCAGGGGCCCCCGTGGCAGCGCGGCGCGGCGCGCACCGACCCACACTTGCGCCGCACCGAGACGCGTTCCCTCGAACCAGCCGGACCCAGCCGGCCCCGCGTCCGCGCTCTCGAACCGGCGTGCCGAGCCTGCGAGCCCGAAACAAGCACTTGCATGACGAAACAAGTGGTTCGAACGAGTCGGAACGACGCGGCGCCGCGCGTGAAGCGCCAAGCGCCATCTGCGCACCCCGACAGCCTCGCCGCCAGGTCACAGCGAGTCCTGCAACCCGCGCACGTCCCATCATTGCGCCTGTCCCACGACGTCAAGTAATTGACCACCCGCAAGAAACCCACAGCGTACAACCAACAGCACCGTCACAGCGCACACGCCCCCGCGAGCGCCCCGCCGGCCGCGGCTCCGCGCCCCCGCGCAGCCGCGCCAGCCCCACGCCGTCACGGCGCGCTGCCCGCGAGCGCGGCGAGCCGCTCCCGCAGCGCCGCGCGGAGCAGCATGTCGTGGATTCTACCGAGCTCCTCGCCCCCGTCGAGGATCCCCGCGAGATCCTGCGACGTGTACCGCAGCCGGTGGTCCGTCACGCGGCTCTGGAGGTACTTGTACGACCGGATGCGTTCCGATCGGTCCCCGCTACCGATCATCGAGCGCCGGGTCCCGGACAGCTCGTCGCGCTTCCGGCGGCGCTCGAGGTCGTACAGGCGGGCGCGGAGCGTCGCGAGCGCGCGCTCCTTGTTCGTGTGCTGCGAACGCTCTTCCTGACACTGCACCGTGATGCCCGAAGGCGCGTGCGTGATGCGCACCGCCGACTCCGTCTTGTTCACCGCCTGGCCGCCCGGGCCCGTTGCCGTCGTCGTCTCGATCTGCAGCCACGCGCGGCGACGCCGTACACAAAATCACGCAATGCAAGCCCGGGCGCGGCTCCTGAACCTGCCCACGCGTCAGGCGCGGTGCCGAGGCGCGGGTCGGGCGCGCACCTTGAGGTCCTTGGGGTCGAGCTTGATATCGATCGTGTCGTCCGGCGTCGGCATCACCACCACGCTCGCCGCGCTCGTTTGGATCTTGTCCACCCCGCCGATTGTTTTGGGCACGCGCGCGACGCGGTGGATGCCGCCCTCGAACCGCATCCGCCGATACACGCCGTCGCCGGCGATCTGCGCCGTCGCCATCTTCACGCCGCCGGACTCGCTCGCCTGCCACTCCACCACGCGAAAGTCCCACCCGCGCGCCGCAGCGTAACGTTCGTACATGCGGTACAGCTCCAGCGCGAACTGGCACGCCTCCTCGCCGCCCACGGCGCCCCGCACCTGCAACGCAAGCGCGGCGCCGACGCCGCTGCTTGTCTCGACGCACCACGGCGCGCAGCGGCCAGCGAGGGCTGTGTTGCATTACGCCCCCGGGTGCGACGGGAGGGGAGGCGCGCACCTCGAGGAGGACGTCGAGCTCTTCCTCCGGCTCGGGGGGCAGCGATCCGAGCGCCACGTCCCGCTCGAGCGCCTTGAGCGACGCCTCAACGCGCACAACGTCCTCTTCTGCCATTTCCCGCATCTCCGGGCCCTCTTTCGCGTCGCTCAGTATCGCAACGAGCCCCTCGAGCTCCTGCAGTTCCGGCAAGGCCGGTGGTGGGGCGAGTCCGGTTCGCGCGGCGCGCGGGGGTCGTGGCGGCGGAGGGGGAGTTGATGTTGTTTGGGGGGGTGTGGACGCGCCTCGCGCAGCTCCAGGAGGGTCTGGTACTTCTCGGCGAGCGACGCAAGCTCGCCGACGCGCCGCGCGATCCTGCTGAGCTCGCTCTGCTTCATGTCTGCGGCCTCGCTCGAAGACAGCTTGGATTGCAGGTCTTCGTACTCCTGCGCAAAACAAGACACCAAATCATATCTGGCGCGCGCACACAACGAGACCAGGCGGCCGGAAGGCGGCGCGAGCTTCCGATCCCCCGCAGTTTGTGTCAAACTGTCAAACTGATGCTACCGACCTGGAGCTTTTCTTTCAAGCTGGCTTCGAGGGCCGGGGACAGCTCGACGTCGTGCATTTCGTCGCCGTCGTCGCCGCCCTCGTCCGCGCTGTCGCTGTCGTCGGCCGCGCGGCTCGACCACAGCCTGCGGCCCGCCACCGGGCGCCAGGCCGGAGCACGCGTCGGCAGGTTTGCGCCGGGCGTGTCCCCTCCGGCCCTCCCTGCTGAGAACCCGAAGCCTCGGAGGCTCGCTGTGTCTTGCGGGGACTCGAACGACCGGTGCGGGGGTCCGTCGTGGCTCCCACGCACACGGAACGGGCTCTCAGCGAGCCCGGCCAGTGCTGCGCGGGCCTTGCCTTCCGCCTGCAGCGCTCTGTTCTCCACAGCGGCCATCGCCGCCTGCTGGAAACAACTCAGGCATCTTGCCGCTGCGCGGGGCGGTCGCATCGTTGCCCTAACGACGGCTGGAGGCGCGCGCAAGCACCGCTGGCATAGAACGCCCAGGCCAGACCGGGGTAGGCAGTGAAATGAAGATGTTGGGGTGCTGGCGGATCCCTCACTTCCGTGACACACTCGAGGCCGGCGCTGTGGCTGCCTGAGTCAGGCATAGGCGCTGAATCACCGCACACCCCTGAGCCTGACAAGACAGAGTGCTCCGTGTGGTGCCCAGGGCGTCGGGCTGGTGTGGGCGCGCGCTGCGCGGTGTCGCGCAAAGAGCTCAGGGTCGGCAGGTCCGGTCGTTCGTCCGCGAAGGAGTCGCTGCGCTGCAGGGGACGAGGAAACCTAAGGCTGAGCAGCCGAGGATCACGAGATGTCGAACTTGCTGGGAAAGTTCGGCAAGGCGAGGGAGGATGGCTTCTTCAAAGCCGAGCAGGTGAGTGCTCGCCGGCAGGGCTCAAGGGCGGAAGCGGGCAGGGTGCACTAGCGCAAGCGTGCATCATCCTGGCTCCCGCGTCGCGAGCGATGCTGCGCGCGAACAACCAGCATTCCGGTTCGAGTAGGCCTGAAAACCATCGAAACTTTGAGAAGCGCCGCTCATTGCCCCGTCACGGCGCCGCAAGCGCATCCCACGTCCGCTGTGCTCCCTGGTGCAGGAAGCCGCGATTTCGGTGATCCGCCGCCGCAAGATGGTCGACGGCAAGATGCAGCTCGTCGAAGAGTCCCCGAAGAAGCCCAGCGTCGCGCGCACGCACGCCCACCCCATGCCCAACGGCCTCCCTGACCCGCCAGCGGAGCGCGACATTTCAGGCGTCCTCGCCGAGGTCCACGCCGCGGAGGCGCGGATGGGCACCGGCTCGGCGCGCAGCCGCGCGGAGGCTGTCCCGCGGCCCGTCGCGCGGCTCCCGGAACCGGACCGCGAGGCCGTTGCCGCGGCTGCAAGCGCCATGGTGCGTTCGCTGTCGCTCACCGGCGCGGCGCAGGCTTGTGGGTCGCCACCGACGACATGCGCGTGCGGGAGCCATGCGTCGTGGCGCGCGAAGAAGAGGAAGAGGAAGCTGCGACGCGTCGCGCATTAGGAAAATAAGACTTCTGTGTGCGCGTGTGTGCATTGACGAAGTCGCGATCGCATGCTAAGCGTTCCGTGTGTGCAGGTGCGCAGGAAGTACGAGCCGCTGGGCGGGTTCGCGCTAGGAACGCTGCCGGCTCGGGGCGGCGGCGGCGGCGCGTCGGCGTGGGCCTCCCTCCCGGACGCCGATCACCGCCGACAGCTGCTGCGCGGCGAGGGCTGGGACACCGGCAAGCCAAGGTCCGAGCCTGGCCCGGCCTGCGCGGGCTGAGTCGGGAGCAGACGTGCCTCGCGCATAGCTCTCTCTGTACGTTTTATAAACCACAGTGTTGGCTTTTTTAGCGACGGCGCGCGACGGACGAGCGAACGCGGACGGATCTGCTCGCTGCAGGGGCCCGCCGGTGTCGAAGGAGGCGATCGAGGGCGCCCGGCGCGCGCAGGCGGTTGCGGTGCGCGCCCTGGCCTACGGCGCCGCTGGCGCTGTCACGCTCGTGTCCCTCGCTGCGGTGTTCGTCACACAGGGTCTCGGGGTACGCAGCGCGGAGGAGCTGCGCGCGATGGCGCGCCGGGGCGCCGGCGCGGACGCAAAGGGTGCTTCGGGGGTGTCCTGGGGGGGGGCGGAGGAGTGGCGGGGGCGCCTGCGCGGGTTCTTCCGCGGCCTGCTGCCGGCGGAGATCGTTCCGAACGACTCGGCGCCGAAGCCCGACGGGCGGGCCTGAGGGCCCTGTAACGAGCAGCCAAGAAATACGAAAACATCGAATCGACGCGCATCTTGGGCTCCTCGACTGAGGAGCCCGTCGGACCCACGCCATGGCCATCCGCGCGCTCACACGCTCCGTCACGCGTCGGTCAGTCAGCCCTGCGTGCACCCTCCGTCGCACAAAGCGCCGGAAGGACAAAGCACGCACAGAATTATTCTTATTATTATAATAATATTCTAGAACAGACGTGTGGGTTTCACACGAGCCCAACGGCCATGAGCAGGAACGCGTACTCGACGGCGGTCTCCTTGAGCTTGTCGAAGCGGCCCGACTGGCTGAAGTGGCCGGCGCCCATGTCGCACTTGAACAGCAGCATATTGTCGTCGGTCTTGTGCTCCCGCAACTTGGCGCAGAACTTCGCGGGCTCCCAGTAGCCCACGCGCGGGTCGTGCAGGCCCGCGGTGATCAGGATGTGCGGGTACGCCTGCTTCGCGACGTTGTCGACGGGCGAGTACGACTTCATGTACTCGTAGTACTCCTGCAAGGACTCGACGCCAGATGGGGTTTCTCGACTCAGAATCCCCGCAAAGCAAGTCTGCACGCAGCGCCGGCTCGGCCCCAGCGCCACGGACGCGCAGCAAGCACACGCACAGATTCCTGACGCAGAAGATAGACAGACAGACAGGACCAGCGGCGGACTCCCCCTACCTTGTTGGCAGGGTTGCCCCACTCCTCCCATTCGATCACGGTGAGCGGGATGGACGGGTCGGACATGGTCGTGAGGACGTCCAGGAACGGCACGCCCATGATCACGGCCTTCCACAGGCCCGGGCGCATGTTGACCGTCGCGCCCATCGTGAGGCCCCCCGCGGAGCGCCCCTGCACGCACATCTTGTCCCTGCACGCAACGCCGGAAAGCCTCGAGCCGGAACGGTCAGCTGACAGCTGCCACGACGTCGGCGCGGCCGAGCAAGACGGCAATGCAAGACGCCGTCGCGGTGCGTGCGTTGCCTACGTGTTGGTATACTTCTCGTGGACGAGGTGCTCGCCGCACGCGATCACGTCCAGGAAGGTGTTCTTCTTCTTCAGGTACTTGCCGTCCTCGTACCAGTTCCGCCCCATCTCCCCGCCGCCCCGCACGTGCGCGATGGCAAAGGTGAACCCCCGGTCGATGAGCGACAGCCGCTGCTGCGCAAACCACGGGTCGTTCGGGATCTCGTACGCGCCGTACGCGTCCAGGAGGAGCGGGTCCGAGCCGTCGAGCTTCGCCAGGTCCTTCCGGAACACCACCTGAGGGCACGTGCACGGCCAGATCAATTATTGTGGGCAACGAATGAGTCCTGCCAGGTCGCGCACGGCTCGAACACACCGCCAGCGCGAGCGAGTCCACCGCGGACAAGTCCGTCGACGCCAGCTCAAACACACACACAATTATGTCCACAAAAAGCAATATATAAATAGGAGTGTGAACAAAAGCAGTCTGCGCGGTGCGCCTCACCGAGATGGGCACCTTGGTGCCGTCGTGCGACGTCGCCCACAGGCGCCGCGTCTCGTACTTGTCCGCGTCGAACCCCCCCAGCACCGGCGTCACTTTCTTTACCTCCCGCTGCATGGTGTTCATGTCCACCTCCATCACCGACAGCGGCGTGGCGAGCGACGTGTACGCCAGGCGCAGCACCGGGCTCTCGAAGTCCCCCTGCGCCGCGGCGTCCAGCTCGTACGACGGCTCCGGCAGCGACACCACGGAGCCACCTGACAGAGGGAGGGGAGTCGCGGCGTCGGGGTCGCCCAACTTGAAAATCTCCGCGGTTTGGAGGCCGTTCACGCGCTGGAAGACCGCGACGTGGCCCTGCGAGAGAGAGATGCCCTCGATCTTGACGTCCGCGCGGTGCGGCACCGCGACCTGCGCGGCAACGCACCCAGTCACAAACAACACGTTTGTTTCTTTCTTTGTTTCTTTATCTCTTTGTTCGTTGTTGTTTTCGTGATTGTTACGGCGATATCGAGCTCTCAGACGCCGCGTACGTGCGTGCGACAGCACGGAACTCCGTCGCGCTCGCACCTTGGCCTTCGAGGGGTCGCCCATCGGCATCACGACGACTTCGCTGTTCGGGCGCTGCTCGTCGCGCACCACGACCCAGAACTCGCCCCCGCGGTGCCGCACGTCGTACTCCACGTCCTGCTTCTTCTCCATCACGATCTTCGGCTCCTCGAGCGGTCGGTCCGCGGGAACGTACATCTCGTACGACGTCACCGCCGACCCCGCACTGATGTAGATGACGGCGCCGGAGCGGGCGCGCGAGATGCCGACGTAAAACGCGTCGTCCTTCTCGTGGAAGACAACGACGTCCTCGCTCGGGTCCGTGCCGATGATGTGCCGCCACACCTGCACGCGCACGCACCACCCTCTCAAACACCGCCGTAGCAACATTCGAGGAATTCCCTTCTGCGCCGGCTCCCATCCATACGCGTGGCTCCGCTGGCAGAGCGCGCGCACGCAGAAGAAGCAGCGCGTCGTCGCACCTTCTCGGGCCGGTCCAGCTTGTCCTTGGTGACATAAAACAAGGTCTTGTTGTCGGAGGCCCAGGCGACGTTGCCGGACGTGGCCGTGATCGGGCGCTTGAGGACCTCGCGGCCCGTCGCGATCTCCTTGACGTGCAGGTCGAACTTCTCGCCGCCCACGGTGTCCTCCCCCCAAGCCATGTACCTGCAACGAGGCGACGTGCGGAACACAGGCGCGGGTGTTCGAAGCACCACCGGCGGCGCTCGCGAGCGGTCTGTCCTCTTTCCGACAGCATCGAGACGCCGCTGGCGCGCAGCGAGGGACCCATACACCCCCCACGTGTGCAACATCCCCCCCCCCCGCGTCGGGCGCGCAGCGCCACGGCAGCGCGGCGCGCGCCACTCACTTGTGGTCCGGCGACACCGACACCCCCCGCGTCATGTAGAATTTATACTTGGCCGCCACCGCGTTCTCGTCCAACAACACCTCCTCCGGGACTGACTCATCCATGACGTCCGCCACGTCAGGCGCGCGCGCCGCCGCGGCCTCCGGCACCGCCCGCCGGCAGTGCACGCGGTACTGCTTCCCCTCGAGCGTCCGAGTGTAGTAGTAGTACGGTCCGTCGCGCAGGGTTGCGCTTTGGTCGGCCTCCTGAATGCGCCCGCGCATCTCCTTGAAGATGTCCTCCTGGAGCTTCTCCGTGTGGGCCATGACGGCCTTCTGGTACGCGTTCTCGGCGTCGAGCTGCTTCAGTACGGCGGGGTCTTTCCGGTCGTCGTCGCGCAGCCAGTAGTAGTCGTCGTGGCGCTCGCCGTGGTCGGACTGGAGGACCTTGGGGCGCTTCTCGGCGTAGGGGGGGCTGGATGCGATCGCGCGCGTGCGCATGGAGCGCACGCGCCGCGTGCCGACCCTGCGGGCGACGCGGGAGAGGTGTGGGGCCTGTGGCGGCGGCACAGGGGTGTGACTGACAGGATGAGCGACGCGAGCGCGTGCTTGGAAGATGTTCGTGGGGGTCTGGTGTCGAACCGCCGGCTTCGTTGCGTGTCTCGCCCCGCGCAAGGTGGTGTTGCAGTGGCCGGAAGGTGGGGGTGATGCGCGCGCGTGCGGGCGCGAGCGAGCGTCCGAAGCGGCGTGAAGACAGCAGGGGAGTGTGGGGATCACCTCGCGAGGACGACCCCGATCGCGGCCAGCCCCAAGGCCTTGGCAACGCTCCTCGTCTTCATGGTAGACAGCCAACGAAGCAGCGCCAGCGTGTTTCTGCGCTCCAGATCGCAGCCGTGCTTCGACTGGACCCTGTGGCGTCCGTGCGGCGCGGAAGCGGCCCCTTGACGGCCGGTGCGGCGCGCTCAGGAGCCTGGAGGAGTGAAGCCTGGGGCGTTCGCGGCCCTGACGCGGCAGTTCCGCGGCCTGCGCTGAGGGAGCTGGTCGCTGGGTGACCGCGACAGTCGCTGCTTGCCAGCGGAGCACACGTTGCGCGCGATACCGGCGCCAGGGCCGGGCATCAGCGGCGCGACACAGATCGCCCCTGACGCCGCTTGTTCCCGGCAGGGCGCGGGCCATTTGGGGTGCCAGCGCAGGGGGCTGCCATGGAGGCTGCGGTCGGGGCCGCGGGGCCGGATTTCGACCGTGACGCGGCCGAGCAGGAGGCGCAACTCGACCCGCTGTCTCTGCAAGTGTTCGAGGTGAGCGCGTGGGCTCCGCGACCGATTACGGCCCCGCGACAGCATGCTTTCGTCTTTCTTCCTCTCTTGGATCCACGGTCGTGGTTCCAGGGGCGCGACTTTGCCTCAGGAGGCGGCCTTGCCTCTGTCTCAGCTGTGCGCGCCCCCGCCCCGTCGCGAACGGAGACACCCAGCGTCTGCCTGCCTGAGGTCGAGGACTTCTCGCCCTGGCCGCTGCAGGACGAGCGTTTCGATGCGGCCGCGTGGCTGAACGGCTACCTGCGCGACGTGACGCACAAGGACGCGGCAGTCGAGGCGCTCACCGGCCTCGAGACGAAGCTGCAGCTCGTCGTCGAGGACGTGGAGGGTAGCCTCGAGCGTCTGTGGGAGAAATCCACGGCCAGCCTCGAGGCCGTGACCCAGGAGGTCGCGGGAGTGACGGGCGACGTCAGCGCGCTCCTCGGCAACGCCCAGCGCGCCAAGGCCGCCATGGCCGAGATCGCGAACACCGGCCGCTCGCTCACGCACGAGCTCGAAGACGTCTCGCTCGTGCGCGACCGCATGGAGTCCACGCGGTACGTCCCGCGCCTGCACCACCCTCACACATCACGAACGCACACCAGCGCGCGCGCGCGCCGCCGCCGCAAACGCACTCCCCGCGCCCCCCCGCCGCGCAGCGAGACCCTCGCCGAGGCCGCGAGCGTCGGCAAGCTCTTTCCGGAGGCGTCCGCGGCCCTCCAGCGCGGCGACCTCCCCCGCGCCGCCACCATCTTGGCCTCCGTGCGCCGCTCCGTGGCGATCGTGCGGTCCGTTCCGGGCATCGCGTCGCGCGAGGAGCAGCTGCGGTCCCTCGAGACCCGCCTGCAGTCCCTCGTGGAGTCGTCGCTCGGGCAGGCCGTGCGGTCTCGTGATGCGGGACAGGCGCGAACGCTGCTGGGGCTGCTCGAAGGGCTGTCGCGCGCCGACGCGCTGACGCAGCTGTACCTGCGCGCCGCGACGCCTGCGCTCCAGGCGCTGTGGGGGCAGGGCAATCCCGCGGAGTCCGGCTTCGCGACCTGGCTCGAGGTGAGACGGCAGCCGCAACGTTTCGCGAAAGGATTGATATGGATTTCGTGTCTTGCGTCGGCTCCGAAGGCCTCGACTCGACCGCGGCGCCCGCGCGCCCCGTGTGCCCGCAGGGCTTCTTCACGCGCGTCGCTGGGTACGCGTCGGACGAGCTGGAGTGGCTGCGGCTGGTGGCGCCTGCGAAGGCCGCTGAGCTGCTGGCGGCGCTGCTGTCGAGCTTTGTGCGGGCGCAGCAGGGCGCGCTGTCGTCGCGGCTGCGGAGCGCGCTCGGCGCGGCGCAGGGCGGCGCGGCGGCGTCCGGGGCGCTCGCGACGCTCCAGGGGGCAGTCAAGGCGTGCGGCGGGTTTCTAGTCGAGATTGAGGGTCTCCTGGTGGGCGCGGGGGACAGCGGGCGTGTGGGCATCCCCCGGGCGCAGTTCCTCGCGCTCGCGCTCGATGCGACGCTGCCCGTCGCGCGCGCGGTCCACGATTACGGCAAGATGCAGCAGGAGTGGTTGGCGGGGAAGTTCGCGGCGGCAGAGGGCGAGCTGGGGCTCGAGGCGGCGCGGAGGGACTTTGGCGCTGCGGTCGGGGCGCTGGAGGAGGCCGCGCCGGTGCTTGAGTCCAGTCTCCGGGTAAGATTCATTCTAGACCTGCATCCATGAACTCTGGTCCCTTTTTGTTTTTGTTCATGTCTGGTTGGGGTGCTCCGCCCCGCTTGGTTGGCACGTCGGACTGGGGCTCGCCGATCGTGCTGGTACGCAAGAAGCCAAGACCCGACGGGGAGCCGCTGACAGCCGACGATTGTCCCCGTCTGTCCTGGGCTTCTTGCGTACCAGCACGATCAGCGAGCCCCAGTCCGACGTGGGGCCTCCCGAACGTTGCCCCGCTTGAGCATGTCGTGGCGGATGAGCCTCAGCGCATGTCGCATCTCCGCCGACAAGGTCTCGCCCGCTGGCAGACGGGCCTCGAGCCCTCGCGTACGTCGGCGCGGTGGTCAGTGCGGTACTATCCTGGAGCAGGCGCGGTGGGCAGGCCCGTCGTCAGGACACCGAGCGTCGTGACCTCCTCGACGAGAGCACGGGCCCCAGGCGGCAGCTCCGCCTGGGCCGGCACAGCCGCCTGGATGTCCTGGACGGTTGCGCACTCATGCTTGGCGCGCGCGAGGCGAGACTGCGACTGGCTCCGCTCCGGCGTCCCTGCAGGAAGCGGTCGACACGTGCGCGGCGCTGACAGCGGGTTCGGAGTCCCCGGGGCTGTCGACCGCCGTCGACAACACCGCGCCGGCGTTCCTCTCGAAGCTCGCCGCCGCGCTGCGCGCCTCGGCCGCGCGCGCAGCCGCGACCTCGGACGCTGCGGGCGCCGCCGTGCGCGCCATCCGCGCCGCGCACGCTCTCGCCGCCGTCGTGCGCGGCGCGGAGAGCCACGCGCGCGTGACGTGCGCCTCGCGCCTCGGCGACGTCCTGGAGACGCCGAGCGGCGCCGCGCCGCCGGAGGGCACCGAGTTGCTGCACGTGAGCGTGTGCAGCAGCCCTAAGACGGAGGCGCGTTTGGAGGGGGTGCTGGCAAACATGCGTTCGAGCTCTGCACAGGCCATGTTCGGGAGCACGCTGCAGGCCCTCAAGGTGCGCGACACGACCTTGAGGCTCCGTGCGAGGAGAACCCTCGATCAAGAAGTGTTTGTCAGTCGAGGACTGATATTTGAGACATGAACGGGCGAATGAAGTCTACCGCGCGTTGCGTCGCGTCGTGCAGGACGTCGACGGCGCGGTGGAGGAGTGCGTGCGCGGCGTCGCGCTCAACGGCGTCGCGAAGGCCGTCAGCGGCGTCGCAGCGCTCCCCTGCTGGACCGAGGACACGCGCACCGCCGGCAGCGCCCCCACGCCTTCCTTCTCCGCATACCCGCAGCTCTTCGCGACCACCGTCGGCGAGCACCTCATGGCCCTCCCCGCGCTCCTCGAGCCCCTCGCCGAGGGCGCAGACGACGCCGACGCCGCGAACGGCGACGATGCGCCGCAGGACTTTGATGCAGAGCGCTGGCTGGACGCGCTGGGATCGAGCGCGGCGGACGTGGTCATCCAGGCGCTCGCAGGCGTGCCGCGGCTGTCGGACGCCGGGGCGGCGCAGATGGCGGCGGACTTGGAGTACGTCGGCAACGTGTTGAGCGCGCTTGGGGTGGCAGCGCCGCCGTCGCTTCAGGCGTGGGGTGCGGCGCTAGGGGAGGTGCGCGGCGGCGCGGCGAAGGTGCGGGCGGCCGTGCAGCCGATGGGTGCTGCGGGCGAGGCGGCGGCGAGCGCGATTCTGCGCATGCGCGGACAGTGACGGCGGTGATTGTTGCCGGAATGGCGGAGGCTTGGTGGAGGCGGGCGGGTGTGGGGTGTGGCGCCGTTGGCGGCGGGACGCGCGTGCGCGACGTATGTGAGTGTGAGGATGGCGGAACTGGGCGTGGCGTGGGCGGGGAGGGCGGCAAGGCGCGGGAAAACGTGCTGGTGCGTGTGTGTTGTTGGCGGCTGGTGGGGAGCCTCGCGCCGCGGCGTTTGCGCTTCGGAAGGGCGCAAATTTTTCCGTAGGGGATGCAAATGCGTGACGGAGAGGGCGAGCACGGTCCCGAGACCGGCGTGCCGCGGCACTCCCGCGGATTCTGCGGGCAACCTCACGGCAGGCAGCCACGGCACCTACACCGCACGCCCCGCGCGACAGCACTCGCATGACTCCATTCACGCAGCGCAACGGATCACATCGACATCGCCCCGCCTCCCGGCCGCAGCTCAGCCCTCCGCGCCGCGCCCTCGCCCCGCATCGGGCCCGCCCCCTCACACGCCGAAGCCGTAGATAGTGCGGCCCTGGCGCTTCAGCGCGTACGCGACGTCCAGCGCCGTGACCGTCTTGCGCTTCGCGTGGTCCGTGTACGTCACCGCGTCGTGGATGACGTTCTCCAGGAACTGCTTGAGCACGCCGCGGGTCTCTTCGTAGATCAGCCCAGAGATGCGCTTCACGCCGCCGCGGCGCGCGAGGCGGCGGATCGCGGGCTTCGTGATGCCCTGCAGGTTGTCGCGCAGCAGCTTGCGGTGCCTGCGCGCGCCGCCCTTCCCGAGGCCCTTGCCGCCCTTGCCGCGGCCGTGCGAGTGGTCCTGGTGCGCCATGTTTGCCGTGCGAGCTCGACTTGTGGTGTGTGCTCCGTGACTTGTGGTGCGCTCGATGGTGTACGCCGCGACTGCGCGGCTAGCGCCGCGCGGGGGCCCTAGGAAGGCGCGAGCAGCCGCAGGGGGGAGTGTTGAGTCAGGTGGCAGTTGGTGGTGGCACAGCCCCGCAGAATCAACGTCCCGCGGCTCGGTACCGACAACAAGCGCCCGGGTGGCCTCTCGATATCACTGCGGAGGTGGGCGACCGCATCGACGCTCCAGCGGGGCGCGCGGCCGCGAGCGACCCCTTCGCAATACAGCCCAGCATAGGCCGGGCTTTCCGAGCCATTTTGACGTGGCAACTGAGACTCAAGTCGTGGTTCAAGCGGCCGCGACGCAGCGTAGTTGAGGCCTCGAGATCCAGGAGTGCACCGCAACGGTCGCCCCCGTTCGCTGCGGCCCCTGTGTGTCGCCACAGCTCATCGCGGGGCGTACACACCGAGCTGTCCGAGCGTGGACAGCGCGCCCTGCGCCGCTTCCCACTGCATGGGCCGCGTTCGGGCCCCAGACGAGTGCGCCATGAACGTTTCGAATCCCTCGGGATATGCGCCGGGGTGAGCTTGAATGCGCATTGCCTCGTGCCTTGCGCATCGCCCCTCGCGGCTCCTTGCCTTGCCGGGGCGCGCGTTGTGTGGCCCGCCAGCCGGCGCGCAATAGGCGGAGCTCGTGGAGCACTGTTGGGCTCGCAGCACCGCCCACGCCAACCGTGTCGTGCCACCCCAGTAGGGCAAAACATGTTTGCGATCAAAACATTGTTTCTCTTACTATGAGGGCAAAACCGAACATATTTAACCTGTCACTCACTCAGGTGACCTCTCCGGAGCTCCAAACAGACACGGCAGCCCGACGGCACCTCGCAACGTCGCGCCCTCGGTCACGCGCGAGGAGCGTGGGACCGGGACCGCCCTCCGTGGGCGTGGTACAGAGCGGGCCACTGGTGCGACGGCGACGCACCTGCAGCCGGAAGGCAGCAGCTCCCGTCGCGCGATCGCGATTCGGCAAACGACGCGCGTGTTCGTCGCGCCGCGGTGCGCAGGGCCCTGCCAGGGCCCTCAGGGGCGTGTGTCTGGTTTGGGGCGGATGTGGGCTGATGTGGGCCAGGTGGTCGCGCCCGCTGGCACACGTAGCCCGAACTAGGCGTCTCGTGGACTGACGCTGCGCGGTTGCGGTCACAGCGGCGCCGGGTGCGAGGACGGGAGTGCGCGAGTGGGTGCAAGCAGCGGCGCGCCACGTGCGGTCGTGCACTGACAGGTGAGCTCTTCGCGTGACGCGCGCTCGCCCTCGGGTCGTCGTGGGGGGGCGGCGAAGCTCGCGTCTCGTGCGGGCCCGGCGTGATGGCGCGGGCGTGGACCTCACCACAGCCACAGCCACGATCACGCAGCCGTTCGTGGACTGATTCCGCGCATGGCACGTGGATTATGCTCAGACGGCAGGCACCCTTCCACGGTAGCGCGGAAATTGACGTTTCCATGGATGCGCGTGCGCAGCCTCGCTCTGGCAAGAGCGCAAGCCGCACCCGTCCCCGCGCCCGCAGGCGACGAACGCGGCGCTCCAGGAGACGACGGCACTCCCCTCCACGATGTCAGCGTGCAGCGGCGACGTTGCGCGTCCGTCGACGCCCTCCGTGCGCGCGCGCATCGACGACGCAGGGCTGTGCACGCTCGCGCGCGCGCACCTGGCCGACCTGCGGTGCGGGCAAGACGGCGGCCCGCTCGCGACCGTCATCCGCCTCCTGCCCAAGCACTCGCGCGCCGCCCTCGCCGCCACGTCGTCCAGCATGCTCGCGTGCGTGTTCGAGAGCTGCGACCGTGCGCTCTGGACGGCGCACAAGCGCCGCATCGGGTGGGCGGTGGCCGGCAAGGTCGAGGGCGGCGTCTCTGCGAGAGCGCGGTCGTCCCTGGGGTGGGCGAGCGACGACGCGCGGTGGCGGCTCTACCGCCGCGCTGGTGCTGACCCCGAGCGTCTATCATCGATATCGCGCGCCGAGGTCGTCGTGTCGTACGGCGCCGTCCCGCTCGGCAACGCGCCGGGGCTCGTGATCACCGAGGAGATGACGGGGCTGGAGTACCTCGACGTGTCGCGGCTGGCGTTCGACCTGTCGGCGGCGTGGGGCGCGCGGTGGCTGCCCGCGAACGTCGCGAAGAATCTGCGGGAGCTCCGGGTGGGCGGGTCGAAGCTGCAGCGGCTGCCGGAGTGCATGGGGGCGCTCGAGGTGCTCGTCGTGAGCGGGTGCGACGAGCTGGACGCGCACGAGTGGCTGCCGGGGTCCTCGGCGGGCCGGGTGCGGGTGCTGCGCGCGGACAGCAGCGCGGTGCGACGGCTGCCCGCGGGGATGGCCGCGCTCGAGGAGGTCGACGTGAGTCTGTGCAAGGAGCTCGACGCGGAGTGGCTGCCGTCGTCATCAGCGGGGCGCGTGCGCGTGCTGCAGGCGGCCGGGAGCGGCCTGCGCGCGCTCCCCGAGAACATGCTCGCGCTCGAGGACCTCAACGTGCGCGGCTGCAAGGAGCTGCAGCACCCCGTCTTCGTGCCGCCGTCCAGCTGCGCCCGTGTGCGCGAGCTCCGTGCCGACGGCAGCGCGCTGCAGCGCGTGCCGGACGGCATGGCCTCGCTCGAGCTCCTCGACGTCCGGCGCTGCACCAAGCTCGAGGACGGCAACTTCCTCCCGCTGTCCAGCCGCGCCCGCGTCCGCGAGCTGCACTCCGCGTCGAGTCTCCTGCGAAGGGTGCCCGAGGGCCTCGTAGCGCTCGAGGTCCTCGACGTCTCGTTCTGCCGCGGCCTCGCGGAGGACTTCCTGCCGGAGTCGTCCCGGAACGGCGTCCGCGAGCTGCGCGCCTGGGACAGCTCGGTGCGCAGAGTGCCCGAGGGGCTGACGGCGCTAGAGGCGCTGGATCTGCGGCGGTGCACGCAGCTGAGGGACGACTGGCTGCCGCTGTCGTCGATCGGGCGGCTGCGGGACCTGCGCGCCGACGACAGCGCGCTGCGGAGGCTCCCGGAGGGCATGGTCGCACCGCCGGCGCGGGACACGGGAAGCAACGTGTCGTTCCGAGCGCCGGACGGGCCGTGATCGATGAGAGTGGACAGGGCGCCGGGGCTTGTGATTGCCGTTGCGCCGGGGCCTCGCAGCGGGTGCGTCTTGTGTGGAGGTGTCGAGGGGGGGTATTGTGAACTAGGCCCTTGCTTTTTATTCTAGTCCTTCCACCTCGAACGACGGCGCAAATCTCGTCGCCGATCCCGGGGACGGCGCCCTCCCTCGCGCCGCGACCAGCACCGAAATGCAGCGTCATCTACGTGCCGCCTGCGCTCTGACGCCACACGAATCCATTCAACAACCTGGCTCTTGGAACAGGACCACCGCACATGGTGCAGTCCCTAGCAGCACTCTCTGAGCCTCGCTGGATGACGGGTACAGTCGCGGGCCGCCCCACGTGATGGAACTTACTGACTCAGGTCAGTCGGGCACCGTCAGTCTGACCGCGTGGACCGCCGGGCTCTTCGGCGGCCGCGGCGGAGCAGTAGCGGCCGTCCTTCGGGCGCACCTCGCGCGCAGCCGCGCCGCCGGAGCGGAACGGCACGGAGCCGGGACTGCGCGCATCGCAGTCGTCCGTCGTCTGCCGTGGCCCGTGACGCGTTGTTCGAAAAGTGATTTCGTCGGCCCTGGTGCTCGACGTGCGCGTGCGAGCGTCATGGAATCGCTCACCGTCGCCTCGCAGTCGGCCGCGTCGGCCACAGCGGAGTGGTTGGCGTGCAAGAAGGCAAAGGTGCTTTCCCGGCCCGCACAAACAGATATAGCCCCCTCGAGCCTTCGTCGGAGCGTCCCTGGCACGATTCGGACATACCTGAGGAGCGAAAGCGCTGAAACGGTCCGACGCACGCTTCTGATGCAGCGCGTGACCGTCAAAGTGCTCTGCAGCCGAAGGACGTCGACACCGTGCCGGGAGTGCAAGCTGCGCTGACCAGATCGAGGGACGTCATCAAGGCGGTCACGTCGGCGCGCGAAGCGCTCGACCAGGCCCTCGCGGACCCGGAGGTGGACAGCATTGCGGTCGAGCTGGTGCGCCCCTGCTCGTGCGGACGTTCCGGCCCACGCCGGCTTCGTCGAACTCCGAAACCCGCCGTGTATTGGCGCACCGGACACCTACGATGGTTCCCGAATCCCACCCTCGCGGTTCGCGTTGTTTACGCAGGCCTCTGTTCTGATAATCCTGGCGGAACAACTGGGCAAGCATCGCGCTCGCGGCTCGATCTCCGCGGCCGCCATGGCCCGTACGTTCAAAAAGCGCGTCCTCGAGTGCACGGAGCAGCTCAGCGCGCTCACGGACCAGCTAGATCGCGCCGCAGCGAAGCCGGCCCCCGCGCGGCCCGCCACTGGCGACGCGCCCCTGGCCAACGACCGCGCCGCGGACAGCGAGCCGGACGGGCCCGCGGTGCCCCCGCCCGACCTGCTCTGCTCCATCTGCTGCGACGTCATGGCCGACCCCGTGCTCCTGGTGCGCATTCAACACCCCCCGCAACCCCGCGAACACACACACACGCGCGCAAACGACCGCACGCACGACAGGGGAGAGCGCAAGCACCGAACGGCTTGCGCCCGTGCGCGTCTGGTCCTCGCGCAGGTGGACAGCGGGCAGACGTACTGTCGGTTATGCATTGAAGAGTGGATCCGACATGCCAAAATCCCAACTGATCCGAAAACGCGCCAACGAGTGCAGCTGCCGCTCCGCATCGTCACGAACTACGCCATGAGAGGGGCCGTGGACGCGCTGCCTGCGGGCGAGCGCCGCAAGCGCGAGACGGCGGCCGCGATGGCCGCGGCGCGGGCGGCGGCGGACGCGGCGGCCAACGCGCTGCCGACGCACCCGGGCCCCGCGGGAGGCTCGCACTGGGAGGTGGAAGAGGTTCAGGCGCTGCTGGACGACGCGAGCGTGCCGGTGGTGGACCTGGGTGGGCTGGAGGTGAAGTGGAGGGCCTCGGAGACAGTCACGATCAATTATAAAACGTTGAGTGTCGGGCGCGCGCTGCTGGTGCGCCGGCCGGGCGTGGTGCTCCGGAACGGCATCCTGCGCGGCGCGGGCGGGGTGGCGCCGGAGCCGCACGAGGGCGTCGTGACGCTGTTCGTGGGGGAGGGCGCCAAGGGCTTTCTTATGGACGAAGTGGTGGTCAGGGAGGGGGCTGGAGACGGGGTGTACGTGGCGGGGGCGCAGGGGGTGTCGATACGGCGGTGCTGGATGGAGGGGAACGGGACGGCGAGGCTCGCGAACAACGGGCACGGCTTGGTGGTGCGGGACGGCGCGGAGGTGCGCATGGAGGCGGGGTGTGCGCGGGGGAATGGGCGGGGGGTGTTAGTGCTGGGGGGGGGGTCTCGGCTGCACGCGGCCGGCGTGGAGAGCAGCAGGAATGTCGGGCACGGCATCTACGTGCGCGACGGCGCGCGGCTGTCCGTGGAGGGCGGCGAGAGCGTGGGCAACGGCGGCGACGGGCTCTGGTGCTTCAACCGTGCGGTGGCGTCGTGCCGAAACCTGGAGGCTGGCGGGAACGACGGCAGCGGGGTGTTCGCGCAGTATCTGTCCAAGGTGACGCTCGAGGGCGGCGGGTGCCGCGACAACGGCGCGTCGGGGGCCGTTGCTATGAATGAGGGTACGATGCTGACAGTGGTCGACGTGGCGTGCGTGCTGAACGGGGCGTACGGGCTGGACGCGTCGGACTACGCCAAGGTCACGGTCAAGGGCGTCGACCTGTCCGGGAACAAGAAGGGCGAGCTGCGGACCAGCACTGACGCCTTTGTAGGAAAGTCGTGACTGACTAGTGATTGATAGTGGGCTTTCGCGACGCTGGTTCCGCATGAGGTGAGGTGAGGTGTCACATTCTTCGCGTCGTCAGCCCTAAGGCTTTGGGACCTGAAAAGATCATTCGAATAGGTGGCGAGTCATGCTAACCCCCCACCGTTATGGTAGCAACAGGTTCGGCAGCATGTCAGGATCGTATGTACGGTGCCACGCGTGAGCGCCGCGCATGAGCGCTTCGCGCGCGACCAGGAGGACTGTCGGCGTGATGATGAGGCTCCTCTGTTGTAGTGCTGCAACACAGCCGTCATGCGCGCAGGGCTCCGTGGCCGCGATCACACGCACGCGCAGCACCCTGGCCCTGCCGCACGCATCGCCTCGCCGACCAGGCGGCGCGCTCGCGCCGCGGGAGAAGCCGCCACGCCCCCAGAGGCGACGTGCGCTGCGTGCGTGCTGTTAAGCACGCACAGGTCGCTGGCGGTCCCGGGCGTCAGCGGCTCGGAGGCTGCTGCCGTGCCATGCGCGCCTCCATCTCCGCGAGCTGGTTCCGGAGGTCCTGCAGCCCGGGGCCCTGCCCCGACGCGGACACGCGCCCGCCGGCGCCAGACTGGCCGCGACTGGCGCGCCCCGCCGCGGCCTTGGCCTGCTCGCGCGACCGCGCCTGCCGCCGCTTCGCATCGATCGCCGCGGCCTCGGCCATGATCTCTTGTGTGTCGCCCAGAGCCAAATTCATAAAGTCCATGGAGTCCCCGGGCGGTGTCTGAGGGGCCGCGCCGGAGACCCTCGCCGGCTGGGCGCGCGCCGGGCTCGGCGCTGCGCTGTCGCCCACGCCGCTCGTCGGCGCCGAGGACCGCAGCGACGCCTGCAACGACCAGCACGGAACGGAATAAAAACAGTCACGAAACCACATCTTCCGATTCACTGACTTCCTCGTTCTCGGATCGGCATTCAGACGCACGCGCCCGCCCGCCCGGCGCGAACGGCCGGAAATCTGCACGATGTTCGGGACTCACCATGGCATCTCCGAGCCCCCACGCCGCCTCGAGCACCTGCGCCACCCCGGCAGCTTTCCGCCCGCTCCTCGTGTCTTGCGTCCCGACCTCGCCCAGCGCCGCGAGCACGTGGAACTTGACGTCCATCGGCACCCGCAGCGCCCGCTCGTCCCGGCCCGCCGCCATCGCCGCGAGCTGACTCAGCCACGCCAAACACTCCCCCACCTCGGCGTCCGCAGCGTCGCCCCCCGCCGCATCCGACGTCGCCAGCAGCCGCGCCGTCGCCTTCACCAGCGTGTGCGCCTGCGCCGGCTGCATGTCGCCCAAACACGGCTCGCACGACCGCATCACGTCCAGCAGCGCGCCATCGTCGCCGCTGCGCACCGCAGCCTCCACCGCCGCCGCCGCCGCCGGCCCCGCGTGCCGCGGCGCGCTCGCGCCCTCCGCCTCGTCGTACTCGTCCTCGACGTCGCCCGCGATGAGGTCGTTCCCGCTCTCGTCGACCCCGTCGTACCTGTTCTGTGTCATACCGCCTGCGTCAGCCGACTGCTCCGGAGTCAGCCGGCGAGACTGCGGCGCGCTGGCGCGCGCCGGGTCCGCCGCCCCCATCCGCGCAGTCGGCACCGAGCGCAGGCTCGCGACGGACTGCCGCGACGGCTCCGGGCGCACGGGCAGCGCGGGCGGCGCAGACGGCGTCGGCGACGGCGCCGCGCGCCCCGCGGACGACGCCGGCCGCGAGCGCGGCGCCTCGGGCGCGGCGTTGTGCTGCGGCGGGCTCCCAGGAACGCCATCCTGCCGCGAGCTCCGCGGATGCAGATGCGGTGTCTCCCGCGACGCAGCCACCGAGGGGGGTCGCGGCAGGTACGCGTCGTCCTCGTCGCCGTGCACCTCCGGGAGCGCGCCGTAGTTCTTGTTCGCGGGGCCGAACCGCGAGAGGAAGTCCATCGCCGAGCGAATGTCGTCCGTTGCGTGTTCCATCGCGCCTACGCGCCGCTCGAGAGATGCCATCGCGGCGTTCGTGGAGTCGACGAAGGATCCGAGGATGCGCATCATGCGCTCCTGCTGCTCGACGAGCGCCTCCAGCTGCCGTTCCACCGCGCCCCAGTCGCCCACGCGCCCCGCCGCGTCCGCGACGTGCCCGTTGGCCGCCGCGCGGGTGCGCGCCGACCGCGGTCGCGCTGGGACCTCGCTCGGCGCCCACTGCTCCGACGGCGGCGGGCCGCTCCGCGCGCTCGGCGGCCGCGACGCCACCGCGCCTTCGGGGGGGTTCGCAGAGTCCCCCCCTCCCGGAGTCAGGTCCTGACGGCTCGCCCGGCGGCTCCCGGCCGCCGAGCCGTTGCGGCTCGGCACCGCCCTGCGCTGCGGCGCCGCCGGCGCTGGACTCGGCGGCCTCTCAGGCTCCTCGTACCCACCATGCTGCACTCTCTCCGGTTGCATCTGCTGCTGTTGCACCTGCTGCTGCTGTTCCGCGGAGGTCCGCAGCTCCTTGACCTTCCGCGGCTCGAGCACCTGGTTCGCCTTCTCGGCGTGCGCCTTCGCGAACTCCGGGTTCAGCTGCCGCGGCCCGCCGCGCCCGCGCGGCGACACGGGTACGTGTGCAGGCGAGCGCGCGCGCACCGGGGTGTGCGGCCGCGACCGCGGCCCCGGCGACGGCCCTCGCGCCGTCCTGTTCGCCGCGCTCGCCGCCGCCTCCTGCTCCCGCAGCGCCTGGATGTGCGCCGGCCAATCCGCGGGGTTCGTGTCCGCAGCAATGAAGTCCTGCAGCCCTCTGGCACACGCGAGCGCCGCGGCAGACATGTCCCGGACGTGCCGCACGCGGTCGAACCGCAGCGCCGACAGCGCGGCGAGCACGCGCGCGGACGGGCGCGCGGGGTCGTCCGGGGGCGCCCCCTGCGGGGCGCTGACGTCCATGGCGGGCCCTAGCACGGTGACGATCGCGGTGCAGGCGTCGAGGGCGGCGCGGCGGACGGCCCAGTCGGGGTCCGAGAGGGCGCCGAGGACGCCGGAGCCGCTGCCGGCGTCCTCGGAGCGGCCGGTCTGACCTAGGATGGTGGAGAGGTAGGGCAGTATAACGCCGCTGGAGGACATCACGAGCCCCCCCGGGGGGTTGACGGCGCCGGTGGAGGAGCCGAAGACGTCGCCGCGCGGGGACGACGGCGCGCCGCGCCCCGTCTGCGAGCAAGCGCACGGGAACCAGCACATCGCAGCTGCGGGCGCACAGCAGCGAGGAACAAGCGGCGCCGCGGCGGCGCGCGCGCGAGCACGTTGCGGCCGGCGCGCACCAGCGGCCGCCCCGAGCTCTGCGGTCCCGCGGGCGGGCCCGTGTTCCCGATGAGGTGCAGAATGCCCGCGTGCGAGCGGAACGTCGCCGTTGACAGCAATCGCACGATCTGCTTCGTGATCGTGACCTCCAGGCCGCCGGTGTGCCTGACGACGCCCGCGAGGGCGTGGCACGCGGTGTCCAGGACGTTGCGGTTCCGGTCCTGCGTTATGCTTTCCATGAGCATGCGCACGAGGGGGTTTGTGTGGTCCCCGCAGCCGTAGGGCGAGGCGGTCTCCGCCATGGCCTCCGCGACAGCGACGAGCGCGGCGGTGACGGCCTCGCGCACCGACGCGTCCTGGTCCTTCATCCTGCGTGGACGGTGGGGCGGAGGAGCACAGCCAGCGGTGTCGCGGGGACGTCACGCGGGCGCGTTGCGGCGTGAACCGCGCGGGGATGCTATGGGCTGCGCTGGGCGTGCGCGGGAAGTGCGACGTCCGGTCGCGCCGAGACGCTGCGGCACACGGCGCGCCGGTGCGCGAAAGCAGCTGTTGCGGGCGATCGACGCGGCGCTGCTGCCCGGGCGCGGCGCGGGCCCGGCGCGCTGGACGCACCTGGCCTTGAGGGTCTGGAGGATCTTCGCGAGGTTGGTCTGCTGCAACGCCGTGTGGCGTACGGGGCTGCTTTCCCCGACGAGCTTGGCCAGGCCGGCGACCATTTCGCGCCTGGCGTACGCCTTGGGGTCCGACGCGGTCGGCGACAGGCACGACAGCACCACGGGCAGCGTCGCCGCGTCCAGCCGCGATATCAGCGCCGCCAGCTCCCCGATGGCCGGCCCGTGGGTGTCCCGGTCCGCTGCGCACAAAGGAGCCGCGAAACGGCGTGTTGAGGTGTCCTCCGTGATGCGCGAGCACAGAAACATGAATTCAACGACTGAAACGCGCTGCAGGTGGGGAGACACGCGGGTGGGAAGCCCGTGGCACGACGCACTGGGCGGGCCGCGTGTGCGTGCAGAGCTGCGGATGAAAATCCGGTGCGGTGGCCTCTCCGAGCAGCCAAACGCCACGACCGCGACCTCGGAGCTTCCTTACTCTCGAGAACGCAGTGTGAGATTGGAAATCAAGCCTTTGAATCGCGGTACAGGATGCAATATGTAAAAGGAGACGAGCTGCTATGTGCGGAAGCGCGGTTTGCGGTCTGGAGGGCGCACGGGGCGCGAACCATTGCGTACCTAGACGGTCGATAATGTGCAGCACGCGCTCCTTCGCCCGGTGGCGCGGCTTCGGCGCTAGGGTCTCCGCCATCGCGCCCGCTGGTGTTGAGCACAGCGCAGAGGCGCGACCCGGTAGTGCCAGCCCCGCAAACGTGCCTCGTCGCCCGGGACGCCTCGCCGGACCTCGAGCGCGACACTGGCCACGCGGAGGCCCCGGCGTCGCCGTTCACGCCCTCGTGACCGACCAGCGTTCCGAAAGATGCAATCAGGGGGGGGTGAGGCCTCGGTCCCACGAGTGCAGCACGGACACGCACGCAGCCTCGCTCGCGTCTCCACATCACAAAATCGCGCACCGGTCGCGATTCGTCGCGATTCTGTTCCGGTGACAACCTCCACAGGCGCTGATCGCCCTCCAGGCCACGCACCCGCAAAAAGCGTACGCGCCGCGCCCGCCTACCTAGGCCTGCCCTCGCTCGAGCCGCGCGAGCCATTCCCGGGCCTCCGCTGCGTCCGCCGCGCACGCAGCGAAGCGCACAACATCTGCCAGTGGGTCCGAACTGTGTCCGTGGGCCCCGGCGCGCTGCTGGGCCTGCTGGAGACGCATGCCGAGCCCCGCGACCGCGTTGTCCCGGCCGACGACGAGGTGCAGCGTGGGGCGGTCGGGGCTCGTGGACGTGCGGCCGGGGGTCGCGCGCGCGCGTCGTGCCATGAGGGTGCCGTTCGTGAGGCGTGTGTCGAGGAGCGTGAAGCCCGCCTGCGGAGGACAGGTGCGCGATGGTGGCGGGTGCTGTGAGCAGCGCGTGGCACGGGTAGGGCGGTGCCAGCAATTGGGAATATTCGATTGAAAAAGGAGAGCATGGATCGAGAAAGGGTGTCTGCGTACCTCGACCAGCGTCTCGATGCACCCCGCGACGTCGCTCAGCTCCGCACCGTCCATCGCGTCCGCGCCGCGCCGCTGCACCGCCCCCTCCGGGACAGCGTCGGCGTCGCAACACGCCACCGACAACACAGACGCCTGCAGCAGCCGCGAGTCCCCGCCCTCGCCCCGCATCGCCTCGAGCCGCTCCTCCCACACCGCCCCGCACCCGCCCTGCGGCGCGGACTCGAACCGACGGCCCATCGCCTCCCAGCTCCCCGCCCATGGCACCATCCGTGCCGCCACTCCGAGCAGCCCCGACGCGCTCGTCCCGGAGCCGTCCGCGAGCGCCGCCTGCAGGCACGACGCCGCGCCCTGCCGCGACGCGCACAGCAGCACCGCGTGCCCCCCGTCCCCGGAAAACACCCCCTCCCGCACATGCTTCATACCTCGCAGCGTGAACCCGAGCCGGTGCATCGCGCGGAGCACCCGCGGCAGCGCGCGCGCGGCGGCGCCCGCGGCGCCGCTCGGCGCCGCCACCAGGCACGCCGCCGTCGTCGGCCGGCCGCCCGCGAGCACCTCCGCAACGGACTCCCCCCCCGACGGCGTCGCTAACTCCGAGGCGCAGAACGCGCGCGCCGCGGCCGCGAGGCCGTCGACCGGGCCGCCCGAGACCGCCGCGATGCCGGCGTGCTCCTCCGCGACGCCGCGGAGCCGCTTGTGCGCGTCCACGCCCTGCAGGGCGACCAGGACATGCGGCCCGTGCAGCGCATGCAGGCTGCCGGCGGCTATCGCCGCGGCGTGGCCGTGCGGGACCGGGTGCAGGTGGCGCTGCACCGCGTTGCGGATGTCCGGTTCCAGCCGCACGCCGAGCACGCGCAGCGGCGCCGCGCCGCCCGTCGCAGCGCAGAGGGTCTCCAGGATGTTTTGAACGGCCGTGGCGGCGTCGGCGAGGCGGTGCGCGGGCGCGGCGACGGCCGCGAGGGCGATCTCCGGCGCGTGCGGCACGCGCGCCGCGTCCTCGACCGTCGGGAGCCCGTGCGCCGCGCGGAACGCGGCAACTGACGTCAGCAGCGCGTCCGACTCGTGCGGCGCCGGCCGCCGCGTCGCGAGCCGCAGAGGCGCGTCCACGGGCGCCGCAGCGGGCCACCGCCCCTTCCCAGCGACCGCGGGGCCCGCGGACGCCGACAGCAGCGCCGCGACCCGCACCTCACCGCCTGTCGCCGCTGCTGCGCGTCGTGCCGCCTCCGCGGCCGCATCCTCCGCCCACGCCGCCGCACCGGCGCGCGCGAACACCCCGACCGCGACGCGACGCCCCGCGATGTCCGAGGGCGCCGCCGCCGTCCGCTGCACACCATCGCCCCCGCTCGCCGCCAGCCACACCGCGTGCCCCGTGCCGCGAACGCCACACAGGAGCTCGCCCGCGGCCGCGTCGTCGGGAACGTGCACGACCGAGAGCGCCTCGCACGCGAACCCCGTCGCGCCGAGCGCGCCGAGCGCCGCGGAGCACGCCCGCAGGTCGGAGGGGGAGTCGGCGGGTGCCAGGATCGCGCACCGCGACGCCGGGGCGCAGCACAGCGCCGCGAGAGGCCGCAGGCTGGACGTCCGCGTCGGCGCCGGCGCGTGGTTCGTCTCCTCCGCCGCCGCGGCCTTCGCGCGCAAGCCGGACAGGAGCCCCCCGCGCTGGGGGGCGCAGGTAGGTTGTGCGATGGCGGGTGGCGGCGTCGGGGGGGCCGCGGCGGTCGTCGCTGCGTCCGCGCGCTGCGCGAGCCAGGCTGCTGGGTCGGCGGCGGCGTCGACGCGCCCGCCGAAGAGCCACACCGCCTCGGCGGCGGCGGTGGCTGCGTCATAGATGGACGTCAGGGGGGAGTGGTCGCACTCCCCCGGGAGGGCCGCGTTGACCGAGGCCGGGTCGGTCACGCGCGCGACGCTCGGCACGTGCGGTCCGAGCAGCGCCATCCATCGCGCGCCCGCCGCCGGCCCCCGCACCGCGACCGCGACGTCAGGGCCTGGCGCCGTCGCGCGGCCGGGCGCAGGCGGCGGCATGAGCGCGGGATGCCGCGCGCGCTTCCCCGCCGCCGCAGCGGCCGCCTGCGCATCGCTCGCTGCGTGGTAGCACGTCCGCAGCCCGCAGACATCCAATCCGTCGGCCATTGCGCGCTCGAGGGCGAGACACAGGGCCTCCCACGCCCAGCCGGCGCCGCCCGCGGCGCCGACGCGCGCGACGGCGACGGCGAGCGTCGGGTCGCCGCACGCCTCGTCGCCGGGGGGGGAGTGCCACATCGCCAGCTCGCGGCAAAAGTCCCCCGGGCCGGCGACGACGGCGTCGACGAGAGCGCCCACGGACGGGCCGGTGGCGTCGGGCCCGTGCGTCGCGCCGCAGCCGGCGAGCGACGCGCCGGCCAGCTGCGCGCTGAGCTGCCGCGCCGCCGCCGTGGCGGGGACCCCCGGAGCGCCGACGGCAACAGCCACGAGGAGCCGCGTGGGCGCGGGGCCGCCCGGCTGCGCGTCGGCGCAGAGCTGCGCGCCGATGACCGTGAGGGCGTGGTCTTCGAACCGCGCGCCCCCGCGCGTCGCCCTGTTGTACCCGCCCGACGTCATCAGCCGCAACACCCCCGGGAGGAGTCTCTTGTGCGGGACCGCGAAGTGCACCGCGACGACGCGCGCCGCGTCGACGTCGCCCGGCAGCGACGGAATCGCCGGCCCGAACGACACGCCCGGCTCGAACAGCAGCGCCGCGCCGCCCGCCGCGCCCGCCAGCGCCTTGCCCCACGCCCCCTCCCGGGACCGCACCCGCCGCTCGGCATGCTGCCGCAGCGCCGCGTCCTGCGCGCTCCGCACCACGTCCTCCCCTTCCGCGCGCCCTCCCGCCGCCGCCGCCGCCGCCGCAGCGATCCGCTCCCGCCTACGCTCCTCCCTCAGCTCCCGCCGCGCTGCCGCCAGCCGCTGCTCGGCCGCCTCCGCCGCCGCGCGCTCGGCCTCCGCGGCCTCGATCTCCGCGCGCGTAGGCCCCCGGGGGAGTCCCGGAACATCCCTCAGCATCCCCTCTCTCACGTCCTCCCACTTCACGGCCTGCGGCTCGTGCCGCGTCCGCCGCGGCGGCGTCGGCGAGCGGCTGCGCGACACGGACACGCGCTTGCGCCGCAGCGTGCGCTTCGGCCTCCGCGCGCCCCCCGCGGCCCGCTTCACGCGCTGGCGGGTCGCCGCCCACAGCCCCTCGTCCTCGCTGCTGCTCCCCGCGCTCGCGTCGCTGTTCTCGGAGGAGGACGACGTCGCGGAGGACGACGTCGCGCCCGCGGCGTACAGCGCGCCCATCCCGCGGGCGTCCCGCCGGCGCCGTCGCACGGGGGCCTGACTGGGGGTCCGCGGACGCCTCCGGGGCTGTGGCGCGGGCGCCGCGCGTGAGGTCGATCACGCGCGTGCCCTCCGCCGTCACGCGCACGGGCGGGCCGGCCGCCCCCGCGGCCCCGCGCGGCGACTGCTCCGGCGTGTGGCCCGGTTTCGCGGGGTAGAGGGCACGGCGGTGTGCACGCGCCACCTCCCGCGGCGCCGGCCCGGGCGCGGGCGCGGGGCTGCGCGGCTCGATCTGCGCGAACCACGGCCGCGACGTGTCGATCAGCGCGTCCGCGTGCTCGAAGTTCACGTCGGCCGCCGGGGGCGAGAGGGGCGGCGACGACGCGTCCACGTCAGCGCCGCCGCCGCGGTCCGCCGGCCCGGCCTTGGAGCCGACGCGCGCGAAGCCCGGCTGGCCGAGGACGCGCTCGAGGACGCCGTCGACGGTCAGGAACCGCCGCCGCCGCGCCGCGCGCTCCGCGTCGCGCTCCTGCCGACGACGATGCTGTGCCTCCTCCTCCCGGCTCCGTGGGGGCGTCGCGCCGTCGGCGGCCGCGTCCTCGAGGTACCGTGCGCCGTACTTGTCGCGCGCCGCGTCGTCGTCGTCGTCCGACCAGAGCGACTCCGCGGGGGGGAGTGTTGACTGTGCGCGCCCCGACAGGTCCACCTGGCCCGCCTGGAGCCGCGCAATGAGCCCGTCGAGGTCCAGCCGCCCGACCGTCTCCTCCAGCGACAAGCTGAACCCCTGCCGCCGCTCCAGCAGCCGCGCGCCACCCCCCGCGTCCTCCTCGCCCGCAGCGAGCGTCGCCGCTGCACCCGCCGGCCGCGCGTCGCTCGCCGGCGGCTCCGCAGGGCTCGTCCCGCGCGACACAGCCGCGGGCTGCTTGTCCGCCGCCGGCGGCGCCGCGTCCACCGTCACGCCGCCGCCCGTGAAGCCGCCCGGGCCACCGTCGTCGTCCATGCCCACCCCCACGCTGTGCGACGCCACGACCCGCACGGGCGGCGCGGCGGGCTCCGCGACGTCGCGCGCGGCCGCCGCCGCCGGCGCGTCGCGGTTGAGCGCCTGCAGCGGCGCTGGGCGCCGAACGCGGCCGAAACGCCGCGCGCGTGCCGGCGCCCGCCGCCGCGCGCGGAGGCCGCATGGTCCAGCCCGGCGGGGACGACGGCGCGGAGTTCTCGTTGCTGAAGCGGCCCGCGCGGGGGCCGTCGGCGGGCCGCCGCGGGCTCCCGCGCACGCGCTCCGCCCCCGCGCGCACCTCGTGCGTCCGCCCTGTTGCCGCAGGGGGCGCCACGGGCCGCGGCTTGGCCGTGTCGAGCGACCCCGTGCCGTAGTCTACCTTGCTGAAGATCAGAGTGGGGCCCACGTGCCCCGAGGCGTCCGACGCGCTGTCCCCCGGCACCCCGTCGTCGCCGGTCTCGGACTCACTCAGCGCACCCAGGCTCGGTAGCTGCATAAGCGCCTCCTGGAGCTCCCGGTCCGCCTCGTCCGGCCTGCCGTACCCCACCGCTGGCCCCTGCACCGGCGGGCGATCGGGGGCCGCCGTTGGGCCGCTGCGCCCGCCGCGGTGAGCGACAGCAGGCTGCACAGGCCCCGTCGGCCGCTGTTGGGGCCGCGTTCGGCGCTGTGCGCGCCGCGTTCCGCGCGCACGCGCGCCAGGATCGCGCGTTAGGCCCATGGCGACGCAGTCGCGGCGCGCGCTGCGCGCGGGAGGCCCGCGGCTGCGCGGGGGAGTCGGGAAGCCATGTTGCAAGGTGTGCTTCAGATCGTGGGGCGCGGGGCTCGCCTGTGGGGGAGTGAAGGGGCCTTGGGCGCGGTGGTCGGTCGCGGCGGCGTCATCGTCGCTGGACCAGTCCGGGAACGTCGGCCGCATGGACGTCCGCATCGTCGTGCGCGCTCCCGCGTCTGAGAGGCAGGGAGAGGGAGAGCCGCACGGAGACGCGGCGCCGGGGCTATCTACGCCAGTGCGGTGGGCGTGCAGGCACGCCATTCGATCGCGGGGGTCAGGGCTGGCGCCGCAGCGGGCATGGCGGGGCGGGGGGCTGCGGGGGGGCACGGAGGTCCGCTGCTCGAACCGAAACCGCTCCGGTCGTCGAGCGCCACGTGTCTGCGAGCCGTGCAGGTGGCGAAATAATTCGGCTGTGTGAATGGCGAGCCACGGCGCCCGCGCGCGGCACCGTCGACCGCGGCAGGCCGGCAGGACCAACCCGAAACCTGGAAAGTATGAGCCATGGACCGCAGGGCGTCCGTGCCCGGCCGCGCATCATTGCTTTCGCGCCGCGGCGTCCTCCGCACCTCCCGTAGCTACGCCGGCGCGCCCTCACCCAGCCGCAGCGACCCGTCGTCGTACCTGTGGAGGCGCTCCCTGCTCAGGAGATCTGGCTGCTCGCCCGCGCTCCTCGTCGCTCGCGACCGGCCCGCCCGCGATGCTCCGTGCCCCTGCGAGGCTCTCCTTCGCGGCGCCCGCCCGGGCCGGCTGCGCGCGCCCGTGCCGGGCCCGGCGCAGCCCGGTGGTGCGCGCGGGAGGCAGCGAGGACAGTCTGGAATCTCTCTTTAGCCAGGAACTCTCGCGGCGAAGCATCACGGTGCAGGTGCGCACGCGGCTGTCACGGACCGTTCGGGCCGCGCCACGCGTGAAAACGCGGCCGCGCCACGCGTTGGCGCGGCAGTGAGTCCCTCAGCGAATGCCGCGCGCTGCGGGCTCCCCGCGCCGTTTCCCAGCCTGACCGCGCGCGCTCTGCGGAGATACTGCCCGGGACTCGCTGCGAAGCGGCACGGGGGACGCGCGCGAGCCCGCATGGCGCGGCGCTCGGGCACGGGCGGTGGGCTCACTGGGTGTCCCGGGTTTCTCCTCGTCGTCGCGACCTCCCGCGGGCCGCTGCGCCGCCGCCGAGCACCGCGGGCTGGAGCCGTGGTATCGAGGCCTCACCTCGGCGCGACACGCCCCGTGTGCAGATCACGGACGAGGACGAGGATGGTGACCTAGGGGCAGCTGCGCAGGCAACGGCGGCTGGGGGCGCGAGGGGGGCGCGCGGGAACGCCGCGGCGTCCATGGAGGGGCAGCTCGAGCGCAGCCGTCTGCTGAACAGCGAGGGACTCGACGGCCTCCCCGCTAGGTGCGCCTCTGCCGTCGCTTGCACTTCAGCCTCTTCCGGCCGCCACGCGGCGCCATTTTCGCGGCTTCTTCCTCCCAAGCGTCGAGCCTCTCCTGTACTCGACGAGAAGCGCCCGCGCGGCCCTCAACGCGGCACCAGGCCGGCGCGTGGCCGCCACGTGCTGGCCCCACGAATCAACACGCAACGCCGCCCCGCGGCTCCCCGCAGCGCACCCGCTCCGTTCAACCCACCCGCACCCGCGCGCCGTACACCCACGAAGCACACCCCACCGGATCGCCGCGCTTCCGGGCCCGCAACCCCCCCAAACACACCCCCCCTGTTACAAAAGAGGGCCGGACGCCCCCCGGCACACCGCCCCGCTCGCCACGGCGCCACGCAGGGCCTCCCAGCTGCTCCAGCTCGGCGGGACGTTCTTCCTCAGCTTCGGCCCTCTCATCCTCGGCGTGGGCATCGCCATCGTTGCCACCGTGATGTATTTCCCAAACTTCGTGCACGGCGGGGAGCAGCTCGAGTACACGCAAGTGGACCCCTACGAGCTGCTGAACGAGCCGACGTACGACCCGATGGTGCCGATGCAGCGGCCGCCGCCCATGACCGACGCCGCCCCCGACGCGCTGAACCTCGACAGGAGCGCGGGCGGGTTCTACTGAGGGGGGGGGGGTGTGCGCACGAGATGCGAAATCCCCCTCCGCGCCTCCTCCGCCGGCTGCGACGGGCCGCGAGGCGGCGCCCCGACCTCACATCGCATCCGCCACGAAACCATACAATACCCGCCCCCCCGAGAGCACGATAGCGCCCACTGCGGCCGTTCCGAAGCCACAGCGCCTCCTCCCGCCAGTTCGAGTCCACACCGGGCGGGCGCGCCCCGGGCGCGTGTCGACGGCCCTGGAGGACATGAGTGAGGGAGTGACGAGTACATATCCAAGCTCGAGTGGTTTTCCCTGCCAAAGGACTGGCACACCGGGCTGCCGAGGACGCGAGCCGTGCGACGTCGACGACCTGGCACGCGTTGCGGAGCCTGCGCCGCGCCAGTGGCGGGTGTGAGCAACCTCTTGATCGTGAGCCGGGGCGTGGCGGAATCGAGGTAGGGAGCGCGGCGTGCGGTCTGTCCGTGCGCGCGAGGAACGCGGTTGTGTTCGTGCGAAGGGCGCGCCTTGCCGCGCGAGGGGGGGAGTGTTGTTGTTCGGTGTTGTACACCCCCGTCTTCACGCTTGCGTCGCGGGGGACACGGCTGGATCGGGGGAGCGATGCGGAGGCGTCCCGCCACTTCGGCAGCGCGCGCGAGCGGCCCTGGCGCCACCGGAGCGCGAACGCGGGGGGCATGTGGACTCGTGCACTACAGCGAGGCTGCTGAGCACGGGCTGCGTCCGCGGGGCACGTCGCTGCCACGGGAGTGACGAGGGTGCTGCTGAGGATGTCGGGCGCCGCGGGGGACGATGCGGAGTCGCTGCGCGCGGAGCTAGCGGCGGTGCGCGCGGAGGTGGACTCTGCGAAAGCGAAACTGCGCAATGCCATCAAAAAGGGCAAGCTGATTGAAAGTGAGCGGAACGCCAAGGACGCAGAGATCAAGCGCCTCAATGCGAAGCTCCAGGTGAGGGCGGACGTCGCGCGTGCGGGACGCTGCTGCCCTCCGGGTCGGGGCACCACCAGCACAACGCCCGCTTCCGCGCAAACAGGGACGCATCCATCGTGTGGGCGGCAGCGTTGTGTAACAACATCATCAGAGACACGATTGAGCAGGGAATGTAGCGCACCCATGCCAACGCGTGGCAAACCCTTCCTGAAGTCTCCGCACCGCTTGCAGGCACGCGCGGAGCCAGCGGCGAAGTCCGCGCAGGACAGGCCGCGCGACGGCGACGGGCAGAGACTCCACGACCTCGAGAGCGAGAACCGCATGATGCAAGAGGCTCTCGAGGCCGCGGCGCAGACGGTGCGCGACTCGGAGGCGCGTGCGGAGCGCGCAGAGGCGGCGTCCTCCGCCGCGAACGCCGCGGTGGCGGAGCTCAAGGCGCGGCTCGCGGAGAAGGAGGGCAGGCTCGCGGTGGTCGAGGGGATCGACGCGGCGTCCCAGGAGGCCCTGCAGGACCTGCAACGCCAGGTAGGCAACTTGTTCCCACGAATGGTTTGTGTTGTTCTGGGCTGCGAGGGCTGACGTGACGCGTGTATGCGTGGCTCCGCGGCGCGCTGAGCTCGCGCGGTCCGCGGCCTGCGACGCGATTGAGAGGTTCGGAATCAGAACCGGATACCGGTTTCCTATTGTTTGACGCCGCGGTGCTCCTATCTGCGCGCGCAGGTCGACGAGGCCGGCGCGAACACGCGCGCCGCCGAGCAGGCCCGCGACGAGGCCCGTGAGGCCGAGCACGCAGCGCGCGAGGAGGCCGTGAACCTCAACAGAAGACTGCAGGAGGCCATTGCTGCCAAAGAGCGCGCCGAAGTGGCCGCCAGCGAGGCGCGCGACGCAGCAGCGGCCACGCTGCGGGAGCAGCAGTCGTCCGCGGGCGCTCGGGGCCGCGACGACGAGATTGCGGCGCTGCGGAGCGAGGCGGAGGCGGCGCAACGCAGGTGTGACGAGTTGAGTGCGGAGGCTTCTGCGGCGCGGGATCGGGAGAGTGCGGCGCGCCGGGAGATGGACGAGATGAAGCGGGACGCGGAGGGGCGGCGGAGGCGGTTCGCGGTGATCCAGGAGACGTTTGGGGCGAAGGAGTCGAGTTTGAAGACTGAAATTGACGAGTTGAGCCAAGAGTGCGAGGCGGCGCGCGCCGCGGCCGTTGCGGCGGCCCGCGAGCGCGACGAGGCGCGTGGCGCGGTGGAGCAGCTGCGGGCCGACGTCGCCGAGCTGCGCAGCGCCCTCGCCCGCGCAGAAAAGGCCTCGGAAGATGACTCGGGGGGGGGAGTGAACGAAGCGCTCGCGGCGGCGCAGGCGGAGGCGGTGGCGCTGCGCGAGCGCGCGGCGGAGGCCCGGGAGCGCGTCGAGGAGGTCGAGGGGGAGCTGGAGCGCGCGATGGCGCGGTGCGGGGCGGCAGAGGAGGCAGTGCGTGCTTCGGGGGCGTTGCGGGGGGAGTGCGAGGGGCTGCGGGCGCGCGTGGCGCAGCTGGAGGCGGACAGCGTGGCGGCGGAGGCGCGGGCGGCGCAGCGGGAGCGCAATGCGGCGGACGCGGCGGCGGCGGCGGAGCGGCGGCGCTGGGAGGCCATGGGCGCTGTGCCGGGCGGGGGGGGTGTGGGCGGCACGGGCGGGGGCGCCCAGGACCCGGACGCGGTGGCGCGGATCAACGAGCTGTCGCGGCGGAACAAGGAACTCGCGTGGCAGGTCGCGATGCTGTCGGGCGGGGAGGTGGAGGCTGCGAAGCTGGGCAGGGGGGGAGTCAGGAGGACGCCCCCGGGGGTGGCCGCGCCGGCGCCGATGGTGGGCCCAGCGTGGTTGCCGCCTGCAGTGCGGCGCGTGCTGGGGCGGCCGGCGCTCGCGATGCGGTACGCCTTGGTCGCGTACGTTGCGGTGCTGCATGTGGCGCTGATGTGGCGCGGACACGGCGCGGGGCTGTGCAGGGAGATGCACGCGCCGCCGGGCCTCGATGTCGGGCGCGCGGTGGCATCGAACAGCACGGCGTGAGCACAAGGACGTGCATGGGGGCATTACGCACGCGGTGTTGCAGCAATGCTCTTGTCAGTCGGGACCTCGGGTCCGGGCGGCAACAGGCTGTTGGCGCCAACTGTTGGCGCCAATCGTGGGGCGCAAGGCGCCACGGGAGAGCCCGAGGCGGGAGAAGGACAACATTCAATCACATATCAAGGGCAGACAGCAGTCGCAATAGGCGGACCGTGGCCTCACGTACCCGCCGCGCGGCGTTGCCCTTGGGAACAGATCACGCGCATCCTCCCGCACAGGCACATCCATGTGACGCGCAGTCACGATGCTCCGGGCCCGCAGCCTACTCGTCCTCGGCGCCGCTCCGGCGCTTCGGGGGCACGATGGAGCCCGTCTTCTGCATGTGCCGCTGGAACCTCGTCTTTTTCGAGTTCGCGCGTTGGTCGGCCAACGCCGTCTTCTGCACCTGCGACTTGGGCGCCGCGCGCTCCTTCTCGGGCGCGGCCGCCTTCTTCTTCTCGCTCGTCAGCCGCGACAGGAGGTTCTTCAGACTTGGAGACTTGAGTCCAGGGTCCTTGGGCGAGCTCCCGCCCGCAGAGCTCTTGGCGCTCTTCCCGCGCTTGCCCGCTGCCGGCTCCGGCGACGCGTCGCCGTCCATCGGCAGCGCGATGCGCCGCAGGCTCGCGCCCGCCGCGGCGAACGTCGCCGGGCTCTGCCCGCCGGACGACGGCGCGCCCGCGTGCGGCGAGTCCTCGACGGCAAGCGCGCGGAACGACCCGATCTGCCGAGTGCGCCGCAGCGACGACGTGCGCCTGACGAGGTACTTCGAGCGCTGCGCGTCGTCCAGGAAGTCGTCGTCCACGATCTCGGAGCTCGCCGCCGACTCCGCGTCGCCCCCGTTGGACGCCATTGCCGACTCCATCTGCTTCAGCTGCTTCTCGCGCAACAGCAGGGCCTCCTCCTGCGCGTTCCACTGCTCCCTGAACGAGCCCTTCTTCGAGGACTTGCGCGACAGCGACCGCTGCGAAGTTGCTCCCCCGCGTGAGGCGGTGCGACCGAGGCGGCTGGTGGACCGCCCGAGGCCCCGCGACGACGTGCGGGTCTCGAGCGCGCGTCGCGAGCCTCCGTCTGCCGGCGAGGCCGCGCCGTTGCTGCGCGGGGGGCTGCGCCCGCGGCCGCCGCCGTCGTCTTCGTCGTCGTCGCTCGCGGACTTGACGGGGGGGAGTTTCTGGGGGGTTATTTCGCCGCCGCCGTTCAGGGCGTGCTGGGCGCTGTTGCCTCGCGAGAGCGGGCCTTGCGACGGGCTCTGCATGAACGACTCCGCGTTGCGGCTGCTCGCGCGCCGCGAGAGCTGTCCCATCTGCATGCGCTGCATGCGGCGGCTCCGCACCGCGCTGATCATCCGCTGCTCCGCCTCGTCGCCGCCCATCGTCGCCGCGCCCTCCAGCGCGCCGTCCTCCGCGTCCTTCGACGCTGCACACATCAACAAAGCCTGTAATTGAACCTCGCTGTTCGTTGCAAACATACACACACACGCGAAAGCGCGCGCGCGCGCGTCGCCGCCGCTCGTCTCGCGCCGCGCTCGCACCTTTCCGCGAAAAGAACTCCGCCTGCGCCTTCTCGTAGTCCTCCCCCCCCCAGTCATAGTCCTCCGCGCCGACTCCCCCCCCCCTCCCCACCTCCTCCGCGAAGCTCGACGCCTTCTCCGGCGCCCGGCCCCGCGGATCCGACGCCGTCGCGCCGAACCGCGACCGCGACGGCGCCCCCGCGCCCGACGACTTCGCCTTGCCGACTTGCGTAGCACTCGACGTAGCAGGCTGCCCATGTCTGATCATGTCGAGGCTGTTCCCGGACGCATCGACCGCCAGGTCCCCGCGGTGCGGCGCCGCGGACATCGCCCCGCGGCTGCTCCGCGCGTATCCCGAGCTCCCGCTGCCGTGGGCCCTGGCGCCGAGGGAGCGCGACGTGATGGCGCGCTTCGAGGGCACGTCGCCCGGCATGTCGAGGAGGACGTCGTTGAGGTCGTCGAGGACGTCTTCGTGCGCGGCGCGCGCCGCGGCGACGTAGGCCGCGACCTCGGCCTCCATGAGGGTGACTTTGCGCACGACTTCGCGCGAGCGCGTCTTCTTGGCTTCGACGTCGTCCTCCTGGAGGACGAGCATGAGGAGGTCCGCGATGTGCTCGTGCTTGATGTGGTCCACGAGGATGCGCACGAGGTGCCCGTGCGTGCCCTGCGCACATGACATGACACGACATGCTCAAGGTACATACATACAGTTCAAGACTACTTCTCGGCCCGGGGCAGCAGCAGCACGGCCAAGGAGGCGCGCTGCTCTGCTGCACGAGCAGAGCGCCGGCACCGAACCACGCAGCAGGAACAACGCCGTCGCGCCCGCACCTCTATGTGACCCATCAGCATGCACGCGTACGCGTGCGCCGCCTGCGTCGCCCACTCGAACGCCTCCCACAGGTCCTCCAGGTCCACCAGCAGCTCCTCAACCCTCCACAGCTGCTCCTCCAACGCCGCCGCCTCCTCCTCGAGTTGCAGCTCCTCCCAGTCGCCCATCTCGCTCGCCGCGCCGTCGTCCGACGCGTGCCGCGGCGGGTACGTCCACCCAGCCGTCGACTGCGCGCCGGACGACTGCACCGGCACATCGTCCTCCACGTCACCGTCAGACACCATCACGCGGTGACTGTTGAGCCGCTGCAGGCCCGGCCGGGCGCCCGCGTCCGCCCCGCCGCCGTCGGAGTCGTCCCGCGACGCCGCATCCTCCCTGCTGTCTTCTCTGACCACTTTCGGCCGCGTCGATTCCACCTTAGGCGTCGACACCCACTGTGCGTTGCTCCTGGGTAGCGTAGTCGCGGGGGTGTTCAGCGGAGCCGCCCCGCCGGACACCCGCGTCGCCGCGCGCGCCTGGTCCGCGCCGTCGGGCTTGTACGCCCCCGGAAGGAGGTTCCGTTGCGACTTGAGCTGACTGCGCATGCGCACCAGCATGCGCGCCCGCAGCATGACGGAGGGGTCCAGGCCGAGCGCGCGCAGCTCCTTGCCGTCGGTCTCCTCCATTTCCGCCGGCGGAGCGCCCTCGGCGACCGCCTGCGGCGTCGCCGGCGCCTCTGGATCGATGCGATGGCTCGTAAGACTCCGTTCGAGCTTTCCTTTTTCGCCCTCCTCTCGGGCGCTTCCGCCCGCGTCTGGCTCCCGCGCCGAGGCCGCAGACGACGCCGTCGCGCCCGACACGGCCGCCGAGGACGCGGCGCGCTGGAATTGCGACGGGGGGTTGTGTCCTGAGGCCGCGGGGGTGTCGTTCGCCCTCTTCGCCGCCGTATACAGCGTGAACGCCCGCTGCAGCACCGACGGACGGTTGCGCAGCGACGGGCCCTCCGCGCCAGCCCCGGGCGTCGCCGGCGCCGCGGGCGTCTCGGGCTCCTCCTCGCCAGCCAACCCAAGCAGAGCGGCCGCGCCCTGCCTCTGCCTGCTTCGCGGGACGAACCGCTGCCCCGCAACGACGCCCTTCACGGCCGCCTGCCAGCGGTTCTTGCCCGCGCCGCCCAGCGCCTTGAACACGGACGCGGCGGGCTTGGCGTCAGGGGGGGGGTCTCCGGGAATGGCGACGGACAAATTCTTGTGCGAGGCCCCGCGCTGGATCTGTTCCGGCGCGGCCGCGTCCTCGGCGGCTTCGTCGGCGCCCTGGGCGCGCGCCTCCTCCTCGCGGGCGCGCGCGAGCGACTTGAGGGCTTTCAGAGCAGGGGTTGGTTTGCCGTCGTGGGCCGCGGGGCCGCCCGAGGCCTCGGAGGCTGACGTGGCGTCGCTGGCGGGCTCCTTCAGCGTGATCATCTTCGTGTTGGTGCGCTCCAGCACGTCCTTGAAGTTCCTGCGGTGGTGGGAATCACGCCGCAGGGGCGGGTTAGCGCCCATGTTTCGGCCTATCTTGGCAGCCCCCGTCCACATATCAGGCCATATATATATGAGACCGCATCACCGCGCCGCAACGAAATGCGCATGTCCGACGCGCGGAAGAGACGGGCGTGGCCAGAAAGCGAACATAAGGGTCATAAGTGCCCCGCGCAACAATATATGGCATATGTGTACCTGGCAGGGAGCGACGACTTCAGGCGCTGCAGGCGCCGCGCGCGCTGCTCCGCTATGTCGTCCGCCCTGACGCGCTCCGCGCCGCGGTGCACCTCGACCGTCGACGCGAACCCCAGCGCCTGCCCGAGGGGGGCGCTGTTGTGCTCCGACCCCCCCGGGTCCTGCGCCGACTCCCCCTGCGCGTCCTGCGGCGAGCACGCCGCCGCGAGCGCCTCCTTCAGCCCAGACCCCGCCGGCGCCGTCTTGTTGAACGACGCCCTCGCCGTCAGCGGCCCGGGCGACAGCAGCGCGCGGCCGCTCGGCGTAGCCGCCTCGCCGCCCGCGCGCCCGTGCGACCCCGTGCGGACCCACCCGATCGGCGCAGCCCTCCCGCCGCCGCTCGACCCCGCCGTGTTCGTCACGCGCACGCGGCCCGTCCGCGACGACGCCCGCGGCTCCATCGACGTTCCTGTTGCGAACGACTCCCGCGCCGCGCCCGCGTCGGTGGAGTTCCGGCCCTCGACCGCCTCCCAGTGGACGGCGCGCGCAGCCATGCGCCGCTCGCGCTCGAGCCGCTCGGCCTCGCGCTCCTTCTGCCGCTGCTCGACCTCGGCCTGCCGGCGGCGCGCCTCCTGGGCGGCGCGGGCGCGCTCGGCGGCTTCGCGGCCCTCGCGCGCCGCGTTCTGGATGCGCGCGCGCATGCGCTCCTGCTCGAGGACGACCTCGCGCTCCTCGAAGGCCTCCTCGATGCCGTCGAGCGCGTCCAGCATCCCGTCGCGCTCGTGCTGCACACCAAACAGGGTCCATTTCGTTTTCTTTCATCAAATTAATACATTCATATATGTTTTTTCCATACAACATACAAGCAGTCGATCGAGGCAATAGGATCCGCCGCAGATGCACCCACACACACGCACGCCGCGCTCTCGCCGACACGTCAGCTGCAGCCACAGCATCGCGCCCACCACATTTCGGCACGGGGGGCTGCGCGGCTCGCCTGCAGGCGCACGATGCGCGCGTCGATCCGCTCGAGCGCCTCGTCGCACCCCTCGATGCAGAACCGCGTCTTCACGAGCGCCTGGTGGTGCCGCATGCCCTTCATCAGTTTCAGGTCCTTGTTCAGTTTCCGCCACCCGGCCTGGCCGCTCCGGTCGTCGAACACGTTCAGGACGGCCGTGAGGTCCTCCATCTCGTCGAGCACGAGCTCCGTGAGGTCGCGGTCCATGTCACGCAGTAGAGTCTCCTCCTCAGCACCCTTGTGTGCAAAGAGACCCCCTAGGTAGCCCTGCTCGCGGGTGCGCTTCTGCTCCTGGCCCGTAGCGCCCTGCGGGGAGAGGGCGCGAGCTGCGTCGCGTGCGGGGGCTGGCGGGGCGCGGAACGGCGCGGGGAAGGCAGATAGGACCAGAATGAGGGACGGGAGACCACGAAATACTGGTTGTGGTTCACGCCCGAGCGCTAACGACGACGGGGCGACGGCGGCGGCGCAGGCCGCGCGGGGACAGGCAACCGGCCGCCCCCGCCGGACACAACCACCTCGGCGCGCGCATGCCTTGCCGCCGGTGCGCGCTCTCAGCTGGGCCGTGCCACGAACACGCGCATCGCCAACGGCACGCTCTCTCCGGCCGCCTCCACACCAGTACCATATCACCATCACTATCATAGAGACAAGCAAACAAACAATTAGATATGTTTTCGATATGACGTTGCGCACCATGATGACTTGGTCCATCAGGCCCTTGATGCCCTTGATGTCCTGTCGCTTGTGCTCCTTCTCCACGTACATGCGCTGGGAGCCCGCGGCCTGCTGCGACGCGGCCTGCTGCACCTGCCGCGCGATGTCGTCCTCGTCGTACGACCCCTGCACACACGCACACACGCCGCAGCAACTTCGGGGGGTGTCACGAGCTTCAGGGGGGTGTTTTTCGGGTTCCCGCGACAGAGCGGGCGGGCGTGCGGCGCAGGCGGGCGTGCGCACCTCGCTGTCGCGGTCGTACTCGTCGCGGGAGCCGTAATGCTGCCGCCAGGAGCTGCCGGAGGGTCCCCGAGAGGGGCCAGGGTGGCTGCGGCTGTCGCGGCTGCTGTGCCGCGACGGTCCGCGCTGCTGGGTGGTGCGATAGGCGGCCGAGGGCCGCTCGTTGGACGGCATGCGCGAGGACGCGGGGCGTGTCTGGTGCGACGAGGAGGATGGGTGGTGGCCGTGCGCGCCCTCCTGGTCGCTGTGGTCCTCCGCGAGCGGCGGGAGCGAGTGCTTCTTCTTCGCAGGGCCGTCCTGCGCACGCGCCCTGCGAAATGGGGACCGGACACGGCACGAAAAGACGACACAGTTGAGTTGCTGATACCTCGAGCACGTCGTCAGTGCATTGGCCGGATCCGAAGACCTTGGCCAGGACCCTCGAGCGCCGACCCGCGTGCGCACGTGGGCGCGCGCGCGTCCCCGGCCAAGTCCCAAGCAGCACGAGCGAGGCAAAGAGCCTGGATCTCGACTTGTAGTTGAGACCACGCACCCTTGCGGCTGCTGCGGCCCCCCGCGAGCTCCATCGCCGTCGTCGTCCTCGTCCTCGCCGTCCGAGTACCTCCCCGTGCTCCTCGACGCCTGGAACGTCTTCCAGAAGCCGTATTCGGCCTCGCGGCGCTCCTCTGCGTCCTCCGCCGTGCGCTTCGTGGTCGTTCTGGTCCGCGTGAACGTCCTGCGGGCTCGAGAAGGGCGGAACCCGCCGGTCAGGTGCGTGTCCGCCCACCGGCATCGCGGGCCGATGCCCTACAGCCGCGGGCGACCGCGAACCGCAGTGGCGCACCGGGCTCGAGCGGCTAGCAGACAGGGGCGGCTGGCTGCGGCGCTGGCGCGCGGTGCGCGCGCGGTGCGATCGGCGCATGGCCCGTGGCCCCATCCGCCGCGAACTCCGCGGCGGAGCCGCGTCGTGGCCGCGTCAGCGATCCCCGCGAACGCTGTAGGTCCCAACAGCTGAATCGCGCGGCCTGCCGCGCATAGCGCGGCTCTCGCCTCCTCGCCCGCGCCACAGCTCGTCTCCGCGTATACAAAGGCGCGGCGCGCGGCGCGATGTCGCGGCAGGGGACTGGCGCGCGAGGGTCGGACGCACCTTGTGAAGGAGCGTTCTTCCTTCGCAGGCTCATTTTGCTTCTCTGGGGGGTCCTCTCGCTGCTCCGGCTTCTTCTTGCGGAGCTTGCCGAAGAGGCCCATCGTGCCGGCGGGCGCAGCGGCCCCTGGGCCCCTGCCGGCGCGGCTACCGACCTCAACAGCCCCGCGCTGCTTGCAGGCAATTAGAGCGCCGCATTCGGCACACCTGTGGCCGTGGATGCGCGCTGCGAACGGAACCTCGGTCCAGACGCAGGGCGCGGTGGAACGGACGGCGCTGCACCGGCCAAGGAAGCCAAGACGCCGGGAGAGCCATTTGCAAGACTCATGAGGACGCGAGTCCTCCCTTTCGCGCCCGCGCGGCCCCCGCAGCGTCACAACCGCCCCGTCGCGCGGCCATCGAGCTTACAATTCGTACCACCATGCTCCTGGCCTGGCCCTCGATCGCACGGGGCCGGGGCCGAGCCGCTGGCGGGGGGCCGCGTCTGCCGGCCTGCTGCATGTCGCCTCTCGGTCGCCCTGTCCGCGCGCCCAGGAGCGGGCGTGCGCGCCGGGCTGCGTCCGTGCGCGGCGTGCTGCCGCGCGGCGTACGCCAGTACGCCACGTGAGGCACCGAAACGAAAGAATGCTGGTGTTGGCTGGTGCCGGTAGTGGCGTGCCGACGCGCGTCGGTGCGGGCCGCGGCGGGCGCGCCGGCGCGCGGGGTGGACGTGGGCTGCGTTGGGAGAGGGTCGGGGTCGAAGCAGCAGCAGGTCGGCGTGCGATGCAAGGTGTGCGCCACAAGATATGATTTCTCGTCTTCCAGCGCGTCCGAGTCGATGTATCGTTTACAAGGGTCACTGCCGCGGCCGCGCGGCCGCTCGCGCGGCTCGGAGCGCGCACACCGCACCTCGCGGCGTCCCGCACACACGCACACACACACGCCTGCGCACAAGTTCGAGCGCCGCACCGCCCCGCCTCACTTGTCCTCCTTCACGCGCCCGAGGTACTCGTTGTTCTCCGTGTTGACCTTGATCAGCTCGCCCTCCTCGATGAACAGCGGCACATTGATCTGCGCGCCCGTCTCCAGCGTCGCGGGCTTGGACCCCCCCTGCGCGGTGTTGCCCTTGACGCCCGGGTCCGTCCGCTCCACCTTGAGCTCGAGCGTGAGCGGCACGTCCACGCTGAGCGACTTGCCCTGCCAGAACACGCACGTCACCTCGCTCCCCTCCTTGAGCCACTTGGCCCAACTGCCCGACGGAATGCGGACCTCCTCGAACGTCGCCATGTCCATGAAGACGTGCGTGTCGCCGTCGACGTACGTGAACTGCGGAGCCCGGCGCGGCGACGGCGCGTGAGCAAGCAAGCGAGCACACACGCACAGCGCGACGCGCTGGGAGGCTCGCGGGCGGCGCGCCCCGCGCCCCGCGCGGGCCGGAACGGGCGCGGCGCACCTGCACGTCCTTGCGCTCGATGTCCGCGAGCGTGACCGTCTCCCCCGCGCGGAACGTCCGCTCCACGGTGTTGCCAGTCAGGTAGGACTTTAGTTTGGAGCGCACGAACGCAGCGCCCTTCCCGGGCTTCACGTGCAGGAACTCGGTGATCTTGAACGGATTGCCGTCGACCTGCGGCGGCGGAGGCGCGGTCCGTGGCGTGTGGCGCAGCGGGGCGGCGCAGAGTGGGCTTGGGTGCCGGCGGTGTGTGTGCGCGAACGTGGAGTCGCACCTCGATGGACAGGCCGTTCTTGAAGTCGTTGGAGGTGCACGTGGCTGCGCGGATGACCAGCGCGCCCCTCCGGCGCTGCGCGACCTGCGGTGCGGGCGTGCGCGGGGGATGGGGCGAGGCTGTTGGGCACGCGCTGGTGGCACAGCTCAGGCGGTCGCACGGCGAGGTCGCGCGTTGACGCGCGGCTGGCGGTGGTGTGGATGATAGCGGAGGGGGTGAGCTGTGCGGGGGGAGGCTGTGTGGGTGGTGAACGCGTGCGAGGGGGGCGGTATGCGCATGACAGTGCGTCACTGAGTGACTGGTGGTTTTTGCACAATGGCGCAGCGAGCAGGGCTAGCTGGCTGGCCGCACTGCGAGGAATGAGTGTTGGTGTGGTTACGCGTGCGCGGCTGCTTCTCGCGACGCGTTTCGCGAATGACGCGCGAGCTGGAGGCAGGGAAACGGCCTGCAGCCGAAAAGCGACTTGCTATCAGATGGCGCGGAACGAGGGCTCAAGCGCGCGCCCGATACGATGGAAATAAACGTCTCGTGCGTTTCCGCTGGTCGGCTAGGCTCCGACGCGCCCGAACGAGCGCCATCGACAGCAACCTCTGTGGCCCAGGTCGTGGCTGGCATCGCCCAGCGCCGCCCCGACCATAACGGCAGCCCGCACGGCACCTCAGCCTTGCGACAGGCCGTCCCCAGCGATCGCGACCCACCAGCTGGCCGTCGGGCGCCACGCGTGCGCACAGGCCGCACCTGAGGGCGCGCCTGGGGGCGCAGGCACCACACCGCACCCTTCGCAAACATTTTCGCGGCCGCGCTCGGTCCGCCGGCAGGAGACAAAGCGTGGCGAGGCCGGCCGGCGCGGCGCAGGCATGATCCCCCCACTGCGGCGCAGCAAACGCACTTGCTGTGTCAGTGGTATGCGAAAGGTATGATGCGGCCGGAACGGTGATTGGGAGCCCGGGCGCGCGCTCCGCGGCAGTGCGCTGGGATCCCCGGGAGAGGACCATACGTTCTGGGCGCGAGGCACGGGTAGCTGACGCATGGGGGGAGTGTGAGCGTGCGGGGAGCGTTTACGAGGTGCAGGCGCGAGAAGGGCCTAGGCTGGGGGGAGTGGGAGCCGCGAAGGGCGGTGCGCGATGGCGAAGTCGGGATACGCCGAGGGGCTGCTCGCCCTCGTCGACAGTACGTTCCACGGCGCCTGTGTGGCACACGTCTGCTGCCGTGCTTCCCTCGTGGCTCCGGGGCGCGCTGGTCGGTGGCCCGCTGAGGCGAGGCTGGCGGCGCGTGCCGTCTCTGTTCACGGGAGATCCGTGCGGCGTGAAGGAGACCTCCTGACTCGCGCGCCTCCGCGCACACTCGCTGCGTTTGCGCTCCGTGAAGCCCCTCGGCCCTCCAGCGCTGCGTATGCGGGCCGGACGCACTCCTGATCCCATCGTAAAACTTCGTTCATTGTATGACCATCTCGGGGACGGAACGAAATCGCGTCGGTGCCGCACCAGGACGTCTCCTGAGGGGGCCCTTGCTCTCTCTCTTTCCTGCAGGGACGGTGTCCGTCATCACGAACGACGGCCGGAACCTCGTCGGTCTCCTGCGCGGCGTGGACCCGCTGACGAACCTCGTCCTCGCCAGCTGCCAGGAGCGGATATTCACCGAAGAGGCCGGCTGCGCCACAGCTGACCTAGGCCTGTACCTCGTCCGTGGAGACAACGTGTGCGTGCCCTCCCACGCCGCCGCGCGAGCTCGCTCCGCATTCTGCGCAGGAACGCGCGGCTGTCCGCGCGCAAACAGCAGCATGTCCTGCACTTGCAGTGTCCGCCGTTGACGTTGTCTCGCGCTGCGTCCGGCGCCGCACTGCGCAGGGCCGTGGTCGGGGAGCTCGACGAGGCGCAGCACGCGCAGCTGGACCTGTCGGACGTCAAGGCGCCGCCACTCAAACCAGTCGTCTTGTAGCGCAAAACCCACTTGTGGTGTTGCGCAACTGCCGTTGTAACACCTCGCTGCAGGCCCCCGTGAGGCTCAAGCCGCGACGTAAGAACCGCCTCGCGAGAACCGCGCCGCCGCCGGCGCGCCGACCAGAAAGCAGACCCGCCTCCCTGACGCAGCGGATCGGAACTCCCCCCCTTCTACCACGACCCCCCCACGCGCACCGCGGCGGGCCCGCGCGTCTCCGCCGCGCGCCAGCCCCGCTCTCGCGCACTCTCTCCGTCACGTGCGCCTGCGCGGCGTCCCGATCCAGTTGCCAAGCAGCAGCAGCCTTTTTCACAGCCTGTCGCGGATGGGTCTCCTCAGGCCGGTAGCGTCCGCGCTGGCGACGCTGTCGGGCCGCAGGCGAGCTCGCGGCGCGCGGTGCGGGGAGGAGGGGCGCGGCGTGGCCGCGCAGGACGAGCCGGAGAGGTGCGCGCGGGGATTGAGAGCTCTCGATCTCGAGTGAGCAGGGAGAGACTGTGTGGCCTGTCTGGGCGCCGCACGGCGCTACGATGCGGCCGCGTGGGCCGCGTTTCGTGAAGGTCTCGGCGGGGTCGCGGCGGGCGCGCGTGCATCGCCGGTGGCGGTGCGGCGTGCGCCCGGAACGCGGCGCAGTCGGGGCGGGTCACATCACGAATCCTCAACTGCGGAATCGCGCCTCAGACGGGGCCGGCGGGGAGCGCGGCGGCCCGTGGCTGTACCGGGATCCTCTCGCGCGAGCACGGCGTGCCCTATCTGCGCTGTTTGCAGGCAGTCGAGCTTTGATCGAGAGTCGGGAACAAGCACGACTTCGACTGATGCGTCCAGCGGCGAGGCGCTCGCGTCCGGCGGCGAAGCGCGCCAGAGCGAGATTTCGCTGCGGGACCTGCCCGCTCGCGGCCAGCGCGGCTCCGAAGAAGACACGGAAGCCGCGAAATTTCAGACGAAGAACAGTGACTGCTTGCGCAGTCCGCAACTCGAGTTCACGGAGCAGAACGCGCGCGCGTCGCACCGGCGCAAGGCGAGCTCCTCGAGCTACTGCTGCGCCACGGCGACGGTCCCGAGTTCCCCCGCGGCCGCCACACCCCCTCTCCACTCCCCCGCCGCGGCCAAAGCGCTGCCATCGACCGAGCAGGAGCCCGACGACGCCCCGGCGCGCGCACGCAGCGGCGCAGCCACACAGAAACCGCTTCGCCGGTCCCTGGAGAGCGCCGTCGGGCAGCCGCGACCGGCGCAGCTCGAAACAAGGGACGTGGAGCTTGTTGCGAGAATGATCGAAAGCGTCGCGAAGGGCGAACGCATGAGCCGCGCGGTGGCGTGCCTGACGCGGATGAGTGTGCTGAACCCGGCCGCCATCGCGTCCGCAAAGGCGCCGGGCCGCACGACGCTGCTGCACGCGGCAGCGGTGACGCCAGCGCCAGGGCACGGCGCGCTGCTGTCGGTGCTCGCGGTGGCCGCGGGCGTGGACCCCGCGGCGCGGAACGAGCAGGGCCGGACCGCGCTGATGCTTGCGGCGGCGCGGGGGAGCACGGCCGTCCTCAGGACGGCAATTGAGTCAGCGTCCTCTCCGTCTGACATAGTCATGGTGCGGGACGTGCGGGGCCGCACGGCGCTGCACTACGCCGCGGAGGGCCTTCATGCAGTGGCGATCGCCGTGCTTCGCGCCGCCGGGCACCCGACGACGGTGCTTGACGTCAGGGGGGTGTCCGCGCAGGACTTGCTGCGTCAGGCGGGGCTGAGGGCGGACTCCATCGACGAGCACAAGCGGGTGTGGGAGTGCATCCTCGCGCTCGACTACGGCGCGTGAGAGCCACGGCCGCGTGGCGCGCCAGGCGTCGCAACGACTCGGATCCTGTGTGCAGTCGGCGACTCTTGGGTTTGACGGGCCTGCGTCTGTGACTAACAGTGGAGCCCTCGCGGCGTCAGTGCGACGGCTGCGTACCGAACGCCAGTCTCAAACCACCGGCTCGGCAAGCGGTGCGCACCGTAGCGCGAGCGCGTCTGACGCGCTGAATCAGTCATGCTGATTGTCCAGCTCCGCGCGCGGGTGCTGCCAGAAGTTGGCCAGCTCTGTTTCCAGCGCAGAGCCCAAGCCGCCTTCCGTGGATATTTCAGAAAAGACCTTTGCGGCGCGCAGGAGATGTGCACGCTCCGCAGCACGCAACTTGCCCGCCACCTGCATAGACGAGAGCGGCGCGGGATCGCGTGCGCAGCGCCGCACGTGCAAGGACGACGAAGCACTTCCCGCTCGTTGACAGCCATGCAACGCTGGTTGGTTGGTTGTTGTTGACGCGCACCTGTGCCCTAACACCGTCCCACCCTCCATCGCCAGCAGCGCCGCGCACGCCCTCCAGCTGCTCGAGCCGGCGCACGCAGGCGCGCTCCAAGGCGGCCGCGGCCCCGAGAACGGCACCCCTCCCTCCAGGCGGCTGCGGGCGCACCAGCGGCGCCCTCCATGTCTGGACAGCAATCATGAACTTCCGCAGGGCCCGCGGCTCCGACTGCACGAGCCGCGCCGCCTCCAGGGCTGCCGCGACGCTCGCCGTGTCCCCACGCGGCCTGACCCATAGCCACCCGCTGCGAAATATGATTCCTTGATTGATCAGGAACTCGATCAGATCCCACTGCGGCCGAGCCCCGGCGCCGCGCCGTCCCGCGCACTCCCCTCCACCGTGACTGCACCTACTCCGCGCCTCGTCCGCGCCCTTCCCAGCGGTAGGCTCGGACGCGGCGAACAGGTTGGCGATGTGGAGCTCTGCGGCGTCGTGCGGGTTCGCCCTGGGCTCCGCAAAGCCGTAGCACCGCAGGAGCTCGCTGTTCGGCAGGTCGCCGTACGAGTTGATCACCTCCTCACCCTTCGCGATGTCTCGTTTCGCAATCATACGAAGGCGACCCTTGGAGGCCGAGTGATGCAAGCGGACGTTCACGCGGCCCGTGACGTGGTTCAGCGCGTCCCAGTACGGCACGAGCGCCTGGAACCTGTCGGCGCCGAGGACGAATCCGTATCCAGACACGATGGACAGTGCTTTGAAGAACGCATCACGGCTGTCAGGGGACCTGGGGAGGCCGCAGCGGTCGCCGACGGCGTCCAGAAACGGGCGCACGAGCTCGTCGTACATCCGGGCCGCTCCCGACGGCGGCGCGACGCACAGAGACGGCCCCGCGTCAGCTTCAGGGGGGGGGATAAGCTCCGGGCGTGCGCGGCCCTCCAGACGCTCGAGCAGGGCCGTCCCGGCGAGACCGCCCAGCTCTGCGCCCATCAAAACGACCGCGCGGTGCCCTCGTGCTTCGCGTTCGCAGCCAGACAAGACACTCCCCCCCGGAGTGTCCCAGAACAACATGCGTCAGGCCAGCGGCCCACTCCCGGGCCACGACGCACCTCGCTCGGACCACAGCAGCGGACAGTCCGGGACCGACTCCGGCAGGTACCTCACGTACCCGCTCCACCGCGAGCCCCCCCCGCTCAACACTGCGGAGCGCTCCGCCATCAGCGCCAACGTCAGGCCAGCCACCTCCGCGTCGAACCCCGCCCCGCCCTGCACGTCGCGTCGCAGAGCAGTACGCGTCTCGTGAGCACGCGGCGCGCCGGGCGGACCCACGCGCAGCCAGGCCACGCAATGAGCGATACAGTGCTGAGTCAGTCTTGGCCCAGGGGGGTCGTTCTTGCGCGTGTGCGTTGTTCCGGGTCCAAGCAGGTGCCAGGTGGGACGGTCTGGTGCTAGAGGACGCAGCGAGGGGGCGCGTGCCTCGGAGGGATGGCACAGCCCATGTTGGACTAGGTGCTTGGCGATGCGAGACGAGTGCGGCATGAGGACCATGTCGTCCGGCGTGTCCACGACGACCTCTCCCTTTCTGCGGGCGACACGCGGTGCCGAGAGCCCAGTGAGAGTCTGTCAGTATCGCAGAAGAGGTGTGGGGTCTTGTTCTTGTTCAAATTATAGTCTTGCCTGATGTCCTGCGTTGCTACAGCGCTTCTCCCTCGCGCGGTCGTCGTGATGCGGCACTTGCGGGCGCGGACGTCGCTCTGTTCCATCCACGCGGCCATGCCTCCCTGCCCATCGTCCACGTCTTGTCCGAAGTCACGTCTCCGCGCAGCCGTACAACCAAGCAGCGAGATGTCTGAGCCACCTCCGTGCTCCTGAGGTCGCTTCCGCTTTCCCGTCCCCGCCTCATCGCCGCGGCGGGGCGCCTGAGGACAGCGCGCGCCCCCGCGAGACACAGCTGGGCCGTGCAACTGCGACGAAATGACGACGAAAAAAGGAACTAATTCGCGACGAACAAGATATCAGCAATCAAGAGGACGCGACCGCGGCGCGTGAGCTTGCAATAAATCCACGTGCGGCGCCGGATCGCTCACGTTTGGCACTCTACGGCGCTCCTTCCTCCCCACCATGCTGTCGCGTGACTAGCTCGACATTTCCGGCCCCGGAGCGGGCGTCTCGCGTCTATTTACTGCCGTGTGCCTGCTTGCGCGGTGGCGCAACTCCGTTTGGAGCCCGTCTCGGGCCGCCACGGCCTCCATATGTCTCGACGTGCCAGTCCCGGGGCCGTAGCTAGCCTAGCGCCATTCTTCCGCAACGCGTGCCTCGAGACAGCCGCGAACGCCGCGCGGGGAGCGCCTCGAAGGCGCCAGCCACTGACTGTCAGACATGACGATTGCTCTTCTAGTTCTACTGACACCTATGTACTACTCCTACGGGCCTCCGCGGCCTTCTTGCGCCCCTCCGCGCCAGCGCGGCCGCACTCTCAGACCAGCCGTGCGTCTCAGCCGATCGGGGCCCCGAGCAACCCCAGACATGCTGCAGGTGAGCGGTCAGCAGTCCTCAGTGCCTATTCGTTTTCCACGCGGTGTGTCTGCCGCGAAACGCACGATCTAGCGCGAAATTCACGCCGTCCGCCTTTTCGTGACGAAGTTTCGCCGAGATAATCATGCACACGGTACATTCGTCGCGTCTGTCACGCGTGCGAGCCCGCGGACGGTTCGCCTGGCTAGAGCGTCACGGAATCGCCGCCAGGCCACGCGACCCCCGACCCCGCACCATCCTCCCCCCCCCCCGCACCCTTCAGGTTCCTGAGAGCCCGTTCGCGGCCAGAAGGGCCGCGGCGGCGGCGCGCGACAGCCGGAGGATCGACTGCGGCGACGCCAAGTCGGATGTCGCGCACTGCCCGGCCTGTGCCTCCGCGTACGACCTCGACACGCACACCCCGAAGCGTCTGCCCTGCGGATGCACCTGCTGCGGCGCGTGTCTCGACGACCTCCTCATTCTGTCGACCGAAAATGGGCCAGATACCAAGTCATGTTGTCCGACCTGCACGCGCCCCTTCGAGGCGCTCTACCACTTCGCCGACGCGCTCCCGGACGACCGCTTCATCTGCAACGCCCTCCGCCGCCTCGCCAAGGGGTCCCCGGACTCCCCCGACTACCTGACACCCCCTCTGGGCAACAGCCCACGGCGCACACCCCTCCCGTCGGCACTGGGCGTCGCGCTGCGCGCGCGGCACCTCGTCGAGCTCCTCGCGCACTCCACGCGCGACAAGGACCGCGCGCTCGCCGCGGAGCGCGTCAAAGCGCTCATGGAGGCCGGCGGCGAGAATCACGACGCGGAGACCGGGCCGCGCACGGACGTGGACCGGCGCGCGATCGCGCACAACGAGGGCGTCGCGTACGCGCTGTCTGTCGCGATCGGGCTCGCGAAGGCCGACCGCGCTCTCTTCGTCCTGGCGGCGGCCGCGGCGTCGTTTCTGCGGGGCACCGGCGAGGCCGCAGAGGCGCGGCGGTGCGAGGCCGCGCGGCGCGGGCTCGCCGGGAACGTCGCGCGCGCGCTGTACATCGCGAAGACCGACGCCACGCGCGGCAAGCTCGGCGACGTCGCGCGCCGCCTCCTCGCCGGCGGCGAGCAGGCGGAGCCGCGGCGCAGGACCGCGATCGAGGACGGGCTCCCAAAGGCGCTGGCGTACGCGCTGGGCGAGACGAGCAGCGACGTCGCGGCGGCGCTCATCGCCGGCGCGGCGGGCCTCGTTGTCGGCGGCACGGGCGAGGCCGCAGCTGCCGTAGTCATGGCGCTGTGTCATGCCCTGGCGGAGTGCCTGCGGCGCGCGGGCGCGGACGGCGTGCGGCGGATGGCCGCGATCTCGCTGTACTTGGTCGTGCGGGAGCGCCGCGCGTGGCGCGGCGGGCGCGACGCGGCGGTCGCGGAGGTCCTGCCTGACGTGGTCGAGGCGGTGCACAAGGTGCGGAGCCAGGAGGCGCTCGCGACGCTGGTGGACGTCGTGGGGGAGCTGACGGCGGCGTCGGCGTCGATGCTCGGCGAGGCGATGGGTCCGGCGACGCGCGACGCGGTGCGGCGGCTGCGGCGCGAGGGGAGGCTGCGCGGAAAGTACAGTCGCGATCTGTCGATCGTTGTTGACGCGGAAGCCGGAGCGGAGCCGGAGGACGTGCGCGACGCGGACCGGTCGCCGCCGCCCGAGGACGAGCTGCAGACGATGAAGCGCAGGTTCGGTCCGGCGTGGATCCGGGTGTCGGAGACAGCGGAGCAACAAGTTGACAGCATGGCGGACGACTCGCCGGACGCGACGATGCACGGCGCGGAGGCGACGTCGCTGCACTACGACGCCTGCGAGGGCGCGCTCGGCGCGCCGGCTCCGGCGTCCGCGAAGGAGCTCGTCGAGTTGCTGGACGCGAGCATGCAACGCAACCTTGCGGGGCTGGCGCCGGGGTGCCGCTTTCGGTTCTAGGCCGAGGAGCGGCAGGAGCTGGTTGCGTACGGGCTGAGCGGACTTGTGATTCTTGGTCGCGCGGATTGCGGCCGTGAGAGACGAGGTGTTGAGGGATGTGATGTGCTGTCGTGGGTCGCTCTGGGTGTGTTGCGGCCTCCGTGCGCGCTGCGTGTCGGATGCTGACGAGTAGAGTAGCGCTGGCGCCGCGCGGCCGCCCCGGTCGGGACGCGACGGGTCCGGCAAGCTCACAGCAGGGTGCGTCTGTCATCACTTGGCGCCAGCGAGGCGCTCGAGGTCCGCCACGGCAGGAATCACAGTGTGCAAGCGCCTGAGCGAACTGAGCGTCATTCTCGGCATCAGAACCGCCCCCAACCCCGGCCCCACGACTGCCACGCCATCACGCAGCTGCTTCCCGCCAACACCGCCTCGCGAGGCCTGGTCGGTCGAGCGGCTCGAACGAGTATCGCCGAGTGCTCTCGCAGCCCTGCGCCGCTGCGTGGCCGCCGAGCGGCAATACAGCGCCTAGCCGTCCCTGCTGCTAGGGGGGACTAAACATCTTCTGATGCGTCTCTAGGGACCCCAGCGCCCCCCTCGAGGCTCAAGGCCGGCGCGAGCGAGCCCGGCTGGACACTCCCGTACAACAGCGACCCGTTGGAACCAGTTCCAGGTCTTGTCGCGTCCTTGGCAGCGAGCACGCGGGCAACAGGGGAGGTGGTCCACCCTAATGGGTGCCGCGGCGCTCAATTCGTCGCGGCCCGGTTAGCACGGCGCGAGCCCGACACGCTCAACATGGTCTGAAAGCCGCGACGCCATGGGGGTGCGCCGCCCCGCCCGCCTCGCGCTACTGCGGCCGCGCTCTGCCATGAGCACGTACCGCTGCCCGGCTGCGCCCCGCGCACGCCGCCCCTCACCGCTGCCGACCTACCCAGATCACGCCCACCCTCGAGCGCCCAACCCCCTCGGCCCTCCCCGCTCGTGTCGCGCCTGCGCCGCAGGACAGAGCCAGCGCCAACGAAATCGCGCGGTACGACGATGAGTGTCCGATCTGCATGGAGCCCTTCTCGGCCGCGCGCGCGCGCATCTGCTTCGGGCCCTGCGGGCACGGCTATTGCCGGGGCTGCATTGACCGCCACCAGGAATTCAAGATCGACAGAGACGAAGCTGTGGAGTGTCCTACTTGTCGGGGGCCGATGGACCAGTCGTTGCGGCGCCAGGGCACGCACAGCGACGCGCGGAAGCTCGCCGCGATGATCTTCAAGCTCGGCCACTCGGACCGCACCACGCGCCGCGTCCACGCGCTGCAACTTGCCGCCTTTCTGACGCACTGCAGCCCGCGCCGGCTGGACAAGGCGTCGGAAATGGGCGCCGCGGACGTGCTGGCGCAGGAGATATGGCTCGCGCCGAACGACGACGCCCTGGCCGCGCTCGGGCTCGCGGCCACGCGCCTGTTGGCCGGCGGTGGCGACGTGGGCGGGCGGCGCGACCGCGCGGCGTCGGTCGGGCTGATGATCGCGCTCGCGGACGGGCTGCGGCGCGCCCGCGACGACGTGACGATCCGCTGCCTCGCGCTCTCGACGTCCGCGATCCTGGAGGGCGAGGGCCGCCTACGCGCGCGCCGCATGCTGGCCGCCGACCACGGCGTGTCGGGCGGCATCGCGGTGGCGCTGCAGCACGCGCAGTCGGAGGAGACGCGCATGATCCTTGCGTGGGCGGCCAAGTTCCTGGTCTCGTCGCTGTCAGCGCGCGAGGGCCTGGACGCTGACCTCCCGTCCGTCGACGGCGCGGAACACCCCCGGGGCCTCGCGCGGTCGGCGTTCCATGCGGTGCTCGCGTGGCTGCACTCCGCGCCCGTCCGACTCGCGATGAACTCGGCGACCGTCGCCGCGTTCGCGGAGTTTGGGGCGCGGGGCGAGCCCGGCGATACGGGGCTGTCGAAACACGCGCTGGCCCTGGCTGTTGTGTTCGGGTGCGCCCCCGCTCCATCGCACCGTCGCTGTTCGCTCGCGTTCGTCGTGCGAGGGCTCTGTGCGCGACGACATGGTGTCGAGCTGCCGCCGTGTATACATCACCCTCCCGGCTTCGTGCGCCGTGGCCGCGCAGGTTCGCCCGCAACGACCTGTACAACGACAGCCTCCTGTTCACACTCTTCATGTTCACGAAAGCGCCGCTCTTCATGTGGCTCACCGAGGGCGGCGGCGAGCGCGCCCACCTCCTGCGGCAGTGGTGGCGCCCCCTCACGCCGCTCCTCGCGCTCACGAGCCTCCGCTACCGCAACTCCGGCGGCATGTACGAGGCCATCAAGTGGGCGGGCGTCGGCGCGTTCGTCACGGACATTCTGCGCGGAGTCGGCGAGCGCACGTTTCGCGCATTCGGAAGCGGGCAGGCGTACCAGCGCGACGACGCGGCGCGGCGACAGCTCGGGCAAGCGCTCGCGAGCGCGTTGCGGGAGGCGCAGTCAGACCAGGCGCGCACGGCGCTTGCGCTGGCCATTGCCGGTTTACTGGGACAGGGCGGCGACGAGGGGCGGCGGCGCGACGAGCTGTGGCGCGCGGGGGCCGGCGAGGCGCTCGCGGTGGCGCTGCGGGCGGCGGGGACGGAGACGGCGGTGGCGGCGATCGGTTCCGCGGTGGCCGCGCTGCTGAGCAACGGCGGGGAGGCGGGGGCGCGGCGCGACGGCGCGATGGGTCTCGCGGGGCTGCTCGGGGACGTCCTGCGCGGGGCCGAGTCCGAGACGGTCCGGTGCTACGTGGCGTGCGCGGCGCGGGCCCTCGTCGGCAACGGCGGCAACGCAGCGTTCCGGCGGACGGTGGCGGCCTGGGCGCTGGCGGCGCCGGTGTGCGAGGCGCTCTCGGACACGACGTGCGACGAGACGCGCGTCATCCTCGCGGAGACGCTCCAGGCGCTGCTGGCGCCGGGCGGTGGCACGGTCCTGGAGGGCGAGCGGCGCGACGCTGTCGCGGCTGCCGGCGGGGTCGACGCGCTGGTCGAGGCCCTGCGCGAGGCCGGGCCGGGGCGCGTGCGCCGCGCGCTCGCGTGCGCGGCGGGCAACCTGATGCGCGAGGGCGGCGCCATGGAGCAGCGACACGTCAGCGCCATGACGGCATCGCGCGGCGCTCCGCGGACGTCGCTGCTGCACGTGCTGGACATGACGCGCGCCGTCGCGGAGCACGAGGGCGACACGGAGACGGCGAACACGGCGGCGTGGGCGGTGTGGATGACGCGCGGGCGGCCGCTGCTGCGCGGACGCCAGCCGTGGGAGCGCTCGCGGTGGAAGGGGGCGCTGGCGGGCGCGGCGGTGGCGGTGACGGCAGTGCTGCCGCACCTCCGCGTGTAGGCGTCGCGAGGAGGGGGGGGAGTCTGCGCGGTGGATCGGGGGGCGTTCGGGAGCTTGCGTCGCTGTGTTGTGCCTCTCTCGAGCGCCCGTCTGGCCGCGTAGGTCGTAGATGGAGAGGGGGCGTCGAAGGGTGTATTTTTGACCTCGCGTGAGCACGGCTGTAGCCTGCCGGCTGCGCCAGTGTAACAGTCTGCGCTGTTGTACCTCAGGGGGTTGGTTGGTCGGCGCTTACGGCCACGGTGCGCTCGGGGGACGACACCAGGGCGGAGTCCGCGGCGCTCGCGTGCAGGCTGTTGATGTCTGCCCATCGACGCCGCGTTTGTCGCGGCCACCTCGGCTGCATACGTTCATGAGTGCATGCGGGTATGATGACATCGCGCTGGACAGGGCGCGTCACTGACGCGGGAGACAGCGCATCATTCATTCACGGACGACGAAGCGTCCGTCTCCGCGGCCGCGCAGGTGACGAGCGCGTGCTGGTTTTCGCGGGTTCGGGCGGACGCTGTCGACCTATGACAGCGGGCAGCGTGGCAGTCGAGGATCGCCGAATGGCAGCGCACCCCGCGGTGCATCATCAGGACATCCCTCATCAGAGCAGGGGCGTCCGTCCCGCGGGCCCCACAGGCCTCCTTGGCACCGCAAGGCCACGGTGCCGCGCACTTCCTGCGCCCTTGGCACAACGCAGTCGCACTCGCACACGTCACGCACGCTCGCACGACGCCATCCGACCTCCCGGGCGAGCGTCCTCTCATAGCATCACTGCCGCGTTCCCCGCGACCCAGGCGCGCTGACGGTAACCATCCCCGCCCTGCGCGACGTACCACACTTCTGCAACCACACAGCGCCTCCACGCGTGTCGATCGTGCGCGTTGCGGCCCGAATCCCGCCTCGTAGGGTGCCGCGGCTCTCGCCACCGTTTCGTCCGCCGTCCGCGCGGCCCCCGCGGCGCCCCGCGGCCCGGGCCGCCACGCCCGGCTCCGTGCATACCCTGCGCCGCCATCGCACCGCCGCGGCTCGCCCGGAACGCGCCACACGTGGGAGGCTCCGCCTCACGTGCCGGCTAGCTACTGGCATGAGACGGCCTTGACCCCCCGCTCTGCGTGCAGACCAGCCCTCGCGCACGCTCTCGTCGCAATGGAGCGCGCGAACTCCGCCCGTGCGGGCGAGTGCGACATCTGTCTCGAGCAGATCACGGCGCCCGGCACGGTGAAGGCGCCCATGGAGATTGGCCCTTGTCAACATGTCTTCTGCGCGCCGTGCGTGGACGCGCTGATGCAGACGCGTCGCGGGGCGCGCGAGGCCGCGGTGTGCCCCACGTGCCGCGGCCCCGTCCACGTGGAGCTCGTGCTGCCCGGGCCAACGGAGGGGGAGTCTGGAGGGGGGGAGTCGTCGCGCGACGAGGGCGCCGGCGTGGCGCGGCTGGTGGGGCAGCTGCGCGCGGCGACGGGCGACGGGCAGAGGGAGGAGCTGGGGAACGCGCTCGCGAGCTACCTGGCCGGGGGCTTCTTCCAGCGGCAGATGATGGCTGCGGTGAGTTATCCTCTTCTCATTCTTTTCAGATACGTTTCCGTGTCTGGTTTTCTCACCCTTCCTGATCATCTTGCCCGCGCCGCCTCGACATGCTCTATCGCGCCGCTAGCCTCGGCACTCAGCCCCGAAACACGAATGTCGCGACTGCTGCCATCTTTGTTCCCACACCTGCGCACCCACTCCTGTTTCGCGCGTGTCGTGCCACGTAGACCCGCCCCCTGCGCCTGCCCCCGCCCCTGCAGGACGCCGGCGCGTGCTCCGCCCTCGCCGCCGCCCTCTCTGCCTCCTCCTCCGACGCTGCCATCTGCGCTCTCGGCACTGCCGTCGACATGCTCCTGGCAGGCGACGACTCAGGAGCCCACGCCCGCCGCAACCGCGCCCTGCGCGAAGGCGTCCACGAGGCCGTCGCGGCCGCGCTCGGCGCCACGCGCTCCGACAACGTGCGCATCTGCCTGTCCGGCGCAGCGGCGTCGCTCGTGCACAGCGCGCACGGCGCCGTGACCGTTCCGCGGCGCCAGGGCGGGCTCTTCAGCTTCCTGATCTGCGGCGGCGGCGGCGCGCCGACCGACGCCGAGAGCGGCATGGGCGAGGGCGCGTGGCGCGACGGCGCGGTCGCGGCGGGCATGGTGCAGGCGCTGCACGCTGCGGCGGCCACCGCCGCCACCGAGCCCGCGTGCGCGGCCGCGGCGGCCGCGATCGCGAATGTCACGGCGCGCGGCGGCAGGGAGGGCGAGCGCCGCGACGCCTTTAACAAGATTGGTACGACAGAAGTGCTGTGCAAGGCGCTCCTGAACTGCACGACCGACAGCTCGCGCATCGCGATCGGCGGGGCGCTGCGGAACATCCTCGGGCCCGCGGGCAAGGCCGGGTCGCGCCGCGACGCCGCGCACCGCGCGCAGGCGCAGCGCGCCATCCGCCGGCAGCTGCGGCGGTCCGCCGGCGAGCCCGCGTGGCGCGCGCTGGCGTCCGCGGCGCAGAACCTGATGCACCCGGGCGGGGCGCGGTACGAGCGGATCGAGTACGGGCAGGAGCAGGAGCTTGACATGGCGCTGGAGGAGTGTCTCGTGCGCGCGGTCGAGAAGTCGACGCAGCGGGCGCTGGGCGGCGGGCTCGTGCTGATGCGCATGACGGGCACGGTGGAGAACGAGATCGAGAGGGTGCGCGTGCGGGCGATCGCGCAGGAGGAGCGCGACGCGCGCGCGCAGGCGCAGTCGGCTGTGTGAGACGGCGGGAGGGACGCGGGGGGGGGTCTCGCACCTGAACGGGTAGACCGGTTCGCGCGGCGTCGAGGCTGTAGCCGTGGTGCATGCAGCGATCTCGGGCATCGGAGCAAGGTGCACGGCTCGTGATGTGATGCCATGCGATCGTCGTAAGCGGATCCCGACGCGGCGCCGGGGCATTGGAAGTCCCGCAGAGGCATTTCGCCGCGTGTGCGGATCCGTCTCGGCGGCTGCCGTCCTGCGGCTGCGGTCTGACTTGTGTGGAGTGGTGTCAGTCGGGCTGGAGGGACGGGTCGGGCTCGCCGCGAGTCGCTGGCGCGACGAAGGGCCGCGGGGGCGCGCGGTGCGTCAGAGCGGGCCGGAAACAGAGCTGTGGCAGCTGAGCGGACGATCGACGAGCTGTTCGTAGCACACGCAGCTTCGTAGCCTCGCCACCGCGTTGCGTTCGCGGCGAACGAGCCTCACCTCGTCGAATTCGTTCACATTGATCTAGAAGATTGAGAAACGGAAGGGCCGCGCGATGTACGCGCGGGGCTGAAGCCCCTAGCACGTCTTAGCCTGAGCGTCTGAACCATAGCAGGCACCTAGGGACAATGGAGACTCCAGGCGAATATATAAAGCTCCAGCCAAAGCGGTACCCCGCGCGTGCGATCCGCGAGACCGCAGGTGGGTCGCTCCACGCCCTGCGCCCCCGGCACGTCCTCGGCGGCACCGGCGGCTGCAAGCACCGCCCGTAGCGCGCTCCCTCGCGCTGACGAGGCGCCGCGCGTGCGCGCACGTCCGGTCATCCGCCTCCATCCGCGCGAACGAGCGGTCCGGTGTCGACACGCGCGCTGCGCCCCCGGACGAGCTGCCGCGAGCGGGTTGGCGCCCGCCGTGTGGTCTCTTCACAGCGGCTGATGCAGCGGCTTCGCGATGCGCGGACGCATCATAGTGCTCAGAGTCGTTCCGCGGACATGGATTCACGCGCAATGCTTGACATGATCGCCCATTCGCCCTGTGAGCATCCCTGGTGCGGTCCGGCGCGCAGAGGGGCGGTACTGGCGGAAATTCGCGACGCCCGTGGTGCACAAGGAGTTCGGAGCGGTCTCGGACATCGACTTCTGTCCCCAGGCCCCGCACCTGTTCGCCGTCACCGCCGGCGTGCGCGTGCTGGTGTACTCCCCACGCACCGCAGCCCCCGTTCGGCAGTTCACGCGCTTCCAGGACACGGCGTACAGGCGCGCCCCTCCTCCCTTGCCGCCACCGCCCCCGTCCGGCCGAGACATGGCTGCCAGAAGGCGACCTTGCTACACGAGCGTGCATGCTTGGTAACGCGGCTCCGGAGCTCCGTTCCGCTCCGTTCCGCTCCGTTCCGTTCGCGCCGCGACGCTCGCGCTCCGCGCCGCCCGCGCTGTCGAAGCGCTGCTCGTCGGCGCCTCGTCCGCGGGCGAGAAGCAGCCTTCCGGGCCAGCGGCGCAAGACACGAATTTCCCTTCTGGCGCCCCGACGTTCGCGCAGTGGCAAATTCCGCGATGACGGCAAGCTCCTCGTCGCGGGCGGCGAGCAGGGCGTCGTGCAGCTCATGGACGCGGCGTCCCGCTCCGTCCTGCGGCAATTCAAGGGCCACCGCCGCGCGGTGCACTGCACGCGGTTCTCGCCCGACCGCCTCAAGGTGCTATCGGCGAGCGACGACGTGACGGTGCGGCTGTGGGACATCACCGAGGGCGCGCAGGTGTGCCGGCTCGACGGGCACGGCGACTACGTGCGCGCGGCGGAGGTGCGGCCTGGCGACGACAGTATGTGGGCCTCGGGCGCGTACGACCACACCGTCCGCCTGTGGGACGTGCGCAGCCGGGAGTGCACGCTGAACGTCGACCACGGTGCGCGCCCGCCTCGGCACTCATTGCTCGCGGTCATCAAACATGCAACCATATCTCTTGTTGCGTCTGTCTCTTGATTGTCTTGTGCGGCGCTGACGCGCCGGCGTGGCGTCCCGCGTGCAGGGGCCCCCGTCGAGGCGCTCGCGTGGCTCCCCGGCGGCGCGATCCTCGCGTCCGCGGGCGGCAACGCGGTGTGTTTGTGGGACGTCCTCGGCGGCGGACGCTTGCTCAAACGCCTCGCCAACCACCAGAAGACGGTCTCCTCGCTCTGTCTGGTGCCCGGCGCGGGTCCGGACAGCAACACGGGCCCGCGGCTGCTCTCCGGCAGCCTGGACGGCCACGTCAAGGTGTTCGAGCTCGACACTTTCAAAGTGACCCATGCCATGAGGTTCCCCGCACCCGTGACGGCGGTCGGCGCGGCGCCGGGCGCGTCGACGCTCGCGGTCGGGATGGCGGACGGGACGCTGTGCATCAAGCCGCGCATCAGGGTGCCGAAGCCCGGCGAGCTGCCGCCCGCGGCGCCGCGCGGACGCAGCGCGCCGCCGGAGCGGCCCGGGGGCGCTCAGCGCCTGACGGCGGGGAATTTTCGCTTCTTCATTCGCGGGCAGAGCGAGAAGGCCGGCGAGGACGACTTCCGCGTCGCGGCGCAGCGCCGCGCGCGGCTGTCGTCCTTCGACCGCCTTCTGCGGCGGTTCCGGCATCGCGAGGCGCTGACGGCGGCGCTGCAGGGCGGGCGGCCGGAGACGGTGGCCGCGGTGCTGGACGAGCTCTCCCGCCGCGGGGCGCTCGGCGCCGCGATCGCCGGGCGCGACGCGGACGCGCTGCTTCCGCTCGTCAACTTTTTGGCGCGCCACGTGGCGGACCCGCGGCACACGCGGACGCTGGGGCAGGTGGCGGCGCGGGTGCTCGAGGTGTACGCGCCCGTGCTGGGGCAGAGCGCGGAGGTGGACGCGGCGGTGCGGAAGCTGAGGGAGGGGGTGCTGCGGGAGGTGCGCGTGCAGGAGGACCTGTGCGTGGTGCAGGGGATCCTGGAGCCGCTGCTGGCGGCGTCGGCGGCGCAGGGGTGACGCGTGTGACGCTTGCGCGGAGAAGCGGGACCGAGCCAACTTGCATCGAAGGTTCCCATCTGGTTTTTACTTTTACTTCTAATTAAAAGTGTTTTGTTTTTATTTTATTTTGTTGTGTTTGGGTAGAGGGGGAAAGCAGCGCTCGTGTCTTGCTGCGTGCATCGTCGCGGACCGCGCACGTGGCCGTGCTCGTGGGCGGCAGCGCGGGCGCCGAGTCACTCGCGGCGACTGGCGCGCACACAGTGGCAGGAGCGGCGCAACGGTGGGTTCATCTTGGCGTCCGGCCGCGGCGTTCGCGACGCGCTATGTTACATTACGCTATGGCGTAGCGGAGCAGCTGCGCAGCCAGCGCGACGACGGCGGCCGCCACGGCGCCGCCCACCACAGCCTGTCGCGCCGGCAGACCTCGCAGCTCATCCATCCACGAGCCCGAGCCGTTGACGATGTGCTGCCGCAGCAGCGGCCACCGCCTGCTCGCTTCTTCGAGCCACCTGCGGCGCGAGACAGCGCACGGACCGCTTGGCGCAACATGACGCAACAGCGCAAGAGACGGTGCCGGCGCGTCTGACGAAAGGGGCTGCGCGCACCCGGCGAGGTAGTTGACGTTCTTGTACACGGCGAGGAGGAAGGCCGAGGCCACTGCGAGCAGCAGGAGCCACACCAGCACCTGCTCCCATACGTCGAGCATGTTCAGCGCCAGGAACACGTTGGCCTTGAACCATATCTTGTGGAGCCAGCTGCCTATCGACTGCCGGGACGTCATCCTTTCGCTCTGCACGTACAGCACCGAACCGCAGCGACGGCGCTGGCGTGTGCGGCAGCGACGACGGGCTTGCTGTGCCCCGCCGTGGCAGCCGGCGCCGCGGTAGCCCGCGAGGTGCGGCGCGGCAGCACGTCTACATGCGTATCTAGCGACCGCGAGGTTGCTGCCGCCGGAGCGCTGCGGCCCACGCGCGCGCCGGGCCGGACAGCACGCGCTGAGCTCTTGTGCGCGCACCTGAGACCGCTGCAGCTGCTCCCACACCCCGCTCTCCGGTCGCAGCTTCCTGAAGTCCAGGCTCTCCAGATGGGACCGGTCTGTCACCGCGTGCATATGCCCTGACTCGTCCCTGCTCCCATCCACAGCCGCAGTGGTTCCAGGGCCGCGCAGAGTCCTCCCCCCGCCCCCACGACTCGTCTCGCTCCCCGAATCAGCTGGAACCTCCTCTCTAGCTACCTTGGTCCGCGTCCGCGCCATCGCGCCCCCCCACGCCCCGCACCGGGCCACCCACCGTCCGAACACCAGCAAGCGCCCTCCGTCCCGCGTCCCGTAGCTCTCGTCCGTAACGCGCACTCCCTGCGCCCGCGCTCTGTCCGCTTTCCCCGTAATCCGCCCTGCGGAATGAAGCAGCGAGCCGTCGCGGAGGCGCAAGGGCGCGGCGTGAGGTGAGCTGACCTGGCCCGCCAGCCAGCGTGCAGGGCAAGAGTCAGGCGCGCCGGTGGGGGGGTGAGCCGCCGCGCGTCATGGCGCGCGCGGCCCGGTGGGCGCCGCCAGCTGCGCGTCGGACGATCGCGTGTACGACGGAGGACGGCACGTCGGTAGGTCGCTTCGTGCTGCGCGCGTCGCGGGCACACAAACTGGGTGCCGCGAAGGCGGGCGGCGGTCGCAGCGCGGGTGCGGCGTCGCGAGGGCCGGCTGTGTGTCTGTCGCACCGGTAGCGCCATGGGCGTCTCGGGCGCGCTGCGGATACGCCTCGCGCGGGGAGGGTTTCGACACAAGCCCTTTTACAGGATCTTCGTGGCGCAGAAGGAGGCGCCCGTGCAGGGCCGCCACATGGATATCCTCGGGTACTTCAAGCCCGAGATCGGACCGGACGGGAACCGGCAGATGGGCATCAAGTTCGACCGGTTGCGGTGCGCGAGCTGCCGCGGGATGCCCGCGCGCCCCGTGCCGAGCAGCAGCGCGCCTCCGCCGGCCGGTTCTTCCCGCCGATGTTGTCTCACGTAGACGATGTATCTTGTCGTGCACGCAGATACTGGCTCGCGCGCGGAGCGACGCCGTCGGACCGGGTAGCCTGGCTCCTGCACGTAGCGGGGGTGCTGCCGGAGCCCCCGCAGAAGGGGTACTACCGCCACCGGCCGGACCTGCTGCACAAGTCGCGGGAGGAGATCCGGCAGATTCTCAGGAGCGAGCGCGCGGGCTGAAACACGCGCGCGACGTGTCTGTGGAGGGCGAGCGGGGCAGCGGCTGGGCGCGGCGCGACCGCTCTCGCGCAGCTTGCATGTGAGACTGGCGACCTGCGCGCAGCGCTCCGCGCGTCCCGACGCATGCGTCGCCTGAGTGCAGTGAGGGGCGTACGTCCACGCATCGTGCGGGGGCGTCATCAGCGCGGCCGCACGGGTAGAGCAGCAGCACTCGCGAGCGCTGGCAGCCTGGGCATCGCCGCGAGCCACGTCAGTTCCCGGGCTGCTCGCACGGGCACCGCGGTGGTTGCACGCGGCGAGTGTCTGGCCCTCTCACGGGCCGCGTGTACGGCCGTCCCGTTGGATTCTTGCGCTCGAGAGGGTAGATAGGGACTTGAGGACTCGGTGAGGCGGGTGCGCTGCATCGGAGTCGCGGCGAGGGCGCTGAGAGACGCGCCATGGGCCCCCCGATGTGGGTCTCCCTGCTCGGGGGGTGGTGTTTGTCCGTGGCGACGCTCCGGCGGCGGCGCCGCAAGCTGCGCAACTCGCTCGACCCGGACGACCCCGACCAGGCCGACCGCCTGGTCCGACTGATGGGCAGTTTGGACCACTCCCTCATCACGACCAGAGCGCTCGAGTTCGCGCTGTTCAGAACCTTCGGATCCCCGTCCATCAGCTCCATCCTAGGTCAGTCAGCTCCGTCCGCCGCGCGCTTCCGTGCACGCTGCGCCGTTGGGGCCGCCCGCAACACCCCACCTACGCTACGCTACGCGTTGCCGCGTGCAGAGAAGGGGGACTTCCCGCAGTGCCCCGGGCGGCGCTACGACGACACGGACCTGCTCCTCCGGGAGGCCACCGAGCACGGCATGGGCTCCGAGCGCGCGCAGCTCGCCCTCAAGCGCATCAACGCCATTCACGCGGGCTGGCCGATCACCAACGAGGACATGCTCTTCACGCTCGCGCTCTTCGTCACGCAGCCGATCGAGTGGATCCGCCGCTACGAGCTCCGGACGTGCACGGCCGTGGAAAAGCGCGCAGTCGTGACCTTTTGGCGGCGGTTCGGCGCAGCGATGAACATACAGAACATCCCGGACACGTACGAGGGGTTTCTCGCGTTCCAGGAGGACTACGAGAAGCGGAACTTCGCGTACGCGGACTCGAACCGCACGTGCGCCGACGCGACGGTGCGCGTCCTGCTGTCGACGATGCCCGGGCTGGTGCGCCCGCTGGCGATGCCCGCCGTGCACGCGCTGTGCGACAAGCGCCTGCGGGAGGCCATCGGGTACCCGCGCGCGCTGTTCCCCGTCAACTTCATCGTCCCCATGGCGCTGCGGGTACGCACGGCCACCAACGCGTGACATGACACTCCTGCCGCTCCGCTCTCTCCGTCCCGGCGGCCGTTGTTCGCGGCAGCCCGTTGCTGCGCCCTGTGCGCGAGCTGGCCTCGGCTGGCGGCGGGGGCGCGTCTCGCGGATCATGTCAGTGGAGAGCGCACAAACAATTGGCAAACGATGGCTCGTGTTGCATCGCAGCTGCGGGCTCTGTTCGTGGGCGTGTTCGTGCCCCCGCGCCCGGATGACAGCTGGGCGAAGAACCGCACGCCGCGAGACCTCCCCGCGGGCATGCCGGCCCCCGCGCTCGCCCTCTTGAAGCCACTCTACCACCAGTATCACGACAAGAGTCTTGGGTGCCTGAAATACAAGGACGGGTACCGCATCCCGGAGCTCGGGCCCGACAGGGTGCCCGCGGGCCGCCTGAAGGAGGCCGGCGAGATGAAGTACCTGTGAAGCCGCGCTGGACAGAGCACGTGCGCTGGCAAGCATAGCATAGCGGCAGCACAGGTTCTTGCACGGGACGTGGACGCCGCGCCGCTGCTTTTCTCGCGGCGGCGACGCGAGGACGGGATCGAGGTCTGCCGGATCGAGGGGGCTCGGGGCAGGCGGTGAAGCAAGCGAGCAACGCAAGACCTGATTTCTCAAAGTGAAGCGTCAAAGTGTGGCGGCTCCGCGGAGAGGTTGCGGACTGTGTGAACTGAACTGAAGCAACAACAACTTTTATTGTCGTGTCACTGGCGACGCGCGAAGCACTACTCTGCAGCTCCCGGAGCGCCTCGTCGGGCAGGCAGGCCTCGGAGTGCGGGTCGGTCCGGGACAGGTGGTCGGCGGAGGGCCTGGGGTCCGTTCGCGGTCGACCGCTTCGCTCACCAGCTCAACACCAAGCTGGCAGCCTTCAACTTGGTGTTGAAGTTGAAGTTGAAGGCTGCCAGCTTGGTGTTGAGCTGGTGGGCGAAGCGGTCGACCGCGAACGGGCCCCAGGCCCTCTGCACGCGAAGCGCTCGCGCTATATGAGCCACATCGGCCAGTCGAGCACCGTGCGCCCCTCGACCTTCCCCGACGCATCCACGCCCAGCCCCAGCAGCGACGCTCTCCAGCGCTCCTGCGCCGCTGCGTCGCTCCCCCGCCCCGCCCCCTCCGCCGACGCGTCCTCCACCGCGAGCGGCGGCTCCTCCCGCCACGTCCGCGCGCCGCGCGCCATCCACCGCGACATCCCGCGCCCGTCGGCCCAGCACAGCGGGTTCACCGCCCGCCCGTTGCAATACACCCCCCAGTGCACATGCGGGCCGCTCGACCGCCCCGTCGACCCCACGCGCCCCACCGCGTCGCCGCTGTGCACGCGCTGCCCGACCCGCACCTCCACGTCCGACAGGTGCTGGTACAGCGACACCACACCCTCGCCGTGGTCTATCGCCACGCACGCGCCCGCGACTGGGAACGCTCGCTCCGGCGGACGCACCAGCGCGACCACGCCGCCGTAGCACGCGCGCACCGCCATGCCGTACAGCGCGGCGAGGTCCAGGCCCTCGTGGAAGTAATACTCCCCCGCCCCTGGCGGGAGTCCCCCGCAGTACCTCCGCCGCACCCCGTACCGCGCCGTGACCCCCGCCGCGGCCGTGACGTGCATCGGGGCGGCCGCGGGGCCCTCCCACGAGCGGGGGCTCGTGTTCCGCGAGCGCACGCGCGCCATGGCCGCCACCTCTTCGCTCGACGGCTCCGGGACCGCCGGCGCCGTCGCACCAGCCTCACCCCGCAGCCAAACCTCCTCCTCCGCGTAGTCTCGCTCCTTGAGGACGACGAGCTCGCGCGCCGGGGCCAGCTCGGGCCAGAGGCGCCGCCGCGCCTCCAGTCGGACCGCGCCGGGGGGGTCATTCGGGGTAGAACTCAGAAACCCCCGCCACGTGTCCTCCGCGCCGTCGACGGCGTGCAGCGGGACGCGCTCGCTCCGCACCGCCGCGCGGGCCGCGCGGCCGGCCAGCCCCGCGGCCCAGCACGCCAGGCCGCGCGTGACAGCGTCCACAAGGCACGTCACTGCCGCGACGGCGCGCGGGAGCTCTGTGGAGCAGCGCCGCTGGCTGCAGCGCAGTTCCAGCGCCCCGCGGCGGCGGGTCCGTGCGCGGAAGCTGTGGACCGGGCGCCCGCATCGCGGGCATGGCGCGCCAGGTGGGGGCGCAGGGCGGTAGGCGGTGAGCGTTACGGGCGGGGCTCTGGCGGCCCGGCAGAGCGCGCGCTGGGCGCGTTCGAAGGGTCCGGCGGGCGGCGGCAGCGTGACAAGTAGTGGAATCGCCTCCCCCTGCAGCGAGCCGTCCGGTCGAGCGTGTGCGGAGCCGCGCGCGACAGAGTAGGTGGGCAGTTACAACATCGCTTATCCCGCGCAGATGCGAAGTAAGTCACGCGTGTTTCCCACCTGCCCGAACTTGCTTGTCGACAGGATGATGTCGGCCATGGCTCCAACGCGCAAACCCGGCGCGAGCGCGCCCGGGTTCGCGCGTTTCACGTGTGACAAGGATTCTTTCGCGAATCACGGCCGCACCGAGCGCCAACTCCCGCGCATTCGATGTGCCGGGCCACGCACGCGCCGTCCCGCACTGCACCCGCGACGCGCCCGACGCCGCGCTGCGTCAGGCAGCGCCGTGACGGACCCCAGGCATTAGTACCCCCCGCCGCGTGCGCGTCACGCGCCGCTCCTGGCTCCGGCAGGCGCGCTGCTGCGGCAGTTTGGGACCTCGCTCGGCCGCTGCGACGCGCGCGGAGCGGAACCACGCACCGTAGAAGCCCGGGATTCGAACCTGAGACTGCGATGTCTCCAGGCCGAGCTTGAGAGCGGCGAAGGACACCGCGCAGGGCCCCGAAGCGACGGCAGCCGGTCGCAGGGCGCAGAGCCATGCCTCCACGCGCCGGACGCGGCGGTGCGTCCCCAGAAGCCGCGTGCCGAGCGCGTCATCGGTGTCAGAAGCAGCGGGCGTGCAAATTGAGCGTTTTATTTCAGTGACGCGTCCCGGCCGTGCGCTGGCAGGACACGGTTTCCGTCGCGCCGGCGGCGCGGGACTGGCGCCGTGTCGCTTGCCCCCGCTGGCCCGCGGTCGCAACACGCGAATGCGCGCCCTTGCGAGCTTCGCGGGCCGAACTTGCGCTCGCTGTCTGAGCTCCAGCGGCGCCCAGCGGCTGTGCGGACACCGGACCACAGCGCGATTTCGCTCCCCGCGCGGAACATGAGTCGTTCCACGCGTGCACGTGCCGGAATCCGCGGTCCGTGCCGGAACGGAGGCGCCAGCGCCCGCCCAGGCACGCAGTGCTCTCCCCGCGCCCCGTTCCCGCGCGCACACAGCGCCGAACTCCGCCCGCTCGGTCCCCGCAGGTCGCGTCGCGCCCCGCATAGGCGGCAAGGCCGACGCGGGCGGCGCGCGGGCCCGCAAGGGGGGCGCCCGTGCCCCAGTCGTGGACACATCGTACGAGCACGCAGTGGCAGCCGCGGCGGACCGCGCCACGGAGATCCTGCTGCGGGAGCGCGCTCGGCGGGGCATATCCGCCGCGCCCGCGCCGCCGCAGCCCGCGCCGCGCCCCGCGCCGCAGCAGCGCCGCCAGGCGCGCCATGCGCCTAGCCCGCCCCCCGCGCGCACCGACACGCCGCTGGAGGCCATGTACGCGGCGAACATCGGCCCGACGCCCGAGGAGTCCCCCGTGGAGACGCCGCGCGGCGGGGGCGCCCGCGGCGGCCCGTCGGACCAGGACGCCGTGTCGCCGCATTTCTCCCACTACCCGGGGGAGTCCCGGGGGCCCGCGCGCGGGCCGCGGCAGCCCGCGAACCTCGACATCTCGCCGTGGCTGCAGACGGGCGGCGGCTCGCCGGACGGGTCGGACCACGGCGAGCACCAGGCACAGCTGCAGGCACGCACCCCACAATATATATGTGTTTCCTGTCTGATGATTCGTGGAGTTGCTCCTTGTTCCACGCGGGGATCCGGCGGGGCGGAGGAGCGCGTCGGACGTCGTTGCAGTCCATTGTGTGCCTCATGAGCGTTGGTGCGGTGTGTGTGTGTGTGTGTGGTGGGCGTGCAGGCGACGTTGACGCCCGTGGCGGTGCCGATCCGCGGCCGCGACGCCCCGGTGGCGCGCCCGCCGCCCGCGGCGCTGACCTTCGAGGACGACGGCGACGGCCGCGAGTCTGCGCAGCCGCCAAACCTGACGTTTGCGCCCGGGCGGCGCGGGGCGCGGGAAGGCCCGGGGGCGCCCCCCGCGCAGCAGCCGGCGCCGGGGCAGGGCGGCTTCATGTCGGCCATGAGGGAGCTGCGTGCCGGCCCCAGCGAGGACCAAGTGCAGGTGCGCAACATGTATAAAAGATACACTCTTTCTCGTTCTCGTTTTGCGGCCCCGCGAGGCGCTCGTGCTCTCTGTCGTTCTGTCCCTCGCCTTGCGGACCGGAGGCTGCGTCGCGTGCCGGCCACCCGAGGACGGAGACCCCACTCTCGTGCGCTGCGTGCTTGACGGCGCGCTCTGCCGGCGTCGCCAGACCGGCCCGTTCCGCAGCTGCCCTCGCGGCTCACAGCCTCGCTCCTGCGCCGAGTTCCCGCGCGCAGAAGGAAGCGGCGCGGCGGCGGACGTACGCGGAGGAGCTGGAGGATCAGATTCGCGAGAAACGGGCCCGCGACGCGCGCGAGAAGGCCGAGCGCGAGGCCGCGGAGGTGCGCCACGAGCAGGAGTTCCTCGCGCACCAGGCCGAGCTGCTCCGGCGCAAGCAGATGGGAGGCGGGGGGGAGCCGATGCGCGACGCGACGGGAAACGTACACACGCGGCTGCGGGGCGCCGCGGCGCAGGTGCACATGTCGGGCAGCTTCGGCGTGGCGCTCCCGGGCGTGCCGTCCCCCGCGGCCGCCTCCGGCGACGTCACGCCGCACCGCCGCGGCAGAGTCCCCCCCCCCGACCGGCTGTCAGTCCCCGACTCCCCCTCGCGCGCCATCGTGCCGGACACGCTCGGGCTGGACGGCACGGTCGCGACGGAGTCGCCCGGGCGCGGCCGGAAGCCGCAGTACCCGCAGCACCAGACGCGGTGGCGCGGCGTGGCAGGGTATGAGAAGGGAGCGGGGGTGCACGGGCTCAAGCCTGGGATGTCGGAGCAGCAGGAGACGCACGCGGCGCAGCAGCGGGAGCGGTTGGTGCGGGACCTGGACGAGCAGGTGCGGGAGCGCCGGATGCGGGAGGAGGAGCGGCGGCGGCGGGAGAGGGAGGCCGAGGAGAGGGAGGAAATGGAGATCAGGAATTACTATCTGAAACAGGCGGAGAGAGATAGGGAGAAGGCGGTGCGGCGGTCGCTCGCGAGCGACGTCGCCAAGTCGCACGAGGACGCCGTGGTCGGCCCCGCGGGCCGCGCGCCGGGGGCCGCGGGGGGTGCGGGGGGGGGTGGCGGGAGGCTGCGGGGGAGTATTTCGGGGCGGACGGGCCCGACGTCGGCCCGGACGCGGTGCCGACGATCGGCGGCGGGCCGTCGCCGCAGATCACGGCGATACGGGGCGCGGGGCACCGGCGCGGCGCCAGCAAGGGGGGGGACTCCAACGCAAGCGACGTGCGCGGTTCGGTGGACAGCCTGGCGAGGGGGCGCGGGCCGGGACAAACGGTGCGCTGCACTCGGACTGCGGTGCCGGGCCTCGGACCGCGCCCGCGCGCGTGGTGACGTGCTCTGAAGCGGCGCGGCGCCTGCCACGAACCTGTTCCTACCCAAAGTGTTTGTTTTGATTTATTGCGCAGAACGCGTCCCATGGGGCCGTTCTGGGTGTACTGCTGCTTGATTTCTCAGCCCGTGCTTGCCACCGTGGGCCAACCGCGCGTCTGGCTCGACGCTACGTTCAGCTACGTCCATGCGGGCCGTTGCGTCGCGTCACGTCCGCGAAGGGCGCCCCTCACCCCGGGCCCTGCACCCACCGCGCGCAGGGCACCCGCCGCTCGAAGGAGGAGATGGCCGGCATGCTGCGCGAGCTGAAGCAGGCGCAGGAGGCCCTGCGGGGGGAGTTTTCCGAGCAGCTGTCAAAGATCGCCACCGAGGCGCGCGAGGCCGCGACCGAGCGCGACCAGGCGCGCGCGGAGCTACAGCGCGTGCGCGAGCGCCTGGCCGAGCGCGACTCCCTGGACCGGCTGCTCGTGGCGGAGACGACATACGTGCCCAAGGCTCTGTCGCACATCCCCCTGGACCAGCCGCTGCCGCGGTACGAGGCGCCGGGCGGCACGATGCTGCAGAGCATGGAGGCGGAGTCGGGCGTGGTGTGGCGGAACTCGCCGCGCGACTCGACGACGCTCGGACGCGGCGTAGGGATGGCGGACGGAGAGCCGCCCGACACACCGCAGGTGCGCAGGCCGCCGTCGGATCAGCGCGTTAGCAGCTGCGTGTCGTTGCTCGTACTTCGCTCGTGTTTGCCGCCCTGCCTCGGCCGGCAACAGCGCGTTTTGTTGTTGTCAAGTGTGTGTGCGGTCCTGGAGACGTTGTCTGCGTTGGCGTGCTGTGCTTCGCAGCTGGGCTGGCACGGGAGCCGCGCGGAGGCCGCTCCGCGGCGGCAGCGCCGCGAGTGGGAGACGGGCGGCGGCCCGAGCCCCCCGCGCCCGCAGAGCAAAGCCATCATGGGCGGCGGGCAGTGGGAGGAGCACGTCTCGCCCACCGGGCGCGGCGCACCCGCCGGGGCTCGCCGGCGGCCCACGCGGCCCGCGGCCGTGAAGCGCGCCGCGCCGGGGCGCCCTGGCGAGCTGATTCCGCGCACTTTGCAACACCCGATGGACGAAGGCGAAGAGGACGCCATGCTGGCGATGTACGAGGAGATGCACGGGCCGGGGGGGCGGCCGCCGGAGCCGCGGATGGCTGCGGCGGCGCCGGGCCCGGGGCGGAGGATGACGGCGCTGGCGAAGCAGCGGGGCGCGGAGGCACGCGCGCGCCGCAAGGCGGCCGAGCAGGCGCAGGCGGCGAAGCGCAAGTGGAACGTATGAGGAATGGGCGCACGTGCGAATCGGCGCCGCCTGGAAGGCTCGGCTCCGGCTGGTTCAGCGCCGGCGTCGTGCGTGGATGCATCGTGCCTGTGCACAAGTTGTGACTGCTGCGCGAGGGCTCGTCGTTGTCGAGCCTGGCTCACAAAGCTCCTCGTTGCGTTTCATCGACGCGACGAGGCGTTTCGACCGGCACGTGGGGTGTGACGGGCCTGTGGTCGGGGCACCACACTCGGCTGCATGCAGCGAGTGCCGCCGGGTCGACAGCGATCGAGCCCGGTGTGGCGCGTGGCCACCTGCCGAGCTTTGCCGCCGTGACGGGGCCTGGGGTATTTGCTAGCGGTGCGATGATGCAGTTATGATGTTCCAAAGACATTTCTATGTGTTTGTTTGTTTGTGTCTCTTTGGGTGCTGCTTGGCTTGTGTCCTCCGCAGACTAGCTCGACGTCCCTCGCTTTACGATCAGCACAAAAAAGGCACGCAGGCAACGTTCCAGACGAGCACTTTCCATGTCGCATGAGACGCAACGGGGCGAGGCTGCGAGGGCGCAAAGAGGAGACCGCAGCCGAGTGCTGCTCCGCCGCCGCACCGCGAGGACGCCGCTCGCGTCCTACCTTCCCTCGCCCTCCTCCCGCCCCTGCTACATCGGAATGAAGTCCTCCTCGAACCACCCGCGGTCCTGCCGCCGCGCCGCATCCGCGGGCGCCTCCCCCCCGCCTTCCTTGCCCTGCACGCATGTCCGGCACAGCCGCAGAGGCCCCCGTCGGGACGGGAACCTCCGCGAGCGACGAACGCACGCACACGGAGAACGCACGACGCTTGGATGAGTGGGGCAGCAGGACGCGCGAGCAGCAGCAGAGGGCGGCAGGCAGGACCAGCGGTGTGGCGCTCTCGTCGTCCAGGCCGAAGTATCGCCACTCCGCCCTGGCGCCGCGCCCAGCGGCGGCCTTCAGCGCCCGCTTCGCGCCCTTGCTTGCAGGCTTCTTGACGCCGCGGACTGCGCCCAGCAGGGCGGCCCCGCGGCCGCCGCGGCCCACGTGCCGTCCGCGCGACGCGCGAGGAAGGCCGCGGGTAGCGCGCGCGGCCGCCGCGCTGCAGAACGCCACGCACTCGTTGAAGCAGCACGACAGTGAGGGCGCACACACACATACACACGCGCGCGCGCGCGCAAGTCGAAGTACAAGCAACGATACCTGCATAGCGATTGCTGTCTGTCGCGGGGAACGCGCCCACGCACACTTGCGAGCACTTGCGCACCTGACACGCGCCGCCCTCGCGCCCCCGACCGTCGTGCGTCGCACGACACCCCCGTTCGCACCGCGCCCTCCCAGCAGCTTCGCCGCGCTGCCGCGCCGCGCCGTGCTCTCCTTGTCGACGCGCGCCCGGATCGCCGCGGCGACGTTCCCCGTCACGAGCGCGCGCCCGACTCGTTTCAGCTCTGGGCCAACACGCAGCTTCGTTAGCCGGAGGGAACGCCCGCCACCGCGGCGCAGCGTCAGCCGCGGCGTGTCCGCGACGCCCGCCCTCTGCAGCAGCTTCGCGCCGGATCCCGCCACCGGCGTCGCGGGCCGCGCGCCTCCCGGGGGGGGGGTGTTATCGTCACCCCCCTGCACTCGCCGCCACACGAGCTTCTCGCCCGCGCCCCGCGGCCCGACCGGCGTCGCTGCCTGCGCCGCCACGCGCTCCACCTTGTCCGGGTCCGCGCGCCGCAGCGACCGCGGGCCCCCGCGAACCATCCCCTCCGGCGTCGTCCCGACTCCCCCCGGGCGCCGCAGCCTGCCCTGGCGCTCCAGCCGCGACGCCGCGCGCGCCGCAGGCGTCCTCGCGCCCTGTGGCCGCGCCGCTGAAGTCCGCTGCGGCGACGCGCCGCGCTGGCTGAACAAGTACTCCCCCGCGTCGCCCCGCCGCATCACCCTGGGCCCCCCGCGGGGGGGCGCGCCTTTTGCGGCTGCTGAGCCGCCGGGGCCGCCGCGGCGCGCGAGCACCGGCGCGGCCTCGACATCGTCGATCACGAGCAGCTCGGCCGAGGCGGGAGCAGCTGCGGCTGCGGCGGCGGCGGCGGCGCGCTCTTTGGCTTCCGCCATCGTCGCGCCGCGTAGCGCGGTCTTCGCGTGCGACTGCGTGGCGCTGCGCGCCTTGCTCGGCTGCGGGTCGCGGAGGGCGGGCTCGCCCGGCTGCGCATCGGCCGCGCCGTCGCAGTCGAGGTCGTCCACCATGTTGACGACAGATATAGATCCGTCGACTTGCGAGCCCGGCTGGCTCCCCGTCTCCCGCAGCACCGCGTCGAGCGCCGGGAGCGGCGCGCCCGTCGCGACCACGCGCACGTACAGCATCGCCCACGTCCCGGACCCGTCCGGCCGCTCCAGCACGCACCACTGGTTGTACGAACACACCCCGTGGCCCTTTCGTTTCGACCCGACCAAGTGCACGGTGCCGGACGCCTCGACGCCCCGGCCCCGGCGCCACAGGACAAGGTCCACCGGCGCGGTCTCCTGCGTCGCGCGCGGCGCCTCGAACGCCAGATCCAACTGGTAATTGGGCCCCCCGGTTTTGAGCGCGAAGGAGGTGTTCGTGGCGAGCGGGAACACGAGCGACCCGCGGTCGCCGCGGCGGCGGACCTCGAGGTCGAACAGGTCGCTGAGCCGCGGGCCGTGGCTCTGGGCCGCCCGCAGCGGGCCGACGCGCAGGACCACGCCGGACGGCCCGCCGACGGCGGGGGGCACCGTTTCGGGCGCCGTGAGCGCCGCGCGGCGCGCGTGCTCGGGCGCGCGGGCGTGCTCGACGGTGCACGCGCGCCACCGCTGCGTGTTCGGGGCCGCCGGGAGCCACTCCCCGCACACGCGACACCCCGGGGGGGTGTCAATCCTGCCCTGCTTCGCGATGTCGATCAGGCCGATGCCGGGGCCCTGGACCATGCTCAGGTGCTTCTCCGTGCGCATGTGCGCCGCCATGTCCTTCGCCCCCACCCCGCACATGTCGCAGAACCATGGCGTCTTCCCGGGCTTGCGAACCACGAAGCTCGCGCCGCGGCCCTCGATCTTCTTCGCCGGCCACGGCGCGGCCTCGAAGATCGCCTGCGGCGCCGCGAGGAGCCCCGGCGGCGCGCTCGCGGGCAGCGGCGCCGCGCCCGGCGCAGGCACATGCATCTGTTCCAGGGGCGGCGGCAGCCTGACGCGCTTCGCGAGCTTCGCCTTCTGCTTGTGCTGCTTGTCGAGGACGTGCGTGATGGCGCCGTCGCGTTTGTCGAAGTAGAAGAACTTCTGCAGCGACGCTGCGTCGTGCGGGTCGCGGCACAAGACGCATGTGTGCACCTGCCGTCCCTGAACCTCCGTGACGAGCACGTGGCCCTCCGCGACCGCCCGGCGCAGCTCCGGGTGCGGCTCGTACGCCGCCCCGCCGATGCTGAGGCCGGTCGGCGGCACCGCCTGGACCTGCACTGCGGCGGTCGTCTCGGTGGCCGGTGGCGCCGTGGCGGGCGCTGCGCGCAACTCGAGCGCAACGTGCGCGGCCGTCGCGACGTGCTCCAACGCGTCCTGCCGCGACGACAGCCTCAGCCGCGCGTCGCCAGCCGCCCCCGCTTCTGCATCCGTTGTCGCTGCTGCAGGACACAGCTGGCACACGAAGCACGGCTGCCCCAGCCACGACGAAGCGATCACGAAGCCCTTTTGAATCGACGCCGACAGATGCGCGTCGCCGTCCGATGCCGTCGTCGTCGTCGGCGGTGGCTGCATCCCTTCCACTGGCGCATGCTGTTGTGGCGCGCCAGGGGCAGCCTGGCCCCCGTCCCGCTGCGCGTCCGGCGGCGACTGCTCGCCCTGCACGTTCGCGCCCTGCGCGCCATCGAGCCGAGCGGAACCGCCGCCGTCCTCGTGCTCGACTGCCCCGCCCTGGCCAACGGCAGCCACCTCGTCACCCGCGCCCTGCGCCTCGACCTCCATCGCCCCGGACTCGCCACGCCCGCCGACAGCCTGCTCGGCGGCTCCAGCTACCGCCTCGCCCCCAGCCTGCTCGGCGGCTCCAGTGCGCCCACCAACACCCCCTGCGTCCCGCGGCACCTTCCCGCCCCCGCCAGCCGCGCCACCATCGCCCGCCGGGGCGCCGGGCACGCCCTTGGCCCCCTCGCCGGCAGCCTCCGCCTTCCCGTTCTTGCCGCCGCCGCCAGCTCGTGCAGCATCAGCAGCCTCCGCATTCCCAGCGCGCTTGGCGCCCTTGGCCTTTGCAGGGGACTTGGACAGCGCGGAGCGCGCCGTGTCCTTGGCCCGCTGCCGCGCGACGCAGAAGAAGATGTAGGCGGCGCGGCGCGCCGCCTCCGGCGACAGCCGCTGCTTGTCGACGCCTTCGAAGAAATCGGGACACCCCTGAGCGCCGTGGGACGTCAGTCCGCGCCGCACGCAGTCCAGCGTCTGGGGGCGGCTCACGTCGTTCGGCGCGAGGCCCCGCGCGCGCCGCACACGCGCCTGGAACGGGAACCGCGCCTTGAACGCCCTGTCGACCAGGTTGCGGCCCACGTAGTTGCCCGGGAAGCCCTCGTCGTCCAGCTCGAACACCCCGAACACCCGCTTGTCCTGTACGTTGACCAGAAACAGCGCCATGCCTGGCTCGACGCCAGCGATGACGCGCTTGCTGGGCCCCGCGAAGAGCATGCGTTTGATGCACTCCGGCTGCGTCTCCCTGTCGCACACGAACACCGCGCCGCCCTTCGGGTACTGCACCGGGTTGCTCCACAGCGCCTGCCGCCCGGACATCGCTGCCGCCTCCACCCTCGCGCGCAGCGCCGCCCGGTCCACCGGCGGCGGCTCCGCGGGCTGCGCCGCCTTGTTGTGGCCGGGGTCTGCGAGCCCCAGGTCCTCGAAGAGCTGCTGCGTACCGACGGGGGCGTGCTCGCCGTCCTTGGTCGGTGGCGCAGCTGCGACGGAAGGCTGTGCGGGTCGTGCCGGCGTTGTCGGCATTGCGGAGGGTGCGGGGAGGATCCGCGCGAGCGGCGGCGAGCCCGCGCTGCTGGGCGCCGCGTGCGGCTGCGGCGCGGGCAGCCGGAGCGGCGACGGGCGCGGCGGGAGGGGGGAGCTGCCCGGACGCCCCCCGCCGCCGACCCGCTGCGCCTCGTACACCCTGGGCGGCGGGCTGGCGTCCGGCCACGCGTGTTCCGCGCCCCGCGGCGCCGGAAACTGTCCGAGCGCGGCCTGCAGCTTCTGCACGCGCTCCGCCACCGCGAAGTACATCCGGTCGGCCTCCGCAGCCGCCTGCCGTGCCTGCTCGCGTCGCCACTGGTACCGCCGCTGCAGCTGCTGGAGCTTCTTCAGATCGTCGATGTCGTCGACGTCCGCGGGCGCGAGCGCCCGCCGCGCCCGGGGCTCCGGGGAGCGGCCCGCCGCGACGCCACGCCGGGCGTGCTGGCCGCTGCCCCTGTGCGGCGCGGCGGCGCCGCCCGCGCGCACGCCGGTGTCGAACGTCGCGCCGAGGTCGCGCGACGCCGGCGCGGGCGCCGCGTCCGGCGAAGGCATCTCCGGCGCGCCGTCAGATATGATTTCCCCTTCTTCGATTTCAATCTCCCCCTCTTCGAGCCCCGCGTCGTCGCTCTCGCCCCCCTCGCCCCCCTCGCGCGCCCCCTCGCGCGCCTCCCGCCGCTCGAACGCCTCCACGGCCCGCGCGTGGCTGTCAGACATGCCGTGCGCCACCAGATACCCCGGGTCCTCATACGACGTCTTGCAGAGCCAGCACTTCCACGGTGGGTCGTCCGCGAGGAACCGCGGGCCGACGACGCGCGCGTGCCCCTCGAGGTGGCACCGCAGCGCGTGCGCCACCCCCTGCGCGTGCGCCACCAGCGCGTCTTGGCTGGGTGCGGAGAAGCTACACGCCCCGCAGTGCCACGGGTCGGACTGGCTGAGCTGGCGGGCGCCGGGGAGGCGGTGGAGGCCGCCGCGGGCGTCGAAGTACGGCTCCGGGCCCGGCGGCTCCGGCAGCGCGGCGCTGTCGGGGGCCGCAGGGTCGGCGCGTTGCGCAGCGGGGTTCGTCGGGGGGGGAGTGGCGCGCGCGGCCTTGGCTGCGCGCTTCGAGGCCTGGAGAGCGCGCTGCTTGTAGGCCGCGAGCTTCGCGGCTGCGTTGGGGGGCCGCGCGGCGGTGGCGGGGGCGGGGGCGGTGGGCGTCTCGGTGGCCGGTGCGGGCTTCGGCTTCGGGCGCGAGCCGCTCATCGCGATGAGCTTAGCGGGGCGGTCGGCTGCGACGCATGAGACCGCGTCGTCGAGCGGGCGCTTGCGTAGCACGACCCGCGCAGCGGACGGCGCTGCTGTGGTGCCCGGCGGGGGGCGAGGCGGCTCGACCCGCGGCGCCTCGTCTTCAGAATCGGAGAACCTGCAAGGCACGATCGGCGTCCGATGCGTGACATGCGCCGTTCGCGCGTACTCGCGCGCTGAAGGGACAGCGACAGCGACCGCGGCGGCACGGCCTCCATAGGAGGGGTCTCACGTGATGATGAGGCTGCCGTAGTCTCGCCTCGGATCCGGATTAGCCGCCTTGTACACGCGCGGCAGCGCTCCGGCGCGGTCCGTGGTGTTCGCGCCCGGCCTCGTGCCGCCACTAGGAAGGGCTCGCCGCGTCACGCCCGCGGCCGCTGCCGCCCCGCGCGGCCGCAGAACCTTCCCTACAGGAGCTGTGCGCTGCAGAGAGTTCAAGTTCGAGTCCACCTCGGTCGCGGGCGGGCCGGAACGGATCCCCGAGGCAGCCAGCCTGCCCCTAGCTCGAGCTGTGCCCTTCGCGGCCGTCTGCGGGGGTCCGCGCTTGAGGACGAGCTTGTTTCCGACCCGCTGGTACGATGGCCGTGGGTGCTGCGGCGCACTGCGCCGGGCCGCGGCGGGGCGAGCCTCCTGTGCATCCGAGGGCGGTGCGGGCGCGCCAGCCTCTCCGCCGTCGGTGACGGCGCCCGGCGCGTCGCCGGCGGGCCGTGGATCGGTCTCCTTCTCCTCCATGCTCGCGCGCGCGGTCACGCGGCCGGCGTCGCGAGCTGCTCGCGGTGATGTCTCTTGCTCTTCAATGCGCCATCCGCGGCGCGCTGCAACTTCCTAGGCAGCCCTCAACGCCCGTCGGCTGTTCTACAGAGTGGTAATCTACCGCTACGATGGCGCGCCAGGGCCAATATCCGCGGGAACCTACAAAACGCCGCGTGGGAGCACCGAACGGCCCCTCTGGGCGCTCCACCGCAGTAGCCGCTGCGCCCACGGCGCGGCTGCCGGCTCGCCTGGTCGAGCAACGAGCCGAAGTTGCTCGGACAGCCGCGCACGAGGCCCCTCACCGCGCCCGCGCACCGGGGGCGGCCCCTCCGATTGATTCTACTGACCCTTCCCCCCCCCCCATCTGCTGCCACACGCAGGGCTGGCCCGCGCGCCATAGCCACCCAGCCCCCGCGCCGCGCCGCGCGTACGCAGCGGAGCCAGTGCGAGCCGCAGATCCTAGAACGACGCGCATTCACCAGCACTGTCAAATCAACGCAAGACCAATTACAACTCGAACGCCTGGCGCCCCCAATGCGTCGGAATGCGAGACCCCAGCCGCCCCGTGCTTGTCCGGCAACCACAGGCGCCTGCGCCGTCCTGCGAGCCGCGGAGGCGGCCGTGAGGGTTTCTGTGTGGAGACAGGTCGTGTGAGCGCCGCGGCTCAGTCGTCCTCGATGATGGTCATGTCGCTCGCGCGCACGAGCGCCGGGCCCTGCGTCTCGCTCGGCGCGCTCAGCAGGTACGTGTCGGCGTCCGAGTTGTAAGCCTGCTGCGCGTACAGCCCCACCAGCGCTGCCAGGACCGTGATCGCTGGGATGAAGTACTTCGCCGCCTGCGCGCACCGGAAGGCCGAGGAAACCGTCAGCACGGCGCGCGCAAAGCGCGACGGCACCGCGGGCGAGCTGCGGGATGCGTGCGTGCGCCATGCGTGTGTGGTGCTGCACGGGAGCGTGTGCGCGCCTGCCCGACGCCCTCCCACTGCTCGCCCTCCCAGAAGTCCGGCTCGTCCGCCGGGTCCGGCGACTCGGACCCGCCGGAGGTTGCCCGGGGAGGCAGGGGCCGGCGCAGCACGCGGGCGCCGCCCCGCGCGGGCCGTGCGGGCCGCTGCGGCGGAGCGGTGGCGGCGCGGACCGGCGCGATGCCTGCGCGGTGGGGGTGGTGCGGGCGCACGTCACGGGCGGCGCGGGGGGGGGATGTCATGGAGAGATGTCACGGGCAGAGCCGTGGGCCCGACCGGTGCTGCCCGGCCCGATCGAGGCCGTGTCTGCGCCCGCAAGATGGTGCTTGAAGTGGTGCGGCCATCGTACGAGCGGCATCGCTGGTTTGGGCGTCGTCAATCGGTGGCGACCGCAGCGAGAGGGTCCATCCTTTGCGAGAGGTTGTGACACGCCTTGCGCGAAGGCTTCGGCGCGTTCGGACGGTTGTGGGCCGTGTACGCACCTCGAATCATCGCGGGCGTTCAGCCGATGCTCGGAGAAGGGTCCTCGTCCCTCGCAGGCTATGGAAACGCGCACGCAACGAATGCGACAACACCACCGTGTACGTCGCGCAGGTTGCGGCAGGCGGACCAAACAGGGCCTGTGCTGATCGAGCTACAGACAAACAGTGGGGGGATGGCGGCAGGAGGCCAGGCCAAGGGCTATCATGGGCAGATTTGCCCCCCCAAAGTGGGAGTAGTATAGACTGAAGGTCCCCCGCTGCGCGCTCAGGCAGCGGCTGGAGGCCCCGCGGCCAGGCCCGCGGGGAGCACTTGGAACCACGACATCGTCGAGCCAGTGAGCGCTGCGTGTCCGTGACGAGGAAGGGCACGTTTCAGGGAGGGCTGGCGCTCTCGCGCGCGCCCGCCGCGTGCGGAGGGGCTCGCGGCGCAGGACGCGGCGCTGGCGGTCAGAGCGAGCGTTGCTCCTCGTTGTGGCGCTGTCGACGATGCCTGGAGACAGCGTCAGGCGCAGGGAGTCGGACAGGAGAGACCGGCAAGAGAGGGGGGTGAGGGATCGGGGGTCTGGCGGGGGGAGTCGCGACCGTGGTGACAGCAGGGACCGCGGGCGTGACAGGGGGGCGGACGACGGGCGCAGGCGCGGCGGGCACAGGCACCGTGACGGGCTGCCACCTGCTGGGGGCTCTTGGCGCGGGCACAGGGGCGGTGACGACAGATGGAGGAGTGACGAGCGGTCGCGACCAAGACCGTTCGGCGACCAGCGGTGCGCCGCGCGCTCTCGCTCCTGCGCCCGACGCGCCCTGTCGACCGGCCGTGCTGTTTTCGCCGCTCGCTCCACACAGCTTCGCGCCTGGCGGCCGAATCACGAAGATTCTGCGACTGCCGTGCCCCACATTCGACTTTGACGCTCCGCATCTGTCCCATCGCGCCATAATCCCAGCGATCCCACGCTCCGCCGCTCGTCAGTCGGGCGAAGTCTCAGTCCTATGACTTTCTTATGCATGCGCGCTGCAGCGCTGAAGACCACGGGTACAAGTACCGCCGCGGATCGCGGGAGCCCGGCGCCCGGCACGACGCGGGCGAGCGGCGCCGCTCGGCGTCGCCCCTCCCGGGCCCGCCCAAGCCGAAAAGCTCCGTGCAGGTGCGCGTCGCGACGATCGCGCCCCCCTGCCCTCCGCGCGCCAGCGCGCACCGCCACTGCGCCGTGTCGCGCGCGTTCTGCGTGGAGCGCCGAGTGCGGCGCAGCGGGGTGTTGTGCGTGACTTTGAAGACGAGGATCCTCGATTGGTTGTGGTTTCTTGCAGGCTGAGCTGCTCGCGCGGATCCAGGCGATCAAGGAGGAGCAGCGGAGCTCGCAGCCGGACCCCGCGGAGGCGGCGGGGAAGCGCCCCGCGTGGGAGTCCCCGGAGTCGGGCGAGATAAGCGACGAGGCGCAGCCAGCAACCAAGAAATCCCGACTGGCGTCCCCTCCGAAGGTAACGACGCGCCAGCGCGCCCCGCGCCCGTTCGCACAGCGCGCCCGCGCCCGCGCCCGCGCCCGCTTCGACTTCGCGCGATCTCTCTTCACGCAACAACCATCCTCGCTTGCTTGCGTCTAGGCGCAGGGGGACCGCACTGGGCGCACGGCGGCGCAGCTGGCGATGAGCGAGCTCGAGCAGTTCAAGGCGCGCGCGAAGGCCGCGAACGCCGCCGCCGCCGAGGCCGCGGCGGCTGCCCCGCGCAAACAGGGCATCACCGGGCACGCGTGGGCGCTCAGCGACGAGGAGGAGAGCGACGGCGACGACGACGACGCGAACGACGCGCCGGCGCAGGGCAAGGCGGGAGGGAGCGAGGAGGGGGCGGAGGGGGATGCGGGGGCCGCGGAGGGGGCTGCGGGGGCGGGGGGGAGTGCCAAGGAGGAGTCGGACGCGGGGGGGGACTTGTTCGACGAGGAGGACGACGTCAACATCTGGCAGGAGTGCCGCGTGGTGGACGAGTTCGAGCGGCTGAACGTGGTCGACGAGGGCACGTACGGCATGGTGTTCCGGGCGCGGGACAGACGGAACGGCAAGGTGCGCGGAGGGGGTTATAGCTGTTTGATGGGGGCGGGCGGTGCGGGGGCGTGCGGGTGCTGCTGCCTGTCGTCGTGGAGTGCCGTGCGTGTGTTTGATATGTATTTTACGATTGTTTTTGTGTGTGTGTTGGGTGTCTGCAGATCTACGCGTTGAAGAAGGTAAAGATGGAGCGCGAGCGCGAGGGGTTCCCGATGACGTCGATCCGCGAGTTCCAGCTCCTCATGGGCATGCGCCACGACAACGTGGTGTCAGTCAGGGAGGTAGTGGTGGGCCGGGACTCGATGGATTCCATCTACATGGTCATGGAATTCATGGACCACGACCTGCGCACGCTCATGCAAGACATGCCGGCCCCCTTCCAGGTCTCCGAGGTCAAGTGCCTCGTGCAGCAGCTCCTCGAGGGCCTCGCGTACCTCCACTCGGCCTGGGTCATCCACCGTGACCTCAAACCACACAACATCCTATACAGCAATCGAGGGCTGCTGAAGATCTGCGACTTCGGGATGGCGCGCACGTTCGGCGACCCGCAGGGCCCGATGAGCCCCGAGGTCGTCACGATGTGGTACCGCGCGCCGGAGCTGTTTTTGGGCGACAGGGGCTACGGCGCCGCAGTGGACGTGTGGAGCGTCGGGTGCATCTTCGCGGAGCTGGTGACGGGCGCGCCGCTGTTCAAGAGCAACGGCGAGCTCGACCAGATCGCGAAGTTCTGCGACGTGCTCGGCGCGCCGAACGAGGACGTGAGTGCGCCACACTCCCCCCCCCTTTGCCTCGTCATGTCGGGCGCCGTGGCTGAGGCGGTCAACCACCCCCCGCAGGCATCGGTCCCTGAAGGGTTTGAGCCTAGCCCGGTCCCCGTCCGTCCCTGCGCGCCGCTCGCGCCCTCGTCACCACGCGCACGCGCGTGGTTTGTTGCAGGTGTGGCCGGGCGTGACGCAGCTCCCGCGGTACCGCGACCTGTCGTGGGGCAAGCAGAACAAGCGCAACCGCCTCCGCGAGAAGGTCCAGCCCGAGTCGTACGAGGCGCGCACCTTCTTCACTGACTCAGGGTATGACCTGCTAGAACGGCTGCTGACGTGGGACCCGAAACGACGCATCACCGCGCAGGACGCCCTGCAGCACCCCTGGTTCCAGGTGCGCGCCCTCCGCGACGCGTGTGGCCGCGCGCTGCGCGCACGTCGCTCTCGCAGTGCCGTGGTTGGCACGCGTCGGCGAGCTCTCTTGACGGCGCTGGACGCGCGTGTGGGCGTGCAGGAGCATCCGCGGCCGAAGCGGCGCGAGGAGATGCCGACGTTCAAGTCGCAGAAGTCGCGGGACATGCGGCACCGCAACAACGCGAGCTACTACGACGACGTCAAGCTGAAGATGATGAAGGCCGAGCGGGCGGGGCGGGAGAAGCAGGGCCTCTTCTAGAAGGCGTGGCGCACGCAGGGCACGCGCGTCCGCCGCGCGCGCTGGTGCTGTGACGCCAGAGAGAGTGTTTCGGGGTTGCTTTGCTAGGCGGTCCTGTAGCAGGCTGCGTGTGCGCACGCCGCGGTGTTTAGTCGAGCGTGGGCGGATCAGCTGGAGCGGGGCGGATCAGTCGCGGGGGCGTCTGGCAGGCCGTCCCGATGATTTGGCCCCGGGGAACGTCGCAATCTTTGATATATATACGATTGATATGTATATCAAGAGCTGGGAATGCTCACCCCGTCCAGGGGGGCGCTGTCTCAAGGAGGCCGCCGCGAGTGGAGGCTGTGTGTCCCCGGCGCACTCGCAGAGGACCGCCCGGCCTTTTTGTCTCCCGGGACGGTCCGAGCCGGGCTGTGTGAAAAAGAGGCCTGTCTCCAGGGGTGTCCGCACAGCCTGTGTGGCGGTTCCGGGACGTCCAGGGGCGGCCACTCGATGCAACTGGTGCATTCGTGATGCCGCGGTGCCGCTAGAGAGCTAGCTGATATCGTTCGCGGTGTTGGCGAGGAGCCCGCCCAGGAGCACCAGGGTCTCCTGTGGGCGAGTCAGGGTCCTACTTTGCGTGAGGACACCCAGCCGGTGCGCTCCCTGCATTGTGTCGTTTCCAGCGCGCGGGAACGACGCGTGTGCACGCCGTGGCGCGCAGAGGGCGCGCTTGGACTGTTTTGCGGTCCTGGGACTGGGCCACGCGTTGCCCTGCGCCCCGATGGCCGCGTGAAAGCAGGCGTGCAAAGGTGCTGGATTACGCCTGGCGAGTGCGCGCTGGGTCGGAAACGGCGCGACGAGGTCTGCCGCCGGGCGAGGGCGCAGTGGCACGCCTGGTGGCCCTCTCGCGGCGATGGCGCGGAATCCGCGACTGAACATCCATCAGTCTGTGCCGTGCCCGCACCTTGCAGGTTCGCTCCGCGTCCGGAGGGCGCGACGCGGAGTCCCCGCGCCTGTGGCTCTCGAGCGGCCTCATCTCAGTTTGAGGGGCTTTCGCATTCCCGAGCCCTCTCCTCGCTATCTCGGGCTGACGAATAGACCGGCACGCGGCCATTGCATTCGAGGATCGCCTGGCCAACGCCGCCGTCCACACCAAGGCGCCAGCGATGCACGCGCAGCCCTCCTCCCAGAAGGCAGCTCCCACGCCCACGTACGGCGTCCCCGGGTTCACCTCCGATCCGTACGCGTTCGATTCCAGCGCCTTCGGCATCGCGGGCGACACCGCAGGCGACACCCTGCCGCCCGGATCGCAGCCCCTCGCGGCGCCGGTGCCACACCAGCTTCACTCCCCCCCGCCGCGGGGCCCACACCAGCGCGGCTTCGGGGCCGCGAGCCCTGCGGCGCCGGCCTTCGGCACACCGAGCCCGCCGCAGCCCAGGGAGAACCCGGCACCGGCGCCCTGGGGCGCTGCGCCGACAAACGTGTGGGGCATATCAACTGCGGACAATGACGATGCTGCCTTCTTCGACACACTCGGCTCCGAGCCCGCAGCGCAGCAGCAGGAGCCTCCGGCCTTCCAGCGCAGCGCCGCCGCGCCGGACACCTCGCCGGTGCCGCAGGAGCCGCAGGCGGAGGCGCACGCACCGCTGCCCTCGCACCGCGCTCCTGCTGCGGCGCCCAGCGTGCTGAGCCCCGACCAGCTGGTCGTGGGCGTGGACACGTCGCAGCCGGACCGCCGGAGCTCCGGGGCCGGGCAGGCCGCGCGGGAGAGCGCGGCCACGCAGGAGAGCGCGGCCACGCACACACAGATGGGTGCGCAAGGCGGCGTGTGGCGCCCCGCCCCGGAGGCAGCTGCGAGCGTCGTCAGCCCGGACCAGCTCGTCGTGGGCGTCGACGCGGCGCCAGTGCACGGTGCGCGGCCTTCGGCCCCGACGCACGGGCCGCCAGAGCAGCAAAGTGTGCCGGCGGCGGCGCCGAGTGTGCTGGATCCGAGCGCGCTCGCGATCGGGTTCGCCGACGCGTCCACGCACCAGCCTACGGACGCGTCCACGAGCGTGCTCGACGCGGGGGGCGCTGCAGCGGGCCCAGCAGCTGCGAAGCCCGATGCGCAGAGTGCTGTGGTGCCGGGGGGGTTATTTGGAGGCTTCGAGGCGGAGGATCGGGGCGGCGATGATGCGGAGGGAAGCGGGATCGGTGCGTTCGAGGAGGCCGCGGGCTCGGGCGGGAGTGCGGTGGGTGCGGCAGGCGGCATGAGCTGGTGGGAGCAGCACGTGCCTGCGGACGCGAGCGCAGCGGAGGAGGACCGCTGGTGGGAGCAAACGAGCACGCCCGTCGCGCAGGCGCCACCGCAGCGGGCTGCGGAGGACCAAGGGCGTGCTGCGCCCCCCGAGGCTGAGGCGGTCCCTGCTGCGCCGCCGACGTCCGGATGGTACGCCTCGCACTCCGCCACGGAGAGCCGCAGCCTGAGCTGGCGCGGCAGCCCGGCAGGAAAGCAGCGGGCGAGCTGCTCCGTCGACGTACCAACCACCTGGGCCGCAGCGCCGCAGCCCGGGGGCCCGCGCGAGCCGCTGGCGGACGCCGACCCTAGCAGCAACGCAGGCGACGATGCGGCGCCGCGCACGGGACACTGGCCGCCGCCGGTGTGGCAGGAGGTCATGAACGGCGCGAGTCCGCTGCCAGCTGAATTGCCCACGTCGCCCCGCCAGCCCGCGGCGTCGACGCCAGCGGGCCCGGACGCTCCAACGAGCACGTACGAGGCGCGCAGGCCCGCTGCGTCGGCCGCGACCCCCCCCACCGTCGACCAACGCGCGCCATCTCCGGGTGCCGTGCATGGAGGCGCGGGCACCTCGGACGCCCTCGAAAGCAGCCAGGCCGTGTTCCTGGACGGCGGCACGCCGCATCGCGACGCGGGCGGCGAGCTCCCGATCCCAACGCCGGGCACGTCGGCGAGGGAACTCTACTCGCGGCACAGCGCCGCGGCACAGGCCGAGCTGGAGCCGCGCCCGAGCGCAGCGGGTCGGGACCGCCGCAGCACGGAGGCCCGCGAAGAGGACTCCCGCGCGGGGCGCGCGAGCCGCGGAAGCGCGGCCGGTGGCGGCGTTGTGGGGCTGAGCAAACGCACGCAGCAGTTTCTCGACAGGCTTGGAAGCCGTGGGGCGGCGGCGAAGCAGCGCCTTGCGGCGACGGCGCAGGACGTGACGCGGCGGGTATCGGTCAACCAGGACGCGCGAGCGTCCGGGCGGGCGGCGGAGTCGCGCAACGGCGACGGTGGCGAGGCGGAGGCGGCACAGGCCGCTGCGGGGCGCGTTGAGGCGCTGGAGCGGGACCTGGAGCACCTGCGCGGCGAGCTCGAGTCCTGGCGCGGGTACGCGCAGAGCATGGAGGCCGCGGAGGCGGCTGCGCGTGGGCACGTGGGTCAGTTGCAGAACGAGGTGGCGTCGTGGCGGAACGAAGCAGAACGCGCGGAGCAGCTCCGGAGGGATCTGGATGGCTTGCATGTCGAAGCTGAGGCGGCGCGGCGCGCCCGCGACGGCGCGGCGGCGGAAGCGGCGGAGCTGCGCGCGCAATTGGCGGCAGCGCTGGACGAGGTGAGCCAGGCGCGGGCGGAGGCGGCTGCGGCGGGCGAGGCGCGCGACGTCCTCGAGGGCCGCGTTGCGCAGCTCGAGGCGGACGTGCGCGGCGCGGAGGCTCTGCGAGAGGAGCTGCAAGCGGCGCAGGCGCAGGCGGCCGCGGCGGGGGCGCGGGAGTCGGACGGGGTGCGGTCGCGGCTGCAGAAGGCGGAGCGCGCGCTGGAGGCGGAGCGGCAGGAGCGGGAGCGGCTGGAGGGGCAGTATAAGAAGCTGACGTCAGGGCAGCGGGGGGGTCCTGCGTACGCGCAGCTGGAGGCGCACGTGGGGCAGCTGGAGGGGGTGCTGAGCGAGCGGGACCGGGAAATCGCCGGGCTTCGCGCCCAGATCGCGGTACGGCCACGCACCCTCACCTCACGTCGAGAGACACACTGTGTTTTTCACGTCATTGTTCCCCTTCTGTTTTGCCGCGTCTGTTTTCTTGCGTGATCCATCCCCCGGCCCTCAGCGCGTGACCGTGCAGAGCCTGGAGGAGGTGGTGAGCGACGCGCGCGGCCACGCGGCGCGCATGGAGGCTGCGGCGCACCACGAGACGCGGCTCCATGAGGAGGTGACGGCGCGTTGCAGCCTGTTGGAGGAGGAGCTGGACGCGCTGCGGCGCGGCGGGCCGCCGGGGGCGCTCGAGGACCTCGAGCGCGAGGTGCAGGGCGCGCGGAAGGCGCTCGCCGAGGCCAGGGCGGCCGCGGCAGTCGAGAAATCTCGACTGGAAAGTGCGCTGGAAGGCAAGGACGCGGAACTGCGGGCGGCGCGCGAGGAGCACGCGCGCGAGCTCGAGGGCGCGCGCGGGGACGCCGAGCGGGCGCGCGCAGAGGCCGCGCAGCTCGAGGCGCGCTGCGCGGAGCTCGCGGCTGCGGCGGACACGGCGCGCGCGGCCAGCGAGTCTCTCAACGCCCGCGTCGCGACCGCGCTCGGCCCGGTCGTCGCGGCGGCCTCCGAGGGCTGCGACGACGACGGGTACGGCATGATGGACATGCTCGAGGGGTCCTGGGCGGACGCGGCGGCCTCCGCCGAGCTGCGCGACGTCACCGACGCCATCGCAGCCCTGCCCCGCTCGCTGAAGCGCGCTGTTCTCGCGGAGTCGCTTGCGGGGCAGGAGCTCGCGCGGGTCGCCGCGGAGCTGCACCGCGCCAAGGCCCGCGAGGCCGCGTCCGGCCTGGTGGACGAGGAATTGCAGCGGTTGAGAGACGAGAATGTTCAATTGTCGTCGAAAGCCGCCATGGCTGATCCCGGGGCCGGCGCGGCGCTGCGGACGCGCGTCGGGGAGCTGGAGGAGGAGCTCGAGCGCGCGCGGGGCGAGCTGGAGCGCGTGCGGGCCGCGGAAGCGGACAAGGTGTGGCGCGGGGAGAGCGGCGGCGGGGTCGAGGAGAGCGCGGCGGTGCGGGAGGCGAGGGAGGAGGCGGAGTACGCGTGGTCGATTCTCGAGCGCTGCAAGGCGGAGAACTACAGCCTGATGGAGCGGCTGCGCAGGGCGCACGAGCGCGCGGAGGTGGCGCAGGGCGCGGCGTCAGCACCGCCAACGCCCCTGCAGGGCGTGCCGCTGAGCCCCGCGCCTGCGGGCAGCGAGGAGGCCGTGAACGGCGGGCACGAGGACGACCGGGCGGCGTACCAGGCGGAGGCGGAGCGTGCGCGGGAGGAGGAAGAGACCTCTGGGGGGGGTTGGAGCATCTGGTCGTACATCGCTGGAACGGCGTAGCAGTAGAAGAAGGAATCAGTATGATTTGATACGTGGGGCCGAGCCGCCCTTGCTGGCGACGGCAGGACGCGGTCGGCTGTGAGCCTGCGGGGGTGGTCAAGCGTTGAAAGGTGGTTGGCATTGTACTCGGTCGCAACTGTCCCCCGGGGGGGTCTTTGCTATGAGGGCAGCGCGGCGTGGGCTCGCAGAGACCGAGCTGCGTACACTGTGGTAGCTGAGCTGCATGAATTGAAAGGCTTGCGCGGCGACGGCGTGTTGCAAGGCTGCTTGACACAACGCTTGTGGCTGGGACACCGACTGGAGTCAAGGTGGGAGCGGACAACTCGCTCGCCGAGCGCTGCCCTTCGGGTTCAAGTCCGTGCGTCCGCACCGCTCCAAACGAGCGCTGGAACAGACAGGAAACCCAATCTACGATTGCGTTACTTGTATTTCATTCTTCACTCTCAAAGTGGCGCATCCTGGACAGCGCCAGCTACCTGAGGCCCGCGAGGGAGCTGCCGAGCGAGATAACCGCGTCCCTGACCGCGCCGCGCAGCCGCGCGAGCCCCGCCGGACACCGCGAGCCCTCCGCGTCCATCCACCGCTGCAACGCTACGAGCTGCCGCAGCAGGAGCGCGCACACGTCTGGGTCCCGCGAGGCGCGTTCCAGGTCCGCTGTTGCCCCGGTGGTGACGTCCGCGACGAAGCCTTCGAACCAGCCGTGCCCGACGGCCAGCAACGGCTGGAGAGTGGCGGCGGCGTCTGCGCTGTCCGCGAGCGCGTCGTGGAGCGCCGCGTGCCAGGCGAGGAACGCGGAGACCGCCGCGGCGGTGCGCTCGCGCGAGGCGAGCGAGGCCGCGTGAGCCAGGGCCTTGGCGTGCACTTGGAGTCTGCAAAAGATATCTCGCAGTGAGTTCAGTGAGTCTTGCGGCGCGTGCGCGGACCGACGGTTCCAGCGCGGCGCGTGGCTGGAAAGCGCGCAGGAGGAGCTACTCGGTCACGCAACGCTGCGCAAAAGCGCGGGGACGCACCGCGCGGCATGTTCGAGGTCGCTGAGTGCATCAAGAGCGCGAGCCGCGGCGTCCCGGCGGGCCTCCGTCGCCTCGGCGAGCGCGTGCGTGATGCTGGTGGGCAGATGGTCCGGGAGCGCGTCCGTTCGGGAGGCCTCGGACGCGAGGTTCGCGCGCAGGGCCCGGAGTTGTGCGCGGCTCGGCGCAGCCCCCTCCGCCGCGCACTCGGCGGGCTCCCGCCCCGCCTGCGCGCGCGCCCTCGTCGCACGGGTATTTCTCCGCCGGCTGAGCCTGCTCCGATCGTGCGAGGGGTCCGTCCGCGGCACAGCGCCGCCCCCGGCCCCTGCACCGTCGCCCGCCTGGCCGCGGAGCGCGCCCCTGCCCGGGCTGTTCTCCACGTACCACGACGCACCCGCCCTGTCGTGCCTCTGCGCGTACCCAGCCGCCGCAGCCCCGTCGCGGCGCGCGTCGCCCTCGCCCGCGACCCCACCGCTCTCAAGCGCAGCGATGTGCACCGGCGACCCGAACGGATGTCGCGCCCCGCTGCGGCCGGAACTTACCGCGCTGCCCTGCCCGACCGACTCGACCGGGGCCAGCTGCGGCGTGAACGGCGAGTACTGCGCCGGCGTCCCGCCGAACAGCGGCCCGCCACGCAGCACCGCCGGCGACGCGCTGTCGTCGTCGTCGTCGTCCGAGGCGACGCTGGCGCCCGCTGCCTGGCTCCGGAGGATCGCTTTCGCGGTGGAGAGCCCGAAGGCCGCCCCTGCGAGCGGCGGGGTCGCGGCCTCGCCCCACCCGCGCCTGCGACGACGAAAGACGACGTCGGCGTCGCTGTGATAGGCCCGTTCGTTGCTTGACTCCATGTTGGCTGACTGGCGGCCGGCGCGGGCGTCTACCGGGGCCCGGGCGGCGCTCGGCGCGTTGTCCCCGGGGCCAGGCGGCCTGAGACGGGCCCGCGGAGGGTAGAAATGTGACTCTTGAGGGATGTTTGGGTATAATGCCGCTCGAGGTGGGGCCGTGATGGCCGGCGGACGCGCTGGGCGGGCGCACTGTGTTGCGAGCTTGCGATCTCCCCGTCCTGGCGCCGCATCCGAAGCGCAGCGGGGAATCCGGCCAGCAAGAGCTCGAGCTGGTCCAGTTGCGGCACGATGGGCGCCGAGGCAGGCGACGCGCCACCGTTCCAGGCCGCGGGTCCGCCGGCGAAGCGTATTCGCCAGACGCTCGCGGACGGCACGGAGGTCGGGGACGTTCCGGACGACGTCCACGACACGTTCCGTTGGGCCCACGCTCAGCAGCACGACGGAGGCGGCGGCGGCGCGGGCGAGGGAGAGGCCGGGCGCGACGAGAAGGATGCAAAGAAGATGACGGTCGACGAGCTGATGGGCGACTTCCTCCACCGCGTCACGTCCGCACAGAGCGAGGTGCAGGTGTTGGCGGACCTCCTGTGTCGCCTCCTGGGCCCGCTCGCGCCGAACAACCCGGCGCCGGACGTCAAGGACGTCGCGATGCGCGGGCTCATGCAGCCCGTCCTCCCGGCGCTCGACACCATGGTCGAGGCCTCCGCAGTCGCCGTGCAGCGCACACTGGCCTCGGCGCGCACCTGCTCCGACCTGCTCGTGTCCGCCGCGGCGCGCCTCGAGCGCGACCGCACGCGCGAGCAGGCGTTCGTGGCGGACGTCCTCGCGCTCCGGCAGCAGGGCTGGCAGATCGACACGCACCCCAGCAGCGGCCTGCCGGTGGTGGACGTCGGGTTTGGCCCCGGGAACGCGGCAGCGACGCCGGCGCTGAAGCCGACGGTGCTGCTCGCGAAGAGCGCGGACGGTCGCGTGACGCCGCGGCTGTCGCACTCGCTCGTCGCGCTGCAGGTGCGGCCCCGCACAGTGTGGAAGCAGGTGCGCGGACGATGCGCGACCTAGGGGGGCACACGCACGTTGTGTGCCGCGTGATTGCAGCTCGCGAGCGACGTGGAGGCGCTCGAGGACGCGGTCGGGCACGAGGCGGTCGGGCGGGTCCTCCGGGTGCTGCAGCGGCGCGTGGCGGAGGCCATCGCTGTGCACCTGCTGCGCATGTCAGGTGCGCGAAACTCCCCCCTCCTGCCGCGCTGACCCCCCCGCTGGGAGACGCGGGGGCTCTGGGCGTCGGTCCGCGTGGACGCGGCGACAGAAGCTCCGCTATTTTGCAATTACATCTATATATATGTCAAGATATGTGCATGTTTGTATTTCTCAGTGTCTGCCGCCATTCGCGCCGCAGGCTACCGGTCCGGCGGGCGCGCGGACACGCTGCGGTTCCTCGCCGAGATCACGCGCGAGGGCTTGCCGTCGGCGCGCGCTGCAGCGACCGGCGCAGCCGCCCCTCGGAGCGCCGAGGGGGATTCCGGCACCAGCCTCGGGCGGCGGGCGCTGTGGGCGTTCTGCGTCGACTGCGCGCTCCGGCACGCGGAGCAGGAGTCGCTTCCGCGCGTGCACTTCGAGCGGGCCGCCGCGGGCGTGCTCCGTGGCCGCGCGGCCAGCGACGCACCCGGGGGAGTGTCGACGTGGACGGGGGGGCTGTTTCGGGGTATGATGGAGGAGCGGCTGGCGCGAACGGCGGCGCCCAAGCGCGCATGACGGTCTGTGCGTCGGCCGAGGCGGCCCCTGGGTCAGCCAGCGCGGGCAACCGCGGCCTGACTCAGGTGGGGGGGCCTGATGCGTCGCGCCCGCGCGTGCGTTGCGAGTTTGGGACCGGCGCGCTGCCCCGCCGCCCACATCGCGATGGCCGCGGGCGGCTCTGTGACGTCCGCGTCGTCGATTCAGCGGCTCCCGTAACGCGACGGGTCGCACGTACGCGGCGCAACAGCTGGCTGCGCGGGGGCGGAGCGCAATGGTCGCGGGTCCCCGGTGCGGCCGCACGTGCGGGCAGCGCCAGGCGGGGCTGATGGCCGCGGCGCTGGCGAGCCGCGTGATCAGCGAGGGGCCCACGCACGCGGGCGCCGCTGCAGCGTCATGTGCCGTGCCTGGGCTGGGGGCTTCTCCGTGCGGCGGGGTGCCGCTCGCGCGTGGCTTCATGCGGCAGGTGTCCGGAGAGCGCGTTGCGCGGGCCGTAGCGGCTGATGCGGCGCGGTATCCCGGGGGAACGGCGGCGCCGAGGTGTGTGCTGGGGAGGACGGTGGTGACCGCGGCGTCCGGGGCGCCGGCGAGCGGTGGTTGGCTGACCGAGCGGATCTTCAACAAGGATTACGACCCGCCGATGATCGTCGAGCGCGCCCTCGAGCTCGAAGACGCGAAGAAGGTTCGGAAACCTCACCGCGGCCTCGCGGGGCGACCTAGCGCCGCCCACGGCCCCGTGCGCCCTCCCGGCTTCCTGTCCGTGTGCCGCGCCGCTCGAACCGAGCGCGAGAAGGTGTTTGCGCGCGTGTCTGACTCGTGCGCGCAGGCCTTCCTGGGCGTACAAGGCAAGAATTGGTTGCACCCAGCGGGGCTTCTGAAGCCGTCTGACCCGTGCCTGCGCACGGACCTGAGCCTGCTGCCGTTCCTGTGCTTCGACTTCGAAGCGAACGTCACCGTGCGCGTCGTCCGCGGCCGCGCGGGCCGGTCCGACCCCGCCCCCGGCGCCACTGTGGCACCTGGGCGCGTGGTGTGGGAGGAGGTCGCGTGCGTGCAGCTCGGGCGCCGATCCTGGCCGTGGCACGCTCCAGAGTCACAGGTTCGTCCTCCGCGCCCCCGCACGCCCCCGACCATCGCGCCACCCGCCCCACGACGGCCCGAACGCGACCTTCTGCATCAACCGCGCGGCGTCCGACGCCCCCGCGGCACCGCCCGCCGCGTCTGCGCGCAGGTCTACGCGTCCTACAAGCTCAGGAGGGACCTCGCGGAAGCGGCGCGGCTCCCCGGCAACACCAGCCTCGCCACGGCCAGCAACGTCCTAGTCCCCCCCGCAGACGCCCTCGACGGCGCCCAGCGGCTCACCGCGAAGGACTGCTGGCCGTGGAACGCCGCGGCCGTGCAGGCCGGTGCGTCCGCGACCGTCGGTCCGACGGACAGGGACGTTCCGAGGTACAAGCATATGCCGCTGGACCCCCCCGACATGTCCGAGGGCGTCGCCTTCGAGCTCATGCTGCGGCGGCTGCGCGCGTCGATCGCCAAGGCGCACGCCGCGGTCATGACCGAGTCGGACTCGGAAGGTGCGCGCCCCACCACGCAACGCACCCAGCGCAGCCGCACGTTGCGCCCTGCGGCACGCGCCGCGCACGAACCGATCCCGCCGCTGCGCGACCGCCCGCGCAACTGTCGCGTACCCCGCGTGCAGAGGGCGACGCGAGCGTCAACGCCGACGCGCCGGCGCGGCTCGAGGAGGTGCTGGTTGACTTCACGGACGTAGAGAGCCGGTGCCGCTACGTGCTGCTGCCGGCGTACCGGCTGCGGTACTCGTTCCTGGACCGGCCCGGGGAGGTCGGGGAGCGCAAGGCGCAGGAGTTCGAGGCGATGATCGGCGCCGGAGCGTACGTGCCCTGCGCTGTGCCGCGCGCGCCACCCCTCGGGTTGTGCGCTTGCTCCGCAGCCCATCGCGTGTTGCACGGCGGAAATGTGCGCGTGCTTGGGCTGCTGTGCGCAGGCCCAACCCATCGGTCGTGTGCGAGCGGCACGTGTGTCCGCGGAAGGCCGGCGTGGCGGCGGCGGGTGCCGTCGGGTCGCTTGGCGTGGCGTCCCAGGGCCTCACGGGCGCGTTCTTCGCCGGCGCGGGCGAGGCGGGCGAGGCGGCGGCGGCGGTGGCGGCGTCCAACTCGGCGCTGGCCTCGACGGGCGAGTCCGTCGTGATGGCACTGCAGACCCTGGGGGTTGAGGGCGGTATTCTAGGTGCGCTGACCCGCGCACGTGGCACGGCGTGGCACCCCAGCGAAAGAACAGCTCGGCGAAAGAGCGCCGCGGCGTTTTGCTCGCGCTGCTTCGCTCTTATTACTATTTGTGCGAAGATGATGCAATGAGAGCGTGAAGGCCCGTGGGGGGAGTTATGAAGGCGTTTCTTCTTGTTTTTGGCGTGCTGCGCAGCTGCGTTTGCGGCGCTGGTGGCGGGCACGGCTGCGCGGCAGTTCACGAGCGCGCACCGCCGCATGGAGGAGCAGCGTCGGGAGGTGGGGGAGGGGGAGGCGGTGGCGATGTACTCGGTGGCAGCGGGGGCGACGGGGGGCGCGGGGGGCGCGGGGGACGCGGGCGCGGCGCTGGAGCACGACGCGGCGGTCGCGCGGAACGAGGAGCGGGAGTGGCGGCGCTGGGAGGAGGCGGGGCGGTGGCGCTGGGACAGCGGGCGGCGCGGGGCGTGGGCCGAGGACATCTTGAAGCGGCAGCGGGGGCGGCGGGAGGCGCGGGCGCGGTTCATGGAGACGCTGGAGCGCGAGGCGCAGAGGTGCGACGCCACGGTGTCATGCCGGTCGTTTGCTGTGCGTGTGGTTGCTTGGCACGTGTGCGCTGACTGGGCGGCGCGCGCGGCGTTGTTTGTGTGCCAGGGCCGCGGAGGCGGAGCAGCGGGAAGTGCTGAAGCGGCTGAAGTACGGGCCGCGGGAGAGCGGCGCGCTGCACGGGAGTCCCACTGCGGGCATGGGCCGCGGGGTTGCGGACCCTCAGGGCCTGTACGCCGCGCTGGGCTTGTCGCCGAGCGCCGAGGGCGGTCCGAGCTTCGAGGAGGTCAAGGCGGCGTTCCGCAGAGCCGCGCTGGAGGTGCGCATGCGTCGCAGCCACCACGCGCCCCTCTGTTGCAAGTCTTTGTGTGCTGGTTCGTGCGACGCGGCGGGCTCTCGCGTCTGGACTGCCGCGGAGCCCCCACTCCGCCTTCTGTGCGTGGTGCCGTTCGCAGTATCACCCTGACGTGGCCAGCGGGGACTCGGTGGTCGCCAGGGGGCCGCTGCAGGGCATGCCGCGCGCTGATGCCTTCCGCAGGGTGCAGGCGGCTTACCGCGCCCTGCGAGACCCGCGGCTGAGGGAACTGTACGATTCGGGCGTGCCCGTTGGGGGCGTGTGAGGCGTCGGCGAATGTGGCCTTGAACAGGATGCGGGTGCACTTTTCCCGGATTCGTCCCTGTCCGTGTGTTGATTGGAATGCGCGGGAGCCCGCGTAGGACTGGCGGCGCTGTCTGATGTAATCGCGGGGATCGACGCGTTCGCACGGCACCCGCAACAACCTCCGCTCTCGACGCAGCGCTGCTGCGAGTGGGCTGAAGGCAACGACAGCGGTCGACTACCTCCACGCAGATGTCATAGTGGTGTTTTGGTAGTTCGCCCGACCTATAAGCACCCTCGCCGTGAGGATACTCACAGCGACAGAAATGGTGCGGCAGAAATGGTTTGTTTTTGTACTTCGCTGACCTACAAGCACCCTCGCCGCGAGGACGCTTGAGCGACCGAAATGGTACAGCAGGCGAGACTCACACAGCAGACAGGGTGGACAATGTGAGCAGTCATGCATGTCGGACACACCTGCACGACGGTGAGACAATGCGGGGATCGTTCAGGAAGCGCACAGCAAGGCACCCAGAGTAGTAATTGACCACCCGCGCACGAAACGAAATGCGGGTGTGCTATCGTCCTGATCAAGGCGGCAGCGTGCTAGGAGTACTCGCGCGAAATGCCATGTGAGCGTGCCATCATGTGCCAAGGGAAGGCTCTGACCTGCAATCAGTTAGAGTGAGTGGCGGCCGTCGTCAGCAACAACGCGGCGAGCCGCGCGAGTACTGGACGACGCCCGCCAGCCGACGCGCCGAAGTGCTGGTCCACGTCCTAGGCTGCTTGTACCAGGGGGTGTCGGCAGCCGGCTGGGTGACAGCGGTGACCGAGTCTGCGGCATTGTCCGCGTTGTGTGGCGACGCGCCGACGGCTACTCAGCTCTCCTCGTCATCGCCGTCCCCCGCGCGTGGCCCGTCATGCGAAAAGGGATCATACCTCGGTTTAGCGGCCACGGAATACGCGCATGGCCAACATGTCAACATCGGGGGGGTAACAGAGTGCGTCATGTGTGCGGGCACGGCTGGATAGTTCCGAGCCAGCTCCGCAGCGCCGGGATCATGTACGAGGGCGTCGAGTTGCAGGGCGCTGGGCACGCCCTGTCAGCAGGTTGGCCGGTATGGTCTGCAAACTGCACGTGGCGACGCACGAGGTCCGCCAGGCCCGCCGGCGTGGCAGGGCCGAAATGCGGACTCGGGTGCGTCCGGCAGGCGGCGCGGTGGATCGCCAGGACCTGTCGCATGCAGTAACCTCGATGCGTGCGCATGTAGCGCATCATGGCCGACATCTTGGCTACGTAGCTGTCGCGGTCAGTCACCTCGCTGGACACACGGATGTGTTCGGTGCGGACGATGTTGAAAAGGTGTCGTCGTAGCAGCGCACACGAAGCGTGGGGGCACTGAATGAGGTGAATGTTGTCAGGAAACAGACCGCGTTTGTCATAGTGCGAGATCAGGAGGAAGCCCTGATATTCGGGATGCGGACGCACGCGGACGCACCCTCCCCGCGATAGTTCTTCGCTATAGTTCTTCGCTATAGTACTTCGCTGACCTACAAGCACCCTCCCCGCGAGTACGGGCCAAACGTTCCTTCAAGGCAACATCACACGGCGTGTCTCACGAGAGGCACTTAGACGCCAATGAGGTCGTAGTAGTTATAGTTCTTCAGGTCGAACCCGGCATGGGGAAACCTTGCACCGCTGGCCATGTGTCGTTGAGTTTTGAGCGCCCGACTAGTGGCGCAGTGGCGGCTCGTTTGCGTCACGGGCAGCGAGCGGCCTCCCAGCAGTGCGCTGGGACAGCCCGTCGTGCACAGATGGTCGCAGCGCCTAGTGGCCGCAGCTGTCATGAAGCCGCATGGCGCAGGCTGTCAAAGAGGTTTGAAATACGACACGGTCGGTCCGAGCGCCGTCGGCCGCCGCACGCACTGGCCCCTGGGTGAAGCTGGCCGGGGGGAGCTCGTAAGCGTCTGCCTGGGTGAGAGTGAGCGTCGGGAACCTAAGAGCATGGCTTGGGTGTTCAACAGGGCGTCTTCTGTCCACGAGCCAAGGTCTTCGGCTTGGCGGTGCGGATACAGCGGTCACCAATGACAGGTGAGCTCGTTCAGGGGGCATGGCACGCGCTCGAAAGGAGCGATGTCGTGTGTGCCAGGGCTCAGTAGAGATGTGGGCGACATTGCCATGTGGGTGAGGGGTGGGGTGGGTGGGGTGGGTGGGGTGGGACGCCACGGAGCCGAATTGGGGGCCCTCGCACCGCACCGAGCATCTTCGGGCGGCGTGTGTCTCTCGAGTTTTGCCAGGCCAGGGCAAGGCAGCTCCCATGAGCTCTTGTGCCTGGAGCGTGGGTGTGACTCCCTCGGCTCCGCTGTGTGTTAAAAAGCGCGGGAACGCAGCAGCGACGTGCGCGAGGGGGTGGAGGGGTGGTGGTGGGACTGGGCATCCCTGGGGTGCGGGGGGTTGCACGGTGCCCTCCCTCCGCAACCCCGGGCGGCCAAGGCCACACTTGCGGAGACGGCAACGAACGAGTTGCCGCTCGTCGTGTGCCCGGCAGCGTGCCTGGCTGACGGGTGGTGTGTTGATGCTTCATCTTCTCAGAGGGGGGGTCGGGAGCGGTAGAGCGGCGCTGTACAGGCGCGCCTAACTTGGAGAGAGAGGGCGTCTAGAGAGCTAAGCCTGCGACCGCTGGCACCGCAGCCACCACCGGTGAGGCTGCGGGCAGCGTCCGCGCTGCAGCGGTCCCGTCCTCGACGCGGCGAGGGGGCGGGGGGCCGCCAGCGGAAACGTGATGTTATGTTCTTTCGAAAGACGTGCTTGCGGGTGTGCGGTGCCGGTAGGATGCCTTCTCCCGAGGAGGGCAAGCGCGTGCACAGTCAAGGGCGATTGCCGGCGCGCGCTCGACACACGAGCCGCGCGGGTCGCTAGGCGCCGCCGGCGCGGCGCAGCGTGGGGGCTCTGCAGACCCGCGGCCGGCGGCGGGGGGGGTGGGGGGAGGTTGCAGGAACAAGGGGGCGGGGGGGTTATGATAGGTGGGGCGGGGGGGAATGCGCATGTGTGGGGCGAGGAGCGCCGCCTGTGGCGCTTCACGCGTGCGAGGTGCGCGTCTTCGCGGCCGGGTCGTTGTCGTCGAGGCCGAGCGGGGGCAGAGCGGAGGCGGCGGCGTCCGTCGTCTCCACGCCGCTATACTCGTGCGAGGCGCCGTCGCCCGACCCGCTGACCGGCGCTCCGAACCTGAGCCCGTCCGAGGCGCCCGGCGCGGCGGTCGACGCCGCGGAGAACCCGAGCGCCTCGCTGGCGGCCTGCAGGCTCGCCGGCGGCGGCGCTGCGGCCACCCCGGCCAGGTGCTCGCCGGCGCGCTCGCTCTGCGACCCGAGCGCGCCCGGCGCGCCCGAGAGCCCGAAGCTCGTCGGCGCCGCCGAGTGCTGCGGCACGCCGGGCTGCGCGTACCCGGACAGCGTCATCATACCCATCATGTCCGACAGCTGCTGCGCCGACACCCCGTACGGCGACTGCTGCTGCGCGACGCCCGGCGCGAGGCCGCTCCCGGGCGCCCCGCCGAGCATCCCGGGAACCATCACGACGCCCTGCGGCCACGGGCTCGCCGGCGCGCCGCCGGCCGCCAGCCCGCGCGGCATGCCCACGCCCAGCCCGGGCGCGCCGCCGCCGACGCCCACGCCGTCGCCGCGCGACACGGCCGCCTGGCCCATCGACCCGAGCGCGGCGAGGCCCTGGTGCGCCCTCTGGTCGCCCGCGAACGCCGGCATCGGGTAGTACACCATCCCCGGCGCCATCCCCGGCATTTGCGGCGCCTGGCGCACGTCGTAGCCCAGGGGCATCCCGGAGACGCCGCCCTGCATCATCTGGACGCCGGGGAGCATCCCGGGGACCTGGGCGGCGGCCGCGGGGCCGAGCCCGCCGGCCATGGCCGCCCCGCCGCGCATCCCGGCGCCGGGGCCGCCCTGGCCGCTCACGTTGAAGAGGTAGGGGTTGCGGCGGTTGTGTTCGGGGGGGCCGTACTCCATGACCTCGCGGACCATCTCCTTGCCGCGCAGGACCGCGTCCGCGGTGCCGATCAGGATAATCTGCAGGGGGGAGCGAGGGGCCAGAGTGGGTGCTTGTGTGTGTGTCGCGTGCAAGGCGTTGGGCGGGGCTGGCGGGACGCGGGGGTCGCGGGGGCGGACCTTGCGGGGTGCGTTTTCGGGCACGTCCTGGTTGATGAAGATGCGGGCGCCGGAGCGGATTTGCAAATTGGTGATGGTCTCGCCGCCACGTCCGATGACGCGACCGACGAGGCGGGGCGGGCAGTCGATCTCCTCGCGCGCGCGCATTGGGGAGGCGATCTCCGCCTCGTACAGCAGCCTGCGGGGCGCGCGGCGGCACGAACGCGTTGGCGCGCGAGGCGGCGGGCGGCCAACTACTCGCGGCGGTTACGTGCGCGGCGTCCCCGGCGGCTGCGGGGCCGCAGGTTCGATAGAGCGCGTCGACCGGGGGCGGCCTGCGCCGGGAAAGATCGCCTCTTGCTGGGTGGCGCGCGTGGGCGGTGGCGGGCGGCGACGCGAAAGGGCCCGCCTCATGTAATCAGGCGGTTGGGCTCGCGCGAACCTGTGAACGGAGGCCGCAGACGGGTCGCCCTCCTCCATAATTTGCTTGATAAGGTTGAGGGCCATTTCGACGGACCGCTTGGACCCGGAAGCCATCACGCGGTCGCCGTGTTCGCTCTGTTTCCCCTGCAAGCGACGGGGGAACGCGGCCGCAGGCTCACGCTTCGGCGCGGACGCTGGCCGCCCCTCGTCCTAGCAGCAGGAAATACCGGAAAAGAGCGCGTCGCGCGCGAAACCCGGGTGTCGGTCGCGGCACCCGGGCCGGGTCCCCTGTGAAGGGTTCCTTCGCGTCTTCCGGCGCCCTCGGGCCACACAAGGCGCCCGAGGCAGGCGGACCGCGCGCAGCGAGCGCAGCTCCACGCTTCGCGTCGCAGAGCAGCGCGCGGTGCGGACCCAGCCGGCGCGGGGCCCGCGGGTGGGCACGGCGGCAAAGCAGGGCGCCGCGCGCTCACCTTGACGATCACCCAGACCCGTGCGCCGGTCTGCTCTTGTATGGCATGCACAAGCTGTCCTCCGCGGCCCATCATGCGCCCAACCATGGTCGGCGTGCACTGAATCCAGCCCTGGTAGTCGTGAGACGCTTTCACCAAGTGAATAGACTGGTCGTCGCGCGCCTCGCCAGCCCCCTGCGGCGCCTGCTGCTCCGCCCCGACTTCCTCGCGCGGAGGGGCGCCGGCGAGGTCGCTCGCGGGCGGCTGGGGCGGCAGGGGCCCCAAGGTGGGCTGCATGCCGGGCTGGTAGCTGGGAACCAACGGCGGCGCTGCGGTCGTCATGGGTGATCCAGACGACAGCGGTGGACGGTGGTCCATCTGCAGATGCAAGTGTGCCCGGGGCGCCGCGCGCGTGGGGCCTTGCGGACGAGGGGGGGTGCGGCCGGGGGCTGCTGGGCGGAGACCTGGCCAGCAGCTGTCAACTGGCGGGCCGACGCGCCGGGCCGTGCGAGCGCGCGGCCGCGGGGGGCGGCCGTGAATGGATCAGAGTCGGGCGTGCGGGGGGCGTCCCCGGGCGGGCCGCACGGGGCCCGGAGGAACGAAAAGGGAGCTCGATTGAGCTCGGGCCACGACGGCGCGGGCTGTCCGGGGATGCACGATGCCGCCGCCCGGGAAGCCATCGGGCGATCGCTGGGCGTAATCGCGTCCGCGACCGCAAATCCGGGCCACGGCAGGCGGTGAACGGCCAGATGGCGCGGCGGTGGCAACAGGGGGCTCCGGCGGCGCGTTGGGTGAAGAAGTTGGTGCGTGGCGGCGCGGGGGACGAATATCGCGACGGACGGGGAATCTTACCGTGGCGGCGATCGGCTTTATGCCGGAATCGACCGCTCCTGCGAAGAGCCCCGAACCGAGGCCGAGTGCCCGTTGCGGATCACCGCGCTGGACTCCGGGCGCCTCGGGAGAGCAAGAGCTGAATGCGATGTCGCCAGCCACGCCCACCGCCTCGTTTCGGGCGCGCTCCCGCCAAACCAGCTCTAGAGGCCAGCTCAGACGCAGGGCTCCCCGCCACGCCCGAAGCAGTGCCCGCTGACACCTAAGACGCCCCTCTGGTTCCCCTAGAAGCCTCCGCGGCCGCCTCCCTCGCGACTAGACTGTGCCCGGCGGCGCGCCGGGGCGGCCCGAAGGCACCCCGCTGTCGCCCCCAAGCCGCACCCCGCCCGACCCCCCCCACCCGCGCCCTAGCCCGCGCACCCGTGCGGCCACCGCGGCTCCTCTGCGGCCCCGCTACCGCACTGCGGGCCCGCTGCGCGCCCGGCCCGCCCCGACGCGTGCACGACGTGTCACCTCCGGAGTGCACTGCAGCAGTCGCCCGCGCTCTCCCGCGCTGGGACGCAAACGCCGGGTGACGCGCGGACCGGCATGTCCGTCCCACGCATGTGCCGCCCGCGCGCAGCACGGGCGGCCGGGCTGGACGCGCGTGCGGCTGTTGCTAGTCACGTGTTGTCAAAGGGGTAATCGAGAAGCACACTTGGCGGGCGAATTATTCGGAACACGAAACGAGGAGTAACATCCAGCCCAAGCCGTGCGCAGCGTGCACCGCCTCGCGCTCGGCCCCGCGTGCGCCGCTCAGTCGTCCGAGGCCGCGGGCCGCCCGCTCAGCCCGCCCACGCCCTCGCCGCCCGCGCCCGCCTCGCTCCACGACCCGCGCGGCAGCGCCGGCGACGTCGGCGGTGGGCCAGGCTTGCTGTCCGCGTCCCTCGCATCCGCGCGCTCTGCGAAACCAACCGACGGGACGGGCCGTGAGTACGGAACCGCCCCGCGCGAGCACCGCACCGCCGCGCACCGCGGCGCCCGGGCCGCTATAGCAGCACTTGTGCACCCTGCTCGGGCGGGCACCGGGGGACCATGCAGCGGCGAAACCACCGGCACGGACCAGCAGATGTGGCGGGCAAACGCACCCTGTCGGAGGCGGTTTCTCCGCGCGATGATCTCCCGCTGCCGGTCGCTCTGTGCGCGCACGCGCTCCATGTTTTCTCGCATCGCCCTCCCGAGCGCCTCCTCCTGCCGCAGCCGCGCCTCCTCGCGCAGCGACTCCACCCACTCGTACTCCGGCGTGCCTGCGTGCGGGGCGCGAAGCGGCCGCCTCGGGGCAGGCGGGGGGCTGCGCGCGGCGCGTGGCGCGCCATACTGGGGCGCTGGGCCGGCGAGGGCGCGCAGCAGGCGACATGAGCGCCGCCCCAGCTCGCCGTCGACGCGTGCGCGTGCGCGTATCGAGCGAGCGAGCAGGGAATGGGAGGGGGGGAGTGTCGCGACACTCGTGGCGCCGTGCGGACGCGGACGTAGGCCGCGCGGCGCGCACCTGGCTTCGGCACGTAGTTCTTCGAGTACGGTCCCATCCGCAGCGGCTGCGACGCCACGTCCCCCGTGATCACCCGCACCCACCCCGCGACCGTCAACCCCACGCCCGCCAGCACGCACCCCGCCACAAACATCGCCGGAATGTTGCTGTTCGTCCGCGCCGCCCGCTGCAAACACAAACCGCCGCGGCGCGAAGGTCGCGACCCGCGCAACGCCATCCCGGGACCGCAACACACAACCCTGCAGTCACGCGCATCGCGCCGCGCGCCGCCACCCGCACCTGCCACCCGTACGCCGCGTACGGCCCGCTCTGGTACCACGCGCTGCGCCCTCCGTACCCCTGCCGCTGCCAGTTATACCCCGCCGACCCCGCCCCCGGCCCCCACTGCCCCTGTGTGTACGCGCTGCCCTGCGCCCCCGGGCGCCCGCGCCGGTGCCACTCCCCGTACCCGTGGTCGCTCGTGCTGTTCCACTGCGACCCCGGCCGCGCCCCGCTCGTCGTGCGCCCGTGAAGCAGCGCGTCGGCGGCCTCCTTCACTTTGACAAACTTTGTCGCTGCAGCCGAGGACGGGTCCTTGTCCGGATGGTACTGCATCGCGGCCTTCCGGAACGCCTTCTTGATGTCATCCCTGCAGGAGGGGTTCGCGGGGCCGGGTCGGAGGCATTTAACGGCGCAGCTGTGCGGAGCGTCACTTCGCGGGGGGCACCAGCCACTTGGGGCGGGCGTGGCCGCGGCTCGCACGGCTAGCGCGGTCGCCGCGATGCGCTCTGGAGAGACGACACCGCGTGGACGGCGTGCGGGCGGGAGTCGACGCGCGCGGGCCGCGGCGCCGCGCGCGCGCGGCCGTGATGCCGCGCGGCAGGGAGGCGGGCGGAGCGCGGGCGGGAGCGAATGCGGGGGGAGTTCCGCGGACCTGCTGGCTCCATGCTTGAGTCCCAGCACGCCGAGCGCCTCGTCGTGCCTCATGGCCGCGGCGCCCGGTCAGGAGAGGCAGGAGTGCGTGGGGCCCGAGCGGGGCCCGAGCGCGGGGCGTACAAGGGGGGCAGGCAGGGCACGCGCGGCCCTCCCCGGCCTCAGCGGATCCCAGGCGCCTCCGCGACAGCTTCTGGAGCCAGACCTCCCACGCACAGTCTCTCTAATCGGCGGGAGCTGGCACTTCAGGTGCTGATTTAACTCCGTCCGTGCGGCGCCTCTCGCGCCGGAAATCAGCGCGTGGACCTGCCTCGCTCGCGTGCTGTCGCGTCCTGGCTCGGCGGGCGCTCGACCGCAGCAGCGGCTGTCAGGACACCCCTGGGGCTCTCGCAGGGGGAGGTCCGCGGGCCCTGAAATCAAGCATGGCGACTCCGGGCACAGGTGACGCCCGGGGATGCGTGGCGCGCCAGTGCCTCACAGCGCCGTCGCTCCTCCGTCGCTCGCGACTGTAGTCCCGCGTTTTCGCGCACGGCACGGCGCGCGGCGGGCGGTCTGGAGCGATGGATCACGCGTGCGCGGGACGGTATGTGGCGCGCGCAGCCCGCAAGGCGTCGCGCACAGCATGTCCTGCTTCTACTGGTAGCCCGCACCGCGTCGGCCCGGGCCTGCATCGCCACCGGCCGCTCGTGGGCGCTCGAGGCCGTGCCCAGCGGCATGCAGCGCGCGACGCTGGCGCCGGTGCTGGAGAATGGGGGCGCTGCCGTGCCCGAGGCGAATACGCTAGACTGGCTCGAGCGAACGCGGCGCTGTCGAGCGCGGAAGGAGGAGCGGACGGCAAGGTGCGGGCGCGACTCGAGGCCACAGCGAACCCCTTCCTTACGGGCTCGCCGCGCTCACGCACGGTGATGTTTCGGGGAGTTTCCGCGACCCACGTCCCGCGCAGCCCTCGCGGCACGTCTGGAGCGTAGAAATCGACCGATCGATCGAGTGTCTGTTTGGCATTTTTCCAGACAACTGTCCATGTCGTCCAGCAGTCACTCTCGCACGTGCGACGCCCCTGCCCGCAGGACCTCGCGCCGGGGCTGTCGCGCATCGTCATACCCACGGCGCTCGCCCTCATGCTCTGCAACATGGACCGCATCTGCATGTCCGTCGCCATCCTACCCCTCTCCACCGCCATGGGATGGGCGCCGTCAGGTCGGTACCCCCCCCCCCTCTCCCAGCCCACCCGCGCACCACCGCTTGCGCCCGAACCACGCGCGCGCCGCCTCGAACCGCCCGCAGTCCAAGGCGTCGTCCAGTCGGCGTTTCTGTGGGGGTACACTGCCACGCAACTCATCGGCGGAGCGCTCGCGGACCGTTTCGGCGGGAAGGCCGTCCTGGCCGCGGGCGTCGCGTGGTTCTCCGCGGCGTCGCTCCTCCTGCCCGCCGCGCTGTCGGCCCCGGTCGCAGCGGCCGGGCTCAGCCTCCCCGCCGTGCTCGCCGCGCGCGCCGCCGTCGGGCTGGGCGAGGGCGTGGTGCTGCCGTCGATGAACGCGCTCGTCGCGCGCCTCGTCGCGCCGTCGCGCCGCGCGACCGCGCTCGGGGCCTGCTTCGGCGGGTTCCATTCAGGCAACCTGGTCGGACTGGTGCTGTCGCCTTTGATCTTGCAAACGCTCGGGTGGCAGTGGCTGTTCTTGATCTTCGGGCTCCTCGGCGCGCCGCTGCTGCTCATGTGGCAGAAGGTCGTCCCGGAGGTGCCGCGCGCCGAGGCGCCCGGCGGCGGCGCGGGCGCCGCACAGCCGTCGTTGGCGCAGCTGTTGCGCAGCCCAGCGGTGTGGGCGATCGCGGCGGCCAACACCGTCAACCACTGGGGATACTTCTTCTACCTGAACTGGATGCCGACGTACTTCACGCGCGCGCTGGGGCTCGACATGGGCGCGTCGTCGTTCGCGTCGTTCGTGGCCTGGCTGGCCATGGCGGTGGGGTCGTCGCTGTCGGGCGTGATCGCGGACGGCATGGTCAGGCGCGGCACGCCGACGCTCGCCGTGCGGAGGATCCTGCAGTCGCTGTCGTTCCTCGCCCCGGCCGCGACGCTGACCGTGATCGCTGCGGCGGGGACGTCGCTGACGCCGTTCGCCGCGACGGCGCTGCTGACGGCGGTGCTGAGCCTCAAGAGCCTCGGGCAGGCAGGCTTCGTCGCGAACATGAGCGACATCGCGCCGACTGCGGCGGGCAAGGTGTTCGGCGTCTGCAACACCCTCGGGTGCCTGTCGGGCACCGCCAGCGCCGTGGTGACCGGCGTCGTCGTCGAGAAGACGGGCTCGTTCTCCCCCATCTTCCAGGCCACGGCCGCCCTGTACCTCGTCGGAACGCTCGTCTTCTGCCTCTTCAGCTCCGCAGACCGCGAATTCTAGACCGCAACTCTAACCTGCAGATTGACACGTTAATCGTCGCACGCGCGGGCCAGCGGGCACCTCCGCGCGGTGCGCACGCGACGGGACACCGCGCCGTCGTCTTCAGCCCCACGGAGGCCCAGCACCGAGCTGCTCAACGCGCACGAACCCCCACCGTCGTCGCTCCCGACGACCCATCGGTCACACAGAGTAGTAACTGACCACCCGCGCACGAAACGAGACGAAATACACCACCGGTGACTGTGAGCGCGTCACAGCCCGCCCGCGAGACCGTCGGTCAGTCAGTCGGTCAGCCCCCCCGAGAGTCCCCCACCTCGGACTGCATGCCCGTGTCGGCTACGAGGTCGTCCACCGACACCTGCCGCGCCCACATCTCCGCGTACCGCCCGCCCAGGTCCAGCAGCTCCTGGTGCGACCCGAGCTCCACGACGCGCCCGCCGTCCATGAACGCGATGCGGTCGCACTGCGCGGCGGTCGACAGGCGGTGCGCGATGAAAATGGAAGTGCGGTCGCGCGCGAGGTCCGACAGGCTGTCCATGATGTCCCGCTCGGTGCGCGTGTCCAGCGACGACGTGGCCTCGTCGCACAGGAGCAGCTGCGGCTGTTTCAAGAAGGCCCGCGCCAGCGCCACTCGCTGCTTCTCGCCGCCGGAGAGCTTCAGGCCTCGCTCGCCGACCATCGTGTTGTAGCCGTCCGGCATGCTGAGGATCTGGTCGTGGACGTGCGCGCGCCGGGCCGCCTCGAAGACTTCCGCGTCCGTCGCAGACAGGTTTCCGTATTTGATGTTGTACAGCACCGTCTCGTTGAACAGGGGCATGTCCTGCGGCACGACGGCGATGTGCTTCCGGAACGAGTCCAGCGTGAGGTCGCGCAGGTCCTCCCCGCAGATCCGCACCGACCCCGCGGCGGGGTCGTAGTGCCGGAAAAGGAGTTTAAGCACGGTGGACTTGCCCGTCCCCGACGGCCCGACGATCGCGCAGCTCGTGCCGGCGGGCACGGAGAGCGAGAACTGGTCGAGGATCTTCGTGCCGGGGCGGAACCCGAACGACACGTCGCGGATGTCCACGGACAGCCCGGGGGAGTGCGCGGGCACGGCGAGGGCGCGGGCGTGCGGCGCCTCGCGCACGTGGGGCTCCTCGCGGAGGAGCTTGAACATGGCCGACATGTCCGTCAGGGACTGGCGGCCCTCGCGGTACACGGTGCCCAGGAAGTTGAGGGGCAGCGACAGTTGGAAGAGCAGCGCATTCATCATCACGAGGTCTCCGACTGTGAGCGTGCCGGCCTGCACGCCCTGCGCCCCGAACACCATCGCTGCGAGCAGCCAGCGGGCGCGCGCAGCCGTCGCAACGCGTCGCCGCGGGCATCACGTCCGTGCGCGCGAGCACCACGCGTCCCCCATGGCATGCAGCGGCGGCAGCAACGGTCCGGCGGCCGGACGTCGTGCGCGCGCGAGCGAGGGGGCGCACCGGCGGTGACGGCTGCGGTGAAGATGACGCTCTGCCCGAGATTGAGCAGTCCCAGGGACTGCTGAGTGCGGATGGCGGCGTGCTTGTACCCCTGGAGACTCTCGTCGTACCGCCTGGCCTCGTGCGCCTCGTTGCCGAAGTACTTGACTGTCTCGTAGTTCATCAGCGAGTCGATCACCCTGCAACCCCAACGCAGCACACACACAACCCTCTCATCATGACTTCTGGCGCACAGAGCGAGCGCTGCAGCGCGCGAGCTCGCGAACGCGTCCTCGACGCGCACGGCGGTCGCGTCGAGCACGCACCGCGCTGTGGCTTCGTTGTCGTGCTTGTTCATTGCCTGGCGAATCTTCGTCCGCCACGCCGTGACCGACACCGTGAACCACGTGTACGCGCCCATCGTCGCCGCCGTGAGCCCCGCCAGCGGCAGCCCGCACTTGTACGCCAGGATCGACCCGACCAGCGCGAACTCGAACGCCGTGGGCACCACGTTGAACACCATGGCGCCGAGCAAAAAGTTGATGCCGCGGCAGCCGCGGTCGATCGTGCGGGACAGCGCGCCGGTCTGCCGCGACAGGTGGAACGGCAGGTCCATGCTGTGCAGGTGCACGAAGACGTCGCGCGCCACCTGAAGGACAGCGACGCCGGGGGGGTGTGGGTGGATGTTGCGGGGGTGTTTTGATGGGGGCGGGGCGGACGCGGGCGCGGGCGCGGGGGTACGGGCGTGCCTGGCGGATGGTTTCCTGCGTGACGTTCGCGAAGACGGCGTTGCGGGCCTCGTTGGCGAGAGACGCGCCGGCCTTGCACGCGCCGTAGCCGAGCAGGAGCGCCGCGGGCGTGATCGCGAACGCGCTCGCGGGGTCGGGGATCCCCGCCGTCGTCAGGCTGTCGACGGCGTACTTGAACAGGAACGGCACTTGCACGTTGAGCAGCTTTGAGGACACAAGCAGGACAAGGGAAATAGCGACTCTGCGGCGGAACTCCGGGTTGTCTGGGGGCCACAGGTGGGACTTGAGCTCTTTGACGATCACGAGGTCGCTCTCGTCGAGCCAGCGCGACGGCGGCCGCTCCGTGGGCGCCGCAGTCTGGTGCCCGGCCACCGCTGGCCGCGCAGTCCCGCCGCCGGGCTCCTTGCCCTGTAAACGTGCACGGAGTGACGCGCCGTGCCGTGGGATGGCGGGCCCGGTGCCCCGAGCGCAATCATTTCCGCCGCCGTCGCGGAAGCCCCCGAAACCACAATGAGGCAGCAATTGCGGGGGAGGCGGCCTGTGCTGCCTGGAAGACGCTACATCCTTGCTCTCCTCACCTCCTTTCGACCGTCCTGGACCCTGTCGTACGAAGACGCGGCCCGATGGAGCCCCCCCGCGCGCCCCACCCCCCCTCCCAGCGGCCAGAACCGCTGCCCACTGCAGCACGGGCCCGCGCCCGCGGCCACCCGCGCCCGCTGGTGCGCCTGGGCCAGCGAGCCGCCGCCATGCAACGCTCTCCAGCTCCGAGGACGCCAGCCTGGCGCGTTCGCGCCCACGCCAGGCCCGCTCCGGGCCCCCTCGCCCCGCCACGCCGCGCGGCGCGGCGTGTGCTGCAGCCGCGGGCCCCGCGAGGCCGAGAATCCGCGCGCGCACATGTGCGACGCTTCAGGGACGACGCACGCGCGCATCTGTGGGCCAGCCGCGCCGACCGCGTCCGCGCACGCCGCCCAGGCTGAGGGCGTGGCTGCTGTCGGGCCGACGGCGGACAGCACTGCGCCCACGATACTCTTCCGTGTCATCGCAGCCTGAAAGGACGCGCAAGGACCATCTCAGCGCCCCGGAAGCGTCGTCCAGCCAGGCCGCGGCTGCGTTCCCGACCGGGGTCGCAAACGGCTACAGCAGTCTCGGCGCCGTCGTTGACGCAGCGCGGTGCCACCGTCGCTCTCGCCGCCTGCGCAGCTCCTCAGACTGCCGCGCGCGGCGCGCGCGCCGTGCGCAAACCCCGCAAGCGCCCGGGCCGCCCAGCGCGCACTCCCCCCGCGGGTACAAGTCAGACCCCCCGCGACGAGCGCGGCGCGCTTCGCCGCAACGCGCCGGCACGGCATAGCACGGGTCCCGTCCCCGGCGACGCCCCGACGCGAGCGCGAGAGCTCCGCGGGCTTTCCGGCGCAGCAGCGAGCCTCCGTCGCACCACCCGCGTCACCGCCCCACACACGCGGGCGCGCCGCCGCTCGCCGGGCGGCGCGCGCCGCTCGCCTCGGCCACCGCGCCGCAGCAGCCGTGCAGCGCGTCGTCGGAGCAGCGACGCGCCGACCGGCAGGGCTGCGCGCCGGGGACCGTCGCGAGTCATGGCGCAGCACGTGCGCGCCCGCAGGGCGCAGGGACGTTGCCGTGCGGACCCACGCGACGTCCGCGGGAGCCTGGCTGGCCGCGCGGACGTCGCGCAGCGGACTCGCGGGCGGCTGCGGTCGCCGGCGGCGTGCGCGATGCGCTGGCGGGCCCTGCGTGACGCTGGGCACGGTCGCGGGGCCGGGCGCGGGGGCGAGGGCTGGCGGGCGGGCGCACGGGGGCGGGAGGGCGGGCAGCGCGGCGGGGAGGGGGCGCCGGCGCGGGCGCGGCCTCGCGCGCCGGGCTGACTCATGCTGAAAGGAGGCGTGCTGTGCGACGCACTGGACGGCAGGGGGCGGGCTCGATTTGCGCGGCCGCGCGGGCGCCGCGGCAGATTTCCGCGCCCCCACCGTGCAGCGTAATATTGTTTCTGGCGCTCCTGCAAGCCTCCGGCGCCGCAGCGACGTGTCGGGCTCTGGCCGCGCTGCATCGGCCCTCTAGTCCAGGAGCACCAGCTGCTGCTCGAAACGGCGTGGGCGGACCTCGCGGGGCGGTGGCTGGCCGGCTTTCGCGTGTTGGCCGGCTAGATGGGGCTGGGGAAGCTGTTTCGGGGCCTGGGCGGGGGCAAGGGGGCCGCGGGGCGCGAGGACAAGGGGGCGCCCGAGGAAGACACGGTGGTGCCAGTCGACGTGCCCGCGCGGCGGCGAGGCGTCATCGACGTCCGGCGGAGCATCTCCGAGCCGCAGTTGAATGTGCGGCGCGTCGTGGACGGCCCATCGCGGCCTGAGGACGCGGGCGCAGCCGCTCCTTCCATGCATGGGGGGCGGGAGCGGGGCGGGCTCCAGGACGGCTCGAAGACTCTCATCGAGCGCGGAACCGTGCACAGGAAAGATTTGGGGAGGATGGTTCCGCAAGTCGTCCGCCCCAATTACGTCATCAACCGCTCGTACTCGGTCCTCACGGGCGAACCGTGCGTGGTCAAGGTGTACGGGAAGGCGGCCCTGCAGCCGAGCGAGCTGCTCGACGCCCGCGCCGAAGTGGCCAACCTCCGCAAGTGCGCACCACGGCCCCCCTGCCGCGCTCCCGGGCCCCCTGTGCGGTCCTCGCGTCGTGCAGCCTGGACCGGCGCTGCCCTCCGCGTGCGGCGCTCGCGTCGCCCGCGAAGCCGTCGCAGACCGCCAAGCATGTATTCTCCCGGCCAGAACACCGCGCCTCGCCCGCGTCGACCCCGCAGGTTGAAGGACGCGAGGTACCTGCTGAAGTACCTGGGCGACTGGGAGACGGATCAGAGCCTGGCGCTCGTGCTCGAGCAATACGGACAAGGCACGCTCGCGCAAGCCCTCGACCAGGCGCCCGCGAAGGCCTCCGGGCAAGTCGTTCGCCACCTATGGACGAGGATAGAGAGCGAGGAGGCATTCGTGGAGCGCGTGGCAATCCCCCTGCTCATGGCCCTCGTGGAGATGCACAGCCAGAATATCTGCCATCGGCGCATCGACCCCGAGCACCTCTTCTTCTCGACCGACGGCGTCGTCAAGGTGGCTGGCATGGGCAGCGCGATGGACCTCGCGAGCGACCGCGCGGTGAGCAGGATCGGCAAGGAGGGCTACATCGCTCCGGAAGTGGCGAACAAGCCGACCCTGGAGGACATCTTCCACGCGTGCGTGTTCAACGGCGTCTCGGAGGAGCAGCTCGAGAGCTACGACGAGCAGTGCGACGTCTGGTCGTACGGCAGGGTCCTCCTCGAGTGCCTCCTCGTCATCGAGGAGCGCTCCAGCCACCCCTGGCCCTGCAAGGAGCCCGCCAGCGAGGTGCGCCGCGCCCCGCGCCATTGCCTCCACCCACCCTGCGCGCCGCGCGTGCGACCCCGCCCGCCCCGCGCCGACGCGCCGCCGAACCGCCCGCCCGCCACGCCGCCCCGCAGGACGCCGACGACGACGACGACATCCCGCAGGAGATGAGCGCGAAGCTCGCCCGGCTGCGCCACGTCTCGGCGACGTGCAAGTCCTACCTCCGGCGGTGCCTTCGGACGGACCCGGCGTCGCGGCCGCCCGCGTTCAACCTCGCAGCGGCACCGTGGGTCCAGAAGCACATCAAGATGAACGAGGAGTTCGCGAGCGTGCTCGCGCAGGCCCGGGAGAAGGTGCGCGGTCACGCGCAGCTCCGCACCGCCTCCGCCGCCGCCTGCCCCCGGCGCCGCGCCCACAGCGCCGCCCCCGCGCGCCCTACCCGCAGGCGAGCCGGCGATCCGACGCGAAGTCGAGCACCAACAACCTGCGCGCTTCTATGCACCGATATTCCATGGAGCATGCGCGGGCGGTGGCAGCGAAGCCCGCGACTCCGTCGCCGAAGAAGGTGCTGGAGGCCATACCGACGTTTTCGCGCGTGCAAGCGGACTCGAGCACGGGTCAGATGGCGGCGACGGCGAGCACGATGTCGGACCACGGCGCGGGCGCGCAGCACGACGCCGTCGACCCGCGGTCGCACTCGACGGTGAACGCGTTCGTGCAGCGCATCGAGGGCGCGACGTCGCTCTTCAGCTGAGCCGCGCGAGCCGCCTGCGCAGCCGATCGGACGCCGTGCACTAGCCCGCCTCGCGCGCCGGTGGCCTCCAACCTGAGCACGTGCTCTCAGATGCAGCGGTGCACTCGGATTGCATTTATCTTCTTCCCGCCCCTACCCCCCACTCCAACCCCCCCCCCCCTCCAATCATCACTCCTGCAACCTCACGGCACCTGTGTTGTGTCTGGGGAAACTCTCCGCCGACGCCCACGTGGACGATGGCTCACCGCAGTCGCGTCGGCAGCTGCAACGCTGATCGCCGCACAGAGCGCCGCACGCGCCCCGGCGTCTGATGTGTGCCTGGCGCGAGGCCAGGGGGGCGTGGCGAGCCCCCAAACGCCCCGCCGCCAGCGATTCCAGGCTGCGTGGGGCTGTGCGACCGTTTCCATTCGACCAGTTTTCGTTCTGAGCCGCTGACCCGTCGGATCGCCCATCACCTCTCAGGGGGGTTGCGCGCTCCTCACATACTCCTCAACCTAGCCCGAGAGGACACCTACAACGCCCTACTCGCGCCAGGTGGCGCAGTCAGCATCCTCGCGCGATGCCGCTTCAACGCATGCAACGAGAGAAACGTAGTGCCACGTGTAACAAAACTGTTCATCACGGAACCTGTGCAGCCGGCCCGCTCCCGCTCCCGGCCCGTCCGTCGCAACGCGAGGGTGCTTGGAGGTCGGCCAAGTGCGAACGCGAGACGCGCTGAAAAGGCCGGCAGCGCGCACTGCGCTGTCCCGCCCGCGGCTATGCCTGCCAATCAACGCGCCAGCAGTGGTCCGCGCTTGCTCTCTCCGGCGCGTAGTCCACCGCTCCTACGAAGTTTGCGAAGGTGCATCGCCGTCGTGCCCCCACGGCGGTGCGGCGGCAGCGTGGGAGCACACCCCACGGGGAACTCGCACTGACTCATGTCGGTCGGACTCTGGACGTGCTGCTGACTCACTACGTGATGGCTGGACGGCACAGCTGGGGACAGAGACATCACTCAGAGACATGCGTGCGTTACATTCTTACGTCGTCCAGCAACCGCCCTCCGCGCCGCGCCGCTCCGTGCCCTGCCAGCGTAGTACACCTGCCGCTCCGCGCCCGCTCAGCTCCAGCGCTTCATGAAGTCCGCGTGGAACGCCGCCATCTCCTCCATCACCCCCTCCATGTCCTCCTCACTGGGTAGGATGGTGGTGCGGAAGTGCGCGGTGCCGTCCTTCTGCCGGAAGCCCGCGCCCGGGACGACGAGGATGCCCTTGTTCTGCAGGAGCTCGAGGCAGTACAGGAACTCCGGCGCGCGGCCCTGCTTCGCCGCCGCCTCCTTGACCTTGGCCGGCATGGTGATGGTGGGAAACGCGTAGAGCGCGCCGTCGACGGGCTGGCACGACACGCCCTCGAGCTTGTTCAGGCCGTCCGCGACGAGCTTCGCGCGGCGCGCGAGCGACCCGAGCTGCCCCTCGCGTTCCGCCGCGTACACCTCGAACGACGGCTCCCCGGGCTGCGGCGGGTTCATGACGAGCGCGGTGAGGACCTGGCCGGAGGTGTTGGCGCAGAGGGAGATGCTCTGCATCTTGTAGATCTGGTCCTTGACGCCGTCGGAGATGTTGAGGACCTCCATGTACCCGCCGCGCCGCCCGCACTCGCCGTAAAAGCCCTTCGAGACGCTCATCATGGAGATCATCTGCAGGTCGGCCTCGCCCATGTCGCACAGGACCTTCTTGAAGCTGTGCCACTGCGCGCCCTCGCGGTAGATGTTGCTCTGGTACACCTCGTCCGCCATGAGCACCAGGCCCTCGCGCTTGCAGAACGCGATGACCTCCTTCTGGTTCTCGTACGACAGGACGTTGCCCGTCGGGTTGCCCGGGTTGATCACGACGAGCCCGCGGACCGTCTTCCCCTGCGCGCGCGCCGCGTCCAGCTGCGCTTGCAGCTCCCCCACGTCCAGGCCCCACCGCGACGACTCGTCCAGGTAGTACGGGACGAGCGTGCCGCCGTACAGCTCGATGCACGCGCTGTACAGCGGGTACTGCGGCACTGGAACCAGCACCGCGTCCGCGTCGGACCGCAACATGAGCTTCATGGCTGTGTGCACGCCGGGGGTGGCGCCGTCTGCGGGGCAGGCGGGGCGCTGGAGCGTCGCTTTCGTTCGCGGCGGGGCGTCTGGGCCGCTGCGAGGCTTGCGCGGCCGCGCGGGGCGGAGGAGGGGGCGCCGCGGCGGGGCGCGCGCTGCGGCGGTTGGTGGCGCGAGGGCAGGCGGCGGGCGGGGCGCGGTGGGCGGCGCGGATCGGGGCCGCGCGGGCGCGGCCGGCGCGGGCACGGGCGTGGGAGGGCGGTCGCCGCGACGCACCGGTCATGAAGATGTTGTCGGGGTCGGCAGAGTACCCGTCGCGCCGTGCGATGCCCTCCGCGACGTCCTTGCGCAGCACTGGGGCGCCGCGGGAGTCCGAGTAGGGCCCGAGGCCCTTCATTGCGGCCAGGTACTTCTTGGCGCGCGCGATCACGTCCGGTGGGAACTTCGACGCCACCTGCGGCCACGTTGCAACAACAGCCGCAGTGAGCAACTGCTACTACGCCCGCGCCACGGACCGGTCCGCGCCGGAACCGCGCGAAACCCGCGCGGCGCGGGGCCTGCGCGTTCTGAGCGACGTCGCGGGGCGCTCGTCCGCGCCCCACGGGCCGCGAGCGGCGCGCGCCGGACGCAGGAAGCAACCAGCATGGCCTCGGCAGGGCGCGAGGACGCGCCGCGCGCGCGGCTGCAGGCGGCGCGCGGCGCGTCGCGGCGCGGGGGCGGCTGTGCGCACCGCGGGGTCGTCCATGAGCGCGGGGAACTCCATCAGCGCGAGCACTTGGCGGAAGAACGTCACCGGCTTCTGCCCGAGCTGCTGAGGGTTCCCGATGTTGCAGAAGACCACCTTGTCGAAGGGGTAGCTGCCCTTGCCCTGCGGAAGCGGCGCGGGGGCGCGCGGTGGGCCGGGAGCGCGTGCGCGCCGCGGGGGCGCGGGCGTGCCCAACCGATGAGAGCGCTTGCCGTGTGGGGAGGGTGCCGGGCGGGGCGCGGCGCGGCGCGCGCGTGCGTGCAGGGGCCGCGAGCGGCCGCGCGAGGGCGCGTGGGCCGCGCGGGGCGCCAGACGCGGCGCGTGCGGGGGCAGAGCGCCCCCCGCGTCGCGGCCAGGCGGTGCGGGGAGGTTTGCCGCGAGGGGCTCCGCGCGGGAGGGGCGAGCGGGGGCGCGCGGGGGCGCGCGTGGCGCACCTCGGCGAGGTCATTCACGATGCCGTTTGCGATCTTGACTATCTCCCCGCGCACGGCGTACTGCGTGCTGAGGACCCTGGGATTCAGGGTGGCCTCCGTGAGGCCGGCGCCGTTCGCGTTCTCGGGGGCCGTCATCGTCGCGGTGTCGCTCGTGTGCTCGAGTGGCCGCGCCGGGCGCCGGCGCGCGCGGAAGACGCGGGGGCGCGCGGCGCGGGGCCAGAGAGGGGTGCGGCGGACCCCCCCCTGAGGCTGCCGCGGGGAGGGGTCGAGGCCGCGGACGCGCGCGCTTGCGCCGCGCTTTGCGTGTGCAGGCCGCGGCGGGCGGCTGTAGGAGCCCATGCATGACTCGCATGCCCGGGGCGGGGCGCACGCAGCCATCGTGGAGGGTTCTCGGTCGCGCCGCGTCGACGCGCCGTGAGGGCGCGAGACACGCCATGTACGGGGTGTTTGTGATTGCGGGGATCGAAGCGCCCGACAGGCAATGCGCGGCCTCCCTCCACCGCGACGTAGCCACCGGACTCCGCTGCTCTGTAGGCAAGGCCACGCAGCGGCGCGCCGCGGCCGGTGGCCGACCGGTCTCTCCCGCCGTAGCTCGCTGCTGATGAGTGCGACCAGCTGCCGGGCGCGCACGCGCGGCCCGCGCCTGTTCCCGTGACATAGTGACATCCTGGCTTGCATGCCTCACACGCCCGCGGCACGCACACCGCGCGCCCACCCAGCCGTCCGACGGGCCCGAACGGTTCTGCGAAGCCTGCGGACGGCGATCCGGGCCGGAAACTGCACGTCAGGCTCCGGACACCCCCAACACCCCCCCCCTTCGCTCGGGCTCGCCCCAGCGCATGCCGAGGTCGACGCACCCCGGCATCGACTTCGACCGGGCCTTCGCGCGCCCCGCGCGCGCTCCGTGGCCCGGCCCCGCACCGCACTCGCTCCCGGACACCGCCCGCCTGGAACGCACCGCCTCACGCAGCGTCGCGCTGTCCAGGGCGTCCACCGCCACCGACCACTCGCTGCGCGACGTGGCCGCGCTCGAGATCGTCGGCGGCGCAGACAGCGCGTGCGACGCCACCGCGCACCGCGCACCCGAGCCGCCCTCGCGCCCGTGCACGCTGCTGACATCCACCCACCCCAAGTGCGCGTCGCTGTCGCCGCCGACGGAGCTGTCGTCGAACAACGACTCGCTCGCGTCGGAGAAGTCCTCGTCCTCGTCCTCCGCGCCGGACGCCGTCTCGTCGTCCCCCGAGTCGGACGCCGCTGCCGTCAGCGCCAGCTGTTGCCAGCCGGCCGCCGCCGCCTCGTGGACCTCCTCGCCGCTCGCTCCGTCCCCCTCGAGCGGCGACGGCGCATCGTCCACGGGCGGCGCGACCACGACCCGGACGTCCCGGGACCCCAATACCCCCCCCCACGCACTGATGAGTCCCCGCACCCCCTCGTTCAGCGAAAAACTCTCGATGCGGACGTGCTCGAGGGCCGCGCAGGCCGCGAGCGTGCTGAACATGTCCACGGTGAGCGGCCCGGCGCCGGCGAGCTCGAGCGTGGCCAGCTGCGGGAACCGCAGCAACGCGTCGCACGCCACCGGCGACAGATGCACCTGCGGGCCGCGCGGGAGGGGGTGAGGTTGGCGGAGGGCGCTGGGTCGGCGGGCAGCTCGAGCGGGCGAGGGGGGGCCGCGCACCATGACGAGGCGGAGGTATGACAGGCTGTCAGGGGGGAGATGCGTGAGTAGTTGGCCCACGCACGTGCCCCACGCGCGGTGCGCCGCCGCGCCGCTGGCGGCGAAGGCGTCGAGGGCGGACGTCTGGATCCGGTCGTCGCACATGAGACCGAGGGAGCGCAGCGACGTGAGGCCCGCAGCAGCGGCCGCGTCGCGCCCGGTGGGCACGGCACCGAGCCCGACTGCCAGCGTCGCGAGCTTGTGCATTCTGCAGACCTCCCGCCACGACGCCGGCGTGAGCCACGCGCGCACTTGCAGCGTCCGCAGCCCTTGGCGGTCCGCAAGTAGGCTGAGCTCCTGCGCGGTGCTGGAGTGCATCGCCGGCCCGCGGACGTCGTCGCTCTGGGACCGCGGCTCGACCTGCGCAGAAGAGGCGACTTGCGTCGTATCGGCGAGCTCGTGGTTCGGCGCAAGGGATATGAATGGGTGTGGGAATGATGGCACGGATGCGGGTAGTGGTCGCAGGAGTGGCGCCTCCGCGGAGTGGTTGCGGACTGTGAACTGAACTAGGCACCACCGCGACGATGGTTGAAGAGTGGGTTCGGCGCGTCGGGCGTGGTGCGTGGTTGCGACGCACCGCGAGGTGGCGCAGGTTCGGGAGCGTCGCCACGCGCGGAGCGATGACCGTCGCGCCGTCCACGGACGGGAGCTCGGCGTCCATCATGGTGAGCGTCGTCAGGGGGGAGTCAAGCTCCGCCGAGGGGGCGCAGGCGCAGCGCACGTGCTTCAGCTCGAGGACCTGCAATGGGGGACGCGGGCTCTGGGACTCGACGCCGTGGGGCTGCGATGCACGCGTGTCCGGCGATGCAAGACTGCCAATTCGCTGTCACTTGAGATGTGCAAGTTTGCTGTTTTTTGGGGGTTGGGTGTTACCTCGAGGCTCGTGAGCGCGTTGATCGCCGCCACCGCCGCGTCATCGAGCAGCGTGGGCCCGACGCGCGCGTTCGCGGTGATCCGGAGGCGTCGCAAGGCTGAGAGGCCCCTGACGTGGGGGAGGTGTATTCTAAACCCCTCGAGTGCGAGCAGCTCGAGGCCGGTGAGGGCGGCGAGCCACGAGCCGCCCGGATGCTCGTCGTCGCAGAGGCCGCACGCCACCGAGAGGGCCTTGAGCCGCGGCAGCCGCGCGAGCTGCGCCAGGGAGGCGTGGAGGACGTCGCCGCCGTGCGAGGTGACCACCCAGCCCTCCGTCGAGTGCAGCCCGAGGTGGACGTCCTCCAGGGACGCGAGCAGGTGGATCACGGCCAGCAGTCCCGTCGCGATGCCGAACTCCTGCGCCACAACACCCCCATTTGTCTGACATGACATCGAATGTTGTTGTTGCAAATGTTGTTGTTGCGACGCAAGGACGAGAACGGTGCGGGCTGAAACGACGACGAGCGTCGACCTGCCGGGACTTGCGACGCGACGACACGCGTGGGCGCGTGCCTGCGTGATGTCGACGTCGATGCTTAGGTGCGAGATGTGGGTGCAGAGCCCCGCGACGGTGCCCAGGGCGCGCGCCACCTGCTCCGTGGCCTGGCGCGGGTGCCAGGCTTCGCCGTCGTCATCGTCGGGGTCGTCGTCGGGGTCGCTCCACATCTGCACGGATCGTGGGCGCAGCTTTCCCCGGTCCTTCGTGGGGCTCACGCACAAGAGTCAACTTATTTAAATACGTGCCGCGACCGGCGGAGCGTGCGGTGCGGCTGCGGGGGCGTGAGCGCACCGTGACTTGCAACGTTCGCAGGTTTCCGCTCTTGCACGACCGAGCGAGGACGTCGAGCGCCGCCGCGGCTGTGTGAAGAGAGGTGGCGATGTGTACCGTCTCCAGGCTGCTCTCCTGGACGCATGCGGCCACCACGGACGTCAGAGGCACCGCAACGCGCCCGGGACCCTCGCGCGTGCTCATGAGCCGGTGGCGCGACTCGTGCCCGAACAGCGACGCGTGCACGTCGCACACCGTGCCCAGCCCGACGATCCGCCCCTCGAGCGCGCCCACGGCGCCGAGCAGCCGCGCCCCGCCCGGCTGCGAGTCGATGCCTTTCTGCGTGAGCACCCACCGCGCAGAGCGTGCCGCGGCCCAAGCGCGAGGCACCTCCGCGGGGTCGGTGTCCAGAAGCCACACTGGCAGCGGCAGCGGGGTCGTCGCCGCCCGGGTCAGCCGCGAGAAGGCGGCGTGGGAGCACCTGTAAAAAACAACAACGAACGACGTTCGCGGCGACGTGGGGCGCCGGCGCGGACGACGGCGCGGTCCCGCGAGAGCGAATTAATTCTCCGCGGCGGGCCGCGCGCCCCGGCCCAGCGTGCGTCCCCGGAGCTGCGCCACGGGCGCCTCCAGGAGCGAGGGCTCTCGTTGCCAACCTCACGATGCGCTGGACAGCGGCGGCGCGGCAGGCGCGCCCCCGCGCGCCCAGGTGCGCGGCATCGTCCGTACGAGCTCGCCGCGCGGCCCGCAGCGACGTGCCCGGCCCACCTGAGCAGTTCACACAGCGCTCCCTCGTTGTCGTCGTTGTTGTCGTCGTTCTCGGTCAGCGCGCGCACGAGGGCCGCGAGGAGGCTGTCCGGGAGGTCCAGCAGACCGGCCGTGCCCTGCGCCGGCCCCGCCTGGACATGCGCCCCTCCCGCCCCTTCGCGAGCACTTGCCGTGTCATGCATCCTCTCCAGGCGCCCGCGCCCCTTTGCGTGGAGGAGTCGACTGCGATAGTGTCGGGCGCGCTCGGGACGACCTATATCTGTGAGCGGCCTGCGCGGTCCGGGGCGGTCCCGCGGGGCCTCTCCGTGGCTGTCCCGAGGTTCGGCCCGTCGAGGTGGCGTCGCTGACCGCGGCGCTGGAGGCGCGTGCGGGCGGTGTACAACGCCCCGAGCGGGCGCTCGAGTGGCGATCTTGGAGGACGCGATGATCCTGGCGGCGCGCGGGGCTTCGACGGTAAGCGTCGGTAGGAAAGGGGTGGCTTTGGGGCGAGTCGACGGTGCGTCGCGGAGGCGATGAGGGGGCCGGTCGCGGCGGGCGCACGGCACAGCATGGAAGAAAGGTAACTCAGTCCGCCACACTATCGCGGTATCATGCGGGGCAAGACGTGCAAGCACTCGGGCAGCAGGTGCGCCTCCGTCTGCGTCTCGCTTGTGGGCCGAAGCGCACAAACCGACTGCCGCCTGAAGCACATGCGCATAGATGCGAGCGATCGGCGTGGCCGCGACCCGAATTAGCGCCGCAGCGAGCGCGGGCAGCCGTGTGCGTATCGTTCGCCGCAAACAGCGCCGGGGGCGCGTGCTGGAGGCGCACCGTCGCCGTCGAGCGCGCGCCTCGGGTCGAAAATAAGCCTACGTTTCCGCCACGCGCATCCACGCCGCGACGCGAGGCCTGTGCGGGCGCGTTTGACTTGGTCCACTTTGCGCTCGAGCAGCCCGCCTGGCCGCCGCGACAGGGTCGCGATTGGATTTCCGCGTGCGCGAATCGCCTCTCTGCATCATCGGCAACGAAGCACGCGCGTGCGTGCCGCTCGTCGCCGTTCGGCGCCCGCGGGGTGCGTATTGCTGCGACCGAAAGCGCTTTAGTAGACCCGCACCCGCCACGTCCCTGCAGCCATCGCCGGCGCAAGCTCGTCATCTCCGTGCCCTCTTCGGGCCATGCGTGGACGCGCGAGGACCAGGCGTCCCCGTGCGTGTCGTACACGGACCTCTCTGGCCTCGTCCAGGTCGAGCCGTCCCAGGGGATGCGCCGGGGCCAGTCCGCGCTGGTTCTCGCCGCCGAGGCGTCAGAATCGCTCTTCGAAGAGACGCAGGCTGATCGAACGCGCTCGCCGCGCAGAGGAGGCTCCTCCCTGCGCGGTGACGCCGCTATGCAAGAGCCCACGCGCTTCCCCCAGGTGCGTCGCCGCGGCCCGGTCCGACCGGCGCGGGACAGCGCCCATGCAGCCGTGCTGGCCCGCCGCGCCGCAGCGCGCGCCGGCCGCCCTGGACGAGCAGCGGTTGGCGGTCAAGTCAGCGCTTTCGCCCCGAGTGCGCGGCCCCCCCGTGCGGCCGGCTCCGCGCGTGACTCCGCCCGCGCGCGCTCCCCTGCAATGCAGGCAAACATTCACGCGAGCTCCTCCGCGCGGAACAGCACCGGCACGCACCACGGCGGCCACGGCCCCCGCCAGCTGGCCCAGGCCCGGCATGCGCGCCCCAAGCACACCTCGCCGGGCCTGCGCCACCGCCTCCACGCCAAGCCCTTCGTGAACGCCTCGGACGCCTCCAACGACGAGGCCGGCAACTCGAACCGCAACACCCGCGAGTACACCTCCACGCGCACCGACGGCCTGAGTTGCCCGGCGTCGGGCGCGACGGACGGCTCGGAGGACGCCGAGATGATGTCCGAGCGCCAGGTCGACCAGGGAAGGCGCACGTGCGATCTCACGGGCGCCGGCGCGCCGCGCGGGTTCGCCGTCAACAGCGCCATGCAGCTCTGACCGACGCCAGGGCTGGTCGGGCCCCGCCGATCGAGACGCGAGGTCTCCCGGCGCGACCCCGACGGGCACACTGCCAGTCCATCCGAGCAAGCACCCGGCCCGTGGGAGACCCACGGCCAACACGGAGCCAACCGCGCTAAGCGCGCTTGGCGCACCGAAGCACCCGCGCGACGCTCTGAGGTGAGTTTGCGACGTGTCGCTGCTGACTGCTACTGACCTGTGTACGTGTGCGGTGGTGGTGGTGTGTGCGCGCCGGCCGGGTTCTCACCGCCCCCGCCGTGCCGTGTGCGTGCAGATGGAGCGCTTCGTGCGACGCCGTCGAGGCGTCCGACTGACGTCGAGTGTCGGAATTAGAACAAACCCCCCCTGACAACTACTACCACGTGTCTTGATGCCCTTCTCGCCTCCTGGCTGCCCAAGGCATCGACGCTCCTCTACCCTGCGATGGGAAACGCGCGCGCACAGGGACTCGTCTGCCGTGTAGTACTCAGACCCCCACCAAACCCCCCCCCATCCCTGGTTGTCCCCCCCTCCCCCCTCATCCCTTCCCCCCTTTCCCCCCGAAACGCCCCACGTGCCCTTCCGCAACGCTCCCACCTATCCCGAAGATCACGATGCGTGCGATGGCGATTCCCATGGCCCACGGCGCTCCACCTGCCGTGCCGCCCCCCTCGCCACCACGCACCCCCGACGCAGGCATCGTGCGCACCAGCAGCGACGCCCACACGTCGCTTGCGGGGCGCCGACCCGCCACGCCTCGGACCTAGCGACCCAGCAGTCACTACAGCTACACTGAGACTCCGCGCGACGTGACGTGGTCAGCAACAGCAGGCGCCACATTCGTGCCCTGGCTGGCCACCACCCGTCCCCCCTCACTTCCAACTCCCCCCAAAAGAGAGATCGGCTCCCAACTTGGCGCTTCCCTCCGACCACCAACCGACAGAGCGCGGCGACGCCCTCTGCCCGCAGGCTGCACTCGACGCCGTGTAGTTGCTTTCAAATTCTCGGAACAGTGCCAGGACTAGAGCATCTGAACGCGTGCAGCAATAACACCTGCCCTCCAGCCCTCGTTTTCTCCACTACCTACCCCCCCCCTCGGGACAACGCGGCCCTGTCGGCACACACACCGTGCGCCCACGCGGCCTGTGCGGGCTCTCGCTGGCGCCCACGAGAGCACGCGTACCGCCCGACGCCGACCACAGAGAGCCGCCCCCCCCCTCTTCCACCACAACCTTCCTCCACTAGACCCCCCCTTGCCTGGCTGCGATCCTACCAGCACGACCGCCGGATCGCCCGTTCACGACCCCCACTACGTCTTCTCTCACCCGCACCCACACACCCCGGCCGTGCCACCCTTCCTCCAGGCTGCATTCGATGCAGATTGCACCATTCCATTCCATCTTTCCATCCAGCCTCTCGAGCTCCCCATCCAGGGGACCCCGACGAGCACCTGCCGCCGGCGCAGCGCCTGCCCCGCAGGACCTTCGACGACGCTGTTGCTGCGCCGAAACGACCGCTGCGCAACGGACCGGCACTCAACAACACACCGCCTGCCTACGCGGAACACCACACACCCATACACCCCGCCTGCCTGTTATGTCGAACGACCCCCTCCTCGACCCCGACGCGCCCAGAGTTGCGCCCGGGGCGGCACCTATATCTGCAACAACGTCCTCGAGTGACGTTTTTTGGCCGTGCACAACGCAGCGCCTGCCCACTAGCACTCCCTGTGACTCGCTGTGCCGTGCGCGGGTTCCGCGGCGTCTCGCTCACCTGGACTGCGCTGTCCTGCTTGGTCAAGCGTTGTGCTGAACGGTTGAAGCCCACCGCAGCGACCGCGTGCCCAATGACCGGCGCCACACTGGCCTGGTCGCATGACCGACACGCCAGGAATGCGAGGCAGCGCCACCTTCGAGAGGCATCGCGCGGTGGCGCCGGGCGGGGCTGCGGCCGGCCACAACCCCCTGCAACGTCGTGTGGGGGGGGTCTTGCCAGGAGTACGCCTGGTTAGGTCACTTCGGCCGCCCCGCGGTTCCGCCATGCCCAGTTTGCGAGCTGGCCACCGCGAGGGCCTGCTGCAGGAGCTGAGGGGACCGTCGCGCGTCCGGAAGAGCGCGTTCCAGCGCCGATCCCGCCGGGACCCGCCGCGACTGTTCTGCCACGATGAAGGTCAACGTCAAAACCGTGAAGAGCGAGCTCTTCACGGTCGAAGTCGCCGACGAGGCGTCTGTGACGGATCTCAAGGCCGAGGTACGCCCACCTACCGGCCACCGATCGCGCTGTCCTGGGCTCCAGCGGCCGTGGCGCTGCGCTGCAGGCAGCGTGCCGCCGCTCCCGCGGCCTCGCGGCGCTAGGCGCATCACGGGGCACGCGCAGCCTCCGTGCCTTCACGCGCCGACAGCAGGCACGTTCTATGGAGCTCGCGCCGCGCGCCTGGACCCCAGAGCAACGCGTGGTGGCGCCCGCCCGTCCGCAGATCGAGGCGAAGCAGGGGCCGGCGTATCCGAAGGACGACTTGACGCTGATCTTCAAGGGTAAGATCATGAAGGACGACGACAAGGTATCTTCGCTCGAGGGCCTCGACAGCGGCTTCATGGTTTGTATGGTCAAGCCCAAGGCGCGCGCTCCGCCCAAGCCCGCGCCCCCCGCGGACAAGCCCGCCCCCGCCGAAGCCCCGAAGACAGCAGAGGCCGGGCAGGGCGGTTCCGGCGCCGCGGCGGCCGCTCCGGAACCGCCCGCGGGGCCCGCTGGGGACCAGCCCCCAGCAAGCGCCGCGCAGCCGCAGCCAGCGCCGGCGCAAGGTCCGCCCCTCCTCCGCCCCACCACCTGCATCTCCGCTACGGGCTCACCGCCGCAGACGCCCCGCCGCGAAGCACGCGGCCCCGACGCGCCTTGATGCGACCCCACGCGCACGCAGGCGACGCTGGGTACCAGGCTTCCGCGGGGGGGCTCGCGACGGGCGCGAACCTCCAGGCCGCCATCGACAACATCTGCGCCATGGGCTTCGAGCGCGACCAGGTCCAGAAGGCCATGCGCGCCGCGTTCAACAACCCCGAGCGCGCCGTGGAGTATCTCATGTCGGGGATTCCGGAGGGCGTCGGCGGCGGCGCGGCGGCCGGCGGGGCCGCGGCGGCGCAGCAGCAGCCCGCGAGCGACACGGCGGGCCCGCAGGACGCGCAGGCGACGGGCGGGGAGGGCGCGCCGGGCGGCGGCGCGCTGTCCTTCCTGGCGACGAACCCCGAGTTCCTCGCGATGCGCGACATGATCCAGAGCAACCCCGAGGTGCTCGCGGAGGTGCTCGGCGAGCTCGCGCAGACGAACCCGGAGCTGCTGCAGCTGATTCAGCAGCACCGGGAGGAGTTTATGGCACTGATGGCGCAGGGGGGGGGGGCTGTTGGCGACGAGGGTGGCGAGGGGGCCGAGGGCGGCGCGGTGCCGCCGGGGGCGACGCGGGTCGTGCTGTCGCCGGAGGAGGCGGCCGCGGTGGAGCGGCTGGCGGGCCTGGGTTTCCCGCCGCAGCTCTGCTTGGAGGCGTACCTGATCTGCGACAAGAACGAGGAGCTCGCGGCGAACTACCTGCTGGAGAACGGGATGGACTGAGCGCGCGCGGGTGGGCCGCGGGCGTAGCGCTGTGAGGCGCCGCGAGGGGTGTTTGATGCGGGTGATGCGTCACAGGCGGGGCGGCAGGGAAGCCGGTTGGCTGGTGTTCGTGGTTGCAGGATCCGTGCGTCGCCCTCGTCGCCCCGCCCCCCGCGCGCCCACCGCCAACACCCCCCTACCTCCCGAGCAGAAACATGGCCAGGTCATGCAGGTCTATCTTCCCGGACAAGTCCGGCTTGAACTTTTGGATGATCTTGTCCGCCTCGCGCTCCGTCAGCGCGTCGTCCGAGACCTTGCGCATGAGCACCTCCTTGAGCTCCCACTGCTCGATCTTTCCGTCGCCGTTGACGTCAAAGGCCTTGAGCGCCGTCTCGACCATCTGCTGCTCCTTCTTGACGTCGCGCCGGGACTCGGCGAGCTGCAGCAGCAGCGCGAAGTCCTTCAGCCGGAGCTGCCCCGTGTGCGACAGGTCGCACTCGCGCAGGTAGTTGAGCGCGTCGCCGGAGGACGCGTTCAGGCCCATCACGCGGAGCATGCGCGACACCTCCGACGCGTCGATCGTGCCGGACCCGTCCTTGTCGAACTTCTGCGAGGACGCAGTGGGGGGGGCGGCGGTGCCTCACGTTCCGAGGATCAGCAAAGCGAGTCAGGGGGGGGTTTGGGGCGTTCTGCGTTTCCGGTGATATGGCCATATCGTGCTGGGGTGCGTGTCGGACCTTGAAGACCGCGTTGACCATGGCCTGCTTGTCGAAGGCCAGGCGCGACCACGCGCGGTCGGGCGCAGGCTTCCCGACCCCGGACGCGCCCAGCGGGGCCGTGGCGGTCATGGCCTCGCGGATCAGGAGCACCATGGCGCCCTGCGGGCCCATGTTGCCCAGCTGCGCGGCGTGCTTGAACTCGCGGTACGACAGCTTGCCATCCTTGTTCTTGTCCAGGCTCTTCATGCACGCCTTGATCTGCACAGACCCCGGCACGCAGCGGGCGTCGCGTCTCATCCCCCTTGCGCTGCGAGGCCGAGCCGACCTCAGAGCGTCGTCGTCGTCGTCGAAATCATCATCATAATCACCAGCGCACCTCCTTTGACGTCAGGCCCTGGTCCTTGAGCGCGGCGCTCATCTCGGCCTCGTCGACGTAGCCGTTGCCGTCCGTGTCCATCTTCTCGAAGCACTCCTTCACCCCCGCGGCCCACGACGATTGCTCCCCCGACAACATGAACTTCAGAAACTCCTGCGCTCCCATAAAACTGCGCCGAAACGGTCAGCACATCCCAACAGCTGTGCATCAAGCGCGGCGCAGCACTGCAGGACGGACAGCGCGCTCACCTGGTAGTCAATCTGGCCGTCGCGGTCCATGTCGTTCATGGCGAGGAAGTCCTTCAGCAAGTCCATGTCCTCCGGGTCGGCCTCGTCCCAGCCGAGGAGGTCCTGCAGGAGCGGCCCGAGCTCGGCCTGGCTGATGGTCCCGGAACGGTCCGTGTCATACTTGCGGAAGATCTGCGTCATCGTGGCGTGGTTGTCCTCGAGCCGCGAGCGGAGGTTGTTCGCGACCGCCGCGAGCCCCTCCTCCACGCGGGCGACGAACCTGCGCGGCGACCGGGCAGCGAACACCCGTGTCTGTGGGCCCACAGCCGAAGAGACTGCAGTCCACGGTCCGGTGCTGAGGGGCGGCTGCAGCGCTGAGTGTTGCCTTCCCGCACGCATCGTCCACGTAAGATGCGATATTGCTGAGATCGAGCGCAAGAGCGGTACCGCCGACAGCGCACGGTGAGGCAAAGGGGGTGGATCTGGAGTTGGTGGTTGGCGCGGGGGGGCGGAACGTACTCGTCGATCCGGCGCGAGCGCGCCGCCTCGGGGCTCTCGCTGGGTGAAGGAGGCGCATCGGCCGTCTTGGCGGCCGCGTCCAGCTCAGGCTGGGGCGCTGCGACCTCAGTCATGATCCTGCACGCGCCGTGGACAGATTCGGTCCTTTGTTCCGGTCGATCTTTTCACGTAGAGGATGTGAGGGATGGCCGCTGTCTCTTGAGGACAGAGAAACCGGGCGCGAGGCGCGGGTAATGGCCTCTGCACGGGCAACAGGTACTGGGGGGAAGGGCCGTGCTACGGCCGCCACAGCCTCGCCGCAGCCCTGAAACCGTGGCCTGTGTGCATGACTGCTTGCATGGACGGGTGACGCAGTCAACGGAGCCTCGACGCGACACGCTGCGCGCGACGAGGGGCGCGTTGCTCTGCGCGTGAGAGGGACGCTGCGCAGCAACGCACAACAAGGGCGGCCGGGCAGCTGCGATCGGATACGCAGATGCCAGCTATTCGAGCGCGGCGGGGCGCGCCGAAACCGCGAAGCACGTGGGTGCGGGCTGGGCACGAGCCACACTCGTGCCTGCCAGTGCTCCAGGTGTCTCGCAGGCGGGTCCGTCGATCGCCCGGATGCGCACGGGGGGCAGTGTGGATTTCGTGTGGCGGCGCGCAGCCGCGTTGTCGTCCCGGCGCGTGCGCACGTGCATGGCGAGACCACTCAGGGGTGCGACACGCCATGCCCGACACAAGTGGACAAAAGTGAAGCCACAACGCGCGAAGCGGGAGCGTGCATACCTGGACCGCTACTTGAAACGCAGGCGAGCAGCGTGGATCCACGCAATGGGGGGTCTCATCAACGCGCGATGTCCCACGTGCCGGTGAAAGCGCAGGGAAGCGCCCAGGTCTCCGAGCACGCGACCGGGGACTCGAGGGCGGCCAGACCCCCCTTGGGCCCTCGGCTGGGGAAGCGGGCGCTCGCCGGGCCCCCTGCCCTTCCGGGCGCGGCGCGCGGCAAGGGGGGGTGTTTCGTAGCACACCTCGAAACAAAACATTTCCAGCTGCCCTGCACGTCAGGCCTCGTGGAAGAGCTCCATCACAGAACCAGCGCACGACGCCGGCGTTCGCGCCCGCGCGGCCGAGTCGCGGCCGCCACGGCACGGCACGCCCCCCCCGCTTACGCAAACACATTGGTCCCGAGCAGGAACCGCGACAGCTCGACGGCGTCGATCGTCCCGTCCCCGCTCCTGTCGAGCCGGTCCAAGATCCGGTCCGCCTCCTCGTCCGTCAAGCTGTCGGGGCTGCGCTTCTTCGTCAGGACAGCACGCATGTCCGCAGCGTCCACGCGGCCGTCGCCGTTCCGGTCGAACGCCTTGAGCGCCCGCAGCACGAGCTCCTTCTCCGTCTCGGGGTTGCGCCGGGCCTCGGCGAGCTGCAGCAGGAGCGCGAACTCCTTCTTCGAGAGTCCCCCGGAGGCGTCGAGGTCGCACTCACGCAGGTAGGCCTCGGCGTCCGCGGAGGACGGGTTCAGGCCCATCACGCGCAGCAGCCGCTTCACCTCGCCCGCGTCCACCTGGCCCGACCCTGCACGCCGCGTGCACAAAAACAAATAGAAATCCCCGTCTGCCAAACCACCGCAAGCACCATGGTCGTGGTCGCGCGGCCCGCGCCACCTCGACGCCGCGACGAGAGCGAAGCGCGCGACCGCCGCAGCCGCACGATCGTGCCCCTCCGCGGGTACGCACGCGGCGCGGCGCACACACACAGACACACACACACATGCGCACCATTGGCATCAAAGATGCTGAACACGTGCTCGAGGCGCAGGCGTTTGTCGAAGTCGAGCCGCGCCCACGCCCGCTCGTCCGGGCTCTTGGCCTTCATCGCGCCGTGCACGCTGCCGCCCGTCGCGCCCTCGCGCAGCAGCGACAGCAGGCGCGCGTGCGGGCTGAGGTTCCCGAGCCGCGACGCCGCGAGGAACTCCACGTACGAGATGCGCCCGTCGTTGTCCTTGTCGATGCCTTCCAGCGCCGCGCGGACGTCCTCGGGCGCCGCCCCGAGCCCCGTCAACTTGGCCATGAACTCCTCCTCCTCGATGTACCCGTTGCCATTGGTGTCGATCGACTGAAACGTCTGCTTCACGCCCCCCTCCCACGACTGAGCGTCCTCCGACAGGATGAGCCGCACGAACTCCGCGAACTCGAGCTGCCCGTTCGAGTTCAGGTCGTTGGCGGCGACAAACTCCTTCAGCACGTCGTGCTCCTCGAGCGAGACGTCGTCCTCGTCCCAGCCGAACAGCTCGCAGAGCAGCACGCGCAGCTCCGAGATCTCGATCGCGCCGCTGTTGTCGCGGTCGTACTTCTTGAACAGGCTCCGCAGGGAGTCCTCCTTTTCGTTGCGGATGAACCCCGTCCACTCCGAGACCCTCCCGCAGAGCTTGCCGAACTCGCCCTTGAGCACGCCCATGAACCTGCGACGACTCGAGCTTGCTGCGTCGCGACGACAGGGCGTTCGCCGCGTGCTGGCGTGGTCGGCCCGTGGGCGTCGGGCCGGCCGTGAGTGTGCGTGGGTGGCCGCGAGGGGAGGGAGCGCAGGCGTGGGCGGCCCGGGAGGCGCCTAGGTGTACTTGTGCACCAACGGTTGCGAGTGAGTAGTCCATCAGGTTGCGTGTGCTCCGATGACTTACTTGCTGGCATCCCGCTTCTCGCGACTCCTCTTCTTCCGCCCGAACCGCATCTTGGCGAATCAGAGGATCGCGGTGACGTTTCTGCGTCGCGAAGATGGCGCAGCGCGCGGGCGTTCGCGGAGCAACTGAAAGAAAGTTTGCCAGGGGCTACGACGCGCCTTCGTGCGAGGAATTAGCCATTCTTCCCGTCTATGCCTCGTTTCATCCCATGTTCACGCCCCAAACGCTCCCAAATCCCCCACGAGAATCTCTCATGCGTCGCTGCTGGCCGAGAAAGGTGCCAGGCGAGCTTCCACGTCGTGACGCCGCCAGGGTCGAACTCGCAGCTCCTCGGTGCGCCGAGGGGATATTCGGCCACTCAAGTCACGCAGGGTGCAATGCGAGCACTTCGGTGCCCCGTTTCGCGCTGCTAGAGGCCAGAAAGGCCGATAGAGGGGTCCCTGGCACACTTGGAGGCGCAGTCTGGCCAGCATACAGCACGATTTCCTCCCATTTGGACTACTAACATACCTAGACTATTCAAGGTCCTTCTCGACTCGCCCGAGCTGCGCCTCAATCCCGCAGCCACCACCTCGTGCCTCTCGCGCGCCGCCCTGAGCCTTTGCGCGCGGCGTCACGGTTGCGAGCTCCGCTCAGACGCCCCCCGCGCGAATGGGCGCACCGCCGCGTCGGCGCCCGCGAGGTGCGCGGCTCCGAGCGACCACAATGCTCACGTCAGCAGGCAGTCCGACTCGGCACTCGGGGGGACTCTCGGCGCGCCGCACGACCGCCGGACCGCACGGAGCCGGCCCCTCCGCCCCCACCCGGCGCCCGACGACGCCCCCAACGCCCCACCACCTACCACGGCCGTCCGACGGCACCACCGTGTCGACAACCCCCCCCACACACAAGTTATGCTGCAACCTCACACTTAACTACGCGTGGCCTTCGCCGTTCGCCTGCGCGCCGTTCATCTGCGCGCCGTTCATCTGCGCGCCGTTCGCGGGCACGCCATGCACCCTGCGCACGAACTCGACACCGCTCGTCACGCGCGACGGCGGCGGACGCACGGGCGACGGCGTCCCGGCGCTCTCCGCGCCCCTCTCGCTCGTCCGGCGCGACTCCTCCACCCGCCCCCTCTCCACCCCCTCCTTCTCCCCCTCCTCGTCGCCCTCCATGATCACTCCCCCCCCCTCCATCCCACTCGACCCCTCCCCGCCCCCCACCGCCCCCACCTTCCGCCCTCTCCGCCGCTTCCCCCCCGCCGTATTCTGCGGCAACCGCCCCGCCGCGCACGGGTTCAGCCCCACCTTCACCTTGGGCTGCGGCCGCACAATGTCCTCCCCGCCCACCGCCTCGTCCGGCGCAACCTTCCCGAGGCCCGGCCGCCACGCGCTCTTCCGCGACCGCGCCGTCGCGTCCAGGGACGACGCCGGCGCCGTGCTGCTCGGCGCGCGCGACGCGTTCGACCGCGCGCGCTCCAGCGCCACAGGGTCGTTCTTCAGGGCCTCGATGCGGCGGTCGCGCTCCTGGATGATGAACTCGAACGTCGTGAGGCGCTTCCACTTGAGCACGCTGTGCAGCACGAGGAGCTCGCCGACGAGGAGGCCCACGGCGACGCACAGCACGACCGTCGCCGCGGAGAGGCATATGGCCGCCACGCGCGGGACGCGGCCGCTGTAGCCCGCGGCCTCGTTCAGCGCGGCGGCGTGCGCGTCGTCCGCGACGAACGCCTGCACGAACGCGGCGCCCGCCGCGACGGCGGCGAACACGACCTGCGTGCTCAGCAGCACCAGCAGCGCGAAGAAGACGCCGTAGTTCTTTTCCCCGACGCAGTTGTTGAGCCAGATGCAGTGGTGGTCGAAGGTGCCGACGCAGCGGTTGCACGCGCGGCAGTGCTTCGAGCGCCGACCCACGCCGCAGTCGCACACCGTGCAGTAGCACGGCGCGGCCTCAGCGGGCGGCGCCTCGGCGTCGGGGCCGCTGCGGCGTTTCTGGAGAACCAGGGGGTCCGTCGGGTCGATCGCCGCGGCCACGAAGGCGCACGCGAGCGACGCGAGTGCGACGACACCAAAGGCGCCGTGCAGCAACCAGCGGGCCCAGTCCGTGCGGACGTGCTGGACGGACACGAGGTGGAAGTCCGCCGTGATGGCGATCCATATGAGCAGCGCCGCGACCTGCGCGGGCCGGGCGGGCGCGGGGCGGCGCGCGTGAGCCCGCAGCGCGAGGACGACACCGAATCCGCGCATGCGGGCGAGGCGCGAGGACGGGGAATCCGCGGGCCCCCTGCGGCGCTCGGCGGGGCCGGCGCGCGCGCAGGGGCCGCGAGGGGCGCGTCGGGGCCGTGGCCGGGCCGGAACGCGGCCGGCCGGACGCGGAGAGCAGGCAGAGGGAGAAAACGGTGGCGTTGCGCTGGCGGCGCGCACGGCCGGTCAGGCAGCGGGCCGCGGGCGCCAGGCGACGCCCGTCGCGCCGGGCGACTCGCGGGGCGGCGGGGACGCTCGCTGGATGTGTCGCCGCGGCGCAAGGAGCGCGCGTGCCGGCCGTTGCGAGCAGCATGCCGCTTTGACAGGGACGCAGCGGCGGCGCGGGCGCCGCACGCGCGTGGACTCCGCACGGACGATGAGCCAGCGATCGTGGCTGGCCGCCGGGGGCGCCGGAGCGGCGCGTCGGGGCCGGCGGAAGGCCCACCGCCACGGAAAGCTGCGGCGCATGCGCTGTGGACCAGCGCTGGGGCGCCGGGGGCGCACCTCGGGGAGACTGAGCGGCCACTGCAGGCCATGGTTGCGGAACGCACGGCCCATGGCGCCTCCTGGGCTTCACCACGCCGCCGCTGTCATCCCCGGAGAGACCCTGCAGAGCGCTCTTGCGTCACTGCCGTGTTGCGCGGATTCCTCGTCTGACTGGACGCTCAGGCGCTGCGCGTGCGTGCTACAGCCGCGTGGCTCGCGAGCGAGTATCCCGCGCGGGGCGGGGGCGCGCCCTACGACGCGCGAGCGACCGTGGACCGACCTGAGCGCAGGGCAGCAGAGGGCGGTCTGTCTGGAGCGCACGGGGGGCGGCCGGCTCGAACGGCCGCGGGGCGCGTCGCGGGCGGCACACTGACTGCGCCGGCGGCGACTCGGTCGGGCGGGGAGGACCTGACGCAGGATGCGGCGCGTGCTGGGGACGGCTAGGGCTGCGGGGCTTGTACCGGTGAGCTGCCGCGCCGTGCGGGCGCGCTCTTATGGCCGCACGCGTGGTTTTGGTCGTGCAAGCATGCGGGCGTGACCGCCGGGCTCGGGTTCCGCCGCACCCGGCGGCACGCGGCGTGGGTTGCGCAGGGCGAGCACGGCCCTCGTGCGCGCGGCTCACGGCTTCTCTTTCCACCGGGTCGCCGCGGCCGGCGCACACGCGTCGTGGATGTATTGCTGCGTTGCGTGGATCGGGGTCCACCGGCCTGTTCGCCCTGCTGTGGGTTGAAACCTGGAGTGGTGTCTCGTGCTCGCCCTCGGACGGTCTCTCGGTGGCGCGACCGCATTCATGTCTGCGCGGATGCTGGTCACGGAACAGCGTACGGCGCGTGCCTTGCGTTGGGTGGTTCACGCGCCCCGCGCCGGCGCTGCACGCGCGCCACCGCACACCTCTTGTGCGGAGTCGTCCGCGCCCCCGCTCCGCGGCTGACGATCTCGCGGCAGGATTGCCGCGAACAGCCGTGCCTGCTCTGTCACCTCGCGACCGCGAGATAATCATGGGCGAAGCGCGCTGTTCCACGCGCTGCGCAGCCTCAAGCTCTGTCGGGGGACTTCACGGCCACCAGCGCAGTCCCCGCGCTGTGCGCCGCGCGGAGGGGCATCATCGACAAGGTCAAGCAGAAACTACAGGACGCGCAGGTAAGTCCACGAAAACACCCCCGCGAACACCCCTCACCGCACCCCTGCTCCCACCCTCCCCGCCCGCCGCTCGCCGCCCCCACCGCCTCCCCGGCCCGCCGCTCCCGGCCAACCACTGTCTCAGATCCCATGCCACCTCACCGTCGCCCCTCGCGGCCGTTCCCCCGCACACCCCCCCGCGGCACCCCACCCTCGGCCTGGCCTACAGGACACGGCCAAGAAGGCGACCGAGTCGCTGGCGGACAAGGACGGGGCGATGAAGGACTCGGCGGACGCGCTGAAGAGCTTCGCGGGGGCCTTCACGGAGGGCCTGAGGGAGGAGTTCGGCGCCAAGGGCGCAGGGGGGGGCAAGGGGGGCAAGAGGGGGGGGGTTGAGGACAAGGCGGGGGGGTCGGAGGAGGCGGCGGGTGCGGCAGCGGAGGAGGCCGGGCAGCGGGAGTCCCGTGGGGCGGCGGAGGGGGAGCAGGCGGCGGGCGCGGGCGCGGGGCGGGCGGCGTCAGGGGGGGGGGTCGGGAGGGTGTTCGCGCTGCTGAAGGCGGCGCTGGGGCCGGAGGACGCCGGGCGGAGCAAGTCGATCCGCAGCCACGGGCTCGCGAAGCCCGAGCAGCCCGACGCCAGCACCGCCACGGACATCGTCACCAGTCAGGTGCGACCTGCGTCAGGGGGGGTGTCGCGCCGCGCTGCCTGCGCCGCGCAAACAGCCAGCACGCACACCGCAAGAGCGCCTGCATCGCACGCACGCGCGCCGCTCCGCCCTCTGTTGCACAGCACTCACGGCGTCCTCAGTGCTCGCTGCGTTGCAGGCGCGCAAGTCCGAGTGGGAGAAGCGCTTCGACGGTCTCCGCGACTGGGCGGGCCGCGCGGGCGTCACGAAGGGCTACGATGCCGTCGCGAGCAGCGCGACGCTGCAGCGCCTGCGCGAGGCCGCGGACGACGCCCGCGAGCGCTGGGAGACCTGGGACCACCCGCTCGCGCACCGCATCCAGGACGCCGTCGACCGCGTCGCCACGCAGCCCGAGGCCGCGCAGGCCCTCGAGGAGGCGCGCCGCCGCGACCCCTCCTTCTTCCTGCCGGGCTTCGTGCTCTCCATCGCCGGCGACGTGCGCGACATCGTCGTCGCGGAGCTCAGGGGCGACGAGGACGTCCTGAAGGAGTTCTGCAGCGAGGAGCTCGTCGAGCGGCTCACGGCGCAGTCGCGGGCGGTCAAGGAGCAGCTCGGGGAGCCGGACACTCGGATCCTGCACGCGCGGGAGCCGCAGCTGGTGTCGGTGAAGCTGATCGAGGGGGACCCGATCGTGGTGGTGCAGGTGGAGGTGCAGCGCGTGCACTGCATCCGGGACAAGTTCGGGAACGTCGTCGAGGGGGGGCCTGACGAGATCCGGGCGGTGTTCTACCACTGGGCGCTGCAGATGGACAAGGCCGGGTTCTTCGACGAGGACGGCGAGTGGCAGCCGCCGCGGTGGCAGATCGCGGACTTCGCCGTCCTCGGCGCCCACGCGCTGCTGTGATGCCAGACGCGACGCGGCGCGACGCGGGCCGAGGTGGTGCGGCGTGGCGCGGACGCCGTGCGTCGTGGGCGCGTGCGGGGCTCGCTGGGGCTGGTGGGCTTCCCTGGGTGCCTGCGTGGGCCACGCGGCCGCCTGCGCTGTGTGCGGGTGGGGTGTTTTGTACTGCACGGGGGGGGGTGAGCTTGGAGCGCGGTGGAGCGCCGCGGCGGCGCGATATTGGTTCCGCAGCGGGCGCGGGGGGTCCACAACTGCGTTGCGCGGTTCGGGCTTGCGTCTGCGCGTCTTCCGTTGCTTGAAGCCGGTGCTCCAGTGTGTAGGGTGTGTGCTGCAGTGGCCGCGCGAGAGGTACGTGGCGCGAGATGGCGGCCATCTACGACGGCGACCTGCCGGAGAACGTGGAGGACCAGGTGGACTTCGAGGCGGACGACAACAACGACGCGGGGGAGAATGAGCCGGACAAGGACATGGAGAAGGAGGGCGCCCTGCTGAAGGAGCGGCTGGGGCAGAGCGAGGTGCGGCTTCCCGGGACCCTTCGTGCGCGCGGCGGCTAGAGCGCGTCGGTGACCACTGTACGTGCGCGTGGGATGCTGTTTGCGGCGTCGGGGCGCGCGCCGCGGGGCGTACGCGTCTGCAAAGCGACGTGCGCACTCTGATTGGGCCGTCGGGCGCGGAACGGTGCGCGTTCTGGGACGGGGCGTGGGACGTAGGCGGGGAACGTGTGCCTCCGGGCGCGAACGGTCCGTTTCGCGCGCCACGCGCTGCGCCGTGCAGACCGTTGCCACAACAGTCTTCGCCGCGCAGGGCAAGGAGGGGGAGGGCGAGCACGGCGACGAGAACGGCCTCACGGAGGAGCAGAAGAAGGAGCGGGACGCGCGGTCCATCTTCATTGGGAACGTCCACTTCAACGCCTCGCCGGAGGACCTCCACGAGCTCTTCTGCGGCTGCGGCACCGTCCAACAGGCGCGTCGACGCGCCGCGCACGCCCACGCACGCCCCTCTCCGCAACACCAGCCAGACACCGCCTGCGCGCCGCACCACGGACGCCTCTCACGCGGGCCCCGGCCACACTCCCAGCCCACTGCCCCACCGGCCGCGCGCTGCCCCGGCACCCGCACCGCGCGACCGCGCGCACGCCGCGGCCTCTTGACGCGGTCCGTCCCGTGCGCCCACCGTCCGCCCCCCTGCAGGTCACGATCCGGTCAGACAAGGACAACAACCCGAAAGGGTACGCGTTTATCGAGTTCCTGGAGCCCGACGCGGTCGAGGCGGCGATGAAGCTCACGGGCACGGACCTCCTCGGCCGCCGCATCAAGGTCCTTCCGAAGCGCACCAACCAGCCGGGCCAGAAGACCCGCGGGAGGGGACGCGGGCGCGGGATGATGGTTCCGATGATGATGCCGATGATGGGCGGGCGCTGGGGCGGGCCGATGATGATGATGATGGGCGGGCGCCGCGGCCGGGGACGGGGCCGCGGACGCGGGCGCGGGGGGTTCGCGCCGTACTGAGCAGAAGGGGGGGGGGTTGTCAGGACGCCGGTGGGTTGGCGGGGAGGTCGGTGGGCTTGCTCGCAGGACGGATGTGATGGCAGACGCGACGGGAGGGCGTAGCGCGCCGGTGTCGACGCGCACGTGTGTTGTGCGGCGCTCCACGACCTGGCCAGGATTGCGTCGCGTGTTGGGCTGCTGGGCGACAGCTCCTGCCCGGTCGTGTCGTGGCGGAGCGCAGGTGACGTTGCACGACGGGGCCCAGCGTCGTGGCTGGCCTTCTAGGCGCTGATGTCGGCACTGAACGGCCAATCATTGGTGACAGCCACCAGTGGTGCGTTACGGCGGCACGCGGGCGCGCCGCGACCCCGTCCGGACGCCTGTTGGTTGCGAACGATCGCTGCACTCGGTGACCCGCACGCACACGTCGTCCTGTCCCGTCGAGGACCGCACCGGAGGTCACGATCTTTAGGATTGTCGAATTGAGACTGGAGTTTCGTCTGACTGGAAGAACACCCCTGCAACGCACACGCCGCCACCGGCATGCAGCCGAACGCGCGCATCACCACTCGCGGCAACGAATCGTTGGAATCACATCGTTCTCGGGGCGCGAAGACAACAGCGACACCCCCCGTATGGCTCCGCAAAAGCCCCCCCACTACTTGCTCGCTTTGGCCAACATGTCCGCCAGGTCGCCCTCGTCCAGCTCGCCCCGCAGCGCCTCCATGCGGATCGCCGCCATCTGCGCCGCCGACTTCCGCTGCAGCGTCCGCCGCTGTTGCCGCTCCTCCTGAGTCAACTCCTCCCCCGCGCGACCAGACATCCCCCCCTGCGCCTCGCTCCGCCGCGAGGCGCTCGCCCCGCCCTCCGACGCCCAGCGCACCCCCACGCCGCGGGGGCTCGCCCCGTTCTGAGACGCCCCGTTCGCTGCCTCTGCACCCACCCCCGGCTCCGGCTCCGGCTCCGGCTCCGGCTCGGGCTCCGGCGCCCCCAAGTTCAGCCTCTGCGCCTCGCTGTCCATCCCCAAAATGTGCTCCGCGATCGCCGGCCCGCTCGTCATCTCCAGCGGCACTGCCTCCTCCTCGGCCGGGATCGTCGGCAGCGCCTCGGCACGCGACCCGAGCCCGTGCCCGTTCCGGCCCATGGGCGACGTCGGCGTGTGCGGCGCGAGCGACTTGAACGACGCCCGGCTCCGGCTCCGATGCAGCTCCCGCAGCCCGCCGCCGTACCCCTTCTTGCGCTCGCGCTGCAGCCCCGCGCTGAGGAGGTCCTGCGTGGGCTCGAGGTGGCCCGAGGCCATGGCCTGCTGCGTCAGGACGAGCTCCGCGTTCTCGAAGGTCAGGTCCTTCCGCGTGAGGATCCCCGTGACCTGCGGGCGCTTGTCGGTCACGAAGACGTAGCGCAGGCCGAGGCCGCGCAGGATGGTGTAGGCGCGCAGCATCGACGCGTCGGCGGGGAAGACGTGCGGCGAGCGGTGCATGAAGGGCCGCAGGTCCACCACCCAGTCGTCCAAGTCGATCTCCCGCTCCAACGCGCGAAATATGTCTTCCTGTTCCGAAACGCGCGTCTTGATCACCGTGGCGTTCGTCGCCTCGACCCAGCGCTGCCGCGCCGCCAGGTCGTGCGGTATCCGCACCCCCTGCGTGGCCTTCCCCTTGGCGCGCGGCGACGCCCCCACGCTGCCCGCGGCGCCCAGGTCGCTGTCGTCCTCGCTGTTGTACCAGTCGCCGTGCGGCTCGCACTCCTTGCGCTCAACGAACCCCGTGCGCGACCGCAGCATCTTGAGCAGCAGCTCGCGCTCCACGGCGCCGTGCAGCTCGAACGCGTCGCCGTTGAAGGCCTTGTACACCTGGTGCGTCACTGGGAAGGAGTTGTGCTTGACGAGCCGCAGGACGGAGATGAGGTTCCGGACGGGGACGACGGGGGGCAGCGCGACGACGTTGTTGCTCGCCATGTCGCTCACGTTGAGCTTCAGCGAGATGGCGTTGTGTCGGTAGCTCGAGCGCGGCTCCTCCAGCATCGGCGCGTTGAGCCGCGAAATGGTGACCTCGTAGATCGACTTGCCCAGCGCGTCGCCCATGACCTGCGGAGTCGCGTCGCGCAGCACGTGTGGGCTCACCCTCCCCTGCGGCACACGCGCCACACCCTGCGCAACACCCCCAGCCACAGGACGTCACGTGTGCGCGGGGCCTCACCTTGGACGCGAGCACCGCGAACATGACGGGAATCACGAGCTGCAGCGCGCCAGTCGTCTCGATGACCAGCACCGCGATCGCGAGCGTCATCCTGCTGGTTCCGTTGAGCATCGCTGCGGCGCCCACCACCGCGTACGTCGGCAGCGACGTCCGCCCGCCCGCGGTGCCGTCGATCTCGCCCGCCACGATCGCCACGCCCTGCCCCACGAAACGCCCCAGCGCCGCCCCGAACGCGATCGACGGGATGAAGAGCGCCGTGGGGGCGCCGCACCCGTTGGTGACGGTGGCGCCGACGAGCGCGACGGCGGCGAACGCGAGGAGCGCGCCGTTCGGGAAGTTGTACGGGTCCTGCGTGAGCGGGGACCCCACGTGCACGATCTTGCGCGCGGCCTCCGTGAGGGACGTAAAGAACAGAGCCCCCATCTCGGAGTACTCCCCCTCGTCGCACCACAGCCGCGGAAACTCGTGCATGTCCTGCAACCACAAGATGCACACGAGCGTGTGTGGGCCCTGGAAGTCCGGCAGCGCGCGTCTGCGCGACCGCTGCTGGGACGGCAACGACGGACGCGCAGCGCGCGTGTGGGGCGCTCGCACCTCGAGGAGGCGGCGCTGGACGTCCGCGGGCAGCGCTGTGAAGGTGCTGGAGCTGCCGTCGAGGAGCGCGGGGAGGCCCTTGCAGGGCGACGCGTACGCGGCCACGAAGAAGACGACCGACGTGACGAACCCGATGGCCACGACCTCGGCCCACCGGAGGTACCTGCGCGAGGGCGGGATGTACTTCCTGCGCCACCGCGAGACGTGCTTGTTCGACCACACCAGCGTCGCGCCGAGCACGCCGCCCGCGACCCCCATCGCCACGAACACCGGCAGCTCCTGCGCGGCGGAACACGCGAGTTCGACCGGCGTTCATCGCCCGACGCGATTCCGTGCGACGTGCGCACGCATGCAGTTCGGCGCGCGGTGCGAGCTCACCCAGATGCGGTAGTAGAAGACTTGGCCGTAGCGCGCCTCGATGTCCGACACGAGGCCGACCTCGCGGTGCGTTCCGAGCTCCTTGGTGAGCGTCGCGGCGCCGTCGTCGCGGAAGAGGAACATCGCGTTGATCGTGAGCACGCTCGAGCACGTGGCCACGAACGAGCGCCAGAACACGCCAGACACGCTGAAGTAGGTCGCGGCCTCCTCGAGGGTGAACAGCAGGCCGCCGATGGGCGCGCTGAACGACGCCGCCACGCCCGCCGCGACGCCGATCGCCACGAAGTCGCGGTGGTCCTCCGGGTTCCTGCATGACGCGCACACAGCCGCTCGCCCACGATTCGGTCGCGCGACGACCGAACAGCTCGCTGCCACGCAGGCGCATCCGCGCGGCGGCCGCGGCGCACCTGAGGGCCTCGGGGTGTTTGGTTTTGAACTCCGCGCGGCTGTCCTTGGTGAGCTTGCGCCAGAGTGGCGTGAGCGCCATCGAGCCCATGCCGCCGAGGCCGCCGCCGACGATCGCGCCGGAGTGCACGAACGGGCCCTCCTTCCCGGCCACGAGCCCCCCCGTGATGGTGAAACACACCCCCACGGCCTTGGCGGCCAGGGTCTGGAGGGACAGCATGCCGGGGATGCGGACGCCGTTCAAGTACAGCTTGATCTCGGAGATGCCGCTGCCGGCCGCCGCGGGCGCGAGCACCGACCCGCAGAACCCCGCCACCGCGCACAGGCCTGTCGACATGAACACAAACAACAGGAACGGCCGCCAGAACGACTTGTCGTCCCTGCACGCACCCACAGCGCGCCCGCACGGTCACGACTCGCCTCCCGTAGCGCCGCGCGCGGCCCGTTCGGGGTCCCGGCGCCTCGCGGCGCGATGGTGCAGGCGCGCGCTGTCATGCGCGGTTTCGGCGCGGCAGCGGCGCGCGGGCGGGCGGGGCCTGCGCGCACCCGATGAGGCTCTCCGCGGCGGCGTACTTGGCGTGTCCGAGGTCGTGGATGACCCAGTCAACGAAGAAAGCAATCAGACCGACCAGGACCCCTATGAGAATCGGGAGGCCCCAGCGCCAGTATTCGTCCCACTGGAAGTCCTTCAGAGACCGGTCCGTCTGCGGCGCGGCGAGCTCTTGGAGGGGCGTGGGCGCGAGGCCCGGGCGTCGAGGTGGTGGGTGCAGCGCCGCGCGCCGCGGCCGCCCGGGCCGTCGAAACCGGCGGCCGAGCATCGGGTTGATGGGACCCGCGAGTGAGGGTGCAGGGTGTGCGGCGGCGCGGTCGCTGCGGCCGGGACCGAGGCGCGCGGCGCGGTTGACCTCGTGCAACGTGAGGGCGCGCTGCGTGCTCGCTCTCGGCGTGCTCACGGCGACGGCGCGCACCTGTATGCCCCTAGTCAGGTCGCTCTCCTGCCGGTCATAGTTCTGGGACTGGTACTTGTCGAACCGCGCGAGCGTCTTGGCCAGTCTGCGCTGGTCTCGCACCCCATGCACGCGCACGCCGTGGAACTTCCGCGGCAGGTGCTTGTAGACGCGCTCCTCCTCCGTGGTGCCCCGGAACACCGCGCTCGTGATCACCCGCGCGCTCTTCCGGATGACGCTCTTGCCAGCCTTGACAGCGCTTCCCAGGACAATGCTGCTCTTGCTCCGCGCGTGGCCGGGCCTGGGCTTGGGCCGCGCGTCCACGGCCCCGGCGGACGCGCCACCACGCGAGGACTCGTCCTTCTCGGACGACTTCCACGGCATGGCGTCCTCCTGGTAGCCCGCGCGAGCCGCTCGCCAGAGGGGCGCTACCGCCTCCGCTGCGCACAGCGGGCGCCCGCCCGCGGCTTGAGCATCAACTCGACTGTTTTGAGCAGAACAGTCCGTCAAACTACGCACAGGCCCGCCGCGCCCAACAGTGCCTCTGTGGCGCCCCAGGCCGCCCCCTTGCACACCAACCACCGCCAGCTACTCGGAAAACCCCCCCCACCCCCGCGCCCTTTCCCGCCCCTATTCGCGCGACACACTGGCGCGTCACGCGCCCTGCCCCCCCGCGGCCGCAACGCACACCCCCAACGCCCCGCCACCATCTCGCACGCGTCGCCAGTCTCCGCGTCACACACGGCGCCACCGCGCCACCGCGGCCCCCCGGTCTCACTGCCCGGGCTTGGCCGTCTCCCACCAGCTGAACCGGTCCACCCCGCGCGTGAGCCGCCCCAGCGGGTCGACGTACGTGTACCGGCCAATCCAGTCCAGGGGGGGGTAGTCACCCTTCTTGGCGTCCTCGATGGCGTCGTCGACCTCCTTCTTGATCGCCTTCTCGATCTTCTTCACCGCGGCCGCCTCGAACCCGTTGCTCGTGAGCATCGCCTTGACGCGGTCCACGGGGTCGCGCTCCTGCCGCGTGGACTGAATCTCGTCGCGCGTGCGGTACGTGCTGCCCGGGTCGGACATCGAGTGGCCGTGGTACCGGTACGTGTCCATCTCCAGCATGATCGGCCCGTTCTCCACGGCGTACTCCTGCGCGACACGCGCGGCCACGAACAAGATCGATCGTGGAACACCATCGACACTCGCGAGCGCACGAAACGTGGAACGCAGCGGCGTGGCGCGTGCAGCGACGGGCGGGGGCGCGCGCGAGCTCGTCCGAGCGGCGCTCGTCGGGGCGCTTGCGCGCGCGCGCGGTCCGCAGGCGCTCGTGCCGGCAGCCGCGCGCGCGGCCGCGGGGCGTGGCTGCGTCCGCGGGGCGGTCGGTCGCCGCGCACCTTGGCATACATGATGGCGTTCTTGACCGCCATGGCGTCCATGCCGTCGACCTTGATGCCCGGGATGTACCCCCCCCGCTTGTAGAACTCGGGCTGCTTCGACGCGCGGCGGTCGCTCGTGCCCATCCCGTAGTGGTTGTTCTCGATGATGTACAGCACGGGCAGGTTCCAGATCGCCGCCATGTTGAGCGCCTCGAAGTGCTGCCCCTGGTTGGCCGCGCCGTCGCCGTACAGCGTCAGCGCCACGTTGCGCTCCCCCTCGTACAGGTGCTTGAAGCCGAGGCCCGTCCCGACGGGGATCTGCGCGCCCACGATCCCGTGGCCGCCGTAGTAGTTGTTCTTCGCAGAGTACATGTGCATTGACCCGCCGAAGCCCATCGTCGCGCCGCACCGCTTGCCCATAAGCTCGCCGATGACCTCCGTGACCGTGCCGCCGCGGATGAGGTGGATGCAGTGGTCGCGGTAGGACGTCACGATCGAGTCCTGGAACGTCGTGCCCACCTGGATGCCGCCCGCGATTGCCTCCTGGCCATCGTAGAGGTGGCAAAAGCCCCTGCGCGGCGGCGCGGCGGGGCGCGGGCGGCGTGGGAGCGGGCGCGCGGGAGGGCGGAAGTGCAGCATGCGTGGCGCGCGCGCGGAGCGGCGCGGGCGCGCGCAGCGGGGCGGCTCCGCGCGTCACCGCTGGGGGTGCAGTTGCGCGGGTGCGACGCGGCGTCGCGCCGGAACCCGGGGCGCCGAGTGCGCGTTCGTGGCGGCTGAGATCCGCGGCGTGCGGTTCCCGGGCGGCTCGGGGCCGCACCGGATCATCTTGGCCTTGTACAGGAGGTCAGCTGCCACCTCCATTCTCCGCATGCGGTACATCGACTCGTACACCCCCACCAGCTCCTTCATGGAGGTCTTGACCTTCTGAGGCGGCGCGTCGATCATGTAGGCCTCGTACGGCTTCGGGATCTCCACCTGCGAGGACCGTGCGGGGCCGGGAGCGGCGCTCAGGGCTGCCTGAGCGGGCGCTCGGGCGTGGTGGGCGCCGGGTGCAGCGTCGCCGCGGCGCTGAGGCGCCGCTCCTGACAGTTGCCGGCTCGAATACGCGTAAATCACGCCAGCGGAGCGCGCGGACACGGACGCGCGGGCCCGCGGGGGCGCGTGCGGGGGGGAACGACCGGGGTGCAGGTCTCGCCCCACCGCGTGCGGGGGCCTGCGCGCCCCGCGCGCTCCGCTGCGCGACGTGGGAGCGAGGGAGGTGTGCGGCGTGCTCGCCGCTGCGCACCTCGATTTCCTCGTCGCTCGCGGCCGACGCGAAGGTGCGGGCGGCCACGCGGGCGTGCCGCAGGAGGCCCGCGCCCACGGCGGGCGCAGCGCCCGACAGCGCGCTCGCGATAGGCGTCGAGAGGGCGCGCAACATCTTGTCCGACCCCGAGTGCCACGCACAGGCCGCACCGCGCCTCAACGGCTGGTTCGGGCGCCCGTGCGGCGTCTGACGGCACCCCCTGACGCGCCGCCACGTCCCGCGACGGCAGCCGGGCAGCTCAGGGGCTCCGGCGGCGTCCCGCACGCAGTGCTGTCAGCGTTCAGGATGCCACGGCTGTCTGCGTTTCTGGCGGGCGCCTCTGCGGCGCGCGCCACTACATCGAAGTTGCCGGACGCGGCTGGCGCGCGGCCGGCGCCGGTGCCGGGCGGCGTCCGCGAAGCCCTGCTCGACGACGAGGTGGCCGAGCTGCGGCGGGCGCGTGGGAAGGCCGGGTGAGCACGCGCGGCGCTTGTTTGTAGTGGACGATGCTGCAACGACCGCGCCTCCGCGGGCAGATGATATTGAATTCGACGCGAAATGCCTCGACAACGCTGATAATTTATGCCTCGGCGCGCTCGCTGTTCGCGGGGTCCGCGCGCCGCGCCGAGACGGAGTGCTTTCGCGCTGGTGGTGTTTGTATGCAGCGAGGGGCAAGCAGCACTGCGCCGACACTTGTACACACTGGACTGACGTTCTGTGTTTGTATGCAGCGAGGTGCTGTACCGGCAGGCAGACGGCTCGCTGGGGCCGACCCGGCCGCCGCAGGACCCCTTTACGGCTGCTTCTCGAGAGCGCTGGTCGCGGCTGGTGCAGTACTGCAGGGAGCAAGTGCGCCCCACCCCGCGCCTCACATCGCTGCCTGCATTGCCCACAGGGAGGCCGTCGATCACGCCACCCATGCTCTGGTGCCCGTGGAGCGTTCAAACGAGAGCTGCATGTGCTGCACCGAGTTGAGCTGTCGATGTTCCAGAACCAACCGCCGTTTCGGCTTGTCCAGCGTCGCGACCCTTTGTGTCTGCGGTTCCCCGAAGATTGGCGCATCCCACGGCGAGCCATTCGAGCAGGGAACAGCTAAACCCGTACAACTCGTCGCTCGCAGCCGCAAGCACTGCGCAAGCTGATCGACGAGTTGTACGGGTTGCTTCCGGCCCGAGCGACTCGCCGTGGGGCGCGCCGGTCCTCGTGGCACCGGAGAAAGAAGGGTCGACGCTGGACAAGCCGACCCGTCCCCTCGCTGCCCCCGCGACGGCACGCTGCACACAGCGGCAGCGGCCCTGGTTGGCACATGCCGCCGAAAGATCGACGCCCGCGGCCCCGGGACCCAGACAGCAAGTCTGCGCGTGTTGGGAGTCTCGCGCCGCACGCCCTGACGCTCGCAGGAGAGCGCGAGGTTCCAGAAGCACGGCGCGGACATGCGCTGGGGCCTGAGCTGCACGCACGAGGAGCACGCCCTGTGCCTGCGACGCGGAGTCGGCTGCGAGCCCGAGACGACGGCCGCGGGCGAGCGTCCCGGACTCGACCCTGAGAACACCATGCCGCTCCAGGTCCGTCGCCGCGCGTCCGACGCGCATGTCTCTCCGCGTGGCGCGTTGCGCAAGACGCCGCGGGAGCAGCGATCGCCGGGTTTCGTGGGACGTGTGCGGGGACGAAAGCCGCATGGCCGTGCCGAACGTCCGCGCCGTCCACCGGGTGCGTCGTGGCGCAGGTGGAGGCCCACGTGCTGCACATGATGGCGGGGGTGTTTGTTGACGAGGAGGGGGGGTGAGAGCCGCGGACGCGAGCTCCGGGCGGCTCGGCGACTGCAGCGGACGCTGCTGCGTGGATGCGCGACGCCGCGCACCGCCGTGACGCCTGAGAGGGGCGGCACACCGCGGCGAGGGGGGGACGAGCCGGCCGACAAGCTATCACACGTGTGATGACGGGCGGGTCATTCTCCGCCGGCCCAGGGCGCGGACTGTCCGTCGGGGACGCCGTCCGGGTGCTGTTGTTCGTTGGCCGCTTTGAGGGCCTCCTCAGCCTTGCGCTCCATCTCCTCGAGCTTCTCCAGGGTGATGGACTTCAACGGCATGATCTTGGGCTTGCAGAGAACCTGCGCGCAGCCGGGGACGCCGCGTGCGGCCGCTCGCGCCCGCAGAAGCAGGGCGCTGCATCTCGCAGGCTCCGCAGTGCAGCACACAGCTCCTCATCGGCGCCGCACATGCGCGCGCCCTGCGCATCGGCGATGGCTGGTCGACGGGCCACCAAACAACGTTTGAGAGCGGCACTCCGTTCTCCAGGGGCACTGGCAAGGTTGCCCTCGGTTCGCGCTCCGTCTACGCTGCGCTCGGGGCGGCGTCGCACATGTTCGTCCGCGCACCTCGGTCAAATTGCCCTTCTCCGACACCACGAGCCCGCTCTTCGGAAGAACCTCGCTCATGGCGGCCCCCGCGCCCTGCGACATGGCGCTCCTCTCCTGCCCCGGCCTCGCGATCAAGAAGGCAGACAACGACCCGCTCTCGCGCGCGCCCACGGGTTCAGAGATGCTTCAGCGCTCTCAGGGCACCGTCCGCGTCTCGAGCCCGGCGGAGCTTCTCAGCGGAGCGCGCTGCGCACTATTCAATGCAGGACGCTCAGCGCAGCAAACGACCGAGGCAGTCCGACACGCAGAAACCGCCCTGGCTACGAACAGCGCTCGCTTGTGGCGGGCACGGCGGCCGCCCGGCGCCCGTGACGGGCGCCGCGCATTGCGGGACAACCCGGTCGGACTGACTCTGTCCGTCGGACGTGACGACCGACACGCCGGTAGAAACGGTGCGCACGTACGCACGGGGGCGGCGGGAGCGAGCTGGGCGTCGGAGCCGCTCCCCTGAGCATGCGAGCAGCAAGGTGATCGATGTAGCGCCGGACAACCCGCGAGGGTGCGTGGGCGACCGAAATTGCACGGCAGACGGCGCGTGGCGCATCGCGTCGGGCGCGAGGGTTTGCTGCGTGGAGCACGAGTCACAGCCGATGATCCCGGTCACGGATCGGCACCTCGCACGCACTCGTTGCGGGTGGGGTTGAGCGTGGTCGGTTCTTCTGGACTGCATCGGGCTGGGGTCGCTGCGCACATCTCCGCTCGACCTGGCGCAAACGTCCACTGGCCGGGCGAAGGCAGGTTCGAGTAGCGCGACATGGCGTCCTCGCGGCCGCTGGGGCCGGGAAAGAGGCAGGCAAGAAGGCAGGCAGGTTGCTAGGAGACAGTCCACATGATCTCGACGGTCCGCGTCCGGGCGGCTCGGCCACGTGTGTGGGGAGCCGGCAGGTGGAGGCCGCCGTGGCTTTCATGTAGGTCGGGTTCAAGCGCGTGTGTAGGCGGGCGAGGCCCAGCAGGACAGTTGTGGGGGGGGGAGTGAAGTTCGGGTGTAGTGGTGGCCGCGGAGGACGAGGGCGCGCGAACGACGTGGCCGCGCTTCGATCGTCATAGAATATGCGGGAGGCGTTGTGCGCGAGGCGGCCGGCAGTGCAGCGAGCCTGGGAGTCGCAGGCGGGGGGGGACGAGCGCAGGGCGGCCGTGTCCTGAGCGGCTGCCCACTGAGGCGCGATCCCGAGAATGAACAAATGGTATGAGGCTAGCGGTCGGGGTCGGTCCGGGCCCGTGGCTACGCGAACGCAGAGAACACGCGTTGTGCGCGTGTTATAAGCCAGGAGGTGCGTTCCCTGCTGCGTGTCAGACCGCAGCGGACGTACGGGTTCCCCCCTCGAAAGTATAGCTCCGCTCCACTGCGAGCCGCGGCGCGGCTGCAACCTACGCCCGGGGGCCCCGGCGCAGCTGCTCGTCTTCCATCTTGACGTCGCTGACCACGGTGCGCAGCGGCAGCGTCGAAGGGCTTCTCGCGGGCTGGCCAGAGGGTGTGCCGCGCGGCATCGGGGACGGACGCGAGATGGACGTCGCGGCGACGCCGCGCCTCGGGCCTCCTCGCGTCTCCTCGTACTCGATCGCGGGGGACGACGTCTCACCCGTGTGGATGTAGTGCCGGGTGCCGGTCTGCCGGCCCGCGCGCAAGTGCGAGGATCCCGAGGGCAGCGACGCCGCGATCGTCGGCACGCGCCACAAGTAGGTGTCCATCTCTCCCTTGCCCTTCACGGCGATGCGTTCGTGCTGGAAGTAGTCGCGCTGGTGCACGGGGATCTTGTTGTACGTCGCCGACGTGATGCGCACTGCGTTCGGCTCCGAGTTGCTCTCCATGCGGCTCGCCGTGTTGAGCGTGTCGCCCACCAGCGTCAGCACCGTACGCAGGCGCCCGAGGACGCCCCCCGCGAGCGGGCCCGTGTGCACGCCCACGCGCACCTCGAGCGACTTGCTCGGGTCCGCCGGCGACGGCGTGCTCTGCGCGATCTTCACGATGCCCTCCGCGAACTTCAGCGCCGTCAGTGCGTGGTACCTGTCGTGGTCCTGGATGTTGGCGATCGCCACGTACGCGTCGCCGACGGTCTCGTACTTGTACAGCCGCAGCACGTCCGACAGCCTATCGAGCCGCGTGAAGAACGAGTGCATCGTCTTCATCAGCTCCTTCGGAGGCACGTTGGACGACATCGTCGTGTACCCCACGACGTCGCTCATGATCACCGTGACCTCCTCGTGCATCCGGAAGCCGAGCGGCCCGTCCTGCCCCGGCGCGGCGAGCTGCCGCGGCGGCGACAGGCACGCCACCTCCTTGTCCGAGCGCAGGAAGAAGCGTTCCGCGTGCGCCTCCGCGCTGCCATGCCCGCTGTCCTCCGCGATGCGCGACCCCCCCGCCGCCGACTTCCCGTTCTCGCTGATGTTGCCCGGGTTCGACCCGGAGCCGGCCTGGACCGTGCGCGGCGCGGGCAGCTCGCCGCTGTTGGTCTCGCCCGTGGTCGACGCCTGGGCCACGCCCAGGTGGCTGAGCTCGAGGTTGAACGACACGGACGACACGTGGTTGCGGGCGTCGACGTTCAGGCCGATGTGCGACCGGCTGCGGTACTTCATCGGGTGCCCCTTCATCGCCATGTCGCGCTGTTTCGAAATGAGAGCCTCTGCGATATCTGCCGGGACCATGTTCTGGATGACTAGGTCGCGCGACCGCGTGGGGACGTGCCCGAGCGCCTGGAGCGTGGACCCGACGTTCGCCGCGACCAGGAGCACCAGCCCCGCCGGCAGCGGGGCCTTGAGGTCCAAAAACGTCAGCACCGTCGACCCTATCAACGCTGCGGGCACAGGCGGGGGAGCAAGGGCGTTGGCGCCGTCCACGGGCAGCGGCGCGAAGCACGAGCGCGGGGCGTGCGGGCGCGCAGGCCGGGACGCCGGTGCGCACCGATCGCGACGGCGAGCCACGACGCGGCAACGGTGATGACCATCAGAGGTGGCGTGAGCGGCACAGCCTCCCGCAGCATCGGGTCGGCCTTGAAGAACGTCCACAGGCCGCCACTGATCTCCTGCGCCCGCCCGCTGCCGCCCTCGTCCTCCGCCGACGTCTGGTCGCGCTGCAGGTCGCGCCCGGCCAGGTTGTAAGGAAACACCAGGCCGATGACCGACATGTAGCACACCGCGGCCATGGCTGCGCAGGCGACGGAGATCGCTGCGTGGTCGCCCGTCGCGCGGCCGAGTCCGGCCTCGCCAGCCTGCGCGGACGGAGCGTGGGGCGCCGGGTGGGCTGCTGCGCGGGGGGAGGCGCGCGGTGGGCGGCGGGGCGCGGGCGCGCGGGGCGGCGGACGCACCAGAATGATGAAGGGGGTGACCGTGGGCGTGATGCGGGCGATCCAGATGAGGTTCACCGGGCTGATGGTCCGCGAGAACTGCAGTCCCGACTCACTCACCAGAGCAGCGCTGCGGGGCACGAGAGGCGGGCGGAACCAGTTTGTTCCACGCCGCCTCGGCGCACGTGCGTCTGAGCGACAGGAATCCGCGGCATTGGTAGGAAATTGCGGTTCGGGTGGCGCGCAGGACGCGGGAAGGAATGAGAGGCACGAATTTCGTGGGAGGCTCACCCGGCCCCTTGGACGGCGCTAATGGAGGTGGCGAGCGTCCAGCCGTGCTCGACCAGGTACAGCCGGAGCATGAGGCACCCGACCGCGTCCACGACGACCCCGGTCAGGACGTACCGGCCCCGGGCCCCCCAGGTCCACTTGAGGAGGGCTGGCACCCACGCGCAGACGCCGAGGGCGACGTGGAAGACCGCGGCGATCGCCATCGCGGTCAGTGTGGGCGCGTGGAGCCTGCGCCGCGTCGGTGGAGTGGGGGTTCGGTCATGACACGCGCTGCGCCGCAGTCGTGCGATGGGACTGGGGGGCCCGGGGGCGCCGGTGCGCGCGCGGCGTGTGCACGGTGTCGCGTGCGCTCGACGCGAACGGTGAATATATCGCTGGTCGCGGGCCGGGAAGCGGAACGGAGCGGGCGTGGGGCCGGCAGAGCGGCGGGAGGTTCTCGCGGTGCGTCGGCTGCGCACCTGCAGTCGAAGTCGCGGTCGTCGTCGCCCGCTTCCGTCGCGCCCCACCCACATGATGAAACCGCCTGGGCCAGTCCGATGACGATGGCGATGCACGTGCCCATCGCGAACTGGTACAGGCCCGTCATCATTGGGCTCGACACCGTGCTCAGCTCCACCCGCGCGTCCAGCAGGCTCAAGAGCCGCATTTTCAGGTCTCCTCGGCGAGGAGCCGCCGCCTCTTCCGCCATCTTCAACACTCTTGCTCCGACAGCGCCGCTACGCGTCTGCACTCATCCTTCACAAGCTTCCCACGCGCACAACAACCTCGACGACGCAGTCCTCACTCTGGGACACGCTCCCACGAAATAGCTACGACCTCCGCGCCGCGCTCGCGCCCAAGGTGCCGCGAGCAGGCGGCTGCAAGCCTGACGCGCGCGGTCGGACACAGCTCCGGCGCGCTGCACGAGACCCCCGCCGGATACCCCCTCAACGGCGCGATTTCCCCCCTCGGGATGCCACTCCGACGACGAACTCTATCTGATCGACGGCTCTGCGAGGCGCGGCGCGACGGGAACGGCGCGTGGCGCGCGAACGGCACGCCACAGCCTCGCACGCCGCGCCTGCCACACCACCGCGTGGTCGCTCGAGGACCACCCACTTCGGGGCCGCGGCCCGGATGACGCACAGCGGCGCGCGGTGCGCCCGCCGCGGGCGCGCCAACCTCAGCACCATCGGCTTGAGCACCACCTCGGTCGCAAACACACACACACAGAATGAAGCGGCACGTCGCGGTCGCGCCCGGCGTCACACAGCACGCAGGACGCCCGCTACCACTCGTCGTCGAACCCGCCGTCGTCGAGGTCGAGCCCCGCGTCCTCGCCCTCCAAGTCCTCCCCATAGGCCCCTCCCCAAAAGTCCGCCTCCCCGCGCGGCGACCCCGCCTTCGGGTTCCCGACGCCCACCGCGCCCGCCTCGGGCTTCCCCCTCGGCTCCAGCAGCCCCGACGCCTTGCCAAAGACCCCCACCCCGCCGCCCTGACCCCCCCCCGCCTTCTTGTCCAGCTCCGGGAGAATGTCCGCGGGGATCCCGACGGGCAGCATCCGGTCCGGAATGTCCGCCTCCGTCGCCTCGCCGCCGCTCCGCAGCGTCGCCACCACCGAGTCCACGATCACGCCCACCGCGTCGTCCGCCGCCAGCTCGGCCTGCTCCACGCGCTCGCGCTCCTTGTGCACGATCGCCTTGACCGACGGTTGCATGACGGGGCTCGTCGTGCCGCTCTGCGCCCGCCGGAGGAACGCACGCGCGCCGTCACGCACATCCCTTGCGGTTGCACCGGCGGCGGGACGGGGGGGGGGTTCGCGCACCTGGAGGTGCGCGTCCTGCTCGATCCCGAGCGCCACGTCAACGAGGTGCAGCCGACGCTCGACGACGTCCAGGAACTTCCGCCCTGCGTCCTCGCCCTGCTTCTGCCCCGCCGCCGCCGCCCGCTTCGCCTCGCTGCGCACCACCACCTCGACGTGCGTGGACTTGGCGGGGCCGCCCGGGAGGAGCCGCGAGAGCGTGGGCAGCGTGCCGTAGTCCAGAACGTCCCGCAACCACTCCCCCGGGCCCAAACCGAACCCCGCAACCCACGCCTGCGCCGAGGGGGGGGGAGTGCGTGCGGCGCGTGAGACGCGCGCAGCCGCGCGTGCGGCGGGGAGTCCGGCGACGGCGATGCAGATCGCGAGGCGAGGCGGACGCGCGTGCGGGCCGCACCCTGGGGGCGTGCTTCAAGCGCACAGCGTCGGCGCGGACCGTGGGTCGGTCCATGGAGTACACCGACTCGCCGAGGTGCTTCACCGACTCGCTGATGCCGTGCGAGAGCTCCCCGATCTCGTGCTGCGCCGAGTGCGCGAGCTGCGACAGCCGCTCGGACAGCCGCGGCCCAGCGCTCCCGCTCCCCTGCACGAGCGACGCGCGGCGGGGCGCGCTCAGCGCGCGGGCCAGAGGCGTGCCCTGCGCGAGGTTGGTGGGATGCGAGGCCCTGGGACGCGCGGGGGGCGGCGCGGGGGCCGTGGGAGCACCTGCTTGCCCCCTAGGCGGGAGCTGCGCTGCTGGGAGGGCGGCTTGCGTTCAAAGTCCAGGATGTCCTCCTCGTCGCCGAACCCCATCTCGTAGTCGCCGTATCGCGACGCACGCATGGTCTTCGAGCGCAGGGGCGCGCGGCCGTGCCGCCGCGACGGCGCGATGCCGCGGTCCTGGAGCTGCACTGCTGCCAGAATCGCTGCCAGGAGCGCGGCGAACGCGCAGAGCGCAATGACGCGCCGGTCCCTAACCATTGCCTATGCCCTGCGTTGGCCTGCGCCGTGTGAGGCTACCGCTGGGCCCGACCCGGGCCCGGGCCAGCGCACCGCCTGCTGAGGTGAGCGTGGGCCTCGCCGCGGGGCGCCGTCCGCGACGGCACGCTGCGCGGTGCGCGGCCGGTTGCCGAGAGAGTCTGGGCGCGTGGGTGCCCGGCGCCGGGGCGCACGCCACGACGCACGATTCGCACACGCGCACGCTTGCCAACAGCACTCGTCCGCAGCCTCGCGCGCTCGATCGCGGCGCAGAGCGTGGCGAACCGACGTTTCCGCGCTCCTGACGGACCGTAGCGGGGACGCGCGCAGTGCGCCGACGAGCCGCGCCCCGTGGCCCTCGTGCCGACACCAACCTGGCAGGACCCCATGTCATGCCGTCGGCGGTGACGTCAGGGCCTGGGTGTGACGCCGAGGCGCGCAACGGCTTCGAATCGATCTGTGCCGGCCGCATCCCTCGACCGAGCGCTCGCTTCGGCTCTGCGCGGAGCAGCACGGCCCGACGACGCCCGCACAGACGTAGGAGCAGGGTGCGTCGGGACGCACGCGCGAAAGGAGTAATTGACCCCCGACGCGCACCACGCCGCGAGCAAACTGAGCTCGAGAGAGCAGGCGCACGCGCCACCCCGGAGCGTCACACAGCAACCATCGCGGGAAACGTCATGCTTTCGCCGGCCCCTCGCCCCCCTCCTCGGTGTCCACCGCCGCGTACTCCACCTCGGCGTCGCCGTGCGGCGCCGCGCCCACGGCGCGCAGACCGACCATCCAAGTGCTGTACGCCGCCCAGCCCACCAGGATGACTGCCCCGGCGGTGTGAAACACCGCGACCGGCCCGTATATCTCGTATATGTATCCGCCCGCGACGCCGCCGACGCCTGCGGCCAGTGCGGGGCGGTATCGTCGGGTCCACGGCCCACGCGGGGTCGTGCGTTGGTCGGGCAGGGCTGTGGGGTTGCGCTGTGCGCGGGGGGCGTCGCGGGGCGCGCACCGTGGCCGAACCCAAAGTAGAGCATCTGGAAAATGCCCTGGAACGTCGCCTGCATCCCCGGCGGGCTGCCGCGCCGGGCGACGATGCACCCCACCGCCCACGCGCAGCCAAAGGTCACCCCGTGGAGGAGCTCGATCGGCAGGACGAGCCACGGCGACGGCAGCGCGCCGAGGACGGAGTAGAACCCCAGGCGCAGGACGAAGGCCACGCACACGACGTGCACCATCGCGGCCGTCCCCACGACGGACAGAATCCTGCGCGTGCAGGGAACGCGGCCCGCATCGCGTCGGACCGGACGCACGCGGCGGGTGAGCGCTCCGGTCGCGCTTTCGCGCGGAAGCGCGAGCGCGCGGGGCGGCGGGGCGCGCGTCGTGCGATGCCAGCAGTCCTGGACGCGGCATGGGATGCGTGTTCGACGTCGCGGCCCTCCGCGCTGCCCGAGCGGCCACTTCCGGCGTGCTGGCGCCGGTGGCATGCGTGCAGCGGTCCGCACCTGGGTACGTAGTGGAACACGGGCACCTCCGCGACGCACGTGACGGTGAGCGTGACGCCCATGAGCACCTCGCTCGCGCCGAGCTGGTCGAGGTACAGGAACAGGAAGCCCTCGATCGTTCCGACGCAGTACCCCCACACCGACGCGATGAACAGGAAGCTCGACAGCTGCGGCCGCCGCAGCGCACCCAGCACCGTCCTCCAACGCGCCGTCCCCGCGCCCTCCGCCCCGCCGACCTCCTGCTCCTTGCCCTTGCGCCCCGCGGGACGCTCCTGCTGGTGCACCGACGCCCGACGCGACTGCGGCTTCGACGGGCCCGTCCGGTGGTGCACGTCCGCCGCAGAAATCGCGCCCTCGCGGTGGTGCGCGTCCAGCTCGCCCATCTCGACCTCGCGCACCTCCGGCGCGCCCTCGGGCGAGCTGTCCGCGTGCGGGTGGCTGCCGACCGCCCCCGCGCGCAGAACGCCAAAGTCGAACTTTGCCGCAGGGATCAGCGCGAGGGCCGCGAACGCGGCGTAGAACCCGAAGAGCGAATAGATCCCGAAGAGCTGCAGGGCGAGGACGGAGGTGGGAGAGATGCGGTCGGGAGTGCGACGGGCGGCGGCTGCGAGAGAGGGAGGTTGCAGGGGGTCGGCGCACCGCGATGCATCCGCCGGCGATGCCGTTGACGGTGCCCCAGCTCACTGCGCCCCAGAGGCGGTACTTGCCGTAGTCCGCGTCGTTGTCGAGGCTCCCGACCGTGCACGCGTCCGCCAGCACCGTCAGGGGGCCGGACATGACCTCGGAGACAATGACGAGGACCATCAGCGCCCCGAACTTGGCCGTCTCCGTGGGGAGGCCCGACGCGCCGAGGAAGCAGAGCCGCGTGAGCAGCGCGCCGATGGACATGCCGATCATCAGCGGGCCGTGGCACGAGTACGCGTCAGCCAGCCCGGCAAAGATGGGACCTGCGTAGCCGGGGGGGAGGGGGAGTTGTTTGTTGCAGGGGGTGGTTTATTGCTCGCGAGGCGCGTGGCCGTACGTGGCGCGGAGCTCTCGAGGCTCGTCGCCGCTGCCGGCGTCGCCCCCGCGGTACTCGGGGGGGGTTGTTGCGCAGGTGTCGGGACGCGACGGACCTGACGGGCCGGAGACCCAGGGGCGCATGCCGGCGAGGAGTCCGATGCGGTGCTCGGGCAGCCCGAGGCGGCGGTAGAAGAGCGCCATGTAGGGGTACAGAAAGGCTGACGCAGCAAAGTAGAAGAAATACCACAAGGACGCCACCGGGGCGCCGAGCAGCGTCGCGAGCGCCATCCTCTTGGTGTGTGCGAGCCGTGGAGAGCCTGGAGCTGGGCCGTCGCACCAGTGTGCGAGGCAGCGCGCTTCCGTTCTGCCGGTGACTTAGGCTGGAGTCGGCATCGTTGCTGAGATCGGGGGGCTCTCTGTCGTCCAGCACGCACACAAAACAGGTCGGGGCTGAGACAGTCTGCGGGATTGTGTGTAGACGGAGATGTACGCGCCAGCCTGCAGGCGCGGGCGGGGATGAGCCTGGTGAGAGGCCCTCCGTCTGCTGCGAACAAACGCTCAGGTCATGGGATGTGAGACGACGAATTTGAGCTACTCGCACAGGTATCGCATCGCTTGGTTGGGAGAACAGGAGGCACAAAGCGCGTGCGCCGACGTCGGACGAGCATTGCTCTGGCGGTCACTGGACCGGGGCTTGCGCCTTCACGCAGTGTCACGGCCCGGTGTTTGCGAACCAGACAGCTTCCCCACCTTTAGAATAACCGAACAGTGCGAGGATCTGTATCTCAGGGGCGGGACCAGGGCCACAAAAGGCTGTCGTTTACAAGTCTGCAGCAATTCTCCGCCCGCAAACGCCGCCCGTGCAGCTTTGATGGGCCGTCGAAGTGTGCGATGTTCAACTTGCATCACCGGCTCCCCACCAGGGACAAAATCATGCTCGTCCGCCGGTCGGACCACTGCGTGGGGGGGAGTTCATACTGCACGTGTCAGGGGGAAATCCCGCGCCCGCGGGCGGACGGTGGACATCGGCCTGCGCCAGGGGACGCGCCAACACCTGCTCCAGGCCGTTCCGGTGGGTCGACTCCTCGCTCGTCGAGAGCTGCACGCCACAAAAGCACAACAGGGGACATCATGTCGTCACCGACGCACGAACGGGCCGTGGACGGCCAGCTCGGTCCCGAGCCCACCAGCGACGCGCTTGAATCGACCGACATCCCCGCGCTGGCGAGCGAGCGGCTCTGCACTGTCCTTTGCAGCCAAGGTCAAGAAGAGACGAGAACGCTCGATCGATCGACTCGCAGCAGCTCGACTCGCACGGCCGCGCACGGCCGCGTCCGCACGTCCGCGCACACTCGCGCAACCGCGTCACACGCGGGGGTCGCCTACATCCACCACCGGATGCGCGGCTCCTTGCGCAGCTCCGTGAAGACCGCGACGACGTCCTCGGGCTTCTTCACGAGCACGGGCCCGACGTCGACCGCCACGTACTTGCCGCCGCTGCTCGGGCGGACCCGCACGCAGTCCTCCCCCACGGACTCCCCCAGTGCCGCCCCCACCAGCGCCACCACGCTGTCCCGGAAGTCGTCCCCGCCCTCCCCGATCGCCTTGAAGTTCCGCCACGCCGGGTACTCGTTCACCTGCGACGCACGCCGCGCAGCGCCCCCCGCGTCGCACCAACGCGCCACACCCAACAACAGGCGATGCACCGCACCCGGACGCATCACTCGCGGCCGCGCTGGGCGGCCACGCGCGCGCGAGGCAGGTCCGGGGGCGCACCCGGGCGTCGAGCTCCTTCCACTTGTCCATGTCGTCCTCGTCCCCCATGACCACCTGCACACCCTTGGTCCCCGCGTCGCGCCCCTGGAGGCGCGCGGCCTGCGCGAGGCTCTCGCGGACCTGCTCCTTCGGGGACATGTCCTTCGGCGCCTTGCCGCTCCGGCGGTCGCTCATGCGGTCCAGCCTGCACGCGGCGAAGCGCGCAGGGTGGTGCCGAGGGAGCGGGCGAAGCCTGGACGCGGCGGGCGCGCAGCCTCCGCGCGTTCTCTCCGGGGTGTTCTGCGGTCGGAGGGCGTCGCGAGGGGCGAGCAGGCCCGGGGAACGGGGCTGCGCAGGGGGCGGTGGGGTACGCACCGGTGGAACGAGCTGGAGCTGTCCGTGGAGCCCGCATCCTCCGGCTCCGGGGCGTCCGCGTCCTCATTCGAGGCACGAGGCGCGCGGGGCGCGCGTCCACGGAAGCGGACGGGCCCGTGGCTGCGCGGTGCCAACCGTTGAGATGGCGCTTGGCAGCGAGGTGGAGCTGCAGCGGTGGGAGGTGTTTTGGCAGCCGTTGAGCGGAGGACCGCGTGGCAGAGATCCCGGTCCGTCGTTGGGAGGCGCGGAAACGTGGCGTGCGACGGTGAGCGCGTGGGCGTGTGGGAGCGGTGCGGGCGGAGGTCCCGCGGTGCGCTGGCGGGCGTACCAGCGACGGCGCGCGCGGCGGTGTGGACCCGGAGGATCGTGCTGATGAACGTCATCCCGGGCGGCTGTGTGTTCCCCTGCCACCCCAACTGACGGTGCAAAAGGCCGCGGTGCCAATCTACGCGTGTGTTCTAGGACGCGTTTCGGGACCCCCGCGGTCGCACCAGAGCGGCTTCGTTCGCCAGGAACTGCCGGCGCGCCCTGGCGGGATGCCGCGACGTCGCCGCCGCCCTCAGGCGCGCGGGGGGCCTGTCGCGGAACCCCCTCTGGGAGGAGTGCCCTTTCTTGCGTCAGCGGGACCCTCCGGAGGTTCCAAGGGGCCGCTGCACCGCCGCCTCGGTGGAGCGCACACCTGTGTAGCAGTTGCGGCGCGGGAGGCACATCGGGTCGGCAAGGTCCCCGAAGAGAGAGCACACATCAACTTGCAGCACGGGTGGAGCCGGCACCGGGGCCTGTCTGCCGCGATGGGGTTGAAAAGCGCCTACTTGGTGCTGTACAATTCCGTCAGCTGCGCGGCGTGGGCGTACGTGCTGGGACTGACGCTCAGCACGTGCACGGGTGCGCACTTGCCCCAGAGTACCGCGCTCCACGGCGCCTGCAGCGCACGCGGTGCAGCGATCGCACCCCCGCCTCCTCGCAGCGACCGCCACGGCCTGTGCGCGGCCCTGAGTCAGCTCAAGCGAGGCCACGGCACCCACGAACCACGCGAAACAGGCCGCAGTCCGTTGCGTGCCGCCGCGCTCTCACTCGAGCACTCGCTCCAACGAACCCCGGCTCCCGCGAATGTCTGTCCAGGCGGAAATGCATCGGTGTGGTCGAGCGTCGAGCTCCCCCTCAAGATCGCGCAGACCGCGGCCGTCATGGAGCCCCTCCACGCAGCGCTAGGCCTCGTGCGCTCGCCGCTCGCGACCGCCGCGATGCAGGTCTACTCCCGCCTGTTCGTGGTCTGGGGCGTCCTGCACACCGTCCCCGCGGCCGCCACGCAGCACGTCGCCGTCCCGGGCGTCCCGGACGGCGCGCTGCCCTTTGGCGGGCTCTCACTGACCACCTGCCTCATCGCGTGGTGCGTCACCGAGGTCATCCGGTACGCGTTCTACGCGACGAAGGAGATCGGCGAGGCCCCCTACGTCATCACGTGGCTCCGGTACACAACCTTCATCGTCCTGTACCCCCTGGGGGTGTCTTCGGAGCTGGCGCTGTTGTACCTGGCGTACCCGACGATCAAGGAGCAGCGCCCGTACAGCCTCGACATGCCCAACGCGTTCAACTTCGCGTTCGACTACCCCACGTGGTGCCTGATCACCGCGGGCCTCTACCTCCCAGGGTTCCCGCAGCTCTACCTGTACATGTCCACGCAGCGCGTCAAAGTCCTCGGAAAGAAGCCCAAGGCCAAGGCCGCGTGAGGCCACCTCGCGCACCTCGCGCCGCAGCTGCCAGGGGCGCCGGGGCGGTCTCACGTGGCCCTGGCCCTGGGCTTCTCGCCGAGGGCTTCGACGCGCCGGGGCGGCGCAGCGCGTGTGATTCTTCTCACAGCGTGCGTCTCTTGCGCGGGTGTTCTGCTACTAGTTTGCGTGATCTAGATCGCTTGTGCTATGTGTTGTTTTGAACGCGCGGGCGGAGGGTGACGACCTGCGCGCCCCGCCCGCACACCACGCCGACTACCTCGTCGTCCGTGAGCGCGCCGCACCCCTCCGCGACCGCCAAACACGACGGCTCAGGAACGTCGACCATCCCCGCGCTCAGCTCCTCCAAACCCCAGTCGCCCCCCCGCGCGTCGCCTGGCGGACCCGCGCCGCCGACGACCCGCCAGAACCGGAGCGCTTGGTCCAGCCCGACGCTCGCGACGTGCCGCCCGTCCGTCCACACCCCCCGTAGCGCGGAGCTGTGCGCGAGCGTGGCTCTGCCCGCGGCCCGCACGCCCTCGCACCGGCCGTCCTCGCCGACGACGAGCGCCGTCAGAGCGAGGTCCTGGTCGTCGCCGCCCGTGACGATCGTCGCCGCCGACGCACCACCGCACGCCGCGATTGCGTTCACGCCGGACTGGTGCACCCCCGCGCACACGCACGCAGGGCGCACCGCGGCCGGCGCATCGTCGCGCGGAGCCCCCGCGGAGACCGCGTCCGTCAGGTCCCACACTGCGACAGCGCCCGCGGTGTCCCCGGAGACCACGAGCTGCCGCCCGGCCACCTTCATCTGTGCGAGCGCCAGCACAGGCGACGCGTGGTGGTGCAGCGACGCGACCTCGACGAACGTCCGGCGCGCCTCGTCGACCACGAACGCAGTCAGCGACGTGTCCGAGCACGCCATCACCGCCACCGTCGCGCGCCGATCGCACTGAAACACCGCAGCCGCAATGTAACGATGCTCGTGCGCCGCGACCCCGCTCGCCATGCGCTCCCACTTCGGCCGCGCGCCGAGCTTCGGCGGGTCCCGCGTAGCCAGCACCCGGTGGCGGACGCCCTCGGCCGCGCACCGCACGTCGAGCTCAAGCGCCGCGAGGACGCCCTTGCCGCCGCCCGCCACCACCGTCCAGCGCGTCCCGCCGCCCGCCCGCACGCACGCGAGCGCGCGAGCCGACGCCCCCGCGCCTAGTTTCGCCACCTCGACCCCAGCGGCGAACCCGCGCTCCCGCTCCTCCCCGCACCCGCACCCACACGCAGGCCACCGCGCCGGGCCCTCCACGCGCGCCCGGCACGGCGTGCACCGCACCGCGCCCTCCTCGCCCACCGTCACGGCCACGAACGACCCCGCGGGCCCCGGAGACGGCAGCGCCAGGGCGCTATTGACCTCCTTGCCATGAAAGGTTGGTTGCAGTGCGAGCCCTGCGGTTGTTACGGACGACGCCCCGCCCGCGCGCCGCACCGACAGCATGCCGCCGCCCTCCGAGGCTACGAGCGTTGCGTGCTGGTCGGGCTCGAGCAGCAGCGCGTGCGGCCGCGCGTGACTGCCCCCGAAAATGCGCACGGCCTGACGACGGTGTAGGAGGTCCCACACGACGAGCTGCTCGCCCGCGAAGCCCGCGACGGACCGGAGCGGATCCCCCGCGCATGCGTAGACCGCCGTCAGCGGGCCGATGCGGTGCGAGGCCGCGGTCTCGAGGCTCGTTGTGCCGTCGTTGCTGCGTGTCGGCATGTGCTCGTGCAGCAGGCCGTCGCGCCCCGCGGAGTAGATGCGGTCGCGCTGGACTGCGACGGTCAGGACAGCGCCCCTCGCGTGCGCCACGGTCGCCCGCGCCGACGCAGGCAGCGATGGGGGCGGCGGCAAGGCGCCGCCGCCGCCGCATCCCGTGACTGCGCCGTCCCGCATCGCGGCGGCCGTCGCGTCCGGCAGCATGCACACACGTACGTTTCCCTGCGTGTCACCGAGCGCCAGGAGCCTCCGGTCCACGCACACGTCCGCACTCACGTATCGCGCCGTGCCGCTGCACAACACAACCGCTAGCGGCACGAGCTCCGCTCCAGCGTCCGAGGCGCTGCCCAGCCCCCAGATGCGCAGCTCGCCGCTGACGTGCATGCTGAGCAAACACCTCCCCGCGAGCGACGGCGGAAACTGCAGCTGCGTCGCTCGCGAGGCGTCATCGCGGTCCGCCGCGCGCATCTGCCACGCCCACCCGACCTCGCCCTCCGCCCGCCAGTGCTCGTCGCGCACGTGCGCGACGTACAGCCCTCCGAACGCGTCCCCTGCAGCGACCAGCTCGCCCGCCTGGAGGTGCAGTGCTGCGACCGAGGTCAGGGGGCGGCCCCCGGCAGCGGACGCCAGCGCCTTCCAGGTCCCCTCGGCCGCCGCGTCCGCCGCGCTCAGCGCGACCATCCAGAGCGATCCGACGCTCGTCGCGACGTAGGCCACCTTCGGAGAGGCCAGTGCGACCGCGCGTGCGGGAGTCGTCTTGTTCGCTTTCCCTGCGCCCGGATTCGTGCCGCGCGTGGCGGCCGGCATCTCGATCATGACGCACTCGGACGCCGCGTCGGCCTCCCGGGCCGACTCGGGCCTCGTGTGCCACGTCAGGATCCCTGAGTCAGCGCCGCCCGTCACCAGCACGCCGCCGCCGGCGTACGCGCACGTCCACACCCCGCGGCCCTGCAGCGAGCGGAGCGCGCCAGCACACGCTCAGAGGGAGCGCGGCGGCCTTCGAGACGCGACGCCGGCTCGAACGATTGCATGTGACGCAATGCAATTGTACCAATCACTCACCGAGTGCGCGTGGATCCGTTCGACCTCGCGGCCGTCCTCGCCCTCGCCGTCGATCCTCCACAGCCGCACCGTCCGGTCCTCGCTCGCCGTGGCGACCACGTCGTCCGACAGGAACGCCGCGTCCCACAGCCTGGCCTTGTGCCCGCGGAGCACCTTGCGAGCCGTCCGCGACGCCGCGCCCGCCACACCTGCGCGGAACAGCACGCGCCACGCCGTCTGGGCTCGGGAACGGCGCTTGCGCGCGGAGAGCCGTCATGCGATCCTTTGCGTGACAGGGCTTGAGTGCGTGACGGCGCGTCGGGGCGTGCCTCGGTACTGGCTGCCCATCGGCCCCGTCGCTGGCGCGAGACCGCTCGCGGCCGCAGCCTCCCGCAGGTCGTCGGGGACGTCCCAGACCCGCAGCGTCCTGTCGTCGGACCCCGACGCCAACACCCCCCGCCCCCTCCACCGCAACCGGTGGATCGAGCCCCCGTGCCCGGCCAGGTGCAGCAGAGCGGGGACCCTCTCCGGCGCGACCGCGCCGTCCTCCGCGAACCCCCCCCCTCCGAGCACCCCGCCTCCCACACCACGATGTCATTCATGATCGTGCCCGCGGCGACACGCACGTCGCCGGACCGCCCCGGCGCGAGGGCCATCGAGTACAGCAGCGCCGAGAACGCGCACGCCACGCGCCGCTCCAGCCGCGGCGCCCCGCCACCGCCGCCCCCGAGCGTCCACAGCTCCACGCTGTTGTCGATGAGGCCGACCCACGCGGAGCGGCACCCGCCGCGCTCCGCGCCCGGCCGCGCATCCAGCACCCACGTCGGGCGCCGCGGGAGGCCCACGAGCTCCTTCGCGGCCCACGCCGGGAGCGCGGGCGCGTCGCGCGGGCTCTGTTCGGGGCTGGCGGCGGGGGTCGCGCGCGTCACGGACACGCAGCGGTCCCCGCAGACGAGGAGGTCGATGGTCGGCGTGTCCGCGGGCGGCGCGCCGGCGGGCGGGGCCAGCTGCGCGATGCCGTGCACGTGCCGCGCAGCGGGGAGAGCGCGCAATGCCACGAGGAGGTCTCCGGAGTCGAGGTCGTACAGCCTCACGTGTGACCCGATGCCTGGAGACGCGGGATCAGTCCGTGTTTCGAGGTTTAGGGCTCTGATAGCTGCGCACGGCGCCGCGTATAGTGCCGCCAGTGACGTTGCGCGCCGGCCTCACCTGCCGCGAGCACGCGCCACTGCCGACCGCCGTGGCCGACCGCACACACGCAGAGCGCCTTGACGTCCCCGACGTAGTCTCCCAACGTCTGCGCTTCCATCCTGCAGGGGCGATGGCTACACGTAGGCCTAGCTGCACTGGCAGCCGCGCTGCCCCGGGCCGAGGGAGCCGCAGCGCCCGCCGCTGGCGTGCTCTCCCTTCACAGCGCGTCGTGCGCAGGAACCGCGCATCGGGCCCACCGCCAGGCAGGCCACCCTCGAGTCATAGCTAGTGTGCGAAGACCACTACCCTGCCGCGAGCTGCTCGCGCCCGCTACCGTGTGGGTTGCGCCCCCCGGCCGCGGTGGCGACGCTGTGCGCGCGGCGCCGCCCCTCGTGCCGGCGCGTCCTGGCCGGACGGCGCGCGCGCGGCACGTTCCTGAGTGTGTGGGAGTGTCCAGGGCGAGGCGCGTGCGGGCGGCCCTGGGCGGGGGCTGCGCGCGCATTGTGGGCGCAGGATGGCGGGTCCGCGTGGCACTTTGTCGTCAGCATTGAGAGGCCGCGTCGTGTGCGTTTACAGCGGAACCGTCGCGTTGTATTCCAGTGCTGGACCTCGGTTCGAGCTCGCTCCTCGTACCACGGCCGCAGGACCGGGCGAGGCAGGCGGCCCGCACGTGAGGTTTGACCATCGCTCTGACGGCGGCGCGAACGCATCACGGGCGGCGCATCACCAGCGCGAGCGGACTCGAACGTCGTAGGCTACTCTCCGTCCGGAATGAACGATCTGAGGGGCGAAGACCAGCATCCGGCCGCGGATGAGCGGGATGTGTTCGAAGACGTCGATGCTGTGGGGATCGGAATGGCCGACGAGGACGATTTCGGCAAGGTGCGTCCGTGCGAGCTAGCCCGAAGCGCGGCTCGCCGCGTAGGATCGCGCAGTTGCCGCAGCGAGCACGCCACCCTCCCGCTTTCCTTTATCCTCTCCCGCTGGTGCCGCCGCGAGGGCGCGCGACCCCGCAATTCCGCGCCCGCGCGCCCCTGCCCCCCCCTCCTCTTCCCGCCTGCTCCGCGGCCACCACGCCCGCCCACGGCGCCCCATCGGCGCACCACCGGCCGCACGGGCACCCGTGCCCCCCGCACCCGCGCCCGCCGCGCGCCCAGCGCCCCCGCGGCCGCCCCACGCGCCCTGCCACGACCCTGCCGCTTCCGAGCCCGCCCTCCCTGCAGGACGCCGGCGAGCGCCAGTCGTACGTGGACGCCATAGCGGACCACCTCGAGCGCTCCAGGATCGCCGAGGGCCGCACCACGGGCCAGAGCAACTCCATGTTCCCGCTCGACGGCGACGAGGACGACCAGGAGAGCCGTGCGAGCGAGGACGCAGACACCGACGCCGCGGGCGGGCGCACCGGGACGGAGCACGAGCGCAGGTGCGGCCCCGCGGCGCGACCGCGGCGTGAACGAGCTGCTCGCGCGGAGCCTGCGCGGTCCTGCGCCGCGACGGGCGCGCGCCGCGCGAGCTGCCTTTTGGCGTCCCGTCGCGCTGCGCCGAGCGTGGGCGCCGGAGCGCGCCGCGCGTGGTGCCTGCTGCGCCGTGTGTCGTGCGTGAGCGCTCCGGTGACCCTTGGCACGCCTTGCCGCGCGACTATGCGGCCGTGCGGCCCGCCGCCCGCAACGCACCCTGCCGCCCGCATAGCTGCGCGCGCGCGGCCGTGCGGCGGCGTGCGGTGCCGCGGCGCGCCGCCCACGCGCTCCCTCGCCCACGCACCCGCCCCGCGGCCCCGTGTCCCACGCGTAGAACGCCTCGAGCGCCGCGCCTCCGCGCTCTGGCCCGCGCCGCTCACCGCCCCGCGCGCCCCGCCGCCCCGCGCCGCAGCATACCCACGGACCCGCTGGCGTGCTCGCGGAAGGACCGCAGCCAGGCCCCGGACAGCGTCATCTTCGACGAGCGGCACCAGCCCGCGGCCATCTCGGCGTCCCTGCCCGCGCACCTCGTGCGCAGCAAGCCCGCCAAGGCCACGTCGCGCCCCGTCGTCGTCCCCTCGGGCGACCACGACGTCGTCGCGGACGCCAACATCGACGAGGCCGGCTTCGTGCCCCCGCACATCATCACGGGGTCGGTCGCAGACGCCTCGCAGCTCCTGTCGTGCTCGTACTCGGCGCTCAAGGGGCGCGCCGCGTTCCAGCTGCGCCAGGAGGTGCTCCGGCAGACGGGCTTCCTCGAGAACGGCTCCGACGACGCCGCGTCGCAGCCCGGGAACCTCGGCGACGTGGGCGCGCCGGGGCGCATGAGCGTCATCACGGGGTTCCGCGTCCCGGGCGGCGCCGAGGGGAACTCGCACGAGACGTCCGCGGCGGCCACGCCGGACGGCGGCACGCCGACGAACCGCCCGGAGCGGTCGAGCGAGTCGGGCGGGCTCGAGGGCGCCGGGTCGGCCTCGCCGTTTGAGCGCGACGCGGCGCTGTCGAGCCTGAAGACGGTGCAGGAGCACGAGCCCCTGTCGAGCAGCCTCGGCGCGCAGCAGTGGGGCACCGGCGGGGCGATCGCGCCGGCGCCCGCGTAATGCGGGCGGGGGATTCGGTGTCACACCACTGCCGCAACCGCCCCCCCTCCGAGCGTGGGTGATGGCATCCGCCGCGCGCCGATGATGTGCGCGCGAGAGAGGATGATTCTCGCGCGAGGAGGCACCACGCTGACGCTTAGATGACAATCGATTTTCACAACACGAAGGTCGCCTGCTGCGGCTGCGACCCTCCGGTTCCGTTCCCATTCCACGCTGCTGCCCGGCTGCGCGCCTGCCACGCCGGGCGCTGCTCTGCTTCGCCACACCACACCACACCACGCCACGCCACGTACGAGACACACAACAGCGATAAAAAAAAAGGGAAAAAAAAAAAAACAAAAGAAAACACCACAACACAATCGCACGCAAGGAGCCCGTTACCGGCTCCGCAAGACGCTACGCCCACTGGCTGTGATTCGCCCAGGCCGGCGGACTGATGTGAGGCGCTCTTCACTGTGCTGTCCTGCTTGGTCAAGCGTCGTGCCGAACGTTTCCCACCGTAGCGACCACGCGCATGAGCGGTGCCCAACTGGCCTGACCGCGATGCCGGCACGCCAGGAATGCGGGCGACGGCCTCGCATGGGGTAGGCGGGATATGGACCCGTACCGAAAGGGCTACGCGCCCCCATGCGCCAGGAATGGTCCGCGCTTGTTCTCTCCGAGGCGTACTCCACCCAGCCCGACAATCCCAAGAAGTTCGTGAAGGCCTGCTGCACCCGTGCCCCTACGGCGGTGCGGTGGCAGCGTGGATACACAACCCCGGGGGGACTGGCACACTGACTCATGTCGGTTTGACTCTCGACGTGCTGCTGGACCGAGGCACAAAGGACCGTCGTCACCTGGGGTCGTTCAGAGACTCACGCAGCACGCTGTGCGCTTCCTGAACGATCCCCGCATTGTCTCACCGTCGTGCAGGTGTGTGTCCGACATGCATGACTGCTCACATTGTCTACCCTGTCTGCTGTGTGAGTTTCGCCTGCCGTACCATTTCAGTCGCTCAGGCATCGTTGCGGTGAGGGTGCTTGTAGGTCAGCGAAGTACAAACCGACTCGCGTGCGCTGCCCTCTCTCGTGCTGTTCTGAGTGAGCAGACGCGCACGCGTTGTGTTGTGCGCTGCAGCGCGCGTTCGTCCACTTCGAGCGTTCAGCCAGCCCAATGCATGCGCGCACGTCCAAGCGCCGCTCCGTCCCGCCCACGCTCGAGGCAGACGCGTGTGCGTGCACGCAAGTGAGACGGCATAGATGCGCGCCAGATTCAGATCATCACACCGTGAATGGGCGCACCGCACCCTCTCGGTCGCGGCGCTGCCGGCCACCTCGCCTCCTCGCGCCGGCCGCCCTCACCGTCCCGGCGTGGCCGACGGGGTGCGGAACGGCGTCGAGGACGCGGCGCGCCGCCCCGCGCCCGCATCGCCGCCCGCCGCCCGGTACGACTGCCGCAGCTGCGCGTCCGCGGCCCCGCCCCGCACCGGCGTGTGCAGCCGCCGCAGCAGCTGCCGGCCCGCCGCACTGATACCCCCCCCCTTCGCGGACCCCTCGGACTTCCGCACACCCCCCGACGCCCCGAGCCCGCGCAGCGGCGTCCCCGCCACGGACCGATCCGTCCGCCGCGGGGTCGTCCCGCGCCGCTCCTGCGCCCTCTGCGCCAGCGCGTCGACAAGTGCGTCCTTGGCAGAGCGGTCCGCCACGCGGAAGCCGCCGCCCGCGGTGCCTGGGATCGACCCGGCCGCGAGGTCCTCGGGGCCGTCGAGGCGGAGCGGGGTCGACCCCAGCTCCCCCCACGTCATGACGGGGTCCTCGCCGACGCCCCCCGGCTCGACGACGGGCGTGGCGACGATCGAGTACGGCCGCCCGCCGCCGCGCTGCGCCGTCCCGAGCGCCGCGCGCGCCGCCGCCTGCCCCGTCAGCGGGCTCGGCACGCTCCCGTCCGTCGAGTAACCCCCCGGCGTCGTCGCCAGACTCCCCGCGCCCCCCTCCCGCGGCGCCAGCCGCGTGTTCGCCGCCACCGTCCGCCGCGGCGCCATGAAGTACCCCACGCGCGCCTCCATATCCTTCTTCGTCAGCCGCAGCTCCTCCTGCTGCGACGTGTCGTAGTAGAGCCTGTTCTTCGGCGGCTCAATGCGCCGCCCCGTCTCCCACCGCGCCTGCCCCGTCGACCCAAACCCGTCCGCGAGCCTCTCGTTCGCCCGCGCGTCCTCCGCCGCCCGCACGCGCTCCGCCGCCTCCGCCTCCGACAGCCCGTCGGCCCGCCCCAGAAGCCCCTCGCTGCCAGGTCCCGCGATCGCCAGCGGCCGCCGCGGCGCGCCCGCGGCCGGCTCCGGCGCCGGGAGCGCGCGGTTCCCTGGCCGGTACAGGTGCGCGTGCTTCTCGCGCTTCCGCGCGTTGAACCTCTCGAGGATGTCTGCGAACGACGCGTTGTCCTCCGACGTGTACTTGCGACAGAACTCGTCGAGCGTCATCGCGGGGCCCGGCGCGGCGGCGCCGCGGCCGTCGTCGTCGTCGTCGGGGTCGAACCCGCGGGGCGTCGCGGGGGTCTCCGCGCCCGCGCGCGCGGCGGGGGTGGCGGCGACGGCAGCGGCGTCGAGCGCGGGGGTGTGGATGCCCGCGCGGCGCCGGATGATGTTCGCCTGCGCGCGCGCGATGATGCGCGGGTCCCCGGACCGCAGCGCCGCCATCCAGTCCGCGCGATTTTGCAGCCGCGGGAGGTCCGGGAAGTACTCGCGGTCAATGATGGCCGCCATCGCCGCGGCCCAGTCCGACTCGGCGAGGACGGTCTCGCCACGGGCCGTGACTTGGCCGGGGAGCGTGCCGCGCTCGGGCGCGCCGCGGGGCGCGGGCGGGGGCATCAGCGCGCGGTCCCTGTGGGGGTGATGGGGGCGTGGGGGGGGGCGAGTGAGGGCTCGCTGCGTGGCGCGTGGGGAGCGAGGGCTGCGAGAGAGCAGCGGGGGGCGGAGAATCGCGGGGAGGAGGCGCTGCGGGGCCGGGAAGGGGCTGCGTGGGCGCACCGTTGCGCGGCGGTGAGCTTGGCCATCTTGTCCAGCGCTGCCTTGCCCACGTCCGTGGCCCGGGCGGCTTCTTGCGGAGTGTTTGGTCCGTTCCCGGGCGCGCTGCTTGCTTCTCGCGCCCCCGACATGACGCGGCGAACGACCAGCGCTTGCAGGTCCTATGGGAGCGCTCCGCGACGGCACCGCTTATCAACGGGCGGAGGGATCGGCCAGGCGCGTTGGTGTATCACCGTGTCATCGATGGTGTGGGTCTGTGGGGTTCGTTTCCGGGCAACGAGGGCACTGGAGCCGCTGAGTGGTGGTGGAACAAATGCCAGTGCACGCGCGACGCTGAGCGGTGAGAAGAGGCTTGACTAGCTTGACACGACCCCAACTGTCGCACTGCAGGCGCACGCGCGCACTTGTCGCCCGCGAAGCTGTGCAGCGGCAGCGCGGGGCGTTGGAACACGCCCCGGAGCACTGGCCGGTCGGACCCCCTGTGCGGCGACGTGCGCGGTTTCAACGCCGCGCCTGCGTGCGCGGCGGCGGCACATCGACGTTCTCCGTCGGCCGTGTGCAGCGCCCGTCGTTTGTTCGCGGCACCCCGCCAGGCCGAGCGGTGCGCGCCCTTCAGCGTTGCGCGCAGGACGCACGCCGCGCACGTTCGACCCGTCACTGCCCCGCATCGGCTCCTCAGTATGTCGCGTTTGATGTAGTGGCCACGGATCAGGCCGTGCTTCGCGTAGGGGGACGGGGCACTCGATGGAGTGGCAGCGCGCTTGCCGCGCGACGGCCCGCGCCCTCGGGACGGACCTGCTCGGCGCGCAGTGCACCGACGCGATAGGCCAAGCGTGTTGCGCCGCTCGTGCTGGCAGGGCATCGTTCGTGCGTGCGCAGGCGACGCGGACAGCGGGTTTCCCGTGCAGCGCTCTCGCCAGGCCGTCTCCCGCGCGGACCGACCGCGAAGTCTCGTGGGCGGCCCGCCCCGCGAGCAGGCAGTCGTTCCACAGCAGGACGGGTCCGTGGCGCGGCGCGGCGTCGGAGGCGCACCGGGGCAGCGAGTGGCGGGCGGACGCCTGGGCGCGGCCTGCGTGGACGCGGCACCGCGATGACCCGCGGTACTGGACGAAGCTGCGCGACCGCCCCTGGTTCACCGGCGGCTGCGCGCACCTCCCGCCGTCGTACCCGGGCAGGCAAGTGCCGGCCCCGCGCCTCGCCGCCGCGCATTGCGCTGCGTTGGTCGTGCGCGGCGACGACGCGGTGGTGGTGCCCGCGCGGCGTGCAGGGGGACGTGGGAGGGGGCGAGGTGGGGCGGGCAGGTGGATCCGGGGACGGGCGCGGAGGTGGCGTACACGGGGCCGTACTCGGGGTACGCGGAGCCCCCGGGGGTGTTGACGCCGCAGCACGAGGCGCTGGTTGTGCGGCTGCCGGACGGGCGGCTCGAGCGGCTCGGGGAGCTCACGGACGAGGAGTTCGAGTGAGAGCCCCGCGCCCTTCCCGCCCTCGCGGGCTGCTTTCTCCTGTCTGTGTGTGTTGTTTGGATTTCCTGCAGTCGGGACTCGCAGTCTTGCTTTTGTGGGCTGTGTCTGCAGGGACGTCAAGGGCGACCTCGTTGCGCGCTGGTGGCCGTCGGTGGCGGTCGGCGGCGCGTGCGACGGCGCGCGGGCGGCGCTGTCCTTTGCGCCGCAGCACGCGTGGTCGCGCACGCCGTTCGCGGCCCTCGTGCGCCGCTGGGACGGCCGCCACGACCTCGTCGAGCACTGCCTGCAGTCGGAGCTCGCGGAGATGTGGGAGCTGTGGCAGCAGGAGCGCGACGTCGACGAGGCGTTGCGCACCGAGCCGTCGTGGTGGCGCCTGGGGGCGTGGGTCGCGGGAATCGCCTTCTGGTGGGGTGAGTGGGCTGTGCGGTGACGCGACCGACGATGGCCGATCCGTCGATGGCGAGTCCGGTCGCTTCGATGAAGGCATATCTGTTCACCTGTGTTTCCTCGTCTCGTGTGCTGCAGCGGTGCTGTACGTCTTCGTGGTGCGCTGGCTGCCCCAGCGCTTCCCCCTGCAGGAGGAGCGCCGCGCGCGCTGGGGCCGCCACGGCGTCCACAAGGCCATCACGGAGCTGCACTACCACCCGCAGGTGGCCGCCGCGATCGGGCGGCCCATCTACCCGGAGCGCATCCCGATCGTGTACCGCGGCAAGGCGGAGTACGCGTTCGCGTCCGCGGGGTACTGGGACGACGGGAACCGCGGCACGCGCGAGCCGCGCTTCCACACCGACGTAAGACGCGCCCCCGCTGCACCCGCCCCCTGCGTGGATGTTGTTGGACTCCTGCGACTTGTTTCGTCGGCGTGCGTGCCTCGCGTGAGCGCGTGCGGTGATCGTGCGGTGCAGATACGGTTCGTGGCGGTCGGGCCGCGCGGGCGCGCGGTGGTGTGGGGGGACATTTGTTGGTACAACTTGTTCGAGTCGTGGATGACCCCCCCGCTGTTCTTCCTGCGCTGGAGCTGGTTCTGGCACTACCTCTTCGTCGAGATCGAGGGCAAGAAGCTCACGCTGGTCAGCCCCGCGTGGGACGAGGACCGGAAGAAGGGCAGCGCACTCTCGGGGCCCCTGCGGCGCTGGTGGCAGTGGTGACGCCCGCGAGGCCCCGCCGGCAGAGTGCGCCGTCACAGTGGGTGTGAGCGCCGCGCACTCGCTCCGCGGCCGCCCGCCCGCGCTGGCAACTGCGCGGCGCACGGCGTGCAGCACGTCCGCGCGGCGCGGCGCGGGCCCGCCGCCCGCTCCGCGCGTCTACTGCTTCCCGCGGCCCGACAGCCGCCTCGCGACGCCCCCGGGCGACCCGGCGCCCCGGCGCTTCTTCGCGCCCAGCCCGAAATCGTCTAGCGGGGTGAGGCGGCGCTTGCGCGGCGTCCCGTCCGCCTGGCTGTCGTCCTCCTCCTCGTCCTGCTCCTCCTCCTGCGTCGAGTGCGCCGGGCTCGACGTCCCCGCGCCCTCGGTCAGACGCGAGCCGGGAGTGCCCCCCTCCTCGTCGCCGCCGTCCTCCTCCGCGGGGCCGTCCTGGGCGTCCTCGTTGGCCGCCCACTCGTCCTCGCTGACCTCGCTCTCGTCGTCGGACGCGTACGCCGGCGGCACCGCGGTCGCAACGCGCACCACGCTGTTGCCCATCTTCTGCCGCTCGTAGAAGCCGCGCCGACAGTGCCGCTCGAAGTCCCGCACCAGCGTCGTGTTGTCCAGCGCGTCTGCATCCGCGGCACGCGCGCGCGCGTGTCCCGCACATGCGCGCACGCGTCGCGTTCCATCCCACACACACAGTACACCCAAGACCTAAGACCAAACGCAAGCACCGGCAGGTTCAGCCCCCGGCCGGCGTGCCGCGCACCTTCGTCCTCCCACGTCAGCGGGTCGATCTCGTACCCGGTCCACTTGACCAGGTACGTCGTCTTGGACGCCACGATGAAGTCCACGTTGTACGTCCCGTTGTCGTAGTCGTAGAAGTACTCGTCGCGCGTGAGGTCGCCCTGCGGGGACGGGCGGGCGTGGGGGCGCTGCGCGGTCGCGCGGGGGGCGCCCTCGCGCGCGGGCGGCGCCGGGTGGGTGGGGGGGAAAATTTTGGTTCGGGGCGGGCGGCGCGGGGGGGCGTGCCTTCTTGCGGATGAGCCTGGGCTCTTTGATCTTGAGCTGCCGCTCGAGCTTCTTCGCCTGTTCCAAGCGCTTGGCGACTGCGCGGGGGACGTGCGGGGCGGCGCGCGGGGTCGAGGCGGGGGACAGGAGCAAACAAACCGCCCCCCGCGGGAGCGACGCGCGCGCGCGCCTCGCGCCACGCGCGCTCCGGGGGCCGCCCGCGGGAGGTCGGGGGCGCGGAGCGCGGGCGGGCGCCCGCCGCGCGGCGACGCGCGGGCCGGGAGCGGCCGCGCGCCCTCTGGGCGGGAGCAGGCTGTTTGACACTGTTGGTGGCCCGGGGACGCACTTTTCGCGGAGTACTCCGCTTGAGTCTTGTCCAGCTGCGCGATGGCGTCGCCGTCCGTCCTCGTCCGCGTGGCGGCGGACTTGTTCGGCTTGATCTGCTTCGAGGGCGTCCCGTGCGCTGCTTTACCGCCCTTCTTGACGGGGGCCCGCTCGACGAGGCCCCGCGGGGGCGGCTTGCCCGCGGGCTTGCCTGCGAGGGCGATGTCCCGGACCGCGTGCGTTCGGAGCGCGCGCCGACGCACCGCGCGGGACCGCCGCGCGCGCGGAACGCGGCACGGCACGCTTTTTCGCAGGCAGGCGTGCACGCGCGCGCCCGCGGCGGGGCACCCACGCGCCCGCGCGGGCGCGCCGCCGCGGTGTCGCGGAGGCGAGCGCACCTGCGCCGCCCTTGGTCTCCTTCTTCACGCGCCCACCTGCGCTGGAGCCGCCCTTCTTGCCCATCTTGTCCTCTCCAGGCGAGTTCAGTGCGGACAGTAACTCCTTCTTGGCCCAGCCCCACCTGCGCGCGAACGGCGAGACGCTGCGTCAGAAGGTCGGCGCGGCGGGGGCCCGTGCGGGCGTTCTGCGGCGGGGAGCGGGGCGCACGACCACGCACATGAACGTGCGGCGACTTCCAGCTGCCGGACCCCGCGCAAACGTCGACGAACCACCTCGTCGCAGCAGCAGACACTGCCGCGGGGCCGCCGCGGCGCCCCCCGTCGCCCGCGGGGCCCCGCGCGCTCCGGGAGCGGCCACCCCTCGGGGGGCCTGCGATTCAAGGTCCGACGGGCGCGGGCGCCGCGTGGGGACGACGCCGGGCGACGCCGCGGCCGCGCGGCGGTCGCGCGGGCCGCCAGGGTGCCCGGGGGGGCGACGTTCTCGCGATCCCGCCGGTGCGCGTGCGTCGACGCGCGGGTGGGTGGTGCCTGGAATGCAGGGGCGCCCGCGCGGCGTGGGCGGTGCGGAGCGGGCGCGCGGGGCGCGGGCGATCGCGTTGGGCGGAGAGGGGGCGGACGTGCGCGCGAGAGGGGCGCGAGTGCCCGGGACCGGCGCCGGCGGGCCCGCGAGGCGCCAACCACCCTGCGGCGACAGTTCGTGCGTCCTCGGCGGCCGCTGCGTTGCCGTCGGGGCCGTCCGAGCGCGGAACTGCAATTCGTTCGGCACGAGCAGTGCGGTGCGGTGCATGCGCGGCGGAATCGCGGCGTTTTGGGCGCACGCCGCTCTCAGATTGCTCTGGAACCGTCGAAATTCGCATAGAGAGGTTACGTGATGCATCTTCCAGTTGAAGACTGGCAGAGACCCTACCGACGTCATTGTGCCCGAGTGGTCTAAGGGGTCGCCCTCAAGATGCGATGGCACTGCCGCGCAGGTTCAAATCCTGCCAATGACAAACTTTTCACACGAACGTTTTGCGCACGTGCGGCAGCGCCTGTGGGGGCTGAGCAGCCAGGTGCAACGCCCGGAGGGAGCCGACACGCAGCGACTCGCGGCGCCCGCAGCGACCTCGCTCGGCGCGTGCGGCCCGCAGCGCCGTGCCCGCGCGCCGGGCAACGGCAGTCGCGACTCGGGCGCGCGGCTGCGGCGCTGGCCGGCTCCGCGCAACACGTGCGGGCGGGAAGGCGCGAATCGCGGCTGTTCGTGGCCTGCCGGCTGTTCCGCTGGAGGCCGCCTGCAGGACGCGTTCTCGCGCGGCGCATCGCCAGGTACCACGTCGTCGAGGGGTAGAACTCGTTATGGTGTGTGTAGCCTGACACAGGGGCGTTGTGTTGTGGCGGCGGGCCGGCATGGGGGTTCGTGGGGCCGCCGGTGCCTCGCGGCCTCCAAGTGAGAACAGTTTGGTCCGGAGAGGGCTCGTTGACGCACGAAAGAGGGAAGCGTACTGGAAGTGTGAAGGAGGGAGGTTTCGGACCAGCGCAGCAGGACACGGCTGCGAAACGACCGTTCCTCGGCGCGCAACAGGACAGTTCGATACGGGGACCAGAGGCGCCGCGCGATGACCTCGCGCGAGGCGCCGGGGGCCCCGAGCGCGGCGCCCGGAGCTGCGGGCGGAGCCGAGGGGGGCCTGTTCAGCGAGGCGAGGCAGAGCGGGCGCGCAACCTGGGGTGCGAGGCGTCCCCCTTCATCTCACGCCGCCGTCGATGCACCGCGTCTCGACGTTCGTCCCTCGCGCGCGCGGGTCCGGGCGGTACCCTCACCAGCCCCCCCTCCGCGCCGCGCGCACGCAGGCTGGCACCGCGCCTGGGACACCAAGTACCGCAGGTGGGACCGGAGGTGGCTCTGGATGCTCGCGGCGTCGCAGGCGTCGTTCATGTACCTCGTGACGCACGCCAACAACCGCCGGGAGCACGCCGAGGCGCTCTCCGACATGGGCGACAGCGCGGCGCTGTTCCGCGAGGAGGCGGACGCGCTCGAGAGGCAGGAGAGCGAGCTCGTCGCGGCCATGCAGGACGCCGCCAGCGACGCCCGGTGGCGGGGGTCCCCCCTCCCCGCACTCCTCACGCGCGTGCTCGCCGACCACTACGGCCCCGACGCGGCCCCGGCGATCGACCGGGCAGCACGCGCGCCGCGCTGGCGGCGCTGGCTCGGGCTCTAGCGCCCGCTGTCTGTGACGCGCGCAGCAGTTGCACGTTACACCCCCGCACCAGTACCGCAGGCTACGAGCAGCACCCGGCGCGGTGCGCGGCGCGCGAGGCCCCCGCCTGCTCGCCGTCGCCCGCCGGCCGCGCGTCCGTCAGCCGCACGCGCGCCACGTCCTCGGACGCGCGCTGCGGCAGCTTGTGCGTCGCCAGGTCCTCCGCGATGGCCTCGAACATCTCCCGCACGCCGAACCCCGTCCGCGACGACGTGTAGAACACCCGCGCGCCCACGCTCTCCGCGTACTCGCGCACCTCCTCCTCCGGCACCTCCCGCGGAAGCAGCCCGCCCGTGCCCGGCGCGCCCACCGTCGGGCCGCTCGCCTCCGAGCCGGAGTGCGCCGGCGAGGACCCCGCGCCGTCGAGCCAGAGGTCGCACTTCGTGACCACGATGAAGACGCTGCACGTCGGCTCGGACTCCTGCAGCTCGCCCATCCAAAAGCGCAGCTTCTTCCACGTGAAGGGGCTGGTCGCGTCGTAGCACACGATCGCGCCCTTCGCGCCGTGGTAGTACACGCGGCTCAGCGACTCGAAGCGCTCCGCGCCCGCCGTGTCCCACAGCCCCACCGTGACCTGCGCCGCCGAGGACAGGACAGGAGAGCGCTCCCTGGGGGGGTGAGGGGTTTGCGGGCGCGGAGCGCGGGCGCGGGGCCGGGGCGCGCGGCGGGACGCACGAGGGGGGCGCGCGCCTGCCCGCGGCTCGTCTGCACGCGCTTGGCGGCAAACGCGGCTCCGATGGTGTTCTTCTGCTTCTCGTCGAAGGCCGAGTTGACGTAGCGGTCCACGAGGCAGCTCTTGCCCACGTTCTGCGCCCCGAGCAGCACGATCTGCACGTGGCAGGGGCCCGTGCGGAGCTCCGCGTCGACGCTACGCTGCGCGGCCCCGCAACGGCCGCCGTGGCGCGCGCACGCGGGGTTCTCGTCCCCGGGCGCGAATTTCGAAGCACCGTCGATCTGAACATGATGCCGGGGACCGCCACCCGCGCCTTCGAGCCACCCCGGCCCCGCGGTCCCGCCGGGCTCGCTGCACCAGCCCGCTGGAGCCGCGTCGCCCGCCACCGCGGCGCGCAGGGCCGACGGCGGCTCGCGCGGTGCGAGCCACGCAGTACCAGACACCGACGCGGCGTCGGCGCAAGCGCGAGAACGCGCGCGCGCGCGGCGCGGGCACGCAGCGCGGTGCCCCAGCGCACCTTGAGATCGACGTTCGCCATGGCTTCCCCGACGCGCGAGGTGAGCTCGACGGCCCTCGGGGACCGCCTGCTCCTCGTCGCTATCTTGCCTGCCTACGCTCCGACCCGCGCGCCCGACGAATCGACGCCCCCGCGCCCCCCGCTAGCGTCGCGACCAACCCCCTGCTGCCGAGTGCTCGCCTCCGCGACGCCCACGTGTCCCGCGCTGACCCCGCCTATCCGCAGTCCCACACCGCGACGGCGCGCTCCCGTTGTGCGCCGGCGCGGCGCGCCCGTGCGCCCCGAGACGCCGCAGCAGACACGTCGTCGGGGCCGGGGGGGGGTTGCCAGCGCGGTCTGACCCGCGCCTGACGGCCGCGACGCCGCGGCGCCGCCCGAGCAGCAACAGCGCACACCCCAAGGTCTCGCACCGCGCCGGTCGACCGCTCCCACGGACCGCACAGCGTGTTTTTGCATCACACCCCACACAGCTCACGCCGCGCCGTTCCCGCGCCCGCGCGGCAGCGTGCTCCCCGTGCGCGCGTCGGCGCGTCACTGGAACTCGACGCCCTTCTTGATGTTGCCCTGCAGCATGGGCTTGAGCTCCTCGAGCGCCCCCTGCTCGTACGCGGTCAGCTCCGGGAGGGGGAGGATCTCCGCGACGCCGTCGGGGCCGAGCTTGCACGGCGACGCGAAGAACGAGAGGCCGTCGACCAGGTCGGACTCCACGTACGCGCACTCCTGCACCGCCAAACGAACCAACGGACAAGCGACCGCGTCACGCATGCGCGGGCGCGCCGCGGCGACCGCGCGGCGGCAAGGGCGGCGCGCGCGGGCACGCACCACGATGTTGTCCTCGCCGCTGAGGGCGAGCAGGACGCTCTTGGCCATCTTGACGCCGGCGTAGGCCATCGACAGCGTGGCGCTGCCCTTGCCCTCCTTGGCCTCGACGACGAGCGTGCCGGCCTCCTGGATGTACTTGGTCAGCTCGTCGATGTCCGCCTCCGGCACCGTGACGCCCGGGCCCGCCTGGCTGAGCAGCGGCAGGATGGTCACGCCGGCGTGCCCGCCAATGACCGGCACGTTCACCTTGGAGACGTCCCCGCCGTACCGCTCCGACACGAACGTGTTCGAGCGCACCACGTCGAGCGTCGTCACGCCGATGATCTTCCGCTTGTCGTACACGCCGGCCTTCTTGAAGCACTCGGCGGCAATGGGCACCGTCGAGTTCACGGGGTTCGAGATGATGTTCAGGACCGCGTCCGGGCAGTACTGCGCGCACGCGTTGGCCAGGTCGCGCACGATGCCCGCGTTGATGTTGAACAGGTCGTCGCGGGTCATGCCGGGCTTGCGCGGCACGCCCGCGGGGATGACCACCAGCTTGGCGCCCGACAGCGCGTCCTTGAGGGAGTCCGCGCCCACGTAGGCCGACACCTGCGCGCGGGCGGACGAGGCCTACGTGCGTGGGGGGGCGCCGACGGAGCGCGGGCCGGGCGGGCGGGTGCGCGGCGGGGCGGTTGGGCGGCGGCGGGGCGCGCGAGGGCAGGCGTGCCTGGGCGCGGGTGTTGATGTGGCTGAGGTCGGCGCCGACGCCCGGGGTGCCGACGATGTCGTAGAGCGCCAGCTCGGAGACCTCGGGGAGCATCTTGAGCAGCATGGACATGGGCTGGCCGATGCCGCCGGCCGCGCCCAGCACAGCGACCTTCTGCGCGGACACCGCGACTGCAGAGCGGGGGGGCGCCGACGCGGTGCATGCTTGAGAAGTGGAGCTCGCGGCGCGGCGCCCCGCGCGGGCGCGCGGGCCCGGTGCGCGGAGTGCGGGCGGGAGCGGTTGGCAGCGCTGGTCTAGGGATGGCGGGGCCCCGGGGCGCCGCGGGGGGCTAGGTGCGCGGGGGCGCGGGAAGCGGCGTGGCGGGGTGATCGCGGGTCTTCGTGCGGCGGCGGGGCGCGGGGCGGTGGGCGTGCGCGGGGCGCGGCGGTGCAGACGCGGTGGGGTGCGTGGGGCGAGCCGCGCTGGGGCCCCGCGGGGGGGTCGCGGCGGGAATGCGGCATGCGGGTGGGTTGTTGGGGATAAATTGGGGGCGGCCGGCATCGCGTGCGGGCGCGTGCGCGTGGGTGGACGTACCCTGGCTGCGACCAGCCTTGGCCGAGCGGCGACCGGCCATCCTGACGGCGCGGGCGGCCCTCGTGGGCGCGACCGCGCGCGAACCGGTGGACTTCATACCGACAAAGGCAGGGGGCGCCATGGACAGGGAAGCAGAGACCGCCATCTCGACGAACAAGAACCTCGGCCAGGCAGGTCGGCTACAGGCGGCGAACTAGACTATGCGGACGTGCGGGACGCTAGGTGACCGATCGAGCAGCAAACTGGCGGCGCCGGGGCCGCCCCGCGCGCAACGCAGCGGGCCGCCGCCGCGGCTGCACGCCTGACGGACGTGAGTAGTGCTGCCTAGGTCAACTGCCCCCCTCAGGAACGCGCCGCGCGAGGCGCCCCGCGGTCATAGGCCGCGCGGCACCGGCCAGACCGCACTGTTCGGATCGCGTGCACGCAGGACGGATGAGGTTGCAGACGGGATGCGTCCCGCCGGGGCGAGCGCGGGGTTGCTCTGCCGCGACGTGCCGAGGTTCCGGCGCCCGTCGCGCCGCGGCGGCCAGCGCTCTTGCCGCGGCGTGCGCGATGCGACCGGGCGAGCCGCGTGAGGTGCAGATCCTGACCGCAGCGCTGCGCGCGACGCGTGCGCGGAGCCATGCGCAACACACACGCGCGCTCACACAGCGCTCCCCCCCCCCCATCCGCGGTGCCCGGCCGCGGGCGCCCCCACCGCCACCTTGTCGGCCCTACGCGCGGCCTGCTTGCCCACGTTGTAGTTGTTGATCAGCAGCTTGCCGCCCTCCGTGGCCATCAGGTTGCGCCTGTGCGGGTCGACCGTGGCGCCCCGCGCCGTGACGACCGTGCCCTCGCCGACCGCAGCGAGGCCGCCGTCGACGTTGTCCCTCACGCGCCCGCTGATGTGCATGTGCGCCCCGCGCTCCGCGAACGCGCCCCACTTGTTCCGCGTTGCCACCACGTCCTCCGCGACGATCTCCGTGCCCTCGTCGTACGCCACGACCCCGCCGTCCTTGTTCCCGCGCAGCGTCCCGCTCACGTGCAGCAGCGCGCCGCTGTCGGCGTACGCGCCCTGCAGGCCGCCCTCGCACACCACGGACTCGGCGCGGACGACCGTGCCCGCGTGGCGCGCCACCACGCCGCCCTCCTTGTTCTTCGTCATCCGCCCGGTCACCCACATCTTCGCGCCGCCCTCCGCGTACGCGCCCGAGTCGTTCTGCACGCACACGACGCCCTCCGCGCGCACCTCGGTCCCGTCGTCGTACGCCGCCACGCCGCCCTCCTTGTTCTTGTTCAGCGCGCCGCTCACCCACAGCCTGGCGCCCTCGCCCGCGTACGCGCCGTGCTTGTTGCCCTCGCAGATCACGCCCTCCGCGCGGACCACCGTGCCGGCGTCGTGCGCAAACACGCCGCCCTCGGAGTTGTTGCAGAGCCGCCCGCTCACGTGCATCGTCGCCCCCAGCGCCGCGTACGCCCCGTGCGAGACGTTGTTGTCGCACACCACGCCCTGCGCGCGCACCTCGGTGCCCTTCTCGTGCGCCGCGACGCCGGCGTCCACGTTCTCGCACAGCCGCCCGCTCACCCACATCCGCGCGCCGCCCTCCGCGTACGCCCCCCACTTGTTGTCGCACATGACGCCCTCCGCGCGCACCTCCGTGCCCTTGTCGTACGCCGCCACCCCGCCGTCCTTGTTGCGGTTCAGCCGCCCGCTGACCCACAGCTTCGCCCTCTCGCCCGCGTACACCCCGTGCTTGTTGTCGCAGCTCGTCACGCCCTCCGCGCGCACCTCCGTGCCCTTGTGCAGCGCCGCCACGCCGGCCTCCTTGTTCTTGCTTAGCGTGCCGCTGATCTGCAGCCGCGCCCCGCGCGTCGCCACCGCCCCGGCCTCGTGGTTGGCCTCGCACCGCACCTCCTCCGCCGTCACCACCGTGCCCGCGCCCGACGCCGCGATGCCGTCGCCGCTGTTCCCGACGAACACGCACCGCTCCACGACCACCTCCGCGCGGCTCGTCGCGATCAGACCGCTGCACCCCGCGCGCGACGCCTCCCTGTCCCACCCCGCGCAGCCGCCGTCGAACCGGCACTCCACCACGCTCACCTCCTGCGCGCCGCTCACCCGCACCAGGGCCTTGCTGTCCATCGGCATCGCCCCGCGCCGCACGTCCAGCCGCTCCAGCCGCGTCCCGCTCGCGGCCATCGGCACCTCGAGCGCGATGCCCCGCAGCACGCCGTTCCGCAGCGTTACGGGGCCCCGCAGCCTCACCACGCGGCCCGCGCCAAACATGGTGCGCCCGCCGAGGTCCACGACGCCGCCGGGACCCCGCGACGCGATCAGCGACTGCAGCTCGCCGTCCGCACAGTCCTCGCCCGCGTCCGCGTCGTCCCTCTCGGCCTCGACCGCAGCGTCGCCCTCACCGTCGTCGTCGCCGTCACCGTCACCGTCCAATGTCGCGGGGGCGTCCGCCTCCTGCTTCACGCGCATCGGGCTCGGCGTCTCGGGCGCGACGCTGCCCGGCCCTGCCCGCGCGGCGGTCGGCGGGCTCGCCTCGCCCCCCCGCGCACCACCACCCGCGGCGGGGCCGGCGTCCTCGGCCCGCGTCTGCCCGGAGGCGTGCGAGCCGATGCGGTTGCGCATCGCGGCCATCTGCGCCCGGATCGCTGCGACCTCGGCGTCGATCGAGTCGACCGAGTCCGGCAGCGGCGCGTCGAGGGCCACGGGTTCGTTGGCAGTTCCCTGCCCCGTGGTCGTGTTGCGCGTGGGCATGCCGTCGCGCCGCGCACGCTTCGAGGGCGTGGGGCTCGTGGTGGTGCCTGGAGTCCCGCTTCCCTTGTGAATCCGCGCGGCCGCCGCACGCTTCGCAGCGCGCGGCGCGGTGCCTGGAATCCATCACGGGGGAACAGGGTCGCGGTGTGCGCGCGCGAGGGCCACATGCGGCGGTTCCGTCGGAGCGCTCGCTTGTCTGGACGCGCGTGGAGCAGGTGCGCGCGGGAACAGCGAAATGCTGCCGCCCAGCGACTCGGTGCGCGCGATATGTGACGTGCGCACAGGGCGTTGGCGGGCTCGTTGCCACGCGGCCTCCCGCGATGCAGAGCGCGCGACACGCGCCGCAGTGCGTCGCGCACATCATGGTCTCGCACCTCGAATTGGCATATCGTAAAATTCCGCGCTGCGCTCAACGCACGACCGCTCTCTGCTGTGCTTGCGCTGAAACGACGTCTCGTCCACGAACGCGGCCGATGTGCGCCTCGGGGGCTCGCGGCTGATCCTACGTGCATGCGCTCGGCCCTGCGGCGCCCCCTTCGAGAGCGGAGCGTCAGACACCACGGCGAACGGTCCGTCCGGGACCTGATGCAGGGGACCAGGATGTGCACACCAGGAGCGCCCGCTGCTCCGTGTTCAGTGGACGTAACCCAGCTGTCATCGTAGAAAGGCAGCACGACTGAACAAGCAAGGCCCCCGATGCCCGCTCGGCCCCTCGTTCGATCGGCGCGGCGCCTCCCGCGCTGCGTGCAACAGACATGACTGTCCCAGCAGTGGCGGATCCTGATACGAACGCCCGACGGTGCGTGGACCACGCATCCGTCGACCAGCAGCACTGCGCGCGCTGTCGCGTGGCTCGCAGACCCGCACCGCGGCGCATGCCACGAAGACACAGCAGCAGATGACTCACAGGCGCGCCGGCGGCTCACGGCGGGCTCTCCGTCTCGCCTGCGCCCGAGTCCTTGGCGGCGATCTTCCCCAGGCCGTCGGTGTGGTAGTCGCCCAGCGCGTTCCCGCTGAGCTTGGCGCGCTTGACGTCGGCAATCGAGCCCTTCCCTTCGCTCACGACGCCGTGCTGCGCGTGGTTCCGCACGGTCGCGTACCGGAGCAGCAGGCGCGCGCCCGCGAGCACCATGGCGCCGCTCCCGGCGTTGTCCTCGGACACCACGCCCTCGGCGCGCACCACCGTCCCGGCGTCGATGGCCGTGATGCCCGCGACCTCGTTCCGGCTGCACATGCCGCTCACGTGCAGCCCCGCGCCGCCCTTGGCGAGCGCGCCCCACTTGTTCGCCTCGGAGACCACGCCCTCGGCGCGCACCTCGGTGCCGCTGTTGAACGCCGCCACGCCGCCCTGCGAGTTCTTGCACAGCTGCCCGCTCACGTGCATCGTCGCGCCGCCCTGCCCCGACACGCCCCACTCGTTCCCCGAGCACACCACGCCCTGCGCGTGCACCACCGTGCCGCTCTCGTGCGCGATGATCCCGAACTTGTTCTCGCACATGCTCCCGCTCACGAACAGCTCCCCGCCGCCCGTCGCGCACGCCCCGAACTCGAAGTTCTGGTCGCAGAACACCCCGTTCGCCCGCACGACCCCGTGCTCGAACACCCCGACGCCCGCCTTGTTGCCGCGCATGGTCCCGCTCACGTGCAGCTCCGCCAGCCGCGCCGCGCGCGCCCCGACCTCGCAGTTCCGGTAGCACCGCACCTCCTCCGCCCGCACCACCGTCCCCGCGTCCTCCGCCGCCAGCCCGTCCCCGGTGTTCTCCACAAACGCGCACCGCTCCACCACCACCTCCGCGCCCATCGCCACCCACAGCCCCGTCACCCGCCGCTCCCCGATCTCCCGCTCCCGCTCCCCGTCGAACCGGCAGTCCACGATCCGCACGTCCCGCGCGCCGCACACGCGCACCAGCGACGTCGTCGCCGCGTTCCCGTTCTCCCCGAACCGCACCTCCAGCCGCTCCAGCCGCGTCCCGCTCGCCCCCGCGTGCACCTCCACCTCGACGCCCTCGAACGCCCCGTTCTGCAGCGTCACGCGGTGGTGCACCTCGAGCACGTCCTCCGCGCCCACCACCGTGCGCCCGCCGAGGTCCACCACCGCCCCCGCGCCCTCGAGCGCCAGCAGCGCCCGCAGCGCCCGCAGCGAGTACTTCAGCGGCGTCGCGGCCGCGCGCGGCGGCCCGCTGGCGCACGCGGCCGCGTCCTGCAGGGCCGGCAACACCCCCAAGTCCTGCGCCGCGGGACGCTGCGCCCCGCGCACCACGGCGCCGTCCGCGGGGGCGCGCTCCCCCGCGTCCCTCTGCGCGGCAGGCGGCGCCGCGCCCGCCGCCTCCGCCAGCACCTGCGCGCGTAGCCCAGGCACCCCAATGTGGGCGCGCAGGGCCGCCATCTCCGCCTTCATCGCGACCATGCCGCTCCGCAGCGCCGCGAGCTCGCCGGACATCAGCTGGAACGACTCGACCATCTCCTGCTGCACCGTCGTGTGGTCGGCCGACTCGGTCTGCGGCGTCTCAGCGTCGCAGCGCGCGCGCTTGGGCGGCCGCGTCAGGGCCGTGCCGTCGGCCGAAGGCTCGCCTCCCGGGCTCACCGCCGCGCCCGCGCCCCCGCCGGGCATGACCGCCTCTGCGAACGCGCGGGGCACGCGAGGCTCGTGAGCAACGATGCTGGGCGGGCGGGACACGGCACGCCCGGCGGACGCGACGGTTCTCCGCGCCGGAACCGTCGCGCAAGCATGTCGGTGTGGACGTGGAACAGGTGACACGCCGGAGCGCGCCGTCGTACGCGCGTGCGAGGCCGCGAGCGGTGCCAAGGCACTGGCGTGGTTGAAAGGCGCCCCTCGATCCGACGTGCGTGGTTTTCGAGCGCAACGGGTGGGAACGGCGTCCGCCACGCACCTTTGTCGAAGCTACCCATTCGAACGACGCGACGCGTGCCGGGAACACGGCGTGCCACAGCATGCAACGCCCCGCCAAAACAACCGCGTGGCGCGGAGGGCAGCTGGGGCAACGGATCGGCTCCAGCGCGATTCCGAATGACCGCCCGCGGACTGGACGAGCCGCCTCGTGCTCCGGCCTCCAGGTGGCGCCCCGTCGGACCGCGCACGGGACCCCCCCCTTGGAGAAAAATCCCCCGCGCGGTGGCTGCTTCTCTGCGCCCTCCGTCGCCCCACGCGCAGTACCCGCGACGCACGGAAGTGTCTGTGCCACGTCGCGGCAGCCAGTCCTCGATTTCGTCCACCCTGCCGCGCATGCTCGCCCCCCATGGCGTCCCCAAGGCACAACCGTCTGCGGGCGACGTGTCCGCGGAGGACCCTGCGTCGATGCGCGAACGTCACATGGGCCACCGTCGTGCTCCCGGGCCATCTACCTGCGCGTGCGAGGCCCCGCGAGACACACGCCGCGCGGCCTGGGCACCTGGATCCCCCACACGTGCATCACCCACGGCCCAAGTCCGGGACATCGCACGGAGCCCCCTCGGCCGTGTCGTGCGCCACCGCGGCCTCGCAGGGTCGCGATCGCGTCGCGGCCGGACCGCGACGCCCCGTCCGCTGGCAGCTTCCGCCGCGGCCCCCTTGGGTCGCGCACCGCGGGCCGGCGGGGCAGGAACGGCCTCGCGACCCGGGTTCTGGCGACGGGATCACATGTCCGGAGCCGCAGCCGGGCCTCGCTCCATCCGGGTCCACTGCGGGCTCCTCGCGTCCCCGATTTTGACACACTTGTGTGTCATGCCCGGTCCGCCGAGTTGACTCCGTGCAGCTCCTCCATCGACGCCTGCTCCAACAGTGCGTGTGCCGCGGCGCCCCGTGGGACACTGCATGCGCCGCGACGCGCCCTTGCGCGTCTCTCGCATTGTGCGTCGTGGTGCTCGCGCAGCAGCAGCCCCCGCCTTGCCTACGGCAACCTACAGCAACCTCCCGGCGCCGCGGTCTTGCGAGGACCGATCACGGGCCCGCGACGTCGGAGACGGCGGTGCGTGCCTCGGGGTCGCTAGAACGACAAAATCGAGAACAATCGAGGACGGGAGCACACGTGCGTGGCGCGGCGGCGCGGCGGCGCGGTGGCGCGTTGCCTCGCCAGCAGCGAGGGCGGCGAGCCGATGTGCAGCGCCGCGGCCCGCTGTCACTTGCCCGTCTCGTCTCGCGCCGCCACGCCCCGCGCGAACGCCTGGAGCTCCCCCGCCGTTGCCATGCGCGCCCCCGCGGCATCCATCTCCCTCGCGGCCTCCGCCTCCACCACGACGACTGCCGACGCCCCCTCGGCCTGCATCCGCGCCAAACACGCCTCCAGCGACTCCCCGGGGCCCACGCACACCACCGGGCCCGCCGCCACGTCGCCCACCGTGACCTGGCTCAGCCGCGCGTCCCGCGTCGCCTCGGCGAGCACGTGCCCCGTCGCCACGGCGTGCGGCCTGCCCGCCGCGGCGGCCGCGGCGACGGCGGCGAACTTCTCGGCCGTGCGCACCGCCTCGCGCTCGTCGTCGCTGTCCGCGCCCTCCTCCCTCCGCGGCACGACCGTCGCCGCCGCGACGGGCCGGATCGCGGCGTCCGCGGTGATGGTCACGAAGTACGCGACGCCCACGGCCGCGCACGTCGGCAGGATGGACGCGTAGTTCCGCGTCAGCTCGAACAGGAGCAGGATGGCGGTGAGCGGGACGCGGCAGACCGCGCTGAGCACGGCCGCGAGGCCGACGAGGCCGTAGCTCTGCGGGACGAGGATGTTGAGGTCGGAGAGGAGGGACTGGAGCCACGCGGGCGCCGCGCCCGCCGCGCCGTCCGCCGTGTTGAGCAGCGGGATCAGCGCCGAGCTCACCGCGCCGGCGTACGCCATGCCGAGCGCGGCGCCCATGAGGATCGACGGCGCGAAGAGCCCGCCGACGAGCCCGGACTCCTTCGCCACGCTGGTCGTCACGACCTTGGCCGCCACGATTTGCATCAGCAGCCCCGGCCCGTACACGAACGGCGTGTTCGGCGCCTTCGCGAGGTCCTTCGGCACGAGGTCGAACAGGTCGTCGATGAAGGACTGCTGCTCCGACACGAGCTTGGCCGCGAGCTCCGCCGCGGCCTTGGACTGTCCGCCGGACGCGATGTTCATCACGTCGTTGACGTTCGCGAAGCCCTGGTACGTCACCTCGGGGTACGCGAGGGCCGCGAGGCCCGTGACGACGCCCGCGAGGGCCGGGAAGGCCGACCGGGGGACGCCCGCACGCTGCACCGCCTTCCAGGCGCGCGCGCTGAGCTGGCACGACGAGTTGAAGAGCACCGCGACGGCGCCGGAGAAGAGCCCGAGCAGCGCGTACAGCGGGAGCTCCAGCGGCGTCGTGAGCTGGTAGTACGGCACGCGGAAGGCCGGCTGCGACCCCAGGCCCGCCTGGACGACCGCGGCCGCCGTGACGGCGGTGAGCAGGACCATGACGATCGTCACGTTCGCGTCCTGCGGGGTCTCGCCGGGCTTGACCGCTGCGAGGGATCACCGGGGCGGGGTGCGGGAGTCTGGGTGCGGAGCGCTGCACGCCGTGGTGGCGGGCCATCGGCTCGCCAACGCCCGATCGCGCGCGCCGACGTCCGATCGGACTGCTGTGAGGCATCTGCTCGCGTGAGGAAGGAACCGCGGCGCACCTGGTTTCGCCGCCATGTCCCGCCGCGCGAGCGTGGTCTCAATGGCGAAAAACACCCCCGCCACCGCGGCGTTGAACCCTGCCGCCACGCCCGCCGCGGACCCGGCCGCCAGCAGCGCCGTCGAGTCCGGCACCGACCCCGAAACCTTCTTCACCGTCTTCCCGATCGCGCGCGACACGCTGCGCCCGATCTCCACCGACGGACCCTCGGGCCCCAGCGAGTTGCCCGTGCCCAGCGTCACCGCCGCCGCGGTGGCCTTCAGCAGCGGCCGGAGAGCCTTCTTCGTCTGCGGGAGCCGGGGTGCGGCGGCGCCCGAACCGAATCGCGCATCACGGCGCGCGGCAGCATGGGACGCGGCGCAGTCAAGCACGTGCCGAAGGGCGGGGGGGGGTTACCTTGGACGGCTCCGGCCGGCCCTCCGAGATCAGCGGCGTGTCTCCATCGAACCCGCCCGCGAGCCCGCGCAGGATCGTCACCACCGACCCGCCCGCCGCCGGCACCATCACCAGCAGGAGGTACGCCCCCAGGTCCAGCTGCCCGCTCTGCTCCAGCAACCGCAACGCACCGCCTGCAGGCAACGAGCACGCAGCGCGCGCTCGCTTCGGGCGCGCCCGCGGCGCGACAATGCCATGGTCGGCGCCGAGCGCATGCCGGCCACGTGCGTTGGCCGCTCACGCGGCGGCGGCCTCGCTCCCGGCACCGAGGCAGTCGAGGGAAGGGAGCGCACCGCCTTCGATCTCCAGCCCCTTGTACGCGAGGTCCTGGATGGCGTGGATGACCACGTTGAACACCACCACGCTCCCGCCCGTCACGCCGCCGATCCCGAGCGCGAGAACCAGGTCGCCGAGCTCGGGCTCCGCTGGAAGCAGCACCTGCGTGGGCGCGCGGGGGGTCGTCCGTGAGACGGCCGACCGGGCTGCAGTAGTAGTAGGTGCCGCTGGGGTCCGCTGGGCGCGCGACGGCGGGTCGGGAGGGGCCCGCGGGTGCCCGTCGGGGCCGCCTGAGGACGCCGAGCGAAATCGTCGGCTCGGAGGGCGACGGCCGCAGCTCCGGGGACAGGGCGCGGGCGGAGAGGGTGCGGGAGGGAGGGCCGCGACGCGGGGGGCAGCAGGGCGCGAGACGGACCCGTCCTGCGCCGAGTTGAACGACCGCTAACTGGACATTCCAGGGCGACTATGCAATTCCGCCCAGGGGCGCGCGGAGACCGTTGACGCGCCGCACCTGATCGGACGTCTCCTGCTCCGGCGCTGCCCCCTCCGTGCTCCCGCCCTGCTTCGCAGGCGCCGACTCCTGCACCTCCCTCTCCTCCTTGAGCGCGAATGTGCGCACGCCCGCGCGCGAAACCCGCCCTCCGTTCCCGCACCGCTCCCCCAGCCGCGGAGATCCCACCGCACCCTTGACGCGCCGGGGCAGCACGTGACGCGGCAGGCCCGGGCGCGACCCGACGGGTCCTGCTCGGTGAGAGCGATGCCAGCCGACGGGCTCGCCCGCGGGCGCGGCGCGGCGCTGCACGGGCGCGGGCACGTGCATGGCTAGGACGGGTGGCCCGCTGTGCTTGGCGGCGCCCCGAACAGGTCGCGCGCGACGCACTCGGCCTGACGAGCTCGATGCTGACGACCCCCGAGATTGTGCTCCCCCAGCACGCCGCCGCCGCGCCCTGAGCGGGACCAGCGGCCGGACCGCGGGGGGGGCCTGATGCTGCGTCATGGGCAATGTGTCATGACGCGACCCACGACCCCGCGGCGCGCAACCGATCGCCACAGGCGCAGCCACCCGCCCCCCCCGGGCCCCGATCCCCTCGGCTTGGCGCGCACCGGCCCAGCTTGGACCCTCGGGCACAGGACGAGGGCCGTCGGGGCATTGCATGTGTCGCGTGCTGGCGGTGCCGGCCCGCGCGGGGAAGACAGCGGCGGTCCGTGCGACCGAGGACGAGCGCGCGTCGGTTCGCTCGTTCCGCGGCGACGCGTCGCGCAGCTCCCGTGAGTCCGACCGGCGCTGACGCAGGTGGCGGTGTGGACCGCGAGCCGCCGTTCCGGACCCATGGGCAGGACGCGGCGACGGCTCCAGCCAGAAACGGAACGCCGCGGACCATCATCCTCCGCCGCTGCGCGACAGGACAACGACATGTGCGTCGCGCAGTGCTCGTTGGGGCTTGCGGGCGGCCCCGCGCAGACCCCCCGCGCGGTCAAACCGTTTCGATGTCTCGTCCATAGCAGAAGCGTTCCGTTCGGGGGCAGGAGAGCGCCCGTGCGCGCGAGTCGGCGTCGGCAGGCCGCGCGGGAGGCTGTGCGGTGCCGGGCTTCCCGGGCCGCCAGCCTCGCAGGTGCCGGCCTGGAGGACCGCGTGGTGATCGTGGGCGCGGGCATCGGGGGCCTGGCGACCGCGCTGGCGCTGCGGAAGGTCGGGATTCCGTGCACGGTGCTGGAGCGGGCTGGTGAGGACCTCTGCAGAGAGTGCGCGCGCGTGAACTCTCACGCACCGACGGGCGCGACCTCGAAGCCCCCTTTGCGTTCCGCACATCGGTGTCGATGCGCCCGTACACGAACACGGCTGTTTGGGCGACTCGAAGCCTCCTCGCTGCTCGCACCGTGGTAACAGAGCAGGGAGCGACGCAGCGTTTGGCCTTCGTCCGAGCACCCACGGTCCCGAGACGGTGCCTCCTCGCGCGTGCAGATAGCGTGCGGTCGGGAGGGTCGGCGATCGCGCTGCAAACGAACGCGTGGAAGGCGCTGGACCTCATCGGCATTGGCGACGAGGTGCGCGAGGGGCACCCCGCGCTGACGAAGATGGAGATCGTCGACCAGGACGGAAACCTCCTGACCTCGTTCGGCTTCGAGGGCCTCGCCGGGGGGCCGCACGAGTTCCGCGGCGTCAGCCGCCAGGTACGCCGTCGACGGCACACACCGCCACGCGCACCTCCCACCTCGCGTGCACGTGCCAACGCGGTCCGCGGGTGCCCGACGCGCCGCAGAACCTCGCGGAGCGGCTCGCGCAGCTCGTCGGCGACGACGTGGTGTTCGGCGTGGCGGTGTCGGGCGTGGACGTGACCTCCCCGGACGACCCGTGCGTGCTGCTCGACGACGGCTCGCGGGTGCGGTGCCGGGCGGTCGTGGGCGCGGACGGCGTGAACAGCGCCGTGGGGAGGGCGCTGGGGGTCTCCGGCGTGAACTACGCGGGCTACTCGGCGTTCCGGGGGATGTCGGAGTTCCCGTCTGATGCAGACGTCCCCCTCGAGGGGCTCACGGTCCGCCAGGTGTGGGGCGCGGGGATCCGCGCGGGGATGTACCCGCTCGGCGACGGCAGGATGTACTGGTTCACGTGCTTCAACGCCCCCGACGAGGTCGTGCGGCTCCCGCCGGAGGAGATGAAGCGGGCGGCGCTGGCGTCGGTGGAGGGGTTCGGGGCCGGGGTGCGCGAGGCGATCGAGGCGACGCCCGCGGACGCGATCACGCGCAACCGGTGCGGCGACCGGTGGCCCGTGCCGGGCGCGGCCGTGGCGTCCGGCGCGGTGACGCTCGTCGGCGACGCGCTGCACCCGCAGACGCCCAACCTCGGGCAGGGCGGGTGCACGGCGCTCGAGGGCGCGGTCGTGCTCGCCGGCTGCCTCGCGGACGCCGGTCCGTGGGAGCGCGTCTCGCAGGCGGACGTCGCGGCGGCGTTCCGGGCGTACGAGCGGCGGCAGACCAAGCGCATCATCAAGGTGGCGGCCAAGGCGTCGGCGATGGGCCGCGCGCTGCAGATCCCGTTCCCGCCCGTGCTGCTCGTGCGGAACCTCGTCGCGAAGGAGCTGTTCGACCCCACCAACTTCCTGAAACACGCCGTGTTCGAACACCCCCCCCTGGTCCAGCGGGAGGTGGCGCAGCGCGCGTCGACGTAGCGGGCGCCATCGGCGCGGACGCTGTGATGCGCACGGCCATGCCGCGAGCGGGCGACGCGGAGGCGCGCGCGCCGACAGTGCGATGCGCCCACCACGCGGCGATGGTGCGTCCGCTCCTGCGCTCATCCGTCTGCCGGCCCTGTCCTCCGCAACTCACATGCTCTGCTCCGCGCGCCCGGCCAGCTACGTCGGCCGCGAGGCCTGCACGAGGTCGGCCAGCTCCCTCCTTGCGGCGAGCACGCGCCCCTCGCTGTCCTTGAGCGACGACAGGTCCTTCTCGAGGCGCTCCAGGAGCGTGTTGCACGCGCCCTCCATCGCCTTGACGGACCGCATCGCCGCGTCCGCGCTCGGCGCCAGGGTCGCGGCGTCGAGCGCGACGCTGGGCACGGGGGGCACCGACATGTACCGCAGCGCCGCGGCACCGCCGGCGAGGTTGCGCACCGTCAGCTCCACGGGCACCATGTCCTCCGAGCGCGCGCTGTACTGGAAGCACGTGTAGCTGCAGCGCACGCACGCACACGGGGACTACTTGTGCTCGTTCTGTTCAGGCGTGCGACCGGGCGGCGCAGACGCCGATGTGCCCGCGACCCCGCGTGCGCGTGCGCGCAGTACGCGGCCGTCGCGGGGCCGCACCTGAAGTCCACCGTCGCGCCGTCGTGCTCGGGCCGCGCCGTCGCCAGCAGGAACAGCACGGGGCGGTCGCCCATGAGGAACGACGCGAGGCCGGCCGTGACGGCGCGCTCGCGCATCGACGGCTCCTGCGCCGAGTGCCTGCGCGCGGAGAACCACCCGACGATCTTGTCGTCCGGCCACTGCGCGGCCAGCTCCCCCAGCCGGCCCTCGTGCACCCGGCCCGCCGCGTCGTACCAGCCGCTGGTGAGCGCGCCCGCGCTGCTGTGCGTCCCCATGATGTGCGCCTCCTTCTCGTGCGTCGTCAGCGCGTGGCTCGCGACCTCCTCGTCGTGCAGCTGCGTGGTGGTTGCCAGGGTGTGCCGCCCTGCGAGTCGAGGCGGGGCGAGCCGCGGTCGCGCGCAGGGACAGACGCGCTACGTCGTTGGCGAACGCGTGGTGGGGCCCGCCGCGATGCCACGCGGCCTCGCTGCACGGACGCGGACCCGCAAGCGCCGGCAGAGCGGTCCGCGTGCGCCTCGTGGGTCCGGGCGCGGGCGTCGCCGCGTGCCGCACCTAGCAGCAGCCCGTCGACGGGACCCTCCGCCGCAGCGAACGTGCTGAGCAGGTTGGCCAGCGTGACGCCTGGCACGCTGACCCTGCTGAAGAGCTCGCTGGACGCCCCTCCAGACATCCCGGCGCCACGAATCCAACCAGGCTACCGAGGGCTCCTCGGGTGCATGCGCCCCACAGGAATGGCTCGCGCGACGGAGGCCGGCAGAGGGTTACGTCGCCGCGGCTCGTGTGCTGTCGGTGCTGGATGCTCCGCCGCTTGCCCCCCCCCGGCGCTCGCGTCTCTCCGCAGCTCGATGGCACCGAGTGCTCCTGGTGGCGCGGCCCCCGGCCGCATTGTCGCGCCACGTCGGCCCCCACCGCCCCCTGACGCGGCTGTCAGTGCCGCATGCATCATACCGGCGCGCTTGGCCGTCCACGACATCATCGCGGCTCGCCGGAGCGCCCGATCGACACTCAGTGGCGTTGCTCGACCTTGCAGGCTGCGTAGCCCCCGAACGTGCTGCCGTGGCGGTCCTGTAGCGCACGTCCCCGTGCGCCGGGCTTTCCGGTCGCGGACATCGTTCCCTCACCGGCTTGGCGCGGCGTCCAGGGAATCATTGAGCACGAGAGGCGTGAGCACCCAGCGTCCGGGCCCCTGGGTGGCCGTGAGGTGCGTACTCGCGCGGAAGGAAGGCCGCAGTGTCGCGCGCCAACGTCGCAGCGCGCCGCGTGCGAGGGCTTTCGTCGCGCACACCCCGCGACGGGCTCCCTCTGCCCGATACACCACCCAGCGGCCGCCCGCGCGCCGCGCGCGCGGCGGCGCGGCGCAGATAGGCGTCGCGGCGAGCGATGCTGCGCACGCTGAGCTCCACAACGGGCGGCTGCCGACGAGGCCCTGGAGCCGCCGCGCACGCGCCCTTTCCCCGCGTTTCCGCGCGCTCGAACCCTCCCTGCTGCTCTCGCGGGCCCGCCGCGGCGATCTCGCGGCCCCGGCGACGCGTCCGCGCACGTCCCGTTGCAGCTGGTCCCATCCTGCGCCGCGCCACTCTCCGCCGTCCACGAAACGCGATTTCCTCGACGGCCTCGATATATCCATCGCAAGCACGGCCCACCAAGCGTATCTTGCACGCCTCGTCCGGCTCACCCAGGCCGCACGAGGCCCATTCCGTTGCCCCCATCACCAATCGAGGCACCCGGCTCCCCCCGAGCCCCCCGCGCGTGGGACGCCCGCGCACCGCCAGACATGGACGAACTGCTCGACGTCCACCCCTCGACTCGATCGGCGCCGCACGAGCGGCGCCGCACCGCCCCAACGGCGCCGCCCCCTCCCTGCGCGACATGCTCTCCACGGCACGCCCCGCGCGCCGCTGTGACCCCGCACCGGCGGGCCTCCGCGGCCGCCGCGCCCGCCCCGCTCCCCGACGCGCCGGAACCGACCAGGATCCGGCCCCGCGGCGTCCCCCCCGCGCAGGAAGCGGGTCCGATGCAGGATGGCAGCCCGATGAGCCTGGTGGCGGTGCAGGCGGGGGGCAGCGCGCGGCCGCGACCGAAGACCTTCCGGCGGCGCCGCGCCTCCGATGTCGACAGCGCCCGGACGCCCCCCGCTGGGACGGAGCCCAAGCGCGCGCGCAAGGTGCGTGCCGCCCGCGGCGGGGGACCACGCGCGAGCAACAACGAAGCGTCGCGCACCGCGGCCCCGCCGCGCGCCGATCCGCCGGCGCCCCGCGCTCGCCCGCGCGCATCGCCATCCACGTCCTCCGCGCGTTTCCGCGACGCAGGCCGCCCCCCGCGGCGAGGAGAACAGCGCGGACAAGGCGGCGGCCAAGTCCATCCTGCAGCTGAGCCAGGGCAACGATACCGACGCGCCGCTCCCGGGACGTGCCGGGGCCGCGGGGCTGGACGGCGACGGCGCGGACCGCGGGCGCGCGGGGCTCGACCCGGCGCTGCCGGACATCCTCCCGCTCGCCGACGACGACAAGGTGCCGCACGCGCCGCACGTGGACCTCCTGCAGCTCTCGCAGGACGAGAAGGTGCGCACCAGCCCGACGGTGCTCGCCCCGCGATGGCGCTGCCACCCCATGCGTCGGGTGGTGCTCGCGTCGCATGCCTGTGTGTGCGGTGCGGGGGGCCCCTCACCGCCCAGCCTCCGTACGTCGCGCTCGCGGTCCCCACCGCGCCGCCGTCCGTGCGTGCGTTGCGTCCGCAGAAGGTGTACTACGACCCGACGCTGCTGACCTCCCAGCCGGGGGCGTTTGGCGCGCTGGGGACCCTCGACGACGGGCCGTTCGGCGGGACGCAGCCGCAGGCGGGGCGCCGGCACGACTCCACGACCGGCTCGCACTCGCACCAAGCCCGCTCCGGCACGGTGCGCTGCTCACGACCCCCCCACCCGCAGCACCGCACCGCGCGCGGGACGCTCCCGCGCTCCCCACCGCCGCCGGCCCCTCGACAGAGCACCGCCCCGCCGTGCTCCGTTCGCAGGGCTTCCCGAAGGACCTCCCCCCGCCGAGCCTGTTCAGCGACGTGGACCCGGCGCTGCTCCCCTTCTCCACGTACGAACGGCACCAGACGTCGGCCCCGAGCACCGCGACGACGACGCCGCAGAAGGGCCGGCGCGCCGCGGCCACCCGCCGCGGCCCGATGGACGAGATGCGCCAGCTGGTGCGCATCCTGTGCAAGGTGATCCCCGCCAGCGCGCCGCTCCTGGGCATCGACACGCCGTCGGACCGCGGGAGCGGCAACCGCATCACCGAGGAGCAGATCCGCGGGTACCTCGACGCCGTCCTCGGCGACGAGGCCCCGCGCCCGCAGTGGGGCGTGCCCCGGGGCTGGCGGCACTACCTCGCCGAGCTGTTTGCCTGGATGCTCGGGCGGCCCGTGACCGAGGAGCAGGCCGGGGCGTGCGCGAACCGCCTTCCCGGGCGCGCGTGGGACCGCGTCGACTCGGCGCTGCGGGCGCTCGGCCTCGCGCCCAGCACGTGGACGCTCCCGCTCACGCGCGGCGGGGGGGGGCGCGTGGGCCCGCCCGCGGGGGGCTCCGAGGGCGGCGCGAAGCCCGGGACGTCCGCGGACGGCGCGCCCGGGACGTCCGCGCCGAGCTCGCGCGCGGACCTGGCGGCGTGCGGCCTCGACGAGGTGCTGGCGGCGCTGCGGGCCAAGGTGGTCGCGGACCCGGCGCTGTGGGACGGCGTCGCGGCGCACGTGCAGGCGACGTGGGAGCAGATCGGGCGGCCGCAGTCCGCGCGGGCGACGCAGAAGGGCGAGGCGCTGGCGCTGGCGCTGGGGCCTGCGGCCGAGAGCGGCCCGCCGCCCGTGGAGGAGGAGGCGGGCCCCGGGTCGGTGAGCGAGGGGCGCGCGGGGTCGGACGGCGCGCAGGAGGCGAGGGAGGCGCCGGAGCGCGAGGTGGTGACGCTGTGCGCGGGCAAGGTGCAGTCGCCGTGCCTGCAGGCGGCCAAGGCGAAGCACGAGCGGTCGCCGTGGCGCCCGCAGAGGGCGGGGCTGTACACGTGATTGCGACGACGACGTGATAGAGAACGACGACTCTAGGCAGGACGCGGCGCGACGGTTGCGAACCGCCGTTGTTGTGACGAAGTGAGCGCTGGTTCAGCGACGGGGACTGAACGGCCTTCAGCAAAGCGCGCGGGCTTGCTGAGGGCCGTTTGAGACGGCCGAGACAGGGCGGCCGACAGCAAGGACGGCGGTGGGGTGCTCGCGCGCAGTGAGTGGGCGCTGGCGGCGACGTGCGTGCGGCTCGAGGGACGCGCGCGGGGCGCGAGGGAGGCGCCGGGAGCGCCGGGGCGGGCGCCGCGCGGCGGGCGACGGCCACGCGAGGCATCACGAGGCGCATGTTTCCGAGTGCGCTGATACCCATCGAGTGATTGAGTAACTCGCTGACCTACAAGCACCCTCGTAACGAGCTGAGCCGCCGCCGCTCTGAGGGACGCGGGGCCGAGGCTCGGGCGCAGGCGTCGTTCGGTGCCTCACACACACCGCCGCAGACCAGTCTGAAACCTGGTGGTGGGACCCACCACCTTGGTGCTCGCCGTCGCACGCGCGGTTCGGGGACCCGTGCCTCGCGCGGCGCAGGGAGACGACACCGCGGCCACCCGCACCCGCCCCCGGCGCATCGCACCGTGGTGCTGGCGGAGGGGGTCGCGCGGCGGCTCGGCGCGCCTCGAGGCCCGGCGCTGCACGGATCGCACTTCAGCAGACGCGCCTGCAGAACCGCGCACTGCGCTGGTAGAACTCGCAGTCGCTGTACTTGTCGCCGTTGTTGCCCCCGCAGTCGTTGCGGTCGTCCTCGAGGAACGCGCACTTCCTCTCGGCCTCGTCCTTGTCGTCGTCGAAGACGGCCCTGTAGAACTTGACGCAGTCGCCGAGGTCCTTGTTGCTCCTCTCATAGTAGTCCACGCACTGCGATCAAGACACGGGGAGACGCGCCTCAGGCGCCGACCAGCGCGCACGGGGCCGGCGGGCCCCCCGAGAGGCACGCGCACGAGGGGATGATGTTCGGGGCGCGCTTGCGTCGCGGACCTTCTTGAACCTGCCGGGGTTGGAGGCGAGGCTCGCCCACTCGTCGGGGTAGGGCCTGCCGTAGAAGTCCTTCTCGACGTTGAAGAGAGAGTCGCCCTCCGACGTGCGAGCATAGTTGCAGCAGGTCCTCTTCGCGCCGCACTTACCTGCACGCACGCGCGGTCGAACGCGCGGTGTGGAGGCAGCGCGCGTCTGCAGAGGCTTCGCGTGCGTGCATCGGCGGCGCTCCTCGGGCGTCGCTCCCCCAGAGGCGGCAGGCAGACGAGCAGGTCGGCAAGGACGGCGCGCACCAGACACGGAGTCCATGTAGTCGACGCTCTGGCACACAACGCGGCAGTTCCTCTGCAGGTCCCTCGCGGCGGACACCGCCGAGAGCAGCACCGCGAGCACCGCGAGCAGGAAGACCTTGGAGAACATGGTGGGGAGGTGTTGCCTGCGGTCAGGGGGGGGGAGTGGCGCTGTCGTGCGGGCCTTGCGGGGCGGAGCTGGCCGGCGGAGGTACGGGTGCGGGCCGGGCGAGCGCGCGTGGATCGCGCGGGGGACGCGAGGGGCGCGGTGCCGCCGTCACTGGACGCGTCGCGCCGAGGCCGACGGCCTGGTGGTGCGCTGCATCGCGAGCTGGGCAGCGGCGTGCTTGCGGCGATCTCGCGGCCGCGGACGGCGCCCCGCGAAACAGGGGGGCTGCGCGACGAGAGATATATGTTGTGTGTTCTGGATGCATGGCACGTCTACGTACGTGTATGTACGTTGTATCTGGTGGTGTCTGGAATCGTGCCTGGGGGCATCGGCGGATCACGCTCCGCGACCCGCAACGCGTCTATCGCACGCGTCGTTGCCGAGCGGGGCTGCGCGGCGAGGTCGGGAGACGCGTGCGCAGGGGACGCTCGCTCGCTGCGGCAGGGCGATCGGCGATGCTCGGGGCGTGCCGCTGCGCGTGGTGGCGCAGCAGATACTACGGAGCCTGGGAAATGGTGGCGACCGATCTGCGAGGCCGCCGCCTGCGCGGCGAAGCCGCCCGATGCTCGAGCGCACGCCGATCCCTCCGAGGGCCTCGTGCGGCGGCCTAGATGGGTTTGAAAGCCCCACAGGTCACGTTGCTGCGCAGATCGGTTATGGGTACGACGCGATGTGCGCCCATAAGGCCCCGGCAAGTCCGCAGCGCGCCGCGCGGAGCGGCAGGGCCAACGATAGGCGTTAGATACGTTTGCGTCTCCCGGCTCACGGGAGCCCGGGCGCGATTGATGGCGGCTGACCCGGCGCCGTGCATATCATCGACTCGCGCATGCGCCGCACGTCGAGCGCAGCCAACGCAGGTTCGCGCGGCAAGCCGTCCAAAGGAGGCGAGCAAGGGTTCGCCTCCTACGCGACGCACCAGGCGAGACCGCGCGCTTTTCGTTTGCCGAAACGCACCTTGAGATTTGCAATATTCGCCGATGGCCGAATGTGTGGCGCGAACGGCGCGCCATGTGCCAGTAGCGCCCGATGTGCCCCCTGCCTCCTGCTGTCAGGGGGCACGGCCCGTGCCCGGCCTCGCCGAGGCTCGGAGCGCCGTCATGCACGCTTTGGAGAGCCCTGACGCAGAGCCACGGCCCTCACTTCTTCAGTATCCCCACAGGACCGCTGGAAAGAAGGTTCGGTCGCAGCGGGGCCGCAACGGCAATTGCCCGCTTGGGACCGGGCTTCTCGAGGCGGGCTCGCAAGGACATCGCCAACGGCGCCCAACAGCAGTGCCTGGGAGCTGGTACCGTGCTTTCAGTGCCGCCGCGCTGTCGCGGCGGGCGTGGGCGCTCTCGGAGCGCCCACTCAGTCACATGCCACTGTTGCCCGGTCTTCTGGTCGCCCGGATGCGGGTAGCGGTGTAAACTGTGCCGCCTCCGCGGAATGCGGACTGTGTGACCTGACCTGACCTGACACACCGCCCGACTGGGGCTCCACCGCTGCCGCGCATGCGGAGGTGCACGCGGGGCAGCCTGAGGCGTCGCGAAGCGCGGATGCGACGAAGGTTGGGCACCGCGTCGCGCCTCCTGAGGCGGCACTCCGACACAGCACGCGTGACACCGCCGCCGACACGCGGGCGCATCGCGGAGGCCGCCATCACAGCGCCGCGCCCTCCCACGTCGGCCCCGAGCACCGCGACGACGACGCCGCAGAAGGGCCGGCGCGCCGCGGCCACCCGCCGCGGCCCGATGGACGAGATGCGCCAGCTGGTGCGCATCCTGTGCAAGGTGATCCCCGCCAGCGCGCCGCTCCTGGGCATCGACACGCCGTCGGACCGCGGGAGCGGCAACCGCATCACCGAGGAGCAGATCCGCGGGTACCTCGACGCCGTCCTCGGCGACGAGGCCCCGCGCCCGCAGTGGGGCGTGCCCCGGGGCTGGCGGCACTACCTCGCCGAGCTGTTTGCCTGGATGCTCGGGCGGCCCGTGACCGAGGAGCAGGCCGGGGCGTGCGCGAACCGCCTTCCCGGGCGCGCGTGGGACCGCGTCGACTCGGCGCTGCGGGCGCTCGGCCTCGCGCCCAGCACGTGGACGCTCCCGCTCACGCGCGGCGGGGGGGGGCGCGTGGGCCCGCCCGCGGGGGGCTCCGAGGGCGGCGCGAAGCCCGGGACGTCCGCGGACGGCGCGCCCGGGACGTCCGCGCCGAGCTCGCGCGCGGACCTGGCGGCGTGCGGCCTCGACGAGGTGCTGGCGGCGCTGCGGGCCAAGGTGGTCGCGGACCCGGCGCTGTGGGACGGCGTCGCGGCGCACGTGCAGGCGACGTGGGAGCAGATCGGGCGGCCGCAGTCCGCGCGGGCGACGCAGAAGGGCGAGGCGCTGGCGCTGGCGCTGGGGCCTGCGGCCGAGCACGGCCCGCCGCCCGTGGAGGAGGAGGCGGGCCCCGGGTCGGTGAGCGAGGGGCGCGCGGGGTCGGACGGGGCGCAGGAGGCGAGGGAGGGGCCGGAGGGCAAGGCGGCGTCGACGCGCGAGGTGGTGACGCTGTGCGCGGGCAAGGTGCAGTCGCCGTGCCTGCAGGCGGCCAAGGCGAAGCACGAGCGGTCGCCGTGGCGCCCGCAGAGGGCGGGGCTGTACACGTGATTGCGACGACGACGTGATAGAGAACGACGACTCCAGGCAGGACGCGGCGCGACGGTTGCGAACCGCCGTTGTTGTGACGAAGTGAGCGCTGGTTCAGCGACGGGGACTGAACGGCCTTCAGCAAAGCGCGCGGGCTTGCTGAGGGCCGTTTGAGACGGCCGAGACAGGGCGGCCGACAGCAAGGACGGCGGTGGGGTGCTCGCGCACAGTGAGTGGGCGCTGGCGGCGACGTGCGTGCGGCTCGAGGGACGCGCGCGGGGCGCGAGGGAGGCATCGGGAGCGCCGGGGCGGGCGCCGCGCGGCGGGCGACGGCCACGCGAGGCATCACGAGGCGCATGTTTCCCAGTGCGCTGATGCCCATCGAGTGTTTCAGTAACTCGCTGACAGTTCTTCGCTGACCTACGAGCACCCTCACCGCGAGGATGCCGGAGCGACCGAAATGGTACGGCAGGCGAGACTCACACAGCAGACAGGGTAGACAATGTGAGCAGTCATGCACAACGGTGAGACAATGCGGGGATCGTTCAGGAAGCGCACAGCGTGCTGCGTGAGTCTCTGAACGACCCCAGGTGACGACGGGCCTTTGTGCCTCGGTCCAGCAGCACGTCCAGAGTCCAACCGACATGAGTCAGTGTGCCAGTCCCCCCGGGGGGTGTGTACCCACGCTGCCACCGCGCCGCCGTAGGGGCACGGCTGCAGCAGGCCTTCACGAACTTCGTGGGATTGTCGGGCTGGGTGGAGTACGCCTCGGAGAGAACAAGCGCGGACCATTACTGGCGCATGGGGGCGCGTAGCACTTTCGGTACGGGTCCATATCCCGCCTACCCCATGCGAGGCCGTCGCCCGCATTCCTGGCGAGCCGGTATCGCGGTCAGGCCAGTTGGGCACCGGTCATGCGCGTGGTCGCTACGGTGGGAAACGTTCGGCACAACGCTTGACCAAGCAGGACAGCACAGTGCGCATCACGAGGCGCATGTTTCCCAGTGCGCTGATGCCCATCGAGTGTTTCAGTAACTCGCTGACAGTTCTTCGCTGACCTACAAGCACCCTCGTGCGCACAACGAGCTGAGCCGCCGCCGCTCTGAGGGACGTGGAGCCGAGGCTCGGGCGCAGGCGTCGTTCGGTGCCTCACACACACCGCCGCAGACCAGTCTGAAACCTGGTGGTGGGACCCACCACCTTGGTGCTCGCCGTCGCACGCGCGGTTCGGGGACCCGTGCCTCGCGCGGCGCAGGGAGACGACACCGCGGCCGCCCGCACCCGCCCCCGGCGCATCGCACCGTGGTGCTGGCGGAGGGGGTCGCGCGGCGGCTCGGCGCGCCTCGAGGCCCGGCGCTGCACGGATCGCACTTCAGCAGACCCACCTGCAGAACCGCACGGAGCGCTGGTAGAACTCGCAGTCGCTGTACTTGTCGCCGTTGTTGCCCCCGCAGTCGCGGCGGTCGTCCTCGAGGGACGCGCACTGCCTGTCGGCCTCGTCCTTGTCGTAGCCGAAGACGGCCTTGTAGAACTTGACGCAGTCGCCGAGGTCCTTGTTGTTCGTCTCATAGTAGTCCACGCACTGCGATCAAGACACGGGGAGACGCGCCTCAGGCGCCGACCAGCGCGCACGGGGCCGGCGGGGCCCCGAGAGGCATGTGCGCAAGGGGATGATGTTCGGGGGCGCGCTTGCGGCGCGGACCTTCTTGAAACTGCCCGGGTTGGAGGCGAGGTTCGCCCACGTGTCGGGGAAGGTGTGGCCGTAGAAGTCCTGGCGGACGTTCCAGATAGAGTCGCCCTCCGACGTGCGAGCATATCTGCAGCAGTTCCTCTTCGCGTAGCACATATCTGCACGCACGCGCGGTCGTGCGCACGGTGTGGCAGCGCACGTCTATGGAGGTGCTTTGCGTGCGTGCGGCGGCGGCGCTCCTCGGGCGTCGCTCCCCCGGACGCGGCAGGCAGACGAGCAGGTCGCAAGGACGGGGCGCGCACCAGACACGGAGTCCATGTAGGTGTAGCTCTGGCACACCCTGCTGCAGTGCCCCTGCAGGTCCCTCGCGGCGGACACCGCCGAGAGCAGCACCGCGAGCACCGCGAGCAGGAAGACCTTGGAGAACATGGTGGTGGGGAGGTGTTGCCTGCGGTCAGGGGGGAAGGAGTGGCGCTGTCGTGCGGGCCTTGCGGGGCGGAGCTGGCCGGCGGAGGTACGGGTGCGGGCCGGGCGAGCGCGCGTGGATCGCGCGGGGGACGCGAGGGGCGCGGTGCCGCCGTCACTGGACGCGTCGCGCCGAGGCCGACGGCCTGGTGGTGCGCTGCATCGCGAGCCGGGCAGCGGCGTGCTTGCGGCGATCTCGCGGCCGCGGACGGCGCCCCGCGAAACAGGGGGGCTGCGCGACGAGAGATATATGTTGTGTGTTCTGGATGCATGGCACGTCTACGTACAGTATGTACGTTGTATCTGGTGGTGTCTGGAATCGTGCCTGGGGGCATCGGCAGATCACGCTCCGCGACCCGCAACGCGTCTATCGCACGCGTCGTTGCCGAGCGGGGCTGCGCGGCGAGGTCGGGAGACGCGTGCGCAGGGCCGGCGGCGCTCGCCCGCTGCGGCAGGGCGATCGGCGATGCGCGGGGCGTGCCGCTGCGCATGGTGGCGCAAAAGAGACTGCGGAGCCTGGCGACCGATCTGCGAGGCCGCCGCCTGCGCGGCAACGCCCCCGGTATACGAGCGATCCTATGCCGTCTTCGCGCGGCGGCCTAGATGGGTTTGAAAGCCCCACAGGTCACGTTGCTGCGCAGACCAGTTATGAGAGCGAGACACTACGCGCCCAAAGTGCCTCGACAAGTCCGCAGCGCGCCGCGCGGAGCGGCAGGGCCAACCGCTTCAGAAACGTTTGCGTCTCCCGGCTCACGGGAGCCCGGGCGCGATTGATGGCGGCTGACCCGGCGCTACTCATATCATCGACTCGCGCATGCGCCGCACGTCGAGCGCAGCCAACGCAGGTTCGCGCGGGAAGCCGTCCAAAGGAGGCGAGCAAGCGGTTGCCTCCTACGCGACGCACCAGGCGAGACCGCGCGCTTTTCGTTTGCCGAAACGCACCTTGAGATTTGCAAGATTCGCCGATGGCCGAATGTGTCGCGCGAGCGGCGCGCTATGTGCCAATAGCGCCCGATGTGCCCCCTGCCTCCTGCTGGCAGGGGGCACGGCCGGCCTCGGAGCGCCGTCATGCACGCTTCGGAGAGCCCTGACGCAGAGCCACGGCCCTCGCTTCCTCGGTACCCCCACAGGATCGCTGGAAAGAAGGTTCGACCGCAGCGGGGCCGCAACGGCAATTGCCCGCTTGGGACCGGGCTTCTCGAGGCGGGCTCGCAAGGACATCGCCAACGGCGCCCAACAGCAGTGCCTGGGAGCTGGTACCGTACTTTCAGTGCCGCCGCGCTGTCGCGGCGGGCGCGTGGGCGCTCTCGGAGCGCACACCGCCCGACTGGGGCTCCACCGCTGCCGCGCATGCGGAGGTGCACGCGGGGCAGCCTGAGGCGTCGCGAAGCGCGGATGCGACGAGGGTCGGGCACCGCGTCGCGCCTCCTGAGGCGGCACTCCGACACAGCACGCGTGACACCGCCGCCGACACGCGGGCGCGTCGCGGAGGCCGCCGTCACAGCGCCGCGCCCTCCCACCCGTCCCCGTCGGCGTACGCGGCCGCGCCGCCCTCGGCCGCGTCCTCCGCGCCCGCCCCGCCCGCCTGCGGAGAGTGCGGCGCGTCGATGATGCGGTTGCTGAGGATCACCACCGCCTGGTCCGTGTCCACCACCGTGAGCCCGAGCTCGTCCAGGACCTGCCGCCCCTCGATCGACTCCTCCCCCGTATCCGGCAGCACCTCCACCAGCACCTTGAGCGCCTTGGCGGCCTTGCGCGTCTCCAGCATCATCACGCGGCACGCCTCCATGAGCTCTGCGGCGCACAGCGGGCGCGCACGCGGCCGTGGTCGCGCCGCGCCGCCGCGAACAACAGCGGAAGCGTGGAGCGCAGGCGCGCGGGGGGGGCGGGGTGCGGCTCACCTCGGACGTGCGGCCACGGGCGCGGCGTGAAGGCGGAGAAGCAGTTGGCGATGGCCGAGACGTCGTTCAGGAGCCGCTGGGCCCCGAGCGGCGTGTACCGCACCTCCATGACGAGCCCCTCGAACAGGTGGTGCGAGATCCCCTGCGCCACCGCGCACCACACCTGCCGGAACGACACCAGGTTGAGCGCGTCCTGCAGCGCCGTGAGCGTGGAGTGGAGCAGCTCCAGCGCCGGGTACAGCGTGTGCGCCGCGGGCTCCGGCAGCCCCGCCGCCGCCTCGTCCGACCACTCGGCTCGGAAGCGCGCGTGGTCGGCGAGGTACGGCGCAAGCCTCTCGAGGAGGCGGGTGTCGACCGCCGCGGCCACGCGCAGCGACCACCGCCGCCGCAGCTTCTCCAGGCCCGCGACGTGCCGCGAGACCGCCGCGTCGCCGTGCGGCACCGCCGCCGTCGCCGGGTGCAGGCAGAGCTCCTCCAGGCTCTCCGCGACGTGCTGCACGGTGTTGACCACGCCCGCCGCCCGCCGGATCCACTGCTGGCTGTTCACGTCCTCGAACGCGCCCATCACCTCGCCCTCGCGCTCCAGCCGCGCCAGCACCGGCGCCATGACCGCCTCCGTCAGGCACGACAGCAGGTCCGCGGAGCCCTCGGCGCCGTGCGCGCTCGCGGTCAGGTACACTGCGTCGACGGCGACGAGCGCGCGCACGTGGAAGCACGTCGTCGCGCGGGGCCAGGGGCGGGCGGGCATCATAGCGTGCCGAGTCATCCGGCGTCATATATATGTGACGACGGGATCCGCACCTGGTACGAGGTCGATGGCCTTGAAGATGCCGCACGACGCGCGCGTGGGGCGCGCATCGCCCCGGTGCGAGCGGTGCACGCTGGAGGGCCCGCGCGACAGCGTGCGCCCGGTGGACCAGATGGAGCTGGGCGGTGCGCTGAGGCGGTGCGCCGCCATCTCCTCGTTGCTCGCCGGGTCCCAGCCCTGCGGCTGGTCGAGCGCCTCCTCAACGATATGCCTCACCTTGGACACCTGCGGCCGCCGGGAGCGGGGCGCGGCTGCGTCGGTGCTCGGAACGACCTCCCCCGCGACAAGGTGTGTGTGTCGCTGCGGCGGGAGACGGCCCGCGCGGCGCCCGGCATGACCCGCACCTGGTACTCGCGCAGGATGTCGGCGAGCGGGGGCTCGTGCAGGAGCCCCAGGCACGTCTCCGCGGGCGGCCGCTGCGCCGAGTCGCACCACACAAAGTCCTGCGGCTCGGGGGGGGACTCCGGGACGCCCATGGCGCTGGTCATCGACGTCTCGAACTCCAGCAGCGTCTCGACGAGGGACCACACCTGCGCGCGCACGAACCCGGGACACGGAACCCGTCAGCGCCCCGTCCCTGCGTGGGGCACCGCATGCAACGTCCAGCAACGCCGCGGCGACCGGTGCTTTCGCGGGGCGCACGTCGTCGGTCTTGCGCCCCTGCAGCGCCGCGGCCAGCTCCGGCACGACCTGCACGTCGAGCACCCCGCGCGCGAAGTGCTCGACCGCGCGCACAAAGTCGCTGCCCAGCGGCGTCGGGCCGTGCGCGCGCTCCTTCTCGAGGTCGGCCTGGATGGACAGGAGGAGCTGCGGCATCGCCTTCGCGGCCTTGCTGGCGTACATGAGCACTGCCTGCAGCGCGGCGCCCGGGCCCTGTTGCAGCTGGGTGCTGCAGTGGTACATCATGCGCTCCTGCAGCGGCCGCGCGAGCTCGATCGCCGCCCACGAGATGTCCGCGAGCCGCCCGCCGCCCGCGCCGCCGACCCCCGCCGCCGCGATCGACGCCTGCATCGCGTGGCAGGCCCCCGCGAGCGCCACCATCTTGCGCTGCAGCCCCTCCTGCCCCCCGAACAGGTTGTGGTGGCCCCACGACGCCTCCCACGCACCCGACCCCATCGCCTTCTGCGCCACGGCGACGTGCGCGGGACCGGTGTGCGTTGGCGCGCGTGTCCGTGTGTGCGCGCGCGTGTGCATTCGAAGAGCGCTGCGGGCCGCCCGCGCGCACCTCGATCGTGGCCAGGTCCGGCGGCCACTCCGCCCCGCGTAGCACCGTGCGCACCGCCGAGAGCAGCGCCACGCGCATCGACCCCTGCGCCTCGCGCGCCTTCTCCTGCACTGCCGACGTCAGCTCCCTGCAGCGCGCGGGGGGGGGCACGGCGAACGGCGTCGCGGCCGCCCCGTGCGCGCAAGCGCGTGCATCGCCAGCGCGGGGTCGGCGCGGCCTCCGCGGCGCACCTGAGCTCTGGCGGGAGATCGCCGAGGTCGGGCCCGGTGCATTGGGTCCCGAACTCACGCGACGCCACGGCCGCGGCGAGCGCCTCCTGCAGCGACTCGCCCTGGAAGGATCCCTGCTGCGCGAGCATGTTGGCGGCCCGCTGCTGCACGTCCATGAGCTGCTCTGTGCACACCAGGGTGCGGTCTATGACTGCCAGCTCCACCGGGACCGCCGCCGCGTCCCCTGCGAGTGACGCCGGCACAGACGGCGAGAGGCTGAGACGTCGCGTCGGGGCGGCGGCGTTGCCCGCCGGCTCGCGCGTGTGTGGGCCCGCCCGCGCAGATACCTTGGCCGGGCACGGCTCTGACCACGACGGGGCGCGGAAGCGGGCGGCGTCGCTCCGAACGACACTTCGCCCGAGTCGATCAGATGCTAGCGGTGATGGCGCGGTCCATGAAACGGGACTCGCGAGGGTGTAAAGGCACGGGGGGGGCGCAGAGTGCAAACACGCAGGCAGCGCGCGTCCCGGGGCGCGTATGAACGCGTGCATTTCCGCCATGGATGGTACTCGCGGGCGGTGCTCGCGAGCTCCATGCCGCACGCGCCGCGCGGTCGCGCCCAGAGAGCGCTCTGCACCCGTGCGCGCCTGTAAGCGCGGGGTCGCCGCTGCTGTCGCGCTGGGATGTAGGCACCGCGAACGACGGTACGCACCCGACCGGTCCATGTTGGCTGGATCGCAGCCCCGCTGCTTCAGCTCCTGCAGCGCCTCGGACGCGATGGCCACGATCCGCGCGCGGAGCCGCTCCTGCTGGTCTCTGGCGGCCTGTAGCTCACTCGCGGCTTCAGCCCGTCTCCTCTCTGCCTCTTCGGCACCCATCAATCATCTCAAAGGGTCATACGGCACCAGAATCCGCCGGCACGGGCCCGGATCGCGTCGACAACTGCGCAATCTTGTCCCAGCACAACCAGCCGCGAGAAGGGAGGCAGCTTCGCGCTCCGTCGAGGTCACGCGGCCGGAGACGACAGCCGACTGTGTGCGGGGGCGGCGCGCCGCTCCCCCATGGCGCCACGCCCAGCTGGGCGCGAGCGGTCAGACCAGCTCTCGACGGCCCACCTCCCCGGGGGGGGGGGCGACGTCACGCGCTGCCGGGCCCCACCGCCCGGCACGTGTCCGGGCGCGATGGGACCTCGCTGCACCGCGGGACGACCGAGGTCCACGGCATCGCCAGCAACAAGCGCGTCACACAACCCTGGCAACTAACTGAACCCGAGTCCGCCCGTCAGCATCGCGAACACGTCGTCGCCCCCGTCCTTCTTCCTCTTCTTCTGCTCTCTCTCTTCCTTGTCTCTTCTCTTCTTCTTCTTGCCAAGAGACCCCCCCGCGGGCCTCCTCTCCGCGCGTCTCTGCGACCCCCGCACATCGCCTGGCACGCCCGCGCGCGCTTCCGCCTCCCGGCCCGCCGCGCCACCACCCTCCTGTTTCTGTGCCATCGGCCCGGCGGCCGACGTCGTGCTGTGCTTCCCGTCGCCAGCGCGCGCGCCCCGCTCGCCGCCGACCGACACGAAGGCCGCCTCGCGCGGACGGTCCGCGGGCCGCGTCGCAGCAATCGAGTTCGCGCGCCTCCACAGCTCCGCCCCACGGTCCCCGAGCCCCACCGCTCCGCCGCTCTCCCCGGCACTCCTCCCCCCCTCCGGCCCCTCACTCCCTGACGACGACGCGCCCTGCAACAGCCCCAGCGCGCCCTGCTTCCCAAGCTTGTACCGCGGCGCCGCCTCCGCTGCCGCCCCCTGCGCGCCCCCCCCGCCGCCCCCCTCGTCCTCCAGCACCTCCAGCACCGCGTGCCTGCTCACCGCGACGCCCACGTCCTCCCCGGCGCCCACGTCCTCGAACACCGCGCACTCGCCGCCCGCTGCAGCTGGTGGCCCCGCGCCGCCGCGTCCGCGCGGGCCGTCGACCCCCTCGACCCGCACCTCGCCCACCCTGCGCACCGCCGCGACGCGCGCGGCGTCCCACTCGAGGGTGACCACCGCCGGCAGCGCTGCGCTCTGGTGGGCGCCTCCGCGCGGGACGAACGCGGGGTGCGGTGCGTCCGCAGGGCCGCTGCACGCGGCCAGGACCGCCTCGGCGGCGACCTTGAACGACGCGTGCGCCGCAGGCGCGGGTTGCGCTCTCGCGGGCGCCCGGGGGAGGTGCGGGAGCAGCTCGGCGACGGCGTTGTACGCGCGCTGGATGTCGACCAGGAGCTGGGCCAGGAGCGCCCGCAGGCGCGCCAGTGCGGCCGTGGCAGTCAGCGCAAAGGGCATGAAGAACGACTGACCCAGGAGCGCCATGAGGGACGCCGACGACACGTCGATCGCGCCCACTGCATCGACGCCCGCGTCGAGGCCCGCCAGGAGGCGTCTGCACGCGAACACGCCCGCCTGCAGCCACGGCGAGGGCGTCGCGCAGCACGCGTGTGTGTGGCTCCGCGCACCGTGGCAGCGGGTCGTGGGCCGCGGGCGGGGACGAGCGACGCGACGTGCCGTCGGTATGCCGCGGCGAGACGCGCGGCCGGCTCGTGCGCGTCAGGCGCGGAGCTCTCAGGGGACAGCTGTGGCTGGCGGCGCAGTTGCTGATGGTCGGGTCGGACCTGCGCGCTGGGGAAGCTGCGCGGCTGGCCAGGACGGTTCCCGAGGCCCTCGGCCTTGTCTCTGCCCGGTCCGCTCATCGCGTGCAGGCCGAGGAGCAGGTCCGGGAGCTGTAGGGAGGCCAGGGTGCGCAGGCGGGCGTGCACCGCCGTCAGGTGCCGCCAGTAGTGCCCGCGCCGGTGCTGGTTGCGGTTCTTGTACACGATGCGCTGAAACAACCGCGACTCCGCCTGCAAAGAGGGGGGCGCAGGGCCGGAACGCGCGTTTTCTCACGGCAGCGGGCTGGCGTTGCAGGCCGCTCTTGCCGGCAACGGGCGCGCCGGGCACGTGTCGGCTGGCGCTGATCACGCGCCTGGAACTCCGGTCTGCGCAGGGCGCTGCTGCTGGCGACGAGACCGGCGCCGTCCATCGCAGCCACGCGGCGTGCGGTGCCCGGTGCTGTGACGGGTCGCCGCAGCTCCGGAGGGAACGCGGACGTCGATGCCGCGACCTCTGCCTTGCTCATCGCATCAGAGGTTTGTTTCCGCAGCACCCATTCCCGGCACGCGCATTCAGGGCGGCCGGGTGCGACCCTGGTGAACTCGCTGCAGGAAAGCGGTGCTACAGCCGTGCGGCTTTGATGTCAACAGTGCGCGCTCGAGGTCGAGGGAAGGAAGTGCGAAGTGCCGGACGGGAACGCCCCCCATGCACCGGATGTCGGCCCTCCGTGCCTGCATCAGCGCAGTGGGGATGTCCTGCCCGACGGTCGCAATGTTCGGTCGCCCACTGGCCGCCGCTTGGGGGCCACAGTGGCACGCTGGCTTGCCCCGCCCAAGCACTCCCGGACAGCGACGCCAACACATCGCCACACTGGTCTTGAGCGACGCGGCCCCGAGTGCGCCGCAGTGCGTTCTCTACCAGGGCTGGGAGCTTCGCACAGACCGCTTCCGGGAGAGCCAAGGGGGGCTTTCGGACGAGACTCAGAGAGCCTCCAGCCGCGGATACGAGCCGACCCGGGGCGCGGCGGCAGCTGCGAGGAGTAGATGGCTCCCAAGTCCCCGCAAGGTCCAGCGCGGCGTTCAGGCTAGACATCGGCGGCGGATACCTCCCCGCGCGTGAGCACCGAGCAGCTGCAGGCGTTCGAGCGGTCATGGATCAGGTTGCGTCGCCCGGCTCGGGGGCGTCGAGCATACCTAGGAAGGGCGTCCTCGACACCCTGAACGAGCGCCTGTCGACCACGTCTGCCTCCTGGCAGTACAGGATTCTCGGGAAAACGTTCCTAGGCTTCTGCGTCGGTGGTTGTTTCGGCCTTTCGGAGGCGCTCAAGCAGTACAAACGGCCGCCCAAGCTCATGCGCCAAGGTGGGCGCGCGCGGACCGCAAGCCCCCCTTCGCGACCACTCATTCCGCGCCCGGACGCGCACGATACCTCGTCCACGCCGTGCGCGGATCGCCCTCCGTCCGCAGGTTCCTGGGGCGCTGCGTCGGTGGTGTGCTTCTACAACTGCGTGCAGGAGGCCGCGCGGCTGGCGCGCGGGGAGGACACGCCGCTCAACAGCGCCGTGGCGGGAGGCCTGACCGCCTACATGTACTACCGGGGCGTGGCCGCCGTCCCGCACTTCGCGGTGCAGGCCGGCATGGTGGCGGCGTGCGCGTGCACCGTCGGTCGCGTCGCCGTCGACAGGTGGGCGCGCGGGTCCCGACGCACCGCCGCCGCCCTCGCCGCTATGTGCACGCGCCTCGCTCACCCCCGCCCGTCTCTGGCGGGTCTCCGCAGTTCGGGGATCCACGACTGGTTTTTGCGCACTCTGGTCGACATGGAGTACCTCGACCCGCCGCCGGGGTCGGACAAGTTCGAGCCGCTCATGGAGAAGTGGAAGGCGGACCAGGCGAAGAAAGTAAGGTGCGCGTCCCCCGCCCCGCCGACGCACCGCCGGCCCCACGGACAGGCACCGGACACGCAGCGCACACTCCCTGCGGCTCCTCGTTGTTCCTCGCAGCGACCAGCTGAAGCTCAACGCCGCGGTGACCGACTACGAGGCGCGGAGGAAGAACCCGTACAGCTGGCTGAAGGCGCGCCCTGGGTACGACGAGCTCAAGGTGCGCCAAGCAGTCCCCCGGGGCTGTGTCAATGTCCCGGTCGACGACGACGGCCCGCGCGAGACCCCTCCACCCCCGCTGAACCCGGTTGCGTGCAGGGCACGGCCATGGGCGACTGGCTCGGCCTGTACCCGAAGGACGTCGAGGATGGGGAGGAGGCTGCGGGTGCGACCGACATCGAGCAGCAGGCGCCGGAGCGGGCGCGGGAGGACACGGTGCCGAGCAGGGGCGGCGGCGGGGGGAAGCGGAGATCGTGGAGCGTTCTGCGATGGGTCGGACTGTGAGTGCGCGGTGTGTCGTCACACGGCGTGCGTCACCCGAAGCACGCACAGAACGCCCCCTTGCCCGTGGCCTCGGCGCTCCGCCCCCCCGGCGCCCCGCGAGCCCCCGCACCCGCGTCGCCCCCGCCGGCTGCGCGGTACTTGCTCGTCTTGCTCGTGGCAAGCGAGTGGCCCATGGTGCACTTCGCCACGATGTCGACCACCTTCCTCTTGGCCTGGTACTTGCGGACGTGGGCGTCCACGACGCCCGAGTCGATAATGTCCTTGAGCCGCTGCGACGACATGCGGACAGAGCGCGGCCGGCCGTTCAGAGCTCGCCCGGGGACGGCGACTGTTTACAACGTTGCAAGCGCTGCGACGACTCGTCTCACCTCGACGACCTCCGTCATGGTACAGCGCTGCCGTGGATTGTCCTGCCAGCACGCCTCCAGGAGGTCCTTGATCGACTGGGGCCAGTGCTGCGGCACGGACGGCCTGTAGCCTGCAGAGCACATGTACGTTGGCGTGCGCGACGACGTCGCTTGGCGCGGAGCCCGGCACTACCGTCGCCCAGAGCGCACGAGTACAGTGCGCTCAACGCGGACCGGGGCGTGGTGGCGGCGGCGTCCGCGGGCGCACCTTGCGAGACCTGCCACGCGTAGTGCTCGATGGACTTGGCGGGCGACATGTTGGCCGGCCGGTTGATCAGGACGCGGATGATCTGCAGCTGCATCGTCAGCACCTCGTAGATGCACATCCCGAACGAGAAGACGTCGATCCGCTCCGAGTACGGCTCTTGCCTGCGCCGCGACAGCGGGCGAGAACGCGGGGCACTTGAGGCACAGGACGAGGGGCGACGGCGCCGGCATCACGCGCGAACAGCTCCAAGTGCGCACCTCACGACCTCCGGCGCCATGTACATGAGCGAGCCCGTCAGCGCCGTCATGTCTGCGGGACGGTGCTCTTCGTAGGCGAGCTTCATCGACTCCGCAAGCCTCTTCCGCTTCATCGTCGACATCGACCGCTCGAACCGGTCCCGCGGCATCCCCACCACGGCCTCCGCCGCGCCCTCGTCCCGTTCCGCCTCCGAGCTCCCCTCGCGCGGGCGCGCCCCATCGGTGAAGTGCTTGATGCCGTCCAGCCGCCGCTCGTCGAGCAGCCGCGCGAGCCCGAGGTCGCAGATCTTCGCCACGACCACCGAGCTCTCCTCCGCCGCCCCGCCCTCCGCGCCCCGCCTCACGCCAAGCAGAATGTTGTCCAGCTGCAGCGCGGCAGGCACGCGCGCGGGGGCGTGTGTGCGGGCGGGCTGCGGCGACGCCAGCGGACGTCGGGAGCGCGGCTCCGCGTCTCGTCGGCGCACCTTGACGTCCCGGTGGATCACGGGCGGCGAGCTTGTGTGCAGGTACTCGAGGCCCCGCGCGGCCCCCAGGAGCCAGCGGAACCCGTCGTCCCACCGGTACGGCAGCTTGCGCGACCCCGCCGGCAGGCCCTTGATGAGGTCGCGCAGGCTGCCGCCCGCGCAGAGCTCCTGCGCGAGGAAGATGCGCTCCGTCCCGCTCAGGTCGCCGCTCGTGCGCGCCCCGTGCAGGAGGCTCGTCGCCGAGCTCTTCGCCAGCGGCGAAGGACGCAGGCCGTGACCTGCGTGGCGCGCTGGACGCGGGACCGTGAGGCAGGCGCAGAGCCGGGGCGACAACCGAGACGGCGCGTCGCAGCGGGCACGCGCGGTTGCCGGGTCAGTCTCACCGCTCCCGGACGCGCCGAGGACAGCGTCGCCCTCCGCGGCCTCGCTCGACGCGCTCCCCTCGGCCACGTCGCGCAGGGTGGGGTCCTCGTCGTCGGCGCCCTCCACCAGCCCCACGCCCTCGAACTGGACCACGTTCGGGTGCACGAACGCCCGCAGCAGCTCGACCTCGCGGATGTAGGCCAGGAGGCTCTTCTCCGTGGCGTTGTCCGCCTGCAGCACCTTGACTGCGACGTCCCGTGCCTGCTCACCTGGTGGACAGTGACGCATGTGCATCACGGCCCCGAACCCGCCCCTCCCCTGCGATCAAACGCACATCGCGCACTCCGGCCGTGGGGTCGCTCCCAGAGGCTGCGCATCCAGCGTCCAGGCATCGCTCGAGCGGGCTCCTCCGCGGCGCGCGGGCCGCACGGGCGCACCAACTCTTGAACGGGGGCCAGGTCGCTCCAGAAAATCTCCAGGTGGGGCCCCATGTTCCTGATCCGCCCCAGGGTCCTGCTCGCGCGGAGCTTGAACGAGCGCGAGTACCGATCGCGCTTCGGCGACAGGACGTCCGTCTTCGGCGACGAGGCGCGCGCCTCATCGTTAGGTGGCTCCATGACGCCGCTGGTCACCCTTCCCGATGTGCCCTGCCAGCGCCTGCACCTCGATGTGTCCAAGAACGCAAAGCTCAGGGCAGAGCTCCTGCTAGGTCGCGCCGCGGCCCCCGCAGCCGTGAGACAGAATCCATGCTGGTGGTGGTTGGACGCTAGCGGCTTTCAACTGCTGTCAGTCGGCTGTTCGGCAGCCTGCCGTCGGGCAGCGTCGACCAAGGTCATGGCGTCGGCATGAACGGGTGGGCCCGATGGGCGCAGGCCCGGGTGCGCACCGCGGCACCAAATCCCAAGGGGCTGAGCGCTCAGCGTTCGGACGAGATGGTGCGAACGTGTCCGTGACGAGGCTGTTGGCGTACAGGGACCGCCGACCGCCGGCGCGAGGCTTTGACGGCCCCAGGCCCTGCGCGATGTGCCGAGGGGGCTTGGCGGCGCTGTCGGTGGGGCCTGCTCCCCCGTGCTCCCCTGCGCGGCCAGCGACCGCCGCCGGCCCTCGAGGGGCGGCGTGGACGTCTGGTAGAGCCAAGCGGCGCCGCGCTTCATCGTGAGTGAGCGAATCGCGGCCCGGAGAGCACGGTTGAACCGCGAGGCAGTTGAGCTCGCCCCGAGCGTCCTGGGGCGAGTCCTGAGGGCTCGAACACGCCATCTGTCGCGTCTTCGGTCCATGCTGGTAGTGATGAGGCGCAGCGGCCGCCCAGCGTGCAGAGCGTCCTTGCGAGGAGCGTGTCCGGGCGCACCTTGAGGCTGCATTTCACTCACACGGGTCGACGGTCCGCTCCCGAGCGAGGACGCGCGCAAGGAGACCTGTGCGGTGACGAGCCAGTTCTGAGATTGCGGCGTCTGTCGCGGGCGAGTCACGGTGGGGGCCCACGCCACCGAGACGCCCTGCGGCACCTATCCAGTCCCAGGGCGCGCGTCCGGACGAGATTCCGCGCGAACCAGCTCGCGGACAGATGGTGAGGACACCTCCAGCTTCAGCGCGCGCGCACTTCGCGTTGATACCCCAGGCGCGGCGCTTGCGAGGGGTTGAGCACACGCAGCCCCCCGCTCACCGCGAGCTCCCCGGCACCTCCCGCGCAGGCGCAGCAAGGGCTGGCCGCTCGGCTTCTCGAGCGCGTGCTGTCCGAGGTCCCCTCCGTCCTCGACCGGCTCTCGGACGAAGACAAGGTCAACCTGGCAGCGACGCGAAGGGGCGTGCTCGAGGCGGTGCTGCGCGGGTGCCGGGCGGTGCTCGTCGTGACTAATGACGACTACATGCTGCACGCGCTTGGGGTGCGGATGAGGGAAGGGCCGTGCGTCGGCGAGCTCCTCTTTTGCGGCATCCGCGTGCCGGCGACGTGCGCGGCGCCGCTGTGGTCGGCGATCGGATTCGCGGACCGGCCGGGGCCAGGCGACTCGCAGGACGAGAGGTTCTGCAAGTGGCTGAACGTGGTGTGGCGGCTGACGAAGGAGAAGACCTTCTGGGGGGAGTCGCGCGTGACGGGGCTGGCAGTCCCCGCCTTCTACGACGGTGGCGTCGCACAGGTGCCGCAGGCGCTGTCGCTGCAGCACATCCTCCGATCGACGCCGGTCGCGAACCACTTGAGGTTCCTGCGCATGGATCTGTCGCAGTTCCGCGCGGGGGAGGCGCACGACGCGCATGTCGGGGCGCTGCAAGACGCCGTGCGCGGTCTTCAGGCGCTCGAACGCCTCGACCTCGCGTGCATCGATGACGAACACGGGGCTTGGACGAGTCTGTTCCGCGACCTCGGCTCCCTGACGCGCCTGCGGCTGTCGAACATGACCATCAAGCGTAACAACAGCTTCATTTACGAGGTGTTCGGCCCTGGCGATGTCTTCGGCCGTCTCCCGTTCGTCAACTGGCTCGAGAGCGCCGCGAACCTGCGACGCCTGGAGCTGTCGAACGTGAACTTCGAGCGCGGCACCTTGCCGCCGGGAGGCTTCGCCCCGCCGCGGCGCTTGGAGGTTGTCCACGTGTGTCGCAGCAACCACCCGTTCTGCTGGCGCGACGCCGTGAACGTCCGGAGGCTCCGGATCGACAGCGCTGCCCCCCCTTCGGAGGATGAATGGGCGGAGATCGGCGCCATGATGCGGCGCAGCAAGGCGCTGCGAGAGCTGGACATGCGGTACGCCGCCGTAACGAGCGGCCACTTCACGGAGGTGTTCGACGCGCTGCCGCACAGCACGGTGGAGAAGTTCAGGTGCCAGTGGCAAGCACTGTCGCAGGACAACGAGGTTGACAGCGCTGCGGACGACGACGAGGCGGATGCCCACGAGGAGGACTGCGCGGCGGTCATCGAGTGCGTCTCCGCGGGGCTCGTGGCGGCGCTGAAGCGGCCGAGCTCGCCCCTGCAACACGTCGGGATCTTCGGCCACTTCATGGAGTCCGGGGACCCGTCTTCGACGAGCGAGTTCCGGGTGTCGGACGTCGCGACGGCCCTGGAGGGCAACACGACGCTGCGCAAGCTCGGTCTGAGTGGTTGCGGCATCCACGACGGGCACGCCGCCGCGATCGGGCACATGCTGGAGCGCAGCCAGTCGCTGGTCCATCTGCGCCTCGGCCGCAGCCTCCTGTCGTGGGAGGGCGTGCGGGAAATCGCGGCGGGCCTCCAGCGCAACACGACGATGCGGACGTTGCGGCTCAACGCGAACCTCGGCCTGGGCGCTGACGGCATCAAGGAACTCACGGACGCTCTCGTCGCCGAGGAGTCGGCCTGCCAGCTGCAGCATCTCGACCTCACCCTGTGCAACGCCGAGGACGAGGGTGCAAAGCACGTCGCGGCTTACCTGCAGCACCCCCGCTGCACGCTGCGCACCCTGAACTTGCATTTCAACGACATCACCGACGCGGGCGCCGCGGCCATCGCCTCGGCGCTGGAGTCGAACGCAACCCTGGAGTCGCTCATGCTCTGCGAAAACCACATCTCAATCGGAGGCGGCCGCCGTCTGGCAGACGCGTTGGAGAGGAACGACACGCTGCGAGCGATCAACTTCGCAATGTCCCTCCCGCAGCCGTGGGACGTTCCGGAGCACCGAGACCTCATGTTCGACCTGCGGCATGCGCGGAAGTACGCAAATGAGCGGCGTGGGCTCGACTGACGCAGGCGCCGGCGGAGCTCGCCGCTGCGCGAAGTCCGCAGCGAGGGACGTTGGAGCGAGGGACGTTGGAGCGCGGACGCGTCGTGTGCGTCGCGGTCAGCTGCAGCGTCGGACGCAGCCATCAAGTGCGCGGAGGTCGGCATCGCGTGTTGGTGCCGCGGATCGCCCAGGCCGCCAACGCGAGAGCTCTGTGACTGCGGGCCCTGCACGTCTGGCAGAACCCGCCCGGGCGGGGGTGCCTCCCTGGCGCTGACCGACAGCGCGAGCCAGGGGCCTGCCTTCCCGTGCTGCCTTGCGCGCTCGGCGACCGTCAACGCTTTTCTAGAGGATCACCGCCGGCGTGAGCGTTCCGGGGCGGCGAGCGGCGAGCGATGTTGTGACGAACCACCTAATCGTGGTCCAGAGAGCACCGCCGCATTGCACACAGTCGGGAACCTGCCGCGCCTGCTGACGCTCCCACGCGTGGCCGTTCCGAGCCCGCAGAAGTTGGAGCTGGCCGGGCGCCGGTCGCGGCCACCAGCCAGGCGTCGGGCCTCGCGTGGATCTGCACACACACACGCGACATCACCTCGCGCGGTGCGGGGCGGGTCAGACGGCCCGGACCACGTAGCGGTGCGGGCCAGTCGCACGCCCCGAGCAATGCGTCTCCCAGCCGCTGCGCTCAAGACCAGCACTCGTCGCACCAGCCCTGCGTGAGTAGCTAGGGGTGTTGACGGCGACGGCGATATGGTCGCAGGGCGCGCAAGCGCTCACGTGCGCTGCGGCGCGGTCGAGTGCGACCGCGTACGACGGCTCTGTCAGGCCCCATGCGGGCGGCGGCGCGCGTGCCCGCCCCGAACGACGGTGAACGTGTCAGCGGAGCGATCTCAGGACCCCCAACTCCCACCAACACCCCTCCCGCGCTCTGCTCCGTCGTCGTTGGGGACGCGCTGACGACGACGCGCCGCACTCGTTCCAAGCGGCCATCAGAGAGCCAGCTCGCAGGCGTCGAGGGGCCAAGCCAACGCGTCGTCGTGGAGGTGCGATGCTCGGGGCTTGAGGCAGCATGGTGCGCTGCGAACGTAGCTTTAATGCGGGGACGTGTCGCGCACGCGATATCACCACCCGTACGAGTGCCCGTCAGGGCCCCGGAAACGCACGCTCACGCCCCGCACCAGCCCTCCTGGGTGCTTTGCAGAGCTGAGGCCAGTTGGTGCGGCGCGCCGGAGCCTGTGAAGGGCGCGTGGAATTTCCAGGTGGCAGGCAGGCACTCGGAGTGTGCGTTGAAGCGTCTTCGAAGCGGCGAGTGCGGTCAGCGCCACTGCATCGCGCGCTCCGGGCTGTAGGCTGGTGCGGGGGCGGGGATCGCGCAGGAGACGCCGTCGGGCGCGCATCCTGACGTTCGTGTGGTGGTCTCGACGCAACTTCGACAGACCATGGTGAGGGGCCCTCTCACAGTGCTGGAACGACCGCCTGCAGGCTGTCCTGGCGTGCACTTGCGGCTCATGCATCGGGCAGTGAGAACACGCACGGCAGCTCGTTCTTGCGACCCGCGAGCTACACCCCCTGGTCCCGGGCCGCGCTCTGACCTGCTCGTGACCGACATCCGCTGCTGCGCGCAGAAGCCTCGGCGGGCCAGCGACCTGCTCGATGACGTGTTGCGCGAGGTGGACAGCGTGCTGGACAGGCTGTCGGACGAAGACCACGCGATCCTGGCGGCGACGCGATGGAGGACGCTGGAGGCGGTGCTGCGCGGACGCAGGGCGGTGCTGAGGGCTCACAGGGACGACCCGGTGCTGCACGCGCTGGCGCAACGCATGGAGCACGTTGGACTCACCGGGACGGGGTGAGGATGTGCGGCGTGCGGGTGGCGGGCGCGGGAGCGCTGCTGGAGGCTGCGCGCGCGGTCCGCGGGAAGCTGCCGCGCCCGCTGGGCTGCTACCACCACTATGACGCGGCGTGGACCAAGTTGGTTTGTGCGCTGGACGACGGGACGATGCTGGCGGGCGGAACAGCGCGTGGCGACTGTGCGTGCGGCTGACGTTGGAGTTGACGTCGGGCGCGGCGTCGGGCGCCCCGACGCGACACGCCATGATGCGATCTGCGCAGCGGCGGGGCTTTGCGCGGCATAGCAGGAGCGCCGCAACTCCGCGCCGGTGGACGGCGTGTGGGCGCAGCGTGTGCGCTGGGCCGCCGTGGCTGCGGAGGCTGCTCGCCGTGCGCCGCTGCACGTGCGCTGGGCGACGGGGCGGGCGTCGGGGGGCATTCGGCGCGTCGCGACGGTGGATCCGGGCGGCGTACGTGGCCGGCTGGCTGGGGGCGTGGCAGACTCGGTGGCGTGCTTCGCGGGCGTCTTCACTGCTCAGCTGAGGTGGGTACACCCGCAGCGTTCCCCGATCCTCTGCGCGAGCCGCGTGCCGCTTCGCCCGCGGGACGCAGCGGTCGAGGGGCCTGCGCGGCCCCGAGATCGCGGGGCCACCACGTACTCGCGCGTGTGCCATCCTGCAGCGTCCCTTGAACCGCGCCACTGAAACCACGACGTTCTGACGGGCGGTCCGCCTCTCGAATACCTCGACCGCAGGATGAGTCCGCAGCCGCGGCGTGCAGCTCAGCAATGCTTGACAGTGCGGCTGCGGCTCTCGGTCTGAAGCAACGGCTGGCGACGTGTCGCGCCTTGCAGGACGCATGGGCGCAGCGGCCTGTGCGACGCCCGGCAGCGCAGCAGCATCCGTGCGGGGACAGCGATCGCCGCCGGCGTGATCGAGGTAGGGACCGTCCCCTCGCCCCGCGTCTGTGCCCGCGTGCGCCGCCAGCCCGCCCTCACCGCCCCCGCGATGCGCAGCTCTGCGTTGACAGCCGACGTCAAGCCGCAGCGCGCCGACCTGACGCTCCCACGACAGCACGCTCCCGCAGGCTATCGGTCCGGGCCTATTGCAAGGAGCGGGGCGCGAGGAGCTGCGGATGGGCGCCCTGGTGTGCCAAGCGATTCGTGCCACGCTGATGCGGCCGTGCTCGCGGAGAAGCTCCGGCGGCTGCGGGAGCTGGCGTACGTGCGAGCCACTGTCGCCGCAGGCGACGGGCTGCGCTCCGGAGCAAGCACCGCTCAGCGGCTCGGGCACGGTGCGCACAGCGACTACGCGTGCCGGCGGACGCGTGCGGCGACGAGCGCCGATTCTGTGCAACGGACAGTCTCGTACAGGGTCTACGTCGACTATGCCGCGCGAAGCGATGCACGCCCACGGGGGCTCCAATCGTCGGCGCTGCGGGGACTTTTGGTCGATGCCATTGGTTGAGGCGCTGCATCCCGGCACTGGTCGGGGACGGAAAGCAGCACGCACCGGCGACGAGCGGCGAGATCGGGCTGGCTAGTGGGCGGCGTGCACGACGAGCACGGCCCATCAGCGCGACAAGCACCCAGCGCGACCGCGACGTCAACGCAGCTGCGGGGCGCCGCGGTCGCGGCGGGCACGGCCGCGCCCGCTCGTTGTGCGTGGCATGAGTGCTGGGATCGGAGCACACCAGGCCCAGTGGCTGCGGAGGCGGTTTGCGCAGCTCATTTCGGTGCAGCTCCATGTCGCGTGCTCATCCTGGTTGGTTTCCTGGAAATCGATGCTGTGCGGCAGCGACTCCTCCTCATACCCGTTGAAGGAGGAGCCGCTGCCGCACGGCATGGAGTTTCAGGAGACCAAACAGGACGAGCACGCGACAGGGAACTGCACCAGAGAGGTGGCCACCTGTCCATGGACAGCGTGCTGGACAGGCTGTCGGACGAAGACAACGCGAGCCTGGCGGCGACGCGATGGAGAGCGCTGGAGGCGATGCTGCGCGGACGCAGGGCGGTGCTGAGGGCTCACAGGGACGACCCGGTGCTGCACGCGCTGGCGCAACGCATGGAGCACGGGCGTCGCCGGGGCGGGGTGACGATGTGCGGCGTGCGGGTGGCGGGCGCGGGAGCGCTGCTGGAGGCTGCGCGCGCGGTCGGCGGGAAGCTGCCGCGCGCCCGCTGGGCTGCTACCACCACTACGACGCGGCGCACACCCGCAAGTGGACCAAGTTGGTTTGTGCGCTGGACGACGGGACGATGCTGGCGGGCGGAACAGCGCGTGGCGACTGTGCGTGCGGCTGACGTTGGCGTTGACGTCGGGCGCGGCGTCGGGCGCCCCGACGCGACACGCCATGATGCGATCTGCGCAGCGGCGGGGCTTTGCGCGGCATAGCAGGAGCGCCGCAACTCCGCGCCGGTGGACGGCGTGTGGGCGCAGCGTGTGCGCTGGGCCGCCGTGGCTGCGGAGGCTGCTCGCCGTGCGCCGCTGCACGTGCGCTGGGCGACGGGGCGGGCGTCGGGGGGCATTCGGCGCGTCGCGACGGTGGATCCGGGCGGCGTACGTGGCCGGCTGGCTGGGGGCGTGACAGACTCGGTGGCGTGCTTCGCGGGCGTCTTCACTGCTCAGCTGAGGTGGGTACACCCGCAGCGTTCCCCGATCCTCTGCGCGAGCCGCGTGCCGCTTCGCCCGCGGCACGCAGCGGACGAGAGGCCTGCGGGGCCCCGAGATCGCGGGGCCACCACACACTCGCGCGTGTGCCATCCTGCTGCGTCCCTTGCGCGCGCCACTGAAACCACGACGTGCTGACGGGCGGTCCGCCTCTCGAATACCTCGACCGCAGGAGGAGTCCGCAGCCGCGGCGGCGTGCAGCTCAGCAAGGCTTTGTAGTGCGGCTGCGGCTCTCGTTCAGAAGCAACGGCTGGCGACACGTGTCGCGCCTTGCACGACGCATGGGCGCAGCGGCCTGTGCGACGCCCGGCAGCGCAGCAGCATCCGTGCGGGGACAGCGATCGCCGCCGGCGTGATCGAGGTGGGGACCGTCCCCTCGCCCCGCGTCTGTGCCCTCGTGCGCCGCCAGCCCGCCCTCACCGCCCCCGCGCTGCGCAGCTCTGCGTTGACAGCCGACGTCAAGCCGCAGCGCGCCGACCTGACGCTCCCACGACAGCGCGCTCCCGCAGGGCTATCGGTCCGGGCCTA